GTTGATTGACTCGAATAAGGCCTCACGCGACTCGAAGTAGGACTCGGCAGGGAGGCAGTCGTCTGGGAAGGCGGCCATGGCGATAGTGTCTGCGGTCGTGTCCGCGCTTCGCATGGGTGTTGCGCGCGTGGGGTGGTGGCCGCGTTAGATGCATTTTTGGGTGCTTAGATAATTGTTGTGCTTATCTAAGCGACACGGACCCGTCAGTCTACGGATCTAGTGGGAGCCGCACATCCATGTGCGCTTACGTAGACGCTTATATGATCAACAAAGATGCATCTAACGCAGCATTGCCCCGCGCGAAAGTCAGCGCCAAAGTCAGCACCAAATTCAGCGCCAAAAGTCAACACCAAAGCACTATAATGGCCGCCTTCCCAGACGATTGCCTCCTTCCCGAGGGCTTCTTCGCGTCACGTGACGATTTGTTCGAGTCAGTTAACTCGTATGCAAAGCCTCGAGGCTGTGCCTTTACGACTCAACGGTCTTCTCGGCGGCTGGACGACTTTCTAAGAGTCTATTTCGCATGCGATGGAACGCGCGGGGCAATGCTGCGTTAGGCGCTGAATATGGTGCTGACTTTGGCGCTGACTTTCGCGCGGGGCAATGCTGCGTTAGATGCATCTTTGTTGATTTACGTAAGCACACATGATGTACGCCCTAGTGGGAGCCCTGCCTCTCTGCCTCTTAAACGTCAGGTCAACTCCACTTGTTCTCGGCTAGCACACCCCTAAACTTCGGATAGTCCTAGATGGCCTGTGATGGCTTAAGATAGCATAGAATAGCTGTTAAAGTAGATAAAGCTATAGTTAAATATCTTTTAAAATCTAATTAGCCTTTAAAAAAGTGGAGTTGACCTGAATTTGAGACGCATACTCCGTTACGGATGTACAGTAGCTTGAACGCCCTTGCTCGAAAGCTGCAAGATCAAATGGCTTGGCTTTTCTTGTCTCGACTGTTGCAGCCCCGCGCCTTTCTTTCTTTCCTCTTCAACATCCGCCACCTGCGAGAAACGCGTGCAAATCTGACTTGGACAAGCTCGACTTTGCAAGACAAGAGTGTTGCGCGGTTCAAGGTCTCTTTTTTTTTCATCCCTTTTGCTCTCTTCTTACTTTCCGTTGTGTTCAAATCTCATAAACTCAAGATGGCCACCATCAGTGGTGAGTCCTGGGATCCATTTACTTGTCGCTGCATGACTAACATATTGCCATCCAGTGGTGATTAAGCACCAAGGGAAGAAGTACGATGTCGAGGTTGACACTTCTTCGACCGGCGATGTCCTGAAGTACCAACTCTTCAGCCTCACCGGCGTCGAGCCCGAACGCCAAAAGATCCTCGTCAAGGGTGGACAGCTCAAAGATGACGCCGACATGAGCAAACTGGGGTTGAAGCCCGGCCAGGTGATAATGATGATGGGTACACCGGGAGACGGCGGAGGCGCGATCGTGCGGCCGACCGAGAAGATCAAGTTCCTCGAAGACATGACCGAGGCTGAAGCCGCCCAGCAAATCGGCGCCACCCCGGCCGGTCTGGTCAATCTCGGCAACACTTGCTACCTCAACTCGACACTCCAGGCGCTCCGCTCCATCCCTGAACTTCAAGATGCTCTCGCGAAGCACACGCACACATCCGTGTCCGAAGTCCCCCAGCTGGACATCACGAACCAACTGAAGGATCTCTTCAAGGACATGTCGGAGACACAGGAAGGCATGACTCCCTTCACTTTCCTGAATGCTCTCCGGACGACCTTCCCTCAGTTTGCCGAGCGCTCAAAGAAAGGCCCAGGCTTCGCCCAGCAGGATGCCGAAGAAGCCTGGTCCCAAATCATCCAACAGCTCAGACAGAAACTGCAGTGGCGGAATCCCACCGAAGGTGAAACTGTTAAGGCTAGCTCTTTTATCGACACGTACATGGCTGGCGAGTTCTCGACCACGTTGGAATGCGATGACCATGCGGCCCGCGAGGGCGGCGAGCAACCGACATCGTCCAAGGAGCCGTTTCTCAAGCTCAATTGCCACATCGACAACCAGACGGCCCACTTGAGGGATGGTCTTCTCAGCGGACTGTCGGAGAAAATCGAGAAGAAATCCGAGGTTTTGGGCCGGGACGCCACGTACACCAAGATTTCCAAGATTTCCCGGCTACCCAAGTATCTCACTGTCCACTTTGTGCGTTTCTTCTGGAAGCGCGACGTGCAGAAGAAGGCCAAAATCATGCGCAAGGTCACGTTCCCCCACGAGCTGGACGCCGTCGAGTTCTGCACCGACGAGTTGAAGAAGGCTCTCATTCCTGTCCGAGACAAGGTGCGCGAGGTGCGCAAGGATGAAGAGGACGTTGAGCGCGCTCGAAAGCGCCGCAAGAGGAACCCCATGCTGGACGGCGAGGCACAGGAGGACAAGAAGAAGAGTGCGAAGGACGACAAGAAGCCAGCGGGGTCGGGCGATGGCGATGTCGAGATGACCGAGACTTACAAGACGGACGCCGAATGGGAGGCGGAGAAGGACGCTGCGCTCTTACAGGCTAAGAAGGAGCTGCATGCCCTGATCGACCCGGAGATCAAGAAAGACGAGGGCGCCAACCAGTCGGGTATTTACGAGCTCCGCGCTGTGGTCACCCATCAGGGGGCCAGCGCTGATAGTGGGCATTACACGGCCTACGTCAAGAAGACGGCCCCAAAGGACCCCGTAACCGGCAAGGTCGGAGAGGAGGATGGCAAGTGGTGGTGGTTCAACGACGACAAGGTTACCGAGGTGACCTCTGACAAGATTGATGCGCTTGCTGGTGGTGGCGAGTCGCACTCGGCCCTCATCCTTCTGTACAGGGCCATTCCCTTGCCTTCGGCGGAGGGCATTATGGAGTAAGGTCGCTGTGCATGGGTCTTGGGCAAATCTACACACGGATTGCAGTGCAGGTTGGGGCGCGGGTTTGGAATCATCATCTGGCATCGGCGCAAGGGACATGGAGAAGGGGTTATGAAAGTCAGCCATGGTAGACCGGACGAATTGTGCTAGAAAACTATATGGATGATGAATATTCGTGAATTAGTGACTTTGGTATCTTCCAAGTCCATGTTGAAGATGCTCCTGATCATGGTTCCTGTGCCGGGTGTATGTGGACCTCACATATAAGCACTGTGTATCTCCTATGGTCCCATCCCTTCGTCTGACCGGAACAACTCGCAGAGGCATCCTTCGGTGACAGCTTGAGCTCGAGTACTAGTCGAAGGGCACGGTGAGATGAGGAGCCAACCCTCTCCCTTACCTCATTTCGTCCATCCCCATCATATTCAACTGGCCGTCGACGGCGTAGACAAGATCATCATGTCGTCCCGCTACCACCACCAGGCTCAACATTCGCCTTAATCCGAGCCCTCAACTCAGCCAACTTTCCCTCAATTTCTCCCCTTTGCCGCTCCAGATCGGCCTTATGCTGGCTTAAAATGGCAATCTTCTCGTCTGCGCCGGCCTCTTGCACCTTCTGCTTCTCCTGTATAACTTCAGTGTGAGTACCAAAGATATCATCATCATAATGTGGGACTGTTTGGAAGGTGTGAGATTGGTGTTGCTTACCGCCTTCCACTCCTGCTGGGTCTTGAGGCCGGCACCGTAGATGGTGCCTGTGATGGTGACGGAGGCGAAGGCGACGGTGAGGATGATGCGGCGCCATTTTTGGGCGGTTTCGGCTTTTAGCGCGGCGATGTCGGCGACGCTGGGTGCTGCGGATGGGTTTGGTGGTCGCGGTGATGATGATGGTGATGGTCTTGGAGTTGGCTTCCTAGCAGGTGTGGTGGAGGCAGCTCTTGTGCGTGGGGCTCGGCCTTTTGCTGCTACTCGATAAATTTGGGGTGGTTTGACGCGCATGACTGGCGGCTGACTTCAGGTAGTTGGGCGTGAGACGGATTTGCTCAATCACTTAAAACCAGCAAGTGCTGGGTGCCAAAGGGTGGTGCAGTCGTCTTGTTCGTCGTTGGTGTTCTCTCCTGGGTCCCGGCGGGGAGGATCTTGTGCCGATGGTATCAAACAGTCCGCCCGTTGTAATATTCAAACGAACGCGGACGTGGTTGCCATTCAGTCGGTTGCCCCCTAACCGCAGCTTTCTGTCTCTGTGTCGTCTTAATTTGACGTTGTCCTGGATTCAGTTCACCGATATTTTGCTGTAATTGGGTTCTTGGTGTTGTCAGTCCTGCCGTTGACGTCGTCACAATCTTCGGGTGGAGAACAGGTCAGCTGAAGTGATGCAGTGCTCGAGTTGAGCAGGGTTAGGGCTGACACCACGCTCTTTTTTCAGGGGTTGTTTACCCTCGATTTATAGGTCGGCACACGCATTAGTATCCCCGAGGACTGACGATATAATGCTTCGTGTATCATGACTGAATATTCCTTGCATCGATGTCCGATGTGTAAATAAATCCACGTCGGGCATTGACTCAGGCCCTCAGCGGCCGCTTGGCTCTTCAAGCTGCATGCATGACATGCATGCATTGTCCTCCAGAGCATGGGTGGTAAAATTGTTACTGCAAGCCAGCAGTACTAGTACTTGTTGTACTTTTCCCCCTACAGTCCAGGCAATCGATACTGTAGTAGTATGGTTGCACGACATGCTTTCTGTTTCATCGCTGCTGCAGTTAGCACAAGGTCCCCCGGCAATACCCCCTGGTTAATAGCTGAGAGTCAATCTACAGTACCATAGTAATTGATTCAGGTACTACCTTGCGAGGTGGCCACTTCAGCTACTCTCTATAACTCTCTAATCAACTGTTTGAAGACCTCCTTCAGGCTCTCTTTTCTATGTATACAGGCCTTGAGGCCCTATGGTTTGAGGTTTTCCAAATGTATTCAGAGGAGTAGGTGGGCCGTCTCTGCCTCTACCCGACACTCTTTCATTATCTTCTAGTTCCAGCTATCTATCCGACTTCATTGTAAAGAGGGTCTACTAATATAGACTTCGTGGACGTATAAGTAGTGATCTGACTTCCCCTATATTCCAAGCTATAGTAAGCTAGTTAGAGGATAACAGTCGCTTAAAAGTGTCACGGCGATTGCGCTGCGCCTGCCAGGACCCATGGGTGGGGCCCGGCGTGTAGGAAGCACGGGCCCCTGTGGGTTGAAGACCCTGCACCTCGCTGCCGCGAGATCTGTTCGTAGCTCCTCAAGCTACGTCTTGACAATCAAGCCTGCCCGTACCTGACGGAATAGAGCTTAGACTGTAGTTTAGCCCGAATACAATTGTCATTGGATTGTCCGCCTGTCCCGCCGTGACATTCCAAAGAAGCTAGGAAAATCCGCGGCTATGTATAGAACTGCTAAAGGTTATAGGCCTATAGCTCTCCTACTTACCTTAGAGATGGTACTAGAGGCTATAATGGCTAGGAGAGTGGTAGAGGCTGCGGAGTGGAACGGCCTACTGCCTGACGAATAGATGGGTAAAAGGGCTAGCCGATCCACTGAACTAGCTGTACAGCTAGTGGTTACTCAGATCTAGGAGGCTTGGAGACAGGGAGCAACAACCTCCCTACTATAGCTAGGTACATCTGGGGCCTTCAATACAGTCAACCATATAAGGCTACTAGATATACTCTGGGTCTGCGGCTTCTCTAGGTAGCTAGTGCGGTGGACTAAGGCTTAGCTTGAAAAATAGAACGGCTACGCTCTACTTCGACAGCTGAGTGTCAGTGGCCCCACCATGAGCCCTACACTTGGGCAATTGGCGGGCGAGACACTGTGGATTTCATGGCGCAGCGACATGACTCGCAGCAGAGAGAGGATATCTGGAGAGCAGGGGACTCAGATTGGAACTTGGAACTTCCCTCTCTCAAGGATCAGTCAGTTGGTTAGGGGTGCACGCACAATACAGTCGTCTTGCCTGCTGCCTGTTGAGGATTCGGTGCATCTTCCTTGGTGAGCTTGTGTGTGTCACCTTAACACTAAGATACAGAGCTCATACTAGTTAAGGCTAGGGTCCCACAGGGCTCCATACTATTTCCGATCCTCTTCATCTTTATATTGCTTCTCTATATAGGGCTTTTAAAGGAGAAGCATCTAGGCATAGCTATAGTGGGCTTTGCAGATACTACTAACCTCCTAACTTTGGCCGAGAGCCTCAGGCCAACTGCCAAAACCTAGAAGAGGCCAGGAAGACCTGCCTACTGTGGGCTGAGTCTAGAGGAATGGTCTTTGCCGGGGAAAAGAGCGAGCTGATCCACTTCAACAAAGGCTGAAGGCAATGGCTAAACCCAGTCAACCTGGCCTACTCACAGGGCTAAGGCTCCAACGCCATACAGCCTACACATTCTAGCCAGTTCCTTAGAGTCTGGCTAGATTGGAGGCTAGATTGAAAGGCCCACCGGGAAGCTGTCGAACGAAAGCTGAAAACACAGGACTTTGCACTATCTAGAATAGCTGCTAAGACCTGAGACTCAGTCCTGACCAAGGCTAGGGAGGTCTATACTAAGTGCATTCGCAGTGCCCTAGCCTATGGAGCTTCAAGATTCCACCGGCCTACTCCCATTAGAGGTCAACCACAAGGCATTGCAAAGGACCTCTAGAAGGTCCAGAACAAGAGCCTAAGGATAGTGGCTGGGGCCTACAAGGCTACCCCAACCTGACACCTTCAGGCCAAAACGTGAGTTCCTCTACTAAATCTTTATCTCAACAAGAGGCTAGCCGACTTCGAAGACAGGCTCCAGAAGCCTACCCTCTCGACTCAGCCTTCCCAGCCGACAATAAGGCTTGCAACTGGGCCTGCAACTGGGCCTGCAACTGGGCCTCTTCTAAGACACCAGCCTCCTAGCCTGCTAGTCGAAGAGGCCTGCAACAAGATCCGTAACCGCTTCCAAGGACTACAAAGAGCTAGAGAGCCAACGCAACCTCTAGCAATAGAAGAAGCTACAGAGGCTACTGCAGCCTAGAGAGCCTAAGGCAAGGACTTTACAGAGGCTCTCAACAAGGCCTAGAAGGCTACATGGGCCCAGGAGACCACTGTTGAACTGAGTGGGTTCCTTGGCACCAAGATTCACGGACTGAGCACTGATGTTCAATGCGAGACTCTCAGTCAACACAGATCCATCACAATGACGCAGGTCCTGACATAAACGACATATCATGGCACACTGTCTCTATATAAGGGGGTAATTCCCCTGGGAGGATTAGAGAGAACAATTTCGGTTCCAGCAAGAAAGCGACATTCTGAGGCACCCTAACCCACTATCTTGATCCTTCATTTTTGTGGCCACTCTGGAATCGTGACTCCAATTCAAGCTTCGTTTCATACCTCAATCTGTTCAATACCATTTGGTTGATCTAAGCTTACTTGAGCATGTAACTGTTGGCTGCCCAACAGCCACCAATTGACTACAACGGTATAGGGTCCGGAACCAGGCCCTACCTACCGTACAACCGGCCGACCACCGGCCAAAACTTAAAAAAAAAGGGGACTAGAAAGACATGAGGGCCTTACAAAGACCGAGAGCTCCTTACTAAAGGCCCGAACTGGGGCTTTAGGCCTCAAAGACTTCCTTTTCCGGGCCAGGGTCCCTCGAATACCTACTCTCTACTGCAAATGCGGCCGTGGCAGGGAAATAGTGGAACACTCAGCTGTGTGGTGCCACTAACTACCGAAGCTAAAGACCTAGCTGTCAGGGCCCCCACCATGAGCCCTACACTTGGGCAATCGGCGGGCGAGACACTGTGGATTTCATGGCGCAGCGACATGACTCGCAGCAGAGAGAGGATATCTGGAGAGCAGGAGACTCAGATTGGAACTTGGAACTTCCCTCTCTCAAGGATCAGTCAGTTGGTTAGGGGTGCACGCACAATACAGTCGTCTTGCCTGCTGCTTGTTGAGGATTCGGTGCATCTTCCTTGGTGAGCTTGTGTGTGTCACCTTACACTAGCCGGCTACAGAGATATGCTTACAGAGAGGCCTATATAGGACTCTCGACGGGTGGGGAATAAAGAGAGTATGCTTGCAAGGAAGGTAATTAGATAGCTACTATGTTCTGGGAAGCTCCTAGAGTATAGGCTAGCTGCACGGCTAGAACTAGGCTAGTTCAATGGCCTAGTTAGCTATCTGCGCCTTTCTTTTCGCTGTAGCGAGTAGATTCAAGACTTCAGACTGGTATAGGGGAGACAGAGGTTTTCAGTCCAGCCTTGCAGGCATGGTCTTCCTTTGTAATTAGTAGTAGAAGGTCCGGCGAGGCCTAGGGCATAGCGGTGCAGCGATAATAATAATAATATTGTTACGGCGACTGCGCCGCGCCTGCCAGGACCCACGGGTGGGGCCCGGCGTGTGGGAAGCACGGGCCTCCTGTGGTTTGATGATCTTGTGTCACGGCGATTGCGCCGTGCCTGCTAGGACCCACGGGGCATGTGGAAAGCACGGGCCCCTGTGGGTTAAATATTCTGCACCTCGCTGCCGCGAGATCTGTTCGTAGCTCCTCGAGCTACGTCTTGACAATCAAGCCTGCCCGTACCTGACGGAATAGAGCTTAGACTGTAGTTTAGCCCGAATACATTTGTCATTGGATTGTCCGCCTGTCCCGCCGTGACATTTTGCATCTCGCTGCCGCGAGTTCTTTTCATAGCTCCTTGAGCTACGTCTTGACATTCAAGCCTGCCCGTACCTGACGGAATAGAGCCTAGACTGTAGTTTAGCCCGAATACAATTGTCATTGGATTATTTGCCTGTCCCGCCATGACAAATATATTATAATTGAGGATAACGTACATTATAAGCGAGCGGCGCATATAGGCGAGTGGCGCACTGATAAGGGCCAGTATGGAAATTCGGGCACAACACTAACAGCGAAATTAATCTGGGAATAAGTTGTTAGTGTTGTACCCAGATTTCCATACTAGCCCTTATCAGTGCGCCACTCGCCTATATGCGCCGTTCGCTTATAATGTACGTTAGTATATATAGAATAGTGAAAATTATTCCGCTCGATTATCTATTCTAACGTTACTCACTTTATCATATACCGTATTATCTGTGAGTGGATCATATTAGCAAGCAGATCACTCTAGCAGTTTTTAGTAGAGCTTTAATAGGACATTAAGGAGTTAGTTAAGTTAGGTTAACGTATACTATCAGCGAGCGGATCACTCTAGCAATTTTGGGTGGAGCATACATCATGAGACAATAAGAAACTGTTAGATCGCACTAACAATTTTCTAACGTCTTATTGCATGCACCTCTACCAAAATTTGCTTGAGTGATCCGCTCGCTGATAATGTACGTTAGGCTAAGTTGACAAAAATTGAATTGTGCGGAGCCTTGATTGCAGCCTGAGGATAATAGCAAATAAACTGCTGCCTACCTTGGCTGTGCCCTTGATTGTAGGGTTCGAGTCAGGGAGGACGTCATGCCTTTGGTCAAAGAAAAGAGTGTCAACACCAAACTACACAGTAACATCGAGATGTCTGCATGGCCCCGATCTGGACGATTGAAAACCATTGGAGGTAGACATGTTCAAGACTCCACCCGTAGTTTGTTGCCCTCGCAACGCCAGGCCCCTTGTTGCTACCCTTGTTTGAGTCTCCACCAAGGTGAACGCGATGAGCCTCTAGCGTAACGAGGATAGAAGGGGCGTGTTTGAATATACTCTGCTGAGGGAGGAGAAGGACGTGCTCTTTCAGTTGTCGTCATGTGTGCAACCGGCGTCTCGGAGAGACAGAGTCCTCCTCCTACTGTTTGCGTCAGCTCCTATCAAGACCGCAAATTGTGACGACAGAGAGGTTGAATTGGCGCCATTTGCAAAGTGAGTAATGATCCCGCTCTCAATCACTTGTACCATCATTCACGAATCATGAAAGCTGCATGCAGCCCGTTCTTGCTTGACCATGCTGCAGAAGACCGGCCAGGAAATGGACCAAGACTCGCCCATTGTGCCTCGTATGTCGTACTCAACATAGTGCATGACGTGGGAGATTGGTGTTTTCGTTCATCTTGGGTCAGGCGGTCTCTAACTGCCTAGGAAAAACAAAATGTTAGGTGTCCCGATAAGTACCGTTGGCAGCTTTGTCCATAGGGACCAGAGCCAAAACGTACCGTCTTTCAAAGACCGCCTAACGGTTGCCACTTGTCCTTCAAGTCGTATGCGGTCAACCTTGTATTCGATCTCCACAACATATAAGAATCTTTGTCAACTTCTCGTAAAAATTTACATCCAGTCAAGCGCCTCCGGGCCCATGCTCCGTTTCTCGCCTCATGAACAACGACGAATTTTGTTCCCTTGGAGTATCAAGTCTCGTGGGCGGGTCCCTCTACCACTACTCCAGGTGAAGTCGGCGGATAATAACCTGTCCTCAGAAAGCTTGGGGTGGAGTAAGTAAGCTGACAGAGGGTTTGCCAGCTGATGGCGTAACCCGAAGTGTCAACCGCTTTTGGACAAAGTCTCCCATGATTGAACAGTGATTGGCACCGCCCTTATCGGGTATTCAACTCTGTGCGACTGTGCCGCTGACGGGTTGTACCGTACTGCTCCGTGTGTCATCTCAGTCTTGGGATTCGGGCGAGAGGGGCCAAGTCTCAGGCGAGGACTGAACGACGGCAGGTGCCATGTTGTTGATGCGCCCTCTTCGGCCATATCGTAGAGAGCCACGCGCTCTCAGCGAGATCTTTGCCGGATGTCGTGGGCTTGGAAAGTGGTGGCAGGGTTGAGGGGTGCCAGAATAGACCGTAAGATGTCGTTCAAACAAGCCGCGTCTGAGGGAAGGGGCTCAACACCACTTCTGGACTGCGTAGTATTAGTTTGGGGTGCGCTTTGGGGGATTAGTGAATACCCGTCGCTGAGGCGGAGATTGGGGGGCCATGTTTGAGTCCGTCTGGAGGGCGGGTTTCGTCGGGAAGTGGCTGCTCTTGGACGCTTTGGACGACTAACGCGCGATCTTCATCTTGAAAATTGCGGCTCGCCCAGAGGTTAGGATGGACCAAATAGTGCAACTGTGCCATGCGCCGGACTGAAGAGCTGGGTGCGTGAACCAGGACGGGATGATACGCCGCCCTTCACCATACCCGGACAAGCCCCTCAGGATCCCAATCCCTTTGTCGGTTGGAAGTCGCATCCTCCCGCACCTTAACCATGCCGTCTGAGGATGCAGGCAGGCGACTTTGGACTGGAGCGCCGGAAGAACCGAGGCTCGCACTCCAGAACGCAGCACACAGCTGCGTCTCCCGAGACTGCGAGGTTAATCAGCTGCTCCTTTTCCAGCGCAACAAACCGAGAGGCTGGTAGATTGCATTTCGACAAGCCAGTCCGTTACCACCGTCGTGCGAGGATGTGGTTTTTGATGTATCCGGGAACGATGATGGAGCAACTCCGAGTCGCGAACCAAGAAGTCTCAGTCGTGGGTTCTGTGCGTTCGCAACGGTTCGAAATCGGTTCCTCCGTGCAGTGGTGTACAATACATCTTGTCCAGAGGGAAAGGGGTTCCATCCTTCAACCTTGCGACCGTACAGCATGCCATTCTCAGACCACAGCGGAAGTTCTTGTATGGAATCTACCCTACACACACATTGCAGATATTGAAAAAGCTCGACGCAGCTATGCCACCCACGTTACCATTGCCTGGCTTTCTCCAAGACGCGAGGTGATGCTGAGTACAGTGTAATGAACGCGAACTGATTTTTGACTCGTGTATCGTCGGGTATCTGACGTACGTGTACCGGTACCGTCCTGTTACCGCCTCCGCTTGTACTGGACGATCCATAACGGCAGGAGGGTCAGTGCCATTCCCTTCTTTGTCGAAGGGGCTCGGGCCGTTTTACTGGGGCCCAGAACGGTGGTCCAATGTCCAGAGTTGCCTTGACGAATCCCCGGACGGAAAGCGGGAAGTCCCACCACCCTGGTTTGTCAAGAATGTTCGGTGAGGACAATGTCTGATTTCGCGAGTCATGACGCATGAAATGTTAACGTGAGATTCGTATTAGCGTCGGTTCGTTGGGGGTGGCTTGCGTGGTGTGTGTTGGCTTCGTTGGAAGGGAGGGCTGCTTGTGTGCTGATGCCCGAAGGATCGCATTGTAATTTTTTTTTTTTTTTTGGCGAATTTGCCTTTTTCTCTTCACACGTCGCGATGCCGCCGACGCAGCGGCACGTTGGTTTCATGCTGTTCGCTCCTTTGGGCACTCGCTAGTGGCTGTCTTGTGGTGGCTAAGGTACTCTGTATTTGGCTCCCACCATTGAGACCTCTGATCCTTCTTGGGTGCTGCAGGCCTGTCTGAAACCGGCAACCCACCCACCCCGTGTAACATGATTGCTTACCTTCGATAGCCAACTGGCGCCCGGACCTGTCTCGTTGTCGCAGTTGGCTGATGAGGAGGAGATGCTGTGAATCCGGTTAGGTGACATGTCAGCCGGCGTCGACTCTATGAGGCTCCGTTCCCCGGCGACGCTCATCTGCGCGGCGCAGCTAGTAGACTTGCCTCTCTGCCTGTTTGTTTGGTACTCGAATTCGCTGGAAGGGATGGCTCACCGGAGAGCGGAATCAAACGCGAGGCATAGACCGCCGCCTGCCAGACGATTCACCGCTCAGCTCGGAGCCCCTGGACGCGAATGGGATTCATCAGCCATCGACAGGCGAGTGGTAACTGCCGTGCAGAGATCGGAGTGACCGCGGCAGCGTAGTTCGCCTCAAGCAAGCCAATGCTGAGTGAGCTGAAGCGAGGATACTGACGGCAGTCCAGAGTCGCGAAACTGTCATTTGCAAGGATGAACCATCTTGTTATGATCACAAGAAGCTGGCTGGGTTTTGATAACTCGGGCAGTGTGACAACCCCCAAATTATCCCATGATAGGAGAAGGGCGCTCTCAGGTGCCCAGCCACTGCTGGTGGAGAACTGGGAAGTGGAACTTGCCATGTGAGGAGTTATGGACAGTTGAGACGAAGTCAAGGATGAGTGCTCCAAGACACGACACACCCAGCAACTGAGCACGATAGTCTCTGTCGCAGCCCCATCGTATAGGAACGTTGTAAGTGAACGGATCCTTGACATCGTGCCATGGCTGCTCGATTGCTAACCAACGTGGCTGCCAAAGGCCGTTGATTAGAAGCAAGCCCAGCCGTTCCGGAGCCCGGCCGTATTGATCCCCAAGTGATCCTAGCCGCAACCGGCCATTACGATGCCTGACGTTGCCGGGATACCGCAGCTTTCTGCCACCGCCATACCTGCTAGCTTCTCGGGGGAAAAGCCCGGCAGGCCCGAGGATCATGGCGCTCTTGGGATACCTCGACCTTGCCCCTTTTCATGGACCCCGTTGATTTCCGTCTTTCGCCTCGGTCCCGATATCTTCTTCCTTGCTGCCTGGCGGACCTCGGCGGCCGTGAGCTCTTTGCCAGGTCACGGCAACTGGAATTCAGCTCTGGGACGCATTGGCACTGGTGCAGTGGTGCTGCCTCGGGATAGGGGTTAAACAGGCTCCAAACATGCTACCGGTAGCACTAGGTTCTTGATTGCTTCATCCCGAGCCCTGCCTGCCATGGCGCTGCTGTATTAATGACTTGGTTGTGTACTGCTTACATCGATTTGAGGAGAACAGAGATCGTGTAAAATGCGTGAGGAAAACCTTGAGAAATGACGGGTTGAAAGGAGAAAGCATAAAAGGACAACGGGCGAGGAGCCAACGCTGACAAATGTGCCGTGAGGCAAACCCCTTCTTTTCGCGATGCATTGCCATAACAGATGAAGCCCGTACCGCTTGCAATGAACCAATACAGACCAAACCGAGAAACATGGATCTCAACTTGCATTGAAAGTAAAACCGCAAAAGCAGAGAGCACCGAGGGGTGCAGGATGGTTCAACGGAACCACCCAAGTCTTCAAGCCGTGCCGCCCAGCACACTGTATGCTGAAGACACAGACAACCAGACGTAGCACAATGGTTTTGAATTCCCTCTCGACGATCGATGCCGTAACGTTGCTCCATTTATGATCGCCGGTTTAACCTCCCCAGCATGTTCCGGTCAATGTCGTTCACTGAAGGGCGAGAGCCCGGACCCGGGTCGATCAGGTTGCCCAGGCTCATTGGATTTGAGTAGCCATTCGAAGTCGAAGGAGGCTGCGGCTGCGGCTGCGCCGTTGGGTGAGGCGAAACCTGCGATGGTGTCTGCTGCACTTGCGATGGTCCCGCCTGCGGGACAGTTTGCGGAGCTCGAAATTGTGGTTGTGGCGGCATGGAGCGACCAGGGCTGTTCTGGTTGGGAGTTGGAGGCCGGTCCCGGCCATAAGGGCTTTGCTGAAACTGACGGAAAGCCGCGGGCGGGGTGCCGTTGCTATGAATGGAGACGGGGGATCGCCTGCGAGGGTCGTCGTCAAGTGGATAATTTGGGGGAGGCGGCCGGGAGCTGTGCTCCTCCTCTGGCGGACGGGTCCGGCGGCGCCCAGGGTCCTTGTCGTCATAAGCCGTAAATGAGGATCCCGTCGGCGAATGCATAGGAGGCGTGTACTCAGACGGAGGGTACGGGTAGTTGCGCGGCTGCGGAGCTGACGCCGCGGATGGGGGCAAAGGCTGCCCGTACGCACCGTAGAGCGGTGTTCCCGGCGGGACTCCACCCGGCACCGCCGACACGGGAACAAAGGCGGCCGAGGAGTTCGAAGACACCGGCTGGAATATACAGTCGATGCGGAGCTTATCGCAGTTGGTGCATTTGCCGTTGGTGGTGTGTGTGTAACCACTGCACCGGATCTATTCCCGGGGTCGCATTAGCCAAGGGTTTGAATTTTCAACCTGGAGCCTCGACTGGGACTGATGTACTACCTTCCTCTTCCTGCAGTAGCGGCAGGCAATCGACGTCCTCTGCCGAGGAGCTGACTGTTGCTGGGGTGGCGGAGGCGGTGGAGGGCCCATCCCGTAGGGATAAGGTGCTGGCGGGTACCTGTAGTAGTCGGGGCCATATCCGCCACCCCGTCCAGGGGGCGCTTGTTGGGGATCGTAGTACGGATCAGAATATCCCCTCCGGTCACCGTACTGCCTCTGATCGTCGTACAGTCTCTGGTCATCGTACTGCCTCCGATCCTCGTACTGCCTCCTGTCATCGTACGGTCGCCTGTCGTCAAACTGACGCCGGTCGTCGTACTGACGCGGATCCTGTGGGGGAAACGGCGCGGGATAGCGGGCGTCTGGAGGAGGGGGATAGCCGCTCGGGGCGGGCTCCGGAGGCCAACTCCGTGGGTCTGACTGATATCTGGGGTCTGACGGATAGGGCCTCTCCTGGTACCGTGAATCCGGCTGATACGTGGGGCCGGGAGGCGGGTATGGCATTGGCGGCAACGCTGCGCCATCTGGACCTACCGGCGCGAGTCGCCTTCGATCTTCACCGTCGGGAGGAGGTGGGTGGCGCATGTCGTCGGGGTTGTCTCGTGGAGGTTCCACTCTCCCTCTCCGATAATCTTCTGCCATGCTGCAACTTGCTCTGGTAGATGCCGGATGATGGGTGAAGAAACCGGAAAGGGGAGGACAGTAAGTGCTACTCCAAAGGCGTGCCCGTGTAGTTTGTGGCCGTGTCACACGCTCACACAGATTCCGCAAACCCAGGACGTGCAGACAGCCCCCGCTGCAAAAAGTCGAATTCCTGGCGATAGGTGCCAGCCGCCCTTGTTGCAATTTGATTCAATATGCAGTCGGCTGGAACAAAGACCCGCATGCAGTGGTGGCAATACCAGCACCGAGCAAGCAAGCAAGCTCCAAGGCGACCAGAGCCGGCGGGTGAGATTGGGTCGCAAGTGAGATGAATGCCACGCAGAGGTGGGTGGAATGGACGAATAAATAGACGGAGAATGTGCGGGTCGGCTGGGGGCCAGGACGGGCGGGTAATGATGTAGGTCGCGCCAGGGGGTGAACTGCAACGAGCCTTTTCACAAGGAGCGGGAGTTCCCTTGTTGCTGACGGCCTGGGACCCGAGAAGTTAGCGTGGGAAGGATGCGGGTGGGCACGCGCAGCGGGGCTGAAGTTCGAAAAGAGGCTAGGGGTCTGCATGAAAGCCAGCAGACCCCTGGGAGTGGAACGACGCAGCCTGCTCTGCTGCAGCGAATCAGGGGCCGTACCAAGCGTCCCAGAAAACTAGCGTGAGCAGTTTCGATCGGCCATGGTGGGTAAAATCAAATGACGCCGGCTGAGAAATGACAGGGGAGCGGGACATGGATGAGGAAGCGGGAGGGAAACGGAAACAGGCGTAATGTGCAGGTGCTACACTAGCTGCATATACATGGTGCAGCGCTGGGTGTTGTGTGCGAGGAGGGGTGGATGCAGCAAGGCAAGTAGGGGAGTCTGGGAAGTCAAACTCCAGGCTTGCATTGGGCACTTGCACTGCACACAGTCGGAGCTCGGCGCTTTCGACCGAATGGCCAAAATGGGAAAGACGGCAAAGGACAGAAACGCCTTCCCGCCTGACCGCAGACCGCCTCCCTTCCCACCACTGGCAAGAAAAAGAGAATGCTCCACTCACTTTCCGGTTTTGCAACGCAAAACAGGCCTGAAAACACGGCTCCCGATGATTGTGGGATGCACCGTGTATGATGGACATCCCGTATTGTATCTTCCAGCAGGTTGCAAGGGGACAGCGGTGCCGCGTGTCGAGGTACCGTACCCTGTTCTTGGCCGTTCGGGCCACGACACCGTTTGCCGCGGACTGGGCGCTGGCTGGAGATGGAGTTTCTAGCGACGGGAGCCACGGGAAAGACTCAAAATGTAGATTACTGCCGCTTCGTAAGTAATTGTCGCGGAGCGGACCTGAGCATGGATAGCAAATCCCTACAGGAAGCACCTCAGTGCTTGCAACGGCAAACGACTAGGCCCAATGTTTCGGGGCTTCAGGCTGTGCCGAAGCGGACAGGGAGATGTCGCACGCTCGACGGCGGGGATGCCAAAGTCTACTGATGCCGTCGTTTCATCGGTTGGACGCAGGGCCCTGTTTAACAGGCAAAGAATCGGTGAATTCGAAGTGAGCAATGTGGGTGAGAATCTAACAGAAAATTACCGTTGAAGGCACGGCTGATGGTTCGCAATACGTTGCAGGTTGGGCAGCGCTGAGCTTATGGCCGTCGAACCCAAATCAGTGTTGGGTCGCAGCTCAGCGGCGCAAGCACACTGGACCACTCTGGTGCCAGATCTCCCGTGAGATCGATGGATGGGTGCCTTAACTTGAGGTATGGGATCAATCCTGCTGGCAGGCACAGCAAAGCACAGGTTTCAAGGACCCTGGATTTAGTCCCAGCGTGTGGGTTGGCCGGCTTCCGGCTGGGCCAGAGAGTGGATCAGAGAATGGAAGCAACGGACGGAAATCTTGGAGCAGGGCCGGACCGCGACGGGATTCCACAGCCCGGGGTCCAGGCAGGTGGAGACAAAACATTCCTGGGACCGTACCTTACCCTGAACGTGAGCAACACAAGCCGTAAGGTACTTTGATTCAGGTACCTACCATATCCTGCATACAAGAAACGGCCTGAAGGCGTGATATGACATTAGCTTCTTGACGGGAGCTACTCCGTACTGTTCCTCAGTTCGTAATCTAGGGAGTACTTAAGCTACGTGCTATCCTGAGCAGGACTTATAATTCAACACCTTTTAGCTGGACTGGTAAGAGACTCGCAGAGGTTTCAATCCGTATTTATGTACATATTCCACGAACCGGCTGCCTGCTCCTAGGTCGCAGATGGGGCCGCAGGCCGAAGGATTCGGGCTCTTATTTGCGGGCTCCTCATACAGAATGTAACTCATACCTACCGGTAACCGCGACTCCCTACTCATACCATCGCCGGAGGCTGGAGAAAACCGCTTGCTCAACAAAACACGAGGCAGCTTCTCCTGGACTTTTCAGAAATCAAATTTCATAGGATGTCAATACCCCAGCTGCTTCGGGGCGACGCTGGCATTCCATGGCCACTCTACTGCTTCATAATTTGGGGGCCGAGGGACCGATGTTTTCATTCCCTAAAGGCAGAAGAAAGTTGGGGCCCGCGGACTTGGAGCGCCCTGGCATCATGGCGATTCCATGCATAGCGCTACTATGGATCCAAAAAGCTCGGCTCGTCGAGACCCTTTGAGACAGTAAGCCAAATGGGAGCCAACGACGCGATCTGAGAGACCTGATGTTGGGCCAGTCCAGGCGACACGAAGACCGAACGACATGCACGGCTTCGGCCCGATGCGCTCCTCGGGAGGAGCTTGCTCGATTCCGGGTGTCGGCGATCGGTCCGTTCAATGTGTTAGCTCATTCCGAAACGCTGTGCTCCTTTGTGCGACTTGAATAGCTATCTTTTACTGCGTCATGGCAGCACAGAAGGACGCCTGGTCAGCCTGTGTTGGAGAAAGCCAAGAGGCGGCGAGATGGCGTTGGCAGTCACAGACTTCAGGACGGGACTGGCGTGATTATCGGACGGAGAGTACCAAAACGCCACGTGCTTGCCACCTTCAGGTTAGGTACTGTACCAATACCGATTAACGTAATGTATTTCAAGTTCGGGAAATTATTCCTCGCGACTCCGAAGCCTGCACGTATGGCTACTTGGCAGGCAGTATCAAACACACTTTTTGACATGCGATTAGTTAATGATCTGTGGTATAGAGAACTGGTTGATACGATCAACGGTACTGGCCGCCCCCAAAAAAGTGAGACAGTGGCATGGCTGCTTGCCCATGGGCTCTTGCATCTTGCTTGCATGTAACATTGGACGCTCCGTTTGCGCATACCTGACACTGTAGAACGCCGAGCGATGATGTATCTGATTTCTAGGTTCCTCTACCACGAGCTTCCGCAGTCGAAGGTAAACAGCTACCCCGGAAGGTGTTTGTCATGTCGTACAAGGGGTGTGGTATTATACCCCGTGAGTTGCCAAGGTCAGCTAATAAGTACCTACCTTACATGGCCCCAGGGTGAAGATCTAGATGCCTACAGAGGCCGTACGTAGGGCGCAATCTCAACTTGCTGTATACCGACCTTCGCCGTTCTCGACTAAGGTATCAGATATGATCAGGACTTGGTCTTACTAAGTAGAGTCAGGTAGGTAGGGTCCGAAAGAGGTGGGAAAGATAGAAGAATGCCTGACAGCATGCATATTAGGATTTGTGAGACGGCTGAGCCGGGCAGCCCAAGTGCCCAACTGACTTACAGAGGTCGCAGTCGCACCCTAAACTCTGACCACTCGGACAACCGATTTTGATGATGGTGTAACCCTTCGGGCAGAAGCAAGACGGGATGCGGCAGCATCGTCCAAAATATCCGTCCCGTCCCGCACGTTTATGCCCGTGTGTCTGCCTCTGCTGACCGAGCTGCACCGTAATGGAGCACTGCCCTCAACTTGAGCAACCCCGCCTTCGAACCGGATGCCCAGAATGCTGATTACCCTAGAGTAAGGTAGGTTCCCTAAGCAGGGCCGGGCCGAGAGGTTTCCTCAGCCGCCCGTCTCCCGCTGCACTCCGGAAGACCACGAAGGAACAAGACCTCATCCACCGAACCGGGATCGTGCGATTCCGATGATGTGCAGAGGCAAGATCGCGCATCGTCGAGACACCCCCAGCTCTCGATCTTAATAATCGAATTTCGATACTCAGACGCAAGGGGTTGACTGGCCACCACCGTCTGGCACCATACACCCGTCATGCACGCAATAACTGATTGGGGGGGTACGCCCGGCTGGCATCGGCGCCATCGCGACAAGCCTAGAACACGTCGAACCCCTCCAGCTGAAGCTGGGGGTCGCAGCCACCCGATCGATCCCCTCTCCCGGGCTGCTGGAACATCATATTGGAGCTGATTAGGGAACACCGAAATGAGCCATTGCATGGTCGCGTCCAGCAAATAGCCCGTTTTGCCCTTCCTCCTCTCCCGTCCTCCTGAGCAGTGGGTCACTGCAGTAGCCCTGGCTGCAAATGTCGCAGTCCGTTTGGATGCCCTCCCCGCATCGATTGGGCGCCGTTCACCGACCACGGCCTCCTGCTTGCTCGAAAGTCCAGTGCAGCACAAACGGCGGGTTCTGGCAAGAGTAGGTTTCGAGATGGCGTGCAAGCTGTTTTAAATAGACGGCTGCTCTGAGACGGCAGGCTCGCTGCTGAACAAGGGGGGGTGGAAAGCAACTGGTCATCTGAGAACGCCATCACATCCCTCCCACGGGCAAACGACTGGACCACGGTGAGCCAACGAGAAGACATCAAATAGGCCGCTGCATCGGAGTGGTGGCAAACGAACATGGAAGCGCTTGACACCGAGGTCCAGCGGCGAGTAGAGAAACTCTGGTCGGAGTCGTCTCGCAGCGGGTGGGCCGGCCCCTGAGTTTCCGCCTGGTCCCGTGTCTCCGCAGTCCTTTATCTTGTATGTACTGTATCAATGACGCCGGCAACGGTTTGTCAGACGGCGCATTTCGCGACATGTTAGCGCTGCCCGACGGAGGTCGATTTGCCCACATATTGGCCCATGCTACGCACATCTAAATCCGCCTTCGCCTGGTATGTCACGCCCTTTCCGTGTTGTGTGATCTGCTTGGAGAACAACAGTAGTACCTTATGACCTCAACATGTCATTACTAATGTACAAGAGACCGGAACCTCCCCGCTGCCAAGCAACTCTGCTTCTGCCGGTGGATACCGGGATCGGATGGATCGATGGGAAGTGACCGCGGCATGGGCCCGCCCGCACCTGTTGAAAAGGCTCTTCCCGTCCTTTTCTCCGGATTTGGTCTCTCATTGGCCTGAGTGATATGCACCCTTTGACTGCTTGCGGCGTAATGCAGCACATAACAACCATTGGCTGAGAGATTGGATTTTGCATTCATGCATGCGTCTCCGTCGCACGCACCTCGGAATCAAGGGGCGGCAGGGTCACGGGCAACCGCCGAGTGTTTCGACGCCGCCCTGCATTTGGTAATGTTCCTGAAAAAGATGGAACCTACCGAGTACGTCAGCCTCCATCTTTTCTCGTGCCTACTCTGTAGTATTATATTTGCATGTACCTCCTGTAGATACCTGATGCATACGGCGTACGCGATGCGCAGTGAAGGGTTCGCGCGGGTATAATGGCGCTTCCCGAGCTTTGGACGCCGAGGACCAGGCAAAAGGTGCTTCTAGGTCGGTAAGCCTCAACTTTTCCATTCCCGTGACTTGAGGCCCGCCAAACTCGCCCAACAAGGACCGACAATGTGTTCTAATGATGGTTAGGGCAAGATCCGCAGTAGGTCGAAACCCTTGCGAGGTGAATTCGCCAGCTTTGAACCCAGACCTAGGTTAGGTAGTGGTCCGAGGTGCGTAGCGAAGGTCTCCGCCATGGATCATCACCAACTGCCCGTGTTGCAAGCGAGAGAACAAGGCGCCAAGCTAGTTCTTTGCGTAAACCTATGTGTAATTGGACACTATGGAATAACTTGGGAATGGGTTAATCTCTACAGGTATCTTCAGTAGGAGGATGAGGTACATGGCGAACTTTTGTCAGCACTTGAGCTTGAGCTCACAAGTAACATCCGTACGCAGACGCTGAGAACACGCCGGCATCCCCTTCCCTCAGGTGTATTTCGATAGTGTCTCCGGGGTTATCCGTAGAAGTTGAAGTCATTGAGGAGGTCAGTGCTATAGCCAAATCAACCATCCCCGGGCCACAACCATCAGGGTACGCAATCAAATCAAACGGAGGAGTGTAAGAATACTTGTACAATACTGGGCGCCGAGAGTGTGTCAGGTAAGGCATTGCACTTGAATTACCCGCACGATAAGCACCGCGCCAAGGCACGGTAGCTCGCCTGGAAACGGCAGTGGAACTGGGACGTCCCGGGCCCGCCGTTCCTTTGTCTTGGGTTCGTTGGGTCTTTGACAGTACCGGGTACTTGTATCAGTACCTAATAGTCTCCGTCGAGCTGCTCCATTCTAGCAAACATCATTTGGTGAACATGCCTACAGTACCTGGTATGGATTACCGGCGCCGCGGATCCCACGACGACTGTGATATGGCCCGCATTAGCGTGCCCGATTGTCCATGGAGGACGCTCGAAAGGTGGAGGGACTGCCTGTCATCTCAGCTGACGGATGAGCGATGGCAGACAGCGTCCTTTGGCGAATTAGGGGATTCCTGCTCTCGAGGTCAGCGTGTTAGTGTTAGGCATCTGCATGCAGTCAGTCACCGCTGGTGAGGTGGCTGGGAATCCTCCCAAATGCACAGCTCGTCACTGGCGTGCGCTTAGGTATTGGACACCCTGAGCAAACCGGTGTGGTTCGAAATCCTACAACTTGTCGGCTGCGGACTGACAGACCCTCTCGCAAAGGTTCGTTTGTTGGTGCCATACAAACATCAAATTACCGGCAGGAGCCACAGTCAGCTTGGTCGTGGCCGACAGATGGAACTCGACAATGGAATCTCAATTCCATTATTGCCTTTACTCGAGTAAGAGCCAACAATCCGTCGGCATTACCGCCAGACCTAAGTGCGAGACTGTGGCTTCCAAAGTTGAAGCCACAAATTGTGACCTGTCGGCAGCAAGCCTCTCCAAGGTTCCACCCTGCTTCTGAGAATCTTGCGCATCCGTCCACCACCAAAATGCACAGCAGAAAATGGTTCTAGAGAGTCGAGGAGAACTCGATAACGGCGCGGTTTCGATCAAGCCCATGCACGGGGACATCCAAACGGAGAGCTACCGCAGTACTTCGTACGGTACGGTTACAAAACGGCGATGATCGCGGCGTCTGAGGGCCTAGCGGACCTCATCTCGGGAAAGCTTGTAAGCAAAGTGCCAATTGCTGCTAGGCCTGTCCAGCCTGGACGACCATCAACTTCCCAAAAGGCCTCGCTAGCGGCATAGGGACCGTTGACCAAGTCCCTGTGAACATCCAACAAATCTCGCAACCATGCCTCTTTGAAAATATTTCGGTAAAAAGACGCGGCCAGCTGGGATGAGGCAGTGCCTCAGCGACAGAAGATTGCGAGGCACATGAAGCACCCCCAGGTGCAGCATAAAACGGGTGTTGGCTGATCCTGAAGACCAATCGAAAGGTGATCCGCCGACGCAGTCGAGCGGCGCAAATAATCAGGCAGTCGGGGCGCGGCCACTCTTCCAGAAGCGCCGAAATGGCGGTCAAAAGATTGACAGCTTTGGCCCCCAACTCTGCGTTCGCGCCGCAGTCTCGGCAAGTAACCAACAACACCTCAATGGTTCCTGATTGATCATGGCGCCTCCCGACGAAACGATAGCCACTTTCTGTCGCCCACCATAACGACCATGCAAGGTATCGATGGGCCAATCACACTGGTCTTGGCATTCACGTGACCTGTATGCGATGCACTCCACATCTTCCCGTCTCCGCCCGCCGTCCCGAAAAAGAAGATGGGGAGAGCGATCTCGTGTCTGCTGGCGGGGCGGAAATCTGGAATTGGCGGCCAGTCCAGACCATGACTCCTCCGGCCGTCTTGCGCGGCATTCATGCTTCTTCAGCAATAAGGTACTCTAACCCTAAGTTAGCGACTCCACTGCAAGGGCTGGCGAAAGACGAAGCCCTTTCTAATTCAGTTTTCCTCCGTACATCCCGACCGCCACGCGCAGGCCTTCTCATGGCTCAGCAAGGACTTGGAAACCAAACGTCTGGAACCTGGAAATCACTGCTATACCGGTAGGTACGAGAGGAAACGACCGTCTCACCTCCCAGCTTCCTGCCTCCAGCACCCCCCAAGCGACCGACCGACTGTTGATTCATAGATCCTGCTGCCTGTTGAGCTCTGCTCCCCTGACGTGCTTTCGGTTGCAATTCGAGTGCAGCCACAGAGCCAACCTTGGAACCGAGGAAGGTTTCCCGCGCTTGGCTAACGGTCTTAGACGGACATTGAAGCGACCAGGGTCCCCGGTCACGCCACGTTGCAAAGCGAAGTCCGCGAAATCTATCACGGTCCGGTATCAGCAAACGGTTGATAAATACACGGGTAGTGTACGTAATGTAAACCGTCTCGTATGACATGATACAGTTATCCTACGGAGTACAGAGTACAGAGTTCCATTGGGCCTTTGGTCCCGCTCTTCCCGCTCATTGTCTCCTCATCCCGAGTTTGTTGCGTCAGCGCATCGGCTGACCCTGACACACAACGGGATTGCTGGATTTATCCCATCCATGGACGGATAGGGCTGATGAGCAACTTGACCGTTAGGAACCCAACAGGCTTCGCAAGCTCACAGGCAAGCCGGCTAAGATATTAGCTTCGCCGTCTCCCGGAGTCGATGCCGTCAAATCAATGCGACAAGGTCCGAGCCTCATTCCTCGACATCGCAAGCGTATCGGAACTGCTGACTCGATGGCCCGAGGCGGACGGCTGACGGCAAGCACCATCAAGCCTCTCTCTCCAGCGCGGCAGCAAGAGGCACTTCTCGTCAGCAACGACGGAACCTCCATGTCCGTCGATCAAGTAGAGCAGACACATGAATCAGCACGGCTGGGCGAGCAGTCACAAATTAATATCACATCGACGGCATACGGTGTGCTGCAAGGTTTCGGCCATCGCTATCGGCTCGCATTTCGTCGGCAAATACCTCGCAGGCAATCCTACCTTAGCTGCCCACCCCATGGTCTCAATTCCTGCGCTCCCAGATCTTTAACCCAGTGGTGTACTATTCCGTATTGTGAGTGCAAAGTCGACGAACGACTAACTAACCGCTCGAGGGTTGGATGTTTCGTGCTCATCGTCCAGGGCGCCCGGTGGCCCCACTGCCGGTTCACTGAACGCCGGATGCCACTGCTGTCAGCGAGGCCGGCCCCGGGATCCTGGGCTCGCGATGCTTTGGCACACCGTGATGGCCGTGTCTCGGGAATGTCCAATGGTTTCGTTGCGGCATAGCCTAATCTGAGCCGGTTTCAGTCATCATAGCCAATACACAATCCAACAGTGTCGTCGCTAGGCCGAGGCGGCTCGGGTAGAACGTTTGGTTTCGAGGGTTCTTGCATCGCCCCGGCCGTGGATGCTGGATCGCAGCATGCCCGCGGCAGGAATGAAGCCGTGCATCGAGATCAGTATTTTTCACTGATGAGGTTGCGCCGCCACTCTAAGGGCCGGGGGAGGGGGGGGGGAAGTGGGCAGAAGGCAATCCGGCCAAACAGCGGTGAGATTACGGCGTCCGCCTAGCTCCGCGCTTCACACCTTCGCCGACGACAACACCAGCACCGACATTTGCCTCTCACTGCCCATAATTCCGGTTGCGCGCGATCACCTCTGACGCAGCACTCTCCTAGTATGCGTCTTCCGTCCCGAGCGCATGGAGAATTGTCACCTAGCACCGCACGTCTCGGGCACTCGAGGTTCGTACCGAGCGCACAGTCAGAGAAGCTGCCCTACCGAGGCAATCCAACCTGAACGGTTGGGCAAGCAGTCCAGCTTTCGTGGACACAGCACGTTTTACGGCCCAACGGACGGTCTAAAAGCGACCCGTTGGAAGCCGTCCAATGGGCCCGGGGTCGCACCAAGCCGTGTTTCGAACCAATGACGGGCGGCAACAGTTATTATCCAAAGCGCTGTGACACGCTGAAGCGTACCGAGATGTGCCGCCACGAACGTAGGATCTGACTGTTACTCCCGAAGCGGGTACTGGCGGGAAACAAGTCTTGTGAGACCCCATGGGCGCACATCATCAAGCCTCCCCCGGCCAGACAAGGACACAAAGCCATGTTGCCCGGGTCACGAGCAACCGGCCCGTATGGGGTTGCATGCAATGGTCCGTCCAAGCAAGAGGATATGACAGCCCACTGATCACAGGGGCTTGCATGGGCTTGTCCCATATTCCCTGTTGTCACCCCCGTCCTCCGCCCGTGCACAGCCAGGGCAGGTCGCAGCAAGCCTCTTGCCGTTCTGCACTCGGTGCAGCAGCAGCGGCATCGTGTCGCAGTCAGCAGTTTCAGTACCCCGCCTGACCCACCCTATTTGGCATCCTACAGCAGGGGAGGCAACACTGCAGCAGTACACATTCCATCTAAAACACCTGGCGCAGCAACGATCGATCCAGCATTCTCGCATGCGGCGCATGAGACAAGAGGAGAAAACCGAAAGATCGTCGTTCACTCCATGCACACCCAGGAATAACGTAGCCTGTACATGTACTACTGCGCTAACGAGGACAAGCCGGGTGTTCTCTCGGTACTGTATGTGTACAGTAAGGACACATTATACTGTTACCACAGACCTGGTACGCTACGGAGGACAGTCCGCCAAATTGCTCAGAGTCCCCAGGGACTGGCAAGGGGGCGTGCTAGCGAGGGGGCGTCGGCTGGTTTCCCCTCCAGCTGGGACCGAGAGCGGACCGAAGCGGGGTCGTGCATTTCCTCTCGCTGATCGCCGTGGGATCGCTTCGCACCCGTTTTCGTCACACCCCAAGACGCGCTAAGAAAATGCTACATGTACTATGTGGTCCCACGTCTCTGGTGCGCGGCGGAGCCGTTTGCCTATTGAGGTCAAGTGCGGAAAATGGTGGATTGCCAATCGGTCCCCCGTCAGCCTCTCAGAAGGCAGCGTCATATTTTCCAGCTTTTCTGCCGGATTGAGCTTTTCTCAACGCCATTCGACGCTGGTCACGATCCGGGCCTCGATGACGCAGTCAGACCCAGGGATCGAGAAACAAAGGGAGACTTCTTTCCTGTTTTGTTCAGCCTACGAACCCGAGGGCCGACCGTCTTATTGGGCTTCCCGAGTCTCGGACAGTTTAGAATGCAACGGTAAAAGTGCGTCCTTGTTTGTTTGGTCGCATTGTCCTCCATTGGCAATCTCGCCCATCCCGCTCCTGCTCCCGCCCTAGTCTCATTAGTGGCAATCGGCTGTACTTTCGTTTGACTGCACAAAACATGACGGCCAGGTTTGCTTGAGTGCTTTGATGAGGAGACGTGTAATTCGGGAGGGTTGACGTTTCCAAGGTACATTACATGCACATGTTGATACGGTATATCAAAATCTCCGCATAGTGTTACGCTTGGATTTAAGTCGACTTGAGGTGGGAGCAAGACCATGAGACCATCGCAAAGCACGAGATGGATCACCAATGACCTGAAGCGCTGCAACACTCCTGATATACGTTCGCAGAGTTTGGCACCTTGTCTTATTTCTCTCCGACTCTGTTTCGGTGCTTTTCTTATAGCAATGCTCATCTGTGTCGCATGACGCTGAAAGTGGCCGAGATGTTTCCGTACAGGGCAGCTAATGTATATTTATATGGCAGAGGACCAAAAGTTTTTTGAGAAACAGTGCTGGCACCCAACTGTAACGAATGATTAGATGCACTTTCGCCTCTGAGCCTCAACACGGAGAGTTAGAACGTTGCCATTGCCGAAAGAGTCGCAATCACCGGGTCTCGTTGCAAAGGTCTATGTTCTTTCATCCTCTACTTTTGCTTCGCACCTCAACAACAACAACAACAACAACAACAACAACAAACATGTCAACACCGTGCGCGCAGCACCACACTGGGGCTTCGGCCTCGATTCATAACCAGGAATATTTCAAGTTAGTACACTGAGTTGCTGCCATTAGATGCCGAAGCTCCTGTCATCTGGCGGTTTTGAACGGATTACAGCCAAATCGGCCATCGGCTTCCTCGTCGCATGGATGCAGGGACGGCTAACATGATTCCTAACACAGTAAGGAGGCTTCCAACTACGACACCAAGCATGAGAAGACGTTGAATAGGCTTCTTGAGGAGATCCGGGGGAGACTCGACTTTATTGGGGCGGACTGGGTTGAGGCGGACGACGAAGATGATGACGATCAAGCTGTGAAGAAAGACGAACGGCCTCAGAAGAGCGTCAGGTTGCTGGACTATGCCTGCGGCACTGGCCTTGGTAGGTATTATACCCATTATTCTTGCTTCCAACTCAACCCAACCCGTCGACTTGACAAAAGCTGTGTCTGCCCTTGGGATTTGATGTGAACAGCACCGGAACACTTCTCACATGAGCAACCGCTGACTCTCCATTTTAGTCTCTAGGGTAAGCTTGTTCCGGGCTGGAGTCCAGCGGCTTCATAGCGTGCGTGTTCTCAGTTCTGACTTTACTCCAGGCCCTCGCCCCGTACACGACCCAATGCGTTGGCATCGATCTGTCAGAGAACATGGTAAGTTGCCGTGCTTGATTTCCTTGACGATAACCATACCAAAACAAAGACTCCTTTTGTCCTCGACCGTCTATCACTAACAAAGGCACCAGGTGGCCACGTACAACACGCGCGCAGAGAACCAAGTAGGTCATCTATCCTCCCCCCCAGAACTTCAGAATCCACCCATTGACTCCCAGCAGGGCCTTGCCGCATCCGAAATGCACGCTTATCAAGGCAACCTCTGCGTGCCCGATGACCCCAACCCGGCCGCCTTTGCGTCGCCGGAGTTTTTCAACTTTGACGTCGCCGCCGTCGGCCTAGGGTTCCACCACTTTGACGACCCGTCGCTGGCGGCCCGCAGGCTGGCAGAGCGGCTCAATACGGGAGGCGTGCTCATGATTGTAGATTTTATGCCGCATGGCACGCCGGATGTGAGTCCGCACCGCCGCCTTCCCCCCTGCAACTGTTGGCAACCTGTGGGCTGGCGAAGAGGGAAGCAGGGACTGACAAGAGAACTGACTGGGACAATGAGCAGGCCTCGCACCCCGCTGCACACACCATCACCCACCACGGTTTTTCGAAGGACCACATTCGGCGCATCTTCGAGGAGGCTGGCGTGGGGAGGGACTTTGCGCTCGAGGAGATGGCGGTGGTATTCCACATTGAGAAGGAGAACGGAGCAGTGGTGCGGAGGAACCTTTTCATTGCTCGTGGCACCAAGGCTTGAAGCGGGTCAGAGGGCCAACTAACGCCATAGGGCGTTTCGTATGGGCTGGGTAGAAGTGTGATTACATCGAGATGGATGAGATGGCATAGGAACGAAGTCTATGGGTTCGCCTGTAGAACGGAATAATCGAACCTCGTGGTAGATTCCGGCATGATGTTGGAGTTGGCTGACGTGTTGCTTTCTGTTCTTAATTCTTGGTACACCACAGGGAGTATCGATCCTGCTTGAGCGTCTATCTGAACAGAAAGCTTCATATCCCGATAACGCATCTGATACGGCTACGTATAACAAAAACCTGGCGTGTTCGTTAGCCCGGCACACAACGGGGTCCTTCAAATCTCAAGGAGAGGAGAGAAAGAGAGAAAACGTCAAGTGTGAAAAAAAATAAAATTGAAGAAAGGGGAGAGCAAGGCGAAGTATGAGAAAAAGAGAATCACAGAGACACAAAGGGCACATGTTAGTTTTCGGACGTGATATTTTCCCATATAATAACCTGGATGTCTGAAAGAATCTCTTGGCTACCTACTCCATTACACGCCAGCAAACACATCAGAGTTGGGTTGCGCTCAACCGAGCTTATCCTGGATCTCTTCACATCATATCTAGGTCAGTAACGTGGAATAAATGGGGTATATCTGCTGATGGATAGACCCGTTTCCTTCAACGTACCAGGAAGCTCCACGACAAAGGCGCCACCGAGAAGAATGGCAGGCTCATTGATGTTGTGATGTTCGTAGCTATTATCCGGGTATCTTAGCAGAGAGCCAAACGGTACTTATGTAACGGCGTCCTCACCTTAGCGTACCGACGCCACCCGCTTCAAGCAGAAATGTTGGTCCGCCATGAAGCGACTGGTTAGCCCAGCGTTGTGCAAATGCCCGCAGGATGTGGCCATGGGCTACAATCAGCACGTCGCCGTTGGCTCCCTCTGCCTTCTGTTTGCCCATGGCGGGCGCGTGCCACTTCTCCCTGATGTCCTTGATCAACCGGTCCAGACGCTCCGTGATCTCGGCGGGGCTCCTAAATTCAAGTTCAGTCTCGTGAACTGAAAAGACAGCAAAAGAGAGACAGCGTCTTACTCTCCTCCTGGGCATCCATCCTTCCAGATATCCCAATTCGAATCCAGCCCCTGCTGCTTCCGCAACTCGCGGATCTCTGGGGTGGTGATGCCCTCATAGTCGCCGTAGTCCCATTCGCGGATGTCCTCGGTGACCTCAATCTTAGCTTCGCACTTTCGGCCGCCCTCGCAGAAGGGCTCGCCATGTGCCTGCCATGGCAGTTGCTCTCTGTTGACCACGTTGAGCAGCTCCAGCGTGCGCTGGGCCCGACGTCGCGGAGACACGTAGCTGTACACAGTTAGCCTGATTCCAGCGGGGAAGTGAGAAGAAGATAGAGAGACACTCACATATGAGCCAGCTTGCTGGGCGCAATCAAACGGTCATTTCCCACCAGCGCCTTGCCCGTCGCCAGTACCCGCTTCTCGCCATTGGCGGTCAGCGGGATATCGGTCGATCCTGTATGGCGGCCGTTGAGCGACCACTCGGTCTCGCCGTGACGGACAATGAAGACGCGCGGTGATGACATAGTGGCCGTTGTCGATGCACCTAGCTAGGGGTGGACAAGGGGGAAAAGGTCGAGGTCGGCGTAAGGTAGCGAGAGGATTCCTACTGACAGGGACGCCGTCGTTAAAATCCACACGTATGAGCTTCGAGTTCTGAGTCTGTCCACTTATGATCCCAGGATCTGAGGTGCGGTTTCAATGTTTACCCGGTGGCGTGGTGGTTGCATCGACTTCACTGACACGGGGCGAATCGTAGCTGTCGTCAAGCCTCGCTTGCATCCAAATTCTAAAGACGCAGAAAATTTGGAAAACGGGACCAGAGATCAGGGGTGCAGGTGAAGAAACGAGACAAACAACAAAGCTCACAACAGGCTTCCGTTATCATGATAATATAGGTATAGGATTCGTCGGATTGGGACTCAATCAGGCTCGTCCCAACTCACAACTGCATGGTGATTACTCATGATCTGTCACTCTTCTCCACGTTCGGCTGCCACTTCAATTCAAGGAACCAGGAACGCAAGCGCTAATCGACAAATAACCCGCGGTGGGCCGGGTGGTTACGTCAGGTTCCGCGATATCTTCGGCCGACATTGACCTGCACCGCCGGAGAGCATCTTCAACAACAGCGCTGCCGCTACCACATTGGTTTGAGATTGTTTGCTTGTGGGTTTCAGTTCTGCGGGGTAGAAAGCAGGCGGTTGTGCGGTAAGCGGGTTAACTAGACAGAAGCCTTTCCGATGAGCGCATTGCCCTCAGCAGCACCTCGAACAGCAGCTCCGATCAGGGAGTATTGACATGAATCATAATAGGCGGGGAATCTTGCATCCGTGTACATCGCTCTCATCAACACCCATCTGGGACGAAAGGTCCACGGCAACAAAAACCAACCAGGATACCACCAAACGAAACGAAGCGAAGAAATAAAGCCCCGCTTGAGACAATCTCCTAATACCGATAAACATGCCCCTCCTTCCTCGGCGTCGCCTCATACGCATCCTGCTCGTCGTCCGAAACAGGCGTGACAGGCTCTGCTCGCCCCTTGTCGGTCGCCGCTGGCCCCACCGCAGCCGTCGATGACGCGGCCCCACCGAAGCCCGGGTGGAACGGCTCAAACGACAGCCGAGGAGGGTCGTCGGCCGGCCTGGACGACGAGCCGGACGGCGACTGGTAGTGGTGTTGGTGTTGTTGCTCGGTCGGCGGGTCCCGGAAGGGGTCCTGGCCCTCGTCGTCTGTGTCGTCCATGCCGTGGCGGACAGGTGTCCCGCTTGCCGAGCGTGAAGGGCCTGCGACGGCGGAGGTGTCGTATGTGTTCGGGTTGGCTTTGCCCTTGCTGTTGCTGCTTCCGGCGACTGGTTTCCGAAGAGGGGCGGGAGGAGCGGGAGGGGCGGCGCGCTGTTGTTGTCCAACGGGTGCGGGTGGTTGCTGGTGGTGACTGCGCGACTGCGGCGCCGGGTTGGAGGTGCTGGACCGGGCATCGCCCTGGCCGAGCTGCTTCTTTGCTTGCAGAAGCGCGCGGTGATGGTGGTTCAGGGCCTGCTGAAGCTGCTCGTTGGTGTCGATCAAGCTTTCCATTGTGTCGTTGTCTGGCGCCGGGTTCTCGGCGCTCATGTACCCTTGGATACTGCGGGAAGCGCTGGAACACCGGTCCGCAAACTCCTTGAAGAGGTCGTTGGACAGAACTTCAGAAGGCAGGGTGCAGGCCACCACTTGCTCAAGAAGCTTGGCGGACGTCCGGGCTTCTTCAAGCCGGTTGGCGAGCTCGACGGGGTCAGGGAGACGCTTGCTATGATCCTGTCGCGGGTGGGAAGCCCCGGGCGGAGGGTGTTGGTAAGGGTTGAAAGGGGGTGCCACCATCCCGGGCACTTGCGCGACAGGTATCCCCTTGAGCTGCATTAGCATATGGTCCTCGAGGTGGCCTGCGACGCAGCGTGTCAGCACTCACCCCATAGGCCCTGTAAGCCTTCTCTTTCTCCTTCTTCCACATCTCGATGACCATCGCCAGTCCCTCATCCTGGCTTTTCGTGTTCTCGAACGCATCTAAAGTCTCCATCAGGATCTGGCGCACGCTCCCGTCCCGCCCTGACCTCAGCAACTCCTTGGTCGTGTCGACAAATTTCTTGTCTAGAAACTTTGTAAAGCCGGGGCCCGGGTTGTCGGCCAGGATCCGAGCGAGCATGATTGCGTTGTATTGACACGATGGTTTCGACCAGAAATCGCGGCTCATGAATTTGCGAATCTGGCGGGCGCATTCGGCAGAGGCGGCTGGGGAGGCAACGGCGGCCTCAACGATGGGGGGCAGGAATATAACATCGTCGCCCTGTAACCGTAGATGCCCAGTCTTAGCCTACAATTCTCAACACAAACAAAAGGGACATGGTGGATATTCCGGGTTCTGACGTACCGTCGAGTTGCCCACTGACTGGCAGAATTGCTTCTAAGGCCGCTGTTAGCCCTTGCGCTGTGGACCAACAGACGATGCGCGGGGTACGATCCATACCACGCAGCGCGAAGCAATGATTTCGGGGGTGCCGTTCGCGGTATCGACTGGCGCATCTGCTGGCGTCGCTTCGGCGCTGCCTGTCGCTTTGGCGAGCATTCACTTGTCAATCCATGGCATCAGATAAAGCTCGGAATAGAAACTTACCGCCGCCAAACGCCGGCCGCTTTTTCATGGTGCCCAGCACCTTGGTCATACTGAAGCCCGCCATCGACGTGGTTGCATTCGATGACCAAGGGGCGCAAGACACTTGGCCGCCTTCCGCTCGATGGAGGGGCTCGCAAAGGTCGTCAATCGAGAAGTACGGAGATGGGGTGTTGACCCTCCAGCAGGAGATGAAGTCGTCGAAATGACTTTGTTTGCGGACAGGGCGCGTCTTGGAACTCAAAGAGTTCTCTCGGTGCCGCGATCCGGTGGTCCGTTTGGTTTACCGCCTGCCTTGTTCCGCGTGTTGCTTGACCAAGCGCTAGGCAGCAAGGGTCCTTGATCTGGGCCCCGTTTCCAATGCTACGCAAAAATGAGATCCCAGAGCAAAAAAAGGCTCTGGCTCCAAAATGAAGTCAGCTGTTTTATATTTTATGGAATAGGGCGGCATAGAGCCATGAACCCGTCCGGCACACGTCATGCGACGTACTGATGCAAACAGAAGACCATTCATTATTCACTGGGATGAATCCAGGCGCAGGACGTACATCAACTAGGCCACCTGCTCGATAAACAGCTCGGCAAAGAGCTTTGGGAGAGAATCATCGCAGAGAAAGCGGTGCCAAGACAGTTGCACAGCCTCGATGTCGCCGCCGGGACACGCAAGCCGCCAGTCCATGAACGGTCGTCAGTATCCGGTTGAGACACGGAGGCATTGGAATTGACGCAGCCATCAGAGGGCTCGTGCTGATAAGATAAGCCCCGCTGTCCCAGTTGTGGCCCCATTCCGAGCAGCTTGTGGATAGCATCCTCGAAGTGTAGGAACCGGGTGCGCAGAACGGCCGATCAGATCACCGAGCACAGGCCATGGAAAGGGCTCTGACTGATTAGTGTAGTTGTACATGTCCGTCATTGCTGCCCAATACATGGCGTGTCCAAGACGAGACATACTATTCAACATCTCCATCCTCAGGGGTTATGTCCTCAACCACCAGGTTGCCACCCCTGCCCATCTTCTCGCCGACCGTGGTGCTCTCACTCGGCTCGAACGTCTCCCGCGGCATGACCGATGAGATGGTAAATTCGTACTTGTGGTCGTATCCCTGGGGTTTTTCAGCCCTCTTGTCGCTGGATGGGTCTTGAAGGAGATCATGACACTCCACAAACGCATATAGCTCTTCCATGGTGGTTTGCATGGCAAACCTCCGAACCACGCGTCCCGCCCCAGACGAGACAGGCATGTTGAGTGCTAGACGGACCGCATCCTTGGCGCCGGCGGCTGGTTCGGGCGCGATGGTGCTCGCCCGCCACTCTCTCCATTGCTGCCGTAGCTTCTGTAGCCGGGCAGCGGCCTCGGCTTCCTCCCGAGCACGCTTCTCGGCCGCAGCCGCCGCAGCAGCTGCCTCCCGCTTCTGGCGTGCCCTTTCGCGATCCGCGGCCAGCGACCTCTCGTACGCCGAATCCTGTTGAGACCGCAAGTTGCGCGCCATCTCCTGCGCTGCTCGTTCTGCCCGGACGCCGTTTAGATCGGGGCCATACTTGGTAATGGCCGCCTGGATCCCAGTGAGGAATGACGCTGGTGTCATAGGGCCAACTAGGCGTTTGACGATGCCCATGCGTGTGGTTCCCTCCTTGGGAGTGAGGCACACCAGACACGAAAAGGGGTACTTGACGCAGTTGTACTCCCTGGCGACCTGATATGCCTCCGAGTCCAGCACATTCCCGCCCCATATGATAATGTTGTTGGCCGGATCATTGATAAAACCCACAACCTCCGGCGACAGCAGCGTGTTGCGGATGAAGAACGCGGTGTCGTCGTGTTCCGGGGATATTAGAACCGTCAAGAGGAATTTGAGATCCCTTTTGGCCGTATCCAATGCCTGGGCATGGCCGTCCTCGAAGAAAGGAAGGCCATGTGCCCCGTATTCTTCTTCAAAATCGCGCCGAAACCTTCGCGCCGTTTCCTTGGGAAGCGTCACTCTTCGCCCACTTGTCTGTCCCAAGCCTTTCGAGATAGAGGACGCCACAAACTGGGGGCGTAGCGACTGCGGCAGGAACGACAAGAAAAAGGAGACTAATTTGAAGAGGTTGGCGAAAACCCTGTATCCGAAGCGGAATGGGGCGAAGAGGATAGTTGCCAAAAATGGCGTCGGATGTACTACGGGAGGTTGGGGCACGACTCGTGGTGCGGCATCCGTTTGAGGTCGCCGCGTCCGGTTTGGCCGGTTACCAGCATCCAAAAAACTCTCGTGTAGGTTTTCATGTCTCGCGCTTGCCCGCGGGATGCGATCTTGTGCGGCCTGGGCTTCTGCGACCGGATCCGGTCCTTCGCCATCGAAGAACTTGGCAATTGCGATCTGCATCAGAGTCAGACTCAGCTCCACGGACAGATAGAGATGACAGACTGACCTGAACGTTCCACTGGGATCTCTCGAGAAGAGGGACAGCGTCCTTGATCTCCTGGCTTGTGACGTCGGTGTATTGCTGTAGCGCCTCCTGTTGGCTTGCAGAGAGCCTACTCAGATCGAACCCTTCCTCGCTCGCCATCGTGTCCCGGGAACCAACCCACTCCAAGCAGATCACGAGATACAGAATCGCATCTATCGTTGGGGTATGCGACTGAAAGTATATAACGAGAAGGCGTTGTTGGGTCGTCGAAGTCCTCGCGAGAGGGAACCGCTAATGAATGGCAAGGGCTCAGAATTCGATATTGAGTCGCAGTTTCGCTAGATTGTCTCAATGGCCAGTTGTCGCCCTTATAGTAAAGTATGCGTCGTCCTTGACGGAGCCGAACGAACACGTCAACGAGCAGCTTGGGCCAGCACGGACAAGGCACACAGATGCGATGCTCGAAGCTTGCGTGGAGGGTTGTTTGTGTCGATTTTTTATGCAATCGCAGGTGATGCGGTCTTTACATCACTCGTCGAACACACGCAATCGAAATCACGAAGCCCGTTACCAGTAGTAGTCGATGTCGCATTTGCAGGTCGTTGGCCTCATTGCGAAACTGAATACCGTCATCCAACTAACAAGGTAAGCCTGCGACGTTTACGCTGACTAACGTCACGATATGGATATATCCATATTTGATTAAAAGGGCCGCTAACGTTCTTGGCTGCAGGTGAGCTTTGCCCTGTTTTGTCTTTCAAGAAGTGGCCTGTGCGTTTCGAGGCTGATCCAAGCCAGAAAGACGGCGAGGGGCATGGCCCGCCCCACCAGTAAGTGAAGCCTCGACGCCGCCTTTCTTTCTTCGACACCACCTTACTCACTCCGCTGCAGCTTGCGCCTGCGCCGCAGGTTGGAATGCCCCCCGCCAAGCTTGGCTCAGCGGTGATCTCCAGCTTTCAAGCGCTCCAATTTCGAGAGAACGACCGACGCGACACCTCGCCTCAACGACGCCGTGTCTCTTCCCCGCGCTCCGTTCCAAAGCAGTTGGGCCGCTGCCCCTGACGCAATTGTCGTCGGCCGTCCTCGTGCTTCGCTCGCATGCCGCTTTCTATGGGTGCTATATCGCCCGTGAGGTCAAAACATGGGAGAACTCCGTCATCATCATGTGAGGATAAGTGGAACTCCACACGCGCACGTGGATTTCGAGACTGACGCCCTCGCTGCCAGATATCGTAGCATCGGTCAAGGCCTCGTCTTTCTGTCCTTGAATCGGTCGTTTCCCCACCATGGCCGCGACACGGTATCCTACGAACGATCTCCGTCGTCAGGTTGGCTCGCCGAGGTCAAAGGGCCGAGGTTGGTAAAGCAGAATTCCATTGATGTCCGCCCGCTAACGGCCAGCACTTAGAAAACAAGGATACGCTATGCCGCAATATTCTCATATACGGCAACTGTCGCTATGAGGACCAAGGGTGCACCTTCAACCATGATCAGAACAAGACTTCACCCCAAGCAGACTTGTAAGTTGATTTCAAGAGCCTCGGCGAAGCCCTCATCAGCCTTTGTGCCGAGCGGGTACCCTGGACGCCTGAACTCTCCTATCCGTTTCCTGCAAATACACCAATGACATTGCGCCGCGCAAGGAGGGAAGGCGTGGAGCGACGATGTCTGGCCTTAGGCTCAATCAGGAGTTGCTGTCTCAAAGGACCGGAATTAGGTGGTGAGAGGGGCGTTGGGGCGAAGGCTTCAGTCACACATTCCAGCGTGCCCGAGTCTGACCTTCTGCTAGTGCCAAAAAGACATTCAACGTAGACTCTCCATCATTCACGCCATCAAGCCAGCAGCCCACAGCAGCGAAAAAGACTACCCTTTCGTCTCAGGCTGCCAATGCGGCTCCATTCACGCCGCGAGGGGTGGGCAGTGAGTTGAAACCTGGCCCAGTCGGCCACTGCGGTCTCTGACGATTTTCCCAGCGCCGAACCTGCAGCAGACCACCGAAACTTCTGTATTCAACCCAGCGACGATCAGGGAGTTCACACCCCAGAACTACGACATTGGCAACAACGTAATACCCCTTTAATTCCCAGTTAGACTTGCACGTTTGCTGATTCAAGCTCAGAACACAAACGGCGTTGCGCAGGAAAATGGGTTGTACAACGATCCATTCACCGCCATGGGGTCCTTGGCCACTGGCTTGCCTCCCGCCGGGCAGTTTAACCTCTACGCCAGTGAGCACAATGCCCTCGCCAGTTCTGGGGCATCCTTCTATCCGCAGCACGGGAGCTTCCCTACCGGCCCAATTCAGCCGCCCAACTATCACCTTTACCAACCTTTCGATACCTACCGACAAGAACTTCAGCCATGGCAGCGGGCAACCTATGATTTTTTCATGCCGGCCAAGATGCGAGAAGAGCTGCAGAAAAGGATGTTTGCGACCCAGCAAGTGATGCCAAGTGAGTCTCTCACTGTCAGCTCTCTCCGCCGCCCTTGCTCTTTGCTCACGCCGACAGACTCCGGATTGCCCCAGCTCGAGCGCTGGCACTCTCTCTTCCCACTCGACACCAACAACAGAAAGAACACAGCGTCTTTTGGGTACCCGAGTTGGGTATACAAAGCCCAGAATAGCCGGACTGGGAGGCACTACGCCCTCAGGAGGCTTGAAGGTATGGCGCCCTATCAACCATGTCCACTGCTCCCCGAACGACCGCCGTGTGTTGACAATATGCTAGGCTACCGATTGACCAACGAGAAGGCGATACTTACCGTCATGAAGGAATGGAAGAAAATCAAAAACGCCAATGTCGTGACGGTGCACGAAGCCTTCACCACGCGAGAATTTGGCGACAGCTCCCTGATCTTCGCATACGACTACCACCCTTTATCCAGAACGCTGCAAGAGCACCACTTGCAGCCAGCCCATGGCAATCGGTACAGACCACCCAGCACCATACCGGAGAATGTTCTCTGGGGATACATCTGCCAAATCGCCAACGCGCTTAAGACCATTCACTCGAACAAGCTGGCCGCTCGATGTATCGAGCCCAGCAAGATTATTCTCTCAGACAACCACCGCATTCGGCTGTCTGCCTGCTCCATCGTGGACGTGGTGCAATTCGAGAACAACACAAAGTCTCTTCACGAATTGCAGCAGGAAGATCTTGTCAAGTTTGGCAGGCTCATAGTCTCCCTTGCCACCAGCACCCCGATCGCACACTTGAACAACATCCCCGTGGCGCTGGACTCTCTTGGCGCAAAATACTCGGCAAACATTAAGGACGCCGTGGCATGGCTCATAGCGCCTCCGAATTCAGGCGAGTCCAAGAGCATAGAGAACTTCATCAGCGGCATCGCCACTCACATGACAACCTTCTTCGACCTCGCCCTGCAGGACAACGACGAGAAACAATTCCACCTTGCCAGGGAGCTGGAGAATGGTCGGGCTGCCCGCATCATGATGAAACTGATGACGATCCTCGAGCGGGGTGATCTTGGTGCCGTGCAAGGTTGGTCCGAGACGGGCGACCGGTACCAGCTCAAGCTCTTCCGCGACTACGTCTTCCACCGGGTCGAGGCTGACGGAAAACCCAACCTATCGCTCGGGCACATACTGAGCTGCCTGAATAAGCTCGATGCGGGCATTGATGAGATGGTCGTCTTGACCAGCCGGGACAACGAGACAGTCTTTGTGCTCACCTACCGAGAGCTCAGGCAAATGTTTGATCGCGCGTTTAATGAACTCGTCAAACACAGCAAGACCGGCGCTCCGGGCGCGAACAACTAGGCGGCGCGCCCGCTGCGGCGTCGGGTTCCAAGGCGACCTCGCCCGACGAGGAGTGATCCAGCGACGAGTTACAGGGCTGGGTGGTTTCCGGTAGGGTACTACCCTCCAACGGTTTTGCACCTAAAATCTTCGTCGATGAGCACGTTCCATGGGGTCTGAGGCGTGAATGATTGTCAGTGCGGGCGGGCGGATGGACTCGAATTTGAGTTCCAAACGATAGAGACAGGACACTCGGTATGCATGCTCGGCAGTGGCTTCCGAGTTGCGGATTGCCTCCTGGATGGTGCGTCTTTCTCGAGGAACGACTGCGAACAACAGCGCCATGGAAGCAGCATCGCGAAACTCCGTTCAATGCCAATCCACGCAATGTTCAATACGGCCTGTGTCCACGGGAAACGGGAAAAGGCAGATGGATACAATGGTTCCACAAAGGTTCAATCAGGCTGGTTGATAGCAAGCCCCCTCGGTTGACAGTTGGGGCGGTTACCGGTGCCCCCGGAGCGAGCGTATATAAATATTGAACAGGGATGAATGTACGCCACTAGGTGCTGTGTAGCGAGCGTGTACTGTTTCAGCGGTCGCATATCAGGTTAGGAAAACACAGAACATACACTTGTGCGTTTCAGCCGGTTTATTTGCGAGTATTTCAAGCGTCAAGAAGACTGCCTGTACGCACCAAATGCCACCACAGCGGTCATTCCTTCCCTTTCGGACGTCTCGTTCGGTTGGTCGAGGATAGGCCAATCCAAGCTATATCTGCTGGGACGACGATGGGCATCTATGTTGTGCATGGCCTTTTTTTTCTGTTGTCTAGGCCGTTGCCGGAATACGAACCGGACCCATGATTACCGGCCCAGAGCGACGCTCTTTCAATCCAGCGGACATATGAGGACCCTCTGTCTCTCCCATCGGCCCTCCCTGCCCCTGAGCGGTCTTCTAATCCTCGAGAATCCCCACATTTTGAGTCTCGTCTTCCCCAACCTTCATTCCTCCTCAGCCTGAAGGAAGGGATTTGCTATCACCTCGCTCCCGTCAACTGGGCTGATCACCACAAGCAGCGTGCCGCGCACAACGACGAGTCCCAGCGGTCTGGTCATCTCGTTTCCTTCGTCGTCTGTCAAGATATCATGAAGTCAGTCAGTCTGAATGAAGCGGAAGGCTTCCCATGGGGTTTGGTATGGTGTCTAAGCATAAACGCACCTCGGAGCAACTCCTCCACCTCGTCCAGCACCAGGTTCATCAGCGCATCGTACCCTTTCAACACGCCGGTAGCTAGAACAGCACAATCAAAAATGCGAAGTCAGTCTCCCTGTCATGATCTGCCCCCAAGCCACACCTATCTTTGGTACTGGGAAGAAAAAAAGGGAAACAAACCTTCCCGCCCGCCATTGAACTTGACCGTGATGCGCTTGTCCATGTACTTTTTCAGATCCAGAATGTTCTCCTTCTTGGGCCGCTCCTTGTCCTGGCCCTGGGCTTGCGCGCTGCTTCCTGTCCCGCCCCGACCTCCTCCTCCGCCACGGCCTCCTCTGGGACCGCCGCGGCCGCCGCGGTGGGGTCGGTCTGCCATGCTGGGCTGTTTTTAGGGGAAGGTTGTGTGTGCGTGCGCGACGACGGTCAGATCGAGGCCTGTCGGGGGAGTGGATTCGCTGTCAACAAGGGGAATGCAGGAGAATTGATCGTACGGCTGTAGAAGTGCTGTTGATCCCCTGAGCTTGGGGCGCTTGGGCGGCTTCTCAGAGTTGTGGTGGGGCAAATGGGTGGTACACAAGGCTGAAGTCAACCGATGATGATGGAGCTGCGCTGAAAACACAGACCCCAAGTCAACCCCACGATTCTGGAGTGCTCTTGGCAAGCATGGGTTGCAGAATTGCAGTGGGGTTAGGAGGTGGACAAAGCTTGCCAAGCGCAATGTGGAGCTTTCCACTCTCCAACCCCTGAAGCCAGTGCAAGGGGATCTTCCAGCCCAGCAAGTGTGTGACAAAATAATCGAGTCACACAACCCGCTTATCCCTTACTAAATGCGGCTAACGGTATAACGGTAGGCTCTTGCTACAATATATTCATCAACGCCAATATTCAGGGGGGCTTCCTTGTTTTCGACTGTGATCACATCGTCAACCACCAAGTAAACAGAACAAATAGATGATTGTTTACAGTAGTATTAGCTCTATCATCCTCGACAACGGCACCTCATCATAAGACTCCAAAGAAGGCTAGAGTACAGGGCATATACGAATTTGCCCTTGCCCAACAACGCCGCTATGGAACTCCATTTCGTAAATCTGACATCTTTCGGACCGCCGGCGTAAGCAGAGCTCGAGGGAAAGCAATTCTCAAAGACCACCCAAGAACCTTCAATAACAATCCCTTCTATGACGAGACGCGCGTTCCGGAAAAGGATCTTGACGGAGGAAGATATCGATAAGATGGAGAAAATCATCTGGTACCATGGCATTGAAAGCCGGATGCTCTCGTATCATAGTCTCCTCCAAGAAGCTGGCGTTGAGAAGGAGCTCTCGCAGGGTACTATCCAACGCGCTCTTGGCCAAAGAGATTGGCGCCGTTGTATTGCTTGCCAAAGGTCCTTCGTCAACGCTAAGCTTGCTAAAAAGCGGTGTGAAGAAGCCCGTAAGTCCTTGGAATATCGGCCTCGACCGGAAGACTGGCGAGATATTTATTTCACCGGCGAGTTCTATATCTCTTCAGGAGCTTCAGGTCGTGTTTGGATCCTCCGGAAACCTGGCGAACGGTATTGTCCTGACTGTATTGTTGAGAGGCCGGATAAGGAGGAGGACAAGCATACGGCGCATTTCTGGGGCGCCGTTGGATACGACTTTAAGATGGAGCGCCTGCACGAGTATCAGATTCCATCTAACAACAATGGGAAAATGACCCAGGCTTACTACCACGATCATATCCTCGAGGGTATCGTCAATCCGTAGATAGAGGAAGGCCGCTCCTTTATCCTCGAGGAGGATGGAGATAATAGCCATGGGCCTCGAGGGAACAACTTCGTCAAGGCTTGGAAGGAGAAGAACCACTTGAGGCATTATCTCAACTACCCTAGGTCCCCAGACTAGCCTCCTATTAAAAAGGCATGGCGGTTACCAAAGTCAGAGGTCAAATAGCAGATATGCTTGACCCACGACACCCTTATTAAGGCTGTCCAAGATGGCTAGCATGAACTAGACCAGAAAACCATCAACAAATGGGTTAACCAAATCCTTGAGATCCAAGGGCAAACCTTGGATCTTGATGGGAAAATGAGCGGCAATTAGATAGAAATGGAGCTGTAAATGACCTTGTTTTATGCTGTTGAAGTTACGGTTGTTTTGGTGTGATAGGGGAAGTTTTTTGTAAGATTGGTCTGTGTGGCTCGATTATTTTGTCACCCACTTGCCCAGGCTGCTTGGATTCGAAAACGCCAGGTGGTCCGTGCCTCTCAATGATGGACTTCACCATTGTTGGAAAACGAAGGTGCAGGCGGCTGGCGATAGCAAACTCAGAAACTGGGGACATGCATAGTCATTGGACCAATGTCGCGAGATGGAGACTATATTGTATGTTGAAAGTTTTGCACCAGTCGTTGCCCCGGGGGCTCGGGATAGACGGAACAAGCCTTAAACCTCCCAATTGCATTTGTCTGGGACTCAATATATGCTTCGACGAGTTCTTTATGGAAATGCTGCTCGAAGTAAGAGTATTTTGTAGCTGCTACCGTTATTTCCCAATGTCTCTATCTGTTGATGCCCCGGGTCATGGGCTTGATAATCACAATCGGTGTTGGAACAATGCCTTCCCTAGATTTTTGAACGATAGAATGCGTTGCATCACGCTACGACATTATACGGTACTTGTTTCTGGATGCGATACACGTCTTCCTCCTAAACGGAGCTGGCTCACTCACGGCTTGGATGAGTCTTGGTATATGTGTAATGAGGCTGTCACAACTTAGTGCAATGCGGGACGGACGTAGTGGCAAACAACCTAGGGAGTTTGACACTTGCTGCCCAATAATCGTTTTGGGGCTTTGATGTTTCTTCAACTGAGCCGGCCAAGTGTCCTCGGACATCATCGTAGATGTAAGTGGACGAGTAGATGGAACAACTGTGCCGTGAATACAGTTTATGAAAGTGTGTCAGCTCCTCCTCAGCAGGGAAAGCATCCTCGGACACGACACACTCTGTGTATGCGGCAACACAAGGGACCTGTAGTGTCATACTCTCGAGTCTTTCGTGACTCGGTGGTGTAGCTGGTATGTCAATCATACCACCCATACAATTAAACCCTGGTATGTTTGTTCGCTCGGCACTTACGTGTAGGTACTACGCCTCATCTTCCTTCACTTTAACCTTTCTCCTTTCTTTCTCCCTTTCTCTCTTTCCTCTTCCTCTTCATCTTTGTCTTTGTCTCCCTCTTCTTCTTAATCTTTCGCCCTTCTGACTGAGTATTTTGCGGATTATCACAACATTATCGATGTCAACAGGCGTCTGTCCAGCTGCAGTATCTGCTTGAAAGGAGTAAGGTGTGTTGCCCGTGAGAGTTGTTGAGCGAGCGTGGGATGATCAATGGCCAAGTTTCAACTTATTAGTTGAGACGTTTGGTGGGTATGTAAACTACCAGGCCGGTGACATGTAGTGCCCGCCAGGTTGACCGCTGCATGCCAGGATGGCATGATGCACTTCGCTAGGTTGCAATCTCAAGGTAGCCTCTCAAGAACCGCTCATGGGGAGGAAACCTATCGGGTAGGCAGATAGAATACTCAAGTCACCCTAAAGCTGTATTAAGGACTGACAAGCAAAACCCAAAGCACCCAAGGGAGAAAGCGAGATGTTTGACAGAAGGAACCTGCTGCTCAAAGACAAACGGCGACGTCTTTGACCATCCCTTGAACATGCCTGTGTGAGTGTTGGCCCCGCAGTTCCAGGCGCAGCCCGAGTATTCCGACAAGTCCCATCGACGTCACCCGACGAGCAACCGCCCATTTGACCATCAGCGGCAGGTATGAGCACAGCTGTTCCACGTCGACTGGCAGCGACCACACAGCATGTTTGAACTCGTGGACCCTGCAACCTAAGGTGATGCAGCACTCTCCGGGCCACGCGGGTATGCAGCACAGCAGGTCCGGGCCACCCAAGAGGCGGATGAGGGCTCGATATCTTCAGAGGAAGTCGAACGTTGTCTGATCTTCGCTTGCCGATGTCTACCAGTAAACCTCGCCCAAGACGGCGAGTGCTCTGAGGAGTGAAATGAGACTGAACGGGGAACGAGTCCTTACTCCTGCGCAAACTAGATGGCCAGAGGGCAAAGGAGTCCTCGACAGGGAATCTCAAGGGGCAGCGTTCAGCTCACCGTGTGTCGATGGAGTCGTCGTCTAAATAATACGACGGCGATTTGCGGCGATGACTGCGCCCCAGGAAGAGTCCATCTAGAATTTGGCTTCTCTTGTCGACTTCACCCATGGATATTTCCCCCTTGGCCTTCGGCCCAACCCTAGCCGGCCCATGCTTGACTCCCTTTCGCGACCGATTCCCCTCCATGCGTCCGACGAGAGAAACCGCTGGGTCCAAGCGACCTCCTCAAAATGCGAGGCAACGCTTCCACATTCGGCAACCTGTGATCAATCCAATTTCGTCTGATGGGCGACCACAAAAGAAAGAGCTGCGCATGTTCAGACAAAGCGCAGCATTGGCACCGTAATATACCTTGACTACATGGCGGGCACATGAACAATGCGTATACCTCGTGGAACTCATAGCCGGGTCAATACTCCGCATGGAGAGAAGCCATCCTCCAGATGGAGCCTCCTCGTCGAAGATGGAGACATCGCCGTTCATGTGTCAGCTGGGATTGATGGTCCGGGTGAGCTCGAGTGTCACGGCGCTGGACTAAGATAGATAGAACGAGTAGCCCCAGCCCGTGCAGCGCAGTTGACGATGCAGGAGAGAACCATGTCTGTTTACACTTTTGAGTTCATGTGGTTCAGGATTACATGAGGTGAGCGCGGTCCATTCATTCAAGCCATTCTTCCCCCAAGCCTCTCGGGGCTCCCTTAAAAGCGGCTGGCCCCCCCCTGCCTCCCCCCAATTCCACTTCCTTTTTCCATTCTCCTTCCGCATCGCACACACCTTTTGCTCCCCACCTCTGATACTCAGACCTCAAGCACAACCTTGGCTCCCATTTGTGGTATTGTTCTTGCAACCTTTGCAAAGTCCGTAACACCGTCGCTATTCTGACGCATTGTTTGCCCATTCAATTGACCTGCCCTGGCCCTCACTTCTGTTCTCTTTTTTCTTCACTCAATCATTACCGGCAACAGGCATGCACTCATAAGAGGCCAAGACTCCTCCGTCTTTTGAGTTCGTGAGATCCTCTTCGACGTCTCACCCCTCAAGCCCCTTTTCTGTTTTCGTTTCACCCGGACTTGTCCGCGTGTCGCTGCGCGTCGTCTGCGCGGGCCGCCTGCTCCGCTCCAGCCCCAGATTGCCTTGCCGAGAACCTAAGCTGAGTCGTCCACTCACACCCACGCGTTTGCATTCCTTGCATCCCGCTGGTCGGTCATTTTGCAACAAACCTCGCATCACCGTGTCCCGCATCAGCACCCAACGGCCGCACCCCTCTCAATGGCGGCCATACCAATGGCGCCAACAATGGCTGAGCTTGACTCTCTGCTGCTGCACGGGTCGAGCTTCTCGAGCACCACTCCGACGGACCCGTCTTCGGCCAACTCGGCGGCGTCCTTGAGCTCAACTCCTCCGACTACCGTGTCACCCGACAGCATGTCCCTCGCCTCAGAATCGGACCCCCCTAAACCCGAGAGCGTTGCCGCGTCTACCATTGAGGCCGTCATCCCTACCCCTGAAACACAGCAGATTGAATCCGAGCAACGAGAGTCTGGCCAGCCGACACCGGTAGACGACGACGCCATCGTGGTGGCCGAACCAGTTCTCCCTGCCGAACCACCGTCCACCAGCCGCCCACGACGAGCCCGATCAAGTTTTCCGGTCTATAACATTGCCAAGCTTGCCGGTACCGACGTGCACGGGAGACGAAGGTCCAAGGGAGATGCAGTACAAGAGAAGAGGCGTCGCACTATTTCGGACGGGACGCTCGTACCCCCTGCCAGTTCCAGCGCGAATGACTGGGTCGACGCGTTGGTGAACACAAGCCAGGCTGCCCAAGGAAAAGCTGACGCGTCCAGCACCAATCGCTCGGCCGCAGTTCTCAACACGCCAAGAAGCGCGCGGATCGCGAAAAAGGTCCCATCAAGTCCAGCTGCGAGCCGTTTGACGCGTCGCGCGACGCGTCTTTCCGGTGCGTCTGCTGAGAATGTCGTCACCAAGCTCTCGGCGCTCAGCAAGCGAGGCAAGAAGGCAGTCGAGAAGGGCGTGGGCCGGTTGACACGAGAGCTCAAGCGGCTGCAAGATACGAACGAGTATGCCCACATTGACACGCGCCCTGTGCGGTACACGGTTTGGAGCAATGGGAAATATGTCGACATCGACCCTACACAGGACCCCCCTGCGCCAGAGCCTCCACGGAAGAAGGCCAAGGTCGATGAGAATGCCGCCGGTAACGACGAGACAAAGCCTGATGAGGATAAGCAAGAAGAAGGCGCGCCGGCAGCCAGAAAACCGCGCGTGAAAAAGTGGCTCGAGAAGGGACTCTACGCTGGGCAGGAAGCGCCCGTAGATATCTTCAAGGGGCTGACGTCGCAGGAAAAGAAGAAGCTCGCCTCCATCCCGGAGCTGATGCCAAGCGGCAAACCAAACCGCGTCCTCCCACAGCCCATGTACAATGGCCTGCGCATCCTCATCAACGGCCGCGACTTCAAGCTGCCTTATGATGTCTGCAACCCTCTGCCGCCTGGCCAACCAAAGCCAGCTGCATATCGCACCATGACCAAGAGTGAGTGCCAGCCCTATCCAAAAGGATGCGATCCCCTGACATATTGCTGACCTCCTGCTTCAAGACCGCTTTGTTGGAAATGCAGCGGCCTACTGGAAGAAGACACCCCACTTTGAGGACTTTTCGTCCAAGTGTGTCTGCAAGCCCGAGGACGGCTGCGGCGAGGACTGCCAGAACCGCATCATGCTGTACGAGTGCGACGAGACCAACTGCAACGTCGGCAAGGCCCATTGCACGAACCGCTCCTTCCAGGATCTCCAGGAGCGCACCAAGAAGGGTGGGCGGTATCGCGTCGGCGTCGAGGTGTTCAAGACGCCCGACCGCGGTTACGGAGTCCGCAGCAACCGTTGCTTTGAGCCCAACCAAATCATCATGGAGTACACGGGCGAGATCATCACTGTGGAGGAGTGTGAGCGGCGCATGAATGAGGTGTACAAGGACAACGAGGTGTGTCATTCCAGTATGTGGAGAAAGTGCATCAGGACTGACTCTTGCAGTGCTATTACCTCATGTCCTTCGACCAGAACATGATCATTGACGCAACCACCGGTAGTATTGCGCGGTTCGTCAACCACTCGTGCTCACCCAACTGCCGCATGATTAAGTGGATCGTCTCGGGCCAGCCGCGTATGGCGCTGTTTGCCGGGGATCGCCCCATCATGACGGGCGAGGAGCTCACATACGACTACAACTTTGACCCCTTCTCGGCTAAGAACGTGCAGAAGTGTCTCTGTGGTAGTCCGAACTGCAGAGGTGTGCTTGGCCCAAAACCCAAGGAGGTCAAGCCGCCTAAGCCGACCAAGGACGAGAAGAAGGCGGTCAAGGCTGCTTCCAAGAGTTCGATCAAATCGTCGGCTAAAGGCCCAACAAAGCCTTCAGGCAACCCGCCGGCGAAATCATCGGTCAAGCGGAAGCTGAGAGATGCGTTTGACTTTGACGGCGATGACGAGGAGGAAGCGAAGACGGCCAAGAAGCGCAAGATCCAGGCGGCGACTGGCCTCAAGCGGACCGTGTCCTCAACAAGCCTTAAGACGGCAAAGGGAGCGGCAAAGAGAGCAGTCAAGGGCGCTATCACGATTAAGCGGACTGTCTCGAGCATTTCCGTGGCCACAAAGAAGAAGAGGACGGGTTTCCTGGTTGCGTCGTCCAAAGCGGTCGAGGCCAAGGTGACATCAAAGACCAAGGCAGCAACGAAGACGAAGACGAAGACGAAGACGAAAACCACCATCCAAAGGACCACCGGCAAGGTCACAAAGAAGACGTACGGCAAGAAAGCCTCTCCCACCTCTTCCGCCACGGCAACCGCCATGGCGAAAAACAAAATCGACATGCCCTCCCGCAGCCCAAGCCTGACCATCGTTGCAGCCGGCGTGTCCGCCAACCTCTCGACTAGTACTACCACTTCTTCATCATCCTCCGCCAAGACAGATATCGCCAAGCCCTCAACGCCAATGTCGTCCTCGACCAAAAAAGCTATACCGATGCTGGCCCTCTCGAGCGGGAAAAAGACGTCGTCCCGCAAGGTGACGCCTTCGCGCAAGGCGATCGAGTCGGGGCTGTCGGTTGGGACACCGTTGCCCTCGTTGTCAAAGTCGGTTGTGAGCAAGGCAAAGGCCGGGCCCGGGGCCGGGGCCACGACGGAAGCTGGTGTTGCAGCCGGCTTGGGGACGCCAGCAGCAGAGGTGAAGAAGACTCCGACGAGGATAAAATTGGTGAATGTTTCCAAGAAGTGAGGAGTTCCACTTGAAGGATGGGATTGGGATGGTGGGTTGGAAATATCGATCCTGGGTGGTGTGTACAAACAAGACCGCAGAAAAGGGTGCGTCGAAGGGGATGGGAAATGGAGTTCTCTGGGTCTGCTTGCGAATACGACTGGTTCTATGGGACGGTGGGAAGGGAAAGGGAATGGGGAGATGGTGTTCACAAGAGGGGTTCTTTTGAAGGGCGATGTATTCGGATGTGGAAGGATATCCCCCCAGTGAGAGAGTATGGGTTTACCGACGGATCCCTGTTGTGCCAATGACGCCTACTAGTATTATTCCCATGGCGACATGTCATGCTGCGTCTGGAGAGAGGAGTTTAGCCCCAAGTCCCACGGCGTCTCCCTGGTGGAGTTCAACAATAGGCCAGGAGGAATCCATTTTCACTGCTTCTCAGATTTTCCTGTTTTGATCCTTGGGTTTCGCCAAAGAAGACGTGGCAGTGAAATATAGAAGGAATCTCAGCCAGGAGGGGAGCGGCGAAAGCAGAGTGACGACTGTGTGATCAGTTTCGGGCAGGACAAATGCTCGTTGACGGTGTACACAAGAGGCAGCAAGGTGGACTGAATCGCTCACCGACAAGGTGGAGCTTGACCATTGCCTCTTTAGGCTCGCTTGCCTTCTGGGATCACGCCCTCTAGATGCAGCGGTCCATTAGCACAGCGTCGACGTGCCATACTAACCTGACACAGGGAAGTGTATAGTATAAGGCGTTCATTTTGGCACACTGAGTGTGACCCGGCATTGGAGGAGAGTCTTCTGTTGGTTTCCCGTGCGTGGTGCCTGCTGCCCACCAAAATTCCGTAAGCGTCCAGTCCTTGTGGAGGATCCACTCCATTGATGGGGCCGCCCGGGCTGTGCCAAGTGTGCACCCAGGTGCCTGGGTCCGGTGGAAACCAGAGGAGCATGGAGCTGGATCACCCAGATAGTTATGTCGATCTGGAATTGATGGTGACTGGGACGGCAGACAAAAGACCTTTTCAGATGGCACTTCTGCAGCCCTATTACTATAGATATGTTGGATTTGAGGGCTCAATCATCTTGATAGTAGGTTGTTTCAAACTGATCAGTTTTGATGGAGATGGGATTGAGTGGAAATGAGGTACTCCGGATGTCTGGGAATCATGGTTACACGACACTTGTTGTTGCCTGAAGCTGTGGTTCTAAAGTCCACGACTTACACCAAGATGAGTTAGACAGGGCTGTATGGAGACTTAGCAAGACCAAATGCAGATCTTCGGCACTCTGGCAACTGATTTCTGTTGTATTCTCAAAGAAAATCAGCCTACTTGATGCAGCTGGCTAGGGTCGGGTGCGGGGGAGGAAACAATTGTCAAGAATTGAATCGTCATTTTGATACGTCGGATGGTGATTGGTTGAAGTCTGAAGGGCTTTGTGAGCTCGGAATCATTTAATAAGTCTGTCGTCTTCACCTCGCAGAAAGCCCAAGCCTAGCCTCAAATGTGGTGTTTCAATTTCTTAACGCTGGCTTGCTGTGAGGGTTTCGGCCGCGGCCCATACGTGGCACAAACCTTCCAAGTTGAAGAGGAACAGAAGTGTTGTCACTAGCTGCTGCTTTACAAGAGCAGCTAATTAGAATTCCGCTGCATGGGTATAATGCAGCCCACTGGGCTGGCAATGCCATGGAAAAATGGCAACATACATCCTGCCAACAACCTGATGCCCTTCTGGTACCCCTGAACCTGAACGTTTCCAGCAGCTTGCACCCCGGGTGGATCAAGGAGTGATCGGAGACCTTGTCTACAAAACCAAGTCTCAATGTGATGGCCTGGCATGCAGCCGTTTGCAAACATTGGTTCTGGTGTCCACTTGCATAGCAGGACCTTCAGGTCACTTGACCAGGGCATGTTGACTTCACCATCGAGGTTTGGATTTTGGATAAAGCAAGGAGCTCACGTCTGTTCAAGTCTATCTCTAGCTCTTCAACCAACTGAAACGAATACCCAAGGAGAAAAGACGAGAACGAAAGTGTGAAAACCCAGACAACCCCGCTCTGACGCCTATGAGCTTGTCCCGAGGCCGTGAAGTCTACTATAGCGTGTCCCGTGCTCCACGCCGCCCGAAATCCCAATGCAAATCCTCTTTGCCCTTCTAAATAGCAGCGCCGGAGAGAAGAGAGTGTGCCGCGAACCCAAACCCAAGAACTTCCCAAGAACCTCCCTCATCCGAATCCCAAACCAACCGCAGACTGACACGACACCAGCAACAAATAACCCGATAGAAAAATGGGAACCAGGCAAACTCCGAAGTCCCATAGAAAGTGTTCCTTCCATCGGCTGCTCTGGAGAGCCATCCAAGGAGAAGCCGTGGCGAGCCATCAGCGATGAGACGGATAGCTCATTTTGACGACCTCGCAATACTCGCAGCGTACATGCCCGCAATTGGGATTGGGGCAGGCGACGTCAAGCGTGCAGCTCAGGGGGCCGTAGGTGCAGGAATGCTGCTTCATGGTTAGTATAAAAAGCATGGGCATCACGCAAGGGAATTGGGTTTCTTACGCAATACCATCTGCGCTCAGTGTAAACCTTGCCGGACATGATGGACCTGAGGTTTTCCGTGGAGGTTGGGATGTTTGACAAGTGGGGGAATTGGGAAGGCAGTGAGACTTGGACGTTGAAAATCTGTCGAACTGTCGACGATGCCAATAACAAAAACTCGAGAGGTCCGAACGGGCATCAACAACTGCATTATATGGCCCGAGTCCTGGAACCTAGAGGCAAACAACAAGAGGAATTCCTACTCTGTGTCATCGCCTCACTGCCGCAGCGAAGGGCAACTCTTTGCCTGGGCAGACTGACTGAACTTGCCCAGGGCTCGATAGGCCCGCTGCATAGCTCCGCCATGGTGCCCACTTGGAAGACGGAGAAAGAAAACAAACAGAAAGGTGAAGCGTGCAAGAACAAGGCGAGATGAGCTTGACAGCATCTCGGTGACCGAGTAACCGCAACTCTTTCCAAACAGATTGCCCTTCGGCTGCTCGTTGGAAGACTCTGGATGGGGTTCCCAATGTCTAGAGTTGCATCACAGGAGTCCGCAGCCCATTCGAAGGAGGTCAAAGCCGTGGTCGATCCAATCCATTGGAAATGCATACAGCCGTTGTGGCCTCGCCTGAAGCTCCAGACAGTGCCCTGGGCGCAGCAACTGAACGGCCAGCGAGTGAAGCAACGTCAGTGGGCCGGAACGTTGTGGCCATGACCAAGAGAGCCGAAGACGGATGTCGGACGCATTGTAGGACTGTTGAATGTAAAGCCCGCCCGAAAATATGCCACCGCATGCGTTTCCGGAGGGCGCCGGGCCAGAAAGCCTTAATGAACGTTATGGCCAGGCAGGGTTGCCTTGGCCTCCACCCTTATCCGAGAGATGGGGATTGTGCGAGAGCGGTGATATGAATCGACTAGTAATTTGAAGCTTCACCGAACGCTCAGAAAACAGACCAAAATTGAATCCAGGGACTGGTACTGATTAACCAAGGGACTCGGGACAGGCGCTGCCCTTCGAACAATGCGGCTCTGCTCTTCACCCCAGCGGTTGGTGATGGATCTTGGCATCCCACATTCCTTTGCCCAGCCCATGCCGATTTGGGTTGGGATCATGCAGTATCCAAAATGCTCGAACCGGGAATTCACTTATTTATCGGGGCAAGACCCGCTTTGGATGTGGAACGGCGAGGCTGTTTTGTCTGTTTGAATGCGCTCCGCCAGTTTCGTGCCTGGACTGAAACGAGGTCAGAACTCGTTCACCGACGCGCCTCTATGGAACATGCCCGGCAGGCTTTCTTGCGAGGCGCACACCGATCGTGGCTCAGTGACGTAGCGGTTTTGATTTGGCCGGTTCCCACTTGGGCAAGGGAACAACGGCGCAACTTGCATTGAGCTTTCGTCAACGCTGCCTGGGGCCCATGCCCAAGCGGCATCAGGCTCTGACTCAAACCCCCTGTTCTGCCGATTGCGTAAGGCTCGAACGTAGCATTCGATTTCAACTCATGCTTGTCGTCGGTCAAGAAAGCGTTCAAACTCCGTCATGCCTACTTGCCAGCAATTAGCTTCGGTTGCGCACACAAACTGAGCAGGGACGGGAACGGCATGACCGGATCGCGGGAGTGACGCAGTTTCGATTTGCCCAAGTCCTTCGCAGGATTCGTCTCTTTGCCCTGGTTCCGGCCACCTTCCCATCGACGAACTTGGCACTCAGTAAGGTAGCCCGTCAACCGACTGAGATGGCGAAGACATACAAAGAGTGCTATGACGAAGAAGGAGATCATATGCGGCTGGGTATCGACGGATGCGGGTGCTGAGAGAGAAAATATTAGAGAAGGACGGAGGACGAAAAGATATCAGGCGTCAACTGACCGTTGTCAAACATCCTTGGGCAGGAACGGCCGAGAGCACACACTCATTCCTTAATTTCAATGTCCGACGAGTCGGACCTGTCAAACTACCGCCGGACGACGGACCTGGGGTTTGGCAGCCGGAAGTGGAGAGTGCCAGGCCCGCCCCAGCGTCTCGACAGTCGACATGGCTTCGGCGCCATCATCGTTGAAATTCCGATCGCCGAATGCCGCAACGGGCATTGAGCCATGTCCGTCTCGGTCCACATAACTCCTATTCAAATGGGAGCAGTGCGCCTCTTTGTTGCCATAGTGAGTTCAGGCCTCTCTTCCATCAAAACCCAAGTTGATATCTGAGGGATGGACTGGGTGTTGTTTTGTTTCTGGCGGCGTGTCGTCCCTTTTATACAGCTTGACCTGACGATGCGGCTCTGTTTGTGGTTGGAGGCCACAAGGCCGCGAATACTGGCCAACCACCAATGTCGTCAGGTCGGCAAGCAACCTCGCGGCCGTATGACTGTTTACATGTTCGCCAGAGTCCTCGCTGCTGGCCTGTGATATGGCTACCTTCCAGCTCAGTGTTTTGCCTAGGTAGAGTGATATCGAACAGTGAACAATGCTATACGCATGTTCGAGGAGGACTTGTCGACTGTTGTATGAGAGAACCATAATGAAAAGAGTACGATGAACCGTGACGACTTTCACCGTTCAATGATGGGTGTATTGTCTCTTCAGCCTTCCTACTGCTAATACTGGACCACCATCACCAACGGCTGCTCAATGAATGTCGCCGCGGTGCGGAGTGAGGACTCCGGTCTGGTAGTCGTTGGGTAGCTTTGAGAGGGTACACAAGCATCATGAGCAAGGAATCTACCGCCATCTGAGAGAGACCTAGCGTGATACTTGAGCCGTTGCCCCTCAAAGCCGGCCGGCGAGAGAAGGATTGATCTCGTGGCAAGTTGAAGTCCTGTCACTTGTCAGTTCACATAACTAAGGCAAGTCCTCCGCCCACGTCGCAGTTATTACCTGTCTCGCCTGTCACCATAAGAAAGTCCGTGCGGAGGGAATCCCCACGGTAAATGGACTTCTTCGCTCGAGTTTCCGAGTCATGCTTGTTTCAGGTTGGGCGGGCTTGGCATGAGCTTGGCAACATGGAATGCTCCGCCTTCCCCCCTCGCCGCTGTGCCTGCCCAACGTCATTTCGGTTGGAAGCAAACAACTTCGCCATACTCAGGTTCGCCAGCTTACACTGCTGTCCCCGTCGGCTTCATGTCCAAGAGCCCAGCGTCCCCTGAACATCAGCGGTAGCAGGTAGACATGCCCGCAACCATCTGCGCTGCATGTCCATGCCACCGCGCCCTCCGATTCGGTTGCAACCTTCCTTTCCTGCAGTCGTCGCAACGCGACCAACACGCCTGAGCTAGTGCGCAATGGTGTCGGCTCGTCGGGCAGAGACGCGGTGGGTAACGCGGATCATTCCATTCGTTCTCGGTGGTTGTGCTGGATTCGCCACGTATGCTGTGGTCAAACACATTTGTCGTATGGCTCTCTCCCAAAATTATCCTTCAACGGTTGTCTGATCAGCTTCAATAGTGGACTACTTCATCTCCGACCAACGGCAAGATGGCACCGCGATCGCATTCCTTATTCTGTACTTCATATTTCTTCTCTTGATGCTCATGACTTACTTCCGAGTTTTCCTCGTCATTCAATACAACCCCGGCGTGACCCCGTTGGGCCCGAAAGCGACCGAATGGCATGCAAAGGCAAAGGGACGCGGCCGGCGAGAACGGGATCTCGAGGCTGCTACCAGATATGAGGCACGGCCAGACGACAATCCTGACAGCCCCGGCCTCGAGGCATTTTACAGCAAGGATGTGTTTGTTTGCGAGACGGATGGGCGACCGAGGTGGTGCAGCACATGCTGCAACTGGAAATTGGACAGGGCGCACCACTGCAGCGAGCTCGAACGATGCGTGAAGAAGATGGATCACTACTGTCCGTGGGTGGGCGGCATAGTGGCCGAAACTTGTAAGTGGCCGGCTTTCTTACACTCCGACGCCGAGGCCGGGTCCACAACTGACCATCTGACGATTGCAGCTTTCAAGTTCTTCGTTCAGTTCACATTTTACACGGCCATCCTCTGCATCATCGTGGTAGTTGCGTCGATTCTGTGTCTGCAGTCCAAGGCTCGCAAAGGCGATGGCGTCGATGGGGTTGCCGTCGGTGCGTTGGCGGTCGCAGCTCTCTTTGGCCTTTTCACCCTAACTATGACACTCACCTCGATACGCTACATTCTGATCAACCTCACAACAGTTGACTATGTCAAGTCAAAGAACATTGTGCACCAACTGGCAATCCGGGTGCCCCGAGGCACGCCACCGGGCCAGAACTACAACGTTATCACCTATCCCCTGCCCGAACATACCAACGGGTCAGGCCAACCGGGGCAGCTAACAAGGAACGAGTCCTCTTCGGCCCGGGACCAGCTCGCAAGACGGACGTTTGCCATTGTCCGAACGGAAATGGGCGAGAACCCATGGGATTTGGGCTATTACCGGAACTGGAAGTCGGTCATGGGAGACAACCTCATCGACTGGCTGCTTCCTATCAACGAATCTCCTTGCGCAAAATACGAAAGTAACGAGTCCTTTTACGAGATGGGGCCCCTGTATCACCAATTACGGGTCAGGTTCGGGCTTCCGGAGCTGTCGTCTGAGAACGAGAGTGGTGAGATGTGCGAGCAAAAGAGACGGGACAAGCTCGGGATGAACGGGACGCGGGATTAATGGCATAGAGAGATACCCTCGGACTCTGGGATGGGCTTTTTGGGTTTGGGGCGAGCTGCTGCTGGCCATTTCCGTAAGGTATCTGTTATCAGGTTATTGAGCAGATGTTAAAGGCCTCTTTATCTCTAACGACGCCGACACATACCCATTGGTAATGGACAAAACCGTAATTCGAGAAATTAAGCTCTACATATGATGCACCAGCGTTGTACCTTCTTATCGGCAAGAACCTCTTGATGCCCTATCAAGATGTCCGTCGGCCTTCAGCCTGGTCTGCTCTTATGTTTGTGACCTGCTGAGCAACGAAATGTATGTCATCTGACAGCATGTCTATTATGTCGACGAGATTGCTTGCCGGCCGAAGAAGAGTACGCTGACGGCCAAGTCAAACTCCCCGGTGTTGAAGGGCGCCCACCCCGGTAGCAACTGTCACACTTCGCATAAGTTAGTGGTGTTTCGGGGGCTCTCTGTTGCCCGGCCGTTATGTTCCTACTGTAACTCTTTGTGAGACTTGGAAGCTGGAATCAAGTGGGTCCGCCTAACCATGAGGTAATGATATCGAAGGCGAATTCGCCATCGAACACTCGACCAACATATGCCAAGATGTAGGAAGATCAGGACTATATAGGACCTCGTTCCCAAGACGCGGAATCGATATTCATAGGCCTTCACGGGTCATTGTGCGGACATTACAAACGTCACTGCCTTATAGATGTACTAGACCTTGGCTGCCAAAGCCCATCTCCTCTATCATTTACTTCCCACACTATCACATCTTTGCGAAACACATGACTCCACCACCAGCAGCAGACACATTGACGTCAAACCACCCGGAGAAGGTTCAAATGCTTGTCCTCGAGACTGATGAAACACATCCGGACACGCAGAAAGAGACGGGTTCCTTTGGGGACGTTCTCGGTCAATTGTTGAAGAGAGCGGGGAATGAGCATGAACCGAGTCTGGGTATTGAAACCGAGATGCAATACGTGGTAGAGCCGCAAGGTGGCGCGGTCCCGACATTAGAGGAAATCGGAGACGATATACACGCCGTCTTGATCACCGGGAGTTGCTGGGATGCGCACGGCGACGATCCGTGGATCCACAAACTCATGCAATTGATCAGAGGTACGGACCGGAACCTCCCGACCGAGTAACAAGGACTGACAGCAGCTCGTTACATCTAGATGTCTGGACAAAGCGCCCCGACATCCGTTTCTCAGGCATATGTTTTGGCCATCAAATCATCTGCCGCGCCCTCGGCGCAAGCGTCAAGCCCGAGGAGGCCAGCGAATGGGAACTCAGTCACACGCCTGTCTACCTCACCAACATTGGTCGCAAGCTTTTCAAGCTGCCCGAGACGGAAAAGAAAATTCATCTGCACCAAATGCATCTCGACCACGTCGTGGATCCCCCGTCACCCGACACGACCGATCTGCTGCCCAAAGGCACGGAGGTACATGTCTGGGGCACGACCGATCACACCGGTGTCCAGGGCGTGTACATCCACAAGAGACTGTTTACTACGCAGGGGCATATGGAGTTTGACGAAGACCATGTCAGGAGACAGTTGGAGATGCGTGTCGAGAGCGGCAGTGTGAGCAAGGAGGACGCGGATGAGGCGGCCGAGAGCGCGCATATGATGCACGATGGGCTCCTGGTTGCAAAAGCGGTGCTGAGGTTCTTCCATGGTGATGACGATATCTATCAGTAGTGCTGTAGACTGGGGTTCCGACGAGGCAAAGGTCGATGTGATGTGCCTATCCTGCTGTTCAGACCTGGCTGAAAGATTCAGACTTGCCAGAAGAACATGTGAAGATCCTTGTGAATGTTTTCGAGGGGTACAGTACCCTGAAAGTGTATATAGCACTGAGCCAGATCTTTACCCTGTTTTTGCGGGTTAAGTTATTAGGGTTTAGGTTGTCTCGATGCCATGAATCAAGTGGAATAGCACTAGACAACTGGGATAGACCACCTTGTAAGTGCGCTTGAAGTTCCATTAGCAACACATATGCAGAATACTGCTAACCGCTGTGAAATTAGTATGAAATTTCCAGCCCGAAGCTTACCGCAGCGGTAACTGAGCCGGATGCCTGCCAGAGTTCACCCCCACCGTGACAACCCCACCATATAACCAACGCGCTCTGAGCTCGACCGCAATTACTCCGTTCCAATATCATCACTTCCCGAGTTCAAAATGTTGCCTTGTCACCGAGTGACCTTTTCGCCGCAATGTCGTCGTCCACACAACCCTCCTCGCGGGGATCTTCTCCGCCGTCCGGCGCACTTCCTTTGAGGCGGTCGCAGTTCACATATCGCAATCTAAGCCAGATGGCGTCCTACAACACGTCCTGCCCGCTCAGGGTCATCGCCCACATCGATCTCGACTGCTTTTATGCCCAGGCCGAAATGGTCCGTCTCGGAGTGGCCGAAGACCAACCGCTCGCAGTGCAGCAGTGGTGTGTGCATGCTGTCCCCCATACCACCCCGGCTCTCGTTACTTATCTGCAAATCGACACGCCAAAGGCAGGGCCTAATTGCCGTCAACTACCCAGCGCGCGCTTATGGAATTGGTCGCATGTGTACCGTGACGGAAGCAAAGAAATTGTGCCCCAATCTCATCACCCAGCACGTCGCTACCTGGCGAGAGGGAGAGGACAAATGGTAGGCCACCACTCCCGCCTGGAAATATGCCACTGACGCGCCATTCAAGGGCATACCGCGATGATGCCGCCGAGAATATTGCAACCGATAAGGTCTCGCTGGACCCGTATAGACTCGAGTCCAGGCGGATTCTGGCCACCATCAAGGACCATCTTCCCTCGCATATGCAAAAAGTGGAGAAGGCTAGCATCGATGAAGTGTTTCTTGATCTCTCCGCCCACGTCCATGCCGTCCTTCTCGAACGGTTTCCCGAGATCGCCCGTCCTCCCCCGAGCGGCGACCCGTCAGAGCCTCTCCCGATGCCTTCCGTGTCCGCTTTGGACTGGCAGGCTGACGCGCTAGTCGACTTGGACGACGAGCATGCCGAATTCGACGATCCAGATTGGGACGACGTGGCCATGCTCGTGGCGTCCGAGATTGTGCGCAATGTCCGGGCAGCAATCAGAGACAAGCTCCGGTACACATGCGCCGCGGGAATCGCCAGAAACAAGCTTCTCAGCAAGCTAGGCTCCGCTCACAGAAAACCCAATCAACAGACAGTGATACGCAACCGGGCGGTTTGGCACTTTCTGTCGGGCTTCAAGTTCACGAAGTTTCGAAATTTAGGCGGCAAATTGGGGGAACAGGTCAGCCAGATTTTCAACACCGAGTCCGTCGAGGAGCTCCTCGTTGTACCCATTGAGCAGCTCAAGCTCAAGTTGGGCGACGACACGGGCGTATGGGTCCACAACACTCTGCGGGGCATTGACATGAGCGAGGTAAGCCCCCGCACCCAAATCAAGTCGATGCTGTCGGCCAAATCATTCCGGCCCAGTATCAACACCGTGGATCAAGCTACGAGATGGCTAAGGATCTTTGTTGCCGATATCTTTGCGCGGTTGGTTGAGGAAGGAGTGCTCGAGAACAGGCGTCGTCCTAAAACGATCAATTTGCACCACCGACATGGCGTTCAGACCCAAGGTCAGACCCGCTCGCGCTCAAGCCCCATTCCTCAGGGGCGCTCACTCGACGAGGAGACTTTGTTTGGGCTAGCCAACACCCTTTTAAACCAAATCATCCAAGACGGTCATGTCTGGCCTTGTTCGAATCTCAGCCTGAGCGTTGGCGGCTTTGAAGACGGAATATCGGGAAACATGGGAATTGCTAGTTTCTTATTAAGGGGCGAGGAAGCCCAGGCATTAACGGATGGCCCTCGCACACGGGCCGAAAGCAAACTTAAGGAGCAGTCCCAGCCGCCAGAGAAGCGACGACGGATCGATGACGGAGGCATTCAACGTTTCCTGACAAGGAAGGAGACGCCTTCGCCCTTGGACCCTATCGATGCTCTTGCGGAGGACAATGGTGCAGAAACATCCCGTGTCAGAGAGACAAAGCTTGACTCGGATGCACCATCACTTCCGGATGAGGGACCTGTGCTCCAAGCCAATGATGAGACAGCAATCGGCGGTCACCTCTGCGCTCGATGTGGTGCGTGTCTGGAGAGCTCGGAATCGCTCCAAAGCCACCAAGATTGGCACTTTGCCAAAGACCTCCAGGAGGAAGAACATGGCAGGTTGGGATTCGGTAACCAGGCGTCTACCACTGCAGCAAGTCCACATTCCGGCGGCCGAAGATCTGGACCTGCAGCTCCCAAGCGACCAGGAAGGCCCAAAAAGACGGAGCGCGGCCAGCAGAAACTGAGCTTTGGCTGATAAGGTCCATGCATTGCCGAGGCAACCATGCATCGATAAACACCTGCGAATGGACGGGCGGAAGCAGAGAATGCGCTCCGAGATGCCTCTCGACGTCCTCGGTAGCAAGGCACCATGCTCCTCAAGCCCTCTGCAGTACGGTCATCATGAGCGGCAGCAGCCGGCAACGACGAGCCCCGTCCAAGCTTGAGGAGCCGGGTAACCTGTCTCAACAAGCATGATAGCTACTCGTGTACGGATCTGTAGTAGGCTAAAGTCGAATTAGTGGCCCGTGTGCGCCGCTAGCCAGCTCGGCAGGAGTTGGAGCGCGGTTCAGCAGCAATGCTTCCGGAGCTGAGGATGCTTGCTTCTTACCTCCTGATGCGGATCCCGTTATGAGGTGGAGGCTTTCCGAGTGGTGCTCAAACCGTGACTATCAACGCGAGCATGATGGGAGGCGCCGAAAGCAGGCTTGATAATGAATGCATTCATACACATTCTAGCTCATGCCTACGGAGTACCGCATACCGTTCAGCTCTTGCGCAGCATCGCGAAGTTCCATCACTTCCCGTTATTTTTTTCTCCCTGGAGAGACAACGGACGAACTCGCATCTCACGTCTCTACGCTCAAGACAGCCGGAGCCGCGCAAAACCCAACAGTGATTGGCTGATTTGCTTCGTCAGGGGCCCGCGGGACAGGTTGGGCTTCCGAGATGCATTGATACCCAAAGTCACCAAACACTACCAGCTGTCTCGCCTGCCACTTCACTGGCCACTCTGAAGCCCTTGGATGTCCGCTCAGGCAAACTCAAGGAATCATCCCAAATGAAGCTGTTTAATGAGTGACCGCGGGCGATGGTCATCGAGTAGCAAGGAGGCGATGTGGCCCACAGCTTAGGATTGACAAGGCGTCGCCGGCGACCAGCCCGCTTCTACACAATATAAAAAAAGTTTGCAACGTCCAAACAGCCAGAAATTTTCATTAAAATGGCCATCGCCTCCTGATCGGGCGGGTCATGAATGTGCGCATCTCGTTCTGAAAAGCCATCCATTGCCTCTCAGCATTGGACCCAATCGGTTGTTCGGAGTCCTCCGGCCCAAAGACCGTTTGGGCGACCGACGCTGACAACACACAGTCCTGCAGCCCTCCCACCAATAAACGATTTTCCAACGAGCCCTGCGACTTGGTCAAAACAGATGCAAGATTTCTCGAACCCCAGCCAGACAAGTGGCTCAACAGGTTGTGCATTGCAGACCGCCGATGTATTCGGTTAGTGAAGCATCCGCTTTGCATTTGATCGTCTAGTCATTCTCAGCGGCTGGTGTACTGTGTAAAAGGCGATCTCCTGCCTCATGCAGTCTGTAAGCCCGCCCACTTGCGGTTGCATGACAAGACGACCAGCGGCCAGCCCAGGGGATAGGGGTTATTCCAGCCCTCACGATTGGGTCGACTTGGCCTCGTCTGACGCTGCCTTCGCCGCCATCTCTATATTCAGCTGGTTCTCCTCTTCTCCCTGGCGTCCGGAACGGTGGCCGCGAACCGTATCCGAGTGGCTTTCCTCCTCGTTCTGTGTCTGCAAGTGGTCCGCCAGGGAAGAGCCGGGCTGCGATCCAGAGACGGAAGCCCATCTCATTGGCGTTCATTGGCGTATTGCTGGACCTATCGAGCTTACGTCCACTGAGATTTCATGTCCGTCTCCTCTGGTTGCCACCTGCAGGGCTTTGCGGTGTCGTCCGTAACCTGGTGCAACGTGGACACAGCACCTGGAGCGAACTGCATACCTCCGCCCAAGCCTTCCAGTTTGTTCTCGGATTCCAACATTTCAGCGAATGCCCAACAAAGACGCCGTTGCTGGAGCTGCCAAGGGTCCACTGCCATGACGGGTAGCCAGCCAGTCACCGGCCTCCCTGCCAGGCAGACAAGGCCCGCTCTGACAGCCCAACCCCAAGCGCCGGGTTCCGTGCTGTGGTCGGGTGGGCCCGCCATCCATTTCTTCGAGCATCTCCCACCCTCTCCACTCCTCCGCCCTCCTCCTCACTCTTATCCTCCGTTCCTACTTTTTCTGCTTTGCCGCGTCGCCGGTTCCGCCCTCCACCCTTTCGACTACTTCTCAATTCCCTTATCCTGCTTTAGCCCCTGATCGCCAGATACATCTTCCCCTAATCTCCATCTCTGCTCGGGTGTGATACTTTACGTTTCTACCAGATCCTACAATGGCGGGGAGACCTAGCAACAGGTCGAGCCAAACGCAGCCGGTGGCCCCAGCCACGGCCCGCCAAAACGAGTATTTTGTGCCTCGCGATGGCATCGACCGAGAGGTCATCACATCAGACATTTGCAGATATTTGGGGAATGACGCATTAGTGCGCCCTGGCACTTATGAGGTGCGACGACGGCCTCCCCTTGTCCTTTGCCAGGGTGGTCGCAAGTTTCTCACTACCTGTCAACTGCAGTCACCAGACGGCCGTGTCACGCAAGGCTATTTCATCACGGCATACCGGAACTTGACATCGGTAAGCATCAGCCTCCGTCAGCGATGTTTGACATTGCTAGGAGTTAATCCTCTAACCCGTGCAGGCTATGATCCAAGATCTCAAGGCCGACTCCGCTCGGTGGGAGCAGGAGAGGCGCGCCGCGTCAAGGTCCTCAGGCGGCGCTGGAGGTATAAGACATTCGAGCCAACCGAATGGCATATTCTTGAGAAGAAACTCTAACTTTCCCTTAGGATCCCGGGATCAGGCTCGTGGGCAGGACTACAGCGCGTGGAAGAACAATCAGCGGGAGAAAGGATACAGCAGTGCCTCGTACGATTCTGCCATGGACATGGACATTGACTATGCGCACGCACCACCCCCTGCCGCTACTCCAGTTTATCCGGGCCAGCAGTATCCAGGACCGCCCGCCGCCAACTACCCTCCGGCCGCCTATCCGCCACAGGTCCACGCTGCTGCCGCGCAGTATTCAGCCCAGCCAGGCTACGGGTATGCGACCAACCCTCCTCCTACGCAGTACTCTCCACAACCCCAGACTTCCGGAGACAGGTACTCTGCGATCCCTCCGCCTCCCATTGCCGGGTCATACCCCCAAGATGCTGCATACGTTCATGGGTCAAACTACCAAACCTCTGGAGGTTATGCCGCCCCCGGTCCCAACAGGATGCCATCGGTCATATCTCATGCGTCTGCCGCTCCCTCGAGGACTTACACTGCTCCCACGGCTGGCACACCTGTGTATGGGTCAGAGACAGATCCGTACAGTTATCCTCCTCCTGCAGGAAACCCTGCGCCCCAGGGTTTCCCGACGGATGGTCTCTACGGTCGCGGTGCGTACCCTACAGCAACAGCCAGCATTCCGGAGTCTTCGTCTGATGTTTTAGGTTCCCCTGCAGGTGCCACGCAACGGCCGGGCTACTCAGCCCCTCCGGATCCTCAGTATGTTGACCTTCAGAATCCCGGGCTGCAAGCTGCAACCACACCCACAACGACGGCCCCGGCTCAAATGGCAGGCGTCACAGCGCCGCCCGCCCGCCAACGTGAACGTGACTCCGAGCCGAGGGAACGGGAGCGCGAACCAAGAGACCACAGGGATCCAAGGGCTCGCCGCTCGGAACCAGAACGCGACGACAGGCATGCCGACAGGAACCGTCACCGCCATCGCTAACGCGGCCACACGCAGGATTTGATTCTGAGCCTCTTCCACCCCGGGCTTGCCACCCGGATACCTGGATCTCATGAACGCTTTGATTTCTTCCTTCTTGCTAATCTGTCGACCCTGGATGGGGTCAATGAATGCTTCTTTTTCTTCCTTCCATTTTTTTCGGCCCCTTGGATTCCGCTCCTTGCAACACTGATGTCCATCCATGGACAGGCCCGGGACAGGAGACACTGCAGGCCCACCTAAGAGTTGCAAGTTGCATCTCTAGCCTTCAGGAACATGATGGCTTTCGGGTTTCGATCTGCTTCCCGTAATGCTACTGGACGGTACTTCACTCTGGATATCACGGCCAACCAGGACTTCCGCGCCGAACGGACTTGTTCTCGGCCAGCACTTTCTGGCGTCGGCGCTTGTGGATGACGGCGTGGAGAGGGGTGCGAGCATCGACTCACCAAGTTTCGCTATTTGATATTCCTCTCCGCCAAGGCTGTACGGCGGAGGTGAGCGGTACCACACTGCAAGGCCCGCAACCTCGCTACGCTGGAAACAGAGCGTAGACGCTGATTGCACGCTTCTCCTTCTACCCCGGATGGCTCCTCTCCTTGCTGTCCGGACCAGCTGCCGGGATTGTCTTGTCGTCATGGAATTCAATCTCGCCCCTGGATTCCAGCCTTCGATTACATTTCCTCCGGCCTATTGACGAATCTCCCCCACCGACTACAGTCGAGGCCACGGCCGGGCAGCTAAGGTGAGTAACCATCCGGCAGGGTTGTACATATCATGTTTGAATATCCTCGGATCTGAATGCGCTACAACATTTCTCATCGGACCCGATCCGGAACGAAGACGTGAGTTTGAGTCAACTGACATACCAACAGGCTTCTGCGCCGACTTGGACGACCGGACAGGGAGCACCGCCGGAGAGAGGCGAAACGCTGGTTGCCCTTCCACGGTTTTGATTCCCGTCCTCCGTTTTTTCTGGACTTCAAGCCATGGGCTACTCGAGATTCTCATGCCAATGCCGATGCCTTTGGACTCAGCCGACCCCAGGATTATACCACGCACAGTCTGGTTATCTTCCGCCTCTCAGCCGAGAGCCTGGCACATGGAAATTTTGGAGCTCTGTCCGCGGATTGTTTCTGCTTTCTTGGTTGATCACATTCTAATCGAACGGTGTATCATCAAGAACAGAAACAGACGGTAAGCTCGAGCATCGTGCTCCGCTTCAATGGATCATCTTACAAGGACACACTCTTTTGCTTTATCTACGTTCTTGGCCGTTGGCTCTGATGGTGTTTGCCGATCTGAAGGACATGGATCGCCCTGTGAGCAAGCATGCTCATCACACCGCAATATCACGATGTCCCGCCATATCATTTGACCATCAGCATATCATTTGATGACCTTGACTGTTTTCTCAGACCATCTTGGACTCGGTGGACACCACTTGGATGGTTCACCACACCTAGCACCAAGTCGCCGTTGGGAGATTGACAACAAATCCGCACACCGAAATGCCGACAGCAGCCAAGGCTCTGGAGAAGTTCGCCTGCTCTACATTGGGACGCCCACAAACACCCTAGAACCGGTGTCATTTCAGGACTTTCTGAGGATATTGCCTATGGATCTGCCGCTGGATACGCTCCGCCCGGATTGTTTTCTCCGTCTAAATGCATGCCTACACGCACGGCACTTATCATCTGTCAGTTGCCATTCTCGCTTGTTTCCTTTCTTTTCATACCTTTCCTCTTCATGGGACGTTTGCTTGCAACACCGGACTTGCCCGGCCACCATGATTCCTCAAATCGCAATGGGTTTCGTTCCCTATCATGCATGCTGACCGAACCTACTTCTAGCTTCCAGGTCACACATGAGGTCGGGGAGCGGGGTTGTTCTTTTTCGCTTGTTATAGTGCCCGGGGTTGTGCCTGGTTAGAGTCCCTCGGGTTGTGAGGCGTGTGTTTGTGGACTTCCGTGGCTGGGTATGGGACAACAGCAAAGGCAGAAGAGGAAATGAGTGTGGTTGGTGGTGAGCCCTTTTCGGTTTTTTTCTTGGATTCATGTGTTCGCGTTTATGTCTGCTCTAAGGCGTCAGTGGAGTATGGGTTATTGACTTGGGAGGACCGGATCTTGATACAGGAATGGCAAGGCAGGAAGAGGTTGGGCGGCTCTTGTGTTTTCCTGCTAGCTACCTGGTGCATGCGCTTCGCAAATGGATGTCTCGGTGCTTCATTGATGGTTCAAAACCTCGAGCAACACCCACCCCCTCGCTTGATGGCTGCGGTCGGCGGTTGGACAGCAAGTGCATTGACTTATACTCGTCCAATTACTCGGTTCTACCAATAACATACCCCTGTCGGCCCAGGTCGTAAGGCTAACAAGAGCAAAGCGTTCAAGCCTCTCGACAATCATCAACGCATGGTTTGACCTGCCTCCCCTTTGATTGACTGCTGCATGGGCTCCATGCCCTGCTTGCTTGGGCTGGATACCTAGGTATGGAGATCTTGGAGATATGAACTTGAATCATTGAATTTGAACAAGGGATCGTAGCAGGGTCAATCACCGTGGGTGCTGTCGATGGCGGGTTGTCCATGCTCACAGAGGACATTGTATTGCAAAACTTGAAATACAGCGGCAATTCAACAGGATAGCCATGCTTCGGCTATGAATGCGATGTTGTTGAATTTCGGTAGCCTTCAGCCCAGGAACCAAGCAAATTCCTCTTGAGCAATCTGTGTGCCTCAAAAGCCCTTGCTGTGTGGCCCAGCACACCAACCACATGTGATCCCTGGTGGGGCGGGCTTTTCTTTGGGAGTGAGAGGGGTGGGACGACGCCAAACGATGTCCCAATGACTTGATGTCACAACAAAGGCGGTGAAGGAGCAAGATCTGGATCCTGGATCAGGGTGCCTTCCTGCCGATTATACAAAAACAGAAAAGAAAAGAAATAAAAATACATTGCTTGGGAGAATCTCCGAGTACCAGAAGAAGGAGAGCTGATTTTGAATCTAGCTCCCGAGAGCGGGTGTGAGGCGGCCGAAGATGGCAACATCCCCTTGGTCCATACAGCCAACTATAGACGGTTGTCACGTTTTCGAGGCGCTCAAATACCTATGCAGTATTTGGCATCGTTTCGTGATATTGTTCTGGGCCATGTTTCCTTCCAAACTCAAGTTAAGAGGAAGCAGCGGAAGCAGCGGCAGGACTTGCTTGGGCGGCTTCAGAACTGAGCACTCGGCGATATCTTCCAGGTCCAGGTGAACGCTTAGAGTCGGCGACAACGGCCTCCCTTTAGTTGGACTCGGTTTTATGTACGTTCATCTCATAGGATGTAAACCGTAAGAAATCTAAATCTGTGATGATCAAAATAAGCCAACTCCCGACGTTCTCATCCAATTTATTAAGTGCGACTCGTGCTTGTTGTCCAGGCCCGAGGCCGCTGATCTGAGCCCTTGCAGGCTGCATGTTGGGCGGCTGGCTGCGCTGATGGCGACTGCGGCAGCACAGCGTGAACCTGCCCGAACCCACATTGACTTCTGCCCCGCCATTTGGGGCCCCTTGCCGGTGCTGCTTGCAACCACATTTTGGCCCAAATTTTTTCTGGACCCCTCGACAACCACAACCCACCCCCCCTTTTGGCTTTTCGGGCATTCTTCCGATCAAAAACAGCCGTCTCGCGAAGCTCCCTTGATGCGATAGTTGGCCCGACAGCTCGTCCACAATGGATGCCGCCGCCATTCGAAGTTGCATCGCTGCGACACTCGACGCCGATGCCGACGTCCGCCGGAGGGCTGAGCTTCAGCTGAAGCAGGTACGTTTGCCTGTGCTTGTTGGTTGGACTGCTGCTGCGTGTGTGTTGTGTGTACGCGCCGTCGAGACACATCCCGCCCGTCCACCGCCGCGCGACAACCAGCATTCCACCGTCAATGTCCCCGCCGGTCAACCGCTGACGTTTTTATCTCGTAGGCCGAGGGCCAGCCTGGCTTTACGGATGTCCTGCTGGATCTTGTCCAGTCGGAGCAAACATCGAATCTTCAACTGCCCAGTATGCCATTCTCCCAACTCCCTCGTGGGACGTCGACTCCGTCTGCCTCTTTGTCCGTCCTCTTTCCGCTTCCGCAACCGTGTTAACGAGTCCACTAGCCGTCATCTACCTCAAGAACCGCGTCAACCGTGCATGGGAGCGCTCCGAGTACTATCCGAACGACACCCTGATACCCGATGACGAAAAGGCGCGTTTCAGAGAGCGGTTACTGCCCATTTTGGCGGGCTCCCAGAACCTGGTGCGGCATCAACTTGTGCCCATCTTGCAGCGGGTCCTGCATTTCGACTTCCCCGAGAAATGGCCGACGTTCATGGACTACGCCCTCCAGCTGCTTAATACCAACGACCCGAGATCGGTCCTGGCCGGGCTACAATGTCTTCTAGCCGTCTGCCGAGCCTATCGCTTCAAGGCGGCCGACAGCGAGAGCAGGTCCCACTTTGACAAGATCGTCGAGGCCAGCTTTCCCAGGTTGCTGGTAATATGCAACGAGCTGGTAAACCAGGAGAGCGACGAGGCTGGCGAGATGCTGCACATCGCTTTGAAGTGTTACAAGCATGCCACATGGGTGGGTTACAATGAACAGGCAAGGGGACAACAACGGACACCAGGCAAGCTAACATCAGTTGTAGGTCGAGCTCTGCGAGTTTTTGCGGCAAAGTGCCGTGAACCTTGCGTGGTGCACCGTCTTTCTCCAGACCGTGTCTAAAGCTATTCCTGCCTCCGCCATGCAAGGCGAGCCACTGGAACGAGAGCGGCACCACTGGTGGAAGGCCAAGAAGTGGGCATATTTCAACCTGAACCGCCTGTACATCCGGTATGAAATAAATAACCGCTCAAGAAGACTCTGGCAGTGGCGCAGGACTAACAGAGCTGCAGACACGGCAACATGCAAGCGCTTCTGGACCGGTCTGCTGAGCCTCCAACACGATTCGTCAAGGAATTCTCCGCCCAGGTCGCCCCCAAGATTCTCGAATACTACCTCGCCGAAATCGAGAAGTGGGTGTCCAAGACCATCTGGCTCAGCCGGCCATGCCTCTCCTACACTATTGTGTTCCTCGATGAGTGCATTCGCCCCAAGGAAATGTGGGCGCATCTCAAGCCTCACCTGACCAATCTTGTCACCCACTTCATCTTCCCCGTCCTCTGCCTGACAGAAGAGGACATTGAAAAGTTTGAGGATGAGCCCGAGGAGTATCTTCACCGAAAGCTCAACTTCTTCGAGGAGGTTTCGGCGCCAGATGTTTCGGCCACTAATTTCTTGGTCACGCTAACCAAGGCACGGAGGAAGCAAACTTTCGAGCTTCTCACTTTTATCAATGACGTGGTCAACCAGTATGAGCAGGCTCCGGAGGGGAGCAAGAACCACATCGCGAAGGAAGGTGCTCTGCGCATGATCGGGACGCTCGCACCCGTTATCCTGGGCAAAAAATCGCCGATCGCGTCCCAGGTGGAGTACTTCCTTGTCCGTTACGTCTTCCCCGACTTCACCAGCGACCAGGGCTTCCTCCGGGCTCGGGCGTGCGATACTGTCGAAAAGTTCGAGCAGCTGGACTTTAAGGATCAGAACAACCTCCTCGCTATCTATCGCCACATCCTCGACCGCATGGCCGATCCAAAACTCCCGGTCCGTGTGACGGCCGCCCTGGCGCTGCAGCCCCTGATCAGACACGACGTCATCCGGACGAGCATGCAGACCAGCATCCCGACCATCATGCAGCAGCTGCTCAAGCTGGCGAACGAGGCTGACATCGACGCCCTCGCCAACGTCATGGAGGACTTTGTCGAGGTCTTTGCGGCCGAGCTCACACCCTTTGCTGTGGCTTTGAGCGAGCAGCTCCGCGACACCTATCTTCGTATTGTCAGAGAGCTCTTGGAGAACACCGAGAAGCGGGACGATATGGACAACGAGTTCGGCGACTACCTCGATGACAAGAGCATTACGGCACTCGGAGTCCTCCAGACCATTGGAACTCTTATTCTCACCCTCGAGAGCACGCCAGACATTCTTCTTCACATCGAGAGTGTTCTGATGCCTGTTATCCAGATCACTCTGGAGAACAAGCTCTACGGTAGGTCGTCTCGAGAAAAAAAAGGCTTTGATTTCTGCTAACCAGGGCTTCAGATCTGTACAACGAGGTGTTTGAGATCATTGACAGCTGCACCTTCGCCGCCAAGCAAATCTCGCCCACCATGTGGAAGGCATTTGAGCTCGTCCATGCAACCTTCAAGTCTGGCGCCGAGCTGTATCTCGAGGATATGCTGCCTGCCCTGGATAACTTTGTTCAGTATGGCGCTCCACAGCTCATCGAGAAGCCAGAGTATGTCGAGGCTCTGTTCTCCATGGTCTCGGATATGTTCACAGACGGCAAAGTCGGCGGTGTCGACCGGATATGCGCCTGCAAGCTTGCCGAGGCCATGATGCTGAGCCTCCGCGGCCACATCAACAACTGTGTCCATGGATTCATCAACATGGCGATGGGTGTCCTCGTCAGCCAGGATGTCAAGCTCAAGTCGTACAAGGTGCACTTGATGGAGATGGTTATCAACGCCATCTACTATGACCCACTCCTCTCGCTTCAGATTCTCGAGGCTCAGGGATGGACCAACAAGTTCTTCAGTTTATGGTTTGGAAGCATGGCATCGTTCACGCGGGTACACGACAAGCAGCTGTGCATCCTGGCCATAATTGCTCTCCTCAACATCAAGCCTGACCAAATTCCTGCTAGCGTCATGGTTGGCTGGCCGAGACTTCTCCAGGTTGGCTCTCTTCAGCCTAGTCTATTTTGAGGAATGCCTTCTGACAATCTGGTAGGGCCTTAAGAGTCTCTTCGAGACCCTTCCGGAAGCGATGGAGAGTGAGTAGCGGCCTGAATAGTTATCCCGTCAATCTTAGCTAACACGTTTCAGACCGCAAGGAGGCACTGAAGGACGATTTCCAGTTTGACAGCGGAACCTATGGGTACGATGAGAGTGATGATGAGTGGGATGACGAAGAAGCAAATTGGAACGGGGCGGAGCACGAAGAAGAATCCGCCGGTGAAACCAAGGACGAGAGCACGGCGTACTTGGAGTTTCTCAATGAGGAGGTAAGCATGCCAATGGACGACTCCCTGAAGTCTTATTTGGCTCAGTTGGCACTTACGGATGGGTCAGTTTCACAAACTTGCTGACACGCACCGCAACCAGGCACAGAAGCTCAAGTCCGCAGACTTTGAGGATTCGGACGGCGAGCTCGGCGAGGACAGCGTGTTGCTGGAATCGCCGCTCGACCGGATTGACCCTTATCTCGCCTTCAGAGATTGCTTCAAGAGTAAGTGCCGTCCAATGTGGTGAAAAGGCTGGTTGCTAACAATGCCTTCACAGAATTGCAGGACGAGCAGCCTCAGTTCTGCGGTACATTGCTGAGCCACATCTCGCCTGTCGACCAGACGTTCCTCCTTGAGGTTTGCCAGAAAGCGGATACGCAAGAAATGATGGGCCTGCAGAGCCCTTTCCCCATCTCCGGGTCGTCGCGCGGTGCGAATGCGAACGGCGCAAGCTAGAGGACTTTGCCGCCGCTGAGACCAGTCATCACATAATGTCAAGCGACAACCGATTAGAAGAACCGGCCCAGTCTTCTCCCCTCTACAATCGTGTGGCCCGGACCACCCACCAACCACCCCTACTCGAACGTACAGGTAGACTTGGGCGAGCTCTTTCAACCTTGATTGGGCCGAACTGTCTGTGATGGGAGGCACCACGCGACTTGCCCAATCGCACGCTTAGGCTGTATTGGGGGACAAACGATGGGAGGCCTCAAGTCTCCGAGAAAAATGGGCGGCAAAGTTCGGCTCGTGCCCTCCTATTGAAGGCATTTGTGTCACAGGGAAGTGGAACCGATTTCGCGGGGCACGTTAATGGTCATTATGGTCATCGGATGGGTGTTTGCTTTGCTTTGTATCTGCTTTAGTTACCCCCGCGATGTTTGGTCGTTTACCCCTGTTCCCCCCTGGGGTCGGTAGATTTGTGAAGTTTAAGTCTGGAGCAGGAGGAGTGATGGACACCGCCGGATTCGGCGGACACAAGGTAACATGACAAAACATGGCAGAAAAGAAAAGAACTGAAGACTGCGTTCTGCGATGTGGTGATGTTTTTTGAGTCTCCAAGCTCTAAATCTCGGGGAGGTATACCACTGTGACTGTTGTCTGAAGAGGTTGCCACGGGCTCTCTGACATGTTTCGCTTTAATCCCCAGCGTGGCGCTCAGGGTTCTCTTCCCTTAGGCGACTCGAAGAGGAGCTGGGGGTACGGGTCATAGGCCCTTTGCCAGGTTGCTTTCGTCTTCGAGAGCAACTACGGCGTACAGAATTATGAACCGTATATGTCCCCTTGTTTCCCTCGTCAGTTTGAAGTGGAAAGAGAAACAGCCGCAGTTTCTCCGAGGTAAATGTTCTGGCATTCAATGAACATAAAGAGCATAATAGTAGGTAGCGAAGAACTGGGCCGTCCGGATTTCATCGAGGATTCAAGTTGCTCCCAGATCCCACGGTGGCATGCTGGCGCCGTTCGAGAGGTCTGGATCTCGCGATCGGTTGGGTTTTTCCCTGAAGAGTTGGATATGCTCGAGGAGCGGTGACCATGGCTGATAATACACATCGTTCAGTGTGACAGCATTGGTGCGGCTCACAAGATGCTGACAAGCACTGGCTTGTGACAGCTTGATGGCCACACGCAGCCCATCCAGATTTGGATGATGTTCCAGGTACATCTAAGGTGCAGTGCCTGTACCTGGGAAGATAGTAAGCAAGGGCTTCGCTGGCCCTGAGCAAGCCAGAACATCGTGGTTCCTGCAACTCCAACAACACATCGTCGGGGCTCGAACCAACTCAGGAGTCCGCGGCGTGCCAGACCATGTTGTCATTCAACGGATGTCGGTCATGCCCATATCTTGTACTACACATTCATACACGGATGACGGCCCCCATCTGGACTGAGAAGAAAAGAAGTGGGTATGGCTGGCCAGAACCATCGTCATCACTACCACACGCCACCATGACCACTGCGCCATGTATTATCTCCCGACGCAGCTTTGGTCAAGTCACGGCGTGTCTCCCATGTTCTGGAATGGTGGTACAAAGCAGGAGATCATCAACGGCCGAGCAAGGCAGGCCCAGCTTGGCAAGGCAGGGCCAAGAGAACGTGTCCGACGCCTCCTGTCCTGGTTTGGTGTGTGCCCTCGACGGATTCTGGGCGACATATCTGGGTGAGTTGACTCAGTTGAGCGGTGAGTGGGCGAGTGTCGGGAGAAAGTTGTTCAGACTCTCGGCACAGGTGTGCAAAGGGATAAGTCTGAGAAGAGTAACCAACGGTCTATCATCCGGTCGGTGACGCGGTCAACTGGAAGGAAGACACAGAGACGGGTACTAAGAGAGTCGCGGTCAAGCATTTCCTCTCTAGGAACCGACTGTCACCATCTGCCTTCGGCAACATCTGCATGTCCATTGTCCCTTGCCGGCGTAGCATGGGACCTGGGGGATGTGGAACCCTATTGCGAAGCCATTTGCAGGGAGATGCAGTTACTGTACTGTACCTATCACATACGCGTATCTGACACATTCAGACGACCACATGCCATCCAAGCTGGTCAGCATGGCAGAACGATCGAGAGACAGTGACCCCCACGTAATGCATGCAGTCCTTTGCAAACCATCCATTCCCGTCGTCCTGCAGCTAGGCGGTGCTTGGGGCGCTGCCCACCAACTGAGGCTTTTACCCGGGACCCTCTTCAGAGGAAGCCGGTCCGCGTCCGTCGTAAAGCTCACCTTGATGAGAGCTGGGTAGATAGTTGGTATCGTATCCGTATGGCGCGACATGTGTTGTTGCCCCCACTTAGAGAAGGAGGACGGGTGCAATAGCCCCATCTTGGAGATTGCCCGTTCTCGCACTTAAACTACCATTCAACTGTGGCGAACTCCCAAAGGCAGATTCGCTGCAAGTCAGAATGGCTACGGGAGGCTAGCGTGGTGACCGCGGTGACACAACCGTCATGGGACAGAAAAGGTGCCAACAGCTTGGCGCTGATCACACCTCACGGTGGGGAGAAGACGCCTGCTTCACGTGCGAGCTCCACCACCTCGGTGCATCGAGTCGCTTTCTGAAGGCCAACATTGGATTTCTTCCAAATAGAGGAAGCCGACCCTGACTGTGAACAAAACCCCCTGCCGAAAGCCAGTGCCAAGGAACGTTTCTATCTTCCTGTTCACCCAAGACCGATCCAAAAAGAAAAAAAAAAAAAACAACAAACTTGGCGGCTCAGCCAACTGCTCACGGAGATGAGCAATATGGGGGGGCACAGCTTGACTGAAGTCTCTCCAAGAAGCGTCAGAATGAGAGCGCGGTATCTTATGGATAATCTTGAGTAAACGAAGTGACGCAGGGCATCACCCCGACAAGGTCATCTTCACGTCCGATCCAAACCGGAGGGGTTTGTTTTAAAGGTTCCAGGTGGTGTGTCGTGCATTATGCGAATTTCACGCCAACCCCCACATTTCTCGTTCCCCTGCCGCAGTGACGCTGATGAAAATCTGGGGGAAGATGGAAGCCGAATGCGCAGGCGCCAAAACAACCCTGCAGTTGGACAGGAGGAGTTCTCGGCGATTCTTGGAAAGGTTTGTTGCTGCAAGGAGCAAAATCGGGGACTCGGAGGCATGTTGCTCTCCAGGTGACGCTGCTCCATGACACTGGTCTTGGAGCTACTGCTTAGTGCGTAGGTCAAATGGGGGAATTGGATTTGCTTTCATCAACGCTGATGTCGGTTCTCGGGTGCTTCGCGTCTGGCTTAGGCGGTCCAATGGTAGTCGAGCCTGCCGCCATGGACCTAAGGTAGGCTGCCTTTGGAGCATGGAAGCTGGTCCGAGAGCATACACAGCGACTAACGACACTTGGCGTCTCAAGTTCCCAACTGCTCGATGAAATCAGAACATGGGCTACCCCAATCTCAATTCCTCGTCTTCGATGAGAAGACGGACTTTTGTCTAGGATGCAAGCAAGAAAGAGACGGGAAGGAAAAGATGGAGTGCTGCGACCTCGCCAAATTCCTCAGGCACCCCGCCTTCCCGTCGGCTGCCCTCCCCCTCTTCCCCCCTTTCCCGACAGATACAGTATATGCATGATGCGGCACATGACGGGCACCGTCTATGTAACAATCAACCAAACATATGTACTTCTCGGCGGCGAGTTGGCTGCCGACTGCTGACCCATGCATTGCTCGTCTCCGCCATCAGTATTAGGGGACCACGATCCCGGGGAACACGAAGGCGACTTGCCATTGCATAGGTAGGGAGGATACAATACAAAGGAAAAGTGACAGAACTTTGACAAAAAAGCTGCCATTGTCAAAACCAAATCTATCTGGTCTTGAAGCCCCCCAGAGGTTACCAACAACAGAGGAAAACCACCCATACCGTGAAATGTGCTGTGATATGCACCTTGTTCCCCGTGTAACGCCGTGTATGGTTTTGCATGTGTGCCCCGCTGAACCCAGATTAAAAGAGCCCAAGTAACGTAAGTTTGAGAGTTGAAACAAAAAAAGGATATCCACCGGGCCTGCCCTGAAGGACACTCCCCAGCGGTGCCGAGACTCGTTCTCAGTAGCCGGCGCTACCTGGCATCTTGCCGAGCGAGTGAGTGTTGTGCTCCTTGGGAGGAAGGTGATTGTGGCAGTATATCTTCTTGCCGCACACCCGATTTTGGCACGGCTTCTTGGACGCATCGATCATGTTGGCGCCGCCGCTGGGTTCGTCAAAGCTCTCCGTCTGGCAGCACTCAATGTTCTTGACCCATCGGTTGTTGACCACATTCGCAATCGAGATTCGCTTGACCGGGTCCGGGTTGAGCATCTGGAGAAGAACGCGCCGCAGCGCCGGCGGTTTGACGAACGTGTCGAAGACGAACACATGGGGATAATCCATGTCTGTGATGGCCGTATCGCAACCGTCGGGGTGCTTGGCTGTCCATCTCTCCCAGCCGCGGACCAGGCTGGCATAGGTATCCTGTGGCGGCGCGTTCTCGGCAATCTCAGCCTTATGCCACAGAGGACCACCAAAAATAAGGTTCAGCATCACGATCGCCGAGCTCCAAACATCCAGGCCCCGGGGGTCGTAGTAGTCCTTCTTCTGCAGCACTTCAGGAGAGATGTACGGCAGGCTGCCGCAGATGCCGGGGGCGCACAGGCGAACCTCGCCCATGTTCTTGCCGCATTGACCGCCCGCTTCCCTGAGCCCTGGGTGAATGCCCGAAAAGACCTCCGAAACGCCAAAATCGGTTATCTTGAGGCGCGAATCTTTGGTGATGAGCAGATTCTCGAGCTTAATGTCGCGGTGAGCGATGCCATTCGAGTGGAGGTAGTGGATGCCCGTGACCAGCTGCTTGAAGAGACAGAGACGGTCCTTTTCCCTGTCCTCGCTCTTGAGGTACTTTTTGTTGACCAGCGTGAACAAATCGCCGTCTTCACAGTACTCCATCACGTGGTTCCAGCGGCCATGGTCGATGCAGAGCCGTACTGTGTCGACGATGTTGGGGTGGTGCAGGCTTTTCGCCAATGTGTACTCCGACTTGATCTTCTTCTCGTACTCCTCGCGCGTCTCGCTCGACGACTTGCCCCGGAACTCCTTGACGGCGAACAGTTCGCCGCCGTTCTTGGACACCATCAGCGTGACCTTGGAGGTGGCGCCCTTGCCCAGGTGCTTGCCGTGCCGGCCCAGGAGCCTGTGCTGATACTCGAACTCGGAAGCCAGCTCGATCACGTCCACAGTGAAGTCGTCAGGCAAACTCAAACTCATGCGGCGCGCTTTAACCCCAGTGCCTGTCTCCGCCGGAAGCCCCCATAGTGACCTCTCCATGTGGATAGCCTTGTCAGCATCTCCGTTCGCGGGCCGTTCCTGTTTTGAATTATCGAAGCTGCTTGCACGTCGCCTGGGCTGCAGATTCTGTCTCGAGGGGGTCTCAATATCGTTGCGCACGGCCGGGCGAGTACGCAGCGAGAAACCAGTCGAGGTTCGTGTCTTTTTCTTGAAGAAGGCCTCTGACCCCGGCACCGTTGGTCGGGACGCATCCTCCCTCGTCTTGATGGCCATCTCGAGCGGAGAGCTGGGCGACGGTGGGGTGTTGGAGCGGGTAGTAGCCGAACTCCTGTTCATCGACCACCGCCGAATCGGCGTCCTTCTCTGCGCGGCCTCTGGCAGATTCAGGGCCGATGCTGCAGCAAGGTTCCCGGGGTCGGCACCAAATGCGGCTTTGTCAGCTTGCGAGCCTACGCGTCTCAGGAAACTGGACATGGTGCGCCTGAAATTCGAAGTCGAGCGTTTTGAGAGAGGCGCGGCTGCGAGATCCTGGTCGACCGCAGGTATTGAGGGGGAAGGCGTTGAAGAAGGAGGAGCCGTTGGAGGCGCCGTTCGCGGGGCTTGGTGGGGGCTTCGAGGCAGTTTCGACGGGGGGGTTGCGGCCGTGTTGACATGGAGGGGCGGCTTTGAGCCAGGGGCGGTACTTTGGCGGGTGGGCGCGAAAGCGGCGGCAGTCTGATCCGACGCAAGCTGGTCGTGGGTATGGTCGTTGTGGCCGTCGAGATTTGTAAGGGTCTGGAAATCCTGCGACTGACGGCCACTCACAGGAGTGACGGGTTCGTTTATCACTTCGCTATCCGTCTCATCACACTCTTCGAGAATGGGATGTGTCAGCTCGGTGGGATATTGCCGGGGCGACGACGCGAGGCTCGACTTATTGGAGCCGGTTTCACACGACGACGTGTCTGAATTGAGAGAAGACGGTTAAGTGGACTGCGATGCCAGGCCAAAAAGGAAGAAGGCCTCAAAAGCCAGGGAATGGGTAGGAGACGGGAGCGAAAATACCTAAAGGCGTTGCGGCGGCAGCTGCGACCACCGAGACGGCCATTTTCGCAGCGGCGCCTTGGAACTGGGCAGTGGCCACTCGGTGTCAATTCAGCACGAAGGACCGAACAAAGGCCGCTGAGAACTGGACTTTCGGGGCGGCCGGTCCGGGGGAACCCAGCACCCTGAAAGCCGGTTCTGACACTCCAACCAAACCTGTTGTTGCACACCACAAAGGCACGCACTACCTTCCCTTTTTTTTCTTTACTTCAATGCTTCCCGGCGTCGATAACCTTCCAGGTTCGAATGGGACCCAAAGCCGAACGGCGTCTTGGTGTTAGCAGTTTGTTGGTAAGTCCGCCGGAGAGACGGACCAGAAGCGAGCTGGAGCCGCGCAGAGGGCGCAATCAGGCGTCTTATGGAAATAGCTGGAGGGCGGGTGGGTACCGCACGGCCCCACAACATTAGACGGTGTGTCGGATCCTCGCTGCGTCACCGTTGTCGGGTTCTGGGCGTCAACTTTGACGACAATCGTCTCTGCCAAGGCTGTCTTCCGTCCAAAGGAGATTTGGTGTCGCCCAGTGCAGCCGGCGTGGCGTTTGGTCGGAAACACGAAAGCGGCCGAAGATCTACGATTTCAATGCCGGGTCGGCTCGGCGGCTCTTGGCGGGAAAAACAACGGGAAAAGCGATTTGGGAGACTGCAGAAGTGGGCTAGGGCTGTGAAGTGCGCGCCCGTTGGCGAGTGTTTATAACAGCATTGCAGCGACAGAAATGGTGGGAATCTGTCAAGTAGGGTTGTGCTTCCTTTTCGCCTCCCAGAACGACACAACTGCTGAAATCCGGGGTGTCTCCGAGGCCTTTTTTGGGGGGCATGGGTGGTGGGGTAGGCTATGTCCTAGACGTCTTGGTTCTAGCGCAAGCCATCTGGATCAACGGAAGGTCAGCCCTCGGTGTCTGTGTCTGTATCAAGGCGGGGCGCTCCTCTGAGTGATGAGTGGAGTAATTATGTACTAAATTCGGCAAATGCCTCTGCAAGAAATACCTTAGCCCTCAGCAAGCCCGCCATTCCGAGGCAAGCAGGCAAGTACTCATGAAGTAGCGAGTACGTGAACGGAGCTATGGGCGCTACGGTTTACAGGCACAAGAGGGCCGCCAGATTGAAAGGCCGGGATAGCCGCGCGATGTTTTGAACGGATAGGGAGCCAGCCCAATGGAGATGCCAGAATCAGCCATGCCATGACAGGTCCAGAAGAAGGTGAAGGAATGTTGGCTGATGAGAAGAAGCGGCCGATTCAACCAATTCTTGTTTGAACAGCCCCCTGGCGCTGGGATGGCGACAGCAGTGAAGCCTCGCTCTCATCTCATGGTTCCACGGTTATCGCCCAGCGCGCGTACCTCTCCACCTTCGCTTGCTGTCTGTCCACCGCGTCATCATGTCTTTGATCAGATGCTTTGATTGTGAACCTTAGATCTGTCTCATGATGAGGACGGCGTACGGAGGTAGGTACTCAGTACATCCATGTCGCAGCAAACGACAGGCAATGACCCCACCCCCACCCAGCGCCAAAAGACCAAGGAGGCAGCGATTCGGCCAACTCAATACGGGCGCCAACGATTGGCTATTGGCTGGTATGGTGGTCGTTTTGGGTAAGCTATGATAGGAGAGTACGAAGGGTTAAATTGTAATGGGTACGCGACGCACCGCACTGCGATGGCCAAGGTGCCCAGCTGATTTTCCTTCCTTGGTGAGACAGGGTGGACACCAGGAAAAATGATGAGCATCTAAATTTTCTAGTAAGCCTTTGCAACTCTCTTGTCGAAAAGCTGACGGTTCTCTGTCGGAACAACTTGTCGTTCTGCCAAGGCGTTAGAGGAATGACCAAGTCCGTGCAAGAATATGCCGCAATATCCAGGTCGGGCCGGCTCCTGCTAATCATGGAGCAGGCCGTTCATTGATCGCAGGCCGGCAACCAGCCAGTCTGCGTGGCAATTTGGGCGGGTTCTTGGCTGGCGATGCGTGTCATCATCTGGCAATGGCATCGGTCTTGCGTAATAGCAAGTTTTGAGCATGGTGAGGAAAGGCTTCCCTCATTGCCATCCCCTGCGACAGGGCGATAGACGCCCCTGTACTTCGCAGCATCTGATGGACTCCAAACGAAGCGAGGAACAAGTTCTCGATCATGTTTTCTGCCGTATTTCCGTCTTGCTGTGTACACTTTCATCCTTCCTCATCAAGTCTGTGTGTTCCAGGTGTGAGAGTTGGCGAGGCTTAGGTCCTCTTCGCGATAACGTTAGGTAATCGATGCCAAGACGGACCAATCCCTTAAGGCTCCACTCCTGTCACCGCAAACGTGGGGTTTTATCCGTCTTCCCGAAGCAGGAAAGTTTTGTACAGTACGTACGTCTTATAAACACGAGTGCCTTCGACGTGGCTGCATTTTCTTGCTTGGATTCAGTTTTGTGGCTTCATGACCCCTGTTGCCCATCGTGGCCAGCTCTTGTCAAGCCAAAAAAGCCACGATGGCCGGGGGCCTGGTCTTCTTTTCGATGTTTCGCCCTGGCGGCCCAAATGAGGGCACGCGACAACGAACATAATTTTCCAGGTCATTTTCCCGACAAACCGGAGTCTTCTGGGGAGGGCGTCCACAGCCTCTGAAGATGCCTTCGTACGTGAAGGTCCGACTCCGCCAATTCCGTGGTGTGGTCAGAGACTCTTTAACGTAATACTTGGACGACGACTAGCATTCTTCAGCAACTTTGAAGTCATCGCTTCGCAACCCCGGTGCAAGGGCTGGCAACGATCATAGATGGCGTTCCTTGGTATGCCAGGGACTCTGTGTGGAGCGGTCGCCAAGATCTCGGCGTCCGTCATCCGGAAGAGCAGCAGTTCGCGCAAACATGGACACAACAACTCGCTGTCCTGCCCACTGTTGTTGGTCTGTCCAAGCTGCTCCTCAGCCAACGTACCGGCCTCGTGAGCGACATGTGTCTTCGGGCGTCTCTGACAAGTGTGGCACTTGGAAAAGGACCGAGGAAGGGAATGAGGTGGAGTGGGCGAGCACACGACCCGAGGGCCCCCACGCTACCATTCTCGTCTCCATCGAGGTCCGGGGTATTTGTGGCTCGCGTGCATCTGCACCAAGCCCCAAAGGCTACTCCGTACCCCAGAACGTTGTGCTGGTCGAAGAAGTTTGGTGGCTGCCAATACCCATTCCGTACTGTGTACGGATCCGTATGCGTCCCAATGCAATCAAAGGGTCTCGGTAGTCTCAACATTTCAAGTCTCACCCAATGCTTGCGGTTGCAACGGAAAGAGACGGTTCACGACTTCCACGTTCGAAACACTCCTGATATTGCGCGCATCGGGTCTCGAATCCAAACGACACAAACACAGCCGGCTCTCACGCTCAAGCTTGAATACACGGAGGCGCCGAGACGGCTCACAAGCTTGTCTGACCGTCTTGGCATCGCGATCTCCCGGCTGGGCATTCTGCCTGTCTGTCTCGGTTTGATCAACGACTGCACTCGATGTGCTGCGAAAGCCACTCTCGCCGGACCACTCGTGTGACGTCTTTCTAGAAGTAGGTGCCAGAGACGCTGGCTATGCTGGTGCCAAGCAGCCTTGTGTTGCTTGTTTACCCCGTGCTCCACACATTGTGTCTCCCACATGTTCAAGTCGTCTCTTTGTAGTACCAACAACCTCGTTTGCGGGAGTCTAGCCTATACTCCGTCCAGCCAGCCGGTGATCGGCTCGCAGACCGATGTCGCGGCACCGAAGTCATCCGTTTCTCGCAGAGCAGAAATCCAAGAACCCCTCAGGCTTGGGCGGGGACAGTGATCACCAGGATCTAACGCCGAAGGAAGCGGTGTAGTTCCGCTCCATGGAGGTGCAGGACGTAAGGTGCTGGCTGCAGCATGAACAGACGATTACGCTCTCACAACCACAGTTACCTTCTGCAAGCGGATCGGGTAACGCGGCTTGAAACAAGAGCGAGGGCTGAAGGAATGAGTGCTGAGTGGCTCAACTCTTTGGAGAGATGGCAGGCTCTCGTCCTCCACCAGCCTACTACAGTACGTGCAGGAAGCAGACCACGCTCCTTTTCTATTCGCTGTGTATCCATGCACTGTGGAGTGCATTTTTCAAGCATGAGGCTTTCCAAAGAAATGCCGCATGCACTGCTGCTGGGCCTGGTAGCGCTGTCTGTGCCCAACTCTCTATCTTATCAAGTGATTTCATCAAGCTCTGTCTGTCGACCGTGTCATAATCCACCACCAGGTTCTTCACCCTGGTGCTCACGTTGCCAGTTTCGCATGTTTCTCAAGACAGTAGGAATTCAGCTACGTTGCGCTGGCCTCTCCGTCTGTTAAGCCATTGGCAAGGCTGGATTCGGGCAAGTCCCAGCTGAAGTAAGGGCCTGATGCAGCACGAAATTGGGTTTCTTGCCATTGCAGGGTCGCCAGCGAAAATTTATCAATATACGTACAGTGGCATCTAACAGCAAAACGACGGCCAAACATAATAGTTCACTAATGGACACTCATAAGGCAAACCGATAATTGGCTGGTACCATCTCACTGGCACCCCTTGCCCATTCACTCTCAACCTCACGTTGGCGTTGTGCAAATATTTTTAAACGCTGTACTACCTTAGCCCTACTAGAGACGGAATGCACGCAAAGGAACATAGAGGCGACATTCCACACGACATCAATAATGCCTAATGACATGGAAATGGAACGCCGATATCACGAGACCGACCGAGCCGACCCGGCAATCCTCCGTAGCTAAACCGGTCGCTTCTCAACGCTGATTGGCAATTGCCTGTGAAGTTTTATTTCTTCCCATGCCGAGTTCTCCGAGCGCTTTGCCATCTTGCCTGAACACAATACTCGCATCTTCGGATGAATGATTAAATGAGGCTCCAAAGCAAGCGGAATCTTGTGGAGAATGGCCGGCCCTGATTATCGGAATTTGTAATTTAGCAACTTTGTGGGGCTCGGTGATAATAACCGCCGAGTGAATATGCTTCCCCCTTTTCCAGTCCTGAAATAGGGTGGTCTCAACAAGGGTCTGTGACGCCAGCAGTGGCAAACATACGGATATAGGCAGGCTGTTGTCTGGTCCGTGGCCGCCAAAGGTACGCGACAGACGTTGCCCGTTTCTATCTGTTGAACGGGGCCAGGTTTGTCTCCTAGCAGCTATCTGGTACGTGGGAACTAATGTTAGGCATGCAAGGTAGGTATTGTACAAGGAGTGGATCGCTCCCTCAGTTAGCAGTGGAGAGTCAAGCCAACATCTTGAATCTACCTTTCCATGGTATACTACGCTAGGCTTTCGATCGAGGCTATATATAGCTGACGCCCCTGACGTTGCTCACTGCACTTCTCCGTGAATAGAATTGGCAACGCGGGGTAACATAAGCATCAGATGAAGGGCAGAGGCACGTCGTCAGTGAATTCACCAGATGAAACCTCGACATGACGTGACGGCTTCGAGAGAAGGTACTAGGTACCTATGTAATGGTTTGATCGCTCTTCCAGCGCTCTTATACCTGGCAGTCAAGCAACCAAGAACGTAAGGAGAGCTCTGTGCTGTTCCTTCCTTCTTATGAGCTAGGTACTTGTTTTCTATGAGTGTCAATAGTACTTTATTTATGACTGTCGGGATCTACATTACCTTAATTGCTTGAGAGCCCTAGAGGCGTAGGGGAACTCTGAATCTCGCATTTTGATTTCACCGGCAGATAATACACAACTGCCAAAGGGTGACAGGAGTTTGAGCAGTGAGATGCGTGGTTCATGAGTGTCAAGTGATTACGGTGTTCGGTTTGCCCCCAAATCTTGGAACACCAAGGCGGCTCATCTTTTGATGGTTTTACGCACCGGGTGGAAACCATTATTAATTCTTCATCGGCTGGGTTAGGAATGTGGAGCTTACTTGGCAGTTCATGGCTGACACAACGGGTAGAAGAGTTGAGGTTGAGTTCAGCGAGATTTACATGACTAGTATGCATCAGTGGATGAATATACGTGCTACGGCTCTCTCTGTGTTGATGGGTGCCTATCGCCATGGATATCTTCTGCTGTTCATGTAAGACAAGTACAGAGGCCAGGCTTAAAACGGTGTTGGAAGACAACCGGAAATTGGCAATTAAGGTGAGGAGAACAGGTCCGGTCTCGGTTTCGATTGAAACTGAATGGCTCCCATGGGCGATAGATAATGGGGTCGATGGCGCGGGACCCGAGTCACGAGAAGCAGCTTCGTAGATATATGGACGGCTTATCCTATAGTCCTCCTGGACTACTAATCATGTCCTCTGCATCTTGGTTAAGGTGATTGTTCGAGAGTTCCAATAGGCGGCATTAATGACTCCTTACCTCGGGTCAGTTACCTGACTTAGTATAATGTTAACTGCAAGAGGTGTCCGGTTTTGGAATTCTCCTCTTTCTGTCCCCCGTCCTAACATACAAAATCGAGGTGCCTTCTTATGTTGCTCTCTCTTGTCTACTACTCTCTAGGCAATTGCCTGATTTCCGTGCATTATAAGACAATCCAGCCCCGGTTTGTTTGTCACCAGTGCACATAGCAGGCCTAAATCAGAATGAAAGTGAACCACAGACGGAAAGGAGTCTAAAATAGAGCCTAAGGGTGCCAGTGGTAAGGCGACAAGACATGTATCAAGGACGAAGAGGGAAAGAAGAAAGAGTATAAAGAACAAAAAAGAAATAGAATAAAGAGATCAAGAAAAAACCTAACATTTTATCTTGTTTACCCAAAGCTGCATACTAGTTACAACAAAACCTTGAAGGCTTAGATTGTATGAACACTCTCTTGTAACACCTGCCTTCTCCTGTCCTTCCCACAAATTTGACCCATGTCTTTGTAATTCACCTGTCATGATTCTAAACCTAATCAAGGGAGCCGCATCTTTACTAACCAATGCTGTGAGAAAGATGTAGTATGGCATCTGCGTGTATCTTGAATTCGCACAAAGCATGGGATTTAGTGTCTCTTGGGCTCATTTCCCGCAGAAAACAGTGCAAGCTTCATGGTAACACCGAAAGGAGGCTGGAGAGCCAAGTGATGCAGACGTGGATGCTGACGGCTCAGTTTGGTCATGCTCGATCGTGCTCTGGTAACTCATTCTCTTCTTCTCCTCAGCGCTTTTTCTACACGCTGTAACTAATTAGCAGTTTCTTTGAACATCCTGAATCTTCATGTTCCTAGATTTATAATCGTCCAACATGATCCCCACTGACCTCATTAAATGCAGACGCTACAAGCCAGGGAGAACCCACGTGATGATTTTTCTCATCTATCATGTCTTGCTCAGATCACAAGCTTTCCTCAGTGTTACCGATTGCGTGTCCATATGGGGAAGCTGGAAACTGGAAGGAAGAGAGACCTGGCAGTGCGGTGAGCCCTCGTTGGGGACACAGAGTTGGGACGAGAGAACAAACTCGCAACGGAACTGAATGACTGGAATCAAGCAGTATTGGTGAGCACTTCACCTTTGGAACCACAATCCCCATGGCCATTACTTCACCCATTCAAAGTTAAACTCTCTCCAGTCGTCTTATTCCCCAAACTCAAGAAGTCCAAGCTACACAAGGTCCTAGTCAAGCCAATCAGTTAGCAGCCAATCTTCACAACCATGTGTCACTACACCCAGGTGAGCAGAACAAGTACCTTACCCGACGCTCAATACTGCCAGGCGAAAATGGCTGACGATCGACTTTAGCGAGAGTTTTCCTGTGGTCACTTTTTGTGGCTTGCTTCGAAGCATTGGTATGTGGCATACCGACTGCGCAAACTCGCGACCTCTGAGTGTCTCCCGCTCTGTCGGTCCAAGAACGTGGAATTGACCAGAGAGCAAAGTCCCAAGTACAAGAGCATGACCGGTCAAGGGAAAATTGGATGCCTGCCGGATATCAATGCCTTTGAGGAGAGGTAAGTGGTCAACGTCCTCCATACCCGGCTTGCTGTGATCATTCCACGAAGCTGTATGTCATGTAGCCTCATTTCTGACTGGGCCAATACCAGGGCCATCATTTGCGGCGAATGCAGAATGAAGTTGGAACCCCCTCAGTGGCTGTTAGCGTACGGGCAAAGGATGCAGGCGTCATCTCGCCGTTGAAGCTCGCCTAGCAGATGAGGCATGGAAAGAATCGATACGTATGGAGTTCTCCGATATCATGAGGTCGGTGCTTGTGCCCAGGACGGAGCTGCCTGGTGGAGAATATGAGGAAAGCATGCGTAGGAATCAGTGTGTCCCAAATTTGCTTGATTTGTGATCCTTGTCCTGATTCTCATTAAACCACATCTACGCTTCATGAAGTCTCTGGGTGATGTGCTAGGTGTCCAGCTCGAGCCATTGTCAGTCTATCCCCGCCCAACGAGGAATCTTGGGTTGTCTTTCCAAATACTAGTACTGTGACTGGTTGGTCAATTACCTGAGGTACTTTCATCCACTGAGCACTCCCAAGCCATCACACAGCTCCTTTTTTTCTACGGATTACCAAAACTTTGAGTCCTGGGCTCTCACAAGTGAACGATCGGAAGCCAAGAATGAAGACCCACAAGGGTCCTGGACCCTGGGAAGCGCTCCGAGTCATGGATGCTCCGATTGGGAAAGCCGACAAACCGATCCGGTGCCAGCACATCTATCCAACTCATCAATGCAGCAAAAACGAAACGTCAGGCAATTGAAAAACACACCGATGGCTGCCCAAAGCTCCATCAGAAGCGGGTCACTGTGACAGCGATGGACAATAAGAAAACAAACAACAAAAAGGGGCTGAAAAGTAAGTGGCTGATTGATGAGACACTCGCAGAGCCATCATTTTTATCGTCCACTTCGGGTCAACCGGCTGCAGGGCCGTCGGCATTCACGTTCCTGGACATGCATGTCGCGTGAGTCGTGGGGTTATCCGTACCAAACAGAGACTCAGCCTGAACGGGAGCGGACCAGCTGTCGCCGGTAAGCGTACTGTACCGCCCCACTCCCGTAGCAGCTCCAAGCCTTCAACTGGGCAACTGCCACGTCGGTTCCCCATCATCCACCCTTGCCCTGCGCTTGTGCACATGGACCCTGAGAAATGGTCCGCAGTGCAACTCTTGTCATTCATCTCCAGTCGCATTTCTTTCTCCCGCACATGAACTTTCAGCTCTGCAACCACTTTGGTAGGTTAACCTGACATCCCATCAACCTATACACCTCCGATTCTTCAATCCCCGCGAAACATTCCACAACCATTTCACAACCATTCATGCTGGACGTGCCCCAGCAAGCACTTCCTGAACGGTACGATTCACGGGCACTAAGTGTGCTCCACATCTCCAAACAATCAACGTCAACGATCTCAGCAAACGGCGCTGGCGCCCTGCTGATGCAGTCGTCCAAGAACCACCATCGACTGCTCGTATGGAACGACCTGATCAATCTGCCTGACCAATCACCGCGGTATAAATGCTTGAGCTCCCAATGCCTGCCATGACGAAGCTACCCTCCGACTCCTTCTGGCCGAAGGTCGTCCCCGACAAGGACATGGGAATTCCCCTTCCCAAACTCACCAGCGACTCGTCATCCTCCCTCATCTCTCCCTTGACTCTCCCTCGGGGAGTTGCTGGATACTTCGACCAAGTGGCGGCCCAGGGCACCATACAAGGCCTTCCTGTCGTCTACCCTTCGTTTGATTGCACAGCGCTCCATAAACCTCGTTCAAGTCGAGTCTACTCACCGCTATCACCCGGTGTTAGAGGACCGACTGCAAACAATGGCTCATTTCTCTCACCCTACCTTCTGCCCACAACAAAGCAACGGCAATTCCACGTCGACCAACACCGGTCGAGTAGCCTGCCCCCGCAGGCTCGAAAAAGCATCACATCTCCGAGCGCAGCAGAGCATAAGCTGGGGTTCTCATCGCAGGAGTTTGCGGTCGGCGCCGCCGGTAACGGTCTGAGCCCTGGGGTCAATGGGGGAATCCCGCCCATGAGTTTAGCTTCGGCGAGCCATCCGCGGTCCATCTCAGCCGATGCGATAAGCGCGCCTCCGCATGCGCAGATGATTCAGCGGCTCATCCAACAAAATTCTAGGATGCGGGAGGCATGGGAGGCGGAGCGCAAGTATCTGGAGGCGAACCGGGAACGGGCCGAAGAGGTGTATAAGGAAGAGCGCGCCCTCATGGAGGAAGAGCGCGCGGAATGGGAGGCAGAGAAGGCGGCGCTGTTGCAGGAGATCGAGAGGCTTCGGCATGTGTTGGCCGCGAGAGGAGGCACGCACTCTTTTCCGAGGACCTCTTTGACTGACATGGGCGGACGGGGAGGCACTCGGGGTGCGTCGGGAGCCAGCACCAACGGCTCATTGTCCTTGCACATGAGTCCACAACAGCCGAGGAAAAACGGGGATCCGTTCTCTCTGAATGGGCACGTTCCTTTGCCTCCCATGACTTCACTGGGTGCGCTGGAGCTTGCCTCACCGAGGTCGCCAAACGGACCCAGCGTTTCGTCGCCCGACTTTCTCAAATCAGGCGAGAAGGCCACGGCTGAGACCGGCCCTATTCCGATTGTTGATGTCAAAGAGATTCACCCGGAGCTGGAGGGTATCCCAATAAAGGCTACCAGCGTGAAGAAGGCTACCTTCAAAGATCATGGGTCCCAAAATGGGTCCAACTCGTCCAGTCGGTCTGGCTCCCCTCCCGCGAGCTCCGACCAGGCCAGAAGCCCCCGGGATAAGAAGGAGCAGACCCTGCAAGTCCTGGCAGCGGATGAAGCGTACCGTCTCACAATGCATGCTGGCCACACGCCAAGTCATTCTCTCTCCTCTCTGGCTACCGTCGCCTCTTCAGGGACGGCCACCGCGACGAGCAATGGCGGCGACAGCACTCCAACCATACCGCACGAAGACGGCGCGTCAAGCCGGGGCATTGGCATGGCGGGCGAGGAGCACAGCCCTTCAGGATCAAAGCACGCCACAGAGCTTTTCCCGGGCGTGTCGGACAGACACGGCAATTTACTCGTCGACCACCAACCGGAGCCCATCCTGGAGCCCAGCGAAGACCGCGAATTGAAGGGCCCGCTGATGGTGCGGAACATGCCGGCACACGACGAAATCTTTTTCCAGAAGCTCTCGGACAAGCTGGAGGAGGTCTGCAAGGACGACAAGGCCGCCTTGCCCGCTGTGTTGCAAGCCGAGAGCGCGGTCGAGGACTCGGGCGAGTCCTGTCTGAAGTCCGAGAGCGAGGAAAAGCTCGGCCCCCATCGGGAGACGGCCGCTTCGGATGAGTCCGGCTCTGCGGGCAGCAAGGGCAGCAAGGGCAGCCCGAACAGCGGCGACGAAGAGGACTTCGACGTCCCGTTAAAGTTCAAAAAGCGTATGAACTTTGGCGCCCCCTTTGGCGAGATCCGGTAGCCACGGCTCTGCGCAAGATGTACAGCGGTCAGAACATGTGTATGTTTCTAATAATTCGAGCTTGCCGCTTGCTTGTTCCTTTTGTTCATCCGCTTTCGTCAGGCCGGGATTTCTTTCTACTTTTGCGCATGGAAATATCGGCATGGTCTACAAGGCAGCAATTAGATGGGGCATCCAGGATGGATTGGACCGGATGGCTTGGGCTTTGCGCATGGAAGCGAGGATGCTTTATTTTCTGGTGAACAGGCGGGCAGATCAAGCGAAGCCTTGGACGGCTTGGGTGGTTTTCTTCTCGTGCCCTTCGGTATCCACTATGTATTGAACAATACCCCTTTTTCCTTTGTTTTCTTTGCTGCCTTGGGGGAGAACGAGAGAGGAACAGTGAGCTTTCCGTTTCGCGATTGGAAGAGACGTACCGAGCCAGAATGAACCTAAAGAGGCATTCATCTGAAGAGGGCGGAGTGCCATTCAACCGAATGAAAAGCTGATTTTGTTGCAAGCATCCAACCGCGACAACCGCTGGGATGTATAGGATACGTGGCGGTGGAGCGATGGAAGGTTCAACAATCATGGTTACCAGGCCAGGGGACTCAGAAACATGGTGTAGAATGAGTATTCCAATTGGGAAGCTCTCACCGGTATAGCCCGGAAGAAGCCCCAGCCTCTACTTGCTGCTCCTCGATCAACTCGCGCACCGTTGACAAACCCCCCTAGTGCCATGGCCACGTCGGGCCCTCAAGACATCTTCTTCTCCATGAGCTCTGCCAACTCATCCAGCAACTCGACCGTCTCCCCGGGGCTCGCAATCCACGCCGTCGTGCCGACGCTCCTCGCCCGGAAGTCATTGGCGCCCGCGCTCAGGAACTGGTCGCCGACGTGCAGCGTGTTGTCCCCCTTGATGGCGCCGCCGGGTGCCGACGTGCCAAACCACCGCTGGCACACCGTCACGCCCCAGCTCTTATCGCCAATGTCGACAAACACGTCCCGCCCGCCGTTGAAGGCGCAAAAAGGGACGCGCTTGTGCCGCCCCACCGCGCTCAGCTCGAGGATCTTTTGCACCACCAGCACCGTTTCCTCGAGGCTCTCGCGCGGAATGCGCGTCTCGGGCGGCTGCGGGATGATGCCCACGGCGCGGTCCTTGCGCATCAGCGTCGCGGGCAGGTTGAGCGTCTTGATACAGTCGCACAACGCCGCCTCGGCGACGTCGAGGAGCTGGGTGATGTCGCGCTCGTCCCAGGCGGCCATCTCCGGCGTGAGCCACTTGTGTCGGGACACGGGGGAGAGGAGGTGCGGGGAGGACGGGGAGAACTCGAAGAGGTAGTTTGCTTCGCCGCCCATGATGATGAGAGATTGTTTTTGGGACGGGGTCAGCTCGGCCGTGTTGGCCAACGTGTCGAGCAGGCCGTGTAGGCGGGCGTAGTACTTGTCTGCGGTGGTGTAGCCTGCGGCGGTGACGATGCCGATCTTGACGTTTTTGCGAAGGAGGTCTGGGGTTTGCGGTTAGCAGACGAGGCTGTGCAGGGAGGGAGTAGAATGGAGGAGAAGCAGTACCGATCAGCCGTGGGATGATGGGGCTTGTCGGCTCGAGGCTCTGTCCGTCGTCGTAGAGGGTTACGTCACCGTCAAAGGTGGCTAGCTGGAGGGTACCGTATGTTGTCACGGCCATCATCTGGGCCGAATTGAGGATGAGGCGGACATCGTTGAAGGACGGAGAGACGAAGCGGCGGGACGAGATATACCGTTTGCGGTCCTGAAACTTGAAGGCGGCTTCTAGAGGCAGCCGTGTAAAGAAGGGCCCTATGCTGGGGACCAGGAGCTTGAGTTTGGATGGGAAGGGGTTCTCGGTGTCGTTTTGGTGGGCGACTGTGTGTGTGTCAGGAGAGTGAGGTTTTTATGACAGTACCGAGGCGTGCTGCTTACTGTGGTCATCGATCATGGCTTCAACATCGCGAAGAATCTCGCTGTATCTCCTGTGGGCCTCTTCACGGGTCTGAGCTAGACTGCTCTGGTTCTGTCGATCGAAGGATCCATGAGGCTGGGAGTACAGCACAAAGGGCACGGCCAGCAGGCCCTTGATCCATTCTGGGCTCTGGTCAGCGAGGTTGGGAAGTTGGAGTAAGAGGCGGCATCATCTCCCAGCGGCCGTGTTTCAGTCATGATGTCCATGCTCTTCCCGCCGACAATCACCTCGAGTCAACGACGAGGGCGGCATTACCTATGAACTGATCTCGGCGGTGGGTCTTAAGGGCATCTATCGTCGAATTAGCGACTGTATACTAGTCACGAAGCCAACAGCAACCACGTACACTCAACGCGATACCGTGTAGTCATGGTGCAGTTTATCCAATCGACTTCTGACTTGGGTAATTGCTGAGACTAACTAAATAAACAAGATAGTGAATGCTGAGCCCGGTTTCTTAAATCCAAGAAGAACTGCAAAAGTCACCAAAAGATAAACAGCCACAGTCACCGCTTGTTACGTATACACGACGAAACCAACGAGATTCCAATTCCGGACAGGCTATCCGTATCGGCTGACCACATTGTTGCTTGCTGGTCGAGGCTATCGCAGCCCATTGCGGGGACCGCCAATAACCGTTGCTGATGTCACAGGGGCAGCCTTGAAAGACAGGCTCAATCAGCAGCCTCAAAACTTGGAAGCCAAGTTGGACCTGACCTACCCGGCGGCTGCCGGCGTCTTGGCGTCGGCACTCTCCGTGGTCCAGGGCTCTCCTGACCTGAGCAACAAGAGGGCAAGCAGAGCACCATTTTAAAACTCAAGTTGAATCACAACGGTTATCCACACGAAACCATGCCTGCTGCCGTTCCTAGCACACCGCACTAAACGTTGAAGTCCGCGTCAGACAACCCGTAGGACACGCCGTAGCACACCCGGTCACGTACAGCACCGTCCTGGGCTCGCACCCGCACGGCACATTCATCGTCGTCGTCACGCGGCATGTCGGCACAGGGCATCGCATCGTGGGGCAGTCGGCCGGTCTGGTCGTGCGCGTAACCTTGGGGCACGGCGTCGACGACGACTTCGTCGTCGAGCTGAACTTGGGCGGCAGCGTGACGATGCTCGTGATCACGCGCGTCGGCGTCGAGGAGGCGGACGTTGTCTGGCGGGTGGTGGAGGTGGTGCTCCTCCTCGTTGTTGTCGTCGGCCGCCTGGTTGACGTCGTCGTGGTTTTTGTTGGGCAGGGCATCGTGGCCGTGCGGAACTCGATGTCGCAGCCTTGGTAAGGGCACTCGGCCTCGCAGGGGGCGATGAGCGTGGCTGTGGGGAAGGCGGACGGACAGTTGCAGGGGTTCTGGATTGTGGTCCGGAAGGTGCAATCCGAAAAGGGGCATGTCTTGCCACAGCCCCGGTTCTGGATGGTCCGGGTTGCTGTTGGACAGACGACGTCGAAGCCTTGTGCTAGCGTCAGGCCGGCGAGGGTGAGCAAGGCGGCAGCCCTCATTGTGGGGATTCCTTGCTAGGAGAAACTCATCAGCAGGATGGACAGTCTGGTTGTAGAGTTCAACCGTACCTGGAAGTTCAGGAGAGTTGACGACTAAGTATGTTGATGAAGAGACGGGCTTGATCGGCCCTGGAGATATTTGGCGTGCTTGCACACACACTACCCTCTTTCGTGCCCTTCTCGCAAGCGGGGCAGGACTTTGGGCCATTATGTAGCCGAGCATTCAACAGTTCGATGTCATCAATCGGTTCTATTTCTGGTATCTGGCGGCGTGTCCTGCTGCAGTTCCCTTTCAGGGAATTCTCCCCTCCGGGATGCTGCATGTTCTATGGGCTCACCGGATGAACTGAGCTTCATGTATTGCTCCCTTTCCGCCCTCGTCCTTGATACCACACAAGGTCGGCGCATCCGGACTGTTGGCCCTGCATGGGTGTCTTACTCCCACGAACGGTCTGTCTTGCACAAGGGGCAAGCGCTCCATCCCGGTTGGAGGGAGAAGAGCTGTTGCTAAGCTCAAAAAGTTTCTTCTGCCCGCTGTTTTCGGGCCGTCGAGCAATATTGAGAGGGTGATCCCATATCCATCCTTCTCGGAACCAGGCTCAACGGTACAGCCGCCGGGAGATGGGCTAACCAAGACTCCTTATATCCTCGGATGGGTTCCGTTATGGTATCTTCTGTATGTCATAGCTCACATTTAACAATCTTTGCTGGGGTCTGGAGGCACGACGTCAATGGGCATTAGAACCCAATTTGGCTCGCATGCGCCACTTCCGCCGTTCCTGACTAGTTCCCGCTCCTGTCTCTATCGGGATCTAGCAGACCGAATGCAGGATAGTGGGACCAAGATTGTTAAGGAGATCTTCATGTTGAAGCCAGGTTAGGTTGTAGTCTCAGCCATTCGTGATACTGATGGTGAGACGGGACAAGTCAGGTACTCCTGCTTCCTTCCTTCCATGCCCGGTTGGTCCAAGTGGTGCCTGGACGGCGCCTTCTGACCAAGAGGGTGGTGGCTCATGAAACGTGTTAAGTCCTTCCTAGGCCACGAACCGAATTAATGCTGATGGCCGCAGAAATTGGCGGCTATCCCGCCCGTATTGGACGGTCGTGCAGAGGAGCTCACTCTAAGCTAGGGCTATGCGAGAATCTGCAGATCTGCTGATAGCGCCCATGATCCGGTTGACAATCGATGGCTGTTGTGAAGCATGAAGCCCATATATTCCGCCTTCAATTCCCCTTTTAGCCTGAGCTGTCGGAGTATAATACCCCGTTTCCGGCTTCACGTTCTCGTGTCGTACAAGAATGGAGAGAAGCCAGGAGATCAAAAGCAGTGTACCCTTCAATGACTGGGACCTGACACGCAGGTTTAATGAGGGAAGATACATGGGGAACTGGGTAGCTGAAGCAACCGCTCTTCAAGGGGCGCGGTGCGTACAGTTTACGGCACCTGAGCCTTCATCTCGAGAGTACTTCAGAACAAGAGAGCAACGTCAATTGTTTGGACAGTGAGCCCAGGAACAAAGTAGTGTCCCGACCATAGAGATGTGTTCCATTGAAGTAGTGAGAAGACAGTTCCATAACCGTATGCGCCGTATCCCGTACAAGCACATGGAAGTTAACTTTACCGTGTAAACCATGTATATCCAGCTAATGCGCCATGCCCGACTCTACAACTCCGTCAAGTCCAGAAACTCCGTACATTGATATCGAGAATTCTCACGCCAAATGCGCGATGGCCGGAAGATCCGGCTCCTCCGGGCCCGGGTCGTCCATCCACGCCGAGAAATCATCGTCATCGGCGCCCCCGGCCAACGGCCCGGTGACCCCGGCTGATTCACTCCCCCCGTTGGTCGCGGCGAGTGACGCTTCAGAGCCTGTATGCTCGGTAGCCGTAGCGTTGTCAACCGCATCGCTTGGCAAAGCAGCATCAGTGGGATCAACCACCTCGACCGGCGCCTCAGTGCATGGATGGCTATGAGACTCATTGAGAGGAGTGGTGGGTTCCGAGTCTGCAGGCGCGGCCACCACGAGCACATTGTTTTGGTCACCCTGCTGCTGGCGATGTATCTGTCGTCTCTTAGGAATCGGAGGAGGAGGGGCTGGGCGGCGCTCGCTTGCCTGCTTTGCCTGCTCAATGTGTCGTTCTGTTGACGTCTGAGGGATGGGCTTTCGTTTGGGGACTTGGATGGTCGCAGTTGGGATTTTCTTGTCCGGCATCGGGAGTGGCGTTCCCGGCGGCGGAAGCGGCTGCCCGCGTCCCATCGGCTGACTGAGATCCAGCACCGGGACTACTTCACCGGGCTGGCTGTGGTTCGCGGCGGCTTCGTCGTTGCCACGCCGCTGGAAGGCATGTAAACCCCAGCGCCTGGCCGATGCAGCTGCGTTAGCGACCGCATTCAACGCTGTCCGCTTATGCACCTCATCCGTGCTTTGAGAATTTAAGCCAGACGAGGTTGAAGATGTTGTCTGGCGTCGGCCAAACAAGCCCCTTGAAATCGGCCCCCCTTGGCTACGAGTGGAACCTTTAGCAGACAATGTTGGGGATCTGGATACGCTATCGTTGTGGCTCTCTGTAGATGAAGCAGTGTTTCGCCGCGCTTGCGGTGTTTTATCCGCGTCGTTCTCAGTATCCGTGGCGTCTCTAGAGGAACTGGAAGACGAGTGAGCGGATGATTTAGAAGTAATGTAAGGCTTAAAGGCATTGAAGTTCGGCGATTGGGCTGGTGATGGTATGTGAGATGTCGCGGATAGCGTCGCCATGGCTGCTGCCGCCGAATCACCATTGGGCGGGGAAGACGAGGGCTTGAACTGGTCCGCATGAGTGGCGATGGTTCCCACTGTTGGGGAAGAAGGTTGTGCAAAGGGAGCAGAGAACACGGGCGGAGGAGAGCCCATCACGCTCTTCGCCTCGTGTTTGGCTTCGACCGTTGTCGATGATGCCGGCAACAATGCCAGGTCTGCCTTGCTTGCCTTGCTGGAGAGCCTCTTCCCAAATAAGCCAACCGACGGCTTTTTGTCCAGAACAGGGAGGCTGTGACTCTTCTCCACTTGGGGGAGATCAGCCTCCGGAACGCCATGGGCTTCTTCGAGGCGTTCCACCTCGCCCAAATCTCCCTCTTGAGCGGCAGCAGACTCAGGGTCAGCTGCTGGCTTAAGCGTGTCATCATGGAAAATCCCGCCCCTCCACTTCTTGTGCTCGGTGCTGAAAAAAGGGGTGTCGTCCCAGAATGGCAAGACGAGTGTTTCAGCGATAACTTCTTTGATCCGATTCTCGATCTGCCGAAGAATCACCGTGTATGTGATCTGCCGAGAGCTCACAATGGGCTCAATGGTCATCTCGATCTTAGGCATCTGCTGGAAGGAAAACCAGATGCGGTTGCTCGGCGGAGGCTTGATTTTGAAGAGTACGTGGCCTTCCAGCTTCCGCAAGACAACCGCGAGGACCAAATTGACCTCCATCGGTTTGAAGCGAGAGCCCAGGTCGATGCGAGCGGTTGCGGCAACCTCAAGGCGGAAGTTTCCAGTGTAGCGCACGTCGGCCTCGAGCCCGCACTCTCCCTCGACCGTCAGGTCCTTCAGTCGTGGGTTCGTAATGTAAGGCGCTGAGTCGCCCGTGTCGATAGCCTTGATGGCAATATTGGACAAGAAGGATGGCCGCTTGACTCGAGATATCTTCTTGGTGAGCTTTTCTCTGATGAAATTTTCCATGTCCTTCGTCTTGTGCACTGCAAGGAACACCCTCCCAATCATGGCATTAAGCCACCTGGTTTGCATATGTTCCTCAGACGAGTGTAGCTTCTGAACCAGTGAGATGATGTTCTTGATGTCAAACTGGATAGGCGTCGGCGGCCTATTCTCCGCCGGGACAGTCTGTTCTTGGTTCCGAAGCAGGGCAAAGTAGAAGTCCTCCTTGGCGGAGCAATTCTCAGAGAATAGGTAGAAGGGCTTCGAAAGCTGAGTGTCCGGGCCTAGCTCCGGCCCATCCGTCCGACGGGAGAGGCAGATGGCGTTGCGCTTGATCCACAACTCCCCTTCTGGCGTCACGGGTTCGCCAGAATATATGCTGATGTCGTGGTGCGCGAGAGAAACCACATGGCGCACCTCGAGCTGCTCATCGTCGTCAAAGAGCATCAAATGGCCATGTCTGCATCTTGAATTAGCGTCTATAACACCACCTGAAAGCATACACAGCATACCGTAGCACAACATAGAACACATTGCCGGCCTTTTTGGGCCGTTGACTAGAACCATTCTTGTTGTCCAGGGGCCCGGGCACCTGCTTTCGGTCGAAGATGCTGCGATACATGGTCTGATAGACGCTGGGACTGGGAGCGGCTACCGTGGCCGAGCCCACGGGTGTCGACCGCTCAATCGGCTTCGCATTGATGCCCATTGGCGTGTAGTCGCGGCAGACAGCAAAGTAGCCGGCCGCGACATCCTGCTCATGATGGACTGGCCGGAGCTTGACCCCCTCCTTCTGCGCCGCTTTGAGGGGTCCGAGGTCGTCGCCGGGTTGTACCAGATCGTCATCGAGGGTCGGCCTCTCCAACGGGTCGGCATCTGGGCGGTATGGACTGGTGGCGTAGGCATGGGCGAAGATAATGATTAGGAGCAACGGGAGGAAGGTGACGCCTCCAAGAAGGTATGTCAATAGGAATGCGGTCCAACCCATGGCGCAGATGGAGTGGCTGCGTGTTGGGTTGTGGCAGTGGCAGACTGACAGAGCAGGCCCTGCTACCTGCCTGGCTGAAATAGGACTCGTGAGCGCATCGATCCAAGCAGCGAGGCAACTCCAATATTTTCTGTTCACAGATTCAACAGAGTTGGTGGCAATACGATTCGAGTCTCAGTCGGACCGACCGAAGCGAGGCGGGCCGTTCGTAGATGACAGCCTGGAGACAACACGCGCCGCGACTTTCGTTGAGTGGTCATTGCGTCAGGGCAGCCACAGCACCGAGAAAGCATGCTTCCCCGCGTTGATCCCATTGGCCGGGCAGGTGGCGCCCCACCATCGCTTTCAGGCAAGGCCCTGCCGCTCAGCTGGTAAGGCTGAACTGAAGTTGACTCGACTGCGAATAGGGTACTGTGGTAGGTAGCATGAGGTGGAAGCTGGGAGTTGAGCCAAGGGTGAAGGGTACAACTTGAGTACTGTGCTGATGCGATGATTGAAACTTGCCCGATATCATGTTGGTTGAGGATTTGCTTCAACCACCGCATCATGTAAGTGTTTCGAAAACCTCCACGGCCAAGCGAGGTTACACATCGACAAACCTGGGTCATTTTCAAGTCACACCTCAATAAGGCCGCGTGGACAAGTTATTTTGGTCTGAAATGGCTCGCCAGATCAATATTTGGTCTGTCCTGCTGCTACCATTGGCGACAGTGCTCCCGGTCAGAGCAACCTAGGACACCTGTCCGAGACCAGCTCCTGTGATGGCTCTCTGTGCTCCTGGAGCAGCCTTGCTCCCAATCCCCATCGACTCGCTAGGCTGCTTTCCACAGGTGCACCACGACGGATGAACAGGGAAGGCGGTGCGAGCCGCTGTTGGTCATGCCATTGGTATTTTGATTCCTATGAGCACTCCCGCATCCCAGACCAATTCCTTGCAGAAGATCCTTCCGTGTAGAACGCGATGAATCCTCATGCAGCAAGAAAGAAGAGCAAGCCATGTCTGACCACACCGAATCCAGCACCCCACTGCAAGCTCCCCTTAAATGGTGGTCTCGTAGGCAACGGGCGCCACCGTTTCCGGCTTGTTGTCGACAATCGAGATCGTCCGCGCCTCGCGGGGCTGAAGGGGTTGCCTCTTGAGTTGCACCGGCTTGCCCTCGGCCTTGGCCTTCTTCTTCAACTCGGCGTTCTCCTTCACCCGGCGGAGGAAGTCCTCCCGTGACCGCGAGGGCTGGATGTGCTCGATTCGGACGTTGATGCGCTTCTCGATGTACCGGTGCTTGACCTTCTTGTAGATGATGATGCCCACCGCCGACTTGGTGACGTTGTAGATGACGCCGGTCTTGCCGTGGTAGACCTTGTGGGCCATACTGTTGATGTCCAGAGTCAGCCCTCAAGCTCCCATTCTCCATATATCCCTGACGCGCCACGCCCCAAGCTTCGTGATGACCGTTCCCTCCCGCAATTTTTCATCAACCGTGTTTGGGCCGTGGTTTCGCTTACCCCTTCTGGACAGCACCGTTGACCTTAATGTCGACAATATCGCCAACCCTATTCTCGTTTAGCGATCCCTTTCTGCATCTGCGCCGTCGCGCAACGAGCCGACATACTTGTACTGCTTGAGGTAGGTCGAGAGCCTAATCATACCCTTCTCCCGGAAACCCCGAGAGAAGGCGTATCTCGTACCAGCACGGAGACCTGCGGGGTGACCCATCTTGCCTGTTTGCTGGGTGTGTCGGCGTGGATCGATATGTCGAAGTCGGTGGTTGCTGCGGGCTGCAAAATTGGGGATTTTTTGTGTGGAAGCAAATCTAAGTTGGGAATTCGGGACGGTTGACTAAGCAGCCTGCGAGTTCTTCGGACCCGCTGGTATCGTTAGGGCAAGCGAGCGATACGCACGGACCACCACAAACGTCTTCGTCCTCCAAATTTCTCAACCTCCAAGTGGGTTGGGATACTTGCGAATTTCTGCTTGGTCGACCAACCTTTGACAGCCTCAACGACAAGATGGCGCCGCGTTCGTACTCCAAGACCGCCAAGGTCCCGCGTCGTCCCTTCGAGGCCGCTCGTTTGTGCGTTTGATCCCGGTTTTTACTCCTCGTCAATTGCAGCCTCTGCGCCGCGGTTATCGCGAGATCCGTCTCTGCGCGCATGCTCGCAACGTCACCGGCCACTGAGCAGGAGCTTGTCTCTGCTTACGCCGAGAGTGATCATGGACTGACTGTCGGCAACCCAGGGACTCCGAGTTGAAGCTCGTTGGCGAGTATGGCCTCCGCAACAAGCGTGAGGTCTGGCGTGTGCTCCTCACCCTCTCCAAGATTCGTCGTGCTGCCCGGTAAGTCGTGACGACGCGGTTCGGTTTCAGTTGAAGCTTTGGCTAAAGTTTGTGTCTTACAGTGAGCTGCTCACCCTCGACGAGAAGGACCCCAAGCGCCTCTTCGAGGGCAATGCCCTCATTCGCCGTCTCGTCCGCGTCGGTGTGCTCGACGAGTCCCGCATGAAGCTCGATTACGTCCTGGCCCTGAAGGCTGAGGATTTCTTGGAGCGCCGCCTCCAGACTCTGGTCTACAAGCTCGGCCTTGCCAAGTCGATCCACCACGCCCGTGTCTTGATCCGCCAGCGCCACATTCGCGTCGGCAAGCAGATCGTCAACGTTCCCTCCTTCGTCGTCCGTCTCGACTCCCAGAAACACATTGACTTCGCCCTAACCTCGCCGTTCGGCGGTGGTCGCCCTGGCCGCGTCAGGAGAAAGAAGGCCAAGGCCGCTGAGAAGGGTGAGGAGGGTGAGGAGGAGGATGAGGAGTAAATCTGGGGCGCGTTGCATCGTGGGAATTGTTGGGACCGCACGGAACAGGTTACGAAAATTGGTCTGGGCAGGGACTTCTGACCTCTGCGTCTTGCTCTTACGGCGTTTATAGTCAGGGTGTGGAATGCATCAAGATTTGCACGTACCAACAGTCAGCAGGTCACCAATCATGAGAACCCTTACTCTTCCATGAACCGAAACAGTTATGTGTTGCCGGCAAGTCTGCCATTGGAAACGGCTATATCGGTGTCACCTCAAAGTCTAGGACCGGAGTTTGAAGGCGGCGTGGGCCGATTATTTACGGGTATCACTATGAACTGTTTTGAGCATCCTGACTTTCCTCCTTGTCCCATAAATCCGCTGCTTTCATCGCCTGTTTTCCCATCTCGCCCGTGCAATAGCTATTCTTGACAATAGAATGGCAACATGCGTAGCCCCATTTGAAGTCTGACCACCAGCTCCCCCAAACAGACGTATGGTTGTTGATGAAAACATCCTCGGGGTACTTTGACTTGGCCGCCTTCCTTGGCGCACCCTTGATCAGGCCAGCCTCGTCGTATTCCACGAACGTTTCAGACTCGGTAATGGTGGCTTTTAATGCCTCGGGTACTACGGGTTGTTCGCCATATTGGCTTGCAAGCCACTCAACTCGTTTCCTCCGCTTCGCCTCCCGCTCCTCGCTCCCCCTCTTACGCAACAACTCTCCGGCAGTCGGGTTGGCTTGGAGATGCAACGAGGTGTCTCCAGTCCTCTCTTGCGCTTCCCAGGCGTAGCGCTGTGCCTTCTCAAACTCGGCTGCCTCGCCCGACGCCCGGAGGAAGCTCTCTTCGGCGAAGAGCTGGGCCGACTTGTCGGCTATTGCGCCGGGGTCGACGAGGGCGCGCTTCTTGGGGTTGTATTTGGCCGAGTCCGAGTCGAGGTTCAGCAGGTATTTTGCCGTGTCCTCGCGTATCCGCATCGACTGCTTGACCGTCTTGTCCTTGCCCAGCTCCGACTCCTCGGCGTACTTGAAGCCTTCCTCGTACACGTCCTCGGCCTGCTTCTCGTCGCCGTTTTGACCCTGCAGCTTCCGCCGCGCCTCCTCAATCAGGTTGTACTCCTCCACCACCTCCTGGTACTGCTTCGGGTCGTAGGCGGCCCAGATGTCCCGCTTCGCTTCGTAGCCCAGCTTGACGTCCCGGACGGTGCGGTCTGCTTGGATGTCCTTGCCCGTGAACTTTGCGCCGACCTTGCGCGGGCGTTCGAGGCAGTCCTTTTTCCGGTGGCCCATGGCGCCGCAGTTTTCGCATGCGCCCTTGACCCATTTGGTCCGGGCCGGCCCCGTCTTCTTGCCTCCCCGCTCAAAGGTGAAGTTTTCGTCTTCGTGGGCGGCCCGGCGCTGATGTTGGAGTGAATCGTCATGGTCGTCGAGGCCGCTGACGTAGAAGGGCTGCTTGCTGATGTACGAGGGGATGTAGATGTTATCTTCCTTGCGCGCCGCGCCCGCGCCGGAGCCGCTGTCGGTGCTGGCGGCGGCAGCGGATGCCGGCTCAGGACGTCTGGGAGGAGGAGGCATGGTTGAACGGGATAAGAGCTGCGAAGTTGTGGAAATCGGATTTGTGAGAAGCCCTGGTCGGGAGAAGCGCTAGAGTGGTGTGGATGATATAAGCACCTGCGAGTTTGAGATGGATGCCCAGGTTCATAACTTCCAATGGCCTCGAGGTGCCTCAACCCTAACCCTTCGCGGCTCGACAAATACATTAACGGTGAAGTAATTACCTTTGTGAACCTTCTAACTAGTACATACGTCCGTACCTCCCTTAAGGTACAGTTCAATCAAGACTGAAGTAAAAAAAAATTTTCTTGGTACCCGAAAAATGAACGAAATTCGGGTACTTTGGTTGACATGTGTAGCCGTGTCTGTACCTCGCCGCAGAATTGCGTCAAGTTCCATCTTCTGCCTGGCCTTTGTATCTGGGCTTCACTTGACTTGGCGACTAGAAGAGAGGCTGCGCTCCACTCGCACGCGTCGATCTGCAACCTGCAACCGCGTCGTAGCTGGGGACTCGAGAGTTTAAAACCATGAGCATCGCTTCACCTGAACTTTTGGATACAACAGGAGGATGACTCTTTGCTCTCGCACTCGGTTAGCCGACGCCGAGACTGCCCGACGACAGCACCAACATGGACGTGTTCCGCGTCCGACTGAATTGCATCGACCACTACCAGGCAACACCATCCCGATATGACCCCCAGCTGCGCAAAGATGCCCATCTCCAAGAGCCTGAAAAGCAGCCCAAAGTGCCCGTTATCCGCGTATTTGGATCGACCGAGACAGGGCAGAAGGTGTGCGCTCACATCCATGGCGCATTTCCCTACCTCTTCATCGAGTATCGGGGGCCGCTGGATAAGCCCACGGGTGAGTACCTCTTTCTGTTCGTGAACCCTATGCTTACATTCGGTTCAGTCTCCGAGTACATTTACCGGCTGCATCTGTCCATTGACCGCGCCCTGGCGGTTAGTTACCGGAGGGACCAGTACCGCGAGCCACAGAGGTTTGTTGCGCGCATCACCCTGGTCAAGGGCGTGCCTTTCTATGGCTTCCATGTCGGCTATCGCTTCTACCTCAAGATCTACATGCTTAACCCGGTCGTCATGACTCGGCTAGCCGATGTGTTGCAGCAAGGGCTCATCATGGGCCAGAAGTTTCAGCCCTACGAGGCGCATTTGCAGTACCTTCTTCAGTTTATGACCGACTTCAACCTCTTCGGCTGCGACTACCTTGAAGCCAAGGTCAACTTTCGCGCTCCTGTCCCAGATCCAGCTGGCCCCAACGACCCGCCGCGCATCTGGGATAGCAACACCATCCACCCGGATGCCATCACCGACGATTTGTCCCTGCCTCGGGTCAGCCATTGCTCGATCGAGGTGGACATCTGCGTCCAAGATATCATGAACCGGAAAGCCCTGAAGGAACGCCGCTTACATCACGACTTTATTGAACGACTCCACCCGATTCCTTCCCACATGAAGTTGGTCCACAGCATGGCTGGGTTATGGAATGACGAGGCCAAACGCAGGAAGAAGCGAATGGGAAACTCTAGCCCCGGAGACAGCCCCTTTCCCAAGGAAGCCTTGGTCCCCATGTCTGCGGACACGCGTTATTCGCAACCGCCAGGATGGATCCACGAAGAAGATTATCGGCGAGAGATTCAGCAGTTGATGGAGCAGGAGAGCGTGCCGCATGGGACAGAGCTTACGTTCTCCAACTACGTTGAACCTGATCTGAACGAAGGAACTATCCAGACCGTCATGCAGTCCGTTGAGGACATGTTTCCAGAAAACTTGCTTCCCGCCCTTGGCCTCGAACAAACGTTGCTTCAAGGCCGCCTCGATGTCGCCAGCAGCATTCAGGTCGACGAAAAGGGGATACGCGAGCTTGATGTTCCAGAGGAAGAACGACAACTCGTTGCGGACGATCCAAATGAAGCGTCTGTCAAGAAGCAACAGAGAGCTACAGTAGACGGGGTTTCAAGACAGAAGAGGACTGTTGATGACGTTGCTGCGCCCTCAACGGGAGATGGTCGAGCGGCAGTGTCTGCCAAGAGCAACGCGACTGAGCGGTCGCAGAGGCTCATCGAAGAGCTAAGGCGGACCGTCAATGGCCTTGGAGGTGGCTTTGGCGTCAGTGGGTATTGCTCGGGCAAGCGTCCATCCGTCCCGCTACCGAAAGGTCTGTTCTCAGAGACCACGATGACAGAACTGATGTCCAGGGAGGGTGCCGAACCTGAGATCCCCGAGACACGATGGCCAATTGATCGAAAGCACTCACCAGCGGTCACGGAAGAGGAGACACCACGCAAAAGACCAAGATGCGATGGTCAGAGCCAAAGGTCTGAACGGGATTCTGCCCAACATGAACTGAGTCCTGTAGCAAACAAACCGGCAGACGGCGCATCAACGGTAATTCCTACAGTGGCTTCCACGGCTACTTCAACTGGGGTTCGTATGGGGACTTCCACCGGGCAGACGCATTCATCGCAGCCCGACAGGCCGGGAGTCAAAGGGAGCTCTCAGAAGTCCCAAGGCAATCAAACCCTAAACTTCCCAGTCGTCAAGGACTCCCACGATCCCGACACGGTTCTGAGGCTCACTCAGCAAAGCGCCTCGCAGAAGAGTGATGGTGGCAACATAGGCGCCTCGACAAGGAAGCATGTCTCGTTTAACCCGTTGGTGTCTGTTCAGGAGGTCAAGTCTGGCTCTGAGGCACCAGCGTCCCGGACACCGATGTCGGCATCCAATCCCTCCAGCATAGCCCAACGTCCGAGGCTCCACTGGAGTGGCCAGGTCACAATGTTCCTCTTCAACATCACGCCGCCTTCTGTGGAAGAAGTGTGCTCGACCATGCAATCCAATGGCCTGCCAGACGTTATTTATCAGGATGCCTTTTACAGTAAAGATGATGACGTGCCGCCAAGACCAAGAGAGTATGCGGGAAGGGAGTATCGGTTGGATGGTAACACTCTTCCCTACCTCCCTGATTTCGACCCAACGGCACAGTCCCCGGCCACTTTCGGAGTGAAGCCCGAACTGCCTCCGAATTTCTCCGAGATGGAGTTAGCCTACGAGAAGCAGCAAACCCAATGCAACCTGAGGAGTTGGGAGATAGCCGAGCTACCACCGACGTTCGCTGAAGTGAGCAGGTGGTGGGATGAGAAGGAGGCACGCAAGACTCAGAAGGTTGGCTCTGAGCGGTCCCTGCCTGCAACACAAGGGCAGAAACCAGAACTATCTCAGATTGTCGGTGCAACGCCGAAGAATAAGCATGGCTTCAAGTACTCGCAGAAACAGAGATCCACCAGCGTGCAGCACGAGGCACAGTACATGAGCACCATGAGCCTCGAAGTACACGTCAACACCAGAGGGAAGCTGGTCCCAAACCCTGAGGAAGACGAGGTCCAGTGCGTTTTCTGGTGCCTGCGGTCTGACGAGCAGTCTCTGTTTGGCAGCCAAGCCCTTGACAACACCATATCTGGTGTTGTTGTCCTTTCAGAAGACGGCTACCTTGCCAAGCAGATACGGAATCAAACCTCTGTCGAGGTCGTCGAGGAGGTCTCAGAGCTTGACCTCCTGGTCAGAATGGTGGAAATCGTGCGCACTCACGACCCAGATATACTGACTGGCTACGAAGTCCATGGCGCAAGCTGGGGGTATCTGGCAGAGCGAGCAATGCACAAGTACGAGTTTGATCTGTGTAGCGAATTCTCACGGATGAAGTCCGATTCTTTTAGGAAGTTTCAAGTCGGCAAGAATGCCGACCGGTGGGGCTTCAAAACAACGTCAACGCTGCATGTGACCGGCCGGCACATCATCAACATCTGGCGGGCCATGCGGGGCGAGCTCAACCTTCTCCAGTACACCATGGAAAACGTGGTCTGGCATCTTCTGCACCGACGGATCCCGCATTACTCCTCGCGATCTCTAACCGACTGGTATTTGAGCGGACGGCCAAGGGATCTGAGCAAAGTTCTGCGCTACTACCTCAAGAGAACGCGCATGGACATCGAGATATTGGAAGCGAACGAATTGATTGCACGAACCAGCGAGCAAGCAAGACTCCTTGGCGTGGATTTCTTCTCGGTCTTCTCGAGGGGCTCCCAGTTCAAGGTCGAGTCTATCATGTTCCGGATCGCCAAGCCTGAGAACTTCCTCTTGGTTTCGCCTAGCAGAAAGCAGGTTGGCGGTCAGAATGCTCTGGAGTGTTTACCGCTGGTGATGGAGCCTCAGAGTGCTTTTTACCCCAGCCCTCTGCTGGTTCTGGACTTCCAGAGCCTGTACCCGAGCGTCATGATTGCATACAACTACTGCTATTCAACGTGCCTTGGCCGCGTAGTCAGTTGGCGTGGTACCAACAAACTGGGCTTTACGGAGTACAAGAGACGAGAAGGGCTTCTGAAGCTGCTGAAGGATTACATCAATATCGCTCCCAACGGAATGATGTACACCAAGCCAGAGATCCGCAAGTCACTGCTCGCAAAGATGCTCACCGAAATTCTCGAGACCCGAGTTATGGTGAAGAGTGGAATGAAAGAGGACAATGACGACAGGACTTTGCAGAAGCTCCTCAACAACCGACAACTGGCGCTGAAGCTGCTTGCCAACGTCACCTACGGGTACACTTCGGCCTCCTTTTCGGGCCGGATGCCCTGCTCCGAGATTGCCGACAGCATCGTGCAAACAGGTCGGGAAACCCTCGAGCGAGCAATTGCATACATACACTCGGTCGAGCGGTGGGGTGCTGAAGTAGTTTACGGCGATACAGATAGCCTGTTCGTCTACCTCAAGGGGCGGACGCGGGAGCAGGCGTTCAAGATCGGCGCCGAGATGGCCAAGGAGATCACTGACATGAATCCTCGGCCTATGAAGCTCAAATTCGAAAAGGTGTACCATCCGTGTGTGTTGCTTGCCAAGAAGCGCTACGTTGGCTACAAGTACGAGAGTCTCCACCAGAAGGTGCCAGAGTTTGACGCGAAGGGCATTGAAACTGTCCGCCGCGACGGGACACCGGCGGAGCAGAAAATCGAGGAGAAGGCGCTCAAGATCCTGTTCGAGACGGCCGACCTCAGCCAGGTCAAAGAATACTTCCAGTCGCAGTGCTCCAAAATTATGCGGGGCGCCGTGTCGGTCCAAGACTTTTGCTTTGCAAAGGAGGTGAAGCTTGGGGGTTACAGTGGGAAAGGTCCCGGCCCGCCCGGAGCCCTCATCAGCACCAAACGCATGCTCGAGGACGCCCGCGCCGAGCCACAGTACGGCGAGCGCGTGCCTTACGTCGTCATGTCGGGCGCGCCCGGAGCTCGGCTCATCGACCGGTGTGTTGCACCTGAAGACCTCCTCAGCAACCCCCACGCGTCGCTCGACGCGGAGTACTACATTTCCAAGAACATCATCCCGCCGCTGGAGCGCATTTTCAACCTGGTCGGCGCCAATGTTCGTGCCTGGTACGACGAGATGCCCAAAATCCAGCAGGTCCGTCGTCTGGAGACCACTTCGGCCGCCGCCGCCGTAGCAACCAACTTCAACAACGCCAGCGGCAACGGCGGAAACGCAGACAGCAAGAAAACGCTCGAGTTCTTCATGGACTCGGCCTCGTGCCTAGCCTGCGGCGTCAAGATGGCCAAGCCAAGGCCCGCCTCGCCTTCGGACTCGGACAACACAGACGGCGACCCCCTGCCGATCTGCCAGCGCTGCGCGGCGGAGCCAGACACCACCATGGTGCTCCTGCAGACGCGGCTGAACCACGAGCAGCGGCGGTACGCCGACGTCAGCAAGGTGTGCCAGAGCTGCGCCGGGTTCCCGCCGCTCGAGGAGGTGCCGTGTGATAGCAAGGACTGTCCCGTGTTTTATACGCGGGTCAAACAGAGGGCGAAGGTCGGGGCGGAGAAGGGGGTGGTGGAAAGAATTGTCTCGAGGCTTGGTGGGAGTGGTTTGACGGAAGGGAGAAGGGGCAAAGCTAGGGGTGACGGAGGGTTGGAATGGTGAGTGAGATGGGATAGGGGAAGATGCGAGTTGGTGGGAGGATGTGGTTTATGATATGACTTGATGAGAAGGGGTTTGGGTTAGGTCTAGCATAGCACAGGGTTAGATGGGAGCATTTACAGCGGGCTAGGGAATGGCAGGCATGGTACAGCATGCTTTTTTTGTTGTCTAACGCATGACGAGCGACTATAGACAGTGTTCAAGAGGATGCAAGTTTGCCTCGTTGATATTACTTCTTTGCTCCCTCATCCTTTCCCGCCTCCTAAATTACACTTACCTCCACCTCGAAGGGCTCGACCAAAATGATATAGAACTGGACAATACCAAGAGTGAATGGAGGTGTTGTTATCGCCGTCCGGAAGAGTCCTGAGCAGGTGTGTCACATCACCCGTGTCCCTTGCTTCTCGAGAGGCGACGTTAAGAAACCGCATTCATCAGGTAGCCTTTTACGGTTACGATACCTCAGGTGCCTATTTTCCGAAACTCTGTCTCGGAAAGCCGCAAGGACGGAGCACAACTGCCCGCATCAATATTGTTGTTGGCGAGTACTATGCCAGCTTCCGTCAGTGTTGGTGGCAGCCATGCCACAGCACGATGTCACTCGCCATCTAAGGACGGGGTACAGGGCCACATAATTACGGGATGGTGATTTTCGAGCCAGTGAATGTGACAAAAGAAGCTTGAGACCTGTCACCTATAGTGACTCGGAGATACCAGCAAAGATGCCTGAATCGGTTCAAGTTTTGCTGAGGTTGATTTCCCGGTGATATTGAGAGCATAACCCTAACTTTAAAATGAATAGCCCTTCTACAGGCCTCTTTTCCGAATCAACAGGACGTTTTCGGCCGATCCGATGGACATGACCCAGTCCGGAGCTGCCGGGGACTGTTAGAGTCAACCTCCGAGATTCCCACATTCCTGCCATCTCCGCAAGTGGATCTCGTGAATTCATCGCTGCTTATGACCGGGTCCATCTTCAAGATTTTCAGGACCAAGCCGGTGTTCCTTGGCGTGTCATGGACGCTAGGGCCAGGATAACCTACCGTACTGATGGTTCAGAATGTGATCCGGACGCCCGTGTCCCGCCAACAAAAGGCGTCGCAATACCAGACTCTCCTGCCTCAGTGGGTTTAGTGTGGTTAACACCTTGCACTACTATCTACCTTGGATTCTGACCTTATTACGCTTGTGATGATAATGAGGCACCGTACTACGCTCATCAGAGGCAGATTACAATGTTCCACGCAGTGTTCGAGAAGACCTTTGGAAGTCATCGAAAAATGCTAGTTAAAAGTGGACCATGCCGAGCTGGTGGTGGTTGGGCTTGGCGGAATGAATGGAGTCGGTGGAGTTCATGGACCCGACCCGATCAAGCGAAGTTACTGCCTTTGGGAGTTTAACGTTATGCTGATGCCTCAGGCCAAAATGCTCGTCGGGCTGAGTCCACTCCTCGCGATGTCGAGCTCCCTTTCTTCACTGAGTTGTTACCCCTCGAGACATCCAGCAGATTCCTGCCTCCCTCGCTGCTGGATTCATTTTCTCGCCCACTTCGACTATCGTCGCCCGATTTCGATCTTTTTCTCATTCCCTTCATTACCTATTTTTCGTTTCTTGCAGCAGACTGCGCTTTTCTGATTGGGGGGCCTTGTGTTGTTCTGGCGCGTAGAAGAAATTCAATTGCGCCGGGAATGTCAACAGCACAGCCTGCAGTCGCGTCCTCCCCAACCAAAGCGCAATAACAACGACTCCAGCATACTCATCGCCGTGTCTTCGCTCTCTGGCTGCTCTCGTTCTCTCTTTCCTTTACCCAACATAATCAGTACTTCTAATTTTGTTCGCTTGCTTACGACTTTGTCTTGTTCTTTGAACAACAACACTCTCCTTCATTTTCCTTAAAGTCATTTGTCCTTGCAAAGTGGTTTTTCCCCCACATGTTGGACTCTGGACGGTGAAGGCGCAGTGCATTCGGAATCCCACGAAAACACCAGGCGCTGGGTCTGTCATCTCGGCGACCTAGCGTGTTTGGCGACAGTCTCAATTATGACGACCTCCCTCGCCTCAGACGAGCCCGTTGCGGCTTCGGTTGCCGGCGATGCCTTCGATCCCTTTATGAGCCCCGCGGGTTCAGCCCATCTTCGGCACTCTAACTTTGACACTCACCTCTTTGCTTTGGCTCCCGGATCCTCGGCCGAGCAGGTCAAGCGCGCGATTCAGGCCCACCTTCGGGACACTGAGCGACGGATGGAAGAAGCGGGGAAACTCGGCACGGCCCTTGTCCAGCAACAGAAGCAGCTTACCGAGAAGCTCCGTGAAGTGGAGCAACTGCAGTCCGAGGCTGAGCTTACACCGGAACTGCGACAGCGTCTCGTTGAGATCGAGAAGGATTACAATGAGGTTGCCCGGGACAGCGCGCGAGCCTTGCTTCCTAAGCAAAGAGTGCCCAGCAACGAGGCCCCAAGCTCTCCGTTCTCTCCCGACGGCAAGGGCGCTGCCAGAGTACGTGCGTCCAATTTATCGTCTTCAAACCCTAGACTGACGCGCGGTTCTAGCGTTCCGTAAGCCCGTCCAAGTTTGAGACTCTCGCTGCACCCTCTCCGACTAAGTTCGGCGTCCCGAATCGAAAGATCCGCAACCAGCCTGCCAGCCGAATTCACGATATCGAATTTGCTGCCGAGATCAGTACCTCCCTGATCGCCCAGGTTAGAAGTCTTCAAGCCTTGCTCTCGGAGAGGGAGGAAGAGCTGAAGGAGGTCAAATCTGAAAGATCGAGGCTTGAGATCGAAGCCGAGGGATTTCAGCAACGCCTGAAGAGCCTGGACGAAAGCGAGAACAAGTACAAGGACGAGAACTGGAACCTGGAAACTCAGATTCACGAGCTGATTGCGACCCAAAAGGAGGCAGCCGAGCGTGAGAAGAAGCTGACCCAGACGCTCAATGTCATCCAATCAGAGAGAAATGCCACGCAGAGGGAGCTGGAAGAGGTCAAGGATAGCTTGGCCAAACAGGAGGAGAAGCATTCTGCCGAGATCAAGAACCTCGAGATTGAGCTTGGTACGAGTCGCCGGTCTGCCATTGTGTTTGAGACCGAGCGCGCGGCGCTGCAGCGGAAGGTAGAGGAGCTCACTGGTCAGAACCAGGAGTTGGCCAAGGCTTTCTCGGCACTTCAGCGCGGCCGGGCTTTGGAACGCGAAGGAACTCACGGTGCGAGCGAGGAGGATTCCACCTCGGCCCCTGACCATAACACCCCCGAGCACTCGCCGCCTCCTTCGCCTATGAAGCCAACCCCTCGGCACTCTGCGCTGGAATCTGAAACGCTTAAGACGTCGCTCGGTCACGCTCAGCGTACCATTCAGACCCTGCGGACAAACATTCACCGCGAAAAGACCGAGAAGCTTGAGCTGAAGCGTATGCTCCAGGATGCTCGGGACGAGATCGAGAAGCTCAGGAGCGACCCGCACCCTGCTCCAAAGAAAAGCCGCAAGGCTGACTTGCGCGAATCCAAGAAGCCTTCCTTCAAGCTGAACCAGCTGGGCGTTCCACGAGCGAGTAGGACTGAAATAGTCGAAGACCCCGAGTGGGAAGACCAGTCCGAGGCGCCATCTTCCCCCGCCCTGCCACATCGCGGTTCGAACGTCCGCCCCGCTGGCCCCGTGCGTGAGCCGAGCAGCGACCACTTCGAGACAGCCAATGAGACCAGTGACGCCGCCTTTGAGACTGCCCATGAGCGCGGGACCGAAACCGAGGACTTCCAGACGGGCGTTGAGGACATGTCGGACGATGATGATGCGCTGACGGAGACGGAAGCTGGCCCATCCCGAGGGCTCAACTCGATCAAGCGCCCTCCGCCTTTGCCACCGCACCATTCCAGCAATCATTACTCCTTCGACAGCACTGCCTCGACGTCAAGTGAGGATGAGGATTACCCTTCATTCAGCTCCGATATCAAGACTCCCACATCTGGCCCCAAGATGCGGAGGCGCATCAGCCGTGGCTCCCTGAGCCGCCGCCGTTCTCGGCAGTTCACCGAGGAGCCGGCTCTGCCAAGCAGTCCTGCCAGCATCTCTGCCAACAATCCGTCCGCCACTCCCGGTGGGCAGAGCCTGTTTGCCGAGCTGAACGATCTCGACAATAGCGATTCGGACTCGTGTGCAGGAGCCGCTACTCCTAGTCGCAGGAGCGTTCGGTCCGGCACCCCTGCCACGCCCCACAGCGTTGTTCGGGGCCGGCTGTCTCCGCCTCCTGAGGTCCCAGCACTCCCCAAGATCATGGTCGATACCGGCATGATGACTGAACCCGTGAATATACGGTCTATGTCTGCGATTGTCGATCGCGAGAGAGTATCTGAAGAGGGCGCGAGCTTGGTTCCGTCTCCGCAGAGCGCCACCTTCCCTGAGCGGCCGATGTCGATGGAGTCCGTAATTGCTCCTTTCCGAACAGATGCCTCGACTCAGTGGTTGGGAGATGATCCGAGGGATGGAATGACATCTAGACCACTGTCTTCCATCTCTTACAGCGACGCCAGTGTCCAACAGGACTGGGATATGCACGCGAAGCTGGCGCAGTTCCCGTCACCTCCACCGTCCTTGAGCTTCTCTTCAATCCAAGCGCAGTTCATCGAGCCTCAGTCGGAACCCGAGGTACTGTCCAGCCAGTCACCCTTGAGTGTCTCCTCCATTCTATCTGAACAGACGGAGCCGGTGGCAGAGAAGCTGGAAATACCAGTCCTCACCCTAGCGTCTCTGGTATGCGAGCATGTCGAACCAGTTGCCGAAACAGAGCGACCTTTGCCAGGGCTCAGCGTACCTGCCATCCTCAGCCAAGATATTGAGCCTATGGCCGAGTCAGGGCCGCCCTTGCCTGAACCGCCAGCGCTCAGTATGCCTGCCATCCTTGTCCAGGATATCGAGCCCATGGCGGAGCCAGAATTTCCGGCTCCAGAGTTGCCGGTGTTCAGTGTGCCAGTTATCGTCTCCCAAGATATCCAGCCTGTATCCGAACCGGAGCCGCCTGTACCAGAACCGCCTGCGCTCAGCTTGCCTATCATTGTTTCTCAGGCTATTGAGCCATCACCGCCGACGCCGGTTACGCTGTCTTTCTCGAGCGTGTATGCCGAGCAGGTTGAGCCCGTCGTCGAGCCCGAAGCTGTGCCTCCATCGCCAATCGTTCTCTCTTGCTCCGGTATCCTCGCCGAACAGGTGGAGCCGGTTGAACTTTCCCCGCCGATTATTGAGGAGCCCTCTGAGTCCAGGATCAACATTGCTCTACCTGTGCACCTGTCAATGTCCTCGATTGCGTCCGAGCACGTTGAGCCTCAGCACGAGGAGCCCGCATCACCCGTCAAATTGTCGGTGTCGTCCATCGCGGCAGAAGAGGTTGAACCCCTCGAAGAACCCGAGGCACCAGCGCCTCCTCTGGTCATCGCTTCTGTTCAGGCTATGGACGTGGTGCCTCAAGAAGCCCCGCCTCCTCCGCTAACCCTGTCAAATGTCCAATCTTGGGGCGTCGAACCCCTAGAGGCTACGGAGGTTGTCCCGCCCGCCTTGTCTCTTTCGAGCATTGAGGCTCAGAACATTGAGCCCGTTCGAATCAAGGAGCCCGAGGTCGCCCAACTGTTGAACTTCTCGAGTATTCAGTCGCTGCACACTGAACCTACTCCTGTCGAGCCCCGCAGTCCCTGGAGGAACGCATTCATCCTCCCCCGCGACGCGGAAATTGAAGTCAACGGCGCGGATGATGCCACTCGCAGTTTAGGTGAACGTCAATCTGTGCAGAACCAGAAGCAGACCGCATCGACCACGGACCAGGGCGCTCAGACAGCTCTGACGTCCGAGGCCATCGACCAGATGCTCAAACAGAAGGCTCAGCCTTTCGATACAGCCAACCTGGAGCGAACCAATTCATTTGGCAGCATCGGCACTCCCTCTACGGTGAGGATCCATCGACCTCGTCAAGAAAGCTTCGACGGCGCTCAGCGACCGAAGGACTATGCGGCCGACTCTGTTGTCGATCCACTTGAAGGACCTCTTCCTCGGAGGCCTGGTTCGGCTACCGGAATGGTGTCGATTGATGAAGTCCCACCGCTTCCACCGAACCACAAAGAAGTCATCGAGGCAGCGAGAAGTGGCTCATCACAAGGCGGCCAAGGTACCATTGGCTCCATGGGTCCTCCGTTGTTCCCTGCTTCCGCCTTGAAATCACAAAATCAGTCACTCAGGCCTCGAACGCCCACCGGTTCAAGGCGACCCATTTCTCCGATCTCATTGGCGTCTGGCCGAGGGACGCCAACCCCGCGTGCTGCTACTAAGCCCGGCCTCACCCCTGGAACTTCCGATGTGTACGACGCGCGGTCGCTCTCACGCGCGACCATGCAGAGCCGGAAGTCTTCCATTTCGTCGTTCACGTCTGAGGTTGATAATCGGTTCAACATGCATCAAGTGGGCGGCTTCGATCCGCAGGGCTTCGGGCCAAACACCGATCCTCGCATGATCCAGGCAATCACGCAGACTATGATTGGCGAGTATTTGTGGAAATACACGCGCAAAACCGGCCGCGGGGAGATGTCGGAGAACAGGCATCGCAGATACTTCTGGGTCCACCCCTATACGCGTACCCTCTACTGGAGCGATCGCGACCCCTCAACGGCTGGACGTTCCGAGCTGAGAGCCAAGAGCGTTCAGATTGAGGCAGTTCGAGTCGTTGCCGACGACAACCCGATGCCGCCGGGGCTCCACAGGAAGAGCCTGGTCATTGTCTCGCCAAGCAGAAGCATCAAGTTCACTTGCACAACCGGCCAACGACATGAGACGTGGTTCAATGCGCTCTCATACCTGTTGTTGCGAACGGCCGACGAGGGGCAAACGGATGTCGAGGAGATTGCTGGTAATATCACGAGGGAGGATGTCGAAGAATTCAATCCCTCGTTCGGCAGCAGGCGCCACGCCAATGGCACCCGGGCAGTTCCCTCGCTGTCTTCATACAACTCGCGTACTGCGCGAGATTCTCCACCCATGGATCTCTCCATGAGCGTCCCTACACTGACACCCTCGCGCTCCAAGGCCTCGCAAGGGCGCACATCGTTTGGCACTTTGAGCCGGATTGGCGGGTATTTGAAGGACAACAAGATATCCGAGACCTTTGGCAGTATCAGGAGCCGGAGTGCTCAAGGGCGCCACTCTGCCCTTGGCATCTATGAGTCCAGCGATGTACAAGATAGCGCTGAGGATGTTAGGCAGATGATCGAGAGGCAAGATCGGGAGGCCGATCGTCTCGAGAACGTTCGAGCATGCTGCGATGGTAAGTGACCGCGGCTGGAGAACTCTCAGTGCTAAGCTGCGCGGACGTTGACATTCTCGCGATAGGCAAGCACGATGTTGGCACCCTCACTAATAGTGCCAAAAAGGGTCGCCATTCGGCTGCGGGCTTCCGCAACCCTACGCCAGGTCCTTCAACAACCCCCACGCCGATTGGGACTGTCAGGTCCCGGGCATGATGCCCGGGCGCACTCTCTCGGTTTCCTTGGATTAACAACTCACGATGTCCCTTGTCAAAGCTCCTGGCCAGCGCATCATTACTTTCCTCGTCGATCACTATAAGAACCATTTTCCTGCTGCATTGGGGCTTCTGTGATGCATACACCGGCCATACTGGGGACTTCTCACGACCATGATGATCCATTTCCTCCTGTTCTGTTTTTCAGTTTCCTCCTGTACCATCAGATCAGGCTCACCAAGGCGAACCCGCTGTCCGCCGCCGACTAATCAGGGCTACACATTCCACTCCGTCCGGCTATCCTCAAACGCTATCTGGCTCGCGTTTTTCTCATCGTCGTCGGACATGGCGTTGGAACATCCTCGGTTTGTGGGCTTGGGTGGTGACCACGGCGTTTCGGGTTTAGAAGTGTCTTCTCCAGATACTTGGTTGTTGTTCCTTGGTGGTTCAAGAAGGTTTCGAGCCTGGTTCCGGGGCCTGAAGAGCGGCAAGCGGAAGAGGAGGCCACAAGTAGCACCCACGCCGTTGCCACTGTGGCTACTCAAGTCGACCCCCAGAGTCACCGAAAGGACAGAGACAAGGAGGGAGACAGCGAAAGCTTTGGTGTATAACTGATTACAGTGTGGTGTAGCGTGTTGATGATTGAATGCGAAAAACTAAATTGGAAGTTCTCGGTTTCGTGAGGCAAAACTGTTGCGCCCCGTTGTTCGTAGAAATACTGATGCACTTGACATTTTCCATGGGTGGCAGACAATGTACTACTTACCGCTCCTGTCACCAGAGACATTCTGGGCAGTCGCCCAGTTGTCCACATCAGCCCTTGTTGGGGGTTTCCAGCGAGAATCCAGCAGCGTTCCCAGCTCCTTCATCTTTTTACGTTCCCAAAGGTCCCGGGGCAATCTCTTAGCAAAAATGGCTTTGATAACCAGTCTTGTTGCGATCGCGCGCCTGATAGCGCGAGGGACCGGTTCAACGGGAACCAAAATCTTAATCGGCTCACGTTCCCAGAGGTCCAAAGGCAGTCCCTCAGTGAAAATGGCCGCCGCAGCTACGTAAGCCAGCTTGTCCTGGAAAGATTCATCGGACCTTGACGAAGCCTGATTCCGCGAAAACACTTTGGAGGTAGCTTTCGACACAGCAAGGATAGTGTTCAGAGGCAGATGATGGTTGGTTTCGCTGCGTGTTTGGTGTTGTGGTGCGATTGTGAGGAAAGTTAGCCAAATATAACCTTCGCCCAGGGCTCACCCTCCTTAAAGAGATTTAGCTAAAACCGAAATTTTCACATTTCAATTTTCAGGGGCTTGAAACGGTCCCGCCTCCCTTCCCCGGCCTGAGTCAGCAGGTGCATCACATGCATTCTGGATAATCGAACCCGAAAGTGTTTTGGCAGATGACATAATCCACGGATTCAACAGTTGCTGCTGTAACAACATAAGTTACCGTCTTTCTCCTTCCAGAACAACCACCACTCCACGCCATTCCAGCTTAAGCCCCCAACCCCGTCCCCAAGTTCGATGGCAGACACGGATACATCCGGCCATGCGCCAGCGGCGCCCATCGCACCAGTTGCCGTCTTCAAGAAGCGGGGCGCAAAAGGGAAAGCAAACCTTCGAAAACGACCAGCGACACCACCGCCTGCCGACGACAGCGATGGCTCGGATTTCTCTTCTTCCGAGGACGAAGCCGGCCAAAGAATCAAGCGCCGAAAAAGGAACACGGGCGCAGTAGCTGCTTCCTCGAAAGACACCGCAGCCGAATCAGGCGCTGCAAAGACCGACGACTTGGCAGCAACCATCTTCGAAGCGGACCGCAACATCTCCCTCGACCGCGGCAAGCGCGAGGCGACCAAACAGAGCAACTGGTACGACGAAGACGCCGACGGCGCTCTCTCCGCCCGTAACCTCCTCGGCTCGACGCGCGCCATGCCCACCATCAAGAAGACAGACCCACGCGACGCCCCGCCAGACGGCACGTACAAGGGCCTGGCAAGCCAGACAAGCTACATCCAGCGCAACCCCGACGCACCACAGCGGAACGTGGGCCCCATAAAAGCGCCGACCAACATCCGCACCATCACCATCACCGACATGGCGCCGGACGTGTGCAAGGACTACAAGCAGACGGGTTTCTGCGGGTTTGGTGACTCGTGCAAGTTCCTGCACGCGCGCGAGGACTATGCCCACGGCTGGCAGCTCGATAGAGAATGGGAGAACGTGACCAAGGGGAAGAAGGTGCTGGGCGGGACGGTGGTGGCCAGCGCTGAGAGGAAGCTGGCTGGTAGTGGTGGGGGGGAAAGGGAGGAAGATGAGGAAGAGGCGGCCATGTTGGAGAATATACCGTTTGCGTGCATCATTTGCAGGGAGGGGTACAAATCGCCTGTTGTCACGAGGTGTGGGCATTATTTTTGTGAGGCGTGCGCGTTGAAGAGGTACCGGAGAGATCCCAGCTGTGCGGCGTGTGGTGCCGGGACGAATGGCGTATTCAATGCGGCCAAAAGGTTACAGAAGTTGCTGGATAAGAAGAGGGAGAGGGCCGCAAGGAAAAGGCAAGAGGCGATAGAGGCGGGTGAGGAGGTTAGTGACGAAGGGGAGGGAGGAGAAAATTCATGAATATATGATTTACCCATGGTCAATCTGCAAACTTATGTGCTATTGTTCGTCTTCTTGCCCCTTGCTCTGTGCCGTGCGCCCCTGGCCCATGCCGTTTCGCCGTGATCTATCCATGAATGGGCCCATCCAAGGAAGATAACCCGCCGTCAACCTAACATGACCGATGTGGACAGGAATAAGACATCAGACACCCATGGTGAAATCATGCTCAATACCAGGGGTCACACTGGCAATGAACTAGAGTGGCATGTCAGCCAACTTCGCCGGTCTCAGATGGGGATGCGGTAGTCAAAACGTACTTTCAAGAACACAACAAGATACTGATCCACCCGGATGGCCACCTCCAGATCGCCAACGTCGTGCTGCACTTCCTCCCACTCATCGTTGTTATCGCTGGTGGCATCTGGAGCACCGACACTGAGGTTGCCAATCTGGCCCTCGAGGCCCTCCAGCCCTTGATTTCTGCCTGCTGCCACGCCAGCGTTCTGTCTCTCTCTCCGCAGCTTGAGGGCCGCATCGGCACGGTCTAGAAGCGTCTTCATTACTGAGGCGTGCTTGCACGGATGTATGCTGGCCATCTTGACGTTGTTGGCAAAAAAAGGAAAGTCTTCTAGCGTCACCGTCTTGTCCTTGTAGTCGCCAACGATATCCTCCATCATGAGGTGCGGAGGAAGCGGCTGGCCATTCGGTTGGTAGCCGGACATGTACATCCTCGGGGTCTTGTACCACGGCGAGTAAACGATGTAGAGCGAGTAAGTTCTCCTTCCGCTGTCGCAGGCCGAGTTAGAATGGCCCCTAACCGCACCCGCGTTCCGATGCTCACCTGTTCTTGCCATCCCCCTCTGCATCCCTGATGATGGCCTCATCGTCTTCCTCATCTTCCATATCCGGAATGTCGTCCTCATCGATGACCTCCCTTTCCCCAACATTCCCCGCATCGTCCACCGTCCGCACCTCCCTGACCTTGAGCGGCTGGGAACTGGTCAAGCCGCCCGTGCGCAGCCAGCCATCTTCGTCGGTGTTCTTGCCGCCCTCTACCACGGCTTCCTCGTGGCCTGCATCGCCAGCAAAGTCGTCGTTCAGACGGCGGTGACACGGGACGTGGCGGGTCACGAGGTACTGCTTTCCCGGCGGAAGATGGCTGATGCGTTTGCTGGGGATCTCAGCGTCGGCCCACGACCAGGAAGGGAACTTGAAGACGAGATAGTCGCCTGCAGCCACAAACTCCTCGGGCGTAATCTCGCCCGTCTTGCGGAATGTCGAGGTGTGGCTTGCAGGTGTGTACCTGTCGCGCAGGCTGTTGACGGTCGAGTAGATGATGTTCATGGCTGCTGCTGCTAGAAGTCTTGGGCGGAGTGACGGCGAGGAGAGAAGGTGGGGTATCTCTAGATAAGAGCCCGAGATAGTTACTCCAAAGCGCAACAGAGAATCAGTTAGAGAGGATGCTGGCCTTGCTAGAAACTTGGAGAAATAGAGAGGCTGTTCAAAACACACAAGCTCAAAGGCAGATGATGGTATGAAGAGTTAGAGAGAAATGATTGTCTGATCAAATGACGGACCGCTTCCTCGTGATTCCCCTTTGAGGGCCTTACAGTGACGAAGTGCCCGGCCAGTCAATGAATCCGCAGCATTGGTGGGGTTGAAGCTCTGTGCCCCGCTTGAAATCGCATGGCAGCTGCCTGCCCCCACAACATCCGTTGCTGCTCCGCCTGAGGCCCGTTGATTGGTGGCTCGATCGAACGTCCTCGCAATCGCGGTGCGACTTCCAATACTGGCTGACGACGATAGGAGGCGAGCATCGAACTCCACGTTCATTTAACTCTAATATCCGTTTCCCTTTGCTCCTCAAACTCGCCGACCCGGCCACCTAATCATCCCTACGTATCCTGTACCTAGCCGGTCTTACCTTCGCCGTCGCAGAGCAGCCCCTGACTCGCCCGACCCTCTCCATGATTTGATTTGATTCGGTTCGACTTGTCCAGTGCCGTCTGTTGTGTCCATCCTCCCGCACCCCTCTGATTCGCAAGCCTGGCCAGCAACGCGGCAACATTCGATAGGCGCCCAACATGGCCACCATACGCAGCCTTGACCATACCAAGTTCGTCGCGCTCACCTCCCTACATAATGCCTCGACGTCTCCGCGAGCCCTAGCCCACAGCCCAAGACTAATCAGCCATGCCGCGCAGGTCCGAGGCCGAGCTGGCCATCAACATCAAGAAGGCGACAAGTCCCGAGGAATCCGCACCGAAGCGCAAGCATGTTCGAAGCTGCATCGTCTACACATGGGACCACAAGTCCTCCCAGTCCTTCTGGGCTGGGCTCAAGGTTCAGCCCATCTTGGCCGACGAGGTCCAAACGTTCAAGGCCCTGATCACGGTCCACAAGGTTCTCCAAGAAGGACATCCCATCACATTGAAGGAGGCAATGGCGAACAGAGGGTGGATCGATAGCTTGAACCGCGGAATGGCCGGTGAGGGCATGCGCGGCTACGGCCCCCTGATCAAGGAATACGTCTACTACCTACTCGCCAAACTTTCCTTCCATAAGCAGCATCCAGAGTTCAATGGCACCTTCGAGTACGAGGAATACATCAGCCTCAAGGCGATTAACGACCCCAACGAGGGCTACGAAACCATTACCGACCTCATGACCCTTCAAGACAAGATCGACCAGTTCCAGAAGCTGATCTTCTCTCACTTCCGCAACGTGGGAAACAACGAATGCAGGATCTCTGCGCTTGTTCCCCTCGTCACCGAAAGCTACGGCATTTACAAGTTCATCACTAGCATGCTCCGGGCAATGCATTCAAGTGAGCTCCCTTCTCAGATGTGCACTCGTGCAATTTAACCAACATCCCGCAGCCACCGGCGACAACGACGCTCTTGAGCCTCTCCGCCAGAGATACGACGCCCAGCACTACCGCCTCGTAAAGTTCTACTACGAATGCTCCAATCTTCGCTACCTCACGAGCCTCATTACCATCCCGAAGCTGCCGCAGGAACCACCAAACCTGCTAGCAGAGGACGAGAATGCGCCAGCGCTGCCCGCGCGTCCTAAGCAGGAGATCGAGAAGAAGCCAACTCCTCCGCCACCAGCCCCGAAGTCTGACGAGCCTGATGAGATCTCAGAGTTCTGGAAGAGTGAGCTTGACCGGCAGAACCGGGAGTACGAAGAGCAGCAGCGAGTATTGGAGGCTCAGCAGCAGGCAGCACTTCTCGCGCAACAACAAGCGCAACTCCAGGCGCAGCGCGACTTCGAGGAGCAGCAGCAGCGGCTATTGGAACAGCAGCAGCGGGAGCAGGAGGCGCTGAGAGCCCAGCAGGCGCAATGGCAGACCCAAGGCCGGCTCGCCGAGCTTGAGCAAGAGAATCTCAATGCGCGGGCGCAGTATGAACGCGATCAACTGATGCTCCAGCAGTATGACCAACGAGTTAAGGCCCTCGAAAGCGAGCTGTCACAGATTCAGGGTAACTTTGGGCAGCAAGTAGCGAGCAAGGATGAACAAATCAAGGCTCTCCAAGAGCAGGTCAACACATGGAGGACCAAGTACGAAGCCCTTGCCAAACTTTACTCTCAGCTTCGCCACGAGCACCTCGACCTGCTGCAAAAATTCAAGTCAGTCCAGCTCAAGGCCGCTTCTGCCCAAGAGGCTATTGACCGGCGAGAGAAGCTGGAGCGCGAGATCAAGACCAAGAACCTCGAGCTGGCCGACATGATTCGGGAACGGGATCGGGCCCTTCACGAGAGGGACAGGCTACAGGGCTCCAACAAGGATGAGGTAGAAAAGCTGAAGCGAGAGCTTCGCATGGCTCTGGATCGGGCAGACAATCTGGAGCGAAGCAAGGGCAATGAGCTCTCGACCATGCTCTCCAAGTACAACCGCGAAATGGCCGATCTCGAGGAGGCACTGCGTAACAAGTCGCGGGCGCTGGAAGAAGCCCAGGCGAAATTGAGGGACGGAAGTTCGGACCTCGAGGCGCTTCTCCGGGAAAAGGAGGAGGAACTTGAAGTGTACAAGGCCGGCATGGATCAGACGCTGATCGAGCTCAATGAGCTGAAGAACAACCAGGGCACATCCGATCAAGTGCTCGATAGCCAGCTCGATGCCCTGGTCCTCGCCCAACTAAACAAGATCAACGAGATTATTGATTCGGTGCTCCAGGCCGGCGTGCAGCGCGTCGATGATGCCATATACGAGCTTGACTCGACGATGCAAGCTGGTAACCAGAATGCCTCACCCTCGTTCGTCCTTTCGCAGATCGAAAAGGCGTCCGCCAGCGCCACTGAATTTGCGACGTCATTCAACAATTTCATTGCCGACGGGCCCAACAGCACTCATGCAGACCTGATCAAGAACGTCAACGTGTTTGCTGGTGCCATTGCAGACGTCTGCGGCAACGCCAAGGGTCTCACGCGTCTCGCGACCGATGAGAGGAAGAGCGATGCGCTGATCAATGGCGCTCGCCAGTCGGCTCACTCCACGGTCCAGTTTTTCCGCAGCTTGCTGAGTTTCCGGTTGGAAGGCATGGATCCTCTGCAGAAGGCGGACGTCGTGATCAACAGCAATCATGAAGTCCAGATGCACCTGCAGAAGCTCAACAAGTCGGTTGAGGCCTTCGTCCCGGGCTTTGGCAAGCTTGCCACTAAGGGCGACTTGGGCGAGATTGTCGATCAGGAACTGACCAAGGCGGCCGATGCGATTGAGGCGGCGGTCGCCCGTCTCAACAAGCTCAAGAGCAAGCCACGCGATGGCTATTCGACCTACGAACTTCGGGTGCACGATTCGATTCTGGATGCTGCCATGGCAATCACCACAGCGATTGCCCAGCTGATCAAGGCGGCCACTGTCACGCAGCAGGAGATTGTGCAGGCCGGGCGAGGCTCATCGTCGCGCACGGCGTTCTACAAGAAGAACAACAGATGGACCGAGGGGCTCATCTCGGCTGCCAAGGCCGTTGCGACTTCGACCAATACGCTCATCGAGACGGCGGATGGCGTTCTGTCCAACCGCAAAAGCCCGGAGCAGCTCATCGTGGCGTCCAACGATGTGGCAGCGTCGACTGCTCAGCTCGTGGCCGCCAGCCGTGTCAAGGCAGGCTTCATGAGCAAGAGCCAGGAGAACTTGGAGCAGGCCAGCAAAGCTGTGGGCGCCGCCTGCCGCGCTCTCGTCCGGCAGGTTCAGAGCATGATCAAGGATCGCAACGCCGAGGAGGAGCAGGTCGACTACTCGAAGCTGGGCGCCCATGAGTTCAAAGTGCGCGAGATGGAGCAGCAGGTAAGTGATCGGTTCTTATTTCTCTCTCTCGGACCTCAGCCGGTACCTCCCCTGAGCATTCCACTGACTGTTCCCGTACAACGTAGGTTGAAATCCTTAAACTCGAGAACGCTCTGTCTGCGGCACGTCACCGGCTTGGCGAGATGCGCAAGATCTCGTACCAGGAGGAGTAAGGGGCGGTGGTGCGTATGAATCGGAGGTTGTCGCGGGGCAGGGTAGCAGCGGTTGATTCCTATTCCACTTCTCTTTTGCCGTACTTAATTTGAACCACTGTGGCGACGTTTCCTGGTGCTTCGCATCGTTCTCGTTCGATGTCGGCGAGGCTCGACCCTCCACTTTGTGTCGAGATATGGGAACCAATCCCCTTGCTAATGCAAGTCGGCAAACACAAGCGCCGTACTGTGTACAACTGATCCGGCCAACTCCGATCGGATGAACCCTTTTCGCTTCGCTGCAGTGTTCAGTTACACGGCATGCATCCCACCACGCCCGGGGCCCCCTGTTGAACCACGCCATGCTTCGCACTCCATCGACTCAACAGCCCGCGAGTTTGACAACGTCATGAAACAAACATGCACAACTTGAGTCATGCATCGCAGCTGCTGATGAAGGTTGTGATGCATTTCTTCCAAACCATCCATCAGGGCTTACTGCTCATGCGCTTGACTCTGCTTTCCGGCCTTGGAAATGTAAATTTCCGAAGGCACGTCGCCATCCCAAGCATTCCTAAGCCGTCTTGAGCCTTCTCACAGTCCTTACACTGGGCCATCTGTGTGCCATTCCATCCTGCATCACATGGTGTTTGCTCTTCACAGCTCGTCCGCTGATGAGGGGTAAGAAAGGAGCCCACATTTCAGTCTTAGCCATACCCTAACCCACCACTGTGAATGAAATCTGCCACGCCCGGGAAACTCGGCAAAACCTGTCAGAGAAAAAAGCCCCCTTGGCCGTTGCAAGAAGCGATCGTGTCCCTACAGCAGGTACCCGCCGCAATGACCGTTGCACAACGGCACCATCCAGATGCCAGGGGAGTCACTGGACTTGGTGACATGTCAAAACACAGGCAAGTCTGAGAAAGTGGGGGATCCTCCAGCCGAAAGCCGCTCGCCAAGCCCTCCAGTCCGGGTGTCCTGGTAGCGGATTGACGTGCATTAGCTTATGGAACCCTTGCTGCTTAAATCGACGACAGGTCACAATCCAAGACGTTGCCTGCAGAGCAAGACGTGCGAAAATTGAGCTGTCGATTTACTGTGTACCGAGGAGGATCGGAGGAGGCATGGGCTCTATATACATGCGGCAAATGGAAGAGAAAGTGAGTTCATACCATTTGCTTGCCAAGTGCCGTGCCACTCTCTTTGTCCGCTTGGGCCCCCTCTTCTTTCGTTGGTGAATGCAACATGACGACGCATGGGGAACGGTGGCGACCTGAGGTTTGAAGCGTCCCAGAGCCGCTAGCCTGCATGTGGTTTTCTTTGCTCTGCAAAAAATAACCGAGCAGAGGGAAGCATAGGCAGGCCGCACCCTCATAAGCCACCTGGACAGGAAATGCAAGGTCTTTCGCACGGTATCACGGAATCGGGGTGAGCTTTTCCGGTGTTGTTGGTGGATGCCTGCTGACCCGTCCATGTGATGCTTGCTCTTCGCATATCCGGGGCCCAAACGGCTTCGTTCGGTCACTGCAGGGACTCGGGGTGGATTGAGGTGTGGGAAGTGGGAATGTCTCAGTTGAAACCTGTGTATTGGATTCAGCATCACAGTGACCGTGAAAGCGTTTAACTCTTACCCTGTGTGCCGTTCCCCATTCCCATAGTGAAGAACTGATTGCCGAGGTTGGCTGGGTTGTCAATGCTCCCGTCGCCCTCCCCGCGAAAGATCTTGTCCAGCATGGCATCCAGCTCCGGGTCGTCGTTCTGTACCATGAAGGGTTCGGTCGTAGTCAGGTCGCTCATTGGCGTGATGTCATGCACAGTGACGCCTTGGACAATGAGCGGATGGGCCGCGGGGACCTGGAAGATAGCCGACATGGCCAGTTGGGGATGGGTTTTGGCGAACTGGCGGAAACCATTCATGCTGTTGGCGGGTTTTGCGGCGGCTCCCAGCTGAGTGTTGATGCAGATGACATCGTTTGTAAGGCCCGAGAGTTTGGCGATGATGGGCAGCGGGTTGGCAACCGGCAGGCCGTCATTGAGGCAGTTCATGAAGAGGCCGAATCCGTTCATCGGCTGGAGGCAGCTCGGGACTGACCGGATTGAAGTGCGCTCGAGCTTGTGAGAGCCGTCATTGAGTTGGATCAATTCCCAGCCCAGAGTTATCAGGTAGTGCTCGCGGACCACGATTCCCATGTGCTTGATCGCGAATTGAATCCAGGTTTGCAGCGAGACGTTGTCGTCCGACAAGAACTCTCGGATCGCCGAGTACACCGCACACATGAAATCCCATTCCTCATGGAATGGGTCCTCCTTCCAGAGAATCGTCATTATCGGCGATTTCTCCTTCTGCGTGAGCTGTGAGAAGAGAGACGAATAGTATGCTAAAAGGCGTGAGCCGACGTCACGATGGCACTACCGGTTCAACATACCACGGTATCCCATAAATCCGTTGACCTTTTTTTTGGCGGGCTGCCGCTGATTCTCGACACGCATCATGGTCGACAGTGCTTTCATCGTGGTCTCTCGATCTCCTTCGCCGAGACCTTCGAATGTTTGGATTATCTGATTGATGCCTGACATTTTGAGGTGCTGAGCAGGTTCAGGTGTAGTGTGCTGAGCACGGTGAAGGTAACGAAGAAAAGTCGAGCAGGCGTTTGCAATGACTGGAGCCGGGGGAGGGGGGAGAGGGGGGGAGAAGAAAGGCGCAGCCACAGATGCGAGAAACGCCTACCATGCTTTTAATTGGAGACCGAACAAAGATAAAGGTAGGCCACGCTTAACTACATTACTTGAATGATTGTTAGCGCGGAACTACGGACAGGGGTTCCCGCATGATTTCAGAATAAACGCCTGAACGGCCTACTTTGGTGTGTGAAAAAGCCGGCTTGGACCGAGAGACAACTTTGAGCTTTCTCAATGTTTTATTATCTTTGGTCAGATTCGAGTCCGTGGCTGTTGAAGTGGGAAATACTGTGAAAAATGGTGGGATCTGATCGACAAAGTCGGACCAAGGGACTGTAGCTACCTAACATGGCGCATTCTTTCAATTGACTTCCTTTATTCAGCTCACCCAGCTTTCAAATTGATTCAAGACTTGTCACTTAGTCACACAAACCTCAGAACATCCAGTGCACAAATGATTCATATTGACTTTTGAAAGTCCAGCAAAGGCCAATGCAGCTATAATCCCTTCTCTCCCGCAGTCTGTACTCTGATGTTCTCGATCGCAGTTCAGTCTACGAAAAATCAGTGTCCCACTCGCCGTCGAACTCGAGGCAATATCTCCTAATCTGCGCTTCTAAGATAACCGGAACAGGGGCAACAGGTTCTCCCAGCAAAGCAATCCCTGCCATGTCGGTTGCGTTGATCTCGGCGTTCAGCGCCTCAAATTTCGACAGCCCCAGGAGATCATACTCAGGGCAAGGGAACTATTTGGCGGCAGTTAGCAATATATCCTGAGCTCAATCTTTGTCAATGCTGGAAAGCTGTTATAACGCACATCGGTCATGTCTTCAAGAGACAAAATGCTGGCCTCTTCGGCCCTCTTCCAGCCCCTAAAGAGATGAGACAGGCGACGCTGAATGTCTCTGATCATGGCCTTCCCGGTGTTAGCACCAGCGCACTACAGCTGACAAGTTTTACCCACAATTCTGGCAGAGTCTGGGAGACGTGGACCGGGTAGGCGACGGAACTGATGAAAAGGAGTTAGCATGCAATGCCACCGTAGCCTGTGAAGGAATAACTCACCCTCTCGAACATATCCCTGTATTTCTCGTACTCATCCTCCAGCTCGATATGCAGCCACTCGATCGTCGGGGGGATGATAGCATGGAAGAAGGGAAGCGGCTTGCGCTCCCTAAACAGCGCAGGTCTTGCAAGCGGACCTGGTCTGAGGTTGCCAAAAAACTTGTGCCAGGGAGTGCCAGGAACATGTCTCAGAGGGCTGAACAGGCTATCCGTATGCCAGTACCGAACCAACTTGCCGACATCGACGTTGTCGTCATCCGGGTCGGGAATCTCGCTTTGCTCAGTGTGGTGAAACCTGTGGAGGAGGAAACTCCCGTAGATCATGACATCCTCGTTGTAAATGAAGCCCATTTCTTTTCCCGGATAGTGTTCCGCCTTCTTATGAAGAATGAACGTGTTCAGAAGTTCTTGTACGAGGATCTGGGCATCCTTGACTTGCTGCTCAAGGGAGGGATCGCCTCCAGAAGCAAGGCCAGTCCTCCGATGTTGGAAATCGAGAAACTCAAGGATGGCGTTCGATGATGCGAGGAAGTGACAGACGGTCTTGACCACAGAGGCTTGGTCGATGATCACCAACGAGGGAGATTGGGCGACCCTCTCAGTAGTGACAAGGAAGACACTGGCTGTTTGCAGAATCTCTTCAAAGGAATTTTCGAATTCCTCGATTTCTTTGGCAAGAAATGACCGGATGTGCTGGGACTGTAGGCGCATAATAACCTGAAAGCGAACAGAGCCGCTCATGTCAGCGAAAGCCACAAGTCATCTCCGGATCATTGGTTCACACGCACCTGTCCGAGAGCGCAGCGAATCTTCCTTGCCTCTTGAGACAAGAAAGATCGATTTGCGGGAATCAATCGGGCCCGCAGGGCTGTTTGCTCGTCAGTCATGACAAAATTCAGCTTTCGTCGTGCTGTTACGGAGTTGGTTTTCACGGAGTTGGCGTAGCCTGGTATATGCAATGGCAAATGCTCTGGCAGGACTGGAGGGCGCATTGGAAGTGGTTGAGTATCAATTATTGCCGAGGAACTGGATCTAATTCCAAACTTTCCATTGGCTTGCACACAACGTTATTCGAGCTTAGAATTGTGCAGGTGGGCTGCCTATCGTCTGTGCCTTGACTTAATTACAGTAGTATTGTTCCTCTGAACGTATAACTAAGTGGCCCATATCACCAATTTGGGAAGCCAGCCACACTATTCAAATCGTCTTCAAAAACCAGTCATGAAGTTTCTCGATTCCACTCACACACAAACTTCCGACACTTCATTTGCAGATACCTCACTCTTCCCTCGTTCTTCTTCGACCTCACTTTGTCTTTCGCCATTCTGGGATAACCTTCCCGCTCGTTGAGAACCACCCCTGCCAGGAGCTTCAATCTTTCCTCACCAGCTCATCAGCTCCTCGAAACCGATATCACTGGCCGATCTCACCATGGCTTCTTCCATTCAGAACATCACTTCGAGCACCGTGGAGGACGCTGCTCCCTTGGCGTTTGTCTTCAGTGGCAATGAAATGATTGTCCAGTGCACTGCCAACAATGATGACCGGGACGCTGCCGTCAACACCATGAACACCGCGTTGCTGAATTACCAGTGAGCTCATTTCAGTCAGACTGTAACGCCAGCACTTTGCTAAACCCTCTACAGAAAGTTCAACGATGGCAAACATGCTGCCATCGTCCACTGCAAGGCTTCTCAGTCAACGCGGTATTGGATCACCAGCGTTCCGTACGCGCACACCTTGGACAAGGAGTCTTTCAAAATTATTGAGACTACCGCTGGTAAGTGAGCTGAGGTCTCAGATTGGCGGTTGCATGAAATCTAACCATCGATGGTTCAGAGCCCGTTGCGCAACCGCCCATGGTCTCGTCGCCTCTTCACCACCAGAAAGTAACCAAAGTTCACATCCGCAGGCCTCGCAATCAGTTCATCATCTACCGTCAGTGGATGTCGGCCAAAATCCATGCAAACAACCCTGGCGTGACTGCTGCTCGCATTTGTAAGTCTCTCACTGCCCAGCTTCCTCCGCATCTTACTGACATCGGGTAGCGCAAATTGTGGGACAGATGTGGCGGGATGCGAAGCCTGAGATTAAGGTCCGCTTCAAGGCTCTGGCTGATGAAGAGGACCGTATGCACAAGGCGAAGTACCCGGGCTATCGTTACGTGGCTGGCCGCCGCAACCCGCAGCTGCCTCTGTCGAAGCGCCATTTGACACAGAACCCCATGACGATCGACGAGAGACTGATCGCAGCTGGAATCTGATATTGGATAATCAACTCGGTCGCGATCCTCAGCGCCCGAGTCATCAACACCATCGTGCAAAAGACGTGCTCATGAAGTCCTGACAATTCGGACCGCGCAATGAGCAACAGCGTCCAAGAGACAGAGAATCCAGAAAAGGTCAGTCAAAAAATCAGAAAAGAAAAACACCTAAAGGTGAGCGCCCATCTCCGATGACTCATGGCGCTCAATCCAGCGTCAGTCTCTCTCAGTGACCTGACGCTGACATTTGCCTCGACACAGACTGCAAGCCACCATCACCGGCCTCGAGCAAGCCTCCAGCTCAATTGCCACCGCCGCGCATGAGCAGTTTCGGGGAGCGGCAAGCAAAGCCTCGACACCGATTTCTCGACACCGATTTTTGGACCCCGATGCGTTTCACATGATGCCTTCACCACCGCGATGGACCACAACACCAGCCTCATAATCAATTTGTTTGGACGGTGCGAGTTACAGTATTGACGGTCAAATCGTGCTTTTTATTCCCAGTGATGATGTATGCGGGGGATGGGAGACATACCCGAAGATGGAACTCTGGTACTCGGTGCTTGGAGACAAATCTCTGGGACTGAGATCTTGGAGGGGGAAAGAAGTCGGAACAGGATGGATCTGGGTAGCCGACTACCTGTCGTTGGCGTCCTTTTCTGTCTTGGGGCTTGGTTGTGGTCAGTTAAGGGCATTTTCGCAGGACAGATCAGAGCCGATGGGTTCATGGCAAGACAACGACGATAGATAACTTCACTGAATCCCGCTTGCTCCATCCATTGCGTGACTGTTGTGGCTGTATGAAGGCAAAGTCTGCTGGGAGTAACATCACGTCGAGTCCCTTAGGCAGCTTCTTCCGATCTGCGACGTGCTCATCACCCAGAACGCAGATCACAACGCGCCAAATTAAGCATCCAGTGAACTTCAACCAACAAATATCACGGCGTGACTGGTGTCGCAGCAGGTGCATGTTGTCATGGGAGCGAGAGAGTCTTTACATCCTGCACGGCTTCCGGCACGGCGAAGACAGGATTGATCGCAACGGATGTCTGATAGGTAGAAGCAGCGACTCGAAAACAGCCCAACGGTCTCGAAGCCCCGACCACAGTCAAGCGAGACGCAGACAAAAGGGAGCAGGTACGGAAGAGCAGGCCTTTGCTTAGCAAGGTGTCGGACACGAAGCCCGCCGAGTCCATTGCTGACGAGAACTAAGAGACAACTCAAGCGGGTCCGTATGCCACTGCGGCAGCTGAGACCTCAAGAACCAATGCCTGAGAGACCAGCAACTCGTCGTTGTAACCATCCTGCGAAACGATCGTTGAACGACCGACCGACGGAAGACCAAGTGCGTGTGTATGCAAGTCGCAGCCGAGCCGCCATGCAAGGCAATCAATCCTCCTTTCCCAAAGCGCTTCACTGCCGACCGTTCCAATCGCTGCTCCAGATGAACGTACGGCAACGGAACTCGGTTCCCTGCTCTTTGTCTCCAGACGGGCCCAACGGACGAGCACACATGAAGAAGGACCTACCTGCGAAAGTTGTCAGTGAAGATAACGGAACAGCAGCGTTGGCTGCAAATAACGAACGCGATAATGAGACGAGGATGATGACGGGGACGGAGGACAGCAAAAGGGCAGGCGTAAAGGATTTCGGAAGAGACGAGGCATTGCTCAAGTCCGGTTATGGAAATGCTGGAGTGAGGAGGAGGGAAAGAATACCTACCGCAGTTGATGCCGGCCTTTTTAGTCACCAGCATCTGGCAATCCTCACCATGCTCGCACTTTGGGACCACGCGCTTGCCGAGCAGTTTCGACCAGGACTCCTTTGCCTGGATTGGATCAAACACCTTTTCTGTGGACGAGCTCTCAGGTTTTGGGCTTTCCTCAACCGCTGCCACGATGTCATTCCCCGTGGAGGATTCGCCGGTGAGTAGACCTGGCTGACGATCATGCTCTGAACTCGGCTCAGCAGACGATTTGTTCGGGGTGGCGGCCGTATCCGTGTTGCCATCTGCCTCGGCGACAGGGTTAACGTCTGGCGTAGGGGTCCTTGGCTTGAAGAAGCCTTTCAGGCTGCTTTGTGATAAGCCTGACATCGATTTGGCAGAGTTCTCTCTGTTGAGCGCACCTTTCCCCTTCTTCTGAGGTCGGCTTGGAGGCGTCAAGGCTTCTGCTTGCCGCTTAAGCGGGAGGGGCTTCTGGGGAGGTATTGATGCGTCGTTGCTTGATGTTGTGTCGATATCGGTCGTGAGATATGTCGTTCGAGCGGATGACGGTGGCAGGGAAACAACGCTGGCCTTTCGGACTTCGCCATTCACTTCGCCCTGTATGGCATCCGTGGCGGTAATGGTTCCTTGAGAGACTGTTGAGCTTGGCTTGGAATTCGATGGGGCGGGTCTCCTGAAGAACATGTCTCGAATGTTTTGTCGGCGATCAAACTCAGGGATAAGCTTCGCCGACGTGGGAAGGAGGTCCTTTGGTGTCCATTCTCGCTGGCGCTGGCCATCTTTGAACATGCCTGCCGGGTTCATGATATCCTCAGTGTGAACCTTGGTGCCGTTCAAACTGACAGTGTCACCAATTGTAGCGTACACGGGACAGTGGTCGGATCCAAGCAGGCCTTCTTGGATATTGGCGTCGATAAACCAGTCTTTGATTACAGAGCTGCATAGCACGTAATCTATCCGACTTCCGAAGTTGCCCGGTCGTGCATTCTTTTTGGTCTCCCAGCAGGTGTACATACCTGCACGAGTGGGATGGAACTCTCTGCAGAGATCCCAGAGCACAGGCTCCTCCCGGCCCTCATCTCTCTCGCCAATGACATGCCCTCCATAAACAAGGTGGTTAAAGAAGCGCCGCGACGGAGTGGAGAAGAAGTCGTCAAGCGTCATGGCCTCCTTCCGTAGGCGCTCCGGCAAGCCAGCGGTGTCCAGCTCGGAGCGGATGATGTTGAGGTCGCCGCAGAGAAATACCTGCTTCCCCATGGCAACAAGGTTGCGGACTCTGATGTCGATGGCATCGATGTAGGCCTGGCGGAACTCAGTCCTTGTCTCGTCTCGGGTGGCCGGGCTGTAAACACCGATGAGAACAAAGGCAGGGAACTCCAGGATCACACAACGACCTTCAGAGTCAAGAGTCTGTTCGTCGACGGAGTCAGAGAGTTGGCCAGGGGCCGGGTATCCGCCGATTTGTTGGTCTGCAGGGAGGTCCCGGAACTTGGTAGACGAGTTTGGCGGACAGAGAACGCCGGTGATGCCTTCTTCTGCACGAATCGGGCAGCATTTGGAGGATCGGGTATAGATTGCCACACCCGAGTATCCTGTTATGCACATTAGAGGACTGGAGCAGCAGCATGGCGCCCAAAGCTTGCGCACCTTTTTTGTACTTGGGAAGACTGAAGTAGACATCCCAGCCCGGGACCAAAACCATGTCATCTCTCAAATCCTTCCGCTGAATCTTGGTTTCTTGCATGACGACGATGTCCGCTTCCAGCGTATCAAACATGGCCTGTAGCCGGTTAGGTCCTGTCAAGTTCGCGAGCCACGCTATCAAGACGTGGGGACGAGGTACCTGGAATGTGCGGTTCTCCCGCCACGGCTGGTACCCGAACGGGTTTCGAATACCGTTGACTGCTAGGGTATCAGCAACGTGACCGAGAAAAAAGGTGCTAAGAGGGCAGATGTCTAACCGTTCCATGTCGTGATTCGGAGCGGCATCTTGTGTTGAGTCTCAAAGCCGCGGCGATTCAAGGCTGCGTTGTATTGCCTTTCTAATCAGAGTGACGAGCGGTGGCAGGATGTCAAAACCGGCCAAGTGAAAAGGACCCCAGCGCCCTTAGAGTTGCGGCGAGTCCGGCATATATCATGGGCGAGGTGGTGTGTTGAATTCGTTACATATGACCAATGATGCGATTCAAATCTCATGGGGGGAATCGCGATTTGACATCCGCGCAAGGCATCACCAACAGATGGAACTCGGGAGAGAATAGAGGAATCTTCACGGCTCAGATTCGCTTCGTTGATAATGACAGCTCAGCCCAGTCAGAAACTCTTCTCACAAATCATCGAGTCCCAGTCCTTCACGGCATCCACGAACGGAAAGTGGCAGGCGCCACGAACCGTGGCAACCTGCTAATCGCGAGGTCACCTGACCGGGTCACTCATTGCTCTTAAAGATTCCCGTCTTTATGTCATGATTTTCTCGGTGCGCCGGCTAGTCCGTGCGCCCACCCCGAAGTCTAACCGAGAATGACCTGATTGGGGTCTCTGACCTCACCTCATAACAGCCAGCGGAGCTCCAAACAAAAAGCGGGTCAAGCGCTGCTTCATCTCTGCATGACCTCGGGGAAGCTCCCGCACACCAATTGACAACCCGAACCGCAACCCTTCGAGCCAAGTCGCCGACTACGCATTCCAACCACCATGTTTGTGCAGCGCCAGGTTTCTCGCGCTGCCCAGCGCTTCACTGCGCAGGTCCGCGCCCAGTCCCAGCGCCGCTTCGCCAGCACCGAGACCGAGAACTCCTTCGTCCGCGAGCGCCGCCACGTCAAGGAGCACGCCGGTGCCACCACTGGTGAGGACTTGCCCCGGTTCCTGTGTCTCAGCAAGTCAGCAAAGCTAACGGACGAGCAGAGCTGTGGCGCAAGATCTCCATCTAGTAGGCTAACCCTCAATCCCTCCTCTCCCACGTTGCGTTGTTTTCATCACCTCACCACACGACTTCCTGGAACGATGACTTGCCCAGCTTACAATGCGGTAAAGAGGAGGACAAGAAAATGGGTGGTTGCTGGAGGACTTGGGTGGTAAAGATCGGAGGAGCTAGGCCTTCCGCGGCACACTGAATTACAAGCGGAGCAAGGCAAGCGAGACAGCTAACACTAAATCCCACAAACAGCGCCGTCCCTCCCGCCCTTCTCCTGGCCGGCCTCAACGCCTACAACCTCTGGAACGAGCACTGGGAGCACTGGTCGCACATGCCCCCCCTCGAGGAGCGCACCGAGTACCCCTACCAGAACATCCGCACCCGCAACTTCCCCTGGGGCAATGGTGACCAGGTACGTCTACTCCGCGCTTTTCCTTACAAATCACGGTGGAAACTAATAACGGGCTTGACAGACCATCTTGTACGTATACCGAATTTGGATCCAACAACCCATCAACGGGATACTCGGAGGGGAGAACGATGAATATGAAAAAAGATGGCGTGTTAACAGAGACAAACAGCTGGAACCCCGATGTCAATTACCACAACAAGGACAAGACGACCTAAGCGACGAGACGAAGATTAATCCGGCGGTCGCTAGTGGAGAATCAGTATACAGCGGAGGTGTACACGTAGACGGGTCGAGGAGAGCAACACACGCGGACAGCCACCTGTACATGTTCCTAGAGTCGAAGAATCTGGTCACAGTGATTGGGGCTCTTTCTTGACGCCGCCTGTCCTTGTCAGTTCCAAATTATGACTACCGACTTGATCCCAGTTCGTGGTGGTATTATTGCTGTCCAATGCGCGGGATTGACAGTAAGAGGTGTTTGGAAGGATCAGACATGTGCTGGAAGGAAGGTGAAGGCATTCGGCATTCAAGATGAATTGGGCCCAGGACATTCAAACTGACAGCCATTTCTTCCTACCCGTCGCCTGAGCCAGCACCGCGCACCGGCTTCGGCAGCACTATCAACCCCCCCCTCCTGCTTGCCTCTGCCAGCCTCAGGAGGCACTCTATCATGCCCCCTTCCTTGCCTGCTCTTCCGCCCACAGCCCCAGGTACGTATCCGCGCAACTCTCAGCCTGCGCAAGATTCCCCTCCGCCCGAAACAGCGCCGCCTTCTTCGCCATCATCTCAAACCTCTTTTCCACATCTTCCACGGCCGAAAAGCACTGAAACGCCGAATCCAACGCCCCGTGAACTCTCCCCATCATCTTCACCCTCTCCGCCGGGTCGCCGCGCCCCTTCATCCCGCCTGCCAAGCCCGCCCTCGCGTCCGCCAATAGGCTGTACAGCATGCCCGCCGTGTAGACTACGTCCGTCTCGAGACAGCGGGGCAGAACGGCGACGAGCAGTAGCTCTGCCGCCGCGAACTCGCCCAGGCAGTTGAGGATGTTGGCCAGGGCCCCAATTGCCTGCCACAGGAGCGCCAGGAGCCGAGCCCGCCAGGCCATGCTTGCCGCGCGCATCACAATGCTGAAGCCCTTCTCTGGCCGGCCGATGCAGTCGAAGAGGTGGGCTTTGATCAGGAGGAGGCGGATGCGCAACGATGTGTCCCTGTTTTCCTCGCGGAATTCCGAGATCAGTCGCTCAACTTTGGCGAAGGCTGTTTCGTAGTCCCGGCGGCGGGTCAGCGCCTCAATGTGCAGCGTGTCGATGATGAAGACCATGTCGTGCTCAGTGTCCTCGGGGTTGTTCTGGAGCAGCTGGAAAAGCAGAGTCTCGGCCGACTCCAGGTTGTTGTGGTGAAGATCTTGACGTAGTTTGAGGAGTCCGCGGTAGAGGTGCCAGTATTGGTCGGGTTTTGCCGAGCGGAGCGAATTGGTGTCGATGGCCTCCAGCCTCGCAAACGCTTCTTCATAGTTCCCCGTCCCAGCCAGCAGCCCAGCCATTCGACACGTGAGCCTCAGCTTATCGTCAAACAAAGACGTCTTTGTATGGCAGCGGAGGAAGACCTCGCATGTCATCTTCGACATTACAGCCAGACCAACCCTGTCCCACAATGCAATTACCAGGGAGAGCTGGGCCCCAAGCATGGTCTGGACGTTTCTCTCAACAATAATCTGGGAACTCCGCACCATGTTCTCCAGGGCAGTCGAGATGCTGTCCCCGTCTGCAAGCTCAAGCTTGGCCTCGCTCAAAAGCGCCGAGCTCCATAGTATCCACATGCCCGTCTCCTTTGCTTTTGTCCGGAGAAAGGCGAGCAACTCCTTGCCACTACCGAGCATGCTGTTGTCTTTGAGCTCCTTGACCAGATTCGGGCGAGCCAGGCTGAAGTGGAAGAGCCAGCTTAGGGCAAAGTTGAGGCAAGCTGTATCCCTGTTCTCTTTGGCAGTCGAAATAGCTTCCAGCATGGTTGCTACTGCGTCTTTGTGACAGCCAAAATTTGACTGCGCAATTGCTAGGTTCAGCAGCGCGTATTGGTAGAACAAGCGGTCCCGGTTTTGCATCGTGTAATCGAAGTAGCGGTGGAGGTGGTCGAAAGATGATGGGCATTCACCCGACAGCGATGAATCTGAGAAGCTGATTTGTTCCTTAGCTAAGAAGCGCGGTCACTGGGAGGTGTTAATCGAACCTGTGATAGTGTGACAAGCTCGGGACGACACGAGCGCTCTTCAAGAGTTTCAGAAAATCGTCCCTGATATTCGGCGGTACTCGAACTCCGTACTCTGTTGCGATCAGCGATCCGCCTCCGAGAACTCCAAGCAAGGACTCACTCTGAACCTGTTCAATCTGGAACTCCAGCATGGCTTGAATATCATCGGTGCTGACGGGCACGGAAGGGTCATCATCGTCCATGAGCAGCATGTTTCCGTACGCTGCCACGGCAACCTCGTCCGTCTGGGTCCCCCACTCATGCTCTCCCTCCAGGAGCACCGAGTCAAAGCTGAGCCGGCTGTGCTGAGGATTTCGCCGCCTCCAGTAAGGTGCCGTCGGTTGGCGATATTTAACAAACGTCCTCCACAGTTCGGCCACCTGATCGAACGGCATCCTGGAGAACTCGAGGTGCGATCGCCTCACAAAGGCTCCAAAAGGGGAACTGCGAGAGAGAAGTACGCCGGAAGGGGGGTTCTCGCCGCGCTCGGCCATTTCGCGCAGTTCGGCCTTGGTCCTCGCCAGGAGGTTCGGTAGCTGGTCAACGAAGTCGTGCAGGGTATGAAGCGAGTCAATACCCCATAGTTTCTCCAGAAATCTGTCCCACAAGCTGCGGCCGGGAAGGCGGTCAACAGCAGCAAACGAGGCCAGCAATTTCTCGAAGTGCTGGACCGACACGGCAAGGCTGATGGTGTTCTCAGCCCTTTTCCATTGTTCGGCCGGGGCCGGGGAAGGCCCTGCCAAGCTGTAATCGAGCAAGTGACTTGCCAGGAAGTCGATCACCGGCACGATGGCATTGTTGGGAAGTGCCCCTTCAATGTAAAGCTGAACGAGAGCCAACAAGGCGATTTTGGATGGAGCAAGGTAGCGCGACATGGCTTCATTTGGCCTGGCCAACTTTACGCCCTGGACCAACTGAGATGAAAGCAGGACGCACCTGAGTGCTGAAAGTAAGAACTAAGAGCCTGAGCTCGAAAGTTGTTTCCCTGCAAGAGGTTGCGCTTGCCACTTCCAATGAAGTAGTGTTAGATAGTTTAAGCTCGCAATCTCACGGCTGTCGACAACGGTCAGATTATTTCCAGACTGAAGTGGACGTTAAATAGAAGGCTCTGCAGAATCGAAGCAGAAATTCGAATGATAAGGGCAGTTGCGTGCTTAAAGCTCTTCCGGTTGTGTAACCTTTGTTGATCTGCTTGGAAGTCGCGACCGCAGGTCAACAATACAAGGTGTGCTCGGTGTGTTCGGTGTGGGGTATCGCTGGCATGGATCGTATTTCCTTCTCACCTGGCCAACTCGCCTTGACCACGACCCTGAGTTCTGAATATCCAATTGAACGAAGTGAAATGAATCAATTGATATTTATGCTAAGGTGCAGGTGACACAGCCCTCAAATTACGCAGCGAGTGGAATCTCAAGGTTGCTTCCCATAACCTATTCCACACAATCGGCTCCTACCGACCTGCACAAAGCAGAAGAACAACCAGATGCCATCTATGGAACTTGGAGTAGAATGGCGTTGGAGCCAGTCCTGTCATTGCCAGACTCCGGTCGGCCTGAGTTAGAAGCTCGCCGGTTTAGAAACCAAGCAAGCCTGAAGTGGTAAGAAAAGAGGTATCACGATATAGATTCAAAAAGCGAGTGTCAGTACCAGCCCAAAAGCCACTCCGACCCTTACCATGCCACCATGCCTAAAGCGCCCAATACCCTTTATCCCCATAGAATGCAAAACCCAGAAATCCCGCCCTTGGCAGATCCACCATGGCCCCGTTCTCCATAAGTGAACGGTAACTGGGCCCCTGGCACTCCCCATGCGATCACCGGCCTCGGTCTTCCCCAGAAGCGTCCCGCCTCGTCGAGAACGACGAGCTCCCTCCTATCCGACTCGTCAGGGCGCTGAACCACACATCATGTCGGCTTGCGTGCCAATCCTGTCTTGATGGTTGAGACCACCCAGGGCCTCGCTCAAGATCGTCATCAAGTCTGTTGGGGGAGGGAAGCCTGTTTTCAAATGTGTCGGAAGCCTCGCCGTTATTCTCGTAGCCGTCCTCGCGGAAAGGCTCATACTGCGGGCCCGACGAGGTCCCGCGAGCCAGCGATCGCACAACATCGTTCTTGCAAATCGGACATGTGCGCCGTCTAGTGGTAAGCCATGGTGTTCTGCGTCTTTGGTCAATATGCTATCCGAAACGGAGCTTCTTATGGCTCTTGATGACTTACATGCACTCGGCGTGGAACTCATGACCACACGGAAGGCTCATGACCCTGCTGACCCCGTCGACGTACTCTTCCAGGCAGACAACACACTCCACTTGCCTACCCATGTACTTCTTCCATTCGCTGGAAACGCTGCGCGAGTTCTTCTCGTGAGAATGCACACGTACCTGCACAGCATCATCAGTTCTGGCCAGGGCTCTTCCCGGAACCCCAGTAGTGGTATGCGACCGTGGCCGTGACAATAGCGGCGTTGTGGGCGAGGAGCTTGTCGGTGACGCTGTCCTTGGTGACTGGGTGGGCGAGGATGCGACTGTCTGGTAGGTCCGTACCGGAAGCCGATCCACAACTGACTTCGGGGCTCTCCACCTCCGCATCCGAATTTTGATCCGGAGGATGAGGAGAGCATACACCACCGTTAGTGTGATCAGGGGGCTGACCACCAACACCAGGAGTGTGTCAAAAAAGGGGCTGGCACTGCCAGTAGGGGTGATCGTCACCCAGAGGCCGTCCCTCGCATCACTGCCGCCCGGGCCAAGGGGAGCCGGAGTCGGAACAGCAACCGACGGACTCCCGGTCTCCTGTGATGGCTCGCTGAATTGTCCTCCCGCTTCCTCTTTGTCACCGAAGACCTTCCCAAAAAAACCCCGGCGGGGGCCAGAGGACGACCCTGACTTCCCACTACTGGCGCTGACTGGGTCTGGCACATATTCTCCGCTCTCCCGGGTGATACTGCCGCCGTTGGGTCCATTGGAACTCACAGGCTGGCTATTGCCAGCTTTGCCCGGTTTGGCAGCCTGCCTAGCTGAAGTCTCAGAGCTGCTGGAGAAGGATTTCTCAGTCGCCGAGTCCTTGGGAGAAACACCCTGGCCGCCTCTCCAACCAAATCGCCTGGAGATCGAGCTCCTTCTCGCCGCAGTGGGCTCCTTGGGCTGACCCGGCAGACTCTTTGATGCCAAATTGCGATCATATTTAGCTGAGGTCGAGGATCTCTGCGCATTCTTATTACCCCCGGTCTTGCTAGAACGTTGGGCCTTCAGCGGCGGGTCCCCGATTCTGCCGAGGACATCCTCGACGAGACTCCCGGGTTGCATCAGCGAGGATAGCAGGTGGGCAGTGGTGCGTGAGGTGAAGACCGAAGGGATCGTGACGTTGTCCGCATTGTCTCGCGCGAACATTTGGATCAGGGGTCCGCCCTTCTGGTTATCTCCAACAATGACAGCGACGGCGCCGCGGCGTTGGGCCCATTTGACCTTGTCGACAAACCCACAGCCACCTCGACTCAGCAGAACGACTTTGCCAGTGATTTCGGCCGTCTCCTGTATCGACTGGATATCGGCGTGACTCGCCCCCGACGCTGTCGATGCCTCACTGGACGGGCTTCTCGTCTTCCGAAGGGATTCTAGGAGATGGTCGTCTGTTCCGTCATCGACAGACCTGGCTCGAGGCTTGGGCTGTCGCTTCTGCACCCCGTTTCGGCCAGCTGCGGGATCTTTCGCCAGGTCGTCCGAACCCAAGCTCTTTGGGGAAATGGCGGCGGGGCCAGACTTGCTGCTGGCCGATGCTTGCTCCGTGGCCGTGATAGCCAACTTCAACCTTCCGTCCTCCCACTCGGGCAGATCGCTGCAACCTAGCTCGCCTTCGCCTTCGCCATCCTGCAAGGTCTCCTCTGGAAAGCCGCTGCCTATCCACAGACGCCCGCTCAGCCCCTTGGCAGGCAGAGGTGGCCCGAACGCGGCCGGCCGAGCGGGGAAGAAGGTGCTGTTGTCGTCGGTAAGGCTGATGGCAGCGCTTGGGGGGAAGAGAGAAAAGGGCGCGCCGAATGAGAAGAGGGCTCGAAATGGCGACTTTCTCGGCGGCAAGGATGTTGCTGAAGGGCTCGGTCGGCGGATCGAACTGATAGATCGGCAGACGAGGAAAAAGGACGCGGAACAGAAGAGGACGAGGATGGCAGCTCGAGGCGGTCGCATCTTGGAGTCGGCGGTGTCGCGCGCTGTTGGATAACTTGAGTCTGAGATGATGTTCCCAAATCCAACACATCAAGTAGTAGATCAGGGTAAAGGAATGGGTTTGGCGGCACTGCTTGCAGCGTCAAGGCAGGCCGTAACGTGTTTAGTCATTCGTGCAAGCGATCTTAGAGAACAAAGCAGTTGGCAGCGGAGGTTAATCAGTCGAGCTAGGGAAAGCCTTAATGCAAAACACCAGTTATGGATGACGAGGAGTCCTGCACATGGGGACTTGTGATCACGCAGGGTGGGGCGTGCCCCAGCAGGCCTGCCTGCATTGGGTTCAAGGTCACGCAGTGCCTGACGAGGTTGTGACACGCCCAACTGGAAAGCACGAAGGCGGTATTTGTACATACCTTGGGGGCGGAAAGTACAAAATCGAACATGAGCGAGACCGAATCCGCGGCCGTACCCGCAACCAAATACGACATGCCAAGAGTGCGGCAGCCAACACCCGCTTCCCGCATTTCTTGGGTCGAGTGGATCTGAGATAATGAGCTAGGGTATCGTTTGAACGTTTGTAAAATACCTCTACTACGCAAGATACTCAGGTGAGTATTTCATGAACACAGAAGATCATCCCTTAACATGTTAGAAATCAACTCTCTTCACCACGCGTGACAATTATCGACGGAGCTATTCAACTAATGATTTTTTTAAGGGGGAAGATCAACTTTGTTAAACATCAATTTTTCGGTTAAGATTTTCCTTAGGAAGGAGCGTCCGTTAGATCCTCTTTTTCGAAGTTAGAAATTCTCCTTCTCTTATAGGAGCCTATTGCTAGTAAAGGTATCTCGGTGTAAGTGAGTAACCTGAGTATTTCGACAGCCAAATATTTTAGCTTAAGGGAGTATTTTTTTATAGTAACGGGAGCCTCCTAGACTTCATATTCTTAGATGCCCGCCGCGCCCTATAGGAGTGTCCGGCCTCGTAACGTACATAACGGTGCTCGTACAGGCAGTCAGTCGCGTGAAAGACTTGTACTGCCGGGGATGATAATGAATGAGTTCTGTATTTTCCAACCAAAGAGGGAAAGAGAAGATCGAGGCCTGTGCGGTAGGAAATAGGTCTTGGCATCATCATAGCTGCTTTCGGGTATCAAGACGACGGGATAGTGTACAATTACTGTTGTATATGTTTCTAAGGACTGCCAGTCCTTAACCCGAACCCTTTGTACACCCAATGTGTTACAAACATGCTTTACCAACTCAAGCACCGTGACTCTTTGGGAGTGAAGGAAGTTGAGCAATGGTCGCGGTAATATGGACACCCTATAAATGATGGAGGGTTGACAAACTAGAGTCACAAATCTTGTCCTTGTCAAGGACCGAAACCAGCAGGTAGTTGCTGCCCAAGCTCATAGTTAGGGTTAGCTACGGTATCCAAGGCCAACGTCCACAGGCCGGACCCTGTGGAGTCTGCAGCTGCTCCGTCTTGACTCATGCATTGGCTCCTCTCGCCCGCAGAAATTCCTGCGCCTTGAGGGCCCATCTAACAAGTCACCTCCCCGCCCCTCTTTTCAGCCCATTGACCCCTCCATTAAGCCCTGGATGCTGGATTTGTTGCGGCGACTGGCTAGCCTGAGACGGGAACCGCTGCTCAAACTTCCCTCGGCCTTCATCCTGCCATCGCCTCGACACTACTCCTTGCGACAACCAGCAAACATGGCTCCGGTCGCCCCCGCTGACACTCCCGCACCCGATCCGGCCACGGCCAAGAAGAATGGTGAGTGAGCTTCCGAACGTCTCCGGCCAGCCCGTGCCGACGCTAAAACCTACTCCGAATATCAGAACAAAAGGAAAAGGCCAAGGCGGATAAGGCGGCCAAGTTCGCGGCAAAGCAGGCCAAGCTGAAGCAGCAACAGCAACAGCAGCCCCAGCAGAAAGCCGTCGCCCCGGCGGCTCCCAAGGCACAGGCGCCCTCCCTCCCTCCTTACCACGACGAGACTCCTGCCGGCGAGAAGAAGCTTATCCGCCCCTTCAACGATCCGCATTTTCAGGCATACAATCCGAAAGCTGTCGAGTCTGCTTGGTACCAGTGGTGGGAGAAGAGCGGCTTCTTCCAACCCAAGCTCCGCGAATCGCCCGATGCCAAGAAGTTTGTCATACCTCTACCGCCTCCCAACGTCACCGGCGCCCTTCACTGCGGTCATGCCTTGGCCAACTCGCTCCAGGACACCCTGATTCGGTGGTACCGTATGAGGGGTTACTCTGCGCTCTGGGTCCCCGGTTGTGATCATGCCGGCATCTCTACGCAGTCCGTCGTCGAGAAGATGCTCTGGAAGAAACAGAAGCAGACGCGCCTTGAGCTTGGCCGGGAGGAGTTCACAAAGCTTGTCTGGGAATGGAAGGGCGAGTACCATCAGCGCATCAACAACGCCCAGAGGCTCATGGGTGGGTCGATGGACTGGTCCCGCGAGGCTTTCACCATGGACGAGAATCTCAGCGCCGCCACCATGGAGACGTTCTGCCGCCTTCACGACGAAGGCTACATCTACAGGTCAAGTCGTCTGGTCAATTGGTGCACCCACTTGCGGACCGCCCTCAGCTCGTTGGAGGTGGAGAACAAGGAGATCACCGGCCGTACCATGCTCGATGTGCCGGGCTATGACCGGAAGGTCGAGTTTGGTGTCCTCACTCACTTCAAATACCCGATTGACGGTACGGACCTGACCATCGAGGTTGCAACGACCCGTCCCGAGACCATGCTCGGCGACAGCGGTATTGCCGTTAGCCCTGGCGACACTCGTTACGCCCATCTTGTCGGCAAGTTCGCGCGCCATCCGTTCACAGACCGGTCAGTAGGTTCACTGGTGACTCAGTATTCCCATCCGCTTACAAGTTATAGCCTTCTTCCGATTGTCGAAGACAGCTACGTCGATCCCGAGTTCGGTACTGGAGCTGTCAAGCTCACGCCGGCTCACGACTTCAACGACTACAAGTTGGGTGAACGCCACAACCTCGAATTCATCAACATTCTCAACGAGGACGGTACTCTCAATGAGAATGCCGGCCCCATGTTCCAGGGACAGAAGAGGTTCCACGCCCGGTACACGGTCGTCGAGGAGCTGACAAAGCGCGGGCTCTTCGTAAAAAAAGAGCCGAACGCAATGGTCATCCCCTTGTGCGAAAAGACCAAGGATGTCATTGAGCCATACATGACGCCGCAATGGTGGGTCCGCATGAAGGAGATGGCAGATGCTGCCCTCAAGGTCGTCGAGGAGGGCAAAATCAAGATTAGCCCTGAGAGCGCAAGGAAATCTTACGACAGGTGGCTGTCAAATGTGAACGACTGGTGCATCTCTCGGCAACTTTGGTAGGTCTGACACGCTTTTTCGGTGCGGAATCTTGTCGCTAATGTTGTTCCCCTGCAGGTGGGGTCACCGTATTCCAGCTTACCGCGTCATTTTCGAGGGAGAGGAAGATATCCGTGAGACCGACAACTCTCCGTGGGTTGTGGGCAGGACGGCGGAAGAAGCTCAGGCCAAGGCTGAGGCCAAGTACGCTGGGAAGAAGTTCCGCCTGGAACAGGATCCAGACTGCCTCGACACTTGGTTCAGCTCCGGTTTGTGGCCAATGTCTATTCTCGGATGGCCCAACACCGAGAGCCGAGACTTCAAGAACTTCTTTCCCACCAGCATGCTGGAAACGGGCTGGGATATTCTGTTCTTTTGGGTCAGCCGCATGATCATGCTCAGTCTGAAGCTGACGGGCCAGGTGCCCTTCACCGAGGTCTACTGCCACAGTTTGATCCGTGACTCTGAGGGTAGGAAGATGAGCAAGTCGTTGGGCAATGTCATCGACCCGCTCGACATCATCAACGGTATTGAGCTTGAGGCGCTGCACGCCAAGCTTCTCACGGGCAATCTCAAGGAGGAGGAGGTCGAACGAGCAACCAAGTACCAGAAGACTGCGTTCCCTGGCGGCATCCCAGAATGCGGAGCAGACGCCCTTCGGTTCACTCTGCTCTCGTACACCACCGGTGGCGGTGACATCAACTTTGATATCAAGGTGATGCATGCCTATCGCCGCTTTTGCAACAAGGTCTGGCAGGCCAGCAAGTACGTCCTGGGCAAATTGCCCGAGGATTTCGTTCCGGCCTCCAACCTCGACACTTCGGCCCTCTCCGTACCGGAGCGGTGGATACTTTATCGAATGAACTGTGCCGTCAAGGGTATCAACGAGGCTCTCGAGACGCGTCAGTTCTCCACAAGCACAAAGCTTGCGTACCAGTTCTTTTATGACGAGCTGTGCGACGTGTTCATCGAGAACAGCAAGGGCATCCTTAGCGATGGCACTCCGGCGCAGCAGCAGAGCGTCCAGCAGACGTTGTATTGGACGCTGGACGTTGCCCTGCGTTTGCTGCATCCATTCATGCCGTTCATTACCGAGGAGCTGTGGCAGCGTCTTCCCCGCAACAAAGACGATGCGCCGGCCTCCGTCATGTTGGCGCCGTATCCCGAGCCCGACAACTCATTGGAATTTGCGTCCGACGCGGAGGACTATGAACTCGGCCTCCGGTGCGCCGGTGGCGTCCGGTCCTTGGCTGCTGACTACAACATTCGGGCAGACGGCCGTGCTTTCATCAAGGCGTCCACGGCCGCCAGTTTGGACAAGGTCAGCGCACAGCTCCAGAACATCAAGACTCTGTCCGGGAAAGGCATAGCTGAAGTCAGCGTCCTTGGGCCCGATGCCGACGAGGCGTCGTCGCCCAAAGGCTGTGCCGTCCATGTCATCTCCGCCGACGTGGCGGTTCTGCTGCAAGTCAGCACGCAGATCAAGGACATTGATGCCGAGATCAAGAAGATCAACACTAAACTCCAGAAGACCACACTCGCCATTACCAAGCAACAAGAGCTCATGGCGCGTGAGGGGTTCGAGAAGGTCAGCGATGTGGTTCTCTCCGCGGAGAAGAAGAAGCTGGCCGATGCTCAGGCGGCCAAGGAGAATTACGAGAGGACGCTGGCGGAGTTCAGCAAGTTGAATCTCGCTGACGGTGCATAAAATCGGGAGTTGAGCAGCTTCTAATGAATAGGGATGATAAGATTTGGTAGCACTCGATACTGTATAGAAGCTTTGTTTGCCCAAGTAGCTCGGAATTGTTTGCATCCAGTGTTCGGTAAATGCTTGGTGGTGCTGATATGGTGGTGACCTTCGCAAAGATCACTAAATCTATCAACTCTTAGATCCGTGATATGATGTGGCTGCGAACGTATGGTCAGATGCACTATGCGAAAGGCGTCCTTCGTGAGTGTTTCGTCTGTCGGTGTTTAACGCCCCCAGAACCTCGGGGGATAGCCGATGTGGAGCATGCTGGTTCGTGTGCGGGACCGGCTCGTGCTTGGTTCTCTTTGTGGGGCGCTGACCGGTTGGCGGGGTCAGCCACACATTTCCATTTTTGGCTGCTGTGAGTGTGGCTCAACATGCCGCAGCCCTAAGCTGGAATCGCTTGGCCACACATTCCCAAAATTTCGCGATCCTTGTTGACCCGCGAGAACCTGCACATCACAACCGATCCGCCTGTCGACGACGACGCAGGTATGTCAAGCTCTTCATACGCCGCTGGACTCTCTTTCGATACTAATTTGATTTCTTCGCAGAGCTACCGCCAAAATGAGTACGTTACACCTACCTCATTGCGATGAGGACCCGTTTCCTTGCTCGATGCCCGCCGTTCCCTTGCACCGATTCCCGATTGCTCGACGAACTTTGAAAGCCATTTTTCTCCGACTACACCGCTGTGTCTTCGAAATTTTCTCTGGGACACATTTTTCTCGTCGTTTGCGAAGCTTGGGTTGGGACCATTGCAGCTGACACTGGATTACAGCCAAGGGTACCTCCAGCTTCGGCAAGCGGTATGTTCGACGTCTCGTACCAAGGCTTCATCGCTGGGTCACATACTGACTGCCATTTTCAGCCACAACAAGACCCACGGTCTCTGCAGACGCTGCGGGTAAGTCGATACCAACCCTCCGAATCCGATGAGCGAGATGACACGATTGGATTCTGGGCGGGGACGACGAGACACACGGACGATCTTTGCGAGGCAGACATTGACAAAGATATTGTTTTCGACAGACGCCGGTCCCTCCACAATCAGAAGAAGACCTGCGCCTCATGCGGCTACCCGGCTGCTAAGACCCGCAAGTGTACGTTTCCAGCACCCAGAATCGCTCGGGTTCACTCCGAGTTCCTCCTAAGGTTCAACCGCTGACACAAGCGCGTCACAGACAACTGGTCCGAGAAGGCGAAGCGTAGAAAGGTTACCGGCACCGGCCGGATGCGGTACCTCAGCACAGTTTCCAGGCGGTTCAAGAACGGCTTCCGGACCGGCGTCCCCAAGGGCTCTCAGGGCCCCGCTGCTGCGGCTTCTTCATAATCGGTTCTCATGACAGGCGAGGGGCCGTGGACGATGGGACGGCTCGTTTTCGGCGAGCGGTGTAACGGGGGCTGGACACATTTCGGACGGACCCACTCGCTTTTCGCTGCTACAACAGAAATGGCATGATTTCGCGCGGGACTCGGCTCATCGGTCTAAACATCGAGCACAGGTCATGAAAAATGGCGTAACGTTTGGGACCAATCACACAGATTTTGTTTTCTGGGCAAGTCTCCGTGCGAAGGGCAGAGGAGAGCGGTCGCTAAAGGGTGCGAGTACGACCGACATGCCAGCCTGCGAGGGCCAGCCAAGTCTCCAAACTAGGGGCTTAGAGGACTGGCAGTGGACTCCGATTGTAAGGGGTATCAAGTATACTACTGGCCTCGCTCGAATACCCTAACACCACCGTCGCCCCCTACATGGTACAGGTACTCATGGTCCCTGGCGCGGCCGTCCTTATGTGTGATTCTGATGACCCCACTTACGTCCTTTGCGGCGCCTGTGTCAAGCAGCCTCAAACTGAGCATTGTATCGGCCTCATGCGCCAGGCTCAGAGTGAACCACGCATGCTGCTTCTCGAGCGTCGTCTCCTGCTCCTTGATAAGCGGGTCGTCGGCTGCCAGGGTGATTATGGCAGCGTGTGTTGTCTGAAGCCAGTATTAGCCCTTTATGTCCGCGATGTTTCTCGAGCGGGGAATAAAGTGAAGAAGGACGATATGAAGGCGGCGAAATAACATACCTCTCTCAAATCCATCAACATCTCCTTCAGCGCTAGAGCCGTTGCCTGGCCGGCAGCAGCCCCTGCGTTAGGATCCGACGCTGCCAGCACGAGATCCAACCCGTCAATTACCAGCACAACCTTCTTCCCCTTCAGCTCGCTGTCCTTCCCGGTCGGACTAGTAATGCTGTTGCTGTTGCTCCTCTGCAATTGTTCCACACCCTCCATCACCACGCGGCTGATATCTCCCGGCGCGGGACTCGTCAGTGTGCGCTTCCATCCTCCTCCTCCTTGTCCCCGTGCCTGCTGCTGCTGCTGTCCTTGCCCGGATGAAGTGAGGGCGGAAGGAGAGGAAAACAGCCATCCTAAACCATCCATGTAACCAAACTTCCCTCTGCGTGCCGCAGCTTCCAGGTCCACCCCTAGCCGAGAGAGGTTCTCTCTCCAGAAGGCATAGTCCCGGAGGAAGCTTACTAGCAGGACTGCCACATCATCTTGGTTGCCGTTGTGTTCTGTTGCTGTTACTGATGGCGAGGGTTGTGGCGGTGGTGGTGGTGGTAATGCAGCTGCTCTCGCGGGGGATGTGTGTGATGGTGATGAGGGTTTGAGAAGGGAGTAGAGATGGCGGAGGACCAGCCAGTTTGTGCTGGCGCCCAGGACGCCCGTTAGCACGAGGAAGGCAGCCTCGTCTGGGAGGGCGAGATAGGGCTCTAGTAGGTGGGGGATGCGGGATGCCATGGCAATCAAGGTCGATGTGGCGGGAGCTGCTTTCCGTCTGTCTTGGTGGGGCACTTGCTGCTGGTGTCGAGAAAAGTTATGGGAAATGTGTTTGAGAAGGCACAGTGTGAAAGGTGAGATTGGGTACGGTACGACTCCTGAAAACTGATGAACAAAGTCTCACAGTACCGTCGAGAGAGGTTTTCGAGGGAATTTGTCATGCATTCCGTACAAAACCGCTGTATCCATGTGTGTCATATCATGCTTCGTAAATCGTGACAGAAGCAAAATCATGCCCGCCCTGAAGTCCGCCTCTTCCATGTCCAGAATGGTACCATATGTTCTATGCCCCATGCAATGCGAATGCAACGTATGAAAGCCAGAATAACACCAAAACCATCCAGGGTATCAGTGCCAAACCCAGAAATATCCAACGCTCCCTCAAAATTTTTCCATGAAGTTCCTCCGCACTGTCCACATCCGCAAGCGTTTGCCGAAGATGTACATGGGGATTGTAAAGAGCAGTAGAATCAGCTGAATGACACCAATCCAGATGTACACCGTCTTCGGCCCATCGTCGGAAAGCCATCCGGTAACGAACAAGCTAAAGACCAAGCCATGTAAGACGTTTTTGCTGAAGTTGAGTGTCACCAATGCCTCGCCGGCGTACTGTCGATAGCTGTCGACGCAAAAGGTGATGCTAGTCGTGGATCCCATGGTGCACCCAAACGAGATGATGCCAAAGAAGGCGGTCGGGACCATCCAGTGATCGTGGACCTGGGCAGACCAACCGAAACCCATCAGGCCGATGACGGTGGTGATGGCGATGGGTATCGCCATGACCAGTCTGAACTCAGGCTCGTAGAGGCCGCCGTTCCGCCGCGCCATCGCCTTGACAATAACGTCCGACACCCTGCCTGCAACCGCGGAGCCGAGGATACCGCCGACAAAGGGGCTGATGTACACGAGGCCCGTCTGGAGGGCGTTGAAGTCGTAGATCTCCTCGCGGTATATTACAGCTATGGATTCCGAGATGACGATAAGCCAGCCGACGGAGCACGAGTAAACCACGGCGGACCAGAGAACAGCAGGGTAGCTGAAAAGTATCAGAGGCCTGATGGCAACCTTGTGCCATTTGTCCTTGTTCAGGCGTCCGTTGAAGGGCTTCAACGACTGGACAAAGGATCGGGCTGGCTGGTCGCGCAGAGCAGCTGTGTAGGGCACCACGCCAGCTGTTTGGGAGCTTTGGATGGACTGCGACTCGACGTCGATGTCATGTTGTCCATTTCCGTTGTCGCTCGAGTTAACAGGAGGCTCCAAGGCCGCAGCGGAGCTGGCCTGCTTAACCGGCAATGGAAGCCGAGAGGCCGTTTCCGGCAGAGACTTCCGGGTCGGCGCAGGGTCGTCGCTAGAGAGGCTTTGACCGCCACGTCTGGTGTCTCCGCCGGCAACGAGCTCTTCAGCAGATCCGCTGGTAGACGACTCGCTTGACGTCTCTGTGTGTTTCACGCTCTCCGTCTCATGTTCGGCAGCAAATCCGACCCGCTGGGCCTTCCCACGAGCCCCTGGTGCAACTGGGGTGATTGGAGCATCCTCCGGGCGGGCAGAAGGAAGTGACGCAGGGGCCAGCACGTTCGCTTTGGACGAGAGCCGACGGAAGAAACCAGGCCTGGAGTTGGGGTTCTTCGGCTTCCTGTGGGGGACGCGGTCCCAGAAGGTCTCTGGGACGAACAAAAACAGGAGCAGGCCACAGAAGGCAACCACTATAGCGACAGCCCTAGAGGACGGGTTAGAGAATTGATTGAGACTCTGAAAGGGAGCCAAGTACATACCAGAAAACCCAGCGCCACCCCAAGTTCTGTATGATGACGGCGCTAACGAGGGGGACCAAGTTCTTGCCGCCGAGCAAAAGAAGGGTGTAGATGCCAATCCGGAAGGCACGTTCATGCAGAAAGAAGATCTCGGCAATGGTGGCTGACGGCAGACATTCTACCGGACTGACTGCAATGCCTTGGAAGATGCGCGCGAGAACAAGCGAGATGAAATTGGGCGACGCAGCGCACCAGATCGAGGTTGCCATGTAGACGACGGCGCCGAAAAGATAGACGGGCCTTTTTCCCCAGAGGATTGCAGTGGGGGAGAACAGGACGGATCCAAGGCCCATGCCCATCATGTACAGGCCAGTGGTCAGCGAGACGCTGTGGACATCGACGCCGTACTCCTGGGCGACATCTGTAAAACCGGCCGCGAGTAGGGGGGTTGTACCGCCGCCAACCATACAAAAGAGCCCAAGAGACAGCAAAGCCAAGTCTCTTCGCCAAGCCGGCCAATTGAGGGGATCGTTTGCCGAGTCTTCGGGTTGGGGTTCCAGGATGATCTTGCCATCCGGCGTCTTCTTCTTCGGTGCCTCCACGGCATCGTCTGGTAGCTGGCGGATGATGCCCGCCGGGATGGTTGAGTGAGACGTCCTTGCTGGCGCATTCCGCAGCCCGAGAGGTTCGTTGTGGTCAGCGGCTAACAGCAGTACCGAGCCTACCTCAAAAGTTAGCCAGTGTGTTGGGGCTCAGAAGAACACGCGCTGTGGCGGCCAGTTGCGTACCTGGAACTTCGATGGTTTCTTTATCTTCTAGAATGCCCATGGACCATTTGGAAGGCGCGGGTTTCTCCCGAGCATTGTGCTCTCGAGCAGGCTTGCGAGCGAAGATAGACCCCAATATACCCCGAGAGGGACGAGTTGGATCCTGACCCCCCATGTCTTTTGGGGGAAGAGCAGGCTTGTATATCGAGCTGAGGATGGTGCGGTGTTGACAAGCGCAAGTTTCAAGAAGACAGCAAGTGAAGATGGGCTGTAAGTGGTTTGGTACACCGAGCGGTCAGGCGGAATGGGTGAAGTTATCCGAAGGAACTGAAGTGCCGAGACTGGTATAACCGTGAATTGATGACCTTATGAGGCAGGTCTAAATCGTCTGTCAACCCGCGACTGAGACCAGCGATATTTGAAACTTTCGCCACCTCCCTCCAGGCCTTATGTTTGCTCGGATGGCGGTGGAGAGTGGGACACTGGAGAAAGATAGTTTATCGAGGAGAAATCGAGCGAGGAGCGAGGGTCGGAGTTGAAGACACAATGTTAAACAAGCACGCGCCGCGCCCAAACCATACACGTGGGGTCAGTTGTTGAAGGGATGGGGCTCCATCTTCTGCAGCCATGCAACATGCGGCGGTAGCATGGATGCAGGTGGTCTGCCAAGAGGAGGCCAAGTACTAAGAGCGAGGTTCTTGCGTATGGTCATGAGGGCCACAGAGTTCAATAAGAAGGGAGCAGACCGCCAATGTACGTGTAGCAAGGGAAGAAATCAGGGAAAACCCGCCAGATCCGACAAGCGGCACAATGTCGATCGGGAGGCAGAGCAGACGTCGCGGTTTCCAGAAACAGGAACGGCGGTGTCTCGTGGCCCAACCTGCGACAGTTCGAGCGAGGATGATCCTATCCTCACGTTAGACGTGCCCTCATCCCTCGTTGCTTGCCACCGAGGATTCTAGCAAAGACTAGCATTCCTGACGGCGTAAGGAGGGGTTGTCTTCTTGTGTTTCAACGGACGGGAGATGTGGATGCGGGGACTCGGACTGCGCTAAAGCGCCCCATAATCGATGTCCGGCCGACCTAGCAGCCGGGGCGTCTGATGATCGGCGGGGAAGGTAATGATGCCTGAGGACTTGGGCCTCGCATGTGGGCGTTGACGTTGTGGTTCGCCAACTGCTTGCGCCTCAGCCCTTGAATGCATTATGACGCATCCAAGCCACCTAACCGCCCCTACGCCGTTTCTTCGCACCGCTCAGTCCTTTGGCATGCGAGTATTCTCGTACCATGTAGGCATACACCGTGGTATCGAACCCAGGGCCACAGAATCCCGCATGCCAGACGCCTACCTTACTGTTTTATGATCTTCACCGCTCATTTCATCCGAATTTGATCCATGGTCAGCATACGGAGTAAGAGGTAGACTAGAAAAGAGGCGCTGCAGCGAGTTAACGTCACGGTTGCAGTCCGCCTAGTGTGGGGGTCGCTGCGACCCTGGAAATGCAACGGTAACGGTACTGGCCCAGCCCTTGAACGAATACACAACTGGTAGGTTGGTATGGATGTAAATTACCGTACAAAACACTCAGTGAATGATCTCATCTCATACTTCCCGCTTTACATGGGATCTCCCAGCCCACCTACATCTCATCCCGCCTCCATTCATTCGGAGCCCTACAGTATCTTCAAATTCTTATTACCATGCTTCTCAAATCACAATTTGCGCTTGTCGAGCGCCATGTTTTGAGAGCGAAGCCCACCGTGACATGCCCTCGCCGGGCGTCACGCCTAAGGTTCTCAACATCACACAACTTACGAGCCGAAAATCAAGTTTATGCCTCGTGAGCTCAAAGCCACTCTTACACACTCAAACCACACGAGAACTCACAGGCATGATTTCACAGAGTCCGCAACTTGGACCAGTTCCACACCTACACGCTCCTCTCGTCGTCGTCACGGACGCCGCTGCTGACCCTCTGGACGACCTCGTGGTGCTCCACCTGCCGCGTCGTAGCACCCCTTATCCAAGAGCTCGTTGAGTCCGGCGTAGGAGAGGCCGAGGGCGGCGTGGGATACTGCACCGTCGAGTATGACGCGCCAGACGTCATGGCGGCCAACCTCGGTCTGACCTACATGATCAACTCGGTTCCAACCCTTCTGAGCTTTGATGCCGGCGAGGCACAGGTACAGACCAAGGTGACCGATGCGAGGAGGTTGTCGGACCGAAAATTTCTTGAGGAATGGATCAGGCACGAGGCGAGGCGACGCGGCAATCGCGGCGCCGGAGGTCCGGGCAGCGGGGGGAACCTGCTGAGAAGCTTGTTTGGCAAGTCGTGATGCATGACCGTTTCTCGCTATGTGACGTAAGAGTAGCAGGTGATGAGATGAGTCCTCGCGGATATCTACAAGTATCTCCATGTAAAAGCCACCTTTCACCCGGTGTTATGAACCTCCTGGCTTGAGGGCTCAGAAGACCCTATGGCTGACCGCTTACAGGCAGGCCGTCGAGACAAGGCTGTACTCTGAAAGTCACTATGACCCGATGTCCTCTATTTCTGGACTGCCTCTTTAAGTGATCTTTCCGGGCCACTGCAGCAATTTCTGTTGCTTCATGTATGCCATGAGAGCTCTCCACCGGAAACCCCTCAGCCAACAGCGGGGAATCAGCAGCATTCTCCCACGGGTATACCACGTTCTTCTACGTTTGATCTACACCTCTGCAATCTAAATATGAAATAACCCCTTATATTTCCCCTCCATCATATGATGTGTCAGACTACAGATGCTATACTGAACTCTGTATGGTGAAACACTTGCCCGGCCTCGTGCTTTTTTGTAGACAGCAGCGTCTAAACAATCAAGTATATATTGCGTGACAACTCCCGAAAGGCCCCGAGTCTTCCCGGGGGCAGCCAAACTGTATCATGAAACTATTTATGAAGAAATACGTGCGCCTAACTCCCATACGCTCTTCCAAGTCCACCAGACCAAGCTTTGTCACGAACCCATTGAACCTGTAAAATACCACTTGACCCTATAGTCCATCCCGTAACTCATAAACCATAACATCATTAGACGCACTCAAAGACAGAACAAGACGCTGAAGCTTTCCTGGACATCCTGCTCACCCCTGCAGATCCAGCACCCGCCGTAGTACGGTCTCCGAAGCTCTGTACCACCTCCCCCTCGCCTCCAACTCATCCTCCACCCCGCTCTGCGCATTCCCTCTCCTCCTTTTAGCCTCCCTCGCCGCGGCAGCACTATTCGCCCGCCTGTTCTCCAGCGCAGCCACTTCTCCTCTCAACCGCTCCACCTCCTTCCTCTTCCGCGGCACCTGCGCACTCAATAGCTCCAGCTGTCTCTCCACCCCGGCCAGCTCCCTCCTTTTGCCCTCCACCAGCGCAAGCGTCTTTCCCAGCGGGAGACTCATCTCAGGCTTCGCGCCCGGCGCAAGCAGCTGCTGCCTCACCCTCAGCTCCGCAACCCTCTCCTCCAACGCGGCAATCTTCCCGGGCAACTCCCTCGCAAACTGCATCTCCCCATTAACCTTCTCATACCGCCCGGCCAGTTCCCTCCCCCTTTGTTCTAGGGTATCCACCATCTCGGCGACCTCGGTCTTGAGCGCCTTGAGCTCAGCTTTCGCCTCGGCATTGCTCGCTTCGAGATCAGCGATCTCCTGCGGCGAGACGATCAGCGGCGGGTCGCCGACGATGGCGCGGATGAATTTCTCCTTTGTGACCTGCTCGACGTAGGAGAAGCGCAGCTTGGCGAACAGTTCGCGGTAGTGGGCCAGGTCGGCCTCGAGCGAGGACGGGGTCGGCGCGTCGAGGGATGAGGTCGATACGTCCGAGGTTCGCGGGGCCGCATTGTTGTTGTCATTGTTGTTGGTGGTCTTGGCGTCGTCTGACGCGTGTGCAGCGGAGGAGATCGGCTCGCTGATCTTGACGATGGTGTATTCGTGGCTGGAGGCAGATTCAAGCTGCTCAAGTACGCGGAGAACATCGTTGGTGATGCGCTGCCGGCTGAGTTCGATGTGCGACATTGTATATTTTGCGACCATTCCACAGCCTGTCTTATGTGGCTATGGGTTCTCGAGCGCGAGGGTTGGTAGTGGTGGACTTTGAACGTCGACCAATGTTTGTTGACGTGATTGCCAAAAACGGACTGGTGGCACTAAGGAGATAGAGTGGCGAGCCCTAACCCTTCCCTTGAGATTCTCAAACTGAGCGCCGGCCACCAGTACATAGCGATCTTGTTTAACTATAGCTAATAGAGTCGGCGTTTTACATTTCCAGTTACAACCTGATTGAGCTTCCTACACCTATGGTATGCATCGAAACATACCCGGACCTGCTATTGACCACCCTTATGGACAAGCCGTTGCTGATAAACGAAGCGATTTGAAGAACAGCTCGAGTACCATGAGGATTGTTGATAGCATGACCACCTCATGAGCTGCCCGATCCCATCCAGAGTTCAAACACGATCCCGGGATTGAGCTCTGGTATTCTCTACCCCTATTATTGTGGAAAGAGATAAGCGAAAACAACTGAACGCCTGTAAAACCTTGCCCGCCTAACCCTACCTTATCTAAACCACACTGTGACATGGCCTCGTGGCCGAAACTGTCTCTCCTAGGTCGAGAAGGAGAGAGAGAAAGAGAGAGACTGGAGCGTGAGCAACTAACTTAAACTGAAGACGCAAATACTCCCACCCCTAACAGTCGAGACCTAAATGACAATGTACAAAAGATCAAACAATGCCAACCGAAGATTCGCGTAGCCTTCATGCCGCCCGCTTGATACCATGCCATGCCGGCATGGGTCAATGCAGCCCTTCAACGACAGAATAAGGCTGCTCCTTCAGATACCCCTTTCCATACTTCGCCGTGATCTCTTCACCATCCCCAATGTCCCGTATCGCCACCAGCATCTGCCTCCATCGCCCGGAGATCTTGATGACCCTGAACATAGCTGACGGGTTGGTGTTGTGGCTGACCTTGCGCACCCAATTGCCCATCCGGCGGGGATAGATGTCCGCCACGGGCTCGTCGTCCAAATCGGGGCGGTGCAGCGCCATCGTCCAGTCCGCGGCGCAGGAGCCCAACGGCACCAGCTCGCCGACCAGCTCACCCAAGATGTCATTTGTTCTGTGCAGCCCAACCGAACGGACGCCAGGCCCTCGGGATCCGTCGTCCGATATGCGAGGAATCTGCGGGACCTTTATCTCGGCGCAGCGGCACTTCTTGCGTGAGCAGAAGCTGCATGCCTTGTCGCCTGGCTTAACCATGCTGGGATCCGCAGGCCACTGCCAGTCCCAGCCTGCGGGCCTGGGCCAGTAATACCCGCTGTTTGGGTCATAGTAGTTTGACCTGAGGAGCCGGAAGGGCGCAAGGAGAGGGGCGACGCGGTCCACGGGGAGCAAGGTTGTGATCATACTCTCCCAGATGAACTCCGGGAGCTCCAGACAGTCCCATATCGATCTCTGCAGAATGGCCCCAACGGCGCACAGCCTCCGCACGAAGTCGTTGTCGAGCTCCACGTGGAGTCGTGCCACCTCGTCCCTAAATAGAGCGAGGTCCAGACAATCAGACTCGGGCGGAATGAGACATAGAAGGCCGTCGTAATCTCCGCAAATTTTGGCCCAGCACTTCCCTTCGCGTAAGTCGTCGTAAAGCTTGGGCCGTTTTGTTTCGTCCCATTTCAGTAGCTGCAAAAGTCCGTCCATATAGTGCTCTGGAGTGAGTTCCACACGTCGAGCCATGGAAATTTCCAGGCACATGGCCACCTTCATCTTGAAGAAGCGCGAAAGGAACATGTGCAGTTCCGGGTATCCGCGCGCCGTTTCTTCAATCGTATTGGCGAGCTGAAACTTTCCCATTACACTGGGAGCTGACTTGGAGTACCGCCTCCAATCTCGGACCAAGTGCGCGAGCCGATCAAATGCTGGCTTACCGCACAGCATCTCGGCAACCAGGCTTACGGGTCGAGCGGTTTGGCGCCCCCTAAGCAATATAGAAAGGTGCTTAAAGGCGCTCCTGACGGGTGAGTCTGGGGCAGTGAGAGCAGGCGAATACTCCACCCTTTGCTTCTTCAGAGGCCTTGGAGACGATGGTTCGTAGTCTCTGTCCGGGTTGATCATCCTTGCCGTCTTCCGTAGCGGAGGCAACTCCATCACCCTCGACCGAGCGAAACTAGAACCAATGTCCCTCTGGGTGGATGGGGCGGCCTGAGGAAGGATCTGTGCTGAATAGGCGAAGGCATTTGGAACAAAGTTTGGTGCCTGCATAGGAGGTACAGGTGGGTGAATCGGGGCAGCCGCACCTGGCTCGACCTGGCTTGGAGATGGCTGCAGCGTTGGAGGCCGAAGTGATGTGAAGTGTGTTTCGAGAGGCGCCAGCACTTCGGCGCTGGTGAGTTCCCGTGGTGGCCGGTCCGGCTGCTCAGATGGATCGGACGTAGAGGGCACGCTGTGCTCTGGACTAAGGATTGAAGATTGTGCACATGGATGCTGTGGTATATGCGGTTGGGGTTCCCCTGGTTGTTTGCTATCCAGGCCAGCTTGCTCAGGAGGGGGGGTCACCGGTTGCGTAGGCTGCGAGGCCGTGGGCGCAGGCTGCATTCGGGCAACTGCGTCCTGCTGGATGGCAACTGTGGCATCACCCTGCTGTGACCCTGTCGTCTCCGGGGTACGGGGTAGCTGGTCCTCAATCGGCTGCGGCGACTCATCGTATATACGAATATCGTCAGCCTTGATGGCATTCTTGTCGGGGCAGCGATCATCACAGAACTGATAGTCCGGAGGCATGTCAGGTGACGAGTTATATTCCACGTTAATGGCAATGGCGTAGTTGGGACCAAGATTCAGGACCTGATGGTACGTCCCCGGCTCCGTCACGATAGCTTGGCCGGGCGTGCAGTAATCCAACGTGTACTCGATTCCCCACTCATCTAGCTTCGCCGGGGGGATGTTGCGGCTAAGGTGTCTCACGGCCTGCGAGCATTGACGCATCTCGTGGTACTCCATCGCCATCCTCTTTTCCAGCTTCTTGGAAAAGGCGGGCTTGACGAAACACCAGAATTTGTGCTCACCAGAGCGGAGGAGGTTTTCGGATCGCACATGAGCGTCCTCCCTGTGCATTGTCGTGATGGTCTTGCCCGTCAGGTTGAAGTAGACGTACTGGGTGTTGATGCCTTCAAGCTTAGCTCGGCCTCTCCGTCGCAATTTATCCCCTGGGGAAAGCTCGACGTCATCAAACAGCGGATTGCCGATGATATATTCCCGGTTTCCTTTGGGGGGGTCTGCTGCTGAGGAATTCCAGAGGTCGCGTTGCTCTGCCAGCGACCAGTCTATCTTGGCGCTCATGGGAAAGGGAAGAGTGGGCGGCTTGAACTTGAATTTCTTACCCGAGTCAACCTTCACGAGACCCAGGCGGTCGGTCTTGTAAGTGAACGACGTCGCATGATCCTTGCTTGGGCGAGCCACCTTAGGGGCGTTGAGCTCGGGCAGGCCGCGGACCTGGAGCTTGAAGTAACCCAAATCCCGGACGCGGGGGTGGCTCGAGTACAGCTCAAAGAGTTCCTCGTTCAATACATGGATGTCTTGGTAGGTGCAGTCGAAGAGGGGCGAAGCGTGCTCGGACGGGATAGGGCGGTGGTATACAGAACCATCCCGCAATGTGATCCCGTGGGAAGTCTGGTATGGGACGGAGCAATCCTGGATGGCCGAGGGGGCAGTACTGATAGGTGGTGTGAGCGCTGGGTTAGGCTCCGCCTGTGACGCCGGGAGTGTTGTGCAGTCGTTGCTGGCGCTACTCTCAATCTGGGGCTTTTGATATTCGACCTCGGCGCGCTGTGGGGCAGGGGGCGGCTGGGTCCGAGTCTGCTGTGAGATGGCGCCAGCTTCTGATGGCAGAGAAGTGTCGAGTCTTTGAACCGTCGGGGGCGAGGGTGAGTTCCAAGTGTGAACCGAAGCGTGGTCCCGGATCTCATTCAGCTGGGCGGACACCAAGTCGAGGTGAGCGAGCACCTGTGCCAGCAGGTCGCGTCCCGACTTGGTCCTCGGCGGCTGCACCTTGCGACCCGAGGCAATGCCATGCTCAAGATAGCCTCTCAGCGTATTGCTGATCTGGCCCACCTCGCTGCTGATCGAGTCCACCTTGCACTCCCAGGCGGCGGCCATCTCGGGTGCGGCGAGGTGAGTGAATGTCAATGGAAGCGCAGCAATTGATTGGAGATTTGCGTCGGCAGATGTGCTGGGGTCAGGTTGGAGAAGGGCCCTGAAGCGCTTGTTCGAACGGTTGGTGTGGGCTGGGACTGAGGGGCATGCTAAACCAAAAAGATGATGGGCCGTGCCCCAGCTGCAGCCCAGATCGAGGGGCAGCTTGTTCCGTTTTGAAGTTGCATTCTCAACGCCAGCAACTCCTTGGGAAGCAAGCAAGTGGTGGCGCATCCTCTCATCGAAGAAACTATATTTTCCGAGTCTCGACCAAAGGTCTTTATTCACAAGCCGTATTGAAGACTTTGTCCTTTGCACTACCCAGGTATGGCTGCGCCCATTGATTGCCTCTTCCATCATTGCACCCACCACCGTTTCCATGACGTTCAATGTGGACCCGAGCAGCGAAGCCCAGGAAGCCATTCTTATTCCGGGACACTTACAAACGATCAACAATGAATGTCCGGCCATTTTGGCACAGTGCCACTCAATGATACATGAGTTGTGCTGCGAGTTCTCCCAGGTGCTGAATGTCATAAGCGGTTTGTTCTAAAGAAGTTGGGTGGGTGTCTTCTGCGACGGAGTAACAGTCCGGTTAGAGAGCCAATGCAGCCGGTACCGATCCACTTTGTGGGCATGGAAGATGAGCGCGGGCGGGTGGGACCATCGATAAGAAACCCCAGTTTCCAGGACCTTCAACCTCATCAGCTTCATACTGTGTAAGCGCAACCGCTACAAGTTCGATGGTGCCTTGCTTTGCCTAGATCACGCCTTATAGCCCTTTCCCCTGGCCCCAGGTTTTCTGCCTTCTCTTTTGGGCAGACATGGACAAGCACCGCTTCGAGCATGGCACCATCCTGACGGACGACGCAGTTGCCGAACTTCTGGCCAAGGAAGCCAGCGATGCATCCATCCGGTACTCCTCCATGGGACTCGAAGCCTTCAAGTCTACGAAGTAGGTCCCTCTGGATTCAGCAAGCAAGCTGATGTATCTGGACCCGGAGTGCTCATGGTCTCGCAGGCCGTCAAACAAGGCACGGCCAAACACACGCTTTCTGGGGCGCATCATCAAAGAAACAACAAGCCACAATGCCGCCCTGTTAGCGAAGGAGGCTGCGGAGGCTCAGGCCCGACTCGACGACTTGACCGAAGCTGAGGAGAAAAAGCGGCGCAAGCTCAACCCAAGCGCCTCAGACCTAAGGCGTCGGCAATTGGGCGATATATCCTCAATTCTGGCAGGCCGGAACCGGCGCGACGAGGCGGGGCGGCACTACAGGCCTAGTCAAAGAGATGGCGGGCGGGACAAAGACCAACCTCGAGATCGCTCACGCGACCAGCATGGCCGGCACAGCAGCCACAATGGGCGCCGCGACGACAAAGAGAAGGGACACAGGAAGCGTGACGAGCCGAAAACAGACGAACGTCGTCGTCGCCAAGGGAGGTCAAGCTCACCGCGGCAAGGGCATCATAGGCATCGCGATCGTTCACCGCTCAGCAGCAGCAATGAGGACAACCAACCGCATCACGGAAGCTCCCGCCTAGGCAAATCTTGGAAGGATCGCGATCTGATCGGCAGCGTGTCATCCAGGCACAAAACCTATGGACGGCTACGCGATGAGGAGGACACATACTCAGTATCTTCCAAAACCGGCGATCCAGTAGAGGAAGAGGAATCCGACCCATTAGAAGCGTTCATCGGCCCGGCACCACCGTCCAAACACCCCGTTCGGACACGCGGAAGAGGCGCCATCCGAGGCTCCGCGGCAATGGATAGCCGGTTCTCTGGGGACTATGATCCGGTCTCAGATGTGCAGGTGGAGCCCGCCGAGACTGAAGATTGGGACGAAGCGGTTGAGACGTACCGGGACCGTCAGAAATGGAAGCAACAAGGCGCGGAAAGGCTTCGTGTGGCCGGTTTCACCGATGAACAGATCAAACAGTGGGAAAAAGGGGGCGAAAAGGACATTGATGATGTCAGGTGGAGCAAGGCCGGTGAAAAACGTGAATGGTAAGTACAACTTCCTCGAAGATGATTTCAAACTTTCCATAACCAGGCATCCTTGGGACTGCCTAGAGGAGACATCTCTTTCCTCCTGTCTTAAATTGTCAAAGGGAGCATTGTAGCTAACTTTAAGCTCAGGGACCGGGGCAAAGAAGACACCGGGCTTTGACCAAACGGACGGTACTTGGGGCTTTCGGCATCTCGGCGGCGTTTCTGGAAAGGCGGCACTGCATATGAGCATCATCTAGCATTTCTCGGCGTTGGGGTGGGTTACCATAACTCTGATACGCGGCTCTGGAAAAAGGGGTGAAACTCTATGATATATCCATTGTATATGGAACATTCACAAGAACGTAATGGATGAAAAGCCCCATACTTCTGGCCTTTGCCTATTTCTGCTCTGAGCGTTGGTCACGCCAGCCCCCATCAGCGTAAAGTCAATCCGATGAGACAAATGACCTTCGCACATCTGGATCTCTTCATTGTCCAAAGCACTGGCCGATTGTCCGAATGCTGTTACATGGAGACGAAACACCCACCAGTCCGCATCACCAATGCGATACATAGCTAAACCTTCAACAACAGTGTACGACTCCCAGCCCTGGGCCCAAAGCATCCCAATGCCACCATATTTGCTCTTTCCGCATCGCTCGCGCTTCACATATTTTGTGTCCCGATTTTCACCGTCAGTGCCAACTGCCGCGCACATGGATAGGTTTCGGTAGAGTTGGCCGAGCCCTTTTAAACCCTTTATTTACTATCCCAAGCGATCTTTTGCCCTTGTTTCGTCTTAAGCTTCCCCTCCTTCGGCGCCGCCACCTTGACTGCCGGTTTCTGCGGCGACAAGTCCACCAGGCTATCCGCCTCGCGCTCGTCATTCGTGGCCCACATCCGCTCGATGCACAGCTCAAAGGGGCCCGGTATCCTGTCGGTCAACCCGATGCCGATGGACTTGACCTTTTGCCGCATGATCTCGGTCTGCGGCTCGACGACAAAGCCGTGGTTCGTCCGCACGAAGTCGTTCCACTTGATCAGCACCGTCTCCCACTCCCCCGGCTTCTTAACGAAGAGCCGATGCTGGTGCAAATCCGTCGGCACGACCGACTCGGTCTGCACGTTGACAAAATAGCTCCTGCCGTCCGACTTGACGCGCAGGGCGAGGTAGACGTACGGGTCGATGTTGAAGAGGCTGCGCCCGAATATGGTTGGCGGGCGGTCTCGTGTGCGGAAGGCCGCGTAGCCCGTCCGTTGGATCTCGGGACGGTTCCTGGGGAGTTCCGTGGAGATGGCTCCGTGGAAGCGGGCGTAGCCGGGGGAGTTTAGGGAAGGGGCAGGGATGCCGGAGGAGGGTGGTGGTGAGGTCACCCAGTCGAGGTTTGCGCTCGAGAAGCCGCCGATCTCAACGTCAGACATGACCTTGCAGTCCTGGATGGAGGTTGGAATGCGGAAGCTGTGGAGTTCGTAGGGGGTTTGGGCGCCCTTGATGCCCTCGAGGCTGAAGACTGTCGTGGTGTACAGGTCAGCAGCGGAAGGGGTTGGAAACAGGTGGTGGTACGCACCTATATGTGAAAGCCTCTTGAACTCATCTAGGCTGCGGCCGAAGAAGCCCTTGTAGAGCAGGGGTCTTGTCGCTTGCATGATGGGCGTGTCGTCTGCTGGATGCGACCAGAATTCTTCTGCTCCGAATGGCTAGTCGTCCAGTATGCAGGAGCGCCAGACGACTTATAGCTCTGCGCATATTCTCAAGAGCAAGGGCATAATATGTTGGGCATGAGCCGAGGGAGCTCAATCCAATCTCATTGCCAATGAGCTCTGGTTTGCTGGTAGGCTGATGAAGCTTTTGATGGGTTTTGGTGATTGGACGTCATCAGCCAGTCGCTGCGGCAAAATCACGCCAAGGGGTGTCTCCACTAAATCAACTCGCCGGGTCCAGTGCTGTGGACCAAGCTGTTAAGCCTCAACCATGTGCATATGCAAGTCCCCCTGAACAAAAAAGGGCCGAGGGGAACAAATTATGTGACAACTGGTTCTGCAAATTGAGATAGAACCAAGCAGATACATGCCTCGCCCAGCGCAACACATCAGCTTGGAATTCTCACTTTCGAGCTGGCCTGCAACAGCCTGGTGCGCCAGGAACGTCTCCGCACTACAAATTGGGTCCAGACTCTTTCTGATCAGAAGAACATGAAGGGGGCATTTCGCACTTCTGTCGGGGGTCTTGTGCTAAGCGATGTTGGGTTCTTGGCATCGCTGAAAGCTCACCCTGCTCGTGCACGGACTATATCAAGCAACTCTGATAACCCTGTTTTGGCTTAATGATTACCAGGCAAGAGGGTTTCTGTTAGTTATTTTAGCGTGTTAGACATATGATGGGGCCTTCATGTCACTTTTGATATGCAATCATTGATGTGAATGATATACCTGTGATGCTTTTTCTTTCTTTCTGGCTCACCTTCCTGGGCCCTAAACCTCGCAGACTGAACCGCCTTCAGCTTCAAGAACATATTACTTGGATTTGGATGTGTAAGTTAGTCTTGTCAGTCTGACACTTGATTCTTGCTCCTTGTGTCTCTGCCTCGGCAAGATACTGACCTCACTTCCCTTTTACGGGCCTGTGTCTTGGTTACCTGCAGATAGATACTCTTTGCTCTTCGCTTACAGCTTCAACTTCCCACAGCCTGTTTGTCAGGCCCAGCTCTCTTCAAGCATTATGACTAGTCTTGAAATACAAGAATCCCATGTTTCAAGCCAAATAAGCCGAGCAAATGAGCCCTTTTAGGGAAGGCGACATAACCGTCTAAGTCCCCGAGCCTCCCCAAGACACATTGCACTGAGTGCTTCCTGGTTGTTTCTGTGGTTCCTTTTTCTCGGGATCCTTCATGATGAAGGCATCACATTGTGGCATTCACATAACTTCCCTGGGATGACAGGCAAATCCTGTTGACATATTTACTTTTACTGTCCTTTCTCCCTGGATCAACTCTGGTGCTGTGCCAGTCTTATCGCATATTCAATTTTCCGTTCCCCAGTATCTCACGCCGGCTCATGCGAGTCGGCATCATATCTGAGTCCATTAGCGGTTAAATGTTAGGCCCGCCGCCATGTGGGTGAGAACGACAAGATGCTTTTTCGCCCTGTTTCTCATGTTGGCAGTGATTTTTCACCTACACTGCGCTTGGTCGGCAAGACCTTACTTGCCCGAGAGGAAATGGATTTGCTCTTCCATTTTAGGTTTAAAAGCGTGAGCCTAGGGTCAGACTTTCTGCTTTCACTCCTTAATCTAACCCAATCTCATTGAGTGATAGTTTCCAATTCAATGTGTCCTGGTTTCCGTTGGTTGTTTTCGGTTCAGGCCCTGTCAATGAACCTTTATCCTGCCCATCTATCACCTTCTGAATTTCCTAAGGGCCTTACAATCTTCATCTAGTGTCTGCTGTTATTCAAGATCAAAATTCAAAGGTAAATATGATCCATGTCCCATGCTGCTGTCTATGTATTTGTACGGAGTTGATCTTGCCCAAACATCGGTTCATGTTTGCTTAAATCCACCAGGCATTGCAACACCCGCAAAGCGGCCTTATGTTGATGTGATTACAGGTACTTCACACCTCTTCAACTAGCACGAACACACTTGCTCTACAATGAAGCTGCCGCTCTGACTAGGTTCAGTCCACACCCCACAGTAAGAGACGGCTCACCCCTTTTCACTTGGCATTCCCCTGAGCACACCAACATATACGTATGCAATGAGCTCCATACAAACAGAAGGCTCCCATTCTGCTTTGGACTCCCAAGCATAAACGCCTGAACTGAGCCATACCAGACACGTCCAGTTCACACAGGCAAAGCCACCAACTTGCTTGCCACTGCCATATATGCTCCAGCCAACCCCCTTTTCTGATTCCCCCCTCAACCACACCCCTGCATCATATCATGCCCCTTGAGCACATCCTACATCGCCCTTTGCGGACCCAACATCTTGGTGATTGCTGTCTTCCAGAAGTGACCTCAACAAACCCACACCAATCCACACCTGTGCTATCTGCTGTCGCCCTGATGTTGCCGCGCCTAAACGGGCAAGCGGGTCTCCAATGTTGCCGCCGTCGCCCGGTTGATCAAAACTTGAAAGCGGAGCCGAACCCCGACCTCATCGCCGTGATTAGGCTCCGAAAATTAACGGTTGCCGAACATCCCGGCCCCAATCCAGCTCCGTGATTCGCCGCCTACCCCTCGAAGTGCACTCTCTCATTCCTTGATCTGGCTTACCCAGCTGATTTGGTGTGATCTTAATCGCAGGCCGTTTTCCTGAGAGCATAAGTACCGGGGTGATTTCTTCCCTTCTGCTCTTCTTCTTCAACCACACAACCCAAAATCCGGCGAGCATTGTTCCGTCTCCAAGCTACCAGAACCATCACGGGTGAGTGAGGCATGCGTCCTCTTTCTTCCTTCTGCACCTTTGAACGACACCTCTGGGAAGAGGTCCACCCCTTTCGACCATGCTCTCCCTGCGTCTGGCTCTTTCTGCGGTTCTGCGGTTCCACGAGCATGTCCTGCACATTGAGAGCAAGAAACCGGTCCTCTGTAGCCTGACGAGTGTCTCGCAGCAAGTGTCGATGGTGTGTTTCCTGAGTTGGTGGTTGACGGCCTGAAAGACAAGGATACAAGGCATCTCCCCTCTTCTCAGGGCGCTGCGGCGACCACGACCGCAAGTGCTCCTTCCTGTTCTTGCCCAACACAAATCATCATCACTTCTCCCTCTTCCGACTCTGTCTCCTTCTTCTCAAACCATCACACAATCCCAATTCAACCCAGAACTCGAATCGAGGAGCCCAAACTCGAGCCAGTGTAAGTCCACCCGAGGGAGGTATCTTCATAAAATATCGTCTCCTTCCACTTTTTCATCCATCTTCCACTCTTTTCCTTCTTCATCTTCTGCTTGGTTTGAGAGCTGCTTGTTGTTGTTTCTCATATCGCGCTTCGCGTATCGCGCTTCGCGTTCCCGCATTGACCCCAATATCAACCACCAACTTCCCATCACCTTCAGGCAGGAACGTGTGTTTCTCACAACATCGCCATCAGGTCACGCCATCTTACTCCCCGATCTCGCAGACTTTAAGAGCATCCTTCACCCTTAGTCAGCACTCATCCTCTCAACTCTTCGTCTCGGAAAGCATTTCGACTTGACTTCCATCATCAAAGCCGATTACATCGTACCGACAGCAACAATGTCTGCGATGCTTCGTGCCAACAAGTCTGGCGGCTCCGCCCGCAAGGTCCGCCATGTTCGCTCTTACAGCCTGAGCGATGGCTCTGCTTCTGGCGGTTCATCCGACTCCGAAGAAGGTTAGTGACCAATTCATCAGTTTGAATCGCCCCTCTCATTTCCCTTATCATTCGTCCCATCCTTTCTCTGCTTCAACTGCAATCAAAGAGGATTGCAGGGTGGCGGGTAGCATGAGATGAGGGCTCAGGTGACACTCATGAGAGGGGACCTTGTTGATCGGTTTCACTTATTTGAACTGAAGTAGCTGACCATTTATAGCTGGTGCCCGCCTCTCTGCTGCCAGTCTTGATGATTCCCCTCCTCGTGTTCGGTAAGTCATTCCCGGGAGACGATGACGGCTTGGCCGTTCCGCTCGCTGACATGAAGAAGTTTCTCTTCCATCACCGAGGAGTTCAGCCGCCTGAGTGTCGCCTCGAGCGTTGCATCTAGCGGTTCCGAGTGTGGCAACAAGTAAGTTTTCTTTGTTTGTTTACTCCAGGGGCATGTTGTTGATGTTTGCGTGTTGCAGTTCGTCTCCTTTCCAGCTCGGCAATCAGCCCGACGGCGATGTCTTTTCTGCTACCCCGGTCAAGAGCGCCCTCAAGCTCAATAACCTCAGTGCTTCGGTCACGGATCCCTTCTTGGAGACCATTGCCAGAAACCCCGGCAGCGCCACTGAGGAGCGCCGCCTGACGCGTTCTGCCACGACCCCGAGCGCCATGTCACTGGCTTCCCCTATCGAGCGCGGCCTCCGCACTCCCTCCGCTCGCCATGAGATCGGTGGCATCGACGCCCAAGGCATCTACCCGCCCAGCGCGTGCGTCTTCATTGCCAAGTAAGTCGGCCTCGTCCTTCGCTTCCCCCTTTGACTGAGAGCAAGTCTGACAATTGGGTTTCAACAGTCTCCCGGAGTCCAAGGACGATCGGGCTCTCGAGGCGGCCGTAACGCGCGAGTTCAGCCGGTACGGTACGGTTTTCGTCAAGATTCGCCGTGAGGCCAAGGGCAACATGACTGGCATGCCGTATGCTTTTGCCCAGTACACCGTGAGTTATCCCATTCGCTCCTTGCAACCTTGGCTTGTCTGACAGTGAACAGAATGACGAGGATGCCAAGGTGGCCATGGAAGAGGGTAGAGGCGCCGTGATTCTCGGTCGCCCTTGCCGGACCGAGATGGTCAAGGCCAACCGTAAGTGTCGCATAACCCTCTGTCGATCGAAGACATCAACCCGCTGACGCAAGTTTCTTGCCGGTCGCAGGCACCTTTGTGATTTACAGCCGCCGCGGCGAAGATATCACTACCGCCATCGCCAGGGAGATCCTGGAGCCATACGGAGAGCTCAGCAAGTGCGAGATGCTGAGCGCACAGATGCAGGAGGCCATGGATTTGCCGCCTGCCGTCTTGGTGGAGTTCGCCAAGTTTGATCCTAAGCGCGATCTCAACTCGGTAAGCCTTCCGCTAACCGGCGCTACATCAGATCGCGTCCTGTGCGTACTGACGTTCTCCCACAGGCTGTCCGCCAACACGACGGCTACCGCATCGACGCCTTCGATGTGAAGAAGCGGAGTCCCATTTCGAAGACCGATGCTGACGAGGATTTCCTTCGTCGCTACGACATGGACCGCCGCTCCGTCTATGTCGGTGGCCTGCCCGTCGAGACCACGCGTCAAGAGGTCCTTGAGCTTTTCTCTGCTGTCGGCGAAGTCATCAGCTGCAACGTCCTGGCAAAAGCCAACTTCCACGGTCAGTCGATTCCGATCTGTCAAGACGTGTGGGCATGAGCACTAACCAACAACGCAGGCCATGTCACTCGCGTCTTCGCCTTTGTCGAGTTCGCCCGGGCTGACGCCCCAGACGAGGCAGTTAGGGAGTTTGTAAGTTTCGCTCACACCGGTGACTGCTCGATTGGTGCTGACGACTCTTCTCTGAAGAACAACGCCTTCTTCCGCGGAGGCATCCTGAAGGTCGAGCGGAAGGTCTTCAGGCACGTCGGCACGCCTCGGCGTGTCAAGTCCCAGGCATTCTCGGTCAAGTCCTCGACCACCCCCAAGACGCCGAGGACTGCCGCCGCCACCAGGTCGCCCATGGCTTCAGGTGGTCCCTCGGGCAGGCGCCAGGAGATGCCCGGCCCCAGTCCCGGGCCCCAGCACGGCTACAATTTCGCCAGTGTTGGACAGCCCTTCGCTCCCGCCGGCTACCCGGCGCCGAGCCCCGCCGCCGCTGCCCCAGCCAATGGGCAACCCCTGCTCGGTGCCAGTGGCCTCCCGGTCACTCCGTCGTCTGCGTTCGGCCCGAACGCGTTCTCGTATGCGGGCGGCTTTTGGCCTGGCATGTCTTTCACCCAGGACCCCGTCACCGGCCACACCTTCTGGGCTTACACTCCCGTCGGCGGCGCCAACGCGCCCGCCACCCCGACTCGCGGCGCCGGCCGTGAGCAGCAGCACTTCTTCCATGGTGCTTAAGAGAGGACGCGACGCGCTCTTCTCTCTCCCATGTCATTTTAAAGTGTCAGAGATACCCAACATTGGTTCCTTTCATCACTCTTCGGTTTTCTTCGGTCTGCATTTTTTTTTCGATTCCGGTTTCCTCATTCGGCAAGTCATGGTCGGCCTCATAATGTCCTCGGGCCACGCATCTCATCGTCGGCATGCTGGCCAACATCATTGACGGAGGCTCGACCAGTCTTCCCATCCGCCTGTAACGGGAAATGACGACTTCACGACTTTTGTCTACTCGGCCACACAGCTTGGGCCATGAGCGATGACAAGTTGTTGGTGATGAGTGGTGCATCAGCATCTTTGGTTTTCGGCGTCTCCTCTTTCGGTCTCCAAGGGATCAACGGTTTTCAACAACGGCGACTTGAACGACAACGTGTTCCTCATGGGCGGGGCGTCGGTGTGATGTACAAAAACTTGTTCTGATAACGGCATTGTCAGAGGCGTTCATGGCGAGGGTTGGCCGGGCGTCTTCGCCCATGGCCCATCCAGACCATTTGAGCCCTCTCATATATGGGTCCTCTTTTGTTTCCAAGGATTGGGGAACGTCTGGATGTCGTCGTTAATTTGGGAGTAGCGCAGAGGAGGGATGGGTATCGAGATGTATCTAACATTCAGATGACGACTCGACATGGCTTTCTGTCTGCTATCTCACTCCATAGAAACAAGAGGCAAAATCAACTGGGATTTCAATATGACGGTTTGCGTTTGGCGATGATGATGATGATGATGATGATGATGATGGTGGTGGTGGTGGTGGATGAGAATGGAAGGTGAGGATGCTTGGGTGGTTTCTTTGTCCGGTGGGTCAAGATCTTTGCTTGGCTCCAGTCTCCGCTCTGCAGCTGCAACCTACAACCCCCACGCGCCGTCACACAGGGTTACACTTTTAACGTTAGCTTCCTCGGCATGGGTTAGCCTCATGCGACTGACAGCTTGACAGGAATTCATTGGTCAGGCGCACTGAAAAGTTCGGCAGTCCACCGAGCCAGCAGAGGAGGGCAGTCCCCAGTCACGGATAGAAAAAGACCGCAGACCCAAAGCCTTCAGGGGTTTTCTGCGTTCTTTTTACATGCTTTCTGCTCCATCTTTCAAGACGCCTCGAGAGGAAAACAAACAACCAACATTGGCGGTCGAATAGTATTCTCTTGCCTCCTATATCGAACATGGGCCAGCCGTCCTTCGAGGCGTCGAACGCCCTTGTCTGGGTGACATATGGAGTATTCTTGTGAGACGAGACCCGAGACTCCTTAAACTGCCGCCTTGAGAATCCCATGCTAACGCGCTGCCCAGGATGGTCGGAACAGGCGTTGCCTGGAGGTTCAGGAACCAGAGCAAGGGCGAGTTCCTCGCGGGCAACAGAACTCAGACCGGTTAGGATTTTCTTTCACGAGGCGCTGAGAGGCAACCGAGGATAGCTCGTTCATCGTTTCCCAGCTCAATTTCTGTACCCGTCGGAGGTAAGAGGACGGATGCTAACCACATTCTCTGACAGCTTTACCGCTCGCCCTGAACTTCATCGCGTCCGGTGAGTGAGCAATGCGAATGAAGGGGCACCCAGAGATTGGAGCGGTAGCCACGCAACTCAACAAACGAAAAGCAACCCGGCAGAGACACAGCTGCTCGAGGATCTGATCGGGGGAGAAACGACCCAACAGCGACACTTGAGACGCTGGTATCAGACGACGAGGAAAGCCATAGGCTGACCACAGGTTCGTACCCTAACCTCACCAAGACTTCGCCCCTCACTCCGCAGCCTCGCGTCTTCCAAGCTGTTCCCTGACGACCGAGGGGATCTGCTTGGCTGCGGTGCAGAGGGGTGAAGATTGCGGCTCACTACGGGCGCCGAGTTGAAGCGGGTTCTCTGGCTCCAACCTCCATCACTCCTGTTCTCTTTCGTCTTTCTGACGGATAGAGCAGAAGTGGCAAGCGGGGGAGAGCCAGCGTCTTGCGGAAACGAAGCTGAGATTGTACCGTGATACTCGATCAAGTTAATGCTTGCGTGGGAAACGTGCTGCCGCTCTGATACCCTCCCCTCTCTGTCCCCATTCCTTCCCCTGTCAAATTCGGAATTGACCATACTGACCGCCATAGCCCTTGGATCCGGTATTCTCTTCGCTTATCCCCAGCTCGCGACACTGGCTGGCGTTCAGGGCGTGGTTGTCTACGCCCTGTCGTCTGCTTTGCCCCTATTGATCTTTGCTGCGCTGGGTCCCATCATCCGCCGCAAGTGCCCGCAGGGCTTTGTCCTCACCGAGTGGACTAGGCAGCGATACGGGACTGTCGCGGCCCTGTACCTCAGCTTCATGACCCTGGTCACGCTCTTTCTGTACATGGTCTCGGAGTTGTCTGCGATCGGCCAGGTCATCAATCTCCTGACGGGGCTTGACGGGCTGCCGGTTTTGATTGTCGAGTGCGTCATCACGACCATCTACACCTGTACGTCACGCTGTCCAGTCTATCGGCTTGAAGGGAGAGGAAGACTAACACGTCGGTCCAGCGCTGGGAGGTTTCAAGATCTCGTTTTTCACCGACAGCATTCAAGGAACCATGGTGCTTGGCTTGATCCTCATCGCCACCATCACCATCGGCGTCGAGACCAACATCGACACGAGCTTGATCGAACCGTCGGGTCTCACCCATGCAAGCCTCCTGGGCTGGCAGCTCGTCTACATCCTCCCCGTCGCCATCCTCACCAACGACTTCTTCCTGGTGAGTCCCACCCACCCCACTCCTCTCGTGTGACCTTTGCATCCCCAAAACCGGCACACAACAAGGTTCAGCTAACAGCCCTTCCAGTCTCACTTCTGGCTCCGCACCTTCGCCTCCAAAACTGATCGCGACCTTTGGCTCGGCATATCAGGCGCGACCGTCGGCGTGCTCATCATCATAACCCTCGTCGGCTCGACGGGCCTCGTCGCCGTGTGGGCGGGCGTCGTTCCTGGTCCGGATCCCGAGGCGCCCGTCGACGGCGCCGTCGCTTTCTTCGCCCTCCTCAACCAGCTGCCCAGCTGGGTCGTCGGCCTCGTCGTCGTCATGTCGGTCACGCTGAGCACCGCCGCCTTCGACTCGCTGCAGTCGGCCATGGTCACGTCCGCGTCCAACGACCTGTTCAGAAATAAGCTGAATATCTGGTGGATCAGGGGGGGCGTGGTGCTGATCATGATTCCCGTCGTGGTCATCGCCATTCGCGCGCCGTCCATCTTGCAGATTTACCTCATCTCGGATATTGTGTCGGCCGCGACCATCCCTGTGCTGGTGCTTGGGCTGTCGGATGCGTGCTACTGGTGGAGGGGGTTCGAAGTTGTGGTTGGCGGGCTGGGGGGCTTGTTCACGGTGTTCTTGTTTGGTACGGTGTACTACGGGGATGCCCGGCTCGGTGGCGAGTTGCTGTTGCTGCAACAGGGGCTGTTCACTGGCGACTGGGGCTGCTTCGGGGCCTTTGTTGCTGCGCCGGTTGGGGCGTTGCTCTGGGGCTTTGGGGCGTTGGGTCTGCGGCTTGGGATCCAGTACATCATGGCTCGATCCAAGGGGCAGCGGTTCGATGCGCTTGACCGCCCCATTGAGGTCAGCGCGCCGCAGCTTGTTGACCCCGAGGTCGGCAGGCACAGTGACCTCGGCGATGACATGGAGAGCTCATCTGACGCTCCCGGTCTGGCCAAGTCGACTGGCAAGTTCTTTTAGGGGAGGCACAAGGGTGGAAGACGGGAAAGTGGTGCCTCTAGACTCGGTAGAGGCTGCCCAGCAAGGCTCTGCGGTTGAGGTCAGGTAGACAGACGACTAATAGGCCGAGCTTCGGTTCAGAGAACGCAGAGTCGGGTAATACATTGTCAGTTCTCTTCCCTATTCTTTGTTTTACTTTTATGCTGAGGGGCACTGTTCTCGTGTTCTAGTCCCTTTGCAAGGGCCAACTGGCTTTGCTGTCCTCTGGAATAAACGCTTCATCCGGAAGTGTGATTCCCTGTAGTGTGTGCCCATGGTCCTGCCGCTTGGCTGTGCCAGGGGGGGGGGGGTAAGTCGACCACGTCTGCATCCAAGAGGTTAAGATATGTCAACCTCACGATGGTTCCCATTTCACCGCCCGCGTCTATCCATTGTTCTGCCCACACGTAAGACTCCCATATCGACTATTTCCCGACAAGATGTCTTCCGAGGAACCCCCGCGACAGCAACTAACGGCCGAGTGTCTTGAGGCGGCTCAAGGATATGCCTTGGACACTGTCGAATCGCTCAAGTCCCAGCTCAGAGAATTCCGTAGGCTGGAAGACAAATGGACAACCGAGACGGCTCGACTCGATTGGTAATTCCGCTCCTGTGCGTCCCAGTTAGGCCTCGACTTCGACAGCGCCCATGATGCAGACCTGGCTTTGACAAGGGAGATCGACGCATTATCTGCCAAAGTGGAAGTAGCCAATACGTTCTGTGAGAAAGTGGCGCTCGAGAGGCAAGAGGCTTTCTCGCAGAATAGGCTGGCTGCCCTGCGAGACCTGAGTAATGTACAGAACTGTAAGCAAGAATTCTCTTTGGGGGCTGTTTTCACCCCTTTTTATAGCTGTTTGAGATGCCATCCTGCTCCCGAGACCGCGCATTGCCCCCAAATCCCTTGGGATGTTTTCAAAAGAGGGAACCCACAGCTGACATTGTTGTAGGGATTCAAGCGGATTGTCGCACGGTACACTGCAAGCCGACGTCATCCAGCGTCCCGGACACGAGGGGCTTGGAAGCCAAGATCAAGAGCGGCGCCATGTCGGTGGACGAGCTGAAGGAAACCACCTTGGAGCTGCTGAGTGTGGCGCTCACTGTGCATGAGAAGGTGGACTTAGGAAGGAAGTGAGAACCGTTAGCTAGGTGCTGATTAGGATGATCCTTACGGATTTGGACTGGGAACCGGACGAAGCACCTCTGACGGCGCTGCTGCTGCGTCCGTGAGTGTTGAGCTGTAGATGGTATTAGCTGGCGTCCACTGAGCCTTTCGTACTAGAACCAAAGCGCTGTTTGATCCAAGGTAGAGCGCAAGAGACCATATGTGCTCCATAGTACACATAATAGTGTTTTTTTTTCACGGGATTTGTGGCATCCTGCCGCCACATATACACCTTCAATACATCCCTTGTGTCCATCGTACATCTCATTTACAAGACCAAGGCCGGCTTTCGCTCCAGCTTCTGGTACCCTGCTGATTGCCTCACCGTTGCTGAAGCAGCGTCTCGAGATGCTTCTTCTCCTCTAACCACCCCTCGACCGTCGTAGGCTTGAGGGTACCGATGATGCGCCACTCGCTCTGCTGCCACGTCCTCGGGTCGATGACGCACCCAAACGCCAAGTTTTCCACGACGTCCATCTCCTTCTCGCTGCCCGGAATCACCTGGCCCTGCGCATCGTACTGGACCCGGCGCTGCCTGCTGGAAATGGCCACGACGGCCTGGCGGACGACCGGGGCGTTGCGCTCGCGGGATCCGGGCGACATCCTGTGGGACTTGATGGACGGGTAAAAGGCCCTGTTGGTGTAGGCCACCAGCTCCCAGCCGTAGCGCCGCCCTCGCGGGCGGCTGTCGATGCTGGCGAGCAAGGAGCCCGCGAGCCTCCGGGAGCAGACCCTGTTTATGGTGTCCTTGTCTCCGTCAGCGAGAGCGGCGGCCATGGACCGGTGGAGTGCCTTGGCAGTGGGGATGAGAGCCGATCGGTTGGGCTTGAAGCGCGCCGCCTTGAAGATGGTGGGTTTGGAGCTGAACTTGACAACCATATTTGCGACGGTTTCCTGAAGTTTCATGCGGACCCATTGGCTTAGGAGTCGTAGTTTCTGGATCAGTGGTTTAGGGAACTGTGAGAAAGGCGGAAGGACGAATGTGGCTGTCGGTTGTAGCGCAGCCAGCGTTAGCTACGGCTCCTTGCTACCCCTGGATCCGGTTGAACGGGAACCTCAGCAAGACACACCTGGTATGACCATGGAGAGAGCCTCTGCCGTCCACTCGCTCAGGTTGCCATCCATTTTCTGCGCCATTTCCGTTTTTGGTGATGCTTGGTTCGTCATTCGAGGGGTGGCATGTTCGGCGGCGACCCGGGTCATGGCGGATTTGGACTGAGACGTGTGCAAGCCGTGCGCCTGCACGAGGCACATCCGAGTGACAGAAAGGGGCCATATCCTCGCTGGACCTGTCAACCTGGCGAAAAGTAGCTCTCGGGCCCTCAAGCCCAACCTCGACGACGACGACATGATGGTTGCTTCTTGACTTGGAAACCAACTGTTAATGCCCGGCCTGCGCCGTCTCCCTTTCCAACTGTGACCGATTCGAAAACAGTCGCGACCTCCTCCTCTTGCCCGTTATTCCTGAGATCGACGGCCGGTGCCGTTGGGACCCCGTCTGGCCGTGCGTCGTCGTCGTAAAAGGTGCCTAAGTTCGCGGCCAGAGGTCTCTTCAAGCTCTCATGCGATGAACCACTTAAATATTCCCATGCGCTGGCCAAAATTATGTGGGTCTTGCTGCACAGCAAAACCAATCGTGATCACCGCATTTGGGTCGCTTATCATGCTGAGGCCCCGCACAGCGCGATCGCAAGAACAGCACCCTTGCGAAATGACCTCACACTGAGTTCCGAGTTTGAGCCATTCGCAATCGCACCACTCATTTCAACCGGGCCAGAAAAGCCGCCTGAACAGCCAAATTAACCTGTTTGGTTATTGTTTCCCGTCTCCCTTCGTTTACCACCCAATTCACATGCTCCATGGGCGAGGATACAGTTCTTGATGTACAACCGCGCGAGGCCAGCCGCGCACCCACCACGGCCGGATAACGGAGTCAGCACCACTACACACAATCGAGACATTGCCGCTGACAAGCGCTCCTCCTCCGAGTCCCGCCCTTGGGCCCCCGCTGCAGTCACGGCCCCAGCCGCCCCGGCTCCTCGCAGATCCTCCGTGCCCGACTATGCTGCCCACCAATCTACGGCCCCCCATCCCCGCAGCGGGCGTGGAACAACAGTAGCAACGGCGCCGGATCATCACCATGTCGGCGCCGGGCCCGTCCGCTCAACTCTCCTCCAGCCCCGCGTTGCTGTTGCCTTGGGCGTTTCCAAGAAATGGTACCCCGTGCTCTTCCTCTGCCGCCTGGCCTCCATCGGCCCAGGCATGCTGTTCGGACTGCCGAATGCCCTACGGCTCCTGGCAACGCTGCACCTCATGTACCTCGACTGGGTCCTCGACGGCGACGCCTTGAGCAAGCTTGGTCGGGGAGCAGGGGGCGCCGATGGCCCACCCACCTCGGGCTACGACACCGCGTTTGAAGCCAGGCTGCGGCTCACTGAGGCGTTGCTCGCGACAATATGGGTGAGCATGCATGCCCTCCTTCCGTCCCTCACTTCCACAAGCCACCCACCGAGAACACCCAACTGACTCCTTCCGTAGTGCTGCGCATCAGGCTACCTCTCCTTTTTCTTCACCGACTGCCTCATGTCGCGCTGGCTGCTCAACTACACCCCACAAGCGACCATCGTGCGGCTGCTGACCGTCGACGCAATCAACGGCTACTTGACGTCCTGGGTTTTGCACCTGACAGGCGGGTTCGAAGACCCAAGGCTTATCCTGCCGGCCTGGATCGTAATCTCTACTGTGCGAGTTCATCCATCCATCTCTCTCTTCATTGTCGTGTAACAACAACACAATCAACCGCCCGCACCCCGCCCCCTTACACGCGCTCCCACTAGACTAACCGACATGCTGACGTGATTTTCGGCAAAACAGACACTAACAGTCCTCTACCACATCACCCAACGCAAGATCAACATCCGCAAGGAGACATCCATGTCCATCAGCGTCTTCTCCATCGCGAGCTTCGTCAGCATGGTGGCCCTCCTGGTGCAGCTGCACTCGAACCGCTTCGACTACCCCGACATCCCGCTGCTCAACTTTGCCCGGAGGGTGTTCCACGAGGTCGGGAAGCTGGCTATCCGTGTCATGGAATACTGTGATATTACCCGAGAGCTTTAAATACTTTTCATTCGATTACAGGCGAGGCGTTGTACTGGCGTTATTGTAATGTTTTGTTTCCCTTGGTTTGGAACCTTGCGGCTGGCCACGATTCGTCCAAGCTGGTCACGGTTTACCAAATTCGGACATCGTATATACGATCATAACAGGGCGGAGGCCAATGGAAATGGACACTGCGGGCATCACTGCGGTAGGCACGAGTTTTGCCAATCCATTCCATTGCCTAATGCTACGAAACCTTGCAAACTCTTAAGGAGGGACATGCAGGTTACGGCCGTCCTGTCAAGCAGAACTGAAGGAACGACGAGGAGCAAATGTCCGGCAAGACTAAAAATCATATCTCCCTCGACGTGCTTCTTGCATAGTAAAAAGGAAACCGGCCTCCGGCTTCCGGGTATCATGTTTGCGCGCCGCGCAGCCCTTCCGCGGGCCTTCTCATGGCTCAGATATTGATAAGTTCTGCCTCTGTGAGTGAACCCCGCCCCGGACGCTCCTTCTAGGAGGCCAGGCCGCTGAGCTGCGGCGCGACCGACATGTCCGGCTTAGAAGCCGTGGATCTGCCAGGCGGTTAGGGCCATGTTCGCAGTGTACAATGGAAGGGTCGGCGGGACAATGCGTACCTTGATGGTCTTCTCGTCGAGGCCGAGGCCAGACTCGTTGTCGACGAGGAAATCCCGGATCTTGATGCGGTGGTCGCCTTGGAGCTGGATCACCTCGCCCATACCCTTGGACTCGGTGTCACTGATGATGGTGCCATTGCAGGCTAATGAAGCGTAAGCGTCTGAACAGTGCGCGCCTTAGGAGAAGGGTGAAGGCTTACCGAACTCCTTCTTGATGACCTTGAGGATCTTCTTGTGATCGAACTTCGCCGGTATACCTTGCACCGTAGTCAAGGTCTTGCGTCCATTACGCTCTGTAGCAGTCTTGGTCAGTCTAGAGCCTTATGATACTGCACCAGGCTTGCGGTACGAGCCGACTGGTCACGCGACAGTGTGGAGTGACGGGCGCGACATACGCTGAATGCGAATATGGATATACTCCTGGGTTTGAGTAGTCTGTCCCGAGTCCTCGTCGGCTTCGGCGAAGGGGTCTACATGAAAATTCAAGTCAGCGACTACGCGTGGAAATCGGTGAGGTTTGTTGCCGTCGCGATACAGAGATGGTTTCGTCCCAATCCCACCAAGACAAACAAATTAATCTGCGTCACGCCCACACGCTTTTGCCATCGCAAAAAGCAGTGGACAGCGACTCGTTGGCGACAGCAGCGATGAAAATGACATACCGCGGCTTTTGAGATTCTGGATCTCGGTTGCGCCTGACATAAACTCGGAGTTTGCGGGGTGACTTGGGGAGAAAAGGTTTGTGTTGATGGGTTGAAGATGCAGCGACCGACGACTGTAATGTGTCTCGCTAATCGATTCTGAGCTGTTGTTGCGGCTGACGTGAGAAGATTTGGGAGACGAGTTTGTTGGTTAAGCTTTGGTTGTTGCTCAAAACGCGATGATGTTGTGGGATGGCAAGACGGTTGTGGAAGAAGGGAAGACAGTGGAAACCAGAGGAGGGGAAGAGCCAGGATATGTGGGGTCCGCGGGAGGCCAAGAGGATTGCGTAAGGCCGCAAGGCATCAAGTTACCGCGTGACCAGTCGACGCCTCGCTCATTCTCTGCAGTAACAATAATTAACGTAATCTCTTATCTGTATAGGATTGTACATCCGTACACGTACTGTACACCTTTGACACCTCAAGTCAACATGCGTGCTGCTGGCTGCAGGACCTGGCATTCTGCATTCGCCTCCGGCTGCACCTCTCCCGACCTGCGAGGTACCCTACAGATAACCAAAGTCGCACCTGGCCATTATTTTCTCATGGCTTTCCCCCGATGACCTCTTTTGGTTTTGCAAGGTTTCAGTCCCTTCACTTGTTCACTTGCTGCCGCAAGAAGTTGCCGGCATGCAAAGCGCTTGACTGCGAGACAGCAGCACCTCAACTTTCCTGCGAGGTTCGAGTCCGTCGAGTACAGAGCGAATTCGGCGTCTGCCGACAGCCTCAGACCGAAGAGGCCAACAGCTGGGAGCAGTCCAGACCAAGTAGGAGCCTTCAACAACATCCTACGAATGACAGCTGTACGGATATACAATGCTCAAGGTCAGAATATTTGAGTTGGAAGTTGTACTGTAGCCAAGGTAGTGGAGCCTGCCCCACTGCGTGAACGTTTGGTCTGGTTGTGGATTCAAAGCCGCCCAGCAATTCACCACGGCAAATAACCTACCTCTAGCCCTCGTGTGCCGATCGACTCCTTCGCCCCTTAAAGCCCATCGCCCAAACCATGGGCTTCGAGCCCGAGGAACTGACCGTCGACGCTAGCCCGTTTATTGTGGTCGAGACGGCAACGAGCCATGAAGAGACGGCAGCTAGATCTTGGCGGCCCCTTTTCCGCCACACATGCCCTTTCCACTCGGCTGTCTTTGGCGATGTCATGGTCAATTTGATCCGGCATCCGAATATCAACTCGTCGTGGCTGTTCCGCGCAGATATCCTGCATGACGCCGCGGAAGCCGGGAGCACATCTGAGGTTTCCATTCCTTCATTCGCCGGATTCCATCTCCGACGATGCATCGTCCGAAGACTCATCCCTCGGAACACGCTGAGGGACAAGCCACTGGACCAAACCTGCGTCATCTATGAGCGCTACTCCGGCCGTGGAGATGGAAGCGTTATCACCGAAAAGGCCCTGGTGGTTTATCTTCCCCATGTCTCGGCACCCTCCGAAATGCCCTTCTATCACCCCATAGTTCGAGGGATAGCCTTTCTGCACGAGTGGACGGCCGCAAAGTCATGCGGGTCCATATCCATCTCTTACCTCTTCTTCAGCGAGCAGGACCGCTCGTCCGTCCGGCTCATACGGACTGCTCTGCGTCTGCTCGAGGTCATTTACAAGCACGGCAAGGGCCGGCTGGAAGGCTACCAAAAGAAGGTGCACCACGACCAGCTGCTGCCGCAAGCCCGTGTGCAAAACACATACACCCGCCTCAAGCAACAGTACGCGCGTAGTCTGATTAAGGGCTGGGCTGAGACCACTGATCCTGAGAAGCATGTCTTTGAGGATTTGTGCATCGCCGCGTTCCTGATTGAGCTGTGGACTGACATGTACAACCAAGACTGCTTTCCCAGTTTCGTGGACATTGGATGCGGTAACGGCCTCTTGGTTTACATCCTCAACCAGGAAGGATTCGCGGGATGGGGTTTCGATGCGCGCTCGCGCAAGTCCTGGGCTGCATACAACACCAAGTTGGCGACACCCGAGGGAGAAGCGGACAGTCTGCGGGAGCTGGTGTTACTGCCGCCGCCAGTGAGCCGAGACGGGTTGGCTGGCTTGTCGAGTGACGGCTATAACGAGGAGCGCATCCATGATGGCCGCTTCCCCAAGGGCACGTTCATCATTTCGAATCACGCCGACGAACTTACGCCCTGGACTCCCATTATCGCGGCCATCTCAGAGTGTCCGTTCATTGCGATCCCCTGCTGCAGCCACAATCTCGCTGGGGAACGTTACCGGGCACCAGCACCCAAGGATAAAACCAAGGCGGACTCGGCATACTCGTCATTGGTAGTATGGGTGTCGGACATTGCGCGGGACTGTGGCTGGGAAGTTGAGCAGGAAATGCTGCGCATTCCGAGCACGCGCAACACGGCGCTGATAGGGCGCAAGCGCTTGAGCCATCAGGACCCATCCCTGGATATCCAAGCCGTCGTGGACCGGTACGGCGGCACTACTGGTTACTTGGAAAACGTCATCAAGTTGGTCGCCGGATCCACGACTCTGGGAAACGACCACTGAGAGAACCAACAAGGGGCTACATCAACGCTGGCATGTATTTGCGCTTACTTCAGTCTAAATCAGGCACAGGAAGATGGTCCACCAACTTCAGGCTTAGCCCCAACTTCTGCAGCGCCTCGGTGGCCAGCTGGTCCCGGAGCTTCTCCGTCTCCTCCTGCGTCGTCAGCACGAAGTCGTGCTTCAGCAGCCAAGTCCCCTCTTCCACCCCATACTTCTTGGCCATCTCCTTGTCGACGTTGCCGAGGTCAACCACCAAGCTCTTCTTGACGCCAAACACAGCGTCGGACGTCTCGTACGGGTCGCCCCGGATATACAGCGCGCTGGAGATTGAGTCAGTGGTCAACCCCCCAAAAAAAACCCGCAGCAATCAGAGGGATGGGAGACACGAACGTGATCAACCTATCCCATCCCTCCTTTCCAAACATGAAGTGCACGTGGGCCGGCCGCCAGCAATGCCGGTTCAGCATCTGCAGCAGTTTGCCGACGGGCCCGTCGTGCGGGATGGGATAGCTGACGGGTTTCAGGCCCCGAAACCAGAACTGGCCCTGGTCGTCGCTGACCATGACGCACCGCTCGCTGGGCGCGTCGCGGTCCGCGTGCTGCACGTCGTAATGGCCCGAGCTGTCCGTCTCCCAGATGTCGATGGTGACGCCCGGGATCGGGCGGCCCTGCGTGTCCTTGACGGTGCATACCGCCAGCATCGGCTCGCCTTCCGGATCGGACGTCATGCTCGCGCCGTTGGGGAGCGTCGGCGCGTCATGCGTGTGGAAAGGGCCCAGGACGGACCCTTCGGTGCTGCCGGGTGGTTTCGGGTGATTGATATTGTCGACTAGCAGGGAGAGGCCGAGCACATCGGAGAGGAGGATAAATTCCTGGTTCCCAAAGTCAGCAAAAGTATATGCAGACTTGAAGAGGAGCATATAGCCCCTTAAAGAAGCAAAATGTCCTGTCGCTTACATTCCGCACGTCGGTGCAGATTTTGCCGCACCCAATGAGAAACTCGATGGCCGCCATCCACTCGTCGGTGCTCAGCCGCGTCTCGCGGGCAAAGTCGTGCAGGTGCGTCACAAGCCGCGCCATCAGGTACGTCAAGCGAGCGTTGCTGCTCTGCGAGTTGATGCGGATCGTGTTGGGCGTGATGTTGTCGATGGTCAGGTCCAGCAGTGGCGGTGTGTTGGCGCCCCCCGCGGGAGCTGCCTCCGTGTGGTCGTTCGCCATGGTTGACTGTTGGCTGTGCTTTGGTGATGTTTCGTAGTGTCGATGTTTCGTGGATGAGGCGAGTGCGATGTTAGGGCGCGGCCAGTCCGGCTGGGCAACCTGAGTCGGGCTGGTATTTTGTAATGCTAGGAGCTATGGATACCTTTTAGTGATGTCGTGGGCCGTAGTGTGAGGCTGGTTTATTTGTAAGGCCTGATTAATCGCCGACCGTATGTACTTAGGTGTAAGCCGAACTTGGATTCCAAAACACGGTGATGGACGATTTGGGGGTTTGTCAAACGAGCGGACAGGAAAATAGCATCCGAAAAAGAGAGGCTCCAGCTCGCTCCGCCGCAACTCCTAACGTTACTCGATTGTATCACTACAAGGGCCAAGTCTTCTTAACTCATGACTTGCGATCAACGAATGACTGGAGAAGCAAGGGATGAGTGTGAGTCTAGATGCTCGCACAGAGGGTGGGGTTGCCGGGCATGGGGCGAAAATCGGGGAAGGAGGGGTTCGGGAGTTGAGACGGAGGTGCGGGTGGAACTGCAGGGACGAGTTGACGCTTGTCAACTCTATTGCCGACCCGGTAACAAGGGACCATATTGTTCCCCGCGAGTCTGGTCGAGATCCGATCGGTTCCCTCTCTCCGAATACCAAACCCGATCCCGGGACCGAAGGATTTCAGTGACTTTACAGCTGCAACTAGATGTTACAGCTGGAACACATAGCGCTACCATCAACAGCCATAATAGATATCCGAAGCCCAACAACATGATATTTGTGATTACACTATTTGTGCTAGAATATTGTGAGAACGGCTCACTATCCTTTACCTCTCGAATCGTCAATCTACTATTAGCAATTGTATTCGATAGAATGCTCTATTCTTAAATATGATGACTGCTGCCCTACTTGCCCTACTTGCCCTACCGTAGCTGCACTGCTCTACTCTTCTACGAGTACATAAGTACACTAGTAGCAAGAACCTTAAAACAAATCTGTAGTTTAGTTCAATGCTTAATTGAATTGCGTTGTCTTTAAGCTCTAATATTTGAACCCGAATTACATAACCATACTAGTTTTTTCCAAAGTATAACTTAAATATAAGTGTAAATATAAAAGAAACCAAGAAGAAGTAACGTTAACTACCGCTTTTAACAGAATGCTTAGCGAGGTACATCAGTTGGAACAGGGCCAAGCATGCCGTTGCCTGGTCAGTCTTCCCAGATACTCATAGGAGGCCGCTAACAGGGAATAACTTAGATGTCATTCCCCAACATACAGAACTGAAACCCCGCAACAATGTGACCAGAACCAGAATAGAGGCAACCTTAAGTTCAAGTTGGCCAATATTGTCAATTCATCACCACCTTTTTCTTATGCCTCGTAAAACATAAATACGCAGTGGACAATCCTCGCGGTTATTTGATTACGTTCAAGACTGAACGGCGTGTGAGCGATGAACTGCTTCCCTTACCTTAGCATTGACGTCATCAAATGTGGTCGCGCTCTGTCTTGACCTGAGGCTGTCAACTCAAATTGAGCTTCTCACAGTTTCACACCATCTCACCTGTGGAAGAATGCTTAGAGTGCTACTACACCGGACTGCCAAAATGACGACAGCCACGCTTGCCGCTTCACAAGGCCAAAGCCTCAGCGAATCCAGCAAAGTCCATTTCCCGACCGATCCCAAGCTCCCAGGCAAGTTCTTCGAACCGCGCCAGAACGACCCGACGGGCGACTACACGCCCAATCCGAGCAAGTCGTTCCCCTTATCACCAGCTCGGAAGGCCCTAGTCGACGACATCATCTCGCTCTACGAGATGGGCGCCACGGTGGAGCGCATGCAGAGATATACCCCTGACGCTGTGTACAACGACGAGGTCGGCTACGCCGACGACCGCTTCAAGATTGCCAGCCAGTGGTTCGGCCTGTCCTACGTATTCCGCGAGGCCAAGAGCCATGGCCACGAGATCATCACCAACGACAAAGATCTCATCCAGTTCCTACACGAGATAACCTGGCAACCCAAGCTCGTGCCCAAGACGCTGACCCTCAAATCGCTCGTCTCCCTCTCGCTCGACCCGGCCACCGTGGATGGCGAGTTTATCCGCGTCAAGTATCACAAAGACCAGGCCACCGCAAAGGACTACAGCAATGAGGGACTAGGTGCGATGCTGAAGAAGTGGCAAGTTGAGGCCACTACTGCGATACTCAGCGCCGTGGACTCGAATCTCCAGGCGTTCGTCCATGACAAAGGGGCTGGCAGCACAAAGCCGGATGCTTCATAAGAGACTCGGTGTGAAATTTCGTTCCTCACATAGGTACCATACCCATACATACCTTGATAGTAATGACTATATCTCTTGAACTATGCTTTAAACCACCTGAACTCGGTCGTAAAGATAATGGGAACCAGCCCTGCGAGTTCGAAGCCACGGTTCGCTACCCCCTTTTGCTATCCTCCTTACGTTGACTCGCGTCCAACACTTCCAAGTCTTTCTCAGCTTGGAGACTCCCAGGCCTCGCCAGATATGACGCTTCATCGCCTGCCACCCAGGAAAGCCGTCTCTTCAACTCTTCCATTCTCCCTCGACTCTTGCCTTCCCCGTGGCATGTTGCTGGTTCTTGCGGCTTCGTATCTCTCGGCTCAGGCTCCGAAACCGAGTTGTTCCCGTCCAACAGCATGCCGTCATCGTCATCGCTGCACTCATGACCCATCGACTCGTATCCAGAGTCATGTCCCTCGTTCAAGGGAGCAGGTCTACAGGGAAGAGACCGGATAACGGCTTGCAGGTCCCGAGAGAGCGTGGAATCAGCGCTCCATCTCTCTAGGCGCGCCGACAAGGCTGCGAGCTCGAGTCTTGTCGCAAAGAGCTTATTCGCATCCATACTCTTTGTGGCATCGGGCAAACTCGCGAGAATAGCTGCGACCCTTGAGAGGGTGGCGGCTCCTCCTTGTGAGAGAATTGCCGTGCCAGGCTCGTGCTGGTGTGCTACAGCCCGTCGCAGCACGTCACGGCCTCGACCGGCGAGAATGGTGCCGATTTCCTTCGTCTCTTGAGAGCCTGAACCAGTCATCAGACGCCCCGCTTCTGCGGGGACAGCCTGCCGACTGGACTCTTCAACAACGGCGCTGGTTTTGGGCATGTCCAAGGCACGGGCGTTCTTCAGCTGGCCCGCAGGAGCCTCCATGGCCGCTGAAGATTGGCCTGCTCCTAGAGGCGTCTGCCGATACACAGGCTGGCTTCCATCGCGACGGCGTTTGAAATAGTCGACATACATAGCACCATTACGGACGGTGAAATTATCGGTCTTTTGATCCGGGAGGATTGCGACACGGTGACTCACAGGCTGGGGTTCGAGACCGTGGTATGGGAAGCTGTCTACATACAGGACATCATCACCGTTGCGACTGGGAGCATTGCCTGTCTGCTTACCCGCGAGACTCTCCAGTGAGGGACAAGCTCTGCGGGTTTCGCCAGACAGCTCTGGAATGGAATGGCCGTTGAAGAATGTCCTCGAATTCGTCTCTGGTAAAACGTGACTTGGAGTAGACGGCTCAGACGAGTCAAGGTTGGGACCGGTGGTGTGCAGTACGCGGAGAACGCGAAATGTCTTTGGGCGGTCCGAGTCCAAGAGAAGAGGAGCGGTCCGATTGATGTTAGGTCGCTTCCGCAGCACAGTTCTGGACGGCTTGATGGCGAATATATTGCCTTTGGCGAACCACTGTCGGAGAGGAGATGCGGCCGGGAAAGCTCCCGAGTCGGCTTCCTCGCCCCCTATAACTGACTCTCGGTGTCGACCACGCCGCGTGTCAAAAATCCTTGTGGTTCTCCTTTTGATCCGACCAATGTCTGTCGTGCTGCACGGGCTGTTCGAAGCCGTTGACAAGCCTTCGTCATCACCTTCCTCTGTCTTGTCAGCGGAGTATTCAGGCGCGGAAACAACGACCTCTTTTCCCGTGTCCATCTCGAATTTCTCCCACTGATGGCGACTGGCCCTTAGCGGTGACATGTCCCCGCTGCCTGTGACCGTGCGGGATCTGCGGGAGATGGTAAGCCGCGGTACAGAGGCATCATGCTGTGAGCCTCCGGAGAGTTCGTAGAACCCGAGCAGGCCGCTCACGGGACGGTTGTCACAGAAATCCGGCAGGTCGTATCCGAGAATTCCCCGCAGAAGGTTGCGCTGGCCGGCGAGGAACTCCCGTGGGTTCGAGCAGTGGTGGTAGATAAAGTGCTCTGGTAGCTGGCGCCGGTAGATCTCGGCTGCGATGAAGTCGCCCTGCATCTCGAAGATGGTAGCGAGGAGGCCGGTCGTCTCTGCGCAGCCCTTGACATCCCGCCGATCTAGCTGCCTGCTCCTCGCCCACCTCCTCTGCGTCTGAATAGCATTCTTGCACATGTTCAAGGCGTTGTCAAACGCATACATCGACAGATAGGCGAGCGCCAAAGCATGGAGCATGGTCCAAACCATCGAGGCCAAGTACGAGGATGGCTCTGCGGAAGCTGCCAGGGCAGAGACGATGGGCTCGGCATGCTTCCAGTCATCCCTGAAGAAATGGCACAACGCTAGCTGGGTCTGTAGCCACCGGATATCTTTCTTGACGGAGCTGGCATTCTCCGTTCGCTGAATCGCCTGGGTGAGTAGCGATATGGCCTTCTCGAACTGTTTACGCCGAATGCTGTCCTTGGCAAGGTCCTCGAGCCCGTCAAGGAACAACTCTTCAAACTCTACCTCGTCATCCTCCTCGTCGTTCTTTTTGTCGTCCTCGGCAACAGACCCTTGAGAAATAGTCGACGGTGCTACCCGAAGAGGCCGAGAATTAGCGAGCGTGGGCGATGTCGGGCTGCGGACCGAGCCTGACGCAGGCGAGGCTGCTGTCGCAGGTGTCTCGCGACCTGCGTGAGAAATGTGGCTAGGCGCAGACCTGATAAACGTCTCCACGCGCTCCCGGCGGTAAGTGGGTAAATCGCCAAGCAGACTGCCGGCGCGGTCACGAACGGTGCTGGCGGTAGAGCTGGCGGCAGAGTGGAAGTGTCTGGCAGCCTGTGCGAGGTTGCGCAGGTTGCGTGCGACACGCGAATCGGAAGAGAGGCTTTGGCTGAAACCCTGAGGCGGCCGGAGGGACGCCAGCAGCGCCTCGTCGATGGACGACTTGAGCCGGTCGAGCTCAAAGAGTATCATGTCTTGGGAGGCATTGTTTCGGAGAGAGAGCGATCTAAGCCCTGAATTAGCTTGGCACACTCTCCTCCATGAACAGGGACAGGGCTTCGTAATATTACACGGTGACGGTGTGGAGGAGAGTCTGCAGAGCCCAATTGGACTTGTGAAGCTTGTCTCTGAACATGGCGATGTCCGGGCCGTAAACGCTCAGGTCTACAGCGGCGCGCACTTTCCATCCGAAGCCCCTGGTCCTGGCTTTACGCTTGACCTTGTCCACCAATACAGCCAACTCGTTGAGCGTTACCTGGCAATCCACGAGACACAGCTCGCTCTGGTGCCAGAGGTCCTCATCCACACAGGCTGAGTCGAGCGGACGACATCCATTCAGTGTGCGCTCTACGGCCTCCAGGAAAGCCGTAAGATTGACCAGCTCATTGCAGAGTTCAGTGATGCGTGAATCGGCAGTCTTGAGCGAGTGCGCGAGGCGCTGGAGCGACGTCTTGACCTGCAATTGGTGACGTTAGAGGTCGGGGAGATAGGCATTAGGAAGGTTGTGACGAGGAATTCTCATGACTTACAGCGCCAGCTGCCGTAATCAGTGTAATTGCTGATGCCGTGATCGAAACAGGGTCCATTGCACAAAGAAAGCCAGCCCTTCTAGGGCTACTACCTCAACAAGCCAAGGTCTTTCGGCAGGTTACCGCACAGAAGCTTGTCGTAGCTTGTAGGACTCGTCTGCGCCGGGAGTTGACTTTCCTGAGGCAGGAGATGGCTCTAGTATTGGAAGCATCATGATCCCAAGGACATTGTTGCGCCGTGCCCTGACCACTGCATATGCGCGTCTCTGCACAGCCTCGCGGGCTGCCTTGCGTCGGCTTCTCCAAACCACAGGCTGGTTGAGGGGGGTTATAGAGGATGCATGCACAGCCACACTGCAAGGTATTGTATCTACCTCTTCGGTATGCCAAAGCCAGGCACAGGGAGCGGCAGGGTTACACCACATATTGGCGTTCTAGCTTCTCCGTACCCAAAGCCATCGATGGTCGAGCTCGGTGAAGCAAGGAAGGTCGATGGGAAAGCCGAGGAACATATACTCTCGTTACGTGGTCTCGTCCCGCGCATTGAAGACCTTAAACACTGCCTGTACGATTTATCTACCTAATTCAAGTTTTCTGTCAGTATGTCTGGCAAAGTATCGTCGAGATCGTTGATTCACCAAGAGAGATGAGCGAAGGTTTAGACAGTTGACGGCGAGGAGGGGTTATACCTCGGAGAATTGGTTGATTGTTGATGCGGATTCTTACCGACCGAAAGAGATGTCAAGTTGCACTTTCCATTTCTGACTGGCATACCTGAGACGGTCACACGTACCTAGGACAGTCACATACCTGAGACAGTCACGTACCTGCCGACCTGGCACTCCGTATCTGATGCAGTTTCCTCATTGTTCACAAAGTCGTTTGCGAGTCCGAGGCGGCCTGGGTGGGACATGCCCACATCAAGTGATCATGTTGCCATTGTCCATATGAGCCAGGTATCCCCAAAACTAGAATAAACACGCCAAGCAGACGCCTCGCCATCGCCATAAGGATGCACCAATCATCCAAAGCCGATTGAAGCAACCAAATGTTGAAGGAAACGCAGTCCGCTGAACAAACAGCCCATGCCTGCTGCCTCGTCGTAACACGGCCATGATGATATCTTACCCCATCCCTCCCCATCACCGATCACTCTCTCCCTTGCTCCCTTCTCACTGCTCATCCTCCTCCTCAATCGGCGCCGGCGTCGCCCGTTCCTTCCTCCTCTTCGGCCTCCTTAGCCGGTTACTACTAACCTGACTAGCCGAGTCATCAGGGGCGAGCTCGCTGATATCATCCCCGCCCCACTCACTATCCGCACCATCAACACTCTCCTCATCCGCCCAAGCCGGCCGATCATACACCCCACTCGACCCCGACAGCGGCAGCACATCGATGCCCCTCCCGGAGCCGAACCCGCCCCTCCGCTGCTGCAGACTCATTTGCAGGGCGGCACCGCGGCGCCTCAACCCGTCCCGCACGGTCATGGCCTGCTCGTGCAGCTTCTCAAACGCGTCCTCGAGCGCCTCCATGCCATTGAAAATCTCCCTCTCCAGCTCCGCCAGAGCAGCCACCTCGGCCTCCTCGTCGTGCGTGACGGCCGCGCGGTTGGAAGGGTACGACGATGAGGCAGCCGAGACGCCGCTGAGAAACGACGCCGGGGTTGGGCCGCGCGAGAAGGGGCCGAACGGGGTCGTTGTGCGGGACATGGGCCGGCCGGTGGGGCTCATGATGCGCGACGCAGGACCTTGGGGGAACATGCCGCTGGCGGGGGTGGCGAGGCGGGAGGGCCCCTCGCCGAAGGGGATGCCGTCGTCTTCGGCGCCGGACCAGAGGAAGCCGTCGAAGCGGCCTGACGTTAAAATCTCCCATTCCGAGGTGCTGATGTCGGAGATGGTGTAGAGTAGGTCGTGCACGGCTGGGTTCTTGACGAGGTAGACGGCCGTTTCGGCGTCGCGAGGAGCCTGGTGAAGGCGGTATAACCTTTGCAGTGACAGACCCGACTTGACGATATAGTCATTGCGGGGTCGGCGGACGGGCGTTGGGGCGCGCATCGCGGAGGGCAGCTCCTTGGACCCCGCGAGGAGGGCGTTGAAGTAGGGCCGATCTTCTTGCTCAAGGTTGGTGAGGATGGCGAAGGCGAGGGTCTCGTCGTCGACATCCTGCGGCGGCGGAGCGGCAGTCTTTTCGCAATTGGACATCCACTTGTCGACTGCGGCTCGGACCCGTTTCGTCTGACGGAGATAGTGTTCCCTAAATTCCTCTGCAATGTCCGGATCCATCTTCACCGGTGACGATGGCCGCGGCGGGATGTCGGCGAGGTCTTCTACCGCTTTGCTGCTTAACAGAGAAAAGTCGAATGGCGGCCATGGAGGGAGATCTACCCTCCCGCTGACCCGCTCAAGCACCTCGCCCCATCCCAGTCCTCGATGAGGCTGACCTGATCGCTCGCACATAATGCAGGGACAGCCATCAGGTGAGAGATCACGAGAAAAAACATTTTCTAGCCGGTCCAGCAGACGACGAGCGACGGTCCGATGACCGGTAGCGACGGCGATGGAACCGTGGCCGGAGAGGACCGTCTGGTACTGGTTGAGGAGGTTGAAGAACGGCGCAAAGAGCGTTTCGGCGCCTTGGAGTGGTGGGTTTGATGGTCGCGTGCCGTTCTGTCGTGGCAAAACCGAGAGAAATTGCCTAGGAACAGGCTGTGGCAAGCCACCGTTTTGCATGAGATAATCCACTCGAGGAACCTCTTGGAGGTTAAGCGCCGGTGGAGGAGGCGGAGGCGGAGGCGGCGGTGGGGGTCCTGGGGCGAACGCTGGGGTTGCGGAAGGGGTCGGTACATCAGATGTCGAGTAGTGGTGTACATCGGATGTTGAGTAGTGGTTCTTCTCTTCGGGCATTATCGGCGGCGGCGGCGGAAACTCATGTGCGTGCGTTGGGGTCATGGGCGACACATCTACCGCTGACTCGGGCGATGAATCCGCTCCCTCTGTGTGAAAGGTTCTGGCTATCGACGCGCTCCGCCTTGGAAGAGCAGTTGCGGTAGAGCCCGGCTCGACGGTAGACGCGTCAGTGATCTCTGACTTTGCTGCTCGGGAGTCTGCACCACGAGGAGCCCTCACCGAGGGAGCTGGCCGCATGACAAAGGTTGCCTGACTTGATGCTTTTGATATCTTGGACTTGGATTCGTGCTTCGACGTGGACCCCGAGACCCATGAGCCTCTCGATGAGGGCCTGGTGTCCATATGGTCTGCATCCTTCACCGATCTTGGACTTTCGGGTCTCCTCTTTTGAGCCGACAGATCAGTTTCCGGCGGTGACGGTGGCCTGTCGTCCTGACGGGCGTCTGGCCGTGCCGTCGACGTCTTCCGCGCCGCAGGTGGTGAGTCGGCCGACTTGGACCGCCTCATCTCGCTGCCGCCAAGGTCGGTCGTATCTGGTGTGAGCGGGTCTGTCCGCCGGGCGGCAGGCGACGAGACGTCCTCCTTGCTATGGAGGGCCTCCTTGCTGTGTGCCTTGCTGAATGACGGATACGGCACGCTCACCCGTTCGCTGTCCAGGCCCCTAAATAGCTCCGGCACCAGGTCCGTCATAGACCTGGTGGCCGCCGACTTGTCGTCGAAACCATCCTTGTCCATGTCCCTCAGTTTGTGGCGTCGGTGTGATCGAGAGGTAGTCTCGCTGTCGGTTGGCCTCAACTTGGAAGACCTCGGCGACCGGTAGGAGGTGTAGTGATGGCGGAGGGAGGAGGACAGAAGCGAGTCCTTGTCCCGGTCGGCGTCGCGGGCTCTGTCTCTGTCTCTTTCCCTGTCCCTATCCCTATCTCTTTTCCGGTCCTTGTCCTTTTCCTTCTCTCGTTCTCGCTCTTTCCGCTCGGATTTGGATCGGTGTGGCTTATCGCGCGGGCGGTCGTCGACGGCATCGACATCGCGATCTTTAGAAGACGGCATAATGGACCATGCCAGGGTATATTGCCCGCCCTAGGGACGGTAAAGCACGGCTGCGGTAAATGGGAGCCAGTGAAGCCGCACAGTACAGTAGCTAACTGCGGCGCAGACGAAGGATGTTGGTCGGCTTCGTTATTGCTGGGACCAACCAGAGCGTAGGAATCCTGTTATCAGCTCGCAACACCTCGAATACGGCGCGATGGTATGTCCAGGTGCGGAAGGGCTGACTCGATTATTGTAACTGTCGAAGTGGTTGACTGATGCAGAGCTTGTTGCTGGGTCATGCCTAAAACCGGCCGAGTCTGCCAGTGTCATTGCTTCGGGTGGTATTGGGCGGTGGTGATGATCATTGGGCAGTGCAGTGTGATTCGGTCGGCGTCTAAAACAGTATGCGTACTGTGATACCAGCTTGGCAGAGAGTTTCCGCAGGCAGATGTGAGCGCGAGTCTGCGGAGATGCTTTGCATGACAGTGTTAGTTTCGGGCCGATGTTTAACGGCCCACTGTCTGATGTGTTTACCATACCGCTCCGAATCTTGTCGAACCACTCCACAGCACTGAACTACCACGTCTCAACACTCAGCGGAAGCACGTTCAAATTTACGCGGTATCACTGTGTACGTCAGATTAACCGATATTAACTGTCTCCCCTTCCACGGAGCATGCCTGCCTTTACTTTCGTACGACATTTGAGAGGGGCAAGGAGTTGTTGGACCTTCATTGGGCGCTGACCTGACTCCCCACCCTTCAACAATGCGACATGGCTCTACGCGCTGGCTGCCCGCAGGAGGATGCGGGAGATGCGCCCAATCGTTTTGCGACTTGCAACCGCCATCCGGGAATAGAAACCAAACCCTGAAGGCATACGAATTCCTTCACGCATTGCTGATCGAGGCTCATGTCTGAGACCCTTCCAGTTCTATATGCCTGCCGACGGTTTTAGCTTGCGGTATGCCACCTAGCTCGCTAGCTATATCAGCCCGAAAACAATCCAGACTCCGCATCCTCAGCTCCAGATACCCTACGCTTGCCGGCCCCTCAGAACCTATCCAGGAGACCTTGGCTCTCGAGCAGCAGGATAATCTGGTGCACGATGGACCGCACTGACTGCTTCTCGCAGTCAACCACGAGATCGGGCTTGGCGGGAGGCTCATACGGGTCGTCAACCCCAGTGAAGCCCTTGATCTCTCCCGCCCGGGCCTTCTTGTAGATGCCCCTCTTGTCTGTCTTCTCGCAGTACTCGAGCGGCGTCGCCACGTGGACGAGGTAAAAGTCGCCATATTTCTCGACGAGCTCGCGAGCGTGCTTTCTCGCCTGCTCGAAGGGAGCGATCGGCGCGGCGATGACGGCAGCACCGGACCTCGTCAGCTCCGAGGCGACAAAGGCAATGCGAGCAATGTTCTTGTCACGATCCTCGCGGCTGAAGCCGAGCTCGGACGACAGCTCATGCCTGACCGTCTCACCCAGCAGCATGGACACGGAGCGGCCGCCCTGCTGATTCAGCGTGACCTGAAGCGCCCGAGCAATTTGGTCCTTGCCGCTGTTCTGGTAGCCCGTCAGGAAAACCGTGAAGCCTTGCTGTGACCTGGGCGGGTGCGATTCTCTCAGGACCTTGACGACCTCAGGATACGAAAACCACTCGGGGATCTCACGCCCACTCCGCAACCGCGCGCGCAGTTCCGTGCCGGAGATGTTGAGCGTCCGGACGCCCTTGGGGATCTGGTCGACAGGAGCGTACTCGTCGCTGTCGGGCAGGTACGTCATCATCTGGAAAGGAACCACCTCGATGCCGAGTTCGTCACGGTACTTCTCAACGGCGTACTGGGCGTCGTAGGGGCCGTAGAAGTCGACGCCCTTGCTGTTCTTTCCGGGACCGGCGTGATCACGGCCGACGATGAAGTGTGTCGCGCCGTGATTTTTGCGAATGATGGCGTGCCAGATGGCTTCCCGCGGACCACCCATGCGCATTGCTAGGGGCAGCAGGCCGAGGACGGCCATGCCGTTGGGGTACCTGGGCAGGAGAGCCTTGTACACGCGGACGCGGGTAAAGTGATCGATGTCACCGGGCTTGGTGAGACCGACGACCGGGTGGATGAGGACGTTGGCATGGTGGGAGCGAGCAGCACGGACCGTCAGCTCTCGGTGGGCGCGGTGCATCGGGTTCCGGGTCTGGAAGGCAACCACCCGGGACCAGCCGAGCTTGTCGAAGTGAGCACGGAGTTCAGAGGGGGTGTCTGTGTTTACAGGTCAGTACCCCTCGGCCCTCCTTCGCTCTCAGGCTAACTTACAGCGCAACTCGACAAAGTCATAGTGCTGCAGCCTGCTAACCGCCTCAAGCTTGCCGCCCACATAGAACTCCTTGGCAGTGTTAAAGAGGTACCGGATGGCAGGGTGCTCCTCGTCGCCTCCAAAGACCTCCTTGGCCTCCAGCGTCCTGATGTGTGTCCGGGTCAGCAAACCCTCCCAATCTTTGTCATTGTGCCACACAATGACGCGACCCTTGGCACTGTGCCGAGACGGAAACGGCTTACTTGTCCGGCTTGTAAACGTCGTCGACGGTGAGGATGGCCAAGTTCCGGTCGTCGCGGAAGTCGCGCAGCGTTATCCTGGCGCCGGCCTTCAGGGCCAGCTCGTCAATGGTCGCCTGATCGACGTCGAGGGTGATGGGCATGCTGAAGAGCGCCCCGTTGGCGAGGCGGTTCTCCTTGAGGACGCTGCAGGCACATGTGTCAGCACCCGGTCCAATTGCTCCTCTTCCTAAAACAACAGACCCATTGTAGTCCTGCTCGTTCATGAAACCTGCATTTTAGCCAATTGGTCAGCTCTTGTTGCCGTTCGGGCATGTGGACGAAGGGAGTGAGGCAAGTGATGGTGGGGTTATGCGAGCCCCACCATCCAGCGAAATTGTCCCGAGGTGGGGGTTCTTCAACCAACCTTCAAGCGGCGAGAAGCCTCCATTGAGCAGCAGTTCAAGATCGCAGAGCTGGCGCTCGGTGAGAAGGAGTGCCGGCAGTGTCTCTGCTTCGGCCGCGAGCTCGGCCTGGCGAGGGAGGTCTCTCGCGTGCAGGTCCTTGAGGACGCCGCCATGGGGAGTGTTCGCCATGTCTGATTTCTAGTACCGTGCCGAGTCGAGCAAAGGCTGTGGAATCCGCGAGTTCAAGCAAAGGGGTTATTGAGAAGCGAAGGGAAGATAGGGTGCAGGAAAACGAGACAGATCAAGGTTCAGGCTGTGGACACTTCTGCGATGGAGAGGCACCTTATAAGATATGTTCCAGATTTGCCGCACTGCCGTCTCCTCGGGAACCGAGAATTTGTATCAAGCACGGATAGTCATGGCCAAGGAAAGTGAATTGACCGGCCCTCCCCGGTAACGGCGTTCATCCGTTCAAAGAGCCGGCGGTGCCTGGAGGCTACATAAAACACGCATCCCATATCCGGAGTCGATGTTATGCCCCTTAAAATGGGCGTCATCCCCAACATGCCGTCTCACTCAGATCACCCGCTCAGACACGACCGCAATACAAGTGCTCTCACCTTAGGTACATGACTTCTTCTTCCCAGCGACAGGCACCGCGCCATCGCATACCGACGGTGTACCGGCGAACAATCGGAGAAGATCCATTTACAGCATTACTCGGGCAAGACCCTGGCTATGGCGTGATCATCCTGGCTTTTGCCCAGAGCCCCAGATCATCCAGCGAATTACGCGCACGAATTTCACTCGCTTTGTGAAGGTGGCTCCGCCTGTTCGGCTCTTTACTCGACAGCGGTCCTCAAAGGGGACCACTCACACACTTATCTGCAAGTGAGGTCGATTTTCGACGGTTACCGCAGCCTTTTGCATCATCATCGTTTTCATGAACCCTTTCTGCATTCTGCATCGTGAATAAAGGAGCCGCGTGCATCCGACAGGAGGGTAGGCCGAGCCGTCTTTGGCAGTCGACATGTCGAGACCCGTGAGGACTGCATTCAAGATCAGAAATTTCAGCTGCAGCAGAAAACCAGCCCGTTGGACAGACAGGGCCAAGATCGTTACCAGTTTCAATTCACCATTGACCCTAACTCTTTGAACCACGTGAAGATTTCAGCATTACTTGTACTGTGGTTTTCACTTCTCAAAACTGAATCTTTCATAACAATCACCAACAAGCTTCAATTACGCTTCATAGACCTCAACTTCAACCAACAGAAATAACACTCTTATCGAATACTAAGATGAGAGAGACAGAATACAAGCCCGATGTTTCGAAAAAACCCGGCCTTGTCTGTGGATGTTTGCAGATTCCCTTCGCAAAGCAAGAACAAGAGAATAATAAAACGAGTGAATCTTAGAGCGAATGAGACCACACCGTCACACCACCACCATCTTGTGCCCCTCAACGAAAATGCCATCTCCATGCCAAATAACCGTCAAGCCCTACGTCAATTACATTATTCGAACAGCATTGGGAGCAACAAAGCCCGACCAACACCCAGCTGTTGCAACCCGATCACTACCCCTATCCTCGCGGATTATGACTGCAACTCGCCAGACGGATCTCGCTGGCCGGTCTTGCCGTGATGATGGTCATTGTGGTGATGATCAATGGCTCCCGCGCCGGAGTTGATGGGGTCGACGGTTGCAACCGGCGAGTTGGCGGGCGGGATCTCGACTGGAGCACTCGGCTCCTCTAATAAGCTCGAGGTTGACGCCGGCAGGGCTGTTTCTACATTGCATCATAGTCAGCATCCACCGATCCATTTCAACTGAGTCATAAAAACCGAACAAAAGCGGCTGGAGAGGGAGTTTGTCATACCGCTGCTGCTGATACCACCCAGACTGTCACTTAACGTGCTGCTGCTGCTGCTAACCACTGACGACGACGAGGACGACGAGAAGGCACTGACATCCCCCACACTAACAGCAGAGGAAGAAGGGAAGGAAGAAAAGAAAGAAGACACCTGCGACGCGGCGCTGGTAACCACCGTCCGCAGCGTCGTCTGGTTGCAAGTGGACGTCGGGAAGAACCAGGTCGTCGACGGGGACGTGACGCTGGTTTTCTCCTCGCTGCAGGATGTCGAGCTCGCTTCTGTTGCCGTTGCTGATGCTGGTGCTATTGCGGAAAGGGACTCGCTTGATGGCGGTGCTGTCTCTTTCGGGAGCGGGGACGATGATGTCTGCGGTGCCCCGTCTGTGCAGGTTGTATCCGCGGGCACACCAGCGGTGGAGGTGCTGGTGCTGGGTTGGTCTGAGACTGCGGGGGAAGAGACGGACACCCCTGAGGTGATGCAAGTGTCGGTGGAGGAGACCGATCCGGTGATGGCGTCCTCCGAGCTGGTCGAGGAGATTGCGGTACCTGACGGATGGCTGGGCGCCCCCGGACTCCAACCGCCGGATGGCCCGGTTGCTTGCCAAGGTACCGTCGAATTTGACAGAGGGAACGGAGGCGAGCTCGGCGTGATCGATGCTACGATCGTCCCCGACGTGATGACAGTTCCCAGGGCGGGACTGGTGCCGGTTGGGCCTGCGGTGCCCGCAGTGGAGTTGGGGAGCGGGAAAGGCGCCGAGCCCGGCAGGATGGATGAAGAGCCAGGGGCTCCAGTACCCAAGCTACCAGTTGGCGCAATGATGCTGGAATTGGAAAGCGGATACGGCGCGCTGCTGGTAGGGATAGCAGGAGCAGTGCCGGTCCCGGGCCCTGAAGATGGGCCTGTCGGTCCGCCGGTAACAGTCTGGTTCGTGAGGGGATACGGAGCAGTGCTCTTGGCTGGCGCGGTTGAGACTCCGGTCCCGATGCTTGGAGGCCACAGTTCTGTGGACGACGGCACGCCAGTTCCGGATCCAAGGGCAAGAGTCGACGCACTCGTTGCGTTGGGGCATGGGAAGGGCGGCAAGGCGGAACCAGTTCCGAAACTAGTTAGAGCTGTACCGGTGCCGCTTGTTGCGAAGCCCCAAGTGCTCGAGTTTGACAGCGGGAAAGGAGGCAGAGGTGACGAGACTCCGGGGGCTCCTGTTTGGATTCCCGTGCCAGAGATGGCCGTGCCGCCGGTTGGCCACCCTGCAGAACTCGAGTTGCTGATCGGGAATGGCGGTGACTGGGTGGACGTCGGAGGGCTTTCAGGAACACCGGTCCCAACCACGCCTGTCCCCGTGGGGCCAAGCCAAGGCCCCGACGAGTTGCTCAGCGGGAATGGCACGCTTGCGGTGCTAATGGTCGATCCGCCCGTCCCCGTGGGCCCTGTCCCCCAGCTGGAATTGGAGGCGGGAAAGGGGACGGTGAAGGGTGTGAGAGAAGGCGACGGAGCGCCCGTGAGGGATGTGATTCCGGTACCCGATGGACCGGGCCATACTCCAGTCGAGTTGGCGGCCGAGAAGGGAGGCCCACTGGATGCGATAGTGCCGGGGAGAGAACCACCTGTCCCTTGAGCCGTGGCTGACACTGTCCCATTGGTCAATGGGAAGGGGGTTGAGCCCAGCGTTGTCAAACTCTGCCCAGGGGCAGACTGGGTCAAAGGAGGCCCGGTCGCGGACACGGATGTCCCCCTTGCAGAAGTATGTGTGGTGGGTCGTACCGAAATCATGGTCTTGGTGACGGTGAAAATGACTGTGCTAATAGTCCCGCTCCCGCTGACCACGAAGCTGGTGCTTGTGCTTGTGGTCGACCCAGTAATGGCGTCGACACTCGACGTTGCCCAGATGGGGATGGTGGTCTCCCGGGACTGACGGACTGAGCTGGACTCCGAGTTGGTGACCTGTGTAGCAGATGTGCCTTCAGTAGCTGAGGAGGATGATCCCGGCGTTGCGGCCGAGGACGTTCCAACTCCTGTTGATGTTTGATTAGAGGACTGGAACACAGACGAGTCTGGCCCGGCCCCTGTCGTACTGGTGGACACCCCTGACGTTGTGGACGGACGTGTAACCTCGGCGGTTGTGCTTGCGGAGCCCGAGGCCGTGCTTCCGGAAGCAGATGATGCAGCTGCCGTCGGTACGCTACTACCAGTGGCTGTGTTCTGGTATCCTCCGCTGGCAGGGCTGGAAACAGTCGACCTGCCAGCGCCAGTTGACCTCCAGGACGTTTGGTAACCAGCTGTGGTACTGCTTCCAGAGGCAGACGCAGGTGCCGAGGAGCTCTTGGATGTCTGGGAGTGTGTTGAGAAAGAATAACCGCCACTTGCTGATTGAGTGGTGATCCCATAGCCCGCGCTGGACGAAGCGGCGCTGCCTACCGAAGACGAAGTGCTGCGCCCTGCTGAGGATGAAGTGCCGTGGCCTGTGGAAGGCGAAGTCCCATAGCCGGCAGAAGATGACGAGGACGACGAAGATTTGCTTGAGGAGATGATGCTCGGAGGGGGCCCGTATCCTGGCGAGTCGTTAGCTAGCTAACACTAAGAGGTCCTCATTGGCGGCAATGTGTGTGGGATAGCCTACCGTCCCATGGTGAAGTCGACGACTTGGGAGATGAAGAGGAAGCCGCAGATGAAGTGGACGAAGAAGTGGACGAGGACGGGGACGAGGAAGACGAGGAAGACGAGGACGTGACCTCTGTAAGTGGTGGAGGCTGCCATCCGTATGGCGGGTCGGATTGTGGCTCTCTCGGCTGGATGTTCTGGTAGCTCATACGGCGGCCGTCTCCGTCGACCGAGGCGGCTTTGTCAAGAAACGACTGGCGAAAGCTGGCCCAACGATGGTTTTCATATGAGAGGACGCCCGGCACACAGCCCAACAGAGCAGTGGCCGAGGCCATGTAGCTAAAGATCCTAGGGACTCTCATGGTGAGAAATTCTCTGGATCCTATCCAGCGATGAGATTCAACGAAAGAAGTCCAAAGGGCTCTTGTCCTCGCAATTGACTGGACTAGAGGAGAACGAAGGGCTACAACACATACACTCAACAACCACAAACAGAAGGAGCAAGAAGAAGAAGGGGCCCTGGGAAGAATGTTAAAGCGAGTGATGGCGCCCACAACTGCTCTCCAGGCTTTCTCAGTGCATGCGAGGGCTTCTGGTCCTTTCGAGACCGGAAGAAGAGCATAGGAATGTGAAGCTTCGTGGCGGGCAAAGCGAAGGCCAAACAGTGATATAGGGGGTGGAATCTCCTCTTTGCTTGACCCACTACGACACCATCTCCGGTGCTGCATCGGTTGACGCCGAGTCGAGGCGAGCTGTATCGTCACAACCTAATCAAGACTTCTTGTTGCTCCCGATGGGTAAAGGGAAACCAGGTCAGTACCACGCTGACGAGGAGGGCCGGTCTGTAACCATAGCATGGCTCTCATACAGACGGTTCGTTATCGACATGGATGCCTCCCTACTGGCGGGACCAACCCTAGGACGGCCGTGTAAGGCAGTGTGGAGGCTTGTGTCATGACATGCCAGTCACTCCGAGGCTTAACCTGGAGCAATATGAGTACCAAAAGGCCCACATCCGGACCGATCGTGAGGCAGTCGTGCCTGGAGATCACGGAAGTTTGTGTAGAGATCATGATTCGGGGGGACGTACGAGGAGTGACTGAGGAGTGGAAGATGCCGGGATGGCCATGTTCGCCCCTGTCTGCATCACCGGACATCTCGCCTTCAACCATACTCAGAGTATGACCTTTTGTGTGTGTTTCTAAGCGGATTTGCATCATATTGACTCACCATAAGCTGTCCCGATACCCAGCTGCTGTGATCATCCTCCAGGATTGTACTGGATCCCAGAAGATGGCTGTCCGTCTGTTGCCCCCTTTAGAATTTGGACATTTCGACTCTTAAAGCAGAGCAGAGAGCAAGCGAAGTGACATTCCTCCAAATCTGGCCTCGCAGCAAATGCGACATCTTACACAGAACTGACCTGAGCTCGAACAAGTCAACCGGGTCGATCGAGATCAATCCCGTGTGAGACTTCTAACCAAGCTTTTGGCCTAGGACTAGGGCCGGTTCCGGGCGCTTTCGATGACCGGCGGTGCGTGGACAGAGGAAAGTTTGAACGCGACCTTGTCGGGCTAAGCTCCGTGGGCATTGCACACGTCGACGGGGAGCACCAGATGATGCGCCGATATGCAGGCAACCGGTGGCCAGATCAGCTGTTCCTGCGTTGGTGGGTCGCACAATGGATCTCGGTGTCTGCATGTAAAGCGGTGGAAGTACCGAGAAACCCCAGGTACTCCCTTGTTCCCCCAAAGTTATTCGTTCCAAAGTGAGGCGGGAAAATAGTAGGCAGGAAAGGCCTGTCTCGTCTTGATTCTCCAGCCAGAGGTGGTCTTGAGACGAGGCTCAACTGGAGTCACAGTCCAAAAAAGTGACTAGAGACATTCATGATGTCCAGAAACAACATGTGCAGCATGTTTCTTTTCCAGACCTAGACATTGTACTCTTGATGAGGGAAACTTGCGCTGGCAGCGGTATAGGGCGTCTCAAGATGGACAACTGATCAATTTGAACTGACTGAAGTCAAGGATCTTTGCCATCTTGGACCGAGTTGTGCCTGCGTTCGACCTCGGGATAATCAATCTTGAGATTGGAGACTCGATAAACCACTGCAACCTCGACGCGCATGCTTCCGCATCGGATCGGCCCAGACAATCGTGCACGAGAACAACGTATGCGCGAGGTCGAAATGTCGTACTTCCCTGTTTATCTGCTGTCACTGCCGATGCTGCTCTCATACATGAACCCCCTCCCTGTATCAAAGCTCGGGTCATGCAGCGAGACTCCATGCTGGGTAGGCGACCCTGCATGATACGGTAAACGGAGTGATCAGTCGTGGTGACATCTCACTCGACCTTCTTGGCTGTCTCCCGCAGCCCTGGAGCTGTGCTTTTGGCTATCTCGTTTTCCTTGGCTTCGATATCGGCAGCCCAGAGTGCTGCCCCAACTGTTGTCCGCTGTTAGCAAATCACCAGTTGTAGCGCTGCCGAGTGTAACATACCCGTGTTGGTGAAGGAGAATAGTACCGAAGCGAGTGGGACCATCTCGAGAAGGGTGGCAACCGTCCCAAATCTGTCAACATCAAGTTTGGTTAGAATGCCGCATCAAAGTTGGGCATACCCAAAGAGTACGTGGTACAAATCCGATGCTGCCAAGCGGGTGGCCGAGCCGAGCCTGTCCTCGGTTCCATATGCTCACAGGCCTCCTCCCATACTCTTCTTATGGCTCGTCAAAAAGGAATTTCTGAAAACTACTTGCCCAGTATAAGCTCCCTTATGGTCCTGAAGCCACTTCGACTTCCTGGTGGTCGGCCAGCCCTTCAGTTGGAAGTACTAGACCCCACGAATAAGCCTCCGGCACCAGATAAATACGCGCAAGACTTGACTCACCCGATCGTGGACTGACTCGCCGCGAGTACGTCCTGTCCGATGTCAGTCGCACGTTTTGTTACCACCAGAGGCAGATTTCCCACCTCGCAGCAGGACGAAAATCACGGTGCCGACGACTGTGACATCCAATGTTAGCCCATTGTCCGTCAGCCCGGGAACGCCGTGTGACTGTGACGGTCGTACCAGGGATGAAATTTAGCGGCAGATACATCACGTATCGAACCAACTCCTTGACACTAAAGCGCTCCAGGGGCCTCTTGAGGGCTTTTCCGAGCCTTTGGATGGAGTCTCCTCGGGACTTCACCTCTCTCCCCTCCGCAACGATTTCGTGCTGACTCCTGGCTATCAGGGTACCATCGAAGGTGTCCAGGATCGCGTCCTGCAGCAGGTAGTTCTTGGAGACGAGGCCGGTGATGGTGGAGCTCTCGCTAAGAATGAGAAAAGCGGTGGTGAAGATGGCGAATGGTCCATTGACGAAAGCCATGATGGCGAGCTGCGGGAGGTAGGTGAAGAAGAACATGGAACCCAGCACGCCCGCATAGAGGGTCAGGTACGGGACGACCCGCGAGCGGAGAGGCTTCCACAACTCTGGGTGGCTGAAGAAGTAGAAGATACCCTGCAAACCGCTGTCAGCCATTTCTCAGCTATTTCCCCGGCTCTGTGGTTGCACGCGTGCGAGGTATGTTGCGACGCTGATGGAAGCCGACCTTGATGGGATACAGGTAGGATCCGCTCTTTGCGGCATCGTTCAGAAGAAGTTTCGCCTTGTCAATGTCCTCCTTGCTGTAACCAGAACGTCAGAGAACAATTCGGATATTGTGCACCTCAACATGACTCACGCGACCTCCTGCGCCTTATCGGCAAATCGGCTCGCCATGGTCTTGATGCTGTCAGGATGGATGCTGATGCGGATTGAGTGTATCGAGTCACTCGAGAGCTCAAGCCAACTTATTGTCCACTTGTGGTGATTCGGAACGGTCGAAGAACCGTGAAATGAGTTTCGCAGTTCAATGGCCATCGAAGTGAGTCGAAAGTAGAAGGTTGAAGGTTGAGCAGAAGGTTCGATTCATGCTTGGATGTCGTCATTGGTCGGCGACTTCATGCAGGCCATTCTATGACGCAGCCCAGTTCCAGGGAACAAATGCGGCGAACAACCGGGGAAGTCACGAGCTTCAAGTCAAGCTGGAAGACCACCAGGCAGCTCAAGTTCTTCTGCCGAAGCAGGATACAGCCCCAACCACATGTGTGTTTCTCTGTACAAGACAAGAAACCCATTCCCGTCCTTCACTCATCTGTCCAAACTCCAGCACAAGCAAAGCTGACTCCAGAGTAATTCCTGCACCATCTCTCCCTACGCAACCTGATCGATCTTTTATCGTCTAGACATATAATACATGCGGGTGGATTATACACTTAATCCGTCGCGGACCTCGGCAAGGTCAGACGCTCCTCGAAACGAAACTGCTGTCGTGTTGCGCGTGAACGCATGATTACAACTTCGACGGGAAAAAGGGGCCCCGCTCATTAACTGGCACAGCCAAGCTTCGAGTTTGTTGAATGATTCGTTTATGAGTAGTAGAAAGCCTCGAAGAGGTAGATGACGCCAAAGAAGAGGAAGGCAACCGCGCCGCCGACAGTGACTAGGCCTGTGAATTAGATGCGTTGCGGCACCGGAGGCCGGAGGGACATCGACTTACCAACTTTGAGGCTCACTTTGCCTGCAATGGCCCTGCCCCCAATGACAGCGACTCCTGTGCAACAGGCGTGGCCTAAGATAGCGCCCAGTGTCACCCACCAGTAGTCCTGGCCTGCCGCCATGGCAATGGTCGCGATCTGACTGCGGTCACCCCATTCGCCCAAGAAGGTCATGACAAACGTCTGGACCCAAGCGGGACTGAGGAGTAGCGAGACGAGATTGTTGAGCCCCGAGAGAAACCCTACAAGGACTCCTGGACGTGGTGACGGGCTCCGTCCCTCGGGCGAGCTTGACGGGCTGCGAGGCGGCGTGGGGAACCGAGACTTGGTTCGCGGTTTGCGGCTGCCCAAGCCCATTTCCAGGGCATGCGGCGAGACGCTGGACCCTCTTCGGCCCTGTTTCCGCGCAAGATTCTCCTTCTCCTCCAGCTCCATCTCCACCTCCTGCATCTCAGCGGACACGCCCTCGTCAGGGCTCATGGCGAGTCCTTCGCGGAGCAGGCGGGCGCCAAATATCAAAAACAGAACCGAGGCGAGGAACGTCGTCAGGCGCTTCGGAATCAGCGTAGGTACCGCGTGCCCCAGGACGGCCGAAAGGACCGTCATGGTAACCAATGCGCCGAGAGCAGCCGAGAACACCACTAATCGGTCATGCTTCATAGCCATGAGGGCGGCAACCAGAAATGTCTTGTCACCAATTTCGGAGAAGATGATCATGGTGAGAGACAGCATGAACGAGTGTAACGGTTGGATAAGGCCTTCACCGCCATCAACCTCGGGCCCGGTGCTCTTCTCTGGCTTACCGCCTTTCGACGCTTCCAGATGCTCATTGTTTGCAGCTGACGCTGGGACTGGTGGCGCCTTGTTGTGAATCTTGTCAGGGAGGTCGGCCGGCTTCTAGAGTAGAGTCAGTAAAGGCCGGGACCAGTACAAGGAGCACGTTGGGATGCTTACCTTGAGGCCAGAAACGTCAGTCGAGGACTTGTCACCGTGTTTACCTTCGCTGGCGACATGAATTCTGTCTTCGTCCGTATGCGGCAACGGGGGCGCTTCTTTGGGCGTTGGCGGCTTATTTTCAACCTTTTCACCGGTCTGCTTTTCCCTGAGCGCCCTGTCCTTGTCCCTTTCGCTAACACCTCCTTCGGTTCCCTTGGTGCCCTTTATGGGTCCCGACCGGTGCTTGTCGTCCATCACGCCATCATTTCTCTGAGGTATTCTCTTCCCATCGACGGTCAATGGGTCTTCGGGGCGGCCTTGTAAAGCGGGCAAGTCACTCGCGGGCTCGGATCCCGAATCGAGCTCGACGAACGGACCAGAGTGCGGCTTTCCGTCATTGCCATCGACTGGCGCGTCTTTGGTGCCATATTGCCTCCCGGACGACACACTATTCGACGCAGCGACCGAGTTCCCGTCCAAATTCCTGGCAGCGACGGCGGCGACTGCGAGTGAAGGGAGAAGGAGGAGGAGGAGCGGCGATTTGCGACTTCGAAGCCTCATTGTGACCTGCTGCGTGGAAGGCCGGATCGATGGATTTGGCTCGACGCAGCTTATGGACCAAGATGAACAGAGTGATGCTGACTCTCAGGGGCCTCGGGTCGCAAAGACGCTCTTTCTTGCCTGGGCGCAAAGACAGGTATGACGCGATTCCAAAGTCTAAAAGGAAAAGGGGCTTGAAGAGAGCGACAGAAGAGAAGCTCGTCCGTCTTAAGAAATGACAAGGACAGTACTGTGTAAACAGATGATGATGGCAGCGAGAAAGTGGTTTCCAGGATTCTGTCTCCCTTGCCAGGGGTTCTGGGGAGGCGTCTTGGCGTGATGCAGTGAGAGACGGTGTTCGTGTTAGCGCACCGCCACAAGCTCCTCCAACCACTTGCGTTTCAAACCTAAGTCGAACATCACGTTGCTCGCGGGTCACAGGGCGAGAGGAAGGTACCTTAGCCAGGTGGTTGGAAAAAAAGGCAGAAGGACGCACATGACAATAAAAATAACATAAGAAGAACGAGGAAAGATTTTGTTGTGTAGGTAACACAGAGAGGAAGATAGAAGAGAACAATAAGGTAAAGAGAAAACGAAGATCGCCTCAGTTTTCCATTTCACTTCCATCAGAATCACACCCAAGCAAACGACCCTATGAATGAACGGTACTCAGGTGGAATCATGTCGGAGTTCGCTACATACTGAATTGGCTCGGCAAGTTGATTGAACATTGTTCGTCATATTGTCCTACAAGTCGCAGTATGTAAACGGAATCTATACTCCGTACCTAGGTGTTGCACCCACAGCCGTCAAATTGAGGCACTTTGAGAGAATGGATGTCAGATGAGGCTGAGCTGAAGGAAAGCGTGGCGCATTGGCGGATACCGAAAATGTCACATGATGGCTACAACGCGGCCAAGGCCCAATCTGCCATTCCTCCAAACACCATAAATTTTCAAAACATCGGCTTGCGAACCTCGCGTCAATTTCATCGACGAAGCAACCCTAACCCCAACCCTTCATCGTGTCAACTGTTTGTCTTTCATCGCAACAGTTGCAAGAAATTGATACAGACAAGCACACTATTTGAGAGCGGCTAATTCTGTATCCATGTCGGCGCGCGGAAGAGGTCGCCCTCCGTCGCGTTCAGCGCAGGACCCCGGAGCAGGCCCGAGCCGCAGGTCCACGCGCAACCAGCAACAGCAGCAGGACCAACACAACGTGACACAGCCGGATGAAGTAGAAGTCAAGCCGCAGCAGGAGGAGTACCCTCAAGAACTGCAACAGGAAGGGTCAGCTCACGGGCTGCCAGCCCAGCACGAGGTTCCCATGGCTGCGCCTGTCTATCACCAGAATATCGACCCGGCCATCACGGGCACTCATGATGGTGCCATGCCCCCTCCGTCTGTCCCCATTGCTAAGAGCTTGCGTGGTCAGGCTGGTCCGCATATAGGCATCGCCCGCCGGGGGACGCGCCGTGACGCCAGGGCCTCTAGCATCGCCAGTGTTCACAGCATCCCTGTCTCGGACGCCTTCTCGTCTCAACCTGAGCCCGAGTTCCATGGTACGTGCGGTTGCCCACCACCTGCATCTCGCGGTCTATTAATGATCTGATTTAGGCAACGTGTCCCAGGTGGGAACCCCGGCACTGGCCTTGGGCGCACGTGCTTCATCCATTGTCTCCTCTGGTGCCGCGGAGACGGCTAGCCAGAAAGCAGCAAAGGCCAAGCTCATGAAGATCATGCTACCACGTACCTTCACGGCGACCGCCGAGCTGTTCACTCACCTCTGCGACAACTCGGTAGATGATGAGGTGTGGCATACCGTGTACGAGGGCTATAAGAAGGCTTTCAACACGTACCGTTCCTACTATGTTGCCTACGTCACCGACCCTGTCCTGGATCCGACCTTCGTCACCGGCACCATGGGCATTGACAGGGCTTCTTCGACATGGCAGATGGTCGTCAGGATCGTGTCGGCCGCCAACATCACTGCGTTTCTCGACGACGTTAGGACCTTTAACCAGCTGCAAGACCCGCTGCCTGTATTGCAGGAGTGGGATTCGACATACTCCACCTTCTTCAGCTATGGCGAACCCGATGAGGGTTTTGGCGCAACGATGAGGGAGCAGGTCATTGAACACACCCTGATGATCCGCACACTTCTGACCATCTTCACTCTGGAAAAGTTCCAGCGGGACAGCCTCACGCCGTTCCAACCCCTGCCGCAGCTTATCAGGATTTGGTTGGACGGCGACATGTCCGTCGAAGACGTCCAGGCCGCTGTCGATAACAAGAGAGAGGCTCTTCAGTTCAAACCTCTGGCACCGAGCGATTTTGGGGCTGCTGCTTTCGCTAGAGAACGGAGCGTTACCCGATTCTGTTCCATGTGGGTTGAGTTACAGAAACAGGCTGGACAGCCCAACCTTAACCTCGGAGAATTCTATGCGACATATTCTCAGGAGGAGTTCCTGGATAATGTGCAGGATTTTGTCAGAAAGTCGTTTGGGAGGATCAAGGCGCTGATTCACCAAGGAAGCTCTACGGGGCGGGATTCCGCTTTGCCTTTCGCCCCCCCTGACGGCAACGCAAGGGCCGATTCGCAGATTCGGTCGCAACTGGAGGCCGACGCAATGACTCACAGCTATGGCGGAGCTGAGCCTAGGTACGTCAGCTGTCTCATGTGTCTGGCTTGTTGCTAGGTCTAGCTAACCACCCGCATCCAGCGCACAGCCGGCCGGGTACAACATTGAATCCCTGCGGATAATGAAACAACTGGAGCAGGCACCTGCCGCGTACGCCGAAGCCCATCAGCACCCGGCCAGCTCTTACTCCCCCGCACCACGGATTCCTTATCCGCCGGGCTTCAGCAGCCCTTCCCCCAACCTAGCGTATCCCGACCCGACGCAGCAGGGCGGGTTCCAGTCGGATGGCTCGATTTATGCTGCGTCGGCTGCCCAAGTGTCGGGCAGGAAGCGGCGGGCTCCGAAAGCGCCTCCTATGGCTGGCGAGGGTGATGCGTCGGCCACACCCCAGCCCAAGAAACAGCGGACGAGGCGCAAGAAGAATGCTGTCCCGGAAGGTGCCATGGCTCCTCCTTCTACTGCTGCTCCGGCAGGCACACCATTCCAGCCTTCCGTTCCGCCGTCGCAGTATCCGCCTTTGCCTGGAACACAGGACGAGCCTGATTTTGATGCGCTCGCACAGCGCACAAAGGAGATATCAGCTGCCGCCCGCAAAGTGAAGGAGCCCCAAGTTCGCACGGCCTGGGTGCGTAGCGATGTCGCGTTGCTTGTCAAGGCAGTTAACACCTACCAATGCAAGTGGAGCGCCATCGAGAAGGAAATCAAGGCCGGCACAATTCCATTCCAGCGTCCGCGTGATCAGCAGGCGCTGCGCGACAAGGCGCGTTTGTTGAAGCAAGACTTCCTGAAGTAAGTCTGCATTGTTCCCCACCCGTTGCGCTTCCCTGCTCAATGGACAACCACTGACGGGTAACAATGCTACAGGGCCGACGCCGTTCTTCCGCGAGGTTTTGACCTTGTCGTTCTGGGTAAAAAGGAGATAGAGGCCGTCAAGGCGGTCGGCAAGAACCCGTACCGCAAGGAAGCCGATGTTGATGAGCGTGGGATGCCTATCAACACGGAATATGCACCAGAGGCGGCAGCTGCGCCGGCACCCATCCCTGCTGCGCTCCCGCCGGCAGAGCCTCAATCTGAACAGCAGCTTTCACCTCAGCAGGAGGCTCAAGAACCTCAACCAGCGCCTCAGCCAGAGCCTCGGGCAGAACATCAAGCAGAACATCAGGCCGAACATCAGCCGGCAATGCCGGAGGGATTTGTTGCATAGAGTTCTCTCATTTCTCGCTGGCCATGATGACGGCGGGAGAGGAAAAAGCAAATCTGGCACTCTAGAAGGGCTTCTTACTTTTCCTGGCCCAGGCCATCGATACCTGACGGTTTGCCTAAAAAAAGCGCAGTTCGGTACCGGCAGATTTGTGTTTTGTGGATGGTATGGGAATTCACTGTCCTCGGTTCACCAGGAAGTTTGCGGCAGACCACTGGCAGCCTCCTCAGCGCAAGATGTTTTAGTAGCACAGAGCGATGTTCGATTCTGAATGAGAGTTGGTGGCCAAGTTCAACCGGCCTAACTAGGGAGGCATCCCCATTTGATCTTATATGCCTAAAAATCATGAGGTCGTGCAAATCCTTCAGTGGCTTTCCAGGCGATCGACCCCTTTTCAGAGCCTCAGAACCCCTGGCCGTGATGCCAAGAAATTGAATGTCAAAAGTCGTGCGCCGCAAGAAAGCCACAGCTGGCTCCTCGCTCGCACTGCTTGGCGCTTTTGTGGGGCACCCGATTGGCAGCCGCATTGAATTGGCAACGTCGCGAGTTGGGACTTCCACCACATGCTCATACTGCTTGAGCCGGATACTTATCCCAGCCCTCTATCAGCGCAAACCCCGTCATTCTGCCCACCATGAGCTACGGGAAGAAGGACGAGGATGCCGACGGCGGCCTGGTCAAGATTGACCGGACGCAGGTATTCCAGGAGGGTAAGACTACCTAGGGACACAACAATTGGCGTAGGCGGCAACGGGAGCTAATCGCAGCCAACGTTGGCGGTCTGCAGCTCGACTCTTCAACAGCTCGCCCATCCAACCGCGACGATGCCGTGTCCTTCTCACAAAGATCGCCCTCCTCCTCTACACGGGCGAGAAGTTCCCGACCACCGAAGCAACTACCCTCTTCTTCGGCATCTCGAAGCTGTTCCAGAACAAGGATGCCAGCCTGCGCCAGATGGTTCACTTGGTCATCAAGGAGCTCGCCAGCTCTGCCGAGGACATCATCATGGTCACGAGCACCATCATGAAGGATACCGGCGGCAGTACCGACTCCATCTATCGCCCCAATGCCATTCGGGCACTCTGTCGCATTATTGATGTACGTGGCGCACACAGACGAGTCTCGGCTCGCAGTTTGGAGATGTGCTGACATTGTCACTTTTAGGCCACTACAGTTCAGTCCATTGAGCGTGTCATGAAGACAGCAATCGTCGACAAGAACCCTTCCGTGTCGTCCTCCGCCCTTGTGTCGTCGTATCACCTCCTTCCTATTGCGCGGGATGTCGTCAAGCGGTGGCAGAGCGAGACTCAGGAGGCTGCGGCAAGCACCAAGTCGGGAGGTGGGTTTTCTCTGGGATTCTCGTCGTCGTCGGGCAACCTCCCGGTCAACAACTCCACCATGACGCAGTACCACGCTATTGGGCTGCTGTACCAGATGCGGATGCACGACCGGATGGCCCTGGTCAAAATGGTGCAGCAGTTTGGTGCGGCCGGTGCTATGAAGAACCCCGCGGCCATTGTTATGCTGGTCCGGCTTGCTGCCCAGCTCGCCGACGAGGATCCCCAGCTCAGGAAGCCCATGATGCAGCTGCTGGATGGCTGGCTCAGGCATAAGAGCGAGATGGTCAACTTTGAAGCGGCGAAGGCCATCTGCGATATGCGGGACGTGACCGACGCCGAGGTTACGCAGGCGGTCCATGTCTTGCAGCTCTTCCTCAGCTCCCCTCGCGCCGTCACCAAGTTCGCCGCCCTCCGCATTCTCCACAACATCGCCTCGTTCAAGCCGCACGTGGTCAATGTGTGCAACCCGGACATTGAGCTGCTCATTTCTAACAGCAATCGCTCGATCGCCACGTTTGCCATCACCACGCTGCTCAAGACGGGCAACGAGGCCAGCGTGGACCGGCTGATGAAGCAGATCTCGGGCTTCATGTCCGAGATCACGGACGAGTTCAAAATCACAATCGTCGAGGCGATACGGACGCTCTGCCTCAAGTTCCCCAGCAAGCAGGCGGGCATGCTTCAGTTCCTCAGCGGTATCCTGCGGGACGAAGGCGGCTACGAGTTTAAGCGCGCCGTGGTCGAGAGCATGTTCGACTTGATTAAGTTCGTACCCGAGTCAAAGGAGGAGGCGCTCGCACACTTGTGCGAGTTCATCGAGGACTGCGAGTTCACTAAGCTTGCCGTCCGCATCCTCCATCTGCTCGGCCTTGAGGGGCCCAAGACGTCCCAGCCTACCAAGTACATCCGGTATATTTACAACCGCGTTGTCCTGGAGAATGCCATTGTGCGTGCGGCTGCTGTTACGGCGCTGGCCAAGTTTGGTGTCGGCCAGAAGGACCCGGAGGTCAAGCGGAGCGTCGACGTTTTGCTCACTAGGTGCTTGGATGATGTGGACGATGAGGTCCGGGATCGGGCAGCCCTTAACCTCCGGCTCATGCATGATGAGGATGATGAGCTTGCCGCGAGGTTTGTCAAGAACGGTAAGCGCCGCGGTTGAGTTGCCCTGTAGAAGCGCATATCGAGACAGCTGACACGCTCTGCCAGATACCGTATTTGCCCTCCCCTACTTCGAGCAGCAACTCGTCGAGTATGTCACATCAGACGACAGATCGGCATTCGACACACCATTCGACATCTCCAAGATTCCGGTTGTCACGCGTGAGCAGGCGGATGCCGAGGACAGGACCAAGAAGCTTACCGTGACCACACCGTCACTCAAGCCACCAAAGGTTGGACCGACAAAGGCAGTCCCGTCGGATGCCGAAGCGGCCGCTTCGGCGTCAGCCACGGCGCAGAAGTACGCCCAGGAGTTGATGCAGATCCCCGAGATGAAGGAGTTCGGCCCAGTCCTCAAGTCTTCGCCGCTGGTGGAGTTGACAGAAGCCGAGACCGAGTATGTCGTGGGCGTCGTCAAGCACATCTTGAAGGAGCACATTGTGTTGCAATACGAGGTCAAGAACACGCTCCCGGCGACGGTCTTGGAAAATGTGTCGGTCATGGCAACGCCGTCGGACGAAGAGGAACTCGAGGATGTCTTCATCATCCAGGCCGAGAAGCTGGAGACGGACGTCCCCGGCAAGGTCTACGTGGTGTTCCGCAAGGTGAACGGCGAAGGGTCACTGCCTGTCTGCACCTTCTCCAATGTGCTCAAATTTACCAGCAAGGAGATCGACCCGACAACCAACGAGCCCGAGGAGAGCGGGTATCAGGACGAGTATGAGGTGACCGAGTTTGATCTGTCGGGCAGCGATTATGTCATCCCAACGTTTGCCAGCAACTTTGCCCACGTGTGGGAGCAAGTCGGTGCGCAGGGGGAGGAGGCCGAGGAGACGTTACAGCTGAGCGGCGTGAAGAGCATACCGGGTGAGTTTTGTGACAGCGTTTTCCGAGTGCTTTCCGGCAACTCTGGAGCAGTATGTGCTAACCTGAGTTAACAAACAGAGGCAACCGAACAACTAACCAAGACGCTCTCGCTCCAGCCGCTGGAAGGGACGGACGTGCCTGTCAACCAGACGACGCACACGCTCAAGCTCCTCGGGAAGACGGTCAACGGAGGGAGGGTCGTGGCCAACGTGCGCATGGCCTACTCATCCAAGACGGGCGTCACGACAAAGATCACGGTGCGCAGCGAGGAGGAGGGCGTGGCGGCTCTGGTGGTGGCGTCTGTGGCTTGATGGAATATCTTGGTTGGGCACGCATGGCGTTATTCGTTCTTTTTCTTGTTGACAAAATTGAAAAGCATTCATTGCGTTTGCGTGGTTGTCGGGGGCTTTCCTCGTGGGTTACGGGGTGCGCTTTGAACCGATAGACTTCAGTGTGTGGTGGTTGAGCAAGTACCTCATGATGTGGTGAATGAGATGGTGACTTGGTTGCTGACTTATCCGTTTGAGGCGACATGTGGTGTAACTACAGAACACCACGGGGGGTGGGAGGATAATCGGAGGAATACGGATTAGGCCGGTCCTCCATTGGGAAGAAGGAAGGTCCTTTATGAAACGATGAGGGTGAAACCCTATATCAAGGCAAGGTATCATGAATATCTGGTTTTTTTGAGTCGACAACGATCTTATCGATAAGAAAGTAAGCCAAGTCGAATGGATACCGGACGAAACGTTCCAATGTATCCAACACAAGGTGAGCTTTATGATGCGCACATGTTCGACTCCCAAGTCCAGGTGATACCTAGATCTGGCTCAGGTGACCATTGGAGGGTGTGTTGTTAGCGCGACAGAGCTTCCTCTTCTTGCTTGGCGGCTGCACGAGACAAAAAGCAGGGCAACGCGCAGCGGCACTGCGGCATGACGAGCCAAAAGTTGAAGGCCCAACCGGGAATGTTATCAAGAAAAAAAAAAGGGTCAAGCTTCCGATCGGCACCTTGACGATCCACTTCACTTTCCACCGCATTCTTCCCCTCCGCGCATTTTCTCGTCTTTTTGCAGTCGAGTCGTATCTTCAGAGCCCCAGTAACATCGGACGACTACTCGCGGTAAACAGCGGCGTGTCAACAGAACAGTGGCCGGCGCCCTCCTCCCTGGCATCACATTGCACCCCTCGAAGTGCCGCGAACACACAGCTCGAGATAATAGCAGCAATACACAGCCGCAAACATGGTCTACGTACGGCAGGAATACCTGCCGAACCTGCGGCAGTACAAGTACTCGGGCGTCGACCACTCGCTGCTGTCGCGCTACGTGCTGAAGCCCTTCTACACCAAAGTCGTCATCAAGTGCTTCCCCATGAACATGGCGCCCAACCTCATCACGCTGACAGGCTTCATGTTCGTCGTTGCCAACTTCCTGACCCTGCTCTGGTACAATCCGACCCTGGACCAGGACTGCCCTGCTTGGGTTTACTACAGTTGGGCCGCTGGCCTATTTCTGTACCAGACTTTTGACGCCGTGGACGGGTCGCAAGCGTAGGTTGTCCCGGCTTTGCTTTGCGCGGTGCTGCGAGGTTTGAGGACTGTGCTGGCTAACCGGTCTTTCCTTGTCTGTAGACGACGAACCCATCAGTCCGGACCCCTCGGCGAGCTGTTCGACCATGGCGTTGACGCTCTCAACACCTGCCTCGAAGTCCTCATCTTTGCCGGCGCGACTAACATGGGCCAAAGCTGGAAGACGGTCGCCACCCTATTCGCCAGCCTGCTGACCTTTTACGTCCAGACCTGGGACGAGTATCACACCAAGACGCTCACCCTCGGCATTATCAACGGCCCCGTCGAGGGCATCCTCACCGTGATATTGGTTTACGCCCTTACCGGGTTCCTGGGCGGTGCCTCGTTCTGGAACCGCGGTATGCTCGCTACCCTCGGCATCCCCCAGGCCCTACCTGGCGGCTTCGTCGTCCTCCCGACGTTCCTCTACAACCTCTCCTTCACCGACTGGTACATGGTTCAGGGCGCCATTGTGCTGATCTACAACACGGTCGAGTCGGCGCGCAACGTCATCCGCGCGCGCCGCGCCCGCGGCGACCGCTCTCGCTACGCACTCGTCGGCCTGGCGCCCTTCTTCACTGCCTGGTTGCTCATCGTCGCCTACCTCGCCCTGCAGCCCACGATCCTGCGAAATCATCTCATCCCCTTCGGCATCTTCACGGGCATCGTCAATGCCTACTCGGTCGGCCAGATGATCACGGCGCACCTGGTCAAGCTGCCGTTCCCCTACTGGAACGTGCTGGTCGTCCCGCTCGCCTGGGGCGTCATTGACTCCCTCGGCCCGTTGCTCCTGCAGCACAGCCCCGTCCCCTGGCTCGGCTGGCCGTCTGCCCTGGGCGACGGCGTGTACCAGGTCGCCTTCATGTTCTGCATGCTCGGCATGGCGGTCGGTGTGTACGGCAGCTTCGTGGTCGACGTCATTGTCACCATCTGCGATTATCTCGATATCTGGTGTCTGACCATCAAACACCCGTGGGTCGAGGGCCGGGACGGGAGCGGGTCGTCATCCATGCAGGTTCAAAATGGCGGGGCCGATAAGAAGAAGGATTGAAGCAGTTTTGCTTCCGGGATTAGGTACCAGTCGGTTCGGATGGGATTAGGGCACCCTCCGGCTCGGTGGCGTCTCACAACCGAACCTATCATTGCGGGGGAGGTAGCAAGACAAGCTCTGTATAATGACGATCGACGAGGGACGACGGTGGGCTGATAGGGGCACTTATAATGCACGGGTGGAGATCCTGAGCGTCACATGGGGTATTGCAGCGAGGGCTCGGGCTCTGGACTTGAGACGGCGTACATGATGATTTGGGAACGGGTATGGCGGGCATAGGTTGGTATTATATAGAGGGCGGGTAAGGGTCTGCTTAGTATGGCGTCTCCAGGCGGCGATTTGTCTTGTTCAACGGTTTCCCCTTGCTCCTTGTCTCTTAGCGATTGCGCTCAACATCTTGGGTCTCTGTATACGTAGGGAGCCATGGCTCATGCCGGGACGGCCTACGGCAGTGAGACCACCAAATCATGAGATGCGCTTAAGCACGGTGTTCTAGACACTCTAGACAATGAAGGTGGGGAGGGTTTTCGCTTCCTGCTTCCAGATCAAACGCCGGCTAGCGATAACTAGGACAACCGCTCAAGGGCTACCTCCTAGAGCTCAAGACCAGAATCCGTACCGATATTGCGAAGGGACAGTTCCTCACACCACCGGGGACGGCCCCATAAGGCCCCTAATAATGGGCGCGAGTAAGTATCCCAACTGGCTCTTGGTTCCCACCCGGCGGGAGTCGCCCAGGGAAAAACACCCAACATCAAACATCCACTAACATTAAAGAATGCGCCAGGTACAACATCACACGGAAAGCAACTCCAGGATACCTTTGCGGGATGAACCGGCCAAAGTACCGCCATGAGCAGGCAGCTTGCGCGGAGTCACTCTAACCCCGTCGTCCATCATCCAAGGCAGGTCATCTCGTCGTGTGTCATCATCGCATCGGCGCCACGTCCAGCGCGTTCTTACCAGGTCGTGGCGATAAGATAAGTTTCGTCAAGCCTGGCGCGGCAGATGCCCCCCGTGAGCTCTTTCGTGGCGCGCAGTCTATATCAGCTCGTCGCTGTTCTCCGCAACGCTCTGCTCGATGGCCTTGAGGATGGCGCTCTCCTCGAACACAGGGCCCTGGCCGTCGCACTTGGCCTGCGGCCTCAGCCGCTCGCTGACCTGGACGACGTCGACGAGCCCCCGCTTGAACAACTCGTGGTTGATGATGACTTCCCACGTTGCGCCCGCCGCGAGGAGGCGCTCTCCCTTCTCGCTCGTGACTATCCTGTGGCTGGGGGATTTGTTGGCGTGGCCTTGGAGGACGTTGGAGTAGAAGTCGGTCGGGCTGTACGTCATGGGTCCGGTAATCACAGGCGCCGCGGCTGCTGCCCCGGGAGACCCGGATTTTGCGGTCGCCATCGACGTCGCCCGCAGGATCTCATTCTCGGTCTCCACCTTCTGGAGGTCGCGCTTCAGCCGCTCGTTCTCGCACACAGCCTCCTGCTTGGCTTGTTCCAGCTCGTGCAGGCGGCTCTCGAGGTCCTTGACATGGCGTTCCTTGCGCTCCCGAAATGCTCGTTGGCTGCAGCGGGAAGTTAGCAAGCCCGTAGCTATTGGGTAAAGGGGCAAAGGCTTATTCATGGCTGGCTGGTTGCAGGAAGGTCCGTGGGGGGGTGTTTGTGCAAGAAGCTGGATGCACATACGCTGCGCGGTTCTGGGCTTTCCGCCTTGATTGGGCCGGGGTCAGATCGTCTTCCTCCGAGTTCGACCCCTGCCTGCGGCTCTGAGCCAGGTCATCGGCCTCGACCTTCGAGACAGGGACCATCTCCGGGGTGGGGCCCGGCTGGTGGACCACGCCATTCACGGGGGCGACTGCGGAATGCACCGGCAGGTGGCCGGGCGGTGTGGGCGGGCCCGGGAAGGCCTGGCCGTGATTGAACTGGACGTAGTTGTCGAAGTTGGTGTGGAACTGCTCAGGAGGGATTCCGTTGGGATACTGGTCGAAGAGTTCCTGAGTAATGATTGTGTAAGCTTGTTCGTCCCGCAATCAGACGCGCTACTGCCCTTGCAGCTGAGAAAATGCGGAGTATGGCAGCCCCAATTCGACGACAACCCTATTAAAGTACAAAAAGGCCCTCCTTGGCCGGTTGTCGTGCTTGTTCCCCTTTCTCCAATATCTTTGGCCCGGCGAAGGAGGGATACGCGACTTACCGGAGACGATGTGGCGTTGTAGTCTTCCGAAGCTACCGAGTTGCTTTGCGAAGGCGTCAGAGGGACGTGGTGGGCTCCCACAAACTGATATGGTGGGGCGCCGGGAAAGAAGGTCGTGTGCGTGTAGTCCATAATGGTGTTGTGCTGGTCTGTATTGCTCGCTGTTTGCTCACGGGTGCGTTGATGGTTCAGAACGTGAGAGATGAGACGAATGTGGGTGAGATGCCCGAGTCTGGCTTGCTGGAGCGATGGGCGATCACTCAGCAGGGGGGATTGTAAAGCTTTAGCTGGGGCGGTGACCCCACGGCGGGCAGCCTCGCCCCCAAATGGGCACCTCAGGGCAGCACCGCCAAGCCGCCCCGGAGGAGTGGGGTCCGTTCCGTTGCTTGAACTGGAAGTCTGGAACAGGCACCTGTGGACAGACAGGAGAGATCGGATCTGAGGTGGGAACTTACACACCTCTCTTCGGCCCACGTGTGGGCACCGGCGACACAACCTCCGCACGGGATCAGGACTGCGGTTGCGACAGCAGCATCGCTGTGAGACACTCACAGGACGACACATACATACATACTTCTGTCTCCAGAAAACCTTCCATGTGACGGGCAGAGGGCTCCCCTTGGCTTGGATGCTTCCGTGGCTTCCGCGTGGCGGTAGCGTATGCCCAGGACCAGTGAATCCTCGACTCGGACACTGCACGAGTCCGTCTTCCATGATGCGGGTACATACATATCCGTGCCTTACAGTGACATGCCCAGAGGACTTATGTTCCACGGGAAACCTGTTTTGAAGCACAGCTTGCGTTTGCGTTCCGAAACCCACCTATTGGTAGTCCATGCTCTCCTGTGAGCTGTGGGGTTGCTGAAGATGGTTGATGGTATGTTCCGCTCCGCTTCTCCATGGGAAGAGTCGACTGCCAGTCACGAAGAACCAGAGACTGAGCTGTTGAGCAGATGGCCCTGGGTGAACAGTGCCTGTCAGATAGGTATGTCTCAAGCAAATGAGCGCAGAGACACCCGCCTTGTTCTGACATGCCCGTTCGCCTCCTTAGGGCCTATCCCGTTGCTCGGGCCCCAGTGTTTTGTTGACAGCGATGACAATGGTCATTCCTCCGGGCCGGAAGGCCTGCATGAGCGGTGTCGTGTTCGCCTCGGCCGCGGCGTCTGGAACATTTGCCGGCATTTCGGCGGAGGTTGTGGCAGCAAGCCACTCCATCCTCCGAATTTCCTGTGCGTTAACTGCCGTGGGTCATGACAGACGGGGTCCGGATCATGATTGACTGCGCGTCAAGGGGCACACTGCAAGCAAGGAGCTCCCGGACAGACCGGACGGCGCGTTCCCAGTCCTCGTCGCAGTATGATGCTCGCGATACCCAGCGGTTGAGCTTTAGGGAAGCGATAGCGCACTCCTGAAGGCCACGCTGTAAGAACAAAGGCCAAACTTAAGTTGAGAGATGCTGACATAGATAGGTAAGTAAGGTATCTAAGGGAGGGGCCTTGGGTGTTGGAGAGTCACTTTCATGGCAGAGTGCCACGTGAGTGTCCAAGTGGGCGTGGCCGTCTTCTCAAAGGTTTCTCCGAGCTACTCATGGCCGGAGATGCCTCAACAAGCCTTACATTTCTATATTGACCGTCAGTCGGTAAGGCACTTCTGGGTTATGGGTCACCTATCCAGGAACACACAGCGTTGAAATCTCGACGTCTCATCGCCAACAACAAGGCGCTGTCCTTTCTGAGTGCTGTTCGTCGTCGCTCTTGGATGTTGAAAAGTATGTTCATCCATTGGCTGAGAAACAATGCTTCAGGATCTGCTCAGGAGAACCGGTTTTGGGGTGCCATTACCTCAGGTCTTTACAGGCAGTTGTCAACCTTCGGATCCCCTGCTTTGGAGACAGCGAGCCGACGAACTCAATCCTCCTTTCACCTCGGCTACACTACCTTGACAACAGTTTGACGCACTTCCGTTCTTACTTGAGAGGAGGGGTCAAAACTTATGTAACAGCTCGGACTGTCCTCAGGCTGACAAGACAATAACTGATGGTTTCCATCGAAGGCCCTTGCTATCTCGGGTGACACCTTAGGTAAGTCATTGAGTTGTCCGCATGGTTCAGTCCTGAGAATCTCTTTTCCTTCAGTATCTTTGTCTGGCAGGTGCGTTGTTTTCTCTTACACAAGACTGACTTTGATCTGATGTAGATGTTAGGAAGGAGCAGCACGCGACTCGTATTTATTCCTGCTCTTCCGATCACCCCTTCCGCCCACCCATTTGCGCTTGTCTGCCTGGAGAATTTCGCAAACGAAGCCGAAAAACGAATAACTTCTTCCCATTTGAAGGCCCGAAGCAGGAGGGCGGCTCTCGTTTGCCCGATTTGTGGGCGGCTTCTTAACTCTTGGTCGCCAACTCGAGCATTCCATTCTGGGTCATGCCATATTAGGTTTTCTTCTTCCGGGACTGTGCTACTCCCTTCTCCGGCACCTCGAAGCCTACAGCACCACCGGCAAGCGCAGGGTGGCCTCCCCAGCCAGCTTGGGCCATGTTTCGTGGTAACCAATATGTCACTCCCACGCTGCAGCCTTCTGGCTGCAGTAATGAAGGCTCTCTCCTTACTTCCAGCGGTACGTATAGGTGATTCTTGCCGAACTGCTCCCTTCATTTGTCCTTCTGCCACGCTTCACATCCACCTACTGGCACTCGTCCCCTCCTCATCATCAGCAGCTCTCTCCTCTCCCGTGGTCTGCGTCGATTTCTCCTAACGACGCCTTCAAAGGCGGAGATCAGACGCCGCTGCTTTCACTGATCTTTCCGTTCTTGCCATCAATCCCCTCATGCATTGGTACCGTTATCTTCCTTCGTTCCCTTTCTAACCTGCTGGTCTATATAATGCATACTGTATCTCCTTCATCTGACCTGTCGACAGACTCGAATTCGAGCGCGGAAGCAAACGTCCAGCCCAAGTACACGACTGCCGGCACGATTTATAATCCCAAGGCAGCGTCATCACTCCAACCGCCCACTCGCCGCCCAAGGGCGCGCCGCTATCCGCAGCCCATTCAGGCTCCCTCCGGCGGTCCTTTCATGCCATTCCCTGACGCATTATTGTCGGCATTGCCTCTCGAGGACCAGGCTCCTCCTTCGCCTCCGACAACTGCATCCGTCCTTCAGCAGTACGCTCCGCTGCAGCAGAACTACGACCGAGCTGTCAGTCCGACTACGGAGGGTGATATTGCACTCCTTGCGGAATACGAAATGTCGATGCCCAGCATTCGTTCGGGGAACTTGCCCTCCCCGACAGGATATGAAGGGAATAGCAGCACTTCCGCTGAGGAGACGTTGACGTCACGGATTACTGTCAAGGGTCTCACCAACCTGGCCTCGTACCCGAATCCTATGCAAAAGGCTGCTCAGAATACCCTGGCAAGAGCTCGAAGCGCCAATCTGGATCTCAGCCGTCCGGACACTCCCTCATCACTTCCGTCAACCACTCCGGATCTTCCCAGAGATCGCCTCTTCAACACGTATGGTGGAACAACGTTCGCAGCAGGGCCGCCTCAGCCGCTGAAGGCGGGTCCGCCCGGTCAGCGACCGTTCAAGCCGACTACGTTGGAAGCGGCAAGTCGAGCCGTCCGAATTGACGACCAGATCCCGCCCACTGCGGGTAGGTATCAGTACAGATCCCCCGTTGGCTTGCCATCCAGCCTTGACATGAACATTTCTGCCATCCTCGGTGAGGATGACGGAATTGGCGAGTCAGGCCGTCCAGTTCAGTTATCACTTGATGAGAGACAGTATGGTCCCGTGTCGCGCAATCCTCCCGGCCCCACTGGATTTGGCAGCACCTCAACACCGGGTCAGTTCGACATGCCCACGGAGCCAATGGACGGGACCAAGAGGAAGGTCCAAGACACACTCCCTCCTGGGAGGCTCCAACAGTATTTCCCAGGCGGGTTTCCATCTAACTACGACGGCCGACACAAGCCAATCACGGAGGACTGGCACACGAGGCAGCCAGCCGCGGACGACGAGCTCATGCACGAGACCTTCTCGGACCGCACCACCCAGATCAACCGAAACTTCTACGCTGGCACGGAGGGCTTAGTTCGGAACATGGAACAGATTGTTCGCGATCACAACTACCGCCGCTTGGAGAACAAAGTTGGCGTCATTGGCGGAGAGCGCGAGCGGCTCCGTGGAAGCCATACTGAGAGACAGGGTGCTGATGGCAAGATGCAGCCGCCAGTCTTGAGTGTCGAAGAAGTCAACAACATGGACGATGCCGACGCCATGAGACCGCTGCTCAACATGGCGTTTGCCACTCTGTTGAGGTACAAGGAGGAAAGCGAGTCTGATGGGTCGGTCCATGATGCACTGCCTAGGTCCTTCATCCCGGCCGAGGATGCGTGGATCGACCACACGGAGGAGGGCAACAAGAGCTTTTTCAGCGAGCCCAAGGAGGACACGCCGAGAAAGAAAAAGAGCTCCAGGAAGCCAAGACGGGGATACTGAGGCGCCTCCTCAGCCTACTGCAAGGAACCACTCGCTCATATCAGCGTCACGGGGGGCAAATGCATGGAGTTTGTCACATCGGTTGAGACTTAGGGCACGATATTTATTGCGGACGAGTGCGGTGCCTCTGTTGATATCTCACAAGACCAGCAGGAGCAGGGAAAGGGTGGAAGGCGCGAAAGGTTATGGTCAACAGGGGAAGGTGTATTGGACTGATATTTGGTGGCGAGCAAGACAATTGCTTTGGAGAGGCAGCGCCACCTGCTTGGACGGTTTTTTGGTTGAGTAACTCAGATAAATTCAGTCATACGAAAAGGTTGATTACAGGATGTTTACTGTCCGTCTTGCATTGCCAATCTTAGTCCCCTTAGTCCCCTTAGGACTCTTCTATGCGTTGTGTACGTGGAGTGTTCTTCGCCGTGTTGGCAGGACATGTAGGCTGATGCTTGCCCATGTCGAGCGCCCTATCTTGTAGAACCAGGCTTCCCAAGTTCCGAGCGAGCATAGCATTCTTCAAGTGATGGACAATGCATCGCTATAGGGCGACACCAACAGCTTGCCCTGGATCTGCTATCATTACAGAGGGCATCTGCTGTCAGCGAGCTGGCCAATATTGGAGGCGCATAATCAGGATAACATCTCACAACGCTGTGGTGTTTTGGTAAGAAGACCTCCGCCCAAATCCACTCCAACCTGCCGCCCAGCCAAAGTTGTTTACCTTAGGTAGCTCGGCTACTGCTCGTGGTAAGACGCTGTCAAAGGTTGTGTGTGGCAAGCATGAGGACGGGCTTATTTACAGGAAGCTCAATGACAAATTTGAGCTACAAGACACGAGTGAACCAGTTTTCCGGCGTACCGAGACATGAAGAGAACAATGATAATCTAGGACGAGTTGCACGGGTGACCTTTCTGGAACTAAGAAGGTTTGCTTGAATTTTAGGGGCCAGAAAGCGCGCATCTTTGAATCTCGAATGAAGGCTGTTTGCAATTGCAGAATTCAACGCGCTGGATCGGTAGGCTCCCAAAGAATTCTGAGATGTACCAGTGTTTCATAAGGGAGAATTTGAAATAGAAATGCCGGGACGAGAAATCCCCAGTTCACCCGCACACCACCCATGACGCCAGAAGCCCCGTTGATTACAAGAGGGTTAGATTTGAATCGAAGTGTAGAGTATCACAACAGGTGGGATCTATATACGTGACGAAGGCGAGGAAAAAAACGGGAACAACGAGAAGAAAAAGAGCATCCGCCTTGAGCAAGCAGCTCATCGCACGGAGCCATTTCATGTCTCCCCGCTCGACCAGTTTGTACATACAAGTACAATCATCCTAGATTCCAACTGTAGCATCAGCTGTGGTCTGTCTCATCGTAGCTCATGGCCTGGATGGACCGCCCCGGCCGGGAAGTTCAAAGTCCGGGTTGGAGGCGAGGATCATGTCGGAGCGGTTGACTGGACGCCTGGGGATCGAGTTGCTTCCATAGCTTCCTAAAGCCGGGGCAGGCGGCATCCTGGGCGGGTTCCACCGCGGGTTAACGCCTCGTTGGGAGATCGAGGTGAAATTGGAGCGCTCAGACTCAGCCGGACTGCGGGAACCGCCTTGGCGAATATCCTCGTAGGAGTTAGTCGTATTGATGGGAGTTGGTGTTGGCTTCTGCACCTGAGGAGAATCGGCGAAGCGCGGATCCACGTCTTCGTAGTACTCACCAGCGGGAGCTGCCGACGGCCGAGGGGGGAGACTTCCATGGGATGGCAATTCCGCGGGATGGCCAGCAGTGTTCAGCGGTGATGGTAGACGGGGCGAGCCCCTGCCTGGGGTTTGGTTCCACGCCTGCCTCGGTGGCACGTAGGCGCTCCTGAGCGATCTCAGTCAACAAAGATTTTCCTGCTAGAAAATGGACAGGGACAGAGTGCCTTACTCTTCTTGACTATACCTGCTGGCATCACTCATGTGCCGATCCGCGACCGGCGCTCTTCCTTGCTGCAGCGCCAACATGCCGGCAACATCTGAATCACTGTCCCGGATGTTGAACTGGCCAAAAGCGCGTGGCGCATGGGCTGGGCTACCGGTTGACGCATCCATCTCTACCGCTTGCCCTGGAGGCACACCGTCATCAATGCCTGGCAGGGGTGGTGGAGACTCTGCCCGTGGAAGTTCATTCCCGTTAGCACTATAGGCGTCATAGCCACTGACTGAGGAGACGTTGGACATCGAGTGATTCAGGTACCCGGGACCAGGCGGACCGGGAGACGGTCGCCTGGCGCCATGAGGATTCGGGCCGTACGGTCCAGCAGGCGATGGCCTTCTGTCATACGCGCCTTGGTAGCTGGGCGGAGGCGGCGTTCGTCCGCCCCGCATAGGGCCTCCGTAACCACGCGGAGGGGGGCCATAGCCTCCTCTGCCCCCTGGCGGTCCGTAACCTCCACGGCCTGGCGGGCCATAGCCTCCGCGGCCTCCAGGTGGCGGTCCGTACCCGCCATAACCGCCCCTGCCAGGGCCAGGATACCCACCACGTCCGCGAAAGCCACCTTGAGGAGGCATGCCGCCCCTTCCTGGCGAGCCAATCCTCTCTATCGAAGGTGCCCTCAAGGGGTATCCTCCCTCGGCCGGCATGGGATTTCCGTATCGATCACGAGCACCGGGCGACGTGGACATGGAGCGCATGGGTGCCATGTCGGTCGGGCTGCTTGCGTCATTTACGTATGTAGCTGTAGGGTCAGTCCCGAAGGTGCCTGGTGATCTTGTTGACGGGCTCCTAGTTGCTGTGAGGGGAATCCGCTCATCACTGCTTTGGTCGTTCTTCTCAAACGAAGCGAATTCCGGCAGCGTGTCTGCACCGCCGTTGGCACCGCTAACCATCGGCACTGTAGGTTGGAGGACGGCTGAAGTGGCTACGGGAGCGGTGGTCTGCTGGGCTACGCGATTGTAGTAGTTTTCGCCGCTCATCTCCGCGTTCTCGGCGATACGCTTCTGCCTTGCCTTCCTGCCCACAATTGTCCTGCGCATGGCGCACGACACCAAGCCGCTTAGAGCAACCAGGATGGTAGCGGCAAGGACGACGTACGAGCCCCAGGCCAAGTGGGGCACAAAGAGCAGGACATCGATGAGGAAGCTCAAGAGGCACACGAGGAAGTTGACCATGCCAACGATGAACAGCACCAACAAGTACCTGGCCGAGTGGGATGGGCTGCGGAAATGAGCGATGATGGCGAGGACGAACATGACGAGGGTTATGAATGCGGCGACCGGGTGAACAATGAGAAGACTCGAGAGAGTGAAACGGGTCGAGGAGGGGAGGTCGAAGTCGCCGGAGTTGAGGGACCCTGAGCAAGTCGGTATATGAGCTTTCCTAGAACTCCAGGGAAGGAAATAGCAAGAGCTCAGGCAGATCACTCACGGACATCGTAGCCAACCTCAATTGGAGTGCAGCCATTCTTATCGCAGTAGCCGAAAACGCCGAAGTCGACTCCTTCCCAGCTGCCGAGTGGGATGGCCTTGATGATGGGGGTGGAAAGAATCGAGAGTAAAAGCAGGGCGAAGGCCGCGAACAGCAGCAGCGACAGCGGCGTCGCAGGGCGTAACATGGTGGAAAGGGATCAACGCAGCAGAGCCGCGGAGAGAAGTCGCCAAAGGACGAGCCAGCGTCCTCGAGACGCGGCCAGATGAGAAGAGGTCGCCCGATATTTTTGGCACGGCGGAGACGATGCTGAGGTCGTATCAACGGCCGCGTACCAAGTGGACGAAATCGGGGTTTGGTGAATATCGGAGAGCGCTTGTCCGTGACATGGGAAAGGATGAGTGAGGGGAGCGAGCGTGTGCCGGGATCAACGTGTCGCGATTGATGTGATTGATACAATGCGTCGCGAACTAGGCCATTGTCGAAACTCGGCCCGGTCAATCGGCGGTTCCCCGTGAAAAGAGTGGCGGCGGGGAAAGACGCTCTGGACACGGGATGCGATGCACTGGTGAGGGCGGTGGTGAAGACGAGTCCAGGGCGAATTGGGGGTGGGAAATGGTAAAGTTAGGGGAGACCAAGCAGACGGGATTGGTGGACCCGTGGGTGCATTGGGTGCCAGGATTGTGTTGCAGAGCGTAGGGGGGCACTTTCAGCCAATCACATCGCATGACCACGGATCGCGAATGAACTGGAATTGGAAACTCCCCTCCGTCCTGACAGCTCAGCCACACAATGCGACATCTTCGGAGCTCACCTCCATCGCTGCACCACCGTTGCCCTCGTACTCCCTACACATAGACCCAACGGGCTGGTCAACTGCCCTCCATCGTCTTGTTGCCCAAGCACCCATCAAGCCAGCAAGGACCAACGGATAACTAACAAGACTGCCGAATCGTCGCAGCCCAAAATTGACGACCGGAACTCTCTTCCGTAATCCATACCTCCGGTACGGTGCCCAGATTAGGATGTGTTCTATCCCCCCTGAAGGCGTGGCAGTGAAAGGCAAAAGCTGGAGAATCTTCAGATATGGCTCTCGAGTGTCATCTTCAATTCGCTCTGTTTGACTGGAAATAAAAGTCAGTTGCGGCATGCTCTTGTTCAGCGAACATGGAAGTGGGTGAGAATCGCAGGCCAAGCTTAGGTTGGTATATCTTCCGCGCACAGGAGCTCGGTACAATACAAGCGCACTTTTGCATCACTGGTAGTCTGATAAATGGATATCCTACTGGAGCAGCGAACCTCTTCTTCTGGCGCCATCAGAGCATGTTTTCTTTCCCAACCTTACTTCAGGTTTTCCACACAACCCGGACGGTAGCCCCGCGGGCATGGAGGTTCGTACCAAGGCCCAGGTTCCATTGCTTTGCTGTTGTATCGTACAATACGGACGTAAAAAGCCTGAGGATTCCTCCGTAGGTTTTCCAGACTTCTGTCCCAAACAAACCCAGGGGGCACACGATGATATCCCGATCGTCGCTGTGCTTCTCTAACCTCTATCTTCCAGGTCCAAGTGCACTGGAGCCTATTCGCAGAAACTGCCATCACTTTAACCCATCGTTGACGGGCAAACCATGAAAGTCGGAGATTCTGCCTGACGAGACTGACGAACAATAATAAGGTAGGTATTGTACAATATCTGGGCCAGCAGAGTGATGCCAAAGCGTGTTCAAAGTTCCTGCATGCGGTGGAGTTATCTGCGGTTAACACCGATTGACTCAAGCCCGGGAATCGGGCAAGGCGGCGAAAAGTGGACCTTGAATTGTCGTCATCAGTGTCCTCCGTAAGGCACTCTGCTGTCGTTTTGAAATATTCTTTCCCCGGTGTCCTGATTTTCAACCGGCTCAACCTACCAGAACGATGGACTGAAACACCAGAACACCTACCGACTAGCCACTACCTACCTCGGCATATCTATCGCCAACATGCGGCGTCTCGGCGCAAGCCGCTCGGCGCTCGCCCCCGCGATGCCTCCCATCCGACTCTGCGTCCCATACATACCAACCCTCTCCCGGCCCCTCGTCCGCCCGCTCCTTTTCTACCGCGCCTTAACCCATTCGTCAGGCCCCTTCGAGCCGCTCCGCCCACCGAACCCGACCCTCCTCGGCGCGCCCCGCGCAGCCCGCAGCTTCCGTCGCGCCCGCCGCTGGGCGCGCCGCCTCCTGATCCTCTCCGCCGTCCTGGGAACAGGCTACCTCGTCGACCGGCAGGTATACGCGTCGGGCATCGCGCGTTCGCTGCGCACCTTTGGCATGGGCCTGCTGGTCGCGGCCGACTACAAGATCAACTTCCGCCCCGAGCCGCTACCGCTAATCGGCAGCGCGGGCGGCATTCCCGAGCTGCACCGCCGCAGCGCCGAGAGGCTGTCGGATCTGCTGCGGGAGAACGGCGGGCTGTACCTCAAGATCGGGCAGGCGATCGCCATGCAGAGCGCCGTGCTGCCGCCCGAGTTCCAGAGGATGTTTGCGCGCATGTTTGATGACGCGCCGCAGGATGAGTGGGAGGCGGTCGAGAAGGTGATAAGGGACGACTTTGGCGGGCGGAGTGTGGAGGAGGTGTTTGGGGTCAGTTTTGCCGGCGTCGAGGGGAAGGGTGTCATGGAGCGGACGGCGAGGGCCAGTGCGTCCGTCGCGCAGGTGCATTGGGCAAGGCTGCCCGATGGTAGGGAGGTAGCGGTCAAGATCCAGAAGCCTGAAATCGCGAAGCAGATCGGGTGGGATCTGTGGGCTTTCAAGTAAGTGTTGCTGGGAGGGGATATGCGGGGATTGTATACTTGAGGGCCGTTTGCTGACTCGGATGGCGCTATCAGGGTCGTCTCGAAAGCGTACTCATGGTGGTTTGACCTGCCATTATACTCCCTGGTACCATTCATTACGGAGCGGTTGATGCTCGAGACCGATTTTGAGAACGAGGCAAAGAATTCGGAAACCATGCGACTGCTCGTCGCCAAGGAGCCCAGTTTACGAGGCCGCGTCTATATCCCGACGGTGTATTCCGAGTTGAGCTCCAGACGAGTTCTTACCGTGGAATGGATTGAAGGCGTCAGATTATGGGATAAGGAGACCCTTACGAGGCCCTGGATGGGTGGCTACGGGAAGGGCTCGATGGGGGTCCATGGCGCTCAGTTAGACCATCCTGACATGGATGCGATACGCCGCGAGTTGCGCGAGAATCCGAACAGTCAGAACCTGAAGCCGGAGCGGACGGAATGGAAGGGGCGCCGTGGCAAGGGTGGGCTAGGCGTTTCTACCAAGGAGGTCATGACAACGATGATCGACTTGTTTTCCGCCCAGATTTTCAAGTGGGGTGTCGTGCACTGCGATCCGCGTATGTTTCCTTCGCATACTCCGTTGAGGCATTTCTATTCTCGGAGAATATGTCTAATACTTCAGTGCAGACCCAGGTAACATCTTCATCCGACGGCTACCGAATGGGCTACCCGAGCTGGTTCTGATCGACCATGGGCTCTACGTTTACATGAGCGACAAGTTCCGGCACGAGTATGGCGTCTTCTGGAAGGCCCTGATGACGTTCGACAACAAGAAAATCGCCGAAATCACCCAGGAATGGGGCATCAAGGCAGCGGATCTCTTCGCGTCCGCCACGCTACTGCGGCCGTACGAGGGCGGCGACCAGAGATTCCAAAAGGGTATGCTGGATACGCTGGACGACAAGAAGACTGCAAGCCAGCGGCACTACGAGATGCAGCAGCGAATGAAGCAGGGCATCCGCGACGTGCTGGCCGACGAGGACAAGTGGCCAAAGGAGCTCATCTTCATCGGGAGGAACATGCGCATCGTGCAGGGCAACAACGCCTACATGGGCTCACCGGTTAACCGGATCAAGATGATGGGCGAGTGGGCCAGCCGATCTCTGTACGAGGACCCCAACTTGCCCTGGCGACAGAGAGCGGTCAATATCTGGCAGCATCTCGTGTTCAAGGCGGTCTTGTTTATGTCGGATGTTGCCTTCTACTTTTTCCGGCTGAAGCAGCTGCTTGGGAGGGGCGGCGGCATGGAGGATGAGGTCGAGGCGAGGCTGAAGAACGTGGCCAGGGAGTTTGGCGTTGAGCTGCAGCATGATGTTTTTGAAGGGTAAGGATGGCTGGACGGAGCAATACGCACTTTGTCTGTACGATATTGTCATCACCACATTAGACCTAGACGTGTAGAGGAGATACCCCTGGTACTCGGTCTCGGTTGGCGGGCTACTGCAAGCTCAGTCATATCATGGATGCTGTATGGGCCACACAGGATATGCATGCGCATACTAAATTGATTCATGTGTAACTCACATTCCGTCTTGTCTCACACACGCCTGGCCAGGGTTTTGGTTGGGGCGTGGGGAGGTAAAACTGAGACTATGTATGGTGGACGGAGTATGGATGCCAAGCTAAGTTTTCTTACGGTACCTGCAGTTTACGGGGCGGGGCATGGTCCGCAATTCAATGTGCATAAGATTGGGTTTTCATCCATCTCGCTGCTTGATCCAGCAGAGCACGGAAAGTACCTACGTGATGACAAAAGAACAATAAGGGAATGATATAGGTGGTAGCATACGGATGGAGACGATGACAGTCAACTTGAGCTTTCCATCCATGACTGTTCGGTCACTTTCCTTCGGACGATTTCCATAGCCGGGAGCTTTCACGTGGCTTGTGGAACTGACACAACGGGCACTTACAATGTCTGTCCACGCGGAACGAGTAGCTAGAGGGATAGTGCCTAGCAGACATGCAGATACTATCCAAATAGTAGAGATAGAGTCTCAGCAACTATCATCGGCTATCGTCGCAGGTTGACGCTTCGATGGCTTTCATGCTCATGCTTGGAGTTGTGCCTCAAAAGAACATGGTCGGCACACCTGTCCGGATGAATGCTGCGGGTGATGTTAAAAAGAGACCAACCATTGGCTGGCGCGTCTTACCAGGTATCACTACTGCGCCTGGCTGCATTGGAAAGGGGCATCTGCACTCCACTGAAGCTGTGGAGACATTCAGGAATAGCAGGACCACAAGGAGGCGTAGAACCTGACTTCTGCACCGGCAGCCTTTCCAAAAGAACATCTGCATGCTGTGGTTCGGACGAAGAGATGGGACGAAGATGCAAGCTACTCACGTTAAGTGGAGCTACATAGGTACGTAGCCAAGTTTATACTAGTACGAGTGAAACATGATGCAGAAATGAGACACCTGAATGGGCACGTTCTGCGGTGTCTTAGAACCATAAGGAATGGCGTTCACGCCCAGGCTGCTGGGACTACTGTGCTACGCTCATCAGCAATATCGAAACACCAAGACCAGCACTCGTACCCGAATGCTTGGCTGGGACTCAGAATCGGATCGGGCAGAAGGTCGCAGGCCTGGCGCCACTCTTGTTTTGGATTAACGTTAATGGTATCCACGGCCTTATATCGACCTTGAATCCGAAACAAATGCTTGGCCTCCAAGCCAACAACCAATCTCACCGAGCGAGCCAATGTACTCCGTAGCATCTTTTTTCCTCCTCGCCCCTTACGAGGTACAACCCATTCGGTGCCCCTCACATCTCCCTAGAGAGTTATTCTTGTTCAGCTTGTTGCAGGGTTCTGAAAGGCACCTTCGCACATTCTTCAATTCTATCCTTTCGTTTGCGTTTCACCCTTCAAGTTCAACACCGTCACTCCTTCCTCGCGCGCAAGTCTCCACCGCAACGCGTGCAAGCGACCACTGTCTTTCAAGTTTTCGTCAAGCTCGTTATTCTCCGGGCAGGTTGAAGTTTGTGGCGACGAGGAACTGAGTAAGTGCGTTATGAGCACTGCACCATCCCAACGTATCTTTCTTGTTGCATTGGCATGATCGCATTAGCAATGGCCCCAGGAGAGCCCCGGAGCTACACGTTCGCACCGCCGAGCACGTCGCGAACGGCACCGTGATCGCATACACGAGGCGACCGCAATTGCTGACCAGCGCTATGCGATGCGCTTGTGATTGCGGGGACCTCAAGGGTGATGGGAAGGTGACCGGGTCGAAATTGGCTAACACAGCGAGTTTGACAGTAATCGAGTGCCTCTGAATCTCTCCAGCTAACTTTAAGGGCTTTGGTCGACTGGCCGCTATCTTCGACTCTGCGCTCGAGAACCTATCCACTTTCCTGCTGTGCTCCCGGACAACGGAGCAAGTGAAAACCAACGCCGGACAGCCAGGTACAAGTACAAGCGCCCGGCCATACCACGAGAAACAAACAGACAGAGCAGGCGCTTTGAGTTTCGAGGCTTCAGAACTATCTCGCGTACTTGCCATAGGTACTTCGAAAGTGAGGCCGAACTACCTGAGTTCGACGGTAGCAGGATCGTTCCAATATCCCTGGCTTCTCGGATTCTAACTGTTCCGTAAGGTCCTCGCTCTCTGTAGGACGTGTCGCGGCTTCCGCCTCTGCTCGTTCATACTCCCCTCGGATTGTTCGCGATTTCCCGACAGATAACACCCGCCTGCGTATGCTCGCCCTCTACGGTAGCCACAGATCGAGTCTCGGTTGGAGCAAGCAATGACCTCCCAGCCTCGTCGTTCTAGCCTCGGAATGTTACTTCGACGCAGCAAAAGCAGCGACTTGAAGAGACAGCAGGCCGCCAAGGAGCTGGAGCTCCAGCGCCAGCGCGATGCTGTCTCCAAGTCTCCCCCACGCCTTCCTGTTCTCTACAACGGCGCCCCTGCGCCGCAACTGGGACTCAGCAGCGACAACCGGCCTGATTCCCTCGCCATTCTCTCCGGAAGGGCTGAGCAGATGACGGCCGCCACCCCACGACCCTCGATGGAGCCACCGCGCTCTGCTATAAGCGTTCCCGTTCCCCCGATTCCCAACGGCGGCTTCGATCCCTACGCGAGCACCCACAGCATGGCGCACCGCGGCCGCTATAGTTACGCCAGCAGCGCCATCAGTACCATAAACAGCCCTAGAAGGGTTCGGAGGAGGAAGGATCCCACTCCTTTCAAGTAAGCTGAAATCATGCCCATGTCCTCCCTCGTGTTCCCCTCACTCACGTTTGTGTGCAGCATCCTCATTATCGGTACTGCCAACTCGGGCAAGACTTCATTCCTCGAATTCCTCAAGACAGCCCTTGCCCTGCCCGCGAAGAAGCGGGTCAAGAGCACCATCGAACATGAGGAACCCCCGAGGGTGCCACCCTCAGGAAACTTCATCCCCCACTACCTCGAGACCGAGATTGACGGAGAACGTATCGGCCTGACGCTGTGGGACTCCGAGGGCCTGGAAAAGAATGTGGTGGACCTGCAGCTTCGCGAGATGTCGAGCTTCCTCGAGAGCAAGTTCGAGGAAACCTTCAACGAGGAGATGAAGGTGGTGAGGTCCCCCGGGGTACAGGACACCCACATTCATGCGGTTTTCCTTGTCCTGGATCCGTCGCGCCTCGACCGGAATCTCGCAGCAGCCAGGGCGGCCGCGGCGAGTGGCCCACACAATAGAGGGAAGCACTACCCACATGCTCGCATTCTTGGCGGCCTGGATGAGGACCTTGATCTTCAAGTTTTGCGGACGTTGCAAGGCAAGACGACAGTCATTCCGGTCATCTCGAAAGCCGACACCATCACCACCAAGCACATGAACATGCTGAAGCGGACCGTGGCAGAGAGCCTCAAGAAAGCGAATCTTGACCCTTTGGAAGCCCTGGGCTTGGACGACGATGATGAGTCGAACTCGGATCATAGCAAGATTGTGGAAGAAGACGAGGAGGACCAGGACCAGGCATCTGAGCACAGCGACGGGGAGGCTGGCGAGGAAAACCCAGGCTCGCCGACACAGGGCAAAGAAGAACCTGCCCCCAAGCCCAAGCGCCTCTCCGGCGGTTCCATGCGTCGTCGCAAGGCCGAGGAGGAGAGTCTTGAAGAGGACGAGATGCCCTTCCTGCCGTTGTCGATCCTGAGTCCGGACATCTACGAGCCCGACGTGATCGGTCGCCAGTTCCCGTGGGGCTTTGCCGATCCCTACAACGAAGAGCACTGCGATTTTGTGCGTCTCAAGGATACCGTCTTTAGCGAATGGCGGGGTGAGCTCCGCGAGCTCAGCAGGGAGCAGTGGTATGAGGGCTGGAGAACGAGCAGGCTCAAGCAGCACGGCGTGAAGGGGCGCCGATGAGAATGTGTAGGAGGTTGAGCGGATTTCGGGGGTTACTGGTTGTTTTGCCTCCGCTTCAAGCCTCCCGAGGGCAGCAGCGCCTTTTGATACCCTCCCCTCCGCACGCCCCGAGCCGGATGCAGCCGGTCGCATTACATTTCAGCACTCCAATGCAGCAGGAATCGAGGCATCGACACCAGCAACACATGTTTGTTTACAAGATCCACTGAGCCGGCGCCGAGCCCTCAGGCTCCCACACCATACCCAATTCCTTTCCCTTTTTCTATCAGCATTCTTGCCGACTCCGCCAGTCTTTACGACTTTTTCATTCCATAACGAATTCCACCGACAGCTCAGCGGAGCCAGCAGATAGGCCAACGTCTTCGACCTTGACTCTCACCAAAGGAGGTCCTGACCAGCAGAATTGCAGGCACTCACTGCGGGCTATAACAGAGCAAGCAAAACTTCTCCTTCACTAATATACCACGTTTTATTCTGATATGGCCGGACATGGAATACCCCCTTTTCCCTTTTCCCGCGTCCCTCGTCGTTCAAGTAGTTTATTTCTGCACAATACTTCTCTGGAGAAGAGGATGGGAAGCAGCCAGTTCTATCGATTGGCCTGGCAGTCAACCCTCTTCATGGTTCACATTTACCCTACCCTCCTTGGTGAGCAGGTTAGTGGAGCAGAGATGCGAACCGCGACTCGACACAGAAGGAAGAAGTTGTCGTCCATAACTGGGTTTTTGATTTTCCCTTGGGCGGTGCCGTTGTTGTTAGTGTATGTTGTTAGATTCTAAATCAACACGATGTTTTGGTCTGTTTTGATTTCTCGCAGTTGTCAGTGGCCTGCTTGATATCATGAGTGACGAGACACCGGAGAGGAAGCGACCACGTAGCTGCATGAAAACACAGCAACAGGGAGCGAAGAGCCATGGATTTCCCCTTCACTTCACCGTTCCCGACGACACCTTTAGTATATATCTACCGAGACAGATCACACACCGTACAGATTCCTAGAAACAAGCTCACCACCCCAGCTCGCCACCCTATACTACACCCCCCTCCCCGTCAAACAGCAGCACTTTGCAGCCTCACGCGATTCTGCTCCTCCCACTCCTGAACCGCCTCCCCCAACGAAGTCGTGAAGCCGCCAACATCCTTGGCACGGTACTTTCTGCTGCCGCTGCCGTCCCCGGTGTTATTATCCGGGAGAGGGAGGTACTCGAGCTGCTGCTCGTCATTGACGGCCAGGCCTAGCCTATTGCGCGCTGGGATGTGGACTTGCTCGCGGTGCGTCTGGAAGTTTGCGTCGGCGCAGGCGAGGGAGCACCATATGCTCGCTTGTTTAAGGGTGGTTAGGCACTCGGTGCAGAAGCGGATGTCGTTTTGTGACGGTGCGGATGTGCCGCCGTCTGTGATGTACTTGTCCGAGCCGTGTGCGGTGGTACCGGGGCGGGGCTGTGGGTGTTGTTGTTGGGTGCAAAACAGGCCAGAGGAGCACGTGTGTGTCGCTATGTGCGCGGGCTGTGGTATTTTCAGTACGGTTGGCAAATGGGCGAGGGTTGGAGGTTTAAAGGGGCAAAGCTTACATGGCCCTCTTTGTCGCAAGTTTCGGAGCAAAATACCGTCTGCTTCTCCTGTACACCGCTGCTCGCGAGGATGGTGCATATGCTGCAGCAGAAGAAGTCCCCTGGGTTTGTTGTGTTGCCGCAGACAGCACAGGCAGGGAGTTCGTACAGCTCGTCTGGGACTTTCTGCTGTGCCAGGCTTTCCCTCCGCTGCGCTTTTCGCGTTTTCTGTGCCTCGTGAGCGGCCCGCGCCCTGCGGAGCTCATCCAGCCGCTGGTTCAGTTTGTTTGTCTGGTCTCGAGCGCCGGTCGCAGCTTGCCTCTCCTCCAGGATCCGATCCACCACCTGCTCCATCGATGACCCCTGGTATAGAAGCATGTCAAGATATTTCTGATGGTCCTCCGGTACGGTGCCATCATCAGCCTTGAAAAACTCCTCCTTCAAAGCCTCCGCCTTCCCTGCGTCGGTATTTGCGGTGGCCAGTCTTTCTGGTAGGTCTTTGGCAACCCCTTGCTCAGCTGCCGAAGAGCCTAAGGGTCCCTTACTCAGAAACTGAGCAATCTCCATCGCCAAGCCGATCGGGTCTCCCCCTGCATTCGGGATAGATAGGTCCTCCAACTTCTCAAAAACCTCCTCTCGGCCCGAAGGGTCCTCAACCATCAACCTCAACAAAGAGCCGCGCACTCTCTCGGCATACCACCTGCTCCGCTCTTCCCGTACTCGGTCGTCGATAGTTTGTGGTGGGATTTGGTACTCTTTGGCGGAGTCGATCAGCGAGTCAAACTCGGAGAGAAATGCACGGCGAGAGGTGAACCATTCTTGTTGATGTCGCTGTTGCTGTTGGTCTGGCAAGGGTCCGGCAAAGCCATTGCTGAAAGCAGCACTAACGAAGCGAGACCTGAAAGCTTCGAGAAGAGTTTCGTAACATTGTGGGCAAGATACCAAGGACTTGGTTTCGCCGTGCTCGGCGTGGCATTTCTCTCGTATATGGGTGGCTTGGGTGGCGAGTTCCTCAGATCTCAAGGCCGTGAGGGCAGACTGAAGGAGAAGTTCGGGCATTGCAAGCAAAGCTTGGGGGAGATGATGTTTGTTCTTCTAAGCCGTCAAGGTTGGTGAGGACTTGTGTGGAGGTCGAGCTCGACATGAGCTGTGAGCTCATAGAGGATGCGCCAGACAGTAAAAAGACCAAGTTCAGATTGACTGTCTCAAAAACAGCAAACTGTAAACAGAATTCCTCTTAAGCTGTGATAAGAGTACAGATGAGCAGCCGTTGGTGAATGTATGTTCGCATTAACCCTGAGTGATGAGCCTTGTTGATGAGAGTTGAGATGTTGAGTGACCACTGGCAGGGCAGGTTGAAAGGCTCCACCACTGACACCATGACCCTCCCTGCAGCGCCAAGACGACTACGATCACAGCAGTGGGGCTTGAATGCCAGAACTAGCGCTTAGCACTGAACCATGGCACCTGTAACGGCAACGATTACTGCATACAAGAGGGCGAGCTCCAGATCAGCAGGTCTATTCTACGAGACGAACAGCTATGGAGAGTAGAAGAGAGATCGGTGCGTTTCTGCGTTGTAGGTAGGGCTTTTGAGCCTAGTGACCGAACTTGCAATGCACTGATTGGTATCTACCGCCCACCTCCTAAAGCACCCTCCCAATCAGGGCATGTAACGTCGGAAAGCGGGTCCAACCTCAGAAGAAGGTTTCCGCGATCCGAATTTCTTGGCCGTGCCGTCATAGTACCGTTATAGGAGTATAGAAGGAAAATCGCAATGGGTAGCCATTCAATTGATGAAGATGCTGCTTTCTATGTTGTTCCAAAAGTTCCCCGTCTCCTCCTGATCCTGAGAATCGTGGTGCCAAGCCATTAGTCACCACCGAACTGCCCAACCTGACCACCTGCCAAACCCAACACTTCCTGCTCCTGAGACTCCTGGTGCCAAGCCATTAGCCACCCCTGAACTGCCCTCCTTGACCCACCTGCCAAATCCAACACGTACTTTCAAGAATCCATCCTTGAATCCATCGCTCTCTTTAACTTCTTCCGCGTCCCATAGGTAGCAACACATAATACAAGATGGTACGTATTTGCCGCTCCTGACTCACTTGCAACAAGGCACTGACTACCTCCTCTCTGACAGGCTGACAAACTCCGCAACCAACAAGAACTCGAGCGGCTTCAGGCCAAGTACGTCGGCACGGGACATCCGGACACGACGAGCTGGGAGTGGAAGACCAACATCCACCGCGACACCTACTCGAGCATCGCCGGGCACCCGCCGCTTCTCTCATATCTTGCGCTGGCGGAAAACGTGCCGGTAGCGGCAGTGCGCGTGCGCATGATTCGAGTATGCCATCCTACCCTCAGTTGATGCCTTCGTGCCTGGCAGACGCTAATAGAGCGGAATAGAAAATGCTACAGCCGGTTGGGCCACCGCCACCGCGAGAAGGCGACGAAGTGCTCGTAGCGCCGCGACAGGACGGGTCATGAGACGGGTCATAAGCACATAATGTATGCGCAGACGATCACGCTCATGCAGAGACACACAGAAGGACGGCGGAAACGGGAGGTTCAGAAGATGAAGGCATGGCATCCAGCATAGCTGGCGTGATTGATCAGCCTTGATGCGGTCAGTCTTTCCGGAGCCGGTCTGTTCTGTTGCCGCAACTTTGGTGGCGGCTGTCATGGAGGAGTCTCTTAACACTCACAACGAGCCATCTCTTGTACCTGTAAGGCCCATTCCATAGCGGGACTCATACCACAATGATACCCTAACTTGTTACCTTGTTCCAGCTCAGGACATGACAAGTCAGTCGCTCTCTTCATCATAGGCCTCCGTCTGCCTCCTCCTTCCCCTACGCCGGTTACTCGGTCCCGGATCGCCATTGGGCGCGGCCTCCTCCTCCGCCACCTCCTCGACCATGTCGGGAACGCCGGGTTTTCGGTCTCTGATCTTGAGGCTGACCTGCAATCTGTTCTCCAACTCGTCATCGGACCCGCCGTATATGGTCCGCACAAACGCCGCGATCACCTCCTTGTCCACCTCCACCTTCCCGCGCGGGCCAACGTGCCATGTGGTCTGGTCTTCATCGCCCCCGGACCTCGAGTCCGTCAACTTTACCAAGTATCCTTGCCTGACCATCCGTTGGAGAACCATTTCTGTCTTCTCGCTCGGCGACGTCTCGTCGTTGGGGTTCAGACTTGGCATGTTTTCGGAGACATTGAGTCGTGTCAAGTGTCTGCGTAGCCGCGGTTCGCTGAGTTCCCCGCCGCTGAGCGTGATGATGGCGATAATCATGGTGTAGAGCGCTACGTAGGCTGCTTCACCTTCGGCGGACTGAACTTTGGATGGGGTGATGATGGCTGGTGTGGTGTAAGCCTCGGGGAGGACTGAGACGAGCACGTATGTATTCGAGGTCGGTTCTTTTTGGGTCTGGGATTTGGCGGCTGCCGCTAGAAATGTCAGTCGCCGCGGTGTGTGGTGTATTGGTCACGAAACATGCTACTCGCCTTTTCGTTTTTGCTCTGCCGTCATGAGATTCCTGTCTTTGGTAGGCAATTCGACCATCTCCATTCCAAACGTCGCGCGCAATTGCTTTTGCGCGCCGGCAAACACCCGTTTGAATTCCCGTCCATTGGAACCCAGCACTAAGGGAGGTCAGCATCCGATGCTGCGCACCACCGGCCGACTTCTTTCAATACCCTTTTCCTTGATGCCGTCTCTCCTGATGGGTGCTCGCGAATACTCGCAACTGAGGGCATAGCGCACAAGATTCTTGATAAGCTGGGTTGTTTCGTCTCTTGGTCCGACCTCAGCCATCTGCTCGTCGCCGTCCGAATCGACTTCGCCAGGGCTTTGCGGATGTGGTTGCCCCATGTCGTCGTCATCAACGTTCTGTGCGGCCTAACTGTGTCAGCAGTTGCGCTCCCTCCTCAATCGCAATGCTTGGGACTACCTGTCGCCGCAGTCGCTGTTGCACCGGCATGGTTAAGAGACCAGTAGAAAGTAACCCCAGCGGAGGGAACCTTCGAGATTTGTGTCGTTAGTATCTTGCTTAAATGCTTCGAGAAGTAATTGGGAGCTTGTGATACGCGTGTCGCGTCGAGCCCCTCTTAGCGTCCCGTCGCGTTTGCAGTGCATGTGCCGTTGGCTGCTGGGAACCTTGAGAGCCAGGGGCGATGGACCCACCGAAATCTTTTGTCGCAAAGACAGTCGGAGACCCACCTCGCGGTCCCTAATACCGATGGACACCATCCACGGGACGCTCTCGTAACAGAGGCTTGGTGGTGCAGCAACCAGTACTGCTTAAGTCGCTCTCATGCTTGGACGCAAACTGGCCGGAAGCGCCAGCTTTGTCTGCTTCAGATGCCGACTCCAGCTGGCAAGAGCCCCTAACCGCTCTATGTTCCCTGCTGCCACTTCCATCGTCCAGTCGGCCCGTCCAAGTTTCCAGCGACATATCAACATTCACAGCGGGCAGGGTGTGCCAATCGCTGCCGACAAACCCGGCAGCGACATTGATATTGAGATCAGCGACGAGCCCAATCCCGACCCCAGCGCCGAGCAAGAAAACGATGGTGCATCCCACGACGGAGGCTTCGGCATCATTCCCAAACCATCCCCTACAACTCGGTCACCGCAGAACCGCACGGTGTACACGTCCAGGGGCCGCCTCGTTTCCCCAGAGCAAGAAGGCCTTTCTGTCGACATCTTGGGAAAGCCGGGATCTGCCATTATTCTGCGAGAAAAGCGAGCACTCCGAAAGAGCCGCCGGCACCCGACGCTCTCCCCCAACAATGATCCTACGGATGGCTCGGTTGATCCCGCAAGCTTGCTGTCGAACGAAGACACTTTCGCTACGTCAGATGACATTTTACTCAACATCCACGAGCTGAAACCAAACGGCACACGGATCCTCAGCGATAAAGACTTCAACAAGCTTCAAGACACGCTAGTCCAGGGGTTCACCAACGCACAGTTGGTGCACTACATCGGGGAATACCAAAGGATTCGTCGGCTGAGCCAGGAGGATGAGCACGTCTCGGAAGTGCATCCTTGGGTGCTGGAAGCCCAGCCATGGGTACCCTACGTTGCTGGCGCAGGCGGAGCCGTTGAGCCTCTCCTTCAAGGGTACGTCACTAAGGTCATGACGCCCAAGAAGCGGCTCGCAATTCGGATATTGCGAGAATGCTGGGATGTGTCCAATCGAGAGGTCCTTGACCGAGATGGCTATCTGGAGATCCGGCTGCGTGATGCCGAGTTCTCCCTTCTGACCCGTACGCTATGGGAGCCCTAGTCGCTATTTATGGCTTGGACTGACCTCAAACAGTTGGCAACCGGAGATGGCTGGAAGGCACCCCAAGGGCAATTCTGGACCGTGTGAAGCAAGTCAAGCTGATTCGCGAGTCGCGCTTGGTCTCCATCGTCGGTCCCAAGCACGCCGCTGAATCGATTCTCGACCGAATTCACGACGTGCTCTCGAAAGCCCGGACAAGCGACTTTCCAGTTGACCTTGTTTCTCCGAATCCCCTCGAACTCAGTATACTCGAAGAAGTTGGGCGCATGACCAACACATTGACACGCCTTGACTCATCAGGCAACAAGGTATATGAGCCTGCCCCTCTTGTTCCTCCCGCGCTCCCTCTCAAGCCCCCAATGGCCCATGGCTAACATTCGTCCTTTCCTGGTAGGTTGTTGTTACTTGGATACACTTGGCTCAGCGAGACGAAAACCTCGAGAACGCGAGCGAGACCGTCTTCCGGTTTCTCCGTGATGCATACGGGCCCAAACCCCGCGTCTCCACGGCTCTGAGCGTAGTACCGGACCATCTCGTTCACCGGGGACGGTACCTCCCCATGCTCAACGTCGCGCCGAAACTTCCATGGGAGGAACGCTTTGGAAAATGGGAGAGGTGGACAAACGCCATACCTCAGAGCAAGGCCGCCTACAAGGAACAGACATTAGAAGCCTCAATACCGGCAGATATCCTCGCCTTCGACACTGTCGCGGAAAATGCCATCCAACCCTCCGAAGTACCGATTGGCGACGGACCGGGATGGTCTTCTGCCTTGCAGACGGACACGACCGCAGTCTTTGGGCATGTCGTCTTTGCCCGGAAGAGCCAGCATCCTCCGTCACCCGATCCACATCTAGACCCAACATCGCAGCTCGACACCTCGTTCCCGCGCACCTTCGTCCCTACGCTTCCCGCCCTCGGCTGTCTTAACCTGCCCAGCAACCTTCGCGAGCAAGGCCTTTGGCACACCACCACTATGATCCGTTTCGCACCGTCCCCGGACATGTCCCCAGACCTCGTCATCTCCGCTCCGACCCTCGAACTCCGCCTCGATGCCGACCACCACGAGATCACAGGCCTCACCTCGCTTCGCGCCATCAAGGACACCTTCCGAGGTGACGTCCTCTTCCCAGCGGCGCCCGTCGACGTGCGCCTCATTCAGCAGCGCTACCTCCTCCTCCCAGGCCCGAGCATCGAGCGCCATGTCCCAGCTATCGTCACCTTCCTCACCAAGTCGAACCTACGACCGTGGGAAGGCAAACTCAACACCCCGCCCGTCCTCCTCGGCATCCGTCTTCCCCGACGCATCCTCTCCTCTTCCCAATCCGATTCCATCCCCGCGACCAACCCCACCCCCACCGCGGAAGAAAGCGATGACGTAGAACTAGCCTACAACCTCGCAGCCATCGAGGTTCACCGGACCGTAACAGCCGAGTACGAGGGCCTCAAACTGCGATACACAAGCATCCAGGCCGGTCAGAGAGGAGGCGAACGGTCCGAACTCTCGCTCGAGGCCGTGCGTATCCCAGAGGAGGAGGCCGCAGCGGCGCTCGAGTCCGAGCAAGCTCAGGCCAAGCTGGGTGAGGACTTGGACCGGTACCAGATTGTGGACGAGGAAATGTTCAGGGCCCAGTTTGAGTCCCATTCAATGAGCAATACCGCGAGACGCCAGCGTGAGACAACAAAGCCCGCGGAACTCGAGGAGTTCTTACGGGTTGCCTCCAGCATCGTTAATGAGAGGGGCTGGTTGAGATGGCATGCGAAACGATCATAGATGTACGATATCTGTAGGATAGACTCCAGCGTGTGTACAATAGCAATTACAGAAGCATCAACCTCCACTGTTGAGAGTCACCTTCAAACAGCACTCGAGGACCGGCACGTCACTGGCACACAATGAATTGACTGCGGAGCAGCTGCCGATGGTCTGTCATCAGGCGGCGAGGCAGCAAGAAGCACTTGACTGTCTCGAGATATGCCATCATGTGAAGCTCGAGACGCTATCTGTTTCCAACCAACACACAAGCACATTTGACAAAAAAAAATGGCACAGATGTTGGGAATCATGACCTTCGTGATCACTTCTAGGAGACTCTATTTTGCACTAAGCACATGGTGAGAAGTTTTGATGCGCAGAAACCCAACCATTCCCTCCCAAGAGATGTGCCCCATAGCAAAATAGCCGAGTGCTCATGCCAATCGTAGCATCGCGGTAACAACCGCGACGCGATCTCTCATACGAGCCAAGCGGCCTCGAATCTCTTGAAGTGACTTTTTTTTGATTGCTGCAGGGAGAAACCGCTTATTTCTTGGCAGCCTTGGCAGCGGACTTGGTGACCTTGCCGGCACCAGCCTGGGCCTTCTCGACCTTCTTGATGACACCGACAGCGACCGTCTGACGCATGTCACGGACGGCGAAGCGACCGAGGGGAGGATACTCGGTGAAAGCCTCAACGCACATGGGCTTCGAAGGAATCATCTTGACGATAGCAGCATCGCCAGACTTGATGAACTTGGGGTTCTCCTCAACAGCCTTACCGGTACGGCGGTCAATCTTCTGCAAAAGCTCGGCGAACTTGCAGGCGATGTGGGCCGTGTGGCAGTCGAGGACGGGGGCGTAGCCAGCACCGACCTGGCCCGGGTGGTTGAGGACGATGACCTGGGCCTCGAAGGAAGCGGCACCAAGAGGGGGGTCGTTCTTGGAGTCACCGGCAACGTTGCCACGGCGGATTTCCTTGACGGAGACGTTCTTCACGTTGAAGCCGACGTTGTCGCCCGGAACACCCTCGGCAAGCTGCTCGTGGTGCATCTCGACGGACTTGACTTCAGTGGTGACGCCAGCGGGAGCGAAGGTGACGACCATGCCGGGCTTGAGGACACCAGTCTCGATACGGCCGACAGGGACCGTGCCGATACCACCAATCTTGTACACATCCTGAAGGGGCAGACGGAGGGGCTTGTCGGTGGGACGCTTGGGGGGCTCAATGGCGTCGATGGCCTCGAGGAGGGTCTTGCCGGTGACCTTGCCGGACTTGTCCTCCTTCTCCCAGCCCTTGTACCAGGGGCAGTTGGAGCTGGGCTCAAGCATGTTGTCGCCGTTGAAGCCGGAGATGGGGACGAAGGCAACAGTCTTGGGGTTGTAGCCGACCTTCTTGATGAAGCCGGAGGTCTCCTTGATGATCTCCTGGTAACGAGCCTCGGACCAGTTGGTAGTGTCCATCTTGTTGATGGCGACGATGAGCTGCTTGACACCGAGGGTGTAGGCGAGCAGAGCGTGCTCACGGGTCTGACCATCCTTGGAGATACCAGCCTCGAACTCACCAGTACCGGCGGCAATGATGAGAATGGCGCAGTCGGCCTGCGAGGTACCAGTGATCATGTTCTTAATGAAGTCACGATGACCGGGGGCATCTGTGCGCGACACCAATTAGCAAGGGGTGGGATTGTGGATCTCGGCAGCCAAACATACCAATGACGGTGACATAGTACTTGGGAGTCTCGAACTTCCAGAGGGCGATATCGATGGTGATACCACGCTCACGCTCGGCCTTGAGCTTGTCCAGAACCCAGGCATACTTGAAAGAGCCCTTGCCAAGCTCAGCGGCTTCCTGTTTGTGGTGTTAGCGCGGTCATTGACATCGTCGAAGTTCCAAAAAAGTGTCGAAGTCGGCAGGGGTCAGAAGAGGCGGGGTAGGCGTGGTCTGTGCGTCGAGAAAATTTCCTATCGTGAATTTGTGTGCCCCTCCCCCGCTTTGATAACGGAGGGTAGCCACAAAGCCATCGAAAAGGAAAAAAGGCGAAAATGCACGAGGGAGGGGGTGGAAACAGGTGAAACGGGCTGAAGAACTGACCTTCTCGAACTTCTCAATGGTACGCTTGTCGATACCACCGCACTTGTAGATGAGGTGGCCGGTCTATGAACTGGTCAGCTTGCTGTCCGGATGCCCGCGAGAGAGCACAGGAGAGATGCTTACCGTGGTCGACTTGCCAGAGTCGACGTGGCCGATGACGACAACGTTGATGTGGGTCTTATCTTCCTTACTGTTGACGATGTTAGCGACCTTCTCCAGTGTGCTCGAGCGCCGTTCCCGAGTGTCCGCGAGCGGTGAGAGAAAAACTTACCCCATGTTGACGGTGTTGTGAAGTTCGCGAGAACGAGATTGGCGACTTGCGCTTGATGAATGCTGCAAGAAGAAGTGTTAGAGGAACTGTCGTTGGGGTCTAGACGGCGCGATGATGGGGTTACGCACTGAAGTGGCAGGTGAATGCTTGATTCAGGTATGCCGACGAAGAGAGGAAGAGTGGAAAGCAGGTGAAAGGAAATTTTGAGGAGGGGTTGTTCTTATGGCTCGAGTTTGAGAGGGGCAAGACGCTGGTGGGGCCATGCCGCTTTTTTAAAGTGGGCACCAAAATTTCTTGTGGTAGCTGCCGTGCCTTGCCGCCCAGCCCCGCGATCAGGCTTTTGTGCCTTTCCCGGCTGGACTTTCAAAAACCCATCCACTTCACGAGATGCATACCAGGAGAAAACGTCAAAGCTATCTTGCTAATAAAGCAGTTTGAATGAGATGTAAATTAGTTTCAACAAACCAAACTTATCTTCCAAGCCCGATACAGCAGCTCAGATGCCAAGCCCAAGCCCCTCAGCCAACTTATCAAAACTGCCCCTCGTCCTCAAACGGTGTCGGATTTTGGCGCCAGCATGGCAGCCGCATGTCATGCTGGCAATGCAAAAGTGGGACTTTTCACAGCAAGACGGTCAATCCCGGCAGGTTAGCTCAGGTTAGGCATTGGCTTCCAACCCAACGTCGACTATGCAATGAGATGTTGCGGACGCCTTCGGAGAACTCCCGGCGTGAGTCAACCCCAGAGGCCCGGACTTGTCTCCCATCGGTGGCGCAGTGGTTCAGCTGCGAACAACGTTCCATCTTCAACGGCAGGTGTGATGGGATGTGGCGGTCAGTTCTTTGTTTGCCGCAGAGGATTGCACCCTAATAGTTGAGGTGGCAAGACGAGACATCCTCTTCCAGAAGGTCTCGAGGCAACAGTCCTTATCCATTGGGACAAGCTCGCCGCTCATCAGATGCCTCTGACCGACCCCACCACTCCACTACATTGAGGTACCGTACAATCCAACCCAAGTTTGTATGTAGTTTGACGCAAACAGCAACCACCTCAAGTTTGAATGGTACCTGGTATTCAGCACAAATTGTTCGTGCGGCTGTAAGACGGTTGAGATGTATACGCCAAGAGGGCTCTTCCCTGTTGTGGGAACTTGAAGCATGATCATGTCGGTGCTCCCAGCAAGACCATATTCACGCCAGTTCCATTCACACCGACACCAGTGCCCCAAGTGATGCATGGATTTTCCCTCAGACGAATCGACTCGTGCCCTGGGCACGTAAACGAGTTCGAACTGAGCACAGAGTACAGTTCAACTGCCTCGCGTTTTCAGGCGATCGGTACCTCCAATGTTCCCCCGGATGTCATCCTCGAGTCCGGGGTCCACCGAAGCCAGGGGGTCCTCCGCCCCTCGGTGGACATCAAGCCGGGTCCAACTTCGGCTGAGGAAGACGAGTGGGCTGACAGGGCTGAGAGACATAGAGACGTTCTGGACCTTACCTTGTGAGCTGAGAGGCGAGGCGGACGAGAGCCGACATCTGGAGCTCGTCTGGCCTCTCCTATCTTCTGGTAAAGCAGTAGACCAAAGTGATAAAACATATTGCCCCCGGCAAGAAACCAAGGCGTTTAGCAAGACCCCGGGTCGTCACGGGCTCGATGTCCTTGCTTCCTCCACCAGGAAAACGCATCCTGTGCCCCGGTTGTTGGTTCCCCGGAACAGTGACAACTTTGGTTGAAAGCGTGTATCTGTGAAGAATGTATCCGGGGAGTAGGCGAGAACATGTTGAAAAGGGTTTAAAGTACGGGAACACGTATACCGAATGCGGCGTACAAAAACACCGAGGCCAAAGTACCAGATGGGCAGACGAGAGCACTGGTTGAGCAAATGGGTTGAGAAGTCGTCGGACTAGCGTCAGCACCAAGGGTTCCTGCACACTCCTCATCTACCTGTCAATGAGTATCAGAGACGAAGACCATACAACAGAAGCTGGTGGGCTCTTAAGGGTTGTCCTTTATCTGGCACAGTATCTCCAGGTAAGATTGACCGCCAAATCAAAATCACAGAACAGAAGAAGCCAGCAACACACCTAGCCTAGCCAACTCTTAAGCGGCAAGCTGCTGAATCTCCTCGTCTGTGAACCCAAACAGATGGAGCAGATCCAAGAGGGTATCACCGTTGATCCGCGCGCTGGCCTCCATCTGCACTCTGGGCTTCGCGTTCCACGCGACACCCAGGCCGGCAGCCTTCATCATCAAAAGATCATTGGCACCATCACCCACGGCCACCGCCTGCTCCAGAGGAATGCCCTCCTTCTCGGCAATTTCGATCAAGAGCTCGCGTTTTCGCTCCTTACCCACGATGCGGCCTTTAACTTCTCCAGTTAGCCGCCCAGTCGCCTCGTCAATAACCACTTCGTTGGCGTGGGCATAGTCAATGCCTAACTCTCCCGCCAGCCAGCTGGTAAGCGGCAGAAAGCCGCCCGAGAGCACCGCTGTCTTAACTCCCAGCCGTTTCAAGGCCTGGAGCAGCGGCCGCACGCCGTTGGTCACCTCCAAGACGGGGCGGAGCTCGTGGAAGATGGTCCCCGGCAGGCCGGTCAGCAGCTTAACCCGCTCGCGGAACGCCGAGTCAAACTCCAACTCCCCAAGCATAGCGCGGTGCGTAATGTCAGCGACGCGGGCGGCCAGATCCGGCGGGTCCTTGATGGTGGCGGCCAAGAGATCAATGACCTCCTGAGTGATGAGGGTGCTGTCCATGTCAAAGACCACCAGACGCGGGTACCGGCGCCAGAGGTTGTCGACTCTCAGCGCTACATCCACGTTCCACTCGCGCTCGAAGCGGTAGATGAGCTCATGCTTGCGCAAGTCGGCAAGGGAGAGATAATCGACGGAAGGGGCGGGGGACACGGTCAGCTCGACGACCATGGGGTGATTGCCCTGGCCGGCGTCGAGCTTGAGGCAGCGGTGCGCCGAGGTGAGGTCGGTCGAGCCGGGCGGGAGCGGGAAGGTCGACAAGAGGTGGAGAAAGGAGGTGATGCACATCGACGACACGTACGAGCCGTAAAGATGGTCTAGTGGTTCAGGCTCGGCGGTAGGCGGCTCGAGGGGAAAGCTTTCAAGACTGCTGCTTGGGGCCATGGTCGGGGGGATGTCGGATTCGGCGGTGCGAAGCGACGGAGACCTGCTCCGTGCCGGGGAGGGGTCTTTCTTCGGGGAGGGAATCGCATTCGAGATGCGAGGGGCCGTTGACCTGTAGAAGAGAGTCGCGACAAGTCTCTGGCTGCGGGCGCCAGGTCGCGGAGTGCAGTTGGGGTGCGAGAGCTCGTGGCTGACGCCGCTCTCGACAATCTTGGGGGGGTTCTCGAGCGAGGGGATTCCCTTGAAATGCGAAATCTCGCGCGGCGAGATAGATGCAGCCTGGAGGTCCTCGACAACCGTATCGATGCCATAATGGTTCTCGGGCTTGTGCGGCGGGCGATATTGTTGGTGCTCTCTTAGAAACGAGCTGCTCCGCATTGCGGCGGTCATCGAAGGCCGACTCTGCCTCGGGGAGGCGCCTGTTTGCTCAGCCATGGCTCGCGGTTTGGACAGAAAGAGCTACTGTCAATGCAACTGCCGCTAACTCGAGGCGCGATCAGATCCGTCAAAGACTGAGAAGTCTTTGCGCAGTGGAAAAACAACGATTTCTTTGTCCTGCGCCCGGGTCGTCGGGTGTTTCCAGGACGAGCGGCGCTGAGCCCCACCTCCTTCCAACGTTACCCCGCCAAAGACTTGGCATCTGGGACAACGATGAGGGTGTCACTGCATTACGGAGTACAATCCAACCTTCGTTTGTTCGTTAGCGGGGCACATGGCGGGCACTACCTTAGACATGGGATTAGAAGTGAGAAAAAGAGGGAGGAAGAACAAGAGGAAAAGACAGAAAACTAGGGAAGAAGAGAGAAGTGAAGACAAAAACAGAGAGATAGGGATATACAGGGTGAGTGAAAGAAGGATTTTTAGAAGGTGAGCGTGAAGTGCCAATAGCGAGGTTCCGCGCTAACTAACCGACCTGGGCTGAACTGTATCAGGAATCCAAAAGTCCGTTGAAGTCGGCTGCGCCTGAGGGTGTGACAAGGACTCTGGAGTTCCGGGTATTTCCTGTCGTTCTCCTTTCCGTATGCGTTTATCAAGGCAATATTGAAGACACCGTGCGATCCCTCTGGCCATGTGATGGTTTGCGCGGTCAGTGTCTCTTTCATCAGTGATTTCCCCGTGGGAAGCATGTTGGCCAGGGCGCAGAGGGAATAGGAAACAAAGTTCAGGTAGCTTGAAGCGTCGAAGAGAGCGGCTTCGAACCTCGCGTCATCCCGTCGAATCTGGCTGATCCAGTGTGCTCATTAGAACGGGGACTGTCTGACCTTCGAGCTGATACCTTCCAAGTACTTGTGTTTAACGTTATCGGGCAGACTCACGTGCCCCCATCCTGGGCTACGTCCGTCCCACAGTCTCATCTGCGAAGCAGAAGGCGCAATTGAGTCGTTAGGATGAGCTGGGACACTGATGATAGTGACATCATGGCAGAGAGCATCGTGGAGAGGCCAGCTTACCAACGCCAGAGGACTGGAGGCAGAGAGTTCCGGTATCCTCTATCTCCCATCTACCCACCAAGCATGGCAAAGATGCTAGCCGCTACCGGCGGCTATCGGAGCGGAAGAGCACAGCCAGCCCCCGCGCCACGGCTCCGAGCCTCTCCCGAGAGCCGGTCATGGCGTGGGCTTGCCACAAAGGGGAAACATCGAGGAACTGAACCCCACAAAACAAAAACTCAAGGAACCAATTGCATCGCTGTCTGGCGATTGCGTGATTTCGTCCAGCACTTACACCACACTCTAGTGAAAAGCTTCTTGAAAATGCGCCCTTAACAGCGGCGCCGCCATGTTGACCCGGGTTCCACGGTCTGGGACCAATACCAGATCGTCCTTGCCATGTGGAAGCCTTCAGGATATGACGAGGAATATCGAGAAGGCAGGCATTAGTAATGTTACTGATTTGTGGGAAACTCACCAGCCTAATTCCCATGCCAGCATTATATGATCTGAGGTGTTCCTCGGAGGCAGATATCCTGCGAGACGCTCGAACAGGCATGCCATTAGAACCTCCCTCCGTGCTGCTTTGATACAACCCAGCCCCTCTTGTGTGCTTTTACCCCCCTTTGGCGCAATTCCCGCAGCGACTTCAACACTCTCTCCCCATCCCCTTCCTCTGCAGGCCAAACTTCAACGCATCGTCCTCAGTTCACTCATCCTCTTGAGTTCTGGCCGTTCACCCACTTCCTCATCGCCCCGTACAACAACCCGTCTTCAACATGGCCGACGACTCGCGCACCGAAACATCCTCTCAGCTGTCCTCACCGGCAGACCATGGGTCAGTCGACTCCGGGTTCGTATCGCCAAACCTGTCAACTGTCAGCCTGCCGCGGATAGCCCTCACCCAGCCGCACCTCCAGCACCTCAACAAGCAGCTCGAGTCCATGCACCCCAGGGACATTCTCCGTTTCTGCAAGATCTTCTTCCCCAGCCTCTACCAGTCGACGGCCTTCGGCCTGACCGGACTCGTCACCGTCGACATGCTCTCCAAGCTGGACAAGGAGTCGCCCGATTCGCAGCAGATTGACCTCATCTTCCTCGACACCCTCTACCACTTCCAGGAGACGTACGACCTCGTTGAGCGCGTCAAGGAGCGGTACAACGTCAAGGTCCACGTGTTCAAGCCGGCCGATGTCGAGACTGTCGAGCAGTTCGAGGCGCTGTACGGCGAGAAGTTGTACGAGACCTCATCCGACCTGTACGACTGGATCGCCAAGGTGGAGCCGCTGCAGCGCGCCTACTCCGAGCTCAAGGTGGCCGCCGTGCTCACGGGCCGGCGCCGGTCGCAGGGGGGACAGCGCGGGAGTCTCCCCGTCATCGAGTTGGACGACGAGCGCGGCGTCATCAAGATCAACCCGTTCGCCAACTGGTCCTTCGCCCAAGTCAAGGACTATATCACAGAGCACAATGTGCCCTACAACGCCCTCCTTGACCGGGGATACAAGTCGGTCGGCGATTGGCACTCGACGGTCCCCGTCGCCGAGGGCGAGGACGAGCGTGCCGGCCGGTGGAAGGGCCAGGACAAGACCGAGTGCGGCATCCACAACAAGCAGAGCCGGTATGCCCAATGGCTCGTCCAGCAAGCGGCACGTCAGCAGGGACAGCAGGTTCAGGCCTGAAGTTCTCGAGAGAGTGGCCACAGGTCGCCTCTACCTAATCGCCTAAAGTCCGTTGAACTGTGGTTAGAGAGGGTCAGTGATGGGTTCATGACGATGATGAGCAGCGGAGGGTCAGACATACATTTCACAGGGTTGTGATGGCATTACACCGGCGTTAAAAGCGGGCATCGTGGTATTGGCGTTTTTTGGTCCTTTCGATCACCGGGAGGATATCTGCTTCCGATGGCATTGGCGGTTCTTTGTATTTGACGTTTGAATTGCTTCAACCAGGGCAAGATAGCTTAGCTATACCAGACAATAAGAGCTTTTGAAAGAGGATGCAGAGGCCAAGTGTGAGGAGCAGCTTGATAAAAGTTCAAGTGCGGGGATCAACTGGGTTATGAGACCACCGGGACCAGGAGCTTCACGACGTTGGGCATCCATCAGTTGAGTGGGACCTTGCCAGAAGGTAGATGTGACGGGGACACATCCAGTCCGCTAGACATCGCAACGTGGTATGCTGTGGTCCAACAGCTTTCTCGATGTCTGGCAAGATGAAGTCTGGAGCTTGCTCTCCAGGTTGGGTGGCGCGAAGTTGCGGGGTCCAATCACAACAGATCACCCCCCGGTCCCATTCGCTCCTTCCTCCTTGGGCACTCAACTGCAACGACAGTCTCAATATGTTCGCCAGGCACATCAATATCACGATCATGGTATAAAAGTAGACAAGAACGCAGCATGCATTGACCTTGATGAGTTCGATATCCCCTCTGAGGCACATCATGGCTGCGCAGGTGGCACTCTCCCCATCGCCGAACCCAATCAGGAAGGAAGCTAAGTGTCATAATCTTCCACCTCTGAGTCAACACACCTTTCCATGTCACTGACTAGAGGTTAGCAGTAAGTTAAGTGGTTCACAGAAACAAGCGCGTTGAGTCTAAGAATCTTACCCCAACGCCCATCTGCCCTGCCAAGTGCAAATAACCCATGACCATAATTCCCAGCTAACCGTGCAAAACAAAAACATATATATATTGATCTTACACCGCAAGGGCGATCGCCCCGCCCAGTTAGGGCAAGCGGTCCTTCCGCGCTATTTTACATGCAAGGCATCCGCTCTCGTGCTGCGTCCGCGCGGCTTAGTTGCCGCTTAGGCGTCCCAGCAGTCCCTCCTATCCAGCAGTCCGGAACTCACCTTTCCGGCTTGGTGACGACGAAGCTGTGGGCGAAAACAGAAACATTTATTTCAGAGCTCCGACTTCGCGTCGCTGTTCCCCAACGCCGGCAGCCTCTCCCGCAGAAACGCCTCGACGTCATCCAGTTCCTCAGGACAGGCTGAATGCTCCATATCCCTACACCGACCCTTCAGTCAGCATCGTAAATACGATCAGACCTGTGACGGCAAAACCTACTTGTAAATTTTGAGAGTGGCGTTGTACCCCAAGCCCTTCAGCAAATCGTACGACTTCTTCCCCAGCTCAGGGTGCACTACCGGGTCGGAGTCGCCATGGGCCATGAAGATGGGCGTGTCCTTGTTGAACTCGGGCTTGGGCACCAGGTCGGCGAACTTGAGGCTCAGCAGCAAGTACGACGAGAGGGCCACAATGCCCCCCAGCTTCACCTTTGCCGTGAGACCGCTGAAGATGCTGATGGCACCGCCCTGGCTGAAGCCGCCGAGAACGATTCGCTCGGGAGGGATGCCGGCGTCGATCTCCTTTTGGATAAGCTCGTGAAAATAGGCCTGGCTGACCAGAATTCCGGCCTCGTCTTCGTTGACGCTGAGCTACCAACGATGTCAGCTATGGATTTTTCATTTCAAAAATGTTCAAAGGGGTTTCAGGAGCAAAATGCGCTGTCTCGGGAGCAGGATAGCTCCTGAAGACAGTCCCAAAACGGGTATAAACAGTCCAAAAACGAAGAAAATTTGTTGCTTACAGACTCAGCGTTGCCGTCAAGGGTGTGCTGATTCATGTTAGCGAGCTGATGTGAATTGACTTACTTAAGTTAGAGAACCCACAATATCGTACCACCCGGGCATCTTCTCTCCCCAGTTGCAGGTAATCGGAATCGCGGGTGCATGAGGCAGGATGAACTTGACCTCATCGAGACGCTGTCGGCGGCGCCAGTTCTCGACGGTCCCGGCCCAGCCACGGCCCGTGTCGCCCAGGCCGTGGACAACTGTCCAGCAATGTCAGTCATTTCATGCCTCTTGAGAGTGACTTGGGGGTTCTTCGGGAGCAAAGTGCCTCTTTAGGCGGCAACGCGACTTCCACAACTCCCGAGAATTTCGAAAACGTATATGAAAAGAGAGCGAGTTTGGCATACAGATTACAGTGGCTGTGTGCCTAGCTGACGCCGGGAACAGGATGGGCTGCGCGCGTATTAGTGTCGGCATGATTGCGGATGACTGCTGGTTGTCACGAATGAAACGGAGCAGCTGATGGGGATGGCTAACGTACGGAAGCCGATAGGCACAAAACGAACATGACCACCTCAGCGCTCGAGCATTAGGACCATTTTAGTTAGCGTGCACCCGGGGCGGGATTAGAATAACGCTAACGTAACACCCATTACTACACATATATCTGTTAGAAAGTGATGGCACTTGAAACTCGGAAACTCGGTGGCTGGTGTCGTACCTATTACATAAGGCCTGGGAGATACCCAGGTAACTTGAGGAAGGGACAACTTAATTGACAACCCTGGGCTGGTCCTAAGCACTCGAAAAGTTCACTGTTTAAAAGGCTCCCATAAAGCGTATTACCGTGATCGTGGCTGTTGGTCTTCTAACAATATCTTTAAGCAATTTCCAAAATAAAGCTCAATGCTAGCCAATTAGAGCTAGGAATCTAATTCCTTACTTTGTATACGGATCCGTATACAGCAGCGCTCTACGAATCTATCTTCACTTCCCCTTCTTCTAAATTACTATAGTTACCTTTAGGTATGCTTTCTATCCAGCTTCGATTCATGCTCTAAGTACTAACGTATATATGTAGAAGACGAGTAGCATCGAGGCGAGGCACGTAGGCACTGCAATAGTTGACTCTATTCTGCTAATCTGTCACGAATATGGCCGTATGCAGAAATCTGGTGGGGGCGCGAGGGGAGCGTCCCGAGTCAATCATTTAGAACAGGGGTATAGCCAATCACGACGGGAGCGCGAAGTCAAGCATTCGCTCCATGGAAGGAGCGATGGGAGCGACGAGCGCTCCCAGCGGACCAGGAGCGGCAGGAGCGAACTTCGCTCCTACGCTCCTAAGGACAGTAGGAGGGGAAGCTGTATATAGTTCACGATCCCCAGAGCCTACGGGCATCACAGTAGCTTCCTCAGTAAGCAATACAAGCAGTCAGCCATATCTACTGTTGAGACAATTGCTTGTGCACTTGTTGTGAACCCTTTGGCTTCACCGAACCTCACCCCGTTGTCAATTATAACCTTCAGGAGTCCCTTTCAGAAGTTGGGGCTTTGAAATTCGTCACATAATCGCAAGATGAGAAGAAAAGTGTTGGAAAGTCGTGGCACTGGAACTTCGGACGCTCAGCTGCAAGTGCCCTGCTGTTGGATGCATGGCTGCCCAACTGAGCGTCAGGCAACGTGAGGGGTAACCCGGGCGCTGGACAACGAGGTCAGGGCGATTCCCCCTTCGCTGGAGACGTGAGAGAAGAACAACCTTCAATCAAGAACATCTGGGATGCTCCGAGTATCTCAAACCCACTGTTGTAAGCTCCCATCATCTGTGTGATCACCGTGGAATCGTGGCTGTTGGTCTTCCAACAAAAAGAAAGAGAAGCTGGAAGAGCTATCGCGATGCAGAAGTTAAATGCCAGGGCAGGTGGGACACGTGCACTCAGTGGCAGGTGCTGCCACCTGCACTCCGACAGCAGGCGCCGTCACAATATTCCTCTTAAAGCTCTAATATGACTCTTTCTCTCCTTATGAAGCCTCTACGATTATAGAAAAATTTATAGTCTAAGGACAATAATTATACTCGCGAATATACGATGTCTAATTCTAATAATGACCAGACCGCAGTCGCTCAGCCTATTACTGACAATCTTGAGCTTCAGCCGATCGATGTCCACTCTATAATAGAGGAAAATGTAATGGTCTTAGGTAGTATATTGCAACTAGCTGATGACGACTCTACGGGTACACTGAACTTGGAGAAGAAAAGGAGAGACGATAGACTCTGGTAGCTCGCAAGCATACTTATCCTCGTGGGCGCGCTGGTCTGAGCGCATTACTAGAAGATTCGGTGTGCTGTGGGGCGAGTGGGAATGGCTTCATCACGGTCTTGGTGCTGGCCGAGAGTCGCCGAGGCTCACACCGGGCCCAGCCCGTTACAGAAAATGAAGACCTGCCTCTCTAGCCGAGAATGAAATTAGTATGGACATTCCTGCTAGTTCTATATTAGATACTGCAGGAAATACGTCGGGTACTTATATAGCCAGCAAAATATAGTACTCTACTTAATAAAATGAAATTCTCGTATAGCTTGCATAGATTTCGTAGGACTAGTTGACCAACTTCCTTCGCGTTTTAATAGGCATAAGCTGCCACGGCGGGACAGGCGGATAATCCGATGACAATTGTATTTGGGCTAAACTACAATCTAGGCTCTATTCCGTCAGGTACGAGCAGACTTGATTATCAAGACGTAGCTCAAGGAGCTACGAACAGAACTCGTGGCAGCGAGATGTAAGATCTTCAAACCACAGGAGGCCCGTGCTTCCCACACGCCGGGCCCCACCCGTAGGTCCTGGCAGGCGCGGCGCAGTCGCCGTGACATAAGCACTATTGCTTAGGATAGTAATATAACAAACATTCTTCCTACTAGTTCTAATATAGATACTAGTTGTAACGGTCTCAGGTAGTATATTGCAACTAGCTCATGACGACTGTACGAGTACACTGAACTTGGAGAAGAAAAGGAGAGACGACAGACTCTGGTAGCTCGCAAGCATACTTATCCTCGTAGGCGCGCTGGTCTGAGCGCGTTGCTAGAAGGTTCGGTGTGCTGTGGGGCGAGTGGGAATAGCCTCGTCAGGGGTCTTGGTATTTGCCGAGAGTCGCCGAGGCTCGCACCGGGCCCAGCCCGTTACACTAGTCCCAATATATCAGCCAAGCCTAGTTCTAGTTAGGCTGCAATAGATAATCGATAAGATGATAGTATAGACGACTTTGACATTATCTCGATATATTGCTCCTGCTATATCCTTAATTTTCTTTATCAGCACATAGTCTCCGCCTCTATTATAGAGTATAACGATCTGGAAGACAATACTCCTCGTCTCAACCGCCATTTACTACATAGAGATTTAATGCAGTAGTTAAAGCATTGAGTAATTGAGAGTTGAGGGTGTAAATGTAGTAAGCACGCTAGTACTGAAGTAGTTATGTTCGTTTTGTGCCTATCGGCTTCCGTAGTACGGCAGAGCTCCGCTCCGTGTTTCAACTTCCAGCGTTGCGAAAGCTTCGGACTCTTGCATATCGCGCGATAGATAAGGTTAGGATCTCCTCTACTCAAACGGCTAAGTACCCATTACACAGTATATGCCATTTCCCTATACGTAAGGATTATGGAAAATCTTCGGGAGGTTATTGAACTTCCGGGCTCATTAGTAAACACTTCAGACGAGAACAAGGGCCGACAAATCGGATGCCAAGAGCGCGAGTGCAAGGGTAAGTTCCCTAGTGCTAACTGCTGGTTATGGAAGTTATCCCTAGCGCGCGGCAGCCGATTTGGGAAGAAACAGCCTATGAACTGCCGTCTAACATGCCTCGATCTAGATCAAGACAGCTCAGCTTGTATCTCCTCCCCGCATCGGTGCTCATCCTGGCTTTCCTGTTGAGTTCATCAATCCCGCTGGCTCGCAGCTTGCCATTTCTATCCAACATCAGAAGCTACTCGCACCTGTTCAGGTCACATCCGCCATTTTCCAGCATGCCGCAAGCGCCGGTGTACTTCTTTAGCCACGGAGGGGCAAGTAAACAACAACCCTAACCCGGCCCTATCTTCTTAGCTGACAATTCTCCCAGCCAGATGTGCAGTACAATAAGACACACCCCGTCTATCCCGTTCTCCAGGCAATCGGCAAAGAGATCACCCAGAAAGTCAAGCCCAAGGCCGTGATGGTCTTCTCAGCCCATTGGCAGGCCGAGCCCAGCGAGATTCACCTCAATAATGCCGAAGACACCGACCTCATCTACGAGTATGTATACCTCTACCCCCTTCAACCTTCAAGCATGATGTTAACATAGTCACGCCAGCTTCTATGGCTTCCCGCCGGAGTTCTACAAGGCCACCTTCCCCAGCAAAGGCAGCCCGACGCTGGCCGCCCGCATCCTGACCCTGCTCTCCGACGCGGGCATCAAGGCCAAGGGCCTCAAGCGCGGGCTCGACCACGGCGTCTTCTCGGGCTTCAACGTGGCCTTCAACCCGGAGGAAAACCCGCTCAACTGTCCACTCGTGCAGGTGTCCCTGTTCAACAACGAAGACCCAGACGCGCACTACCGCCTCGGTCAGGCCGTCGCACCGCTCCGCGAGGAGAACATCCTCATCGTCGGCACGGGCATGACGGTCCACAACCTGCGCGACATGCGCTTCGCCTGGGGCAGCCCCACCCCGCTGCCGTATGTCGTGTCGTTTGATAACGCGCTCAAGGAAGCTGTCGAGGCGGATCCCAAGATCAGGCAGGAGCGCATGGCGGCTGTGACCCGGCGGCCGGACGCCAAACAGGCTCATCCCTGGGCTGATCACTTGATGCCCGTTTACGTCGCGGCTGGTGCGGCGGGTAATGATAAGGGCATTCAGACGTGGACGTTGCATGAGGCAAGCTTCGCCTGGGGGCAGTACCGGTTTGGTGATGTTCCCGCGTGAGGTCAGTAGCGCAGCAGGGTGATGTTAGTGTCTTGCAAGAATCAGTTGCAAATAGCTACAATGTCCGGTCTATAAACCATTCTCCGCCAAGACGGCGCATTATTTCCAGTTATTGTCTTTGCCCCTTTTCCTAGACCATGTAGCAACCTTGCCTCCAGCATTCGGCCACCTCCGTACAGAGTATACAGAGCGAACTCCGACATCCTCCTTCACATCTGTCCACCAGACCCCCGATTATCTCCAAGCTTTTCCGCATCCTCAGCTGGAACCTTGTATGTACGCCTCCGCTCCAAGTGCCAAAGCTCTGCTCACCCAGGGGCCACCACTCCTTCCCTAATTCATACTCGAGAAAAGAAAATTGTTGGTGTGACCTTGGAGACGGTAACGCCCCCCTTACATAGCGGCCACGACCGTGTCATCCACCATCTCCGAGATATCGCCCAGGAACAGACTGGCGAGGACCGAGACGGCCCCGAACGCAACGCTGCAGTAGTACACCCATGGATAGGCATTGGCATACGCCAGCTGGCCCGCGGCGACAACTTCGGCCCAGATTCGCTCGTCGATGCCCGGCTGGTGGCGAATCTCCTTGATCAGCGACACCGACGTCAGTTCGATCACCTCGCGGATGACTTGGCGGTCGACAATCCCGCTGCGCACGCAGGCGGCGCCCACGAGCGTCGTCAATTCGGGGACGAGCTTGTTGACAAAGACGTTGAAGTAGACGGCGTAGCCCACCGCGCCGCCGACGATGCGGATGGCGATGGTCAGGGCCGTGACGGTGGCGATGACGTTGCCGGGGCAGATGATGGTGGCGATGGTAGAGACGGGGATGGTTATGCCGCCGACGCCGAGGCCGGCGACGAACAGGATGGCGTAGACGGCGCGGATGTTGTCGACGGTGGCGAGCGATAGGCAGCCGCAGCCGACCGTCATGAGCGCCGAGGCGCTGAAGACGAGCCACTTAATTTGGCCGCGGAACCACGAGAGGAGGAAGAGCGAGGCGACGCAGCCGCCGAAGACGCCAAAGGCGAAGGGCATGCCGCGGATGCCGACGCCGACGGGACTTTTTTGTGGGGCGGATGTGTCAGTGACTGAGCGGAGGGCGCTGGGTGGTGGGAAAAGATGCGGGGATACTCACTCATGTCCGTACACGTTGTACGCCTCGGGAGGCCAGAGTAGTAGCACCGAGAAGAAGTTGGCGCCCGAGATGAAGGTGATGAGCATCGTGAGAGCCAGGGTCCGGGGCGCTTTGGTGAGATGTCGAGGGACCATCGGGTTGGCAGTGCCGCATCGCTGCCAGACCACGAACGAAGCCATCAAGAGAACTCCTAGGATTAGAGGGACCAGAGTCTGCACGCTCGTCCAAGGGTACTTCAGACATGTTAGCCCCCTTTTTGCCCGGTCAATACCAGGAACGATGAAAAGAAACTCACCTGATACCCTCCCATAAGAATCCCCGCCTCAAAGCCAGCGAGCCCAACAATGGACAGCAAGCCTCCCACAAAGTCGGTCCTCTTCAGCAGTTGCATCTTCTCCTCCCGGGTTTGCAACCGAGCGCGCGGCGGAGGAAAGTAGAAGGCGACTGTCGCGATGAGGCCAATGAGTGTCCAGACGGCCGTCAAGACGGAAATGTACCGCCAGGTGGAGTGGTAGGCGATCAGCTGGGCGTACATGGCCGATGGCAGGAAGGGGAGGACGGTCAGCACGATGCCGGCGATGTAGTAGCCGCGCTGAGAGAGCGGCACGAGCTCAGCGGTGCCGGCCAGGGCCGTCAGCTCGTCAATACCTGTGCCGACGCCAGTGATGGCCATGCCGGCTGATACATAACGTCAGCATCGGCCACCGTCCAGTTTTGTTACGTGGACTCTTGCAGAGATGGACTCACAGATGAACATGGGCATTCCATTCGCGGCTCCACAGATGACTTGACCGAGGAGAATCGTGACACTTCCAACGATGGCGACATAACGGCGGCCCATGAGATCTGAGAGGGCACCGACAAACGGGGAGATGGCGGCCGTGGCGAGGAGGTTGGTGGTAATGAACCACACCCAGTAGTTCACGCCGCCGAGGTCGCGGTAGATGTAGACCGGGGCACCAGCTGGGTCAAGCGTCAAGAATCAGTGACTGGCAAAAGCAGAGAATGGCAGGAACCGAAACCAAGACAAGAGAGGAGGGAATCGTGGATGATTTACCAAACAGATACAGAGGAGCCTGAGCCCCCGTCCACATGAAGGCCAGCGCGATCAGGGCCATCCATCGGTCGATGCTTCCCTGGAGACGAGAGCCGTCAGTGTCGGGAATTGTTGGAGGTCGAGGGCAGTGGGAAGGGCAAACCGAATGCCTTCCGCCCTCTTCAGCGCGGCCATCTTCGTGCAACATCATGTCGCTGGGCATTCTGACGGAGAGCTCCCAATGGCCATCGTGAGCCTCGTCAGAGACATTGGTCTCTTCCTTGGCAGGAGGATGAGAGGTTCGAAACAGCGGCATAGGGACTGAAGCTTTCTTCTGTCCCTATTTCTCTCTTTTTGGTTGTCGAGATGGTCCCTGTGCACGGCCGTAACTCATTATTGATCTGTACAATACCATGTAGAAAGTGAGATGACTCGGGGGGTTACATACCTGTAATAAGGACGCAGGAATCGACGGAAGGAGAATTTTTGAGTAGATTGGTTTGCTGCTGTGTAATGATCCAGAGGAACGCCACTTTGTGTCTCGTTCCGAACCGCATGAGGCGAGAGGGCAAACACGGGAGGAAAGGGATCCTTTGATGCCTCGAATTGCAAACTCTTCTGCCGTCCATCCATTCCTTCCCTTTAAGGCGTGATGACCTTCAGCTTGGGATGAAAGTTGACCGACACCCACCCCTTGGCACAGCCCTCCGGCATCAGATTCGAGCAGTTGGTTCTCCAACCGTCACCGAATACCGACGACCAACAGCCACGATGATGCAGCGCGGCAGGGAGAGGCCCTGAACGGCCTGAGCATGTCACGTTGATCTCAGGCCCGAAACGGTGTGTGGGTATCTTGGGCCCTTAGTCCATGTAGGCGGATCCGGGGACAGGCGTGTTTGGTGAGTGGAAGTTGAAGCATACACAGGGGTCGACACATGGGCAAAGACGGAGAATATGCCGGTATCCCTTCAGTTCCGTTATCATCGGGCCGGAAGGCTTGTTTCTTCGAGCAGGCTAAAATGCAGGACAACTCCGCGGGCCTTGAGCCTCTCTGCCGTCCGTCGTGAGTTGTCTAGATCCGCAAGGCATGACGTGGATGGCCGCCGGTTCGCGCTCTGCAACCCAGATGCCATGCACATGTCAAGGCTCGTGAAGTCGGCACACCCTTCCCCGTAAGCACCCATCTCATATTGATACACCTGTGTAACCCTCATCTTAAGACGCGTCTAGGCATGGAGGATCTCAACCACCCGCCGGGAGGAATAGTAGCAACCACTCCAATAACGATTCTAGGGCCAAGGATGAACGAGGAATTGGCGTTGAGCCCCTATGTCGTGCGTCCTGCCCTACTCGCTAGTTAATCAGCCCTCATGCCTCATCTTTTCGGGGCGGTAACCATCCGTTGTGCAGCAGTTAGCGGCAGCGGACGCAGCAAATGGGAGTCGTGACACCAGGGCCCGCTGAATTCATATGCCCCCAAGTCTAGGTAACACGGCAGGACGAATAGACAACGGTACGCGCGAAAAGGAACCCACGACGTCTGAGAGTCTTAAAGGGTCTCAACCTTGCGGTGTGCTTCTAGTCAGTTCAGAGATCTAGGATCTGATATGCTCGGTGGAGAGAGCCATTAGGGAAATTATCATACGATTTTCGTTGACCATTGCGGGTTTGCGACGTAAGTCGTGAGGGCGATGCCGGTCTGGAAGGACGGTTGTCGGCCGAAGTTTATAACGTAACAGGAAGAGGTTCGTTGGAAGCGCGAGTGCGATGCAAGACGTCGGGCCGCAAAGAGACCGAGACATGGAAGGAACGAGGTACTTGCAAACGGCATCCTTGTTCTTGCAGAGCGCACGAAGGTACAGTGTGCTTTGCTAGCTTCCAAGTTTGCCCGAGATTTTGACGGCAAGGCAGGATGCAAGCCGACTCCCATGGGTAAGCTTCTGTATGCTTCCATGTCAGGGACAGCCTTCATCAGCGTATAGAGTGACACTTTCCACATCTGTTACCCACCAGTACCACCAATTATGACTTGCACGGTGTGTCTGTGTGATGGATTGGGAGTGTCAATCTTCCTTCTTATGCCTCTGACATTGTCATTCCCCCTCAACTCACATACCTGGTGGTTGACTACACAAGGCCACCGATATGGCCCTCGCAAAGTATTCGATGCTTGCACTCAATGCTTTTTGAGTAGGTAGAGGACCCCGCCTCGAGATCGAGGCCGTTCGGTAGCCTGCTCGTCTGGGGAGGGGTGGGGGATAATCTTTCGGGCCCGATCTGCCTTACAGCAAACCCAGGGTGTGCCTGGCAACAAGACCGAAGCAACCCAAGCACAGGTACATCTTTTGGGAGTTGACGTTTGAGACTGTGAGGCAACGCACGTACGACTGTTGACGAGAAGACAGGGAAGGGTCTACAGAAGATGAAAAAGACGCAATACATGTGTAAGAGGGGCTGATGAGGGAAAGAAGCTCACTCTCATCAAATAGGGCCGACAAAACGAACCTGTTGGTTCCAGTTTGGAACCGACTCCGCTGATCGCCCGCCGGACCCACCGGCCTGGCAACCCCCGGTTCCCGGCGCCCGGTCCCGGGCCAAGCAAACCGGCACCCGAATGGCCGACCTCCGGCGACATGGCGGCATATTCCGTTCGGGGCGGCACTATCCAGAAGCATGGCTGAAGGCAAATACGCGTAGTGGGCATATATTTGCCAGTCAAAGGGGCTGGGGGAGGCATCGAGTAGGGCCGACTACGGGTACTGCCGACATGGATGGCGAGTTCAGACGGGATTCCGGGCGACTCCTCCTTCACTACTACCTTCGCAACTGGGCCGGGAAAGAAGGAAGAAAAAAAAGGTGGAGGATGCAAAAGGAATGGGAAAGAAAGGCCGATTGTGACATCAGGAATTCTCTGGTTGTCACCGGGCAGTTGCTGTTGCCTAGCAAAGTACAAAGTCCCAAGTTATCCAACACCCGGTTTCCTGATTTGGGAGCTGTACGCTGACACAGATGGCAGAGAGAGAATCAAGTCAAGTTTTCCATTAGATGAAGCATGAAGTCCGAGTGCTGAGCCCCCAGCAACAAAAGAACAAGGCCAGTTCATGTCCTGCAGCTGAAGCCCCATCCTGATTAATCCATGACAGTAGAAAGTCCAAGCAAAAGTGTGTGCGACTCAACCTAGTTGCTGACTCGCTCACTCTGGGAGCGTTGGTATCCAAACAAACTCAGAAATATGTACAATGTGGTATCCCCTGAACGCCACGCCACACCAGGTTCCAGCCTCTCTCCCTTTCCTCCACCGCCGTTGTTCACGAATACAGCCCTACTTACTACCACCACCCAAAGCACCCCCCCTCTTCTACAAAGCATAATTCTCAGTATGCAAAAATATCTCCTCCAGCATTTCATCCCCCCAAATCTCCGCCTGCAGTTTCGCAACGGTATTCGCAACCCCGACCCTCATCGCCGGCGGGCCGCACACAAACACGGCCGTCCTCCTCCCCAGGATCCCCCTCCCGTCTGGCCCGCCCGTTGCCCACTCCTTGAGCATGTAGCCCAGGTCCGGCCGCCCGTACTCGACACTCCACCCACCGTCAATCTCGTGCGGCACGGGGAACGCGAACCGCATCAGCGACCGCTGGAACTCGGTCGGCGTGTTGGGGAACCCAAAGTCGAACCCCGCCGGCGGGCCGAGGAACGTGCTGGTCGGTCTTGGTGGTCGGGAGAACGCGGGGCCGACGTTGGTGCGGAGGTGGGCCAGTTCAGGCGGACGGACTGGTGCCGAGCCGTTACCGTTGCCGTCTTCTGTGGGTTGGTCGTTGGTGGTGATGGTCATGTCGTTGGGAGGGTGAACTTCGCTGTTGCCTGCTTGGCTTAGGCGGGGTTCTGCTTCGGCGAGGATTTGGCTGTAGCGCTGCCTTGCTGCTGGCGGAGCATAGTTGAAGTGAGGCATGCCGTCTACCCGCGGTGCCAGGGGTGGGAAATGGAATTCGCCATCGCTCTTTTTGCTATGATGGCTGGAGGCGGCAGGTTCGATCGTCTTCCACTCGCTGTCGCGGCCCTCGAGCTTGCGGAGTGCCTCGTCCGAGGGTGACAGCCCACTCATGTTGGGAGGCGGGCCGGGCGGCGGCGGCGGGAAGGCATGCGGCTGCAGATATTTTTGCTGCGGTAATGCCGTGATGCGATCTTCGTCCTCGCGCCGTAGCTCGCGCTCCCGCTCCGGGTCGCCTTGCGCCTCGGCCATGATCAGGGCGCTGTTGCGCTTGCTAGCGATGCCTGCCACGAAGCCGTCCAGCTTGTCGTGGAACAGGTTGCTGAGAGGCCTGGGCGCCCGGCCTTGGTGGGCAGCAGGGTTGGGCTTCTGCCTCACCGACGCCGTGACGAAGAACTTGCAGGTAACGCTCTCTGGCGGTGCCGCCTCGCGACAAATCCGGAGCTCCTCGCGAAACCAGTCCATGGCTTCGAGCCGCTTCAGTGCCCACACCACCACAATCTTCTTCGTGATGGCCTTGCCATCCCGCATGCGCTTGATCAGATTCAAGAGCTGCGACATGAGCGACGTGATGCCGCTCCCGCCGGCGATCAGGATACATGTATCAAATGCCGCCAGTTCACGGCGCATTCCACCATAAGGCCCGTCAAGGAAGGCCCGGTAGGTGTGGAACGGCCCTTTTTCAATGGCCGTCTCGAGCACCTTGCGCGTGAAGCCACCGTACGGGCGGAAGACGAGCACACAGTCTCGATACTCCTCGCCGTACTCGGAAGGGAAATCCTCACTGCACAAAGACGAGATGGTGAAGGGGTGGTTGTCGAAGAGCGAAATACCCGGCATCCGGAGATAGACGTATTGGCCAGGCTTCCACCGCATCTGGGTGGGGATAGTGATCTTGATGGCGTTCTCCGTCATGATGTTGATAGCGGCTTCATCCCCCACAAGCCATGCCATACGCCACGGCTTAGTCCAGTTCAGCTTGAATAGGCGCAAGAGGTTGCAGAAGACAAGGATACCGACGGTCGCAGATAGGTAGCCCCATGACATGAGGAAGTTCTTGGTGTGCCAGAAGAGAACGCCGACGTAGATGTAGCCAACCGGCGCGTGCAGGAGGGAGAATATTTCGTATGCCTTCCTGCGGATAATAGGCAGGGAGCCCACGCAGAGCCAGCCGAGAGGGACGAGGCAGGCAATTCCGGATCCATAGATGATGCCGCTCCCGGGAGGAAAAAGGGCCTCAAACACCTGCATTCCGCCGTCCTCCCAAACCGGCTGGATATAGAACGGGACCATGTGAACCAGCGAGAGGAAGAGGCACAGGTAGCCCAGCCAGCGGTGGAAGACGTTGAGGCGCTCTGGCCCGATGCCTGTGATCAGGGTAAGGAGGTTCGCCTTGGTGCTGGTCACGGCAATCCAGGGCGTCATAGCGACAGCGATCATGCCCGAGCGAATGGCCAGCGGTGGTGACCCGAATCGGATACTCTGCCAGTAAAGAGGCTGCTGCAAGAAGCAATAGATGGTCACAAACGTGAGCGCGATGAAGACGCAGCTGAGCACGGCGAGGGACGAAAAGGTGAATCGGCGTTTCCTCCACACGATATCCGGGATCGGGCGGTAGAAGACCCATCGGAACAGGGCCAAGGTGTCGTTGACGAAGCTGACGGATGAGAAATGCGCCTTTGGCTTGAAGGCCTTCTCCTGGATGTGCGGCTCGTCCGGGAAGAAATGCCGCCTTGATTCCGAGGCTGTGACGCCCGTCGCCAGCGCCGCCGACCTGTCCCATTCTGGTTCCAGCGAATACAGGTTCCGAAAATGCTGCTCCATGTCCTGCTTATAAATGGCCTGCCGGATCTTGTCTTGCCAGTAGTGCCAGACTCTCATGAACACCGCCATGCCCCCGAGCGCGAGGGCGAAGTACGTCCATCCCAAGCCATATTTGCCCGACTGCGACCATGGATCGACCGTGAGAGCCTGTATTAAGCCCGGCGGACTGTTTGGCGCAAGCGGGATGTTGATTCGTTTCGCGAGCTCAGCAACGGTCGGAGAGGAGGCGCCGGCAGCGTTGCGGAGCGCTGGTTCGATGTGCGAAGCCATCTGATGTGTTCTGGTGCGCCTGAGCTTGGTGATGAGACGGCTTCAGCTCGGCCACCGATCCTCTCTGTGTCACTTGTCCAGAATGGTGTTGTGGAACCCGAGTCGTGGAACGTAAGCTGCCGTCGAAGCTGTCGGCGACGGCGAAAAGGACAGCAATCTTTGACCGCCCGATTCAGTCGAGATTAGAAGACGCCGCGTTTAAATGACGAATCCATCGGAACCAGCAGAGAGACAGGAGTCGCGCGGTCGGAGAAGGCCCAACAAAGTGGGATGGGACAGCGGCGTGGATTGAGAGACGCGAGTTGCGGTAGGAATATCAGTATCGCTCACCTCTGCTCAATCCCAAGTCGATAGACAGCTATGAGCAAGCTGAAGCGCCTACTCCAAGGCCAAACGGTGAGAAAACTTCATCAGCGTTGTCCCAGTTGATGTTGTCTCGCAGGCGCAAGTCAATCAGGACCAGAGACACCTGTTGAACTTGAAGGGGTCCGGGATGGGAATGCAAGCAGAGGCACACGCCAAGGACCAGCAGCGGTTGCGTGGGCCTTAGTATTGGTTATCCCAACTGCACAGCTGCAGAGGTATCACACAGTGGTGGAGATAGCCCGCGGAACAGAGTCGGTAGTGTCCTTTGCGGACCGGACTGTAACGTTATTCGGGAGACCTGCACGACAAGCGGGCGCTAGGCCTGGGGCCTTGCAGATTCGGGGTGGGAGGGGAGGCCAACTCCGGACGGTTCAAACTTCGAAGTGAGCTGCAATCCTTTCTCGGCAGCTGTTATCTCATGCGGCGTCGATGCGTGGGCAGGGCGGGAGACACGCGCAGCTGGCAACGTGCGCACATGGAAGCGGATGCTGTGACCGCAACTTCCAGGAGTCCGTCCCTCCAACGACGCAAGACAGTGACCGTAGCACGACCGTTGCCTTGGGCCTTTCTTGAGGAAGATGTTTGACGATGTCGAGTAACTCCGCACTACCTATCACCGATACTGTGTTGATTACGGTGGCACAGAATACCGTGCAAGAAAGGCGCTGTATCCTACTCTGTACATCTAGATGTCCCCAAGAGAAGGAACCAGGGACGGTGCAGTGGGTGCCAGGATGCCATATGGCCCATGAGCATCGGCGACCGCCAATGTGACCATGGCTGACGTGCTTTGCAGGATGTGCAGGCCACGAATTGGAATAGCACGCTTCGCCCCCAGTAACAGGGCCCTGAAGGTCCCGACATTGTGATGTCTCTGGGCTCCGAAAAGCCCGTCAAATCGCGTTCGACCATTGGGGTGACAGTTGAGATGCAGCTCAGCGAATGGCGAGCAGCTTAGGCCTGTCGTTGGATGTTCCGGGCAAAGGAGGGCGGCCAGTGTGGGGAAGCCAGAAGAACGGTGACAGGGGGAATGTGCGGCCTGGGCGGCAAGAGGGGATTTCTCATTGGCTGCCTGTCGGTTCCGTTCCCTCGTCCACTCTGAGTCGGCCTGTCCTTGCCTTGATCCGATTGCTGCAGCTTTCTCAGGTACCGATGAACTATGATGTCTGCACACGCTGCTTTGTAAAGTTGTGTTGAAGCTCCTGGAGACGGCCGGTTGTTGAGTGCATCAGCTCTATGCTGATAAGACGACGAGAGTAAAGGCCGGTACCGTAGATATATGTTCGACGGCTCTGGCGTGACCTACCTTGGCCGCTGTGAAAGCGTAACCGGAAAGCGTTTGTGTGCTGGGAAACGTCCAGTCTATCCTGATACCCCAATTCCTCGCAGACAAACATTCCTTGACCTTTGGCAGCTCCATATACTTGATGAAGAAGACAGTTTGCGGAACATCCCGGCGCATTGATATGACACTGAGAAGTCAAGGAAAAGAAGACACTTGTTGAAAGCTTTCCTGATCCTGCCTCCGAGATTCCGAATCCAATATCCGTACCAGACCGTCTAACTCGCATATACCTTCGCCTTCTCCCCATCAAATGACAGCCCGCTGATATCGGCGCTGAGTTTCAGACCCTGCACCATCTCAGCCAAGACGATACCCGTACCAAGACTCATGGCAATACCCCAAGGCCCGTGGCCCGCAGCGACAAACACCCCGCCTTCGGCCCCTCCTCTGGTCGCCATGCCGGCGCCGAGATCCTGATCCCGAATCCTCGAGATAATCGGCGTGCCCCAGGAGGTAATAGGCCGGAAGCACAATCCCTCCCGGACAATCTCCAGGTCGTCTTCGCCTTCGGCTCCCGACCCCAGAATCTCCTTGGCCGCCTGTCGCAGCTGCGCCAGGTCCTTGGAATACGGCGTCGCCTTACCGGCCGCCGCGTTCGGAAGCGGCAGACTTGACGAGTTCAGTCCCGCAAAGTAAATGTGACCTCCCAGCCGAGAGAACATCTCCGGGCAGAAGCCCTCGTTATGCGTGGTGAAGATGGCATGGCACCCGTTGGGTTCCAGCCCGGCATGCCATCGCGGTGACTTCAGGACCATGGAGTGGCCGGCCAGGCTCTTAATGGGGATTTGAAGGGTCGACTTGGGGAATAGCGTCTGGAACACCTTCCCTGTCCATGATCCAGCCGTGATGATGAGCCGCGCGCAGGGTAATTCCGTTTCGGCAGACGACTCGAAAACTGCGATGCGGAGACCAGATACCTCGCCCTGCTCGTTCGTGACCACCGAGATCGGCTTGGCCGGATGGTGAAGCCTCACCCCGCGCTTGACGCATTCCTGCAAGAGGAACCGGCAAAGCAAAAGGGGGTCAACCTGGGCCGTGGTGCCCTCGTCGCTGATGAGCTCCATGTGGTCCCCGTCCACCCTGCGCAACCAAGCCGGCGTCTTCCCGGACAGCGAGTCGAGGACAGCAGGGGCAGCATCGGCCCGGCTCGTGCCGTCACGCAACCAGTCGTCGCCTCGCTTTTGGGAGTGGCGCGTTGCGGCAGATGCCACATAGCTGACACACGTGGAGGGCGCGTAACCCCATTGCTCCCTTCCGCCATGCTCCTCGGCGAGCCGGCGGTGTTCCTCAAAGCTCAAGGCGCCGAGTGCCGACAAAGAAGGGGAAAACCAGTCTTTGGCGAGGAACCCGCCCGCATATCCGGACGCCGAGGAGAAGAGCTCGGGGGACGGCTCGACCACATGGATGCTTGTTGGATCTTGGTGTTTGGACAGGTAGTAGGCTGTGGAAACGCCGATGATACCCGCACCAAGAATGACTGTATCAGAAGACATGTCTACAATATGGGTTGAACCTGTCGGGTATTTGGTTGAACGACTGAGAATGATAGTCACAAGGAACATACAAAAGTAAATTAATACTGTCAAGGCACTCTGTAAAAAGGGGGGCGGAGGGAAATCTCCCCTTCCGGCCCAGAAGACCTCCGTTCGGACGGCTTTGATGGAGTCGAGGCAGCTGGATATGGAGAAACCCCGATGGCAAGGCACGCCTTTGGATTAGCATTATTCCCCGCTCCCCACATGGAGGGGTTTCCAAATTTTTTGGATGAACGCTCAGAAGCTCGGAGGCGCTCCGGCATCAACAGGATCTCGCCAAGCCGCCAACGTTACTGGACTGTCAAGCACCCCCAGTTCGAGATGGAATCGAAGGTGGTCATCGTCACCGGCGCAAGCCGTGGCATTGGCCTCGCGGTGGCCGAAACACTTCTGGCCGCATCGCATAAAGTTGTTCTCGTTTCTAGATCAGCCGACAAGCTACAACAGCTGAAGGAACAATATCCTTCGAAGGTCGCATACCTTGCGGCTGATATGACACTCGCCGATGTAAGTGAGATAATTTGTGTCTTTTGACTTATGTTTTCGTTGGCCGGATGGAGGCCTCTAGACCGGTGTTGACTTCAACCCAGACAGCCTGGAGGGCAACAGAGCTCGCCATCCTCACATTTGGCAAAATAGATGGAGTTGTGGTGAACCATGGAGTGCTGTCTCCCATGACCCGCATCGAAAATGCCTCGGTTGAGGAATGGAAGAAACTCTACGATGCGAACTTCTTCAGCGCGCTGGCACTGGTGAGTGGAAAGAGGACACCCATGAGCTGAAGACGACACTGACATTTGAGAAGACGAAGGAGACAATCCCTCACCTGCGTGCTTCAAAGGGCCGTATCGTCTTCGTGTCCTCTGGGGCCGCCACAAGCGCTTACACCTCATGGGGCGCATACGGATCGTCAAAGGCGGCCTTGAACTCTCTCGCCAAGCACGTTGGCGTCGAGGAGCCAGTCATCACCTCGGTGGCCATCAGCCCGGGTCGTGTCGATACTGATATGCAAAAAGAACTCCGGGAAAAGGGTACGGAAATGGCGAAGAAGGACTACGAAACTTTCAAGACGGACTTCGAGGAGGGAAGGCTCATCAAGCCCGAGCAGTCCGGCAGAGTCATCGCGAAGCTCTCTGTTGACGCCAAACCAGAGCTTTCGGGCAAGTATTTCAAATGGGATGCGGCGGAGCTTGCTGAGTATCGCTAGCTGGGAGAAGGAAGACCTGTCTGGTTGCTTATCAGCGTTGAACAGATCAAGAGCAGAATATCAAAATGCGCGGATAGAAAAGCAGTCAGGGGTAAAAGAAGGCTTTATTTTCCTCCACATACGGGTGTTCAGTATTAGCATGGAATATAAAGGTGTTCATCATATGGTGCGTGACTCTTTCAGGATGAAAAATGACCTACCACCTACGGCAGTCCTGCCCAGCTCTTTATCAAGCCCAGCGCTGTCTGGGAACAACGGAGTCAGTATTTCGATGGCGAAGCCGTGTCATATCCCTGGGCTCGGAGTATAGCGGTAGATCAGGTAAATGTTTTCCATCATAGTTATTCGGTATTGGAATGATACAATTCGAGCATCATGTCGGACAAGGGCTGTCGGCATCCGAGGTCAGGCTGTGTAAAGTGCTGTATACTGAAACCATGTCAGCTTGTCCAGCAAAACAAGGAGCAATGCAAGTCTCTGAGCGCCATCTTGGAATAAAATTCAGGAATGTCGTTTGGCTTGACAGTGTCTATCACCACGGTTTCGTATGATAGGGGCGACACGAAAGGGTCATCATAGGAGGGATTTGTTTGGGGAATGAGGAGATCATAGTCTGCTTACCTTACTTGAGCATGAGTTTAACCAATGCTGTTTGAATGATCCAAGATTGAAAGAGCTGGAAAAACATGAATTTTCTGTCCATGCGGTTTGCCGTTTTGATGCTCTGCTGATGCGGTGCCGGAAGAACTCGAAGCTTTTAGCTTGAGTGGGTCACAACGAAATTTTTAATGTCGAAGGCTCAATTGCAGTGGGTCCTCCGACGCGCAAGACTGGGAGTTATGGATGACTGCGAGGTGAGGGGCACATGCCCAGCCACAGGTGGGGTGGGACGAGCTGTGTGTGTGGCGTCTTGCATTAGCACATTAGCAACCACCGGGTTGCAGATGCCAGGCAGTATAAAGGCTGCTCAACCAACTCCACGTCAAGGGAGCCAAGCGCTCCCCTTGTTCATAACCATGTCGGCCCATCTGCTCATTGCAACCAAGAATCTCCTCTGTGGATAAGCCCGTCTTATAATTCACTTCGAGATAACCGGTTGGGTGTTTCGCGCCACCACCAAGCCTCAAGAGTTGTCGCCGCCTTGCTGTTTCCGAGGGGCTGGCACCCTCTCTCCGGGCACATCACCATGTCCGACCATGAGTTTGGAGGTGTGTGGATATTTTTTCCCCTCGATTCCTACTTGCTCTCTCGGATTTGATCAACTGGATGCCGCTTCCTTCGGGTATTGTTGTTATTTCAGTTTCTGCGAATTCAAGTGAACCGCTCTCCCTGCAACTCCCGCATACCGAGTCCAGTCGGCCAAGCGGAGGAAACGTTGATAGCTCACCAAGTCCGACTTTCTGGAGGTCTAAAAACGCCCCGGTAATGATGCCCGATATTGGTTCGCAGTTCGACGGTGACGGAACAAGCAGCTGCGTCCCACTTTCGATATACTTGAATACTTGAAATCCAGCTGGCTTCGATCCGGATGCTAACGTTCAGCAGGCAGTGATGACCTCTCTTTACCCAAGGGTATGTACACCCGTGCTTCAGCCGAATCCCTTAGCTGTTGCGGCCAGGGCTACAGTCCGTCGCCGTTGGTTATACATCGGCGACTGAAGTCTCAGTATTGCTGCTCATGCCGCATGAACGGTCCTTGCCCTAGAGATCATCAAATTTCAGCCCGGCCGGTGGATCACCGAGTCATGAGTTCCCGGACATCTTCCAGCGGCTGTCTCCCTCATTGCTGTCGTTGGGCGATCATTCGCTGACATTCCTGACTTCACATAAGCTACCGTCCAGAAGATCGTCAGCGAGATACTGTCGGGGTCGTCAGGCATTGCGTTTTCAAAGGAAGCCCGCGACATACTCATAGAATGCTGTGTCGAGTTCATCACCCTCATCAGCTCTGAGGCGAACGAAATCTCGGAGAAGGAGGCCAAGAAGACGATTGCCTGCGATCACATCATAAAGGCACTAGATCAGCTTGGCTTCCCTGATTATGTTCCGGCCGTCCTCGAAGCCGCGGCGGAACACAAGGAAGTTCAAAAAGTTGGCAACCCAAGACGCGTGCCTGGTAGTGTAGATGCTAACCCCGTGACCCAGGGGCGTGAAAAGAAGGCAAACAAGCTGGAGCAGAGTGGCATGACACTGGAGGAGCTGGAGCGCCTGCAGCAAGAACAGTTTGCTGCGGCGGCTGCGAGGCATAACTAAATGTGTTGGATTGGGAACTAGCTGCCTCGCCTGGTCGTCGTTGTACACTGCGCAGGGAGGGAGCAGGCGTGTCGGCGAAGCAATGCTGCTGAGGTCGCTGTTGGGTTGGCCGGCTATGCATACTCAGGCGTTGGAGGTAAATCGTTAGGACTTCGCGGAGGCGTTGCGCATTGACGGCAAGTGGCCTGCCGTTCGTTATATCAGGAGTTCGCTGGGCTTGAGACATGCCCTTCAAGGCTCGCGTTCGATGAATTCAGGGGCACACGAGGTCAGTCGTGCTTTCTCTATAGATGGTGCAAGCTGAGTGGAGGGAATGCAGCTTCAGCAGACCGCTGTCAGCGGATCTTGCCCACGTTCTCAGCACAGAGACCCGCACTTCCAATCACCGACAAGTTCTACAACAAACATTGACACCCATCCCAACAGGTCATGGCTTGGTTGGGAGGAGACGGGACCGAAAATTCACCCAGTAAACTGGAAGTTTCCTCTTCCCATCTCGCGACAGACCGCCAGTTCGAACACCCCGCGGAGCGAAACCATCCCGTGGCTTTTTGTAGCTGGCAACCTCCCTTCGACCGGCGAAGCGGGCCGGTCGGTAAGCTTCGTTGTTTTTCCTCTCCGACAGACGTGATACATATGGTTGCTGCCAGAAGTTAATCAAAACCATTACAACTGATGTTGCGTCAACGCGCACCAAGGGAAGCGAGGTTAACATCATACAAGCTCTATTCGGACCGCCCTGAACCTCGCAAGCCTTCCCGCAACCGGGTGTATTTACATCCGACGCCCTTCCCCGGGGTGCAAAAAAATAAGCCTATGCCTAATAACCATCCTTACCCCACTTGTTGTACTTATCATGGAGTCGCTGTCAACGGAGTTAGCTTCGGCCTTCCGAGTGTATCACAAACAGCCCGAACACGCGACAGAAAAACCCATACCTTCGGGAGCTCGACGTCGGGGACAACGACTACGTTGACGGCGCTAGGGGCATCCTTCGGGGCCGCGCTGGCATCGCCGCCGGGGTGGTACTGGTACTTGCCGTGGGTCGCGCCGGTCTCCCAAGGCATGCTCTTGTCGGCCAGCGGGACGGCGTTCTCGGATGTGGACTTGGTCGGGTTGCGGCCTGGGGAGGGGTGTGTTAGTATCGTTGTCCAGTGGCATGTCGCCGCGTGGAGGCAAGGGATAGCCATTTGGGAGTGCGGATGTTTCGAGATGAACTGACCGAAATAGTAACCGGCGCCGGTAAGGGCGCAGACCACTACGCCCCCGAGAATCTACGTGGCGTTAAAGCGCTCCAGTCAGCCCGAGTTCCAATCTCAATAACGGCCCAGAATGTATATCTGTCCGGCCGTGGTTGCTCGCTCGCGAAGAGTTGCTGGAGCGGACGATCGAACGAGTGTTGGCATGAGAATTTGACGCACCATGATCTCGGGGTTCTTCTTGGACTCGGTCTTAAGCGCCTCCTCGCCGGTGGCCAGGCGGCGGGCCGTGGTAGTGAAAGCTCGGCGGGCGATGAGGGAAGCCATTGCGACGATGTTCGTGTCGGGGATTAGTGGTGGGGAGGCGGAATTGCTGTCGGGAGAAGCTCGATGGTTTGGCCGTGATGCAAGTTTGGATGTGCTCTCATACGATGCATTTCGTCAAGCCGAGCTCCAAAGCTTGGCGTTAAAGATTACATAAGGCACCCTCTGCGTGGCCAGTTGCTAGCAGCTGTCAGATAAGACCCGACTTGATCCAACCTGTGAAGCTCTCAGGTGTGCCGAGAGCTCGGGCCTCTCCGTTGTCATGTATCGCATGGACCTGAACGCAAGGGGTTTCGAGGCAACGGACCGGGGTCCAGGGCACTCGATGAGGTCAGATAATGTCCAACAGTCATACTCTCTGAGGTTACGGTGGTGAGCACGGGAACTCGTCTCATGCCATTGCACCGAGCACGCTTCCAGGTTTCCAGGTTGTTTGAGTTTTTTCTGCAAGCTACGGTATAATCAGTAGGCGTGAAGCAGAGAAGCTGCTGCTGGCGCATGAGTTTTCCACCGTCCTCGTAGCATGATCAAGCTTCAGGGGTAAGATGACCAGCGGACTGCCATGCAGTACCCGAGTGGGTGGGCGAAAAAAGCAAATGCCAAGCCGAGATTGCAACGCCCAGTCAGTGAGTGAGCTCCTTCCAGGTCGCTGAACTTCCAACCGATCATCTGGAGCCATGGATTTGGGTTCACCAATTTGCTTCTCGACGCTCCCTACTCGCCGTCCTTGCTGCCTCTTTTTTTTACCCTTTGCTTCTAACACTCCTTCAAAACCCGGTTAACCATCTCACCCTGCCGTACGTCTCTTTAGGTCCTTCCGTGCCTCCATCCAAATTCACCTGCCCAGCCGCGCAGCCAACCCCGAGCAGTTCTCATGCGCCCGGACCCCTAGGACGCAGACACCCCGTCTCAGCTGCAGTCGCTGGCACACTTCAGCACCACCCTGTGTGTCTGGCCCCAGTTCGCCATGTTATGACACCGAACCAATTGACACCAAAAGCCCCGGCCGTCGAAACTTGCCTGTAGTTCTGATCGTGAACGATCTGATAGGCCCCCGAGAATCGATATCAACATGGTCTCTGGAGATGTCGCCCCGCGGCCGCTCTTCCCCAACGCCGGCGACGATGACGGCTTCCCCCAGTTCCCGCGATCCGAGCGCGGCGGCCCTCCGAGCGTTATATCCTCGCGAATGACCGATATCATGACTGAAGATGGTGGAGAGCCAGAGGCACAACCGAGCGCACACAGGAGGAGCGCTCTTTACTCTGACGCAACATCACGTCCAGGGACTGCGAGGACGGCCATGTCCCAGAGGACCCCTTGGGCTCCAGGGTCGTCTCTGCGCCGTGGCTTATCAGGGAAACGGGCCAGCATCGCTGGCAGCGTCGCCAGTTCATCGCAGGGTGTCCGGCCGGCAAGCTCGATGAGCAGAAGCCATGTTCCAACCCTGACATCGCATGCTTTCTTCCGGCCCATGAGTTCGCAGAAACTGCAAGCCCAGCGAGCACTCACAAGGCCAACAACGATGAATCGGCAGATCGAATCTCAGGACGAGCCTGGAAACACGAACCGAGAGAGCATCGTATCGAATCCAGGCGTCCGACCAGGCATACACGCTGGAGATGAAGGGGAGATGCGGCCACCACCCTCCGGGGGCACAGAGTGTACCGAGCAGGAACCGTTCGACCGCATAACAGCTACTACGAGCCCGACTCATGGCCACCACCCCACCTCGAGCGTTACGGATAGTGTCCGGCCGCTGCAACGGAAACCAGACGCTGCAAGGAACCTCACTCTTGACATGAACAAGACATATAACGCCGGAGCAAATGCCCCGACCCCGTCTCGCACTCCACTTTCACTGCGATCTAGTTTCCTCATGCCCAGGATGGAGTCCGGCAGCGGCAATAGGGAGATGCAGGGCGGCGAGAAGCTAGAATCTCTCGCGTCGTCACCTCAGCATCCGCCCGGCACCGGGAACGAGAAGCCATCATCCAAGGAGAAGAAGAGGCCAACTTATGGCCACAACTACCATTACTTTCAAGGCAATACAGTCTTTTGCCTGGGGGGCAGGCTACAGAACACCAGGCATCGGCCTATTAATATCGCCACGGGAGCCTTGGTTGCCATACCCGCCGTCCTCTTTTTCGCTTTCTCCGCGCCATGGATATGGGACAACCTCTCCCCTGCGTTACCCATCACCTTCGCTTACCTCTTTTTCATCTGCATATCATCCTTCCTTCATGCGTCAGCTTCCGATCCCGGGGTATGTTCCGATTTCCAACATCCGTACCCCCAACCAGGCCGTCCCAATTGCTAATACCCTCCCAGATTCTACCCCGGAATATACACCGTATTCCCCCTCTTGACGAAAACGAGGACCCCCTGAGGCTTGGCCCGCCCACGACGGAATGGGCTCTCGTCAAGTCGTCTGACCCAGCAACCGCTGCCATGGAGGTACCCACCAAGTACTGCAAAACGTGCAACATCTGGCGACCACCTCGCGCCCACCACTGTCGACTATGCGACAACTGCGTCGAGACCCAGGACCACCACTGTGTCTGGCTCAACAACTGCGTCGGCCGCCGCAACTACCGCTATTTCTTCACCTTTGTCAGCAGCGCCACCTTCCTTGCCCTCTACCTCTCCGGGGCGTCGCTAGCCCAGATTCTTGTCTATATGAACCGCCAAGACGTCTCGTTTGGCGATGCCATCGGCCACTTCCGCGTCCCCTTCGCCATGGTCATCTACGGCTTCATCGCCTTCCTCTATCCCGCCGCCCTGATGGGGTACCACATCTTCCTCATGGCGAAGGGAGAGACGACGCGCGAGTACCTCAACTCTCACAAATTCGTGAAGAAGGACCGGTACAGGGCTTTTACACAGGGAAGCTGGTTCAAGAACTGGTTCGTCGTGCTCTGCCGTCCACGGCCGCCAACGTACTATCAGTTCAAGGGGGCCTACGCCGAGGGCGACCAGCGGCTCGGGGCTCACCGCAGAGCCCAACGTTCCGCCCGACGTCAGGCGGACTCGAAAGAGGGCGTGGAGATGCAAGACATCAAACCGCAGCCCGATCAAGCCCAGACCGGCTTCCAGGGCCCGGTCTCGCTGCGCGACGCCGCGAGCTCTCCGGTAGGGAGCAGCTCGTAACGCTGTGCCCTGTCCTTTTCATTCTCAATTCAACACTTGTAAATCTCTACTTCAAACTACCCTGTCTTCGCTTCTCTCTTTCTTCTCTTTCTCATATTTTTCTCAGCGGCTGGATGTGGTCTCAGCAGCGGCGTTTCAGGTGTGCATGACGACTTGAACCAAGAAACAAGGAGCTACCTTAGACTTGGTGTAGGCTCAACGCCGTAGTTTTTTTTCTTTTTGTGTCTCAGTATGTAATGGTGGACTGTACATTTATATACCCTGGGGCCTAAGCGGCTCGCATAGAGAGGAGCCACGCATTATGGTATATTTGTAACTTAAACCGAGTCTTGTCCAGTTGGGTATCTATACCAAACCAAACCCTGTAGGATATGTCAACGCGTGGTTAAATTCAGTCTGTGAACGTGATGGATGGGTTTTTTACCCCTTCTTCCTCCGCAGGATTGTGAACATGGCCAAACCACACGCGGAAGTTGAACAAAGATGCATAAGCTACTCCGTAGGTGGCTGCAGCAACTAAAGCTACATATAGCCATAACCTATTATGATATGTTGACCAGCACGAAGGTGCTCTTCCTTTTTCTCTCATCCCCGTCGCATCGGCATCGGCATGCAGCTGCCGCTGCCGAACACGATTCCATTGACTCTCTTGCCTGCCACAACTTCCAATCCTTCGGTCAGGGAACCACGAGCAGGCGAGGGTTCATTCTTGACGTGCCACCGGATCGACCCCTAGTGTTCCCCCTTCCCAACCCCCCCACCCCCTCCCAACCTCCCCCCACTCCCCGGGTTCCCCGGACATTGTATAGCAAGTGTCACAAACTTTTGAAAGATAGCGGGCTTCGGTCAGCTCTTCCTTCCTCTTTCCTAAGAGGAGGAGCTGACAGCAGCCGAATCCGCAGCTGATTCAGCAGGCGCCGATGACGCCTGAACGCCATCCGCAGAAGACGATGTCCCCTCTTCCGGCGAAGGTGCTGCCGTTGCCCCGGCTCCTGCTGCTGCTGTGGTTTGGACGGGCGTGTTCTTGCCGTCCGACCTACCGCCGCCGCCGCTACTGGCGCTGGCCTGACGATCGAGCTCTCGCTCGAGGCTGCCTAGGAGATTGAGGCCGTCGTCTTCGTCCTCGGCTACGGTCGGGAGTAGCGCGGGGGAGTCGGGAGGTTGAAGGGAAGGGAGTTCGGGAATTGGTTGAGGTCCAGGTTGTGATGCTGCGGCAACGGCCTCGGTGGCCAGTTTGGCGGGCTCGGTGGCTGTGGGGTTGCCGGATGGCGTACCTGATGTCCCTTGTTGCTGGTCATTTGTGATTGTTGCTTTTAATATCTGGGATGCCTGGGATGCCTGGGAGGGTGCCGCCGGCGGTATCTCCGCCGGCCGCGTGGCGGATGCCCTGTCCTGGCTCGCAAACCGGCCGAAAGCTCCATTGTCCCTCAACGAAGGCAGTATCCCGTGCCTTGTCGTTTCGCTTGCGTACGTCTGGCTGACAGTACGAGATTGCACGTCGAGGTAGCTGGACGCGGAAAAGGATGTGCTCGCCGCCTGCGGCGAAAACAACGGTGGGGGTTCCGTGGGCGACTGGATCATGACATTCTTCAAGGGGCTCCCTTCCATCCTTGTCGAAGCGTGGGGCGGTCCGAGGTTGCTGAGACTCGGTGGCTGGAAGCGCAGCTTGGGTATGGTAACCACTTCCTCCTCTTCTGGAGCAGGCCGCGGTTCCTCGGGTTCCTCGACAGAGGTGGGTCGGATAGCCTCCGACATCTCCGAGTCCTCAGCTTCCCGCTCAGGAGCGTCCCGATTAACGTCTTCGACGTTTGGAAATTCGTCTGCTTCCTCGTCGCCAGCTTCGTCTCCTCCCTCCCCATCTTCCTCGCCTTCGCCACCATCCCCCTCTTCGTCATCAGAGGGCATACCCGAGATATCGGCCATCTCGCTGTCTTGATTTGCACTATCCTCGGTGCCCTCAATTGTGATTCCCTGCCCCCAAGCCGCGATTAGCATCGTTCCAGGAAAATCGGAGGCTAAATATAGCACTGGAACTCACATCAGACTCGGGAAACTCGGATTTGGGGGGCAACTCCCCAGTTGCAGTAGCAGCGTGTGACCTCGTCGCGGGTATTGGCAAGGGCAGCTTGCCTTTCTTCCGCCCGCGCCCTGGTCCCTTCGCCTTCCGCTTAGGGGGCGGAGGCCTCCTCCTAACCGGTGTTGTCTGCTGGGCTGGCAACTCTGCTTGTGCTGCTGCTGACGCTTGCACGACGGTGGTCGAGATAATCTCGCCGTCAACCTGCTGCCCTTCGGCAAGGGTAACGGTCTGTTCGTAGGGGTTGCCGGCCGCGTCGATCCTGCGGACGGTAGCCCGGATGACCGTGGGCCCCGATGGCTGGGGCACTGCCGCCTTCGAGGCTAATGTGACGGTGTTCTTGTGGCGCTTCGCCAGGTGGGAGACGGTTGGAGTCTCGGCGTTGCGTGGCACCTGCTTCCACATCTTGACCATGTAGCCCTCGCTCGGCGGCTCCCAGTCCTTCTTCTCCCCCTTGACAGCATCGACATCGGCGTCGGGCTCCTCCTCCTCCGCCGGCGCGGGGCGCTTGTACAGTCGACCTGATCGGGCGGCGCGTAGGAGTTCTTGGGTGTGCGGTGGAAGCAGATGTGATTCCCTCGGCATGCCATACGGTAGCTCAACCGCCCAGCGGTCGCCTTGCTGGGCCATCTCCTGCTGCAGCGACGGCGCAACGTTTACCCACTCCTGACGCCATTGTCGCACGGGAAGACCTGTAGCAGTCGCGAAAATAGGGGTTAATCGCTGCCAGAAGCCAACTCCAGGGTATCAGAGACGAAAGACGCACCTTCAAAGTCGTCGGGTTCCGGGAAGCCAGTGCGGGCGCTTCGACGGGTCTGGGTCGCCGTCCGTAGCTGTTGCTAGCGCCCATGCGAAGTTAGAGAAGGATCGTCACAAGCACGAGTAACCAGTGTTTCAACTCACAGATCGCTGCATTGCGGCGTTCGGAAACCGCGACTGGCTCGCCGTACTTGCGTCTCAACCAAATTTACCACGGCAAGACTAGTCCCGATAAAACTAGAATCGCCTGTCACCCAAAAACATTCCCAATCCAAAATCAATGGCGCGCCGCAGTGGTGATCCCAGGGATGTTATCGGCTTTGGATGGCCAATGGTCGTGACGTCGCACGGGAGCTTCGACAGAAAGTCAGGATCCCAAGGACGGCAGTAAACTATCGGAGGCCGACCAAGGGTGGAAAAATTGAGACTAATTGACGTCAGTGTAGATTCGGTGCGCAATGGACGTACAATGCTGGTGATGCTGGTATGAATGTGGTTGGTTTGTGAAACCGCTTCGCGAACCGCGATCCATGCATCTGTCTGACGTAATCTGGCTCACTCTTACGGATACAGCGATATCTCGCATAACTTGACACGCTTCAGAAAGCAAACCGGCAGACGGTTAGGAGGGCAGTTCAGGGGTGACTAGTGGCTTGGCAACAGGACTCTCAGGAAGAGGTCTGCAACTGTTTTGGGAGAACGGAGACACGAAGGAAGATCATCAATTGAGCGATGGTGAAGAAAACGCGAGGGAGATCAGACTTCTTTTTGACATTAACTAACTAACGTTACTACTATTAATAACTAATAATAATAGTATCTCTATTATCTCTAGTTATCACCCCATTTATTACCTAATGTTGAGCTTGTTAGATTGACGTTACTTATAACTAAATAAGTTATAGTTAAAGAAAAATATACTGCAAAGATGAACTAAAAGCATCGATTCACGAAAGGTATATACATCGCAAAGGAGGCGACTGGTGTTGAACCGAGTGGGTTCCTTGGCACCAAGATTCACGGACTGAGCACTGATGTTCAATGCGAGACTCTCAGTCAGCACAGATCCATCACAATGACACAGTTTCTGACATAGCGTCATATCATGGCACACTGTCTCTATATAAGGGGGTAATTCCCCTGGGAGGATTAGAGAGGACAACTTTCTGTTCCAACAAGAAAGGGACATTCTGAGGCACCCTAACCCACTATCTTGATCCTTCATTTTGTGTGGTCACTCTGGAATCGTGACTCCAATTCAAGCTTCGTTTCATACCTCAATCTGTTCAATACCATTTGGTTGATCTAAGCTTACTTGAGCATGTAATTGTTGGCTGCCCAACAACTGGCTGGCAAATTACCTTGGAATACGCTAACCGAACTTTTAGTAAGATGTGAAGACCTTAACGTATATGATCCGCTCGCTGATAATGTATGGTAGTTTACTAGCAAATTTGTATGACGGGCCAGGTCTAGAGTCTCTTCGTAGTGGTTCAAGTCAATGGTGTCACGAACCAACCATCTTTCGAGGGCTCGTGGGGCGACGAAATCCAATCAAGAGACGTAACACCAAGAGAAGGCTGAGATGGGCCTGCAAGACGGATCACCGGGCGCGGCTCACCAGGATCACGACCAAAGAGGTGATCACTGTGATCTCAGGTACAGAGGTACCTGAGAGCGGAAGCTGTATATAAACTATGATCTTTAGGCCACGGGCACAACAGTAGCTTCCTCAGTAAGCAATTCGAAGGCAAGATTGTCAATACTTTTGGGCATTGCTTGTTGTGAACCTTCTGGCTTCACCGAACCTCATCCCACTGTCAAGTTATAACCTTTCAAGAGTCCCTTTCAGTGGTTAGGGAGCCGAGATTCGTCACAAATGGTCGTGGTTCAAATCAACATACCCGACTAGACCCCTTGGTGGGCTGGTCGGGCGGCGTTTTCGAAGCTCTGACAAATACCTGAACATCACAATGCGCCCCCAACTCCTTATGCCACCTTATTGCAGCATGCTCAAGGACAGCTGTGGTCCCTTCTAAATCTGATAATGATCAATACGTGCACACGACCAAGGGTCGAGCGGCATCCAAGAGCAACATGTATAAGCAGTCTGGAGCGTTAGGTAAGCTCAGTCCCAGCTGATGTACTCTAGTTAGCAGTGTTCCCGGGATAAAGCTGCATACAGCGCTCAGTGAAAAGGGGTGGGAGGTTGGGTCAACTCACCCAGTATCCTTCTGCCTCAATGTCTCGGGTTCTCCAGGCTCGTCCTTGCCCTGTGGAGGAGCCAAAAGTCAGCGCTGCCGCCATCTGATATTCATATAATCGCCCACCCATCAATCTTGGACATACCGATATCCCCCCTTCAACTACAAGCTTATTCATCTGATAGAACTGACTAATCATCGTCTGGCGCTGTTTCGACAATCAGCATACCGCTCCCCAATATCGCCACAAAATGAAAGTGCTGGAGGGGGAGAAGGGGCAGGAGCAGCGTCAAACCTTTAGCATCTGCAAGTCCTTCAGCCCCTTTTGCACAAGCTCCTGTATCCGGCGTGGATCATCAACACTCTTATTCTCGCGGAACGCATCCCTCGTGCGGCGCTTGGTGTATTCGCGGAAGTTGTAGGCGGCGAACTGGTTTCCCTGGCGGAGGAGCTGCCGGTACTGCAGCCAAAGAGTGATTTCTGTCAGCAATCCTGATCCGAGCCGTTTTCTCTCATCCGCGTTGAACCAAGGGCGCATCGCGCATGGTACCTGTGGCGGGTCGGAGTGGAATGGGGAGTAAACGTACCAGCGACAGCACCTTCTGCGCCGACTCCGGTCTGGTTGCTGCTTGTACAGCAGACATGGCTTGAGAGGGTCTCGAGTCAGGCGCCAACGGATAGACAGAATGTCTGCAGGGCAGTTGTTTCCGAGGAGAGCACTTTGGTTTCCAATGACGAAAGTTGCGGCGCAAAGCGTCGGGATAATCGGAGGTACCTGTCTTATCGCGATGCCAAGAATATGCTCCGATATATGCATACCTTATATCGCAGGCCCCCCCTCGCTTTATTCTGGTCTCATCTGTACTTCGTAGATTGTCTTGATTGACACGCCCACTCGGGGGTCTAGTCTGTCCGGGTATATTAACAAGATGGTATAAAACACCGAGAGACTCTCGCCGTCTTGCGAAACGCCCAGTTGTGTGAACCTTTATCAACAGCCGAACAATATCCCACGCCTTGAAAGCAAAGACGCAATCCCAACCTAACCCGTCCCATGCCAGGGATTGACCATAGCAGGTCTGGCATCCAGCCAGCAAAACTCCCACCGTGAACACAAAACGAGTTCGCAAAACAGCCACTCACCCTCCTAACGCCATAGGCTAGCTCGCCACCAGCCTCAGTATCCATACATATCCCCGGCCCCAGCCCAGCTCTGCTGCATCGCCGGCGGCACCCCGTCCGACATGTAGTACCCCAACTCGTGTTCATAGCCATCATTTGCCGCCAGCGGCGGCTGCGGATAATACTGTTGCGGCGCCGTATGCGGGTCGTACGCCGTCCCCGGCGGAGGCGCGCTTGTCGTCACTGGCGCAACAGGCGCAGCGGCCGTTTGGTGAGTATCAAAAGCCTCGATTAGCAGACCAAGGCCGTCGGTGGTCGGCCTGGGCCCGGCAGCCTGCGGAATCGCTTGGGGATGTGGCGCCACTACTTGCTGAGTCGTCGAGGGGGCGGGTGGCCCCTGCTGGGAGCCGTGCAGACGGAGGTTGGGGTCGGTAAATACAGGAGGGGCGGGTTGCTGTGGGAGGGTGAGCATGGTCATTTTCGGGCTTTGGGCCGCTGCACCGTTCGTTTCATCGGTTGTTGGAGCCACTATGCGTGGTTGGATTGACTTCACAACTGGGCGGCTGGGGATTGGGTGGAGGACATGGGGGATCGGCTCTCGCTGCAAAAGAGTCAGAGTCGGCCACATGGGCACTGGATTCGAGACACTCACACTGTCAGCCATGCTGCCCTCCACTCCAACCGTCATGACGTCTTTGGATTTGTAGAACCTCTCCAGGTGATCATACCACCGAGCTGCAAGCGGCCAGATCTGCTTGCTCTCGGCGAGAATGTTGAGAATCCGCTGCACCATCATGGGAGCATTGCGGGTGATGGACGGGTCGGGGCAAACTGAAATACAGTTAATGGCCTCATTTGGACATATACCATATCCTGGGAAGGCGGGGACTTACTGTCTGGAAATTTGCATGCATAACATGCCAAAAAGCCGCAAGTATAGACACAGAATGCCTGGCAAAGTCTTTGTCAGGTCGGCTCCTCGGCCGCTTGTTGGGGCCGCACTCACCGCCATCTGTGCCCCAAGACCTTCTTCTGGAGATTTGTCTGCATAATGTGTCTCGATCTGTTCATAGAGCATGTTCACATTCCAAAAGAGCTTGCGCGCCATATCACCCCAGAAGGCTGTCATATCGGGATTGGATTTGTCGTGAGATATGATGCTGACGGCCAGATATTAGCGAGGTCACCAGACAAAAGAAGAGAGCGTGGCCAGTCTCCTACTCTTGCAGATATGCCTTCCGGATGACAATGTTGCAGAGACGGGTGATCATGGTCACGCCTAAATAACCCTGCCACGAGCATTAGCAACACCCAGGCGGCAGGTGAACGATGAAGATGACATACCAGGTCCTGGCCCTCTTGTTTATAACCCTTGAGAAGAAGACTGCTCCACCGATAGTCGTTTGGGAGCCCGCTCTCCCACTCTGCAAGTCGTCTCTCCATTTGGGAGTACTCGCTCTCCGGCTCCCATGGCCGCGAGCTCTTGTTGTTGTTGACGGCTCGCCGATAGATGGCTCCCCAGTAGTGATGGGCTTGGATGAGCGTGGCAAATAAGGATCTCCCTTCGTCGGCAACGAGAGCAGGGTTTTCTAATGCCGGAGGCGTACCCTCAAGCGCCGCTCTTGATTTGGGCTCTCGTGCGTTCGCAAAGTCCCTCTCGTTGCTCGGAAGTAGTGCCGTGATATCACTTGCTGACAACAACACTGGGGATCGCGGCCCCGAGTGCAAGTTGTCCTGACTGTGCAGCATCCACTATAGCCGACTGTCAATTCCCGGTGCTTCTCGCAAGCTTGGTTCCTGAGTTGGACGTACCAGAGTCCTCCGTGCAGATTCGGCGCGTAAAATTAGCTCCGCTGTCGGGTTCGATATCACATAGGTCTCCTCCCTGTGCAACTGCATCAGAGTTGCCATCCGCATCGCAATCGCCATGTTAATCTGGCGCTTTCGTCAGACGATTGTTGCCACTGCTTGCAGAAAGCAGAGGCGAACGACTCACCGAACTCTTATGCTTCATGCCGCTCCCCTGTTGGGCAATACTCAGCAGATAGAATGCCTGGCACCTCTCAAGCGTGGGCTCTTTGTACAGCTCGCCCTGCGCTAGAACCGAGGCAAGCTCCATGAAAGTCTCTGATGCTCTCACGGCACTTCCATAGCGCTCGACCAACGCCGGCGTCAGCCGCGCCGAGACGCCCAGGATTCCGAGCAGGAAGAATACGCTGACGGACCGATGCTGGGTGCGAAGTCGCTCTGGAAAGAGCTGCTTTGGGATGAAGCCCAGCTGGAAGTAGTGGCGTGTGAACATATTGACTGCCTCAACGATTTCCGGAAGAGGCGGTAGGAGGTCCCAATCGTCGGCGCCTTTTGCCAGAGCCAAGCGGAGCGGAGCTGGGACCTCGAGCGTCTCTCGGCGGACCTTTGCTGCTCCATCCCGCTTCTTGGTCTTGTCGGCCCTCACTCGAGGGTGCCGATACTCGCGGTCCTGATCCGGCTGACCACGAACCGGGAAGATACTTTGCACCCTGCATCAGCACTGACCGCGTCTTACTAGAGAGGAAAATGGCGTTCTCACCAGTCTTCAGGGCCAAGACCGGCATCGAGACACCCCCGACACGGTGGTCTTGCCTTGTCGTGCACACATTTGCTTCTCATGCGGCGGCATCTGGCGGTCCTGGTTAGGGCTCTCGCGTACCACTTTACATTGGAAATGTTGCAATCGGACACACACGCACCTTCGGCAGGCGATTGGAGCTCTCCGCCGGATAGGTTGTTGCGGCTGCTGCGCTGAGGCCGGGCCTAGATCTGGGGGAGGGGGCACCATAGGCGGCGCGCCGGGCAGCTCCATCTCGACGTCCATTGTTGCCGTCGAGATGCCGCGGACTGAGACGGCGTCGGGAAGGTCCCCGTGGGCGTCTTGTTTATTTTCTGAATAACGAAACTCCCGAGACTTCAACCTTCAAGCTTTATGATTCTTGCCGGAGCAGAGTCGCGGTCGAGTGGGGCATACAGCTGTTGCCGGCAAGGCAAGTCGCGCCCAATCTGGGTTCGTCGAATTGCCAGGAGCAAGTTCCGGGTTGGGGCTGTTGACGGCAGGCGGGGAATTGCCAGCCGCCTGAACTCGTCTCAGCGAGGTAGGGGCGCCTGTTGCATGAAAACTCCGAGCCTCAAAAGCGCTTGGTGACGTACTGGGTACGGTTATCAAAGCCGGCAAAGCAAAAGCGCCGGGTGTTACCGAGCTAACAGGCTCTGATACACAGCAGCAGTAACACCATTCCCCTACCCGGTAATCTGTACAGCATAAGGTATGCTTCCGGACGGAGACACTCAACAAAGCAAGCTCTCGCCAAGGCACCTCACAACGGAGCACCACTCCGGCCCAACCGAGTCACAACCGACATTTCTGACCCTGGCGCAGCGGGGGTTCTCACACAACCATGCGAGACGTGCGCCTGGCTAGATTTTGCCAAGACGCAGACTACCAATCAACTCAGAAGATGAATTCAGCCCTGCATACGGATTAAAAGATTCGAACCACACATCACTGACCATGGCACCGCATTGGACTCCAACACAATAGGGAAAATACATCAAATTTACACAGTATAGATTTACACAACGCTGGCCTGCTTCGAGCTAAATTTCACCAAGTGAATTGTCATTCTGGAAAAGGTTTGTTGGGCACGGGCGGTATAGTTTATGGGAGTACTATTTTGAGTTCAGTGCGGTTCGCATCGCAGAGTGGTGGGCGTGTGAAAAGCTAGGTAAGGCTGGATCCGTCGGAGTTGATTGTTAGAAGAAACCTACCGATCTGGGAATAGCAGGCTCGACGTGCACTGCGGAACAAACCTCAGGTGCCCGTCACCAACCTGAGGTTCCCAGTTCTACCGCCACAACGGAGCCTCGAGTCCTTCAGAGTCAACGCTCAATTACCAGCCTCGAGCCAGTGCAATAAGATACCACCCATTCCCCATTCAGCTGAACCAATATATCCCCAATCTCCCATAAGCAGCCCCCCACGAACACCGCACTGTCCACGATGATCCCCACTGCAAGACGGCTCCCAGCAGAGCTATCCTCACTACCATTCAAGTCATGCTCGTGCGTGCCAGTACTACCTCAGGTCTTGTTACATGTTTGTACAGTCAAACAACGTCAATGTTGAGTCCGCTGCTAGCAGTCAAGCGGCAGCACCACATATCTCTTCCAGGGAGAACTACCAGGGTGCCTGTTCACATCTACCAACACTTGAGCCTGGACACATTCTGTTCATCCCCATGCTACGCAGAACACTAAGTTTTGAGGTTGCCACCAGGAGCAGACCAAAGTGGCCCATAACCCGAACGAACTGTTCATTTGGTAGGAAAGGAGGTCGCAGTGAAGCTCAACGCAAGATGGAGATGGGAAATACAAATCAGCATAACATCAGGAAATTACAAGGTCGTAAAAGATGGTATGTGTTCATCCCTCTCGCACAAGAGGACTTGGAAAGGCACCGTTGCTTGAAAGTAGGTGATTCCCATATTCGTTCCCTAACATTGCATTTGAGCAACACCGTCCATGCGTTCGTGACCGTAGCCATCCCCCATTCCAGATCATGCCCCCCTTCTCCCCGACCACTTGGATGTCAAATACCCGCCGTTTACTTGACCATGATTACATACGCCGGCTCAAACCATCTTACCGCCTCCTTTTGGGGTAGTGATCCGTTTAGGAGGGAAAACAAGATTCTACATGATGGTGCGTTTGCCCCAGGCTCCTACACATCCTAGAAGCATGGGAACGGTACATGTAATCGCTCTATCATCGACTCAATAAAATCCGAGAGAAAACATGGAAGGTGTGGAAAACATGGCCAGCAGACGCAGCAAGGGTTGAGGAATAGTGAAGTGACTTTCTAGGGGTATGGTGTCTGACGAAAGGGTCCAGAGGTTCTATATACACATTATCTGTGCATTGTGGTGCTGGGTCGTGTGTCGTGTAATGACGTGCTGTGTATTGCTCGGTCGTCGTGGGCGTGTGTTGCTGTGGGATGGGTGGCGAGGCCGTGCTCCTTCCGAAGCCTGCTGGAGAATCGGGGTCATCGACACGACGCGGACGCCTGTCTCGAGACCTAGGTGGGTATGGTGTAGGGCCAAAACGGAAGTTTCGTGTTGGTCAAACCAATCTCTCTCATGTCTGCTGCATGACCGTCTGGGTACCACCGATTTGCCGCTTCACCTGTTCCCGGGCCCAACGAGCAGTCTCAATAGTGCGAGCTTGGAATTCCCGGTTCGACCGCGTCTCCTTGATCATTGCCGTGACCCATTCTTGGCGGAAAGCATCAGCCAACTCGCCGTTAGGATAAGCGTCCGCCAGATCACTGCTGCCCGTTAGCATTCAGATCCATTGGCCTGCGAGCCGGTATACGTACCCAATAACACCCATTGACGACCGCATCAGAGCTTCGCTGCGGTTGACATCACTGGCGATGCTGTTGAGAAGCTCAAAAATGGATGGCACAAAAGGCTGGAGGATGGCGGCTGCAGAACGGAGGTCAGCATACCCCAGGAGCAAAGAAAGTTCCGTGGAAGAGAATACTTACTCTTGCCGCTGGTCTTCATTGCGCCGATGATACCGCCCCACGCATCCATGATACCCTCGCGCAGAGCAATAACATAGTCGAACATTTCGTAAGAGCCATCGGCCCCAGCAGTAATGGTGGCCGCCTGTTGCAACACTTGTGCGACAACGGGGAGGTAGGTCTCAAAATGCCCGCCAATGGCGCCAGCAATGTCGCCGAAGCATTGGAGAATGGCTGGCTTGAACTGGTTGGCAAGGGCCGTGCTCTGAGAAGAAAACATGATGTTAGCAAACGTATTCCCACGCGAGTTCGGGGTTATATAAGGAAGTGGAAGTCGGTGACGAACCCTGAGATTGCTCAGCAGATAATTCATAAAGTTGTCGCAGTACGGCTGGCTGCGTTCGCCCATAGACCGAGTGATGTCGCTGACGAGGCCAATAGCCATCGAGCAGAGAGCCGGCTCTTCCTGGTTGGCCAAGGCGTTGTACAGGAAAGGGGTGAACGCATCCATGTACTTGACAAACTCATCCTCCATCGCGTTGGCAAGAGCGCTGATGGCCGCAAAGACGGACTCGGGGACGCTCGACTTGCTGCCAACAGTGCTGAGAATCTGCAAAAGGGTTTGCATAATCCTATCACCCTGGGGGGCGATTTCCTTGTCCAGCCGCTGAATGGTAGCCTGCAAAACGGTGCAGAGACTTGTCTGCATGTCCTCCAGGATAATCTTGTCCTCGACGCTGACAACCTGCTGTTGGAGAGGCAAAGTCTCTTCCAGCCGCTGGATCACGACAGTGGAGAGCGACGCAATGGCGCTAAGGCTGTCGTTAGCGGCGCTCTGCACGAACACGTTGAGGACCTCGTAGGCCGCAGTCCGCACGGCAGGCTCCGAGTCCATCCTCCCGGTTACCGTCAACAGATTGGTGACACTCTGGTTGAAATGAGGCGTCACCGGGTTTTGGGCGGCGCCCACGTCGCCCGCAAACCGCTCCGCAAGGTTCATCAAAGCCCAGCAGCAAGAGGCCGCCATCTTTGGATTATTCATCAGACCGTTGAACAGTGAGCGAATCAACGGCTCAAGGTGCTGGCTCGGGTCGATGGCCTCTGAGCAGGCCTCGGTGATGCGGCCCAGCGCGTAGGCGGTGGAATCCCGAACCTGAACCGAAGGGTCCTCCATCATACTAATCAGGGGCTGTATGCCAGATTTCACGATAGGCTCCAACACCTTCTCCTCGGGGCCATCCATAATGGCGCCAAAAGCGGAGACCGCGGCATCCCGATTATGCCAATCCTCATGACGCAGGTTCGCCTCGACGAATTGAATGACGGGCGGGATAATGGACGCTCCGACCGCCTGGGCGTAGAGTTGCAGGCACTGATACGCTGCACGCGAGATGTTGTACTCGTCGTCCGAGGCATCCTCGTCCTGCTTGGTCAGAAGACCGAGCAGAACGGGAACGACTTCGTTAGTTGCCACGCGAGCAAAGTTGTAAAACGGACGCATCTGCTCGGAACTCTCGACTTGAGCGTTGTCGTCTTCAATGGCGATTTCCTCCTCACAAACAGTGCTCCAGAACTCGACTGCAAGCTTGGCAACATCCTCGTCGTCGCTCTTCATGCCCAGAATGGTGAGACCAAAAAGAGCCTTCTCCATGTAGAACCTCATGTTCTCGTAGTAGAGGGCCATGATGCGGTTGAGGCAGCCAAAGGCGCCCTGTTGTATCCGGGAATCCTCGGCCTGAGTGGCCTCGCAGACGACCTGCATAATGTAGTTGCGCTCGCCCTCGTGCTTGAAGTTGTTGCCGACGAACTCGAGCGAATCGCCCAAGGCAGTGATGGCAGCAAGGCGAACCTCATTGTTGGGCTCCTCCTTGCGTGCGCCTTGCACGACGGCCGTCAAGATGGCGTTGGAGTGGCTCACCAGGGCGTTTCTAAGGTCCGTGTCTTGGCTCTCGCAGATGAAGCCGATGGTAGTTAACGACGCCTGCTTCTGGTACTGGTTGCCTTCGCTGACGTTTCGCACAAGCGCGTGCATGAGGTCAGGCCACTGATTCCGCGGCAGCTCGATTGCGGCGATCGCGGCGACGACCTGAGCCGTCGCCTGGCCGGCCTGGGCATTGGAGGATGCGAGTGTCTCCAACGCCAGTTGTTTAATGCGCGTCTTGATCTCTTGGTCGGTCTGATTGAGCCATTTCGCTTGTAACTCGGCTTGCCTCGCGAATTCGCGTGCAGAAAAGGCGTTTTTCAAGGCAATACCGGCGGCGGCTCGAAGATGACCCTCGGTGCTATCATTTGCCAACGCTTGGACGAGTGTGAGGAGGTATTGTGACTGGAAGCCAAACCATGTCAGCGATACCCAGAAGACTGGAAGGTGAATAAGGACGAGGAGGTAGCCTTACAAAATTGGTCTCGGCGGCGTGGATAAGCTGTTGCTCGGCCGCGTTTCGCAGAGTCGCGTCTGCGCAATGAGTTAGCGAAGGCCTTCACTGTATTAAGGGCACTTCGCGAATTGTGCGATTAACGAGATGCCGCGAGAGATACTGACCGGGACTCAGCGAGTTGGTGAGGACTGTGTTGATATCCGCTGCGCCTTCCATGGTTGCGATCTAATACTGCGGCCAAAGGTTGAGATGACAGAAAGCGGGGGGGGCAGAGAAGCTGGTCGACGAGGAAGCGTTGCTGGGGAGAATGGGGGGTCCCTCTCACTGCCAAAGTCTGCGCTGAACACACAGGCGGGGCCGTGGGGTCCACAGGTAACTACCGGACAAGCCTGGGATCAGTTTTGACGACGGGCGGTGCCTGGCAGCCAAAAACACAGGATAGGTTGAGGTGTGTTGAACCGAGAAGGATGTGCAGTATCTTAGGCCGAATAGATGATGGGAATCTCGAGGATGTTGAGGTTTCGCAGAGGCTGAGGCGGGCGGGTCTGTTTTGTTCAGATTTTTTGTTGTCAACAATCGGACGTCCTGGTTGTTATTTGGGATGTGGATGCCGCCAATGCACCACTGCGGCCTAGCACCTAAGGTAGGTGTCGAAAAAGGGGTTTGCGGAGATGAAAGAGAAGAAACTGGTGCCTCAAAAGGAGTGTGTCGAAGGGGACAGGGCTCTGCAAACGACAAAGCCTAGAGATGCAGGGACTGAGAATTCTGCGCGCTTCGAGGAAGGGTCGAAGGCAGAAAAGGCGGTCTTTTGATGCGGGCAGATGATGCGGAGTTGTTGACGAGCCCAGTCCAACGCTTGGGTCGTTGGCAGGCAGCGGTGGGACCAAGCTAACCGCCTTAATACAGAATTCGTACTGTGTGACCAAGCCCAACACCGCCTCATATGCTAACAATCGATCGAAGAGGTACAGTGTAAAACGGCTATGACTCGTCCGTAGGGCTGGATCTTACGCGGACCACTCCGCAGCAGGTGCAAGACATTTCCTCTCGAGAGAGGCGCAACACCAAGGGAACTCAAGCGACACTTAGAAATATCCCTTGGTCCGCGGGATCATATCATGGATTCAACCCAGGAATGAGGAGCAAATTAGAGACTTTATAACGTTAACCAGCCTGGAATTTGTGGATTTTTATGGATACAACGGTATCGCCACATATGGAGTTGGCCCAGCAAACGGAACCAACCAAACTCGCACCTCGTTCGTTTGACCATCACCGTTTCAACCCATCTACAGGCCTTCACTGTCCGGGATGTGAATGAGCAAGAGCGGTAAAGGGCAAGGCCGGCACAACAAGTAGGCCCCGGTTGAGCTCAAACGATGTGAATTAGCCGAACGAAGTAGGCCGGTACATTGTTCCATGTGATTCTCAATGTCATAGGCGGGTTAACCCTAACCCCATACTCCCCCTCATCCACTTCGTCCCCAGTTTGTCCACGCTCTTGTCAACAAACAAATCACCCTGAATGAGCTATCGAGGCGACTCGAGGTGATCCATGGATGTTTGGTATCAGACAAAATCAACAACTAACTTTTGTGATGCGACTTATTTTGGTCTTCCCAGTTTTCAAATGTTCAAGAATGAGCAATTCTTCTGCCAGTTAAATCCCATGCAAAGCTCGCCGATATAGAGCACACCCAGGTTACATTTCGTCCGCTTTCTCCTCGAGAACGTTTATGATGTCGGTTGCTTCCGCAACCCCGTTGGTGCCGTCGACGGTCGCTTTAGAAATCTGGGGTGTTCCTTGCCGACTCGGGGAGAACTACATGGGCGAACATACGATGTCAGTTGCCACTCCCAGAAGAAACCAAACCTATGGGTCGATTAAGGAACTCACGTTGCTGGCAGCGCTGAGAAGTGCATTTAGGGAGCTCAGAATAACATCTTCATGGATGCCCACACCCCAGACCTTCTCCTTGGATCCGGCGGCCGTACACTCAATGTACGTGGCCGCCTTGACATCACGGCCTCGGCCAACGGCATGCTCCTTGTAGTCCTGGACATCGAGATCGATGCCAACCGACCGGAGGGCGTTGGCCAGGCTGGAGATTGGGCCGTTGCCACGACCGCTGAGCTTGTACTCGACACCGTCAATCGAGATAACACCCGTGAACAGCTTCCGAAGGTTCGTCGTGTTCTGGGTTTTACCCGGTTCAGGGGGTGCTGGCGAACTGGATCGGTCGGGTGTTACACTGTAATCGACGATGCTGTAGCGTGGGTTTTGGGTCAGCGAGTAGGTGGACTGGAACAGGTCCGTGATCTCGGTTGGGAGAAGCTCCCGCCCCATCTTCTCTGCCATATCCTGGACCACGTTTGCGAATGCAACCTGGAGGCCACGCGGCAGGTCAAGGTGCAGGTGCTGCTGGATGACCCAGGCGGCCCCGCCCTTGCCGCTTTGCGAATTGACACGGATAACAGCCTGGTAGTCCCTGCCGATGTCCTTGGGGTCGAGAGGTAGGTAGGGGATCTGCCAATAGTCGTCGTACTCCTTGCCCTCCTTTTCGCGCGCCTGAAACCCCTTCTTGATGGCGTCCTGATGTGATCCGCTAAAGGCGCAAACCACGAGAGATCCGCCGTACGGCGCACGAGGGTGCACCCCGATCTTGTTGCACTCCTCTACTGTCTTGATGACCTTGTTTGTGTCAGCCTCTGGGCGAGAACGATGGCTATAAGCCTAAGCTCAGGGTCACGTACCTCGTTCAGGTCGGAGAAGTCGATATTGGGCGAGACGCCTTGGGTATAGAGGTTCAAGGCCAGGGTCACGAGATCCACGTTGCCGGTCCGCTCGCCGTTGCCAAAGAGGCATCCCTCCACTCTGTCGGCGCCCGCCATCTGGGCCAGCTCGGCAGCCGCCACGGCACAGCCTCGGTCGTTGTGGGGGTGCAGGGAGACGCAGATCTTTTCGCGCTCAGTGATGTTCCGGCAGAAGTACTCGATCTGGTCCGCGTAGACGTTGGGAGTGGACATTTCCACGGTCGCAGGGAGGTTAAATATGATGGGGTTCTCCACACTGGGCTCCCAAGCCTCCTTTACCGCCTCGCAGATCCTCACAACGAATTCTGGGCTTGTGTCGGAAAATGTTTCCGGACTGAACTCAAAAGCCCATTCGGTTCCCGACTGGGAGGGGTCGTCCTTGGTCAGGGATCGTACCAGTGCTGTGCACCGCCTGGCCAGTTCAACACTCTGATCCTCCGAGAAATTAAAGACAATTCTCCGGAAGCACTCGCTGGTGGCCAGGTAAATGTGGACGATGGCCTTCTTGGCCCCCTTCAGAGACTCGACCGTGCGCCGGATGAGGTCTTCTCTGCAGGGAGACAGAACCTGGAGCCATACGTCGTCGGGTACCGCTCCAGGGGTCTCAATCAGGCGCCTGGTGAAGTCGAAGTCGGTTTGCGACGCCGAGGGAAATGACACTTCAATCTCTTTGTAGCCGAGCCTGCACAGCAAGTCAAAGTATTTCCACTTCTGGTCCCCGTTCTGCAGAGCGGAGAATCAGCCAATTGCCCCCGGCAATGCCGCAATGACCGGGACTTGACTCACCATAGGGTTAACCAAGCTTTGGTTACCGTCTCGAAGGTCTGTGGCCAGCCATCGCGGAGCTTTGTCGATAGTCTTGTTCGGCCATTGCCGGTCCGGGAGGTTGATGGGAGGGAACTTCTTGTACTTCTTGGAGGGGTCCTTGAGCCTAGAAGCGTAGATTGTTAGTTCTTTCGTCAATTTTCGCCAGGACGCCCAGTTATGAAACAACCCAGAAGAATATCCCACAGCCGAGACTTACATAGGCATCTTGGCCGGGCGTGGGACAGAAAACTGGTAGGTTGATGCTGTGTTCCTTTCGGGTCAGCCGATCTTCAGAGTGCCTCGTAGTAGTGATGTCTAGTGGTATGGAGTATTTAGAGCTCCAAAATGAAAAATAAGGGGAGGAAAGGTGACGGGACGGTTACAAAAGGTTGAGGTGTTGTGTCAAAACACCTGAGTCATAGTGGATAGGAGAGGAGTTACGAAATTCAGATCAAGAACCCATCTGGGCCCGGCCCGAGAAATCAGAAAAAGGGCCCAGTGCCCCACCATCACAAGTTTCCGCCACCACGATGACCCGGGCCGTGAGGCTTTCTGCGTCAGCCTTTTTGAAGCAATAACGTCTTCCCAAGTGGTACTTCATGGCGGGGCTGGCTGACATCGCGGACCCCTCGCATTCATCCGCCTAGCTATAATTACATAGGTATTCAGAGCCTCGAATGCTGACGGAATATATCAAGATGGCCTTCAGTTCTTCTTTCACCTTTTGCTTAGCTCATGTCAACCTGACGCCTCTACCATCCCTCTAGACAGATCTCCCGACTTTCTCATCATGGACCTGTCACACGCAGATCGGTGGAAGGCGACAGATGTCAGTCACTCAGCAGCGGGCAGCTTAAAACGCCCCATACAACCCCGCGAGCGGGGCAGACTTCATAGCGGGGCAGGGCGTAGTGAAAGCGGGTCCCAGGAACCGAACATCGGCGCCGAGCACTTCAACGCAACGGCGATTGAATCGTGGGGCGTAATCGGGTTGGTCAAGCCATCAGGTTCTACCCGTTCCATTTCTTTCCACTCCCAGGTCAACAGAAGAACCGTAATCTATCGTTTCATGCACACCACCATGTCATGTCCGACTTGGAGCTTCGCCCGTAAGGACTGATGGCCGCTGGAGTCACAGCCAGTCGGCGTGGTGACTTTTCTTGCCTGCTCCGAGCTGAACAGTTCAGGTCTTGGGACCTACAGTCGCATTAAAGCTGGCTATAGCGTGCATTTCTGACATCAGACGGGTCAACAGGCCTAGAGAAGTAGATCATCATGATGCATGGGAGCGTATTAGCAGAGAAATAATCATTATTATGCGCATGTCGTCTCAAAAGAATCACCAAGGGGGGGTTTCTGTTCGTCATAGCCGTACTGGCGATGAGGAGGCCTCATCAAGTGAACCGGACGTTCCAGTGCGGGAACTGTGATTAAACTGTCAGATCTTCTTCCTATCTCTCTCAGGCATTTACCACATAAGTCACGGATACCAGAAGAAGGAACACATGTTTTGCCACATGTTTTGCCGCAAATATCACTTTAGAACTAGCTGTTAAAGACGGCACGAAGCCCTTATCTAGTGATGTATGTACAATGCAATTGCTATCTAAAGCATGCCATGTCTCTCCCACGATTATCTATATCACCGGCTTGATGTCAACCCAAAACACCAGGAAATAGGCTGAAAAAATGGCGTCAAAAAATAACAAGGAAGAAAAAAGGTACAGTCATGCTCCGCCGACTCGCTGTCGAGATAGTCAATTCAAAAAAGACGCAGTTGCCGTCTACCAACCCATCTAGATCTAGCCTCCTAAGCCTCTATTCATTACCAAGTAAAACTCTCCTCGACAAAGTCCACCACCGTCCCGTGGGCCTGCACCTTCCTGACGGCGTCACGCACGTCATCCGCCAGCCCGCCCGGCCCGCAGACGGAGACGCACATGGCGCCCATCTGCTCGCCGACCTCCTTGGCCAGCAGCATGGGGATGTTGGGCCGGCCGGGAAACATCTGGACGGTGGTGGAGCTTGAGACGACCTGGCTGGCCGTTTTGGGCCGCGTGACGAACAGCCGGATCTGGAGGACGGCCTTGCGGTTGGGCATGCGCAGGATCTTGTCCATCCAGGGGCGCGCCCACTCGAGCACCTCGTAGTCGCGCACGATCCAAACGAGCGTCACGCGCCGCGTCGCGACCGTCCCGGCGTTGAACCCTTCGATCAGGTGCGGCAGGTAGCTGATCTGGTGCGTGATGCCCGTGGCGCCCGCGAACAGGACGCAGTGCCCGTAGCTGTCCATGCTATGGTGGCCGGCGTAGGGCCCCTCGAGGGCGGCGCGCATTGAGACGGAGCGGGATTGCGACCGGAGGGCCGTGTTGTACAGCTTGCGGGTGAAGCCCGTGTGCGCGCCGATGAGGAACGAGACGGTCGTGCCAACGGGTTTGCGGGTCCTGTCGGGGCGGTCCTTTTCGCTGATTGGGAGGATGTCGTCGCTGCGGTACGCGTGCTCGTAAAAAGCGATGGAAAAGGGATGGTTCTCCCAGCAGTTGACGCCCGCGAACCGGACATAGGCGTGCTGGCCGGGCTTGATCGTGACGGATCGCGGGACGTGCATAGTCACGCGGCAGGCCTCGCCGGGGACGGCCTCGACAAAAGCCTCGGTGAAGCCGCGGCTGGACCAATTGACGTAGGCCAGCCGTAGCATGCGCGCTGTTCTCTCGGCCAACCACAATGCCAAGATGGCGAGGATCCATGGGGTTTGCGGAAGGGCGCCTACCGAGGCGGAGACGCAGTGTACCCAAGTGCAGATGAAAGCAATCAGGGCCAAGATGATGTGAGTGTTGAGGAAGGTCTCGTAGAAGGCATGCCGGATCGGAGAGAAGGCCAAGATCATAAGGATGGTCATGGCCGCCACACCAACAGTGCCGTAGCCAATGAAGCGGTCGTGAAGTATCTTATGCTGCACGCCCGCCCATCCGTCGTCTGCCACCTGCACCACAGCCCAGGCAATGAAATGGATGATGACCTCGATGACGGAAATGCGACCCATCCACCGATGCAACAGGTTGTACGTGTCGAAGCTGACGTTGAGCAGGCCGATCAGCGGGTTGTTGCGCCCGGCGAAGATGATGAGCGGAACCATGCTCACGACGGAGAGGGTACCGGAGCGGCCGCGGATCTCGGCACACAGCGCGTACTTGTTCTCATTCTTCCAGTCGAGGATGAACATGTACGCGAGATTGCTTGCCAGGTAGCCGAAAAGGAGGAGGGCGTGGAGTCTCGAGGGGAGTGTTCCCATGTTGGCGGCGCTGGACAGTCGAATCTCGCGGTTGTGTCGCTTCTTCCACAAGGGCGCGTAGAGAAGTCCCCTCTTCAGGCTCGGCATCCTATGCCACTGCGTCCGCCTCCAAAACTCTTGCTTTTCCCCGGGCAAAGACATGGCGGTCAGCAGTCGTAGCTTGGCCCACGCCAGTTCCACTATCCTGATGACGAGCAACACCAGGCCGACGATGCCCAAGCTCCACCACAAAAGTTCGGTGAACAAGATGTTCATCGGTTGGTTTACGCCGTTGAGACCTGTGTTATAAGGCGATATGGTGGAGCTTGGTGTGGCCACCACCGTGTGGGACCCCGTAACTGTTGATGCTTCAGCTCGTACTTGTAATGGCGCGGTCGCGATGGCAAGCCCCCGGTCAGGGAGCCCATGGTGCTGAAGGTCCATGGTGGATTAGAGACCTGAATGAGGTTGTGGTTGGTGAGACAACGAGCGGTTGAAGGTGTGTTGTGGATGCAAGCCCAGGGGGTCCGAATCGAAAAAGAGAATGCGCAACCTTGAGTCCCAGCGGCTAAGTGCTTCTTTTTAGGAGTTACGTCGTGCGACTTTTTTTTTGGGAATTTCCAGCGGAAGGTTGTGTTATTGAAGAATATTGTAGAAAGCGAACATTCCCATTGTGTGCCGATCAATGACCAACAAACAAAGGGACTCCACCGGATTGTCCTCCTGTTCCTCTTGTGATATTGACCGACAGTAGAGAATGACTGATGAACAACAAGCCGCCTCAAGAATGGCGACAGGATGAGAACAAAGCGGCAGGCTGGAAGATTCCGCAAGGTGGTGTTTGCGTCGAGGAACTTGACCCTATCGGACGTCGATCGAGGCGTTTGTTACCGGATGTGGAAACTTATCCACAAGCGAGGATGAATATGTTATTGAGAGCCCGTGGAGGAAAATGAAATAAGCAGCTTTGCCAGAAAGCAATGAGCAATGACAAGAAAACTCGCAGTGGGAGTAGGACTTTCGCGGTTCAGAAATCGAAGGCGAGGTATGAGTGCCGTCAAAGTGAGAGTCGAATCAAGGCACCAAGGGGTGTCAAATGAAGGAAAACACGGATGTGAAGTCGGTTGCGATCCACGAGGTTGATACCCGACGTCCTTCTCCCTTGTTGTTGAGTGACACAGCAGCACAGGCGTATCGATCTTCGTTGCCTGCGAAGTGCCCGTGGAAAGAAGCGAATGAAGAACGGAGACCGAACAAGAAGTCCTTGGCCGGAGGAGGGCAGGTCGGTGTTGGGACGAAAGGGAGGCCTGGAATGGAGAAAAGGAATCGAGGCACACAGCCGCGCTCGCAGCCCAAGCCTCATGTTCAAGTACTTCCCCGTACGATCAGTCAACCGTTGTCAAATTACGGCTCGCTCCGAAGCAAGCCATCTCGTACCATGCCCCCTGAGCTGGGAAGCGTGGGATGACCACAGGAGCTCCTGCGCACAACACAGTTTGGCACAGCCATCGTCATCCAACCGAGCTCTCGGGATGAGCTTTCAATCAGCATGGCCCTTGAAGTGGCCTATCAAGCAAGCTCTAGACTCGTTTCCGTGTTCTGGACCAGGATGGAGCGTTTCTTGGAGCAAGCGAAATCATAGGATGAGGATGTTTTAGACATTCGATGGTGGATTCAGAATCTCATGCATCTGACGGGGACGAAGCTTCTGATTGGGCCACCGTTTCCCAGTTTTCTTACCCCTGCGCAGCGTTCCCGTCGTTGGCACGCTGGCGGTGACAGGATACCTGGTGACCAGGGCTCGTTCGCCCCCTAGTCGAAGGGCCAAGCCGCACCTCACCAATAATCCTGGCCAGCGGCGTGCATCCGTCTCTCTTGAGCCTGATCAGCTCGCTCAGTTCCAGTTCCACTTTCAGGTAAAAGATACACGTGTACGGATCCGTACTTGGCTAGCGCTCTCGGTTGTGGGGCAGCTGCCGAGGTATTTGTGGGTCGGGGAGCTGGAACTGGAGCTGGAAACTGGAACGGCCACCCATCGGCCGTTCTGATTTTTGAGTTCTGTTCTCCCTTCGCGGCCTATAATAGGGCTTAGCGGGTGCTAAGAAGTGACTAAGCATGGGCGTTACATGCCATCTTGGCAAGCAGAAGGTGCCGAGGGTTTCTGCACTTCGTACCGCCAAAAAACGGCCATGCGTTGAAAATGAAAAGTGGTCCTCTCCGCCACGGCCGCTCTACGTGTAGAATGGGGAGGCGCCTCTGCTAACCCACTCATACCCACTTTTTCGGTACACGTACAACGAGCTGGAACTGGCACAGAACTGAGCGAGCCGATCAGGCCCTGAACATGCATGAGCTTCGAATCAGTCGAGAACGACTTCGAGATTTAGACGAACCGCCCACCGCTGAAATCTCACGACGACACCACGACTCAGCCTTCTCGGTGAGAAGGCATATGACTACAAACAGTACCCGCGGCTCGCGTGGGAACATTTTCCAGAAGGGCTAGGTTCGGCCGGCGGCTCTGATGGAGCCGTTGGATTGTGGCGGCAAGACCCTGGTTTCTGGAGGGGAGGGGTTGCGGGCGCTTTGGGGGCGGCTCTCTTGCACATGCGACTGCATAGCGAAGCTGTCTCGAGCTCCCAGCATGCCTCGCTTGGAGCGCTTTGAACCGTCATGTGCAGTTGCTCAATGGTGGGACCTGTTTATCCCTTAGTCCTTCCATCCTCCGACCACTTCCGCAGGGGTCCGCCCTTCAGACTCTCTGTTGAAATTGTTCGGTGTATGACAATAGATATGAATTTGCGGATATCGAACCATGCTTTTCGAATGGTTCAGACACTGGATAGTCGGTACGGAGCGGACGGATTGCCCTTCTGAGCATCATGTGCTTTATCCGAGCCCGTGTTTTGAAGCCCCCAGCGCCTTGGCGTGGACCATGTACCCGCGGACTGTCGAAGCGATCCGCCGGGGGAGATGAGAGGGGCAAAACCCCATGACGACCGCGCCCACCTGAATCAAACTTTATCTGCATTGCAATCCTTTGCCCAGATCTCTGTCGAGTCACGGGCCGAACGATCCGGGTACCGTTGACCCCCACGCGCTCGAGATGGTGCGATCTTTGGACGATTACTGTGGTATGACAGTGTGGTCCGTAACCGCCGGCCTGCGCTTTGAACGTGAGGTGGCGAGGAGGTGGTGAGAGTAAGAGTCGCAAAATAGATAGGGATGACGAACTGCCCACTGATCGAGGTTTGTTCTCTCGGCACTCGAAGCTGAGAGCATAAGGTTGTCGCCATCATTCCACTAAGATTTACTTAAATAACAACCGTCGGCCTTTCTAGGTTCATCAGCTCAAGCTGTAACCTGTGTCGGAGTTTCCTGATCGTGGGATGGGAGGTTGATAGGGCCCAAGCTTCTAGAATTCGACGTAGGGTAGTGTAGCGAATGGAAGACAGTGTTGCCACCGTGCAAAGCCCACTGTATCCCGTCATGTCACCGGAATTTTCCAGCAGCCGGAAGCACGACGGATGCCAAGCAATTCGGAAAGTATCACTCACAGCCGACGGCAAAGGCGCAAGCAAGACAGAGCTCGAGGGAATTGCGCCGCCGCTCTGCCCGTCAGCGCCAACTAATCTCCAACAATGGGTTCGACTTCGTCCAAGCTTTCAAGTTCTACTCCACATGTGTGGAAGGGGTATGATCAACCCTCCCTCAAAACTCTTCTCTCATGATCCAGGCCGGTCGACTGCATCACCCTTGGATGCTAACGCGCACACTCTTTTCTCCTCCAGGCCCTCTCAACCCGGGGTATCACAAAACCTAGTTGAATCCCTCGAGACCAGCAATGAGGTTAGACCGACCAACACCCCTCCACGCGTCGGTCATCTAACCGAGAACTTTCCTTCCCAGACCGACGTCTCCCGCCTACAGTCCCTCGAGCTCCAGATCCAAGAGCGCGTCGGCGTCGAGCTGAAGCGCCTCCGAGCCCAGGAGGCCGAAGCCCTGCGGGAGGCCCAGCAAAAACTGTCGGCCGAACCCGCCACCACCGCCGACCAACAGGGAGAGTCCGAGCCGCTGCGGCAGCAACAGCAGCAGCTTTCCGGGCCGAGCCGGCACGAGGTTTCCAAGGCGATCGACGATCTTCGCACGAAGCTCGAGGAGAGGAGGCAGGTGCGGCAGCTGCCTGACGGCGTGGAGAAAGCGCGGAACGAGGTGGTGCGGTGCCTGCACGAGAATGACAGGCGGCCGCTCGACTGCTGGCGCGAGGTCGAGGCGTTCAAGGACGAAGTCAGGAGGCTAGAGAAGGGGTGGGTGGACAAGGTCGTCAGCTAGATTTGAGGGGTTTTGGTTGGCAGGCGGTGGATGCGGCTTGACATTGCCGGGACAGTGTTGTATACCAAAATATCATGTAACAAAGGGGCCGTTGGCCTCGGAAGCCAGGAGCGAAAGGATTCCCAGGGCTATAGACAAGGGAGTAGAAAGACGTTGCAATCTGGGCGAGTCCGAGCATTAGAGCACGTCTGATTGTTGCAGTGTCAAGTCTTCGCCGGTCTCATCCGCAGACTTGCTGTCTTTCCTGAGCTCCTTTCGCCGTCTCAGACCCTCCTGTCGTTTGCGCTCCCTTCTTGCCTGGGCATCTTCCCAACCAGCCTTGCCCTTAGGAGAGGAAGAAACCGCCTCAAGAGCAGCGCTAAACCTAGCTATCCTCTTGTTGTTTTCGACAAATCGCTCATTGGCTATATGCACAAGTGTCTTCAGGTAATCCGGCGTCACAATCAGTTGGCGAACACCGCGTGCTTCGGCCCCAATCAACGACTCAAAAGACAGGCCCATTGATCGCACGGCGACCATGGGCATCGCTTCCTTGTCCGGCTGGCGTTTGAGCAAGCTGACAGCCCCGGTCTCGCGAAAACCAGCCTCCATACCCGCCTGAATAACCAACTGAGCATGATCGGGCGAGGCTGTTAGGACATGCAGGATCTTGAAGACGTCAGATATACCTTCGTAACCATGGAGACGTCAAAGAAAAACATACCATCGGCTCGAACTTGAAATGGATCAGCCTTGACGACGCCGTCAGCTCAAGAAGCTCTCCCGCGTTTGGCTCAGCTGCTTCATCTGCCGCCCCAAGGCCCAACAGGAATTTCTCATACCCCTCCTCGCTCCCATCATCACCACGTCCCTCCTCGACCGGATCATGCGACACAAACAACCACTCTCCTCCGCCTTTCCCACCAGCAGAACTCGCTGCTCCGCGCGGTCCGTTCTGGCCATGGCCGCCCGTCACCGTGCCCGTGCCTACCGCAGACGCAGTCCCCTTTTCTTCACCTCCTCCGGCAGCCGTAGTAGCCTTCGCGCCCTCAAGGTACACACTCACCCGCCCGGCGCAGCTGCTCGTCGTGACCAGTCCCGCATGCGCATTGATCTGGTCAATCAGCTGCCGAATTCCCGCGTCGACAGAGCCCTTAGGCGACGCGTCCGTGTACTCGACGTCGGGCACCGAAAGCTGGGCGAGTACTTTCTGTTTTCTGAGGGTGAAGGCGGGGCCAGGAGTTGGGAGGTGCCTCATTTTCTCCTAGTTAGAGGCGCTGCTGGTCTTGTTTTTTGCGGGAGTCGGGGGTGTAAGAGGGAAGGCTGGCTTGATGTGGTGGATGTAAAGTTTGTAAGTGAGTGGTGGAGATGGAGATCGTTGGGAATGGGGCATGGATGAGGGTGGTCACGTGCTGAGCTCGCTTTATTCCCGGAGTGCACTACTGTGTATATACAGTAGGAATAATAAACAATGCAAGTGCTCCCATTTCTGAGAAGGCTTTAGAGGGATCCTGCACACTTAAGGACTATGCAATCATGCAATACTGTTTGCTACGGTCTACCGTCCTCTGAAAGTCGTCCGTCGTGACTGACAGGATGAGAAGCGATTGTTACAGGTGTTCTCGCACCTCCCGGGTACCAACAGAAACAGGTAAGTGAAAAGGGTAGCAGGAAAGAAGGAGGGGCATAGCAGACATGGAAGTAGCGGAAGACAGGAGGACACGTTCTACAGCAGTGTCCCTATAACTTTGCTCTGACGGAGATAAAAGTGATGCAAATGTGCAAATAGCAGCATTACTAAACCCCTCTTGTCTCAGGACCCGCTTGTTGACTGCCCATGTTTCATCACATGGCGCCGTGTCTGATCTGTCGGCCGACAAATCAAGACTTGTCACAGTGGCCATGTGAATCTTGCATATGCACAATTCTGGAATCATCGCCAAAGGTCTTGGAGCGATGGAACTGTTATTTTGCCTGTTTTGAGCACCGATGATGTTGATGCTTGATCTGTCGGAGCTTTTCCCATCTTCTAGAGATCCAGTGGAGCTCCGTTTAATACTCCAACCGACCGACCCAAAGTAAACAAACACCGCTTGGATTCACCATCGCCCGGCCGCGTGTTGCGACTCGTCCTCCCACCCCCAAACATCGCAGCGCATTCGCCATGGCAGCACACTCACCCCCGTCACCAACCGCGCAACAACTACCGCCCATCCCATCGAGTCCAACCTACTCGTACGCGTCGACCGCGAACCCCCTCTCACAGTACAGCCTCCCTCCACCTCCACCACCCCGGCCCGCCCATGCGGTGCTCACAAAAGCCGACCTGGAGCACTCCCAGGCCGCATACGCCGACCTCCTCGCCAGCGCAAAAGCCTACCGCCTCGCCCTCGCCTCCCTCTCCACCGCCGCCTCCTCCTTCGGCTCCGCGCTCGAATCATGCGCTCGCCTCAAGGAAGCCCGCGCCGACGCCCTCCTCGCACCCCCACCCTCCTCTTCCGCCCCAATGAGCATGAGCAACAGTTTCACAGCCCACGCAGGCGGGCTGCCGACTTCCTCCTCCCCTTCCTCCACCTCCTCCTGCACGGCCGACACCCTCCTCACCGTCGCGGGCCTGCAGCACCTGGTCGCCAACCATCAGCATATCCTCTCCGAAACGGTCTACCGCGCGTTCGAGGTGCCGCTGCTGCACGAGCTGGACAAGTGGCGGGGCGCGGTCGAGGACGAGGAGGAGCGGTACGCGCGCGCGGCCGCGGCGCAGGCGAAGGAGATACGGCGGATGGAGAAGGAGGGCCTAAAGATGCATCGGCAGGCGCGGCGGCGGGACGTTGGCGCGTTTAGGAACCATCTCGTCGAGTTGACGGCTATGTTGGATGGGCTGACGGTGCTGCATGGCGAGCACGCGCGGACGCTGCTCAGGGAGAGTCAGGAGACGAGTGCTAGGATTGTTGAGGCTAGCTGTAGTCTGGTAAGGGCAGAGGTGGATATCTTTGAGAGCTTGGCCAGGAAAGGGTGGACGGGCGGTGGGTTGGAGGAGGTCCTTGAGAAGGGGACGGATTTGTTCGCGGCCGAGATGGATCCGGGAGGCTTGGGCAAGGCAGGCGGCGGGACGGGCGTCGAAGGGGGTGCTGCCGGAGTGGGCTCCGGTGACGGGAAGTTGTTCAGCATCTTGCCGCCTAAAAGCATTTTGGCAGACACTTCCGGGGCGGACACGATACGAGGTGGAAAGGATACCCGCTCCGACAGCCTGCTAGTTGACACGGATCGATATCAGAGTTTAGCTGGGGCGGTGTCGTCGAGGGGGAGGGATCGAGATACGGACAGTATCTTTTCGGAGTTTAACCGATCGAGGAATGTGCGGCCCTTCTCGCCGCAGCCGCAGCCGCTGAGGCTGAACCCGGAGGATCTGCTTGGTCCGTTGGAGAATGGCACTACTGCCGAATCATCGTTGTCCGGCTCTGGAAGAGGCGGGAGGCACGATCAAGGTGGCATGCCAGGTCGTGACGAAGGGCGTGCGGTCGAGGATGACCATGAGGACGACGCAGAGGCGCACCCCTGGCGTGACGAGGGGCTACGACGTGGGACGCCGTCAGACGACGAGAGTGAAAGCAAAGTTGGCGTAAGCCTAGGAGGCCAGCAGCAACGAGACGAGACGTGGAGCGTCGCAGATGGAGATACATGACAATGGCGGTTTTGTGAGGGCAGAAGAGACAGACGCAGAGAGTTTGGGCTTGGATGGTCATATACCCTGAATACCATGGAAAGAATTAGAGACAGGTCTTGGTTGTAATCCAATCGTGTAGTTGTAGCACTACGGTGCTACCGCACATAATAAACCACTGTAACATCCACCGGTATGTACACCTTGGAATGCTGTGAAACGCCTGCGACCATCCTGTTTTCATCAAGTTGTGCCGTGCTTCTTGAAGAGACACCCGAAAAGAGGAAGCCATCGTTACTACGTGCAAGACAAGAAATAGTCTATTCCATATCTCAGTCATCTTTGTCTGCATCCCGAATCTCTCCCCCGAACAAGCCCAGCAAAAAGTCCAGCCACCACATGAGCTTCCAGTATAGGCTTGCCTTGTTCCAGTCAAACTCGCCCAGCTCGGTGCGTGGCACCTCGCTCCCGATCATGGCACCATTAAACCATCGGAGAAACGGGATGTGGTTGGCGATGCGCTGCGTGAACGACGGCGCAGGAAGCAGGGCCTGTTCCATGGGTAGGAGCTTAGCCTTCCGCACGGTGGGGATGATCCTGCAGAACTCGTCGTCAGGTTTCTCTTGTGCGGTGGGCGCGACACCCGCCCCGTTTCCTTCGCCGGGCGCTCCTCCTATTATTGTGCTTGAAGAGCCTGTGTTGGTGTTCACGCTTGAGTCCACGGTCCTCGTATCCGCGGTGGCCGAGGACGACGTCAGCGAGTGCGGAGGCGACCAGTCGAAGCCGCCGGGCTGTTGCATACCTGCACCGGACTGTGTCCGAGAGTGCTTCCTGTGGGACGGTGTGCCTTGGAGCCCAGTGGATGGATCAGGGATCGCTTCGTCCCGCGAAGGGGGGATACCGTGGTATGGCTCGGCGTAGACGAGGTGGCCGAGTATCTTCTGCGGCGAGGCAAAGATGGCGGCGTCGGCCGCTTCGGCGGACTCGAACGTCACCTTCACCCAGTGCTCGCCGCTGTCTGCCTTGTTGACCTTGGCGCGCTCCTCTGGGGTTAGGACGCGCCGACGGGTGAAGGCAGGGTCGCGCAGTTCGGACTTGTAACGCCGGCTCTCTACCGGAGGCTCGCGCGGGTAGTCTTCGCATATTCTGCCGGCGAGCTGCTCGTAGTGGTTGAGAGCCGCATATTGTTGCTGTGCAGAGCGGTATCCGCGCAGTATTACCTCGGTAGGCTCGAGTTGCTTGACAAACCGGTTTGTTGGAGCGGGGAGGGGCCCATCGTCTTGCGGCTGGGTAAGGTTCTGCGAAGACGTGGAAGAGATGAGGGTCGGTCTCCGTTGTGTTGTCGTCAGAGCGCTTGGCTGTGCCGCACTCTGGTTTTGACTAGCTATCCAGCTGCTGAAGACTTTGTCTGCCGCTGCTATCGTTGGGTCCTCTCTTCTTGCTGGTGTTGCCGTCTTGGATCTCGTTCGGCGCGTCGACTTGCCGAATGAGCCGGTTTCGTGGGTCATCTTCCTGGATCGGAGGGACCCGTCTTGCCTGGAGGTGTATCTTGTCAGGAACACGGGCAGCGGGTGGAACAGTCAACAATCCTTACTGTGGAAAGACCATGGCGTAGGGTCTCTGAATGCCGTCGTCGCCCACATAGAGTTCTTCGTCGGGCACATTGTGTAGAATTAATGGAGCCATAGTCGGGCGGCTACCAGGTAGACAAGGAAAAAAATGGTGCAACCAATGGAAAGTGAGGTGGCTTTGGGAATGTACGAATGTGAAGCAGCATGCAGTTTCCACAGTCGTACGGAGTGAAATGCGACGCGATGTTCAGTTTGACGTGCCAAATCTGCCCCAGCAACAGCAAGAGCTCACAACTGCAGGAGCATGGGCCACCGAAGTAGGTCCCGCATAATCGCATTGTCGGTGATTAGGCCAGGCCCATGCGGCCCTGCCAAACCGAATGTAACCCGGATAACGTTATTTCCACTTTGGTTTACACGAACAGGCATCCCACCCTTCCTCTAGCAACTTCTCAACACCAAAGGAATAGTGTATCATGGACTTGAAGCAAAGAACAGATAAGCCCGCAACGAACACCAGGAAGAGACTTGAAGAACGGCGAGAGCCGAGATACCATGTCTACATCCGGCTGCCCTTCAACCGTGGAGACTTTGTCGATCCAGGGACAGTAAGCTTCGCACTGTACGCTTGCTGATGATCTGCCCCGAAGCTGACCTGGTGACAAAGGTGAACTGGAACGAAATCAAGTCCGACGCCCTGTGGGCTGTTCTTTCCGATTCCTCGCTTGGCCATGTCGACTGTACGTGCATCCACGTCTGATTGACCACGACGCTGCTGACAAGCTCGCTCAGGGACGAAGCTGTGAGGCTGACTTGTATAATACACCCGGGTATTGATACTGACACTGTGCTAGGGCTACTCAGTTCGACGTGACTGTCGACTTCCTCCTGCAGATGGCTAACTATTTGACCGAGCGGCATACCTCTCAGCTCAGGGCACACATGCTGAAGGCAGCAGCAGCTAGGGGTTCCAACGCTCCGTCGCCGGTCCCTGGCGCCGAGCCTCCTGCCACCCATCAGCCAACTGTCACGGAGCCTTCGAGACGCTCCAGTTCAGCAGCCGGCCGCGCTCCGTCAGCGCTATCAGTGCGTAAGGAGACCGGGACTCCGCTTCCGAGGAACGAAGAGGACCAGGGCGATGTCGCCGCCGCCGCCGGCACCTTCAACAAGATCACTCTCCCCGTCCGACCGGGAAGCTCTCGGAACTCATCAGCCAGCACGGCTACCACCATGCAGAACCTACAGAATCAGCCCACTAGTCGGCCAGGCACAGCTCCCCGCCTAAGCGATCCCAGAAAACGGTGGCTCCCTCGCCTCGCTACCACTGCCCTGCCACAACAACAGTACCAACCGCCACAGGAAGAGACCGACACCGAGAGACCCCCGCCAAGCCCAACGGCCTCCACCTCGTCATCCTCAACGTCCTCCTCTGACAGCCCGGTTCAGAGCCGCATTATCCGACGTCCACCACGCTTCCAAGTCCGGGATCCGCGAACGGGCGGGGGCGGGGGCAACGGAGGTGCCGCTTTCGGCGACGACGATGACGACGGCGACGATGCCGAGCCGGCATTCCTGCCGTACACGCAACGCCACCAGCCAGGTTCAGCCGTGCACGGTAGCTCTGGCACAGGCAGCATCAGCAGCGGCCAGGACCTGGGCGCCACCCTGCGCGGAGACATGCGCGACCCGGCCGGTCGACGGCGCTCGGGTGACGCTGCCAGTCAGTCGCAGACGTCGGACTCGTCGGTTGGGTCGGTCGCTGTTGTGCCCCGGCGGCCGTCCACCGTTGACGCTGGCACGGGTGGCGTGAGGGCCAGCGGTGGCGAGCGGCGGGGACCCAGCGGCCAGCTCCTTTCGCCGAGGCGGACTGCCGAGCTGGCTGCGAGGGGCCAGGGTCTTTCTGCGGCGAGTAGGGGTAGAGGCGCTTCGAGGGAAGGGAGTGAAGGGACGCCTAGTATGGGGAGCAGTTTTAGTGATCTTGATGGTGAGTCCATGGCTCTTTGTTCGGGTCAGAATGGAGATGTCTAACCGCCTGTGGCAGATGCTTCTGTCACACAGTCGGCGCTGGAGGAAGCCCTTGCTAGCCGCATGCAGGACGGCACGATTGGCAGTCGGATGAGTGTCATTGGCGGCACTATCGGGGCCATCAGGAGCAGGTACCTGCCCAAGCCTAATCGGCAGTGAGGAAGACGAGGAGTGCTAAATTGGATAGTTCGGTTTGGTTTGGTTTGGGGTTTATTAGACGAATCATGTTGAAGTTATGGCGTTGCTTGGTCATGGGCTTGGTGGTGTATTGGCACCTCAACCAGCTGTTGAAGGCTAGCAGTTTTTGTCGTGTAGGTGTCTTTCTGCAATCCAGCTTGGAAATGAGGGAAAGACCGTCGGGGTTTCGAGGAGCTTCTCCCTAGAAATCAATGGTGCCGAGCTCAACAAGACAGACGCGGCATACCAGGAGAACTGAGCAAGAGGATGGTCCTCCGGAGCACTTTGACATTTTCTTCCTCACATCAAGCAGAAGCACAGTTCTCAAACCTATATCATCAACCTTCACTTACAATCTCAGATTCTCGCCCTGGCGACCCTTGAGCCGGATGCCACGGCCGGTCCCGGAGGGAACTTCTCTTCATTCGACCTCTACGGCCAGCACCTACCTACTAGGGCTTCAGGTACGAGGTCCGCCACCCACGCTTTCACCAACTCTTCCCAATGAGCTGACACCGAGTTAGCTCAGCGGCATTGGGAGGAGCTCTGGCTGGAACTTCGGCAACTGAAATGGTGTGAGTTCGACTCCCTTCCAGAGAAGTAACACTCCCTTTGGGGATTTTCGTAGCCAACCACCTCTACTTGTCCGGCGTAGTAGGGCTGGGCTGGTTGGTGAGCTTCTTCTCTCTCGTAAAGTCAATTCATTCTCAAGCTTCCTAGGTACAAATCACGATCATATGTATATATCCATTCAAGTCCCGGCCTGCTAAATAAAGTACTGCGAATTCGGCATACCAAACGTCGTCGAAAGCCAAGTTATGATATGATAGCGAGCTCATGAAGCCTCTTAGTCGATGATTGAGGCCGGTCAAGCACGTCTCACACTGACCAGACAACCATAAGGAAGCGAGTTGGTCAAGCTCGCTTTAGCCAGGAACGGACCGGAATCTTGCGCCTCAATAGCATGGAAGGTTTTGAAAAACTTGAACAAAGTGTACGCGATCTGGGTAAGTGCGAATTGTTGGCCGGGGCAAATTCGAGGCCCTCCGCTGAAGGGGATGTACTCCCAACTGAGAGGGAAAGGCACGATGTTAGCAAATGGCAGAGCCCAAACTCAGCTTTGGAGGCTCTGACACGCAGAGCAGGATATGGGTAAAGGTACTCACCTAACTCGGAGATCATCCCATCTCTCGGGCCGAAACTCGTCGGCGTCGGGTCCATACACTTCCTTGCTCCGCTGCAACACGTGGCTTGACCAGCGCACCGGCGTGCCCTCTGGAACAAGAATCGGTTTGCTGCCGTCTCTGCCGCCGCCCCGTGGTAAGAGGGTCTCCTTGTTGGATGTTCGCGAGTTTGTTCCCACGGGGCTGAAGAGGCGTAATGCTGAACAAGGGGGTGTCAGGAGTTAGTCATCCACACTGGCAGATAGGAACGGGGCATTTTTGGGCCTACACTCTTTGACGATGTTGTTCAAATACTTCATATGCTTCAGCTGCTCCCACGTTGGGGTGTCGCCGCTTATGCTGCTGATTTCGGCCCTCAGCTTGTTGACTACAGCCGGGTTCCGAGCCAGAAAATAAAAGACGGCCGTCATGGCGACGGCCGTGGTGTCTCGCCCAGCAATAAGGATCGAGATGATCTGGTCAATTGTGTAGTCTTCCGGGGGGTTCGCCTTGAGAAGCTCGTCGAGGAAGACGTAACTGCGATGTTTAATACCGGCGTGTTGCTCCTTTTCAGCCATGGCTTTTTTTAGGTAGACCCGAACATATTCCCGCAGCGCGTGCACAGCCTTCTGCAGCCCAGGATGAGGTAGGTAGTACAGGATCGGTCCAAGACGAGCATTCTTAGCGCTCTCGCGGCTGGCATACTCGAAGTTGTTGACGAAGTGTTCGGCCTCGGGCGAGGCTTTGGTCAGCAAGTTGGTCGAGTATCCCAGCAGAAAATCCGTTGAGGAGTCCATAGTCATGTCCAGCAGCAGGCTCTGCATGTCGAAGGCGATGCCATCGGCGGGAATCTTGGATAGCATGTTTCCAATGTGTCGGTCAAAGCATCTGAGGTCGGTCAGCTGATCTCGCTCAAAGGAGGGCTTCAGCAGGGCTCGCGCCCTGCGCCACGCCTCCCCGTTGCTCGTGAAGATGCTATTCGGCCCTAGTACTGGCAGGGTGGCAAAGAGTCTTGGTCCGGCGATGGGCCAGTCATCCATCTTGGTGCTCAGAATCGTTTTGATGTTCTCGGCTTCATTGGTCATGAGCACCCACTTGCCCAGGGCGATGGTGTAGTGGGTTTTCCCGTACGATGCGAAATTGACGGCGTAGAAATCGAGAAGCTTGTGGCTTTTGAGGGCTCGCAACGCCTTGAGAAAACCATCCAAGCCCAGGACAGGGTCTTTGTGTGGGCTAACGGCCACAGGCCCGCAGCCGAGAGCGCGCGAGCGGCATTCAAAGCGGTGCTTCCTGAAGAGCGACAGGCTCAACTTGACGGCGAGCGCAGAGAGGGCGAGGAAGAAGAGATAGGATGACAGCGTGGCGTGGCCATTCTCAACGATGAGCCAGACATAGGCACGACTCAAACCCCAGGCTGATAGGGGCACACTGAAAGCAAGCAGCGCGAGAGAGTCCATGTTGCAGGTGATCATGTGAAGAGCCGCTGCGATAGATTGAAGCGGAACGGTACCAACTTATACATCCAGTAGTGCACCGCCTTTCGACGAGGACATGCAGCAGCGAGCGGCTGATGGACCTTTAGATGTCATCGTCAGCCACCGAATTGGTACCTTATGAGACACATTCGTGCAACCTTCCTCAAGTTGAAATACAAACCTCGGCATCGAAGTTGTGGCTCGTGATTCTGCTACGTCGCAAACCGGGCTGTGGCCTCTGTGCAAGGGGTGATTGGTGGTCATTTCAAAACCGGTTCACCTCCTACGGAATAACAAAGAGCTGCTATTGCGAAGTCAAGACAGTGAGAGATTTATACTTATTGAATTGGACCGTGACGCCATCGTGCCACACCCCGCGCCGTGATCCCAGCTGCCAACTTCCGGCGGCACTTTTCATCCCAGTTACAAAGGCATGCAGTACCCCGGTTCCCAACTCAACGATTACACTCCGACGAAGAACACCAGCAGATGCAGCCTGTAACTGCGCACCCATATCAAACATCTTAACAGACGAGCATTGAAACGCAACCCCCTCTCCTGGCACTGTTCTCGTCCACTGGAGGCTTCGAGTGAGCCAAAGCAGGACGCGAAGAGCCTGTTTGATCCAAGACGAATGCGAGGGAAACCCGGTAGGCGCAAAAAGAAAAACAGGGGGTAGGGGGGAAAAGAGTGAAGAGCGTCAACGTCCACTTCCACGATGCCTCCATTCAGGTCACCTGGCCATCCTCGCGCCCTGGAGAGCAGCTTCTCTGACGGTAGCATTGGCGCAGATTGCTTTCGGATGCCTCAAATTCCGGGCCCGCCTCTCTATCGCCGCGATCCTACATCCCTAATTGCGCCGTTCTCCCTGATCCCGATCTGGATAATGATGCCACTCTCACTTACATGCAGGTTGGGCCTCGAGCGCTGACTCAGCTGCATAGTGATACCATAAGACCGCACAACTACTGTGTAGATCCTGCTCCTTCACCTGGCTAGGTCTTGTTGCGGAGATCACCGTCAAGCTGCAGCTGCCAGTATTTCCGATCGCCTTCCTGGGGTCAGTGTCGTCCACCAAGACAACAATGCTCTCAACAATCCGCCCCAGCATGACCAGCAACGCGGAATGCGTCACCCTGTCTTGTCTGCGGGCATGTCAGGCGGAAATGCTGGTTCTTGTGTCCCACACCCTCGCCATCCGCCATCCTTGCCCGTCACCGGCGGGCGCGAGTCCTTGATCGCGTTGACGCAGGTATTTTAGCACAGTGATAGGGCTTGAGACGACGTATGAGGCTGGGCCCTTGGAGAAAAATGGTAGAATCTGGGGGTCTTCGTGAATGGCGAACGTTGTTCGTACGTCAGCATGATCTTTGGGTACCAGAAGAACAGCTAGATCAGTACGGAAACCCCGGAATATTGTGAGCAGTGTGCTTTTCCAAACCGCAAATGGTTCGTCACCGACGGTCATCGTAACGAGATGAATTTGTCGAGGCGTAACTGGTCTTTGACTTGAGCAAAATTTGGCGTATTCCGTTAGTAGAAGGGAAGGTAGGCCGCCTCCCACAATCGTCCTCTTACCTTTTCTCCCGAGGTCATCTCGCGAAAGATCAACAGGACCCCCCGCATTGGACCCGCAGCAAAACCGAGAATCTGGGGAACGCACGCGAGATCCACCCGGCGATCTGCGAGATGACTCCCCGGACCCACTAATTACATAAAGAAGCCGTTCCCCCACCAGCTTTGTGAGGATTCCCTGCCAACTTGGTGCCTGCCCAGACAATCCCCCTGTTATTTCCAACTTCAACATCCACCTCCTCTGCATCCTGTAAATCGAGTCATTTTCTCAGCACCAGAATTGTTCAGGGCACGGCTTCCGATGGCTGCTTCAGGATTGATCGACCCGACAAAGCCTGGCAAATATCCAGTCATTCTCAGCGATGCTCTGCTGGGAAAGCCCTCCAAGGAGACGTACACCGGCATTCGATGTGAGTCTCCGTCCACAGCAATCCCCGCGCGTCCCTGCGCTTCCCCCGGTGATCGTCCGGCTATGGTGCCTGGACCCGCTACTACGCGCACCCCTCAATGGCGCTGACAGATTGGCTCATCTTAGACAATCACCGACCAACGCTCTCCTCCGATACCGCCCCAGATACAGCACGCCTCAGAAAGTCGGCCAAGGACGAATCCTACAATCTCGGCTTCGACGACCAAGGCGACAAGTACCAGTACAATGGCGTGCGCACCAGCGACGACGGGAACTACGTCCTCATATTCGATCCCACACGCGAAGCCTTTGTCCTCCACCGCGTCGACTCTACCTTCCACATGAACATCACTCGCACCCCGACGGAGAGCGACCCAGAGACCCTCCGCAAACAGTTCCCTCCGCTCGAAGTCAAGACCCCCAGCTCGGCCAGGCAACCGAAGGGGAAAGTCGCAGCGAAGGCTAGCGCCAGCAAGGCGGCACCCACAAAAGCCACGGACCGCGAGACCAACGTCGCCGCGGACTCACCCAAGACCAAGGGCAAAAAGTCTGTGGAGTTGACTCTACCAGACGTCAGCGCGCTGGCCACCACACAAAAGAAGGGCGAGCCGCCATCAGAGTCGGAAAAGAAGTCAAAGCGCCCAGCCTTGTCGCCCGTCGAGTCCGAAGACGATGACGAAGACGACGACGACGCCGGCGTCCTGGAGGTCGAATACCCAGAGGGCAATCCGGCCGCGTTCCGTGGCGTCCTCGAGGTCGAATACCCCGACGGCAACCCGGCCGCGTTCCGTGGCCCCCTTCCGGCGTCTATGAACAGACGCTTCTCCGAGTTTGTCATCAAAAGGCAGTCGGACGAGGATGAGCGTTTTGACGACACCAGAGCGGCGGGCGGCTACGGAGCCGAGTCGGCGGAGGAGGAGGGCGACGACGAGGGCGGCGAGTACGACGAAGACGACGAAGCTCGCCGCTCACCGAGCCCGCCACGGCTCTCCAGGATGGAGAACCCACCCGCCGCTGTCGAGCCGGAAGTCTACACTTTCGACGACGGCGAGGAGGAGTCGAATGCCAACGACGACGAGGCCCTCGAGGCTGAGCTGTCTAAGGCATTCGAAGAGGCGATGGAAAATGGCGGCAATGACAGTGACGGCTCGGTGAGCGAGGAGGAGTAAGCGTAGCTTCGCGGCAATCGGATTGCATCTCGTCGTCTTTGGATCTCTTGGGATATTTGGCTCGTGGCATTGGCGGCATGCGTGACAGGTATTGGCGTTAGAAGAGAAGGTGTCGGTTCCTGCGTTCTTGGCCACGGTTAAGTCATTTGCATTTTCTTCGGAGCATGGTTGGCGATATGAACTGGCAGGCGGGAATTTGGGACGTGTTGAAGTTTAAGCCTTTGCGGAGATAAACAGGACAGAAAGTTGTCTTAGATATTGCGAGATCCTCTGCTTGAGAGAAATGGATATTCTGCTTCCTTGTCCGGCAGCTTCAGATCCAGTACTGGGCCTCGGGAAGCTTTCCCAAGCTCCTACGAGTACCTAAAACTTCAGTGATTGCCACCATCACCGCCGCCCAAGTGTCCATCATGATGCCTATCCTCATCAACCGGAGTTCTCCCAGAGAATTGGCCACATAGTACCAAACGAGCCCAGATAATGACAGATGTATCCCCGATCCAAACGCCAGTGACATCAGTGTCAGCACTCTTCACTCTTAAGGAATAAACATCCCTTGCACTGAATGCCCCTAGAAATATGAGCCAGGTAAAGTTCAGAAATATCCATCAGCTGCTGCCAACTCCTAACACTGTAACGCCCAATAATGAATGACACAACCCAACAACATACTCGCTTAATCTGAGAGGACATGGGGATCCTCCTCCCAGCCCTTCCCCACATCCATCGTCAGATCGATGACTCCGATGTTCACCTCGTCGTCCGCCGCATCCTGGCTACTCTCGTCCTCGTCCCGCGTCTCGGTATCTGAAAGTTCCTCAATCCCGTCCAAGTCCATTGGGTCAGGGTGCTGGTCCGCTTCTTTGGCAGCCCAGTTGAGCCGCTGGACCACCTCACTGTGCCTGCGGAAGCTATTGCGGCGGCTTCTGCTGCTGGAGGGACTCAAGCTAGGTGTGGGTGTAACGCTCAGCATTAGCACGTCATCATCATGGTCGTGGTCGTCGTTGTTACCAACGTCGTGGCTGTCATCGCCATCCAGGCAAACAACAATGACATCGGGCGAGGTGGGCCCGCGGAAAAGGGGGATAGCGCTGCGGGCGCGGTGGCGGTCGGACGGGCTGAACCCATCTTGTGCCAGAAGCCAGTCAACGAGGTGGCTGTACAGGACTCGAACTACCGATGGGGCAAAGGCATTACCGATTTGTTTTTTGATGCAACTGCCTTCGAACCTATGCCATTTCGGGAAACCCTGGAGCACGGCGTACTCCAGCAGCGTGAAATCACGGTGGCCGTCCCAGTGGTAATTCTGGCCACCGTTGGTGGTGATGGTTTTGGCCAGCTTCGTCGGGTCCCAACGTGGCTTGGGTGGATCCCATCGCTTGATGCCCTTAGGGGTGTGCAGCCTGTGCACGAAGCGTCGAGATTCCAGCGGCGCCAGCACGGACTGGGGCGTGGCCCATGGCCTTAGTCCCCCAGCGCCATCCTTGCTGTGAGTTGGCGGCGGGAACGGGGGAAGCTTCTCCCCGGGGCAAGAGCCGATCATGATCAATCTCTTTCGAAGCTGCGGCACTCCGTAGTTGGCGAGGGGCACCACTTTCCAACGCACCGAGTAGCCCCAGTCGGTGAAGCCATTCAGGAACATGTTGAACTCCTTCCTGAACCTGGAGCACAAAATTCCAAATGTTTGTTCCACCGTAAAGATTCGCGGCCGGAACTTCCCGATAAGCTCGCGACAGGAAAAGAGAGCCGCCCTGTTGTCTTTATCGTTTTTCCCGGCCACGGTATGGGCCGGCGACCAGAACTGGCAGGGGGGCGACAGGTGCAGGATGTCGACCGAGCAGGTGGTCTCCTTGGAATGGATGAAGTCGATGACGTCCATGTCGTAAACACGGGCGTGTGGAAAGTTGCTTCTCAACGACGCGGCCGCGTGTTCCCAGTGGTCGACCGCGAACTTCAGCTTGACGCCAGCGCGTTCCATGCCTCTCGAAGCACCGCCCGCACCAGCAAAAACATCTCCGGCCGTGTACTTTTGTCCAGGAGAGAGACTGGACGGAACAGGGCGTTGTCCTTGGGCCTCCAGGTCGAAGACCGGAAGACTTGAGCCGCCCGGCTTGTGGGATCCGCCGGGGACCTTCCCGCCGCGCCACTTGTTGAGATTCTGTGAGTCCTTCATCCTGTATCCGGGGTCGGCCTCATCCTCGCCAATCTTGACCAGCGCCCACTCAAAGGGCTTGTCGCAATTGCCGTGGTAATGGATCTCGTATCTGTAGCGGCATACCAGCGGACAGTACCGCTCAACCCAGTCCTCTCCCATGCTTTCAACGTCCGTTGGGTCGAATCGATGGTCCGGAAATGGAGCGTTGGTAACTCTTAACTCCCTTTTGCCTCTGATGTCGTTCGGCTTCACGTCCAGCAGTGCGTCCTCCTCCCAGCCCATTCGTCCTGGGGAACGAAGCTCAGCGACCAGCGCGACCTCGTTGAGTTTTTGGGAAAGCATTCCATCCAGCTGCCGGGTTCGCGTGAAACCCAAGCCACGAATGACTATGTCCGAGTCCCAGCCCTGCGTGACGATGGCCTTGACTCTCAGAAACTGGATTTGGTGCTGGCCAAGTGCAGTTCGTAGCTCAATCGTTCTTTCAGGCTTGATGAGCAGCCCGCTGGGCAAGCGGTAGCTCTCAAGCTCTCTTGCCGGGACAATTTGTGCTGGCCTTGCCACAATCGGCGCGGGGATGTCGTCGTAAGTGAGATCGATAATTTCGGAAAGTTCGTTCTCCGTTCTCTCTTCTCGGCTGAGGTAATCGTCACTGTCGTCGATCACCACGGGATGCAGCCGCTCCGCCGAAACTCCGTATTGGGCTTCGAGGAATCCAGCCATGATGGTGAGGCGGGCAAATGAAATCCCCAAAGGAATGAATCCAGGAGAGAGTTAAACTGAATTGCACGAAGGAAAGCAACTCTCTGTGAGTGTGAAGCTCTTGGGGGACTTATGCTCAAGTGCTCGGAAGGAAACAAAAAAAAGATATTGCCTGCTCCGAGCTGCACAGACCAGTGCAGACAACGAACCCCCCTAAAAAGTAGTACAATGAGAAACTTGGGAAGCAAGGTGCGGAGATCTTTAACGTTGAAACCGCTATTAGGAGGAAGAAGGGCGGGTGCTGTGAAGAATGAGTGGCCAGAAAGAGCTTCCTGAACTCCCCTGCACTTCCCTGTCGTAAGTTTCTATACCCCGGCCCCCCATTTGACCGACGGCGGCGTTTTTCCACGAGGTCTGGAAAATACTTGTGATCGCTAATTTGTTGAGATTCCGGTCGTTTTTGGGGTTGTGGCCTCGACTTCTGCTCCATTAGCCGTGGTCAAGCTATCCTCTTTGAGAACCTTTTATCGGAAGATGTAAGAGGATTTTCTTTTCTGGGAACAGAATCCCTGGTTGTGCAACATGTGTCTCAAAGGCATTCTGAACTCGAGTTTGTCGGTAAACTTGCTGGATGTATACCTTTCAAGCAGCGAGAAGGATTTTCATAGAACCGGGGTCTGCCGTTCTGAGACTACTGGAGAGCCCCCACGAAATTGTCACGCTTCAGATCCAGCCGTGAGAACGGCCTTAAGCCAGTGTTCAAAGCCCTTTTCTGGCGATATTCAATCAAGGTGTATAACTAACAGCACCCGCCAGCCAGCGAGTCTGGTTGCTCAGGTGCTTGATCCATCCAGTTGACTTTTAACCTGGCGACCTCTTGCCAATGTGGACTCACGGAGGAATCATGCAATTGTCGGTAAATGATGGGATATCAGATAAGAATCTGCAACCGTTCCCAGATTTGTAAGATATGTAGGATGTGTTTAGATAGAGAAGTCCATATGCTGTCTGCCCTAGACTACACGTAGGCATGGGGGTTGTTGCTTATGTATATAGGCCAGCATGCTGCATGTAGGTGTGACAAATTGGGTGCGGCAGGTTTCAAATGCCCGTCCGGTGGTTGTTGCAGTTCGAAGATACCTTAGACACATGGACACATGCCGGATTCTCGTGAGGATGTAAAGGACGTGGTGAAGTTGTTCTAGGTTCAGGGGTATTTCTTGGCAAACATGATGGTCAACAATCTGGGCAAAAAATGGATTGAGCAGGCAACACGGGTTAGGGTTGAGCTGCTGTTGGCTGGCTCGGCAATCTGGGAGCCCCAACGGAAGAGAATTTTTCTGCTCACGCACACACTCTCCTCAAGCCTGGGATCAAAAACAAGTCTAGCCATGCACTCTTCTCTGGTATATGCTCAAAGGGTAAGTCTATTTCTTGTTCTTCCTAAGCATTAGCTTCCTATTTTGCTTCCTGATGACTCTCAATTTCGACAAAACCTTGACTGCTGAGACATATGTCGATGCAGAGGAAGAGATGTTCCTGATGTTCTCTCAAGTTCCGAGTATCGTAACGTCTGTAACACTCCAACGATGGCTAACACGTGTACAGACATTTTAGTGCAGTTGCTTCCCTTCTTTACTAAGGTTCTCCTCCATCAGAGACATCAGCATTCACTCACTGTCTCGTGAATACCCAGCTACCTTAAGGTACCTTAAATAGGTCGGTACACTTAGGATAAAGTAATCTCACTCACGAACTGTGTGTTGGTTTCCGTTCTTTATATCTCAACCAAATTGATCCCTGCAGATTTTACTTCTTTAGTGTGTCAGATTGCAAACGGTAGGGCGGTTGAAGATTTAGCTCGTCAAACAAATTTGCTTTCTCTATACCCTGCTTTGCTTCCCAGGCTGCCTCCCTTTGCAAACGAACAGCATGAGCGCCGAGATGACTAGAGAATGGGATGAGGCTTCCTGCCTTGGCTGGCTGGCTTGTGGACAGCCATTCTGTCACCCTGAGTGAGAACAACGGATTTGAATACATAGATCTACCCCTGATTTGCGCGAGACAGCGATGACCTTCCGGTTAGGTTCTACATACGTTACCATTGACCTCATCAAACACAATCGTCGAGTCGCCGCCTTTGGCCTGAGCTATTTGGTTTCCATCGACACATAGGCGAGATTGTTGAGCACAGAGCCTGAGGCTTTGAACAGCACATGTACGTTCACATGGCAAACCACCCGCCTTGAGCAGCCGCGGCCTTTCTGAGTCGTTCCTTCCTCAAACTGACAGTTCAGTAATTGAGTCCGAGTCGATCAATTTCGTCTCCGTCTACCTTACAGCGCTCCAACCTGGAACGCGACTCTGCATTCAGATTGTTCGAATCCTGTTCATCCATCCCCATGACCACCAGTGGACGAGAATACTGCCAGTCCCAGCACCCAACCGTCGATGCTCTGGCCAAGTTGATATTGGGTACAAGAGCCCACCACTAGAGCAACCCTCTCCGTCAATTTCCCGAATTCATTCACAGTCTTCAGCAAGCGCCACGACACTCTGCACAAATTGCCTTTTCGCGTCCTTGAAGCCAGGTCTCGAGATATCCTCAACATTCCCAATCATTCCTCTTGGTTCACCAACCTGCACTGGGCTCTTTCGTTACAGACTCCCATTCAGCTACTATACGTCCCTCAATTCTTCAGTTCCAGTTTGTCAGAATCACCCGCGACATCTTTTCATCGATTTTCGGACTTAGCGGGAATTCTCACATGTCGATCCCTGGCCGTGGCTTCACTGTCAAGCAAAAGCTGCATCGGTTTCATCGGTTGTGATCGGTCAATATATTTGAGGTACAGCAGCGAGATTATCGAAGCTGCTGGTGAGTATTTAATCTGTCGATCCTCCTCACTCTCATATCTTCGGCTTCCAGGTGCTCAAACCTGCCCTCATCCCACCAATTGGTAGCCGGCTTGCCATGACTCAGGCAAGATACCCTTGTTGTGCAGCTCTCTACCGTACGCACCTCCACTTCCTGGGCCAACACATTCTCGAACTTCTCTTGCTTCGTCAGATGCTCTTAGTCAAAGCCTGCCATGCGTTAGACAAACCTTGCTAATAATCCGTTCACCGATCAGTATCCAGCCCAAAGGAGACTCTATTATACCTGGAATCTCGGATTCTTTTCAAGATGCAGACCCGTGGAGCAGCGAAGAGGCTTGCTTCTGAGACAGCGACAAAGGGTAGCGCAGTCAGCGCATCAGCCGTTCGGACAGTGGGCGCACAAGCTGAAGCGGTCACCAACTTCTCTGGCTCGAAGAATGACCCAGCGCCCATGGGAAAGACAACCATTGGCAGCACAAAGCGAAAGCGCGCTGGGAAGAAGCAATCCCAGCCACTTAAAAGTGGTTGGGTTCCGCTCCATGGGATGGGTGCAGAACTTGCTGAAACGGCCAACTCAACCCGAATGCACATTGAATGCACCTCTCCGGCTGCATCGCCCGGGGATTCGCTTACCAATGCGGACGTTCCGATTCAGAGTGGCAGGTCTGCTCCTTCACCCTCCGACACCAAGCAGCAGCATGCCCGAAGGCAGACGAGGCAAACTCGTCTGTCATTTCGAGTCACCAAGAGCGGAGTTGAAAACAAGAAGAGTGACGAAAAGAAGACTGAGCCCAGCGTGAAGTTGGAAGCTTTTGAGAATCCTCTCATCAAGCAAGAGGACGGTTGCCTTTCCAAACGCGTGCGGACTGCTGCCCCGACGGCCAGAAAGCTACCCGACATCAAACCTCCCATCCAGGCAGCCCTGGAGTTGGCCAACATAAAGACCGAGAAGAACCTCATCCTGACGCCGCGTAGGGTTCTGATTCTCAAGGGCCTCACAGTCAAGGAAAACATCGTTACGAAAGTTTCAACCACTGGCAAGATTACCATTGATGCAACCCAGATCCTGAACCCTAACTTCAGGATAATGATCAAAAAAGGCAAGGACAACCCGTATGGGCTGACGCCTGGATATTCCCCATACCCGTACAGACGGGTTCCGACGCCTGAGGCCTGCGAGGAAGTGCACAGGATCTTGACGGAACTTCATGGCGAGGTGAAGCAGCCCGAGAAGCTGCCAGCTGCTTCCTTGGAGAAAGCCGGCTGTGGCGAGGTTCCTTGTGTCCTCGACGCGCTCTTGAGAACGCTGATCAGCGGAAACACCCTGATGGCCATGGCGGACGCAGCCATCAAGAACCTTGCCGAACACTACGGACTACGCACTGAAGGCACTGGTGCCGGAAGCATCAATTGGGAAAAGGTCCGGCTGTCATCGCATCAAGAGCTCATCCAGGTCATCAGGGTGGCTGGGAACGGACCCAGGAAAAGCCACCACATCAAGCAGATACTCGACATGGTCTATCAGGAGAATGTGGACCGGGGCAAGATGCAAGCCTCAGCGAAGCCCATGCCGGATCTCCTCTCCCTGGACCACATGCACAGCATGACCAAAGACGAGGCACTGGCCAAATTCGTCAGCTACCCTGGCATCGGCATCAAGACAGCGGCCTGCGTCACACTTTTCTGCTTGCGGTTGCCTTGCTTTGCCGTGGACACGCACGTCCACAAGTTCTGCCGTTGGCTGGGTTGGGTCCCAAAAAAGGCTGATCCCGACAACTGCTTCCGTCACGGAGACTTCATGGTCCCTGACCATCTCAAGTACGGCCTGCATCAGCTGTTCATCCGTCACGGCCAGCTGTGTTTCAAGTGCAGGAAAGCCACCAAACCAGGGACTAAAGACTGGAACGATGCACCGGAATGCCCACTGGAGCATCTGCTTGATCGAAGCAAGGACGAGGCTGGCACAACGAAGCCTGAGAGGAAGCGGACCAGAGGGGTAAAGGAGGAAACGAGCTCCGGAACGGACGATTCGCTCAGTGAGATGGTTTTGGCGGACGAAGACGAGGAGTGCTAGGTAGAGGAGGAGGGAGGGAAAGGACTGGCCCGGAATATGTCTCATTTGCTGGCTTCATCTACAGAACCGAATCCGACAGGGAGAGGTACTGGGCGATTTATTGGACTCGGTACGGCCATTCGACAAAACTGATGATATAATCAGCTAGCAGCTTCTTAAATTGACGCATGGGCGGATTCACATCAGATATACTCACCCATTTCGTTGGACTTGGCTGCAAACCCTCGAGCCCGATGTGGGTTGTCATTATTAGTCTGAGGTCTCGGCAGCATTTGGTGTTCCGGTACGTACCTTACGGTACTAAGGTTGCACCCCAGTACCCTGCAGGGGTGTTAAGTGCCGCCCCACGTTCTCTCCCCGGACGAAACGACGCGTGCAAGCGTTCTCTTCTTTAGCTCTTCGCGCGACTGCTCGCCAAGCCGCCCTGCCCTCGATCATCAACCTGCAAAGTCCAAACCGGGCAATTTGTGCTCGCCACGCCGGCACTTAGATTTCGTGGCCGGCTGCCTTTTTCCCTCCAGACGACCGAAGCGTAGTAACGTACCTCTGTGGCTTCATTCATTCTTTGGCTGTTGCTCTCCTACATGTCATAGCCTTCCAAACCCCGATCTCTCTCTTTTTCCTTGGGCAGGCGGTTTCGTCCCGAGTCGGCTCTCGCAAGGTCTTTTGCATTGCACACTTAGAACTACTGCGGGTGCCCAAGAATGGTCAACCAGCCACCGAACTCCGAGTGCCTGCGATTTCCACCCGATTCTACACCAAGCACGATCCTTCCGGCCCTCGCTAGCCGCCATGGAGCAGAACGCTCTCTACCAAGCCGCCATTGGGTGGCACCGTGCCTTTGAGGACCGACCGCCCAACGCCCATCTCTGCTGCCCCAAAATCGACGAAGATGATGCTGCCAATTACGACGAGCCCGATGTTCCTGACGAAGGGGGAGTCTCAGCCGAAGAGAAAAAGCGCAGGATCGAAGAATACGAAGGCAGATTTCAAAACACCTATGACCTCAGCATTTTGATGGGCCTCGGTAGGGAAATTGCCGGGGAGTGGCTGGACAACTGGACACAGGCGGTCGAGTCGTGCCTCACAAGATGCGATTCGTGCGTGAGGAACTGGCACCGACACCGCCAGCCCTACATCCACGGCCTGTAAGTGCTTTCCGCCTCCGTCGGACCACGATTGTAGCTGAGACAATGCAGACACCTCGAGCCAGACAAGGTTGAATACATGCGGAAGATGCTGGCTGAATTCGACCGGCGACGCATAGACCGGGGTCTCAAGAGAGCCAGAGCAATCCTCGAAAAGCACGGCCCTATGTCGACGGCAAAGCTCGTCGAACACGATATGCAAGCTGTGCTGGCTCTCTTCGAGGCGCTTTGCAGCACCGAATATGTGACCCACCCGGACAGCCAAGAGGATTTCAACTATGTCTTCGAGCAAACACAGCAGAAGCGCGTCTTGAAAATGCAGGGAGGCCTGATACCCACAATGACCTTCTTCCTCTTTGACGACTCCCCATCTTCATCCGCATACCGAAAACGGTTCGCCGAGAGCGCCTGGGAGAAACGCGCTCCTGGGGCACTCACGGATCAGGAATGGGACTGGGCCATCTGTCCCCATCTGACCAGTGCAATCTGGAGGGTATCCCTTGCGAGAGGAATGCCATCGCCGGACAGGATCTGCAACTTCTGGCGAGCTTTCTCCTTGATGCTCCGTTCCTTGAGCGAGAAGCAGATCATCAACTCGCTCCGGGCAATGGAGGTGTCGCCAAGCGTCTACTTTCTTGCACTCGAGCATTTGGCCACAGATTCTGTCGAAGCCTTGGCTGTGGTTTTGCAAGGACTTCGAGAGCTCATGGAGAAGTCGCCGACTGCGTTCTGGGGGGCGTTCGACCAAGTCACCCCTAGCCAGCTTGTCGAGGAGGTCTTCAAGAGCCCCGCATTCCGTCGCTTCCTGAACAGGTCACTGACGCCAGAGATGATGGTCACGGAAGGGGAAAATCAAGTGCCAGCTGTGGCAGCGTGGATGAGGGCACTAATCCGCTCTTTGCCTTCAATCCAGCGGTCCGACGTGTGCGAATCACTTCTGCGCCATCTGTTTGACACCTTCCGTAAGGACCCGACTGCCGACCGTGCCGCCAGCGCGGCCTGCACTCTCGCAGGCTTGGCTACCCTCAGCGAGTCCCTCGACGGCTACCTACAAGAAACTCTGTTCGATACCGGGACCGCACTCATCATGGTTAACCAGTTGCTCAACCGCGTCGTTCAGTATAGCGATGTCATCATCACTGCGGCTGGACTCAAACCCGGCGAAACATTCAATGTGGGTATCTCCCAGGCTGCCATGGCTATCATTCACTCTGCACTTGCGCTGGATGCCAGAGCTACTGAGATCGAGTGGGAAGCTTTAACCAAAGGGATCCCAGTACAAGATGCCGTGAACCGGGACTCTGGGGCGCTCTGGGAATCCTTCCTGGAGATGCTCTGGTATCAGCAGCTCGGCCATGTCGAGTTGGCCAAGGCCATGCTGATGGCTACCCTGCGACTCAGAAACATTGAGCAGTTCATTCCGAAGCGTAAAGAACAACTCAAGCAGGAGCAGCAGAAATTCAATCAACGCTACCAGCAACAAACAACGGCAATTGGGAAGATGCTTGGCCGGCTATCTGATTTCAAGCAGGAGGACCTCGTCAAGTTCTGCTCGGAGCGCCAGAGCCCAACTATCCACCCCATCGTATCAACACTTATCCACGGTGAAGAGTCGATTCGGGAAGCCGGCTTTGAGTTGGCCAAGGCCATCACAGGTGAGACCGTGCCCTCGGAGGCAGTGGGCAAGATGGCAGAGGACTATCTCAGTCCCTTCCTGGACGCCTTCTCGGAAGCAGTGAACCAAATCACTGCTAAAAATGACGCCCGCAGCCCCTGGAGCCATATGCTCCCAACCCTGAAGTGTATTGAGTTCGCCCTGAACGGCCTTTGCGACCCTTCCGTAGGTCAGCTGCGGCGTAGAGCTCTCACCCCAGAAGAGCACGCTTCTGTCAAGCGTTGGTGGGAGTGTGTGTGGCGGACCATCGACCACTCATTTAGGATGATGAGGATATGGCATGAGAGAGTCGACAAGAAAATCATGGAGGACTTCTGCCGAGACGTCATGGAGCTGGCCAACAAGCTGCTAGCCCAAGACGGAGTCATGGCTTCTGCTCTTAGCCAGTATAGCGGCGATCGTACTTCTCACACGAATGGTGACCCTCTAGCAAAAGCCATGAGGAGCGTCCTGGAGCCACCCAGGAAGTACTCGTTTTCCCTCGCGGATATGCTGCAGCTCAGAGACAAATACCTGATCATGGGGATCGCTGAGGTGATCAAGAAGCTCGTTGCGAGGCTTAAAGAGAACGACATGGAGTTGCCGCAGAGGACGCTTGCGAACCTTGGCAACATGCTCAAGCGGAGGAAGCTCCCTGATGGGAGAGTGGACTATGTGCAGAAGACGAACCTGACGAACGAGCAGCGCATTGAACTGCTCAAGGCTCTTGGGGAGGACGCCGTGATCGAGGAGCAGTTCATGAACATGAGCATCAAGTCCGGGGAGAAGGAGCGGTCCATGAGACAGAGCAAGATTGACTTCTCCAAAGGAGCTATCAAGGACCGGGTCGCCGAGATTACTCCCAACTTCGAAAAACGCGCGTCCTCCCTTCTGTCGAAACTGAAAGAGGAGGGAGGGACACCCAAGCAGCCCACCAAGCTCAGCGAGAAAGCTGTCCTCGCAAATCAGACATCCATCAAAGAGGCCCGGGCCCGGGAGAGGGCTGAAAAGGCGAAAAGGGATGCCGAAGCCATTGCCAAAGCGAGGGCCCTGCGCACCCCCAAGATCGTGCCCGGTGAGGGTTCCGGTCTCCAAGGCATCACTGGTGTTCGGGGCAAGGATCATGCCCCGGTCGTCGCCAAAGACGAGATCATGGTTGGCTCATCGTCGGAGGAGGAAGACGAGTCTGACGACGAGTTGATAGCATTGAGAGCCAAGGCTAAAGCTGGAAACAAGACCCTGAACGAGGACGAGCGCCGACGGCTACTCATGTTGGCCGAGAAGAGGGGACCTGTGAAGAAGGTCAAACTCCAGCGGTCGGCAAAGGATATGCGAGCGCGTCTGATTCCGCCGATGGATGTGCTACACCAGGCCATTCTGGAGTGGGACATCTTCCACGAGGGTAACGATCCTCCGAACGGATACCGCTGCGACCGCGTTTCCGACACCTACACCGACCCCTACAGCTACAAGCAGACGTTCTTTCCTCTGCTCATCAATGAGGCTTGGCGTTCCTTCGTCACAGCTAAGGACGAGGCGACGTCCAGACCATTTGGCATCAAAGTACTCAGCCGCATGACGGTCGACAAGTTCATGGAAGTAACGGCATCGGTTCCCGTCCAGGTCAACAAGGACCGAGGTCTGTCGGAGGGAGACATTGTCATCGTTTCAAAAGGGGAGGACCCTCTCAACCAACCGGCTGAGTTGCATTGCCTCTCGCGGATCTGGAAGACCACTTACAAGAAGGACACGGTGGAAGTTGTCTACCGCCTCAACTCCAAGGGAAACCAGATTCTTCCGGCCCTTCTTCCGGGTGCCGAGTTCCACGTTGTCAAGATCACCAACATGACGACCATTGAACGCGAGTATGCAGCACTGGAAAGTCTGCAGTACTACGATCTAATGGACGAAGTCCTCAAGGCGCAGCCCTCTCCGATGCTGACCTTTGGTGACGAGGCGGTCAGGGGAGTCATGAACAATTACCAACTCAATCCTGGTCAGGCGCGGGCTATCCTGAACGCCAAAGAGAACGATGGCTTCACCCTGATCCAAGGCCCACCGGGGACGGGCAAGACCAAGACCATTGTCGCCATGGTTGGCTGCCTTCTGACCGGTGTCCTCAAGCCATCTCACGGGGCGGTGTCGTTGGCGAGGCCTGGGTCCAACGGACAGGTGCCGTCGAAGAAATTGCTGGTCTGCGCTCCCAGCAACGCTGCTGTGGACGAATTGGTGTTGCGGTTGAAGGCCGGCGTCAAAACGATGAACGGGGTATCGCACAAGATCGAGGTCATCCGTCTGGGCCGTAGTGACGCGATCAATGCCGCAGTCAAAGATGTCACGCTTGATGAACTAGTCAAGGCCAAGATGGACGCTGAAATCAACAACAGCGGCCCCAGTGACCGCGAGAAGCTGCATCAAGAAGCCGGCGCGCTCAAGGAGAAGATTGCGGAGCTGCGGCCCCAGCTTGAGGCAGCTCGAGCAAACAATGATCGCACCTTCACCATGAAGTTGCAACGGGAGTTTGACGAGTTGAAACGCCGTCAAGCTCACATCGGCGCGCAGATTGACGCCAACAAGACCAACGGAAACACGTTTGCGCGCGAGGTGGAGATCAAGCGGCGCCAAATCCAGCAAGAGATCCTTGACAGGGCTCAGGTTTTGTGCGCTACATTGAGCGGCAGCGGACATGAGATGTTCAAGAATCTCAATGTTGAATTCGAGACGGTCATCATCGATGAGGCTGCGCAGTGCGTGGAGCTGAGCGCCCTCATTCCGCTGAAGTACGGCTGCTCTAAGTGCATTCTTGTCGGAGATCCGAAGCAGCTGCCTCCGACTGTCCTGTCGCAGTCAGCGGCGAGATATGGCTACGATCAGAGTTTGTTTGTGCGAATGTACAAGAACCACGCTAAGGACGTTCATTTACTCGACATGCAGTATCGTATGCACCCGGACATCAGCAAGTTCCCCAGCAAGGAATTCTACGAGGGCCTGCTCCAAGATGGCGCCGATATGGGAACGCTCCGCTTGCAGCCCTGGCACGAGAGCGTCCTGCTTGGGCCTTATCGGTTCTTCGATGTCAGGGGTTCGCAGGAGCGCGGGCCCAAGAACCAGTCCCTGGTCAACGAGGAAGAGCTCAAGGTCGCAATGCAGCTGTATCGTCGGTTCCGCACAGATTACAGCAACGTTGACTTGAAGGGCAAGATCGGCATCATCACTCCGTATAAAGCGCAGCTGTTCCGGCTCCGGCAGCGGTTCACTGAGCAGTACGGGGAGGGGATCACTGAGGAGATTGAGTTCAACACGACGGACGCCTTCCAGGGCCGCGAGTGTGAGATCATCATCTTCTCGTGTGTTCGGGCCAGTCCGACTGGCGGTATCGGTTTCATGACGGATATTCGACGTATGAACGTCGGCCTCACTCGCGCCAAGTCGTCGTTATGGATCCTTGGCGATTCCCGCGCGCTGATGCAAGGCGAGTTCTGGGCCAAGCTTATCGAGGATGCGAAGCAGCGTGGCCGCTATACCGGCGGTAACATCATGGCGCTGCTGAGCAAACCGGGTCCAAAGGTGCCACTGACGTCCCTCGTTGCTCCATCCTCTGGTTCAATGCAGCGGGCAGACCCCATGCAAGGGGACAATGATGTGGTCATGACGGAGGCACCCGAAATTTCCCGGCAAGAACCCTATCTGAGCAACACGCCGGCACAGCAGACAGCGCCCCCGACAGGAGGGGATGGCCACGAGGAATCGACAGCTCCTCCGCCCGTCCCCTACCGAGGTACAGGTATCGGCGGCCTCAACGAGAGGGGAGAGGCCACCTCGATCTTGCCGAGGGGTGGAGGTGCGCCCGTCATCCAGTCTACGACTGGATCTGCAGGGAAGAAGCGGCCACGCGACAACAACGACGACAGTCGCCCGAGCGCAAAGAAGGTAGCTGACGATGCTAGTTCCCTCTCGGCTTGAACATGAGCTAAGACTATCACACCCAGATACACCATACCACCCCCCCTGTCAAACAGAAACAACCGAAACCGCCAAGCGATCCCTCGGCGATGGAGGTGTTGGGGTTGGTTGCTCCCGAGCGGCCGCCTGCTCGGCCGTTCCAACCCCCTCAACCGCATGTCCGACCGCCCGGTAACTCTCAGCCCAGTGCGGGTCACAATGCGCCAAAGGTAAGGCAAAATCTGATTCTGTGTGTTTCCTACCGGGCAGTTATACCTAACCTAGCTGGGTTTATAGGGACCGATGGTGATGCCGAAGCGGTCAAATGCAGCAGACCCGTTCATCCGACGGAAGCCGGGAAGGCGTTAAGTCCGAACTACATCTCCGTACTCATTCCTCATACCGCCTGTTCCTTTCTCCTCTCATCTTAATTTCGGCATCTTCTAGCATTTTTCAGCAAAAGTTTTGTGTTCGGCGCAACGGATTACGCATGGCATAGATATGGGTCATGGTGTGCATACGGCAATCATGGGATAGACGGCTATTGCTGGTTTGGGGCTACTGCATGGATAAACATTGCGATCTTCTGGAACGGGCCGAGTCCTTGGGAGCATTCCCCAAGCGCTTCGGGGAGACGGCTTGTTTCGGTCACGAGATTCGTGGGTTTCTTTTCGTTATTGTCTCCCTTTCCCGGGCGGAATCATTCAATAACGCCCTTCCACTCCAATCCGCTTGGGCCAACGGTGGCCCGGGTGGGCTTCGGTTTCGCCGCTACTTTGCCAAATCATCCAGGACACCGGACAACAGATGGGGACATGAAAGCCTACGACAGCACTCACGTGTAACCATGCCTGTGCTGCATCCTGTGCGCACCCGCAACGAACCTGGTCGACGTAGAAACGAACCTCAGATTCGATGCATGTGCCCTCTTCTTCCTCATGGTCATGGGCATCTGCCGGCTGCCAATGTCGCCCTTGAGCTTAGACCGCACTTGGGACATATAATTGGCGGTATTCTTCCGGTTTCGTGGAGCGATGAGACATGCTCACAACAACAGACAGCGCAAAACATGCATGGCCGTGATGTTTGTGTAGAAAAGAGACCCTCTGCCTTAGAGACGATGGCAAGGTTTCGCCTCGGAAGATGCGTTGCTACAAGAGCCATCGTCCAATGCGCTACCCAATGCGGATCATTGCATTTGAGCCTTTCCACATATCCCATATCAAGATCGGGTTTTAAGGCCATACGACTCGCGTTCTCTTGAGCTTCCATTGCCTCCGCTACGTCAGACTTAACAGTAGCGCACGGGCGTCGGCAGTGTCAGAGTGACGGCCCAAGTGGGTGATTTTGACATCATGGCACCCTCCGATATGTCTCATTTAAGAGTCGGATCAGGCACCCATTGCTCCTTTCAGACGCTCGATGGTTGGACATATCCTCCGATGGCAGTGCGTCGCCACCATCACAAGACAGTTTACGCACCACACAAACAGCTCTTGGTACGGTACGGTACCTTGGCCATGGTCTCTAGCACGACTGCGTCCATTACAGGTGCCCTACAGGCCAATCGATATCAAGCGTCCTCTCGGACTGTTAATAACCTTATTCATCCTCGGCACAGTGTGCTTCCATGCCACGAGACACTTGAAGGTCCGGGTGGCGTTCAGGCCTATTGCTTCATCCGATCCCCGGTTCAGGAGAGGTATACCTCACCAGTCACCACCACAAGGCCACGACCAAGACCGTTAGGACTGGCATCTGTCTCGGTGGTCGTGAACAGAGACGTTAGCTGTTTTGCGAAGGACAGCTAGATATGGATCCGCTGACGCTCCTCGACAGTGCCTCCCGACCTTCGAGAGATCCCAGACCATTACCAGCACTCCGAACACCTTGAAAGCGGCTCGCGGGCATGTCTTGCTCTGGAGCCGGCGATGAGGGTGGCGGTATCCGCGTCCGGCGGGACACCCAAGTCACCGTTGAAGCTTGCCGCAACTCCATCGAACGCCGAAGAAATCCGCCGGTCACAACCACTATCAGATCAGGATTAGGAGGGCAGACCGCTTCATGGCAGCAGCGCAGTCGTGCCAAGTCGTTGGCAGGTGGCTCTAGATTGCCCAATACCGTCAGGGACAAGCTTCGCTCCGACGCGCTCAGTCGAATGAGAGTGAAAAGGAGAGAGAGGGACATAACAGAAGAGCTTATTGACTTTTTCCGCAAGACTTCACCTCCGCCGGGAAGCCAAATGTCGAGGCTTACCACTGTCGACGAGACGCACGAGAAGAAGAGCAAGCGGCTTGCTTTTTGGCCCTTTCGAAAGAAGAGAAGACATACCAGCTCCAAGTGGACTCCGGGGCTTATCAAGTTGCCGGACTCGGCGGTGGCTGGAACGACGATTGGGGGACATCGCTACATTGCAATATCCATTCCCGTCGAATACGCTCACTTGTCGCCCGCGCCACGCAGTCCAGCGAGTCCTCAAACGGAACGGACGAGTAATCCCTTCGATGAACGACAAGCTCAAGCTGGTCTTGATGCCCCTGAGCGCCAGGATTGGGATGGAAAAGACCAGGCCACTTCGATCAGGGACGACACTCGGCTTCTGCCTTACCAATACAGCAACGGGGCTACTCGGCAGGAGACAGCCGGACCACCACAAGCACGATTCGGACACGTCTCGGTCGGTGCTCACAACACGACTCCGAAGCCTCTTCCTGAGCTGACAGCACTGCCACAAGGCTCGAGCGGTGTCCCTGTGGAAGTAAGGAATGGGATTTCTGACGGGAGCCGGCATTTACGCCACAAGCCTGTTATCCAGCGCGTATCAGCCCATGATGTCAGGTTGCCAGACGCCCAGGACGCTAGACCAACGGACTGGAAACCTCTCAACGAGCAACCGTCCATCGTCGAGAGCTCCCACACCACCGGCAGTGAGCTGATCTGTTCCGATGCCGAAACGGTTCACATTCCTACTCCCCGATCGACAGCCGAGGCCTCTGTGGGCTCCGACGAGAGCCGGAGCTACCACACCGCTGTGTCTACCCAGTCGCCCCTGGTCGATTCCGGCCGGGATTCAACAGAGGGAGGCGCCCTGAGCATGAAAAGCTCAGCGGCGTCCGACCTCTCAGCGCTTTACGACCCAAGTACGTCTTGGACATCGAGCCTCTCCGAGTTCGCTTTGCCGCACCCAATCCTCTTCTCGCACGACTTCCATCAACCCCATGCACTGTCAGCCATCACCTCAGTAGAATCACCCTCACCGACAACATCACGAGATACTCGGACCTCTAGCACCGCACCGGTAGTGGCCGTTGACCGACCGTCGCCATCAAGCCGGACATCTTTCCAGCCTCTTGGTGGGACATCGACCCCCAAGAGTTTGCTCATGGACGACCCACCCCCAGACCATACCGAAACACACCGCCGACACATCCACAGCATCCCAGAGATGCTTGGCGTGCTCCCGCGCCCCGGAAAGTCTCCCCTGCCTGGGTTCCATCCCCAGCCCTCCTTCACCAAAGCCTGGGAAACACCACCCCGGACTCTGACCCCAATCGCCCCAACCGCCAGCAGCAGTCCCGCCACCAAGTTCACCACAAACCCCTACCCAAGCCCCACCTTCCACCCCCCGCTACGACCACCACCACGAACCAGAACACCTCCGCGACGCACCGATTCCCACCGATACCTCCTCCACCGCTACGAAGTCCTGTCCCAGACCCGCGCGCGCGAGCTCGAGAGCATGCTAGATCGCCTCGAAAAGCTGGAGCACGCCCACGAGCGCTGGATGAAGGCTTTGGCGCCTGTTTTGGAGCGCGCTACCTCGCGCCGGATTGCGCTGGGGAGCAGGGGTGATGGTATCTGCAATGGTATGGGTAACGGTAATATCGACAGCGGAGCGTCGTCTGGTGCGAGTCTGCGATTACGTCTGCATGAGCGGTCGCTGCGGAGGAAGTGGAGGAGTCATTGTGGAGGAGAGGGTAGTTTTGACTCGGGTGTCTACAGCGGCGGCGGCGGTACTAAGAACGACAAGGATGACGACAACGACGGCGGTGGTGGGGATGGTGTTGTGGGAAGAGTTTCTGCGGCTCGTGATGAGATGCGGATTGTTTCTTCAGGTCCCACGCGGTTCGACTCGTTGGAGACTGCGCGGAAGATGCGGTCTCATTATTGCCCCTCGAGTGATGAAAGACTCGACGGGCTCGGTGAGGGGGCTTGCGATGGCCAAGTCAATGTCAACGATCAGTCTAGGCTTCGGAGCGAGCCTGGTTCTGCCACTTGGTCTGTTTCGGCCTCTGGGGAGCTGGTCATGAACAGCCGTGGGCGGAGACGACGACGACCAGAAATGATGGATGGGTTGGATAGTTTGCCATGGCGCTCCATGGAGAGTTTAGGGGAAGACCGGGGAAGTTGGAGGACGACGTTTGGTGGAAGGCAACCCGAGGCTTTTGCGAGGGATCAGCAGCGGTGGCGACAGGGCGCGGGTATTGAAAGCATGGACGATGAACAGAGATCTCGACACATTGGAGACCCCAAGGGACTTGACGATCTTGAATCCGTGATGCGCGATTTGGTTTTGGGCTCACGGGATGGATATCAATCTACTAGAGTGTGAACGTCCCATCGATGATTGGGGACCCAGACTGATTTCGGATGCTCGAAAGCTGCATTGAACATCAAACTGGTTACCCAAGCGATCATCGTGTATAGGACACTGGTACACAGAGAAAACAACAAGGAATTCGTTGGGGTACACGTTACAGCTCTTGTGTCTGTTAGTGTCTTGGGGGTCTCGACTCGGAAGCCGCGAAGGTGCACAGTGCTGCCCGCTGACCCGGATACACTCCCTAGCATGCCAGTATCGGTGCGAGGTGGTCCGTGCAAGACTCGTCGGATGATCCTTTGTAACGAGCATAAGCAGCTTCAAAAATTCAGGTGGGCCCACTAGTTACGTTGTTATGTGCACACATACCGAGAACTTCGCAGGAGCGGTCGAACAACTTGAACTCACTGCCCCAGTGCAACACTTTGGATCCATGACCGTTGATAGCAAGTTCCGGTTTCATAGATCATGTTCACATAAATACAAAAGGAGCACAAATCTGATCCGAGATATGTTTTACCATTTTTGACTGAAGCAACTATTCAGCCCTTCAGATACCTACTCGAAAGCAAATCAACGTATCACCCGTACAATCCCTCATTGCCGACGCACTCCGACTACGGCCGTCTCAAAGCTTCGAAGCCGGCTTGGGTGTCCCGGCTGACGTAATCTCATTGTACAGCAACCTATTCATTCTGTTAGCTCAAGTCTTCCCCACAGATCATCATCAACATCATCATCATCAGGGGGGAAACTCACGAAGTCAAGAAATCGGCATAGTCCTCTCCCGTGACCTGGCCCGAGAAGTACTGCGCGGCCAGGTGATACTTGTTGCCCTTGGGCGCCTTGGCCGCCAGTTCCTGGGCCTGCTCCTTGAGCAGCTTGAGGGCATAGCCCTTGTCGACGCGCTTGCCCTCGGCCGTAGTCACGCCGTGGCGTACCCACTGCCACAGCTGGCTGCGCGACACCTCGGCCGTGGCGGCGTCCTCCCTGCAATGGCTCTGTTAGCCTGAGACTGCGAAAACCGGAATAGGTCTTGTAACGTGACATACATGAGGTAGTTGATGGGCACGCAGCCGACGCCGCGGATCCAGGCCTCCATGTACCCGAGGCCGATGTTCAGGTTCTTGCGGATGCCCTCCTCGGTGATCTTGCCGGGCACATTCATGTTGAGGAGGTCGTTGGCGCCAATCGTCACGTCCTCGCGGCGCACGAAGATCTGGTTGGGCGTGGGCATGTGCTTGTTGAAGATCTCTGAGGCGATGGCGGCCAGGGCAGGGTGGGCGACCCAGGTGCCGTCGTGGCCGGCGCGCACTTCGCGCAGCTTGTCGGCGCGGACTCCTTCCATGGCCTTCTCGTTGGCCGCCGGGTCGTCCTTGATCGGGATCTGGGCTGCCATGCCACCCATGGCATGGACGCCACGTTTGTGGCAGGTCTGAATGAGGAGTTTGACCTGCATGGATTAGCATTTGCAACGTGGACAACCAAATACCAGGAATAAACCTACATAGGCATCCATGAATGGCACCGTCATGGTGACGCAGCTGCGATCAGGAAGCACAAAGTTGGAGTTCTGGCGGAACTTCTTGATGACGCTGAAGATGTAATCCCAGCGGCCGCAGTTGAGCCCGGAGCTGTGGTCCCGCAGCTCGTAAATGATCTCGTCCATCTCGAATGCCGCCAGAATCGTCTCAATCAGCACGGTACCACGGATGGTTCCCCGGGGCATGCCAATGTAGTCCTGAGCAACATTGAAGACGTCATTCCAGAGGCGAGCCTCAAGATGTGACTCCATCTTGGGCAAGTAGAAGTAGGGGCCAAAGCCGCGCTTCACCGTCTCAAAGGCGTTGTGGTAGAAGTACAGGCCAAAGTCGAAGAGCGAGCCGCTCATGGGCTCGCCGTCGACCGTGACGTGCTTCTCCTCGAGGTGCCAGCCTCGCGGCCGCACGATCAGAGTGGGCAGTTTCCTGTCTGTCCGGAGCTTGTAGTCCTTTCCCCCTTGTTTGAAGTCGACCTGACGCCGGACGGCATCGTACAAGTTTACCTGGCCATTGACCATGTTGTCCCATGTCGGGGCACTCGAATCTGTACAGGGCTATCAGATGAGTCCTATCACGCTCAGAATATGTGGACTCACCCTCGAAATCCGCCATATACGTCCACACATTGGCATTCAAGGCATTGATGACCATCTTGCGGTCCGTCGGCCCCGTAATCTCGACGCGGCGGTCGACGAGACCAGGGGCAGGGGGGGCGCCCGTCCATGTTGGGTCGTCGCGGATGTGCTTGGTCTCTGGCAGGAAGTCGGGAAGGGCGCCCTTGTCGAGCTCAGCCTGGCGGATCTTGCGGCGCTCGAGGAGGGCCTTGCGGGTCGGGTTAAAGGAGCGCTGCAGCAGCGCAAGGAACGCAAGGGCCTGGGGCGTAAGGATCTTGCGTTGGGACTCCTGAACCGGGCCGAGGACCTGGACGCCCTGCAGAACGGACTCGAGGCTGGCCATGATTTCTATAGTGGTTTCGCTGATCGTGGTACTTATGGCTGAATGGATACGACAGTCAATGCCGTCTGGCGTGCTCTTGGGTGTGTAATGTACAACTCTCTGTACAAGTAGTTAGTGGGTAAGCTTCAGTCAATGGACGTCTTGGGAGATAAAGTGAGCCAACAAGCGTGGAATGATAAGGGATCGAACACGGCAAAGGGAAGTGGAGGTGAGCGAGTACAGGGAACATGGAGCTGAGGGTGCGGATTACGACGGCCATCAGCTGGTCATTGACTCACCGAATACAATTCAATGGATTAGCTTCTGGATCCTCACAACTCTCTTCTTTTGCTGTTCTCTGCCGTTGGAAGTTGACAGTGGGAGAAACCGATGCCGGATCCGGCGAAGAAGAAGTATCGTATTTAGCACACGACGAGGGATGACGAAAAAGAGCAGGATCCTCGTCTGGCAACCTTCGGCAACAAGGGTTCGCCGCTCATGCCAATCCATTCGGCAGCCAAAATGTATAACATGTGGTTGGCGGATGTGTCTTGTCTCCACACTCGGCCGTCCGGGGCTGGGGAACGGGCGCCATTGGACTTCGGCTCTCCCAGGGCCAGCTCTGCGTTCCGGGGTCGTCGCATGTGATATGCTATGTGTAATGGCACGGTAATGGCACAGTGGCCGGTGAGGTCATCAGAAAGCGGGACCCCGCCGTTGCCCAGACCTGATCTCTCCGGGAGTGCGGAGTACGGAGGTACATTTCAGTTTCCGCAAGATGCCAGTTGCCGTGGGGTTGTTGATCTTGGTTATAAATATTTTATCAGACTGCTGATGGAATCCGTCTAGCAACAATTCTTAATACAGCAGCTCACAGAAATACGTGCATGAGATAAAGCTCGAGATAAACATGCCCGCGCTCGCTATCGTGACTCCATCCTCGGCCGGCCCCGGAATCTCGCTAGGCTGAGCGAAGACCTGAGCTCGCGCCCCACATTCCAGAGCTCCGACTGCCGCGGCAGAGCCGAGGTCGCTGTGGGTGGGGTCACTGCCGGCTCTCGCCCTGGGCCGACAGTTCCCGACGGTTGTCGGTTGGTGACAATGTGTGACACATCATACTGTCCATCTTTTTGTTTCTTACTCTTCTGAGTATCGTTACATCTGGCTCCGTCGTCTTCCTCTCCTGCTGTCGAGCTCTCCGGTCATGATGTTAGAGAATTGGTACAGTTACAGTACATGTTTCATGAGAGTTCACGAGACCTCATTGACGTGCCATTGCGATGGTGACATCGTCAATCGATGCCGATGCCGACAGCGCTCGTCGTTCTCACCGTGTTGGGTCGATAAGTGCAGGGTTTGACATCTAGCCCTTGTACGGCTTGGGCCCGATCATGAGCTCGGGCCTCACGAGCTGATCAAACTCCTCCTCAGTCAGCGCCTTCAGCTCCATGGCGCTCTCCTTGAGCGTCAGACCCTTCTTGTGCGCGTTCTTGGCCACCTTGCTGGCCATGTCGTAGCCGATCTTGGGGTTGAGGCAGGTGACCAGCATGAGCCTGACGCGGGGAAGCGAGAAAAAGAACATGCATCAGCCTAGTTCAGGATAACAAAAAAAAAAAAAAAAGGGGGGGGGGGGGGGGGGGGGGGGGGGGGGGGGGGGGGGGTTAGCAGCTAGGGAGCCGAAACTTACGATTCCTTCATGATGCTCGAAATCTTCTCCTCGTTGGCCTGGAGGCCGACGACCAGGTTCTTCTCGAAGCTGCGCATGCCGTCGGCCAGGAGCCGGATGCTGTGCAGCAGGTTGCGAATAATCAGCGGCTTGTAGACGTTGAGCTCAAACTGCCCGTTCATGCCGCCAATCGTGCACGCCACGTGGTTGCCCATGACCTGGGCGCACACCATGGTCAGCGCCTCACACTGCGTCGGGTTGACCTTGCCCGGCATGATGGAGCTGCCGGGCTCGTTCTCGGGCAGGTTCAGCTCGCCCAGGCCGCACCGCGGGCCGCTGCCGAGGTACCGGATGTCGTTTGCGATCTTGCTGAGCGACGCCGCGAGCGTGTTGAGGCTGCCGTGCGCCTGCACGACGGCGTCGTGCGCGGCCAGAGACTCGAACTTGTTCGGCGCCGTCTTGAACTCGGTGCCTGTCATTTTGCTGACCTCCTCCGCGATCGCCTCGGCGAAGCCCTCGAAGGTGTTGATGCCCGTTCCGACGGCCGTGCCGCCCTGGGCCAGGAGGCGCAGGTCCGGCAGAGTGCTCTCGACGCGCTTGATGCCAAAGTCGAGCTGCGCGACATAGCCGCTGAACTCCTGGGCCAGGGTGAGCGGTGTGGCGTCCTGGAGGTGAGTGCGGCCGATCTTGATGATCTTTTTGGCCTCGAACTCGTCCACCTTGCCCTGCAGGGCAGCGCGCAGGCTGCGCAATGCGGGAAGCAGCTCTCCCTCAATCTCCAGGACGGCCGCGATGTGCATGACGGTCGGGAAGGTGTCATTGGACGAGGCAGACCGGTTGACGTGATCGTTGGGATGCACCGGCTTCTTCGTGCCCATGGTGCCGCCGAGAATCTCGATTGCGCGGTTGCTGATAACTTCGTTGGCGTTCATGTTAGACTGCGTTCCCGAGCCGGTCTGCCAGACGACGAGGGGAAAGTGGTCGATTAGCTTGAGGTCCGCGACCTCCTTCGCGGCCTGCTGGATGGCCTTGCCGATGGTGGGGTCTAAAGCAGCAGAGAAGGTCGGGTTAGCTTCCGTACACGACTGACGGTCAAGTAGATGACTACGGGAGGGTTACCAAGTCCATAGCGCATGTTCACCGTCGCCGCAGCCCCCTTGAGGATACCGAACGCCCGGACGATGGGCGGCGGCATGCGGTCCTGCGGCTGGTTGATGCGAAAGTTGGAGAGGGAGCGCTCCGTCTGCGCTCCCCAGTACTTGTCGGCCGGCACCTGGATCTCGCCAAAGGCATCGCTCTCGGTTCTGGTGTTGGCCGCCATCCTTGTCGCACTGCCGTGGAAGTATCTCTGGTGTTGAGTCGTGGAGGTTGCCGAGCGGTTTGTAAGTGACGACAGAGGTACGTTTTGGGACCATGGGTTAGATCCTGCTTTCAGACATGTGCTCAGAGGGCCGATGGCTGTCCTCGGCACACGCGCACCAAGGCTGCCGCGGGCTGCGGGGCCGGCTACGCGGACTGATCGAAGCATGCTGGAAGGCGCCTGACTAAGATGTTGGTCTGTAACGCGCGTCACGCCGACTGCGGAAGGTGATTCAAGACCACTAAATTTGCAGCGATGCGCCCTTGAGCTGTGGAATCTCGAATCCGACACTAGAGGCACTACCGAGGCAGTGATGGATGGACAAGTTGACCAAGATGCGCAGAAAATTGAAACGCCTTCTTCGAAGTTCCTTTTTTCCCTCACCGACAAACCAAATAACTAATTCCCCGGAATCCCAGTTCCCCAAAACTTCGATCCGGCGACCCGGTCCGGAAGATCCCGGTCGCGAATCGCCAGCATGCTTCGGAACTTCGGAAGCCAAACAGAATCAAGGACCCCTGTAAAAGTCGTTACCGTGACAACTGCTCAGCGAGCCCCTGAAAAGGGTCAACACAGAGGAAACACCAACACCTCCAGGTTGACTCGACGCTTGGAGGCGGGAAACCTGTTGTTGGATGCAATGCAGTTCGATTGCTTGGCTATCAATTAGTACCTTATACAGGTTACAAGGGAAGGCCTCTGCCGCAATACGACCTTCTGCAAGTAACTGATCGCCCGATGAATCTGTACACACACCCCATTACCCCTGAAACTCGACCCCTGAGCTCCCCGTCTGCCTCCAGAAACAACAATACACCATGCCCTAGTCCAACACCATTATGAGATTCGCACATCAAAAGTCATCCTCGATCTAGGCCCACACCGCTCTCCTCCAACTTGTCATTCCAACCGATGTAGATATCCGGTTCGTTCCAAGACAAGCCAACGTCGGAGACGGTAACCAAGGCCCGTCAAAAGGATAGGCCCAATCAGATTGCCGCGCCCCAGCAACGAATCAAACGATATGAAAAACAGAAACTCGTAGTTTTCCAGACCTTCATTCATTCTCCGCCTTCCAGAAATGCCGAATCAAGGACTGATGGATGCACACATGGTACAATGTCGAGGACATTGCCGCATTCAAGAGTTCAGCGTCTTAATCATCATATTGACCTTGCGCTTATCCGTGACGAGCAGAGACCGGGTGGCGAACGCAGCATTGATGGCGTCCACAACCTTGTGGAAGCTGCTCGCCGCGCCTTTCTCCTGTGTGAAGCGTGCGATGCTGAGCTGATTGCGCTTGCCGTGCTCGATGACCGTCATCAGCTCGACAGCAAACGACACCTCCTTCAGGTTGAGGTCTGTGCAGCAAGTCGGAGCAGTTAGCTGGGCATTAAGTAACCGCGAGAGACACACCCTGGGAGGAAAGGCTTACAATTCTCTGCGCCCACCCGTGCAAAGATAATGTTGCGCCCCTTGTCGACTTCGATATCCTTGATGCCGTACTTGCGCCACTCGCGAAGCAAAATCGCCATCTCCTGTCTTGCGCGGCGCTGGAGGATGTTGAAGAAAAGATAGCGCATAGCTGGCTTAACGCGGAAGAGGCGAGCCAACCAGTTCTGCTGCACCTCAATCTTGCGGATCCCGCCGTCACTCTCGGACCACACGCTGTGCGCCGTCCCGCTTGCCAGTCTGGATTCTTTGCTGTACCTCTTCTTCGTCGACTTCTCGTTGCGAGTGCGCGTGTCGTCGGGGTCCGAATCTGTGTTTTGTGGACCTGTTCAGCAATTCAATATTTTCAACGTCGATCGGTTCTTCTACTCACCAGCAAGCGACATCTTCACTTCCTCCCTAGCACCCTTCCAGAATGGAAAGCCAAATGACTTCTTCTTCAGCAATGTCGGCCGGTTGAGGCGGCTGCCCTCAGAATCCGCCATGGTCTCCTTGGGCCGCACGCTGCTGTCGGTTACCGTCACAAAGCTCGAGCCGCTGGCGTTCTCCTTGGACGAGCGCTTGAACCAGGAGGATACCCTTTTCTTGCTTGGGACAGCATCGGCGCCGTTGCCGTCCGACGTTTGGGTAGTGTGGTTCGACCCGTAAGACGTGCGTCTCGACGTGTTGTGAAGCGAGGGCGTCAACGCTGACCTGGCAGTGCCCGTATTCTGAGTGAATTTGCGAACATTGAGAGGCTCCGGCACCTCCACAGGTGCGCCGGAAGCCCCTAGTGCCGATGACGAGTTGACCGCACGAATGGTATTCTCGGCCCTGGCGAGAACATCCAACCCTTTGTTCGTAGCACGCGTGGGTGTCTCCAGAGAATTCAGAGCCATATCATGCTGGCCACCGTTGTGTCTCGTCCAATTATCTGACGTCTGCTCGTAGATGGACGGCAATTGCCTCGCGTCTTTACTCGGCCGATCGTAGACCGGCTCGGAAACAACACGCCGCTCCGAGGCGGGGACATCCAACCACGGGCGAAGCTTGTACGAAGGTTCAGCATTTGACGCATTCCGGGCTGACAATGGTGGAACTGTCGACTGAGATGGGACAGCCGGCAACGGCCTGTTGTCCCAAGAGCGCGTTTCCCGGGCGGATGCAGGCTGGTTCGAAGGCTGCACTGCCGTCAATGTCCCTAGGGAGAGCACAAACGGGCTGACCTCGCGGGAGCCAACACTTAGATTGCTCGACTCTGACAGAAGAAGGGAGCTTCCAAAAGCTTCATCGCAGTGGCGAGCGATACGGTGACCGAGCTGCTCAAGTTCCTCACTCCAGATGAACGTGTCATCCGTCTTGTCGCCGACCTCCACCATCGACCGAGTAGTCCTGACTCTAGAGGCGTCCAACTCTTTGGCCGGGCTGACGGGCGGAAGTGTGGCGCGAAAATACGTCGTGCTACTCCCAGTGGCGCTTGCTGGAGCTGCCAAACTGGCATGGCGGTTCCGACGATGGCGGTTAACCTTGTTTCGGATACTCGAGAAATCCACGGAGCGCTTGGATCGGTTGTTTGCACGAACGCGCGGGTTGCTCTGATGGCTGCGGATCGAACTCATTGAGGCTTGAGGTGAACTCAATTGACCCGCCGTGCTCGTACGCCGAGAGTTCGTCCTCGCCCGCTGACGGAACGAACCGTTCACCGAGTGATACGAGCGGTATGAGTGCGAGACGGCGGTGGGAGACGGTCCAACTCGCGACTCAGTGCCATTACGGTGGACAATGATCTTCGTATGGCTGACCTGCGAGCCACAGGGCTGCAGGACGCGGGATGCATTGTAAGGATCGTAGCTCCGGACAGTGCCGACTTCGTCCACGTCGGGAACATTAGAGATTACCGTGAATTTGGATACAGTTCTAGTGTGCCCGTTCCGACTGGGCTTTGTGAACTGGCAAGTTGAGATGCGCTTCCCCCAGTTGGGTGGCTTGAGGTGGTGGAAGTCGCTCTTGGAGATTGGCACGTTGTTGTTGTAGTTCTCCAGCTGAGCCTCGCGGTGGTTGTAGAGCAGCCAGTAGAACAACTTTTGGTCATTCGGCCTGGACTATGGGTCAGCATTGTGCCTTAAGGGGCAGCTACAACTCCGGTCAACTGACTTGTCCTGTCGGAGTTTCTCTTGGAGAGTAGATTCCGAGTACGTATGCCAGAGAGCCTTTAACTGGCGCAAAATCTGAATGTCGGCTTCCTCAGGGATCGGTGCCGTGCCCATGTTGCGTAGCACTTGCTGCGACTGCCCGTCCCATTTCTGGTATTCATCGAGATAGTCGTACTTTTTGAGCAGAGCATGTCGCCACATCTGCTTCATCGTAATGCGGTGAGTTGGTTGATCCACCAAGATCCTCCGAATAAGGTCCTTGGCCTCTCTTGTCAGATGTGACGGCATCTTGTATTCTGCGCGCTTCGCCTTGGACAGCATGACACCCATGTCGTCGTCGTCGAAGGGCAAACGTCCTGCGAGCATGGCGAACAGGATCACCCCCATGCTCCAGATATCTACGGCAGAACCCTTGTAGAACTGGTGGCGGAGCAGCTCAGGGGCAGCATAGTGGGGGCTTCCACAGGCCGTTCGGAGCTGATGGTTCGGGTTCTGTTGCAAGGCCGCCATGCCAAAGTCGGCAATCTTGATCTGGCCATTGGCCTTCAACAGGATGTTCTCGGGCTTGAGGTCGCGATGGCAAATGTTGAACGAGTGGCAGTACTCGAGAGCAGTCATAATCTGGCGAAAGTAGAAGATGGCCTCCTCTTCCTGAAGTGGGCCGTTCCAGTTGATGAACTCGAACAGATCCCCTTTCTCGACGTACTCTGTGACCAAGTAACTAGTGGAGATGTCAGTCAGAACATAGGGGAGAAGTATTGGGTGTGGTCGGAGCTTACATTTCTGAACGATTCTCCCAGATATCAAGAAGCTCGATGATGTTGGGGTGCCGGATGAGCTTCAGAATGGCCACCTCTCGCTCAATGGCCAAGGGCATCCGACGGAGGCCGCCATCAGCGCCCCTGGTTGGGTTTCTGTAATCGATGTGGTCCAGGTTGGCCAGACTGCCGGCTTGAGTCATGTGCGCAGTGCTCTTGGCGACGATCTTGATGGCGACCAGCTGATGGGAGACGCGATGACGGGCCAGGCGGACTCGGGCCGACGAGCCCTTGCCCAGCGTCTTGCCGAGCTGCCATGGGCCGATATGAGTCTTGAGCTGGCGGGTGCTGGACGCGTTTGAGGACACATTGGAGAACTGAGAAACGCGACGTGGGTCGGAGCTGCCGTGAGAATCCTGGCCAATAGCTGTAAGACGCGGGTTGGCTGGTCCTGGTTCCACCAGCGGTGCTGGAGCTGGCGCATGGTGAGTGCGTTGTTCAGCTTGAAGGTGATGGACCGGAAGAACGGGATTGGAACGTCCATGAGCGGCGTTCTTGGACTTGGACAGGACGTGGTTTTCAACGTCACCAGCTTCGTATCGGCGGTTGACATTGGCAACGGTGGCATGGTTGATCCGCTGCGTCGCGTCACCCAATGGCTGGCGAGTCGCCGGATATCGAGAAGTGCCGCGGTGCTCCATGACAGCCAAGCTAAAGATTGGAGGCTCAACGCATCCTTGACCTTGGAGGTGAATCAAGAGAAGCAATTGAGGTGTGCTTGAAGAGATTGGGTCGACACAGGGTCGAATTATCAAGGTGGAGGTGCGAACGAAGTGAATGCAGATTGCGTGGAAAGAGAAAGGAGCGGCACCCACGGGCTTAGTGGGCAGATCCCCGGTTGTAAGTCGGGTGGAAAGCAAACGAAGGTGAGAGTAAGAGATGGGACTGTGGCGAGTGAGAGGACGCGACCTAGAACAACTCGCCTAGCAAAAGAATGAGTGGAAGAGAACTGTTTTGCTCCCGATACCCAATGGCCGGAGTTGCTGTTGCGGGTGCTGGGCGCGAGACTGGGGAAGGAGAGGTCAACAGTGCCAGCACAGGAACGCGGTGTCTCGGCCGGCGTTGCTGGGAAAGATGGCAGCAACAAGTAAACTTGCGCAGAGGAATGCCCCACCAGTAAGTTATTGATCGGTTGCCATACCCAAATTCTATCCTGCCAGCGGCCGCAGGTAGGGTAGCTAGCTAGCGCGATTACCAATACAGTCTCTTTCGTCTCATCATGGCACCAGTGAACCCTCACGGCAGCCAACGCGGAACAAACAGTCAGCCGTCAGCTTGCAAAATGAAGAGGAAGTCAAATTCCTATAGGAGAGTCGAGGACGCAGTTAGGCGGGCAGGAATGTCAGGTCCGGGAGTGGGATCTACCTTGCTGGCGTCTTGTCCCGGCCAGAACACTAGCTTCCTGGTGCCGTCTGGAAGGCGCAGACACGGGGTGATGCGGACGCAGATCCAACTCGACTGGCATGGAGTCACATATCACTATTATCTCGGCCTAGTGAGTGGAGGGAGAGCACAATGCCACGGAATGTGGCCGAGGCTAGGGAGAAGACATTTCAGGCGAGAATATGCGCGAATGGACGGCTACGATTCTCCAAGTGTCAATATAGGCGGTCATAGCCAGCACCCTGATAGAGAACACTTGCACCTCTGTGTGAAAAGAAAGGAGGACGTTGAAGGTTTGGTGGGGCTCGAGCATCGAGGAGCGCCGCCCCACCCAAGGTACCCGATCTAGTGGTAATGGTACGGTACAGTACATATCACTTTCGGTCCCCTACAGATCGCACCACACGGCCTGAAGTTGAGGGTACCTGATCTCTGCAAGAGCACCATGACTAGGCGACTTAGGCCTCTGGTGAAGAAAAACCGATTACTTGTCGGCTTGCCTTTTTCTAAACTATTTTACCAGTGTTGTTAATGCGTAAAAGTCTTATAATCCTAATCCTGCCGATGAGTCGTTCTGCCGCGCAGGAGTTCTCTTAACAACAGCAACACAGTTTGTGGACCTCAATTGACGACGCGAGACGCGTTCCCTCGATGTATCCCGTCTGCAACCTCCCAACCCACGTCAAAGATTCGCCGTTGCATTTGAACACACCACAACCTGCCATGACCGACGAGTGCCAACGACAAAACACTGGCCCCAAACCAGAGCGCAGAACCGAGATTTGACATTTCCCTGCCGCCGCCATGTCCGGCCGATTTCCCGACACTCAATTCTCGGAACGCGTCGTTACCGACGAGCAAAACACAGCCAATCCTTCGGGTGTCGGTGCCGTGGATCGTTTCAGCTTCCTCCGGCTACGGGGCGGTGACAGTTTACACGGCTTTGACCAGGGCGAGGACGGCGCCTCATCAGACGAAGACCAAGTCCAGGCCACACCAAGACGAGCAGCCGCGTCCCGATCTCGAAATGGCGCCTCGAACTCCGAGTTTCAGCCCGGCGCTATCGTCCGAGTCAAGGTCCAGAACTTTGTCACGTACGAGGAGGCCGAATTCTTTCTCGGACCGAACCTGAACATGGTCATCGGGCCCAACGGAACAGGGAAAAGCTCCCTCGTGTGCGCCATCTGCTTGGGCTTGGGCTACGCTTCCAGTGTCTTGGGGCGAGCCAGCGCGTTTGGCGAGTTCGTCAAGCACGGCAAAGACGAGGCCGAGATTGAGGTGGAACTCCAGAGGAAGCCGGAACATGCCGAAAATTATGTGGTCGGACTCTGTATCAGACGGGAGGACAACAGTAGGAAATTCACCATCAACGGCCAAAGAGTGTCCCTCAAGCAGATCCAGAAGCTCATGCGGTCGCTCAGAATCCAGATCGACAATCTGTGCCAGTTTCTGCCCCAAGATAAGGTGGCCGAGTTTGCTGCCCTCACCCCGGTCGAGCTACTCGACAAGACGCTCCATGCGGCCGCCCCCGAGGAGATGATCGAGTGGCGAGCCGAGCTCAGGGAGTACTTCAAGCTGCAAAAGGAGACCGAGCAAAGCGGGGAAAAGATCCTTGAAGAGCTGCGCAAGATGGAGGCCCGCCAGCTAGTTCTTCAGGCTGATGTTGAGAAGCTGAGGGAAAGGAAACAAATCCTAGAAGAAATCAAGAGCCTCAACGAATTGAAAGTCGTTGTCAAGTACTACGACGCCCGAAAGAAGTACAAGGAGACAAAGGATCGGAAAGTTGAAGCCGAGCGGTCCCTCAAGCGGCTCCAAAACAGCGTGGCCCCTGCGCTCGAAGCCGTCAACAAGAAGCAGGAGTACCATTTCAAGGTCAAGCTGGTCGTCACGGACAGGCAGCAGCGACTGCAGGCTGCCGAGGCCGCGGCGGATGCCGCTATCGGTGAAGTCGAAAGTGCCCAGGCCAAGTGCCAAGAGCTGTCCGGCAGAAAAGAGGCGGAACGCGTGAACTTCTCGGCCAAGAAGCAGGAGCTCGGCCGACTAAGGAAGAGAATCACGGATCTGGAGGCCGACTATCGCCGAGCGCCCAGGGAGTTTGATGCTGCAGATTGGAACAGAAGAATCGTCTGTACACCCCTTTGAAAAACCTTCTAAGGATTGGCTATTGACTACTCCATCATAGCGAGAGCAAGAGCACCTGGAGCGCGAACAGCAGGCTGAAGCTGGAGCAGTGGTTGAGGAGTTGCAGGAGTTGCGGGCGAAGGGAAGCGAAACCCGATGCCAGATTGACAGACTAAAGTTGAGTCTGCAAGAGCTGGAATCACAACAAGGGCAACTCCTCACCCAGCTGAGGAGGATCAGCCCCGATGTTGCCAAGGGCTGGGAGTGGCTGAAGGAGAACCAGGACGGCTTCGAGAAGGAGGTCTTTGGCCCTCCTATGCTAACATGCTCGGTGAAGGACAAGCGCTACACCGACCTCGTCCAATCCATGCTGCAGGCTGACGACTTTCTGTGTTTTACGGCCCAGACCAAGGAGGACCACAAAAAACTCAGCGATCAGTTCTACAGCAAGATGGGGCTCTCTGTCACGATTCGCTCCTGTTTCACAGCGTACAGTTCGTTCAAGCCGCCTCTGCCAAGGGAAGCGTTACCCAACCTCGGGTTCGACGGCTATGTCAACGACTATCTGGATGGTCCGGAACCGGTTCTCGCTATGCTGTGCTCCGAGAAGAGACTGCACGCATCGGCCGTCTCGCTTCGAGACATATCGGACGAGCAGTTCGAGCGGATCCAGCGGGTCGAAAATCTCACTCAGTTTGCGGCAGGGAAGCAAGTCTACCGCATAACCCGCCGAAGAGAATATGGGCCAGGGGCCGTCTCCACGCGGGTGACCCAGTTCGCTAAGGGCCGATTCTGGGCTGATCAGCCGGTGGTGGATGCAGCTGAAAAGACTGAGCTCCAGAGAAAATTGGGGGAGCTCAGGGCGCAGCTTGCCGCTGTGAAGGAGCAATTTGATTCCAAGGAGGCACGCAAGAAGGAGTTAGATGCGGAACAGGCTCAAATAAAGGCCAAGATTGTATGTGCCCCAGCTGGGCATCCACCTTGCGGCAACCGCTAACATGAAGGTAGAATGAACTGCGGGCGGCGAAGAGCGAGCTCCAACGCGAGTACACAAAGTGGCAAGCATTGCCGGACAAGATAGGTATGTTTTCTCATAGTCCTGCCTCGAGGATCTGGCTAACGCGGGTGTAGAGTCGGAAAAGAAGGCTCTAGCACGGGCTGAGAAAGAACTCATGGAATGCAAAGGTCGGATATTCGGGATCGAAAAGCTTCACGATCAAGCGGTTCTAGCCAAGGCCAGGGCGATCCTCCGGCACCACAAGCAGATCGAAGGCATTCGAAAAGCACGTCATGCTCTGCTTGAGGCGCAGGTTATCCTAATGGAAGCCGAGTCCGACGTGGGCGTTCTGAAAGCTAAGAATTCTGATGTCACCCAGCGGCTTGAGGAGAACAAACAGTCCCTCAAGAGGATTATGGCAGAGATGAAGGAGCAACGCGCTATTGCTGAGGAGGCTCAAAAGCACGCCGTCGCTATCTTGACGGAAGACAACAAGGATGAGCTGGCGGCCAAAGCCCAAGACAAGACAGTTGAGGACGTCGAGCAAGCCATCCAGGTGGAGAAGGCCAAACTCGAGGTCATCCAGGCCAGCAATCCGGCTGCGCTGGAGGAGTACGAACGATACGCGGCCAAGATCCAAAGGGAACGGGCCAACCAGGCGAATCAGGAGGCAAGACTGGCAGAGCTCAACGACAAGATCAACACTATCAAGAGCCAGTGGGAGCCGAGGCTGGACCAGCTCGTGAGCCAGATCAACGACGCCTTCAGCTACAACTTTGAGCAGATTAACTGTGCAGGTGAGGTCGAGGTGCACAAGGACGAAGACTTTGAGAAGTGGGCCATTGAGATCAGGGTCAAGTTCCGGTACGTCTTGCCAACAATTCTCACCGAATCTTTGACACTCTTGGCGCTGACGGCGACGTTACAGTGAGAACGAGACGCTCCAACGGCTGGACCAGCACCGGCAATCGGGCGGGGAGCGGGCCGTCTCGACCATCTTCTACCTGATGGCGCTGCAGTCGATGGCGCAGGCGCCGTTCCGCGTCGTCGACGAGATCAATCAGGGCATGGACCCGCGCAACGAGCGCATGGTGCACGAGCGCATGGTCGAGGTGGCCTGCCGCGAGCACACGAGCCAGTACTTCCTCATCACGCCCAAGCTGCTGTCGGGGCTGCGGTACGACGAACGGATGCGGGTGCACACCATTGTCAGCGGCGAGCACGTGGACAAGAAGGGCACGCAGAAGATGAACTTTGCGAATTTTGCCAGGATCCAGAGGAGGTTGCTAGGGCGGTAGGGGGAATAAGAAGGGGTGAGGTGGTATGAATACAATGTCTCTTCTACTGGGGTCAGACGGATTATACCCAAGAATCGCTCCTGTCTAAGAGCGATTGAAAGAGCTGAAGCCCGCTTCCTAGACATGTACGCTAGCAGTACCTCGCTGCTGAGGCTGGACGGCACGCAGAAACTGTCAGGATGACATGCGTCCATTAGAAGACTGGGAGAATGGCTCGTTCGCGTCGGGCTGAAGGGTGTGTGCCAAGATATGGACAATGCTATGACGTCACAGTTCGAGCTCTACATGGGCCCTTGGAACCCTGACCTGCTGCTGAAGTGTTTGATGAGAATGACTTCACTGGGTTCGGTTACTTGCTCTACACGTGGGCCATTGGATGTACACCAACCTCGCTTCTGCACAATCCCGCTGTTGTAGGGAATATGTCTCGTCGGTGTCATCATTCTGGTTCAAGGCTGAGCAGACACGCCCAGGTTCGGAATCTGGCTCCTCCGGACACAACAGGGAACCAAACTTGCAGCTACGGATACCATGCCCTATCGTTAGGAGGTGATAGGTACGAAGTACGCTGAGGTACGTCAGTGGTCAGGTGAAAGAGCTGCGACGGCCTGTCTTCTGGACCGAACAAACGGGAAACGGCAGCCAACATGCTAGTGACGTCACTGGCCACTTACACAACCGGATGCATTGAACTGGTGATGCGACTGCAGGCGATGCTGTATATAACAACCCACTACTGCCTTTGACACAGTTCCATGAGACATACCAAACAATCAAATTCGTCACAAATCTCGTCGCGCAACAACCCAACGTTTGCACTCATAACTCAACCACTCAAACCCTACCACGACAACCATCAAGCAACTTATCAACAACATTCAAAATGGGCGCCGTCGTCTCTTGCGTAAGTCATACCCAACCATCACACTGCCTCAAACCGCGGCGTTAAACACATACTGATCGCTGTATGACCTCAACAGATCCAATCGTGCCTCCGCACCATCGGCCGCACAATCATGGCCATCATCAACGGCATCGGCGGCGTCATCATGGCCATTGTGAACGGCATCGTCAGCTTCCTCGACATCATCGTTGGCTGCCTCACCTGCAATAGGGCCGGTGGCCGCCGCCACCGGACTCACGGCGCCACGACCACGGGACGAAGCCGCGGCTTCGGCAGGCGGAGGCACGTCGGGACCACGAGCACCATCTAAAGCATCTGAGCATATGAGCATATGATGCAAGAGTGTGCGGAGGAAGGAGTAATGGGAAGGTGGATAGGCTGTACTTTATTCGGAGCGATGGATGGATCATAACGAGATACCCGATACCCAAGCTTCGGCTTTTGACGTGGAGGGAGAAGGGAGGACGCATTCAGCATGCTGGTTTCTTTTGTATCGGCGTTGAGCTTTCCATGAAATTACGCAAGGGTAACCATTGCAAATTGCACCATTTTACATTGATTCTTCAACTCCCATGTCATGGTGCCACCTGCGACTCGGATCGAAGAGTGTGAACATGACTATTTTAGCCACTCTATCATCACTCATCCTCCAACAGATCTTTTGCGAAGAATTCACAGATCTTCTCGGCGGCCTCCCTCCCAACCAGCGGGTTGAGCTCTTCGACTGTCATATTCGCAACCTCCTTAATATTCTCTGCCTTCAGCACCAGGTTCATCATATTTTTGGGCGTCACGCCAGGCACAGCAGCCAGCATCTCCTGCGGGCCCGGATTGAACACCTGCTGCTGCTGCTCTCCCGCAGCGGCGTCCGCATCCAACCCGGCCCTGACGGCCGCGATCGGATCGGGCTCGTGCTCATGCGCCTTGAGCCGCTCAAAGATCTCAGCCGTCTCATACGGCGACGAGGACCAGATGATGCGCAGCTTGGGGAACGCCAGCGTGAGCAGCACAATCTTGCTCTGCAGGTCGTTGGCACCCGCGTTGGCGCTGCTCATGCTCGACAGGCTGCCCGACAGGTCGGCAAAGGGCTCGAGCGTGAAGCTCTTGTTCTGGTCGAACTCAATCAGCAGCATCGGGTTCTTGTAGTGCTGGAACATGGTCTCGCACTGGCTGTACAGCCGGCCGTCCTTGAAGGAGCTGATCAGGTCGCTGATGCTCTTGCGCTCGACGCAGATGGTCGGGCTGAGGATGTAGTCGCCTACCGTGAGCATGCAGGGGACGATGATCATGGATCGGCCGTGGAGGAGGGACGGCAGGGAGGAGCGGAACTCACGCACGTCGACCACGACGCGGGGCGGCTGCGCCGTGGCGGCCAGTTTCCCGCCGCCGGCGATGCGCGTGTTGATGGTGCGCAGGAAGGCTTCTTGCGGGTCCTCGGCGCCGTGCGCGTCCACCGTCAGGACGACCGACATGCTGGCGCGTTCCTTGATGAGTTTGGTGAAAGCGTCCTTCTCCCGCCGGACCGTCGAGAGATAGCGTTGTTCTTCGACTGAACCACCGTAGTACAGAAAGTACACCCTGACGTTCCTGTCATTGTGTGAAGAGCGGTAGACCTCGACTCTCCGGATGAAGGCAGCGTCCGGCTCATACATGACGATGTATTTGGGTTTGATCTCTTCTAGGACGTGTTCGTCGAGATCCCCATCATAAGCATGGATAACGACTAGGTCTTGCATTTCGTACAGCTGGTAGTAGTCGTCCATATCTTCCAGGGGATCTGCAACAATGTCCTCCTTCTGTCTTGTCTCTTCTTCGGTGATTTGGACTTCGGCCATAAGCTCGGCAACCTCGCCGGGATTCTCGAAGTACTGTGCGATGCTTCCGTTTTCAAGGCGGCCGGCCCCGGCGCCCACCTGTCCACCGCCACGAACCCGGCGTCGTTTGTTCGGCGGCGCTTTGCCCTTTGACTTGCCGAGCCGCGGATCGACCGCGCCGCTGATGGCCTTCTGATTCTCCGAGAACAGATTGGCATTCACTTGGGCGAACTCACGCTTCCACTTGAGGTAGTTGCGCAACCTTCTCCTCATCATGAAAGCAGCTGACGGCTTGTCCTCGTCCGGGTCGTGGAACTCCTCCACCTTTTTCTCGATCCGCGGCTTGACGTGCATTGTCTGGAGATAGTCGCGCAGCTGGCGGCACGTATTGGTATCTGAGCACATAATCAAGATGGTGCCGTTGGAATCATCTCGAGCGGCAGGCTCGAAGTAGAGGTCCCGGTCGATCTCTTCCAGCACCTCGGCCAGGACAGCCCATTTCGGTTGTTCTTCCAGAACTGGCCGCAGTACGTCAATATTATTGGTGTCTGGGCCGGGTCTCTGATTGCTGGAGTAGACACGTCTCTTCGCCGTGTCAAAAATGGTCTGCGCAGCATCCAGGAACAACCAGGGGGATTGCGTCTGCCTCGTGGACCCCGGAGCCGGCGAATGGGCAGCATGGATGGTGTCGAGCTGTTGAAGAAATGCGACGGCGTCAAGTGCCAGAACTGACTGGAGCATGCCTCTGAGAACAGTCAAGTCGCTCACAATCTGCTTGGTTTTCCAGCTGACTCGATGCCAGTTTGGGTCCAGTTGGCGACGGACAATGAGGTCAAAATTCTTGAGCAATGCGCTATCGAGGTTCCAATCGTCCATTTCCAGCCCGGTGTTGCCCTTCTTGAGTTCGTGTATACTGACTTCGACGCATTCCATGATGGCGTTCTGTATGTCGCGCATGGCGTCTGTCATGGGAACTTCCAGCTCGATCACTTCTGCCTTCTTTTTCCCCTCCAGGGCTTCTGCGACATGCACATGGAAGCGTGGCCAGAGGGACGCTTTCCGAAGAAACAGGTTCCTCATCATGGTAGCGAGCGGCGAGAAGCCGGTGGTGAAAGGGTCCGGATTATCGGAGAAAGCCTTGAGGAAACCAGCCTTGTTCTTTTGGCGGTATATCCTGAGAATGAAAGCCTCCAGGGACGTGGCGGCAACGCGGTCGGCATGAAGCACGACCATGCCCGTGATGGTCTCGGAGTTCAGAAGGCCAGTCAGCATGTCGACTACCAGGATGCGAGACGTGATGCTAAAGATGCCCCCTGTCGCGTACATTTTCTCGCGGGCCGCTACGCTGGTGAAATCGGTGTTGACCACGGTCAGGCCGCGGGCACAGGGCGACATGCTAATGGCAGCATGTTCAGCGAGAGCCTCGCCGATCCAGGCGTTTTCCCTGTCCTCGGCTCCCACGAGGACGATCAGGTTGCCCCCTGCGGCATCATACGAGTGGAGCAGGTTGGTGATGAGGCGGATGAGGCCAAGGCCTCGGGCCAGAATGACGAGCTCATCCTCATTTCGGAGCTCTTCAAAAAGCTTCTGCTGGTAGACCTGGAAACAGGTATGAGCCGAGTGTGAGAGTGTCGGGGTCTGATGTGACATTACCAGAGGCAGCGAGAGCTTCACAGGCTGCACAGGCTGTGAAGCGCCGACAGCCGACATACGGGCGGATCGATGAAAAGCCTTAATTTCAGAAATGCTCGAACGTCATTGTCCTCCTCGGTCCTCCTCCGTCTGAGCGGACAACGGAACGTGTGCTTCTGAGAGTCGATAGGCAGACACTTGTCTTGGCGGCAGCTGCTGCCAGAGTGCGGCAGGTTTTCTGACAGTTGAACCAGCTGGCAGGCAAATGTTTCAAGCAGGCCCGTTTCAGGCACTTTCCAGAACTGCCAAGCCTTTGTCACCTCGAGGCCGCGTAAAGCCGCGAGGACCGACGTCATTGTCACCCGCCAGCTCACATGTGTGACAAACCTCTAATAATGTTTGATTTAAAAAGAAGACACCAACTCGAAGGCCGAGTCCTCAATCCAAACATTCCTCTGCATATTTGATTCTCTGCAGATTTCAAGAGAGCCTGCAATCGCAAAAACCCCGACGTTCAGTTCTAGAAGCCTGACCCACCTTCCTTACACGACACGACCCTTGTCACCCGTCTATCTACCATGGATTCTTCCAAGACGACCCAACAGCAGAAGAAGGACACCAGCCAGCCGGTAAGTTGATTATCGAAAATGCCGATCCAGCCTGAACTTTCTATGTAGCCTGCATTACTGACAGGGTGCTTCTTCTGTTGAAGACTGAGGGCAGCTCGCTGAACAAGGCGGCCGACAGTCTCCAGGCGGCCTTCCAGGCACACTCTGCCAATCCCGGCCCGGCCATGCCTAAGGAGTTCAACGTCAAGGAAGAAGGGACTAAGGAGGAACGCCGTGCAAAGGCCGACGAGCTTAACAAGTAAATACGGAATCGGGCGAATTTGTATGATTTAAGCAGTTCAGACAGCGCCAAGACAAAGGCTAGTTGGTCAGCAGCGTGACGGTGGTGAATTTAAACATTCGAACGAAGTTGTCGCTTTGTGTCTTGGGCAGCCGCTGGGGGAGTCACACCGTTTCCGCCTGGCCAGTCACATCATCCGACTTTGAGAGATCATACCTACAGATCGCCCAATGTTTGAATGTGTCTTTAGAATTGTTGTTTGTGTAAGTGGTCATGAAGGGCGGTGCAAGAAGATCAACTGGATATTGTGGTGGTGGGGACCCGTTACTCGTATTTCATGAATCAACCTCCGAGCGCCATCCTGGTAAGGTAATGAACGGCCCCGCACTTTGGCTGCGCCGCAGGACTCTTTCCACAGCTGCGCCAACCCCTGAATCGGCGCCTCAGTGATGCAAGCACCCGAGTCAAGGAACTGTACCTAAGCTTACATCTATCTGCCCGGATGAGTTTGTCAAGCCACCGTTCCAACTTCCAACCCATCTTCCCAAACTACCTTCAGCTCAGCGCCTGCGCATAGCACTGAGCGAGGCGCGCACCGACGGCTGACCGAATCATCGAAGCCCTTTCTAGGCAGTAAAGCGTCGAGTTCTGCATTGGGTCCGGTCGGGCCAGATTCAGCGCCGTCTGATCTACCATTGACGAATACAGCTCGCGCGACCTTGAGTCTCCGAGCTGTGTCCTGATCGACTACCACCAGTTTCCGCGCATCGCTCGTTGCAAGCTCGCGGTTACCGTCTCGTTGTTCTCCAGGAACTCAGGCAACAAGCAGGCCCCACGCCGGACACCCTCCTGCCTTCGCAATGCCATCAATACTGAGCGACGACGACCGCGAGACCGTCAAGCGCTTCGTACCCAAGCAGACCAACAAAATCCATGCCGTTGCTGTCGCTCGCCTTTACATAGCTTACCCCAACCCTTCAAAATGGACTTATACGGGCTTGCAAGGCGCCGTTGTCTTGGCGAATGACCTCGTCGGCAACACTTTCTGGATCAAGATGGTGGACATCTCTGTATGTGCTCTGACTCCTTCTGCTCGCTATGTTGGGCATGCTCCTCTGACCACCACGTACCTCAGCCCGGAAACCGCGGGGTAATATGGGACCAGGAAATCTTTGAGAATTGGAACTACAACCAAGACCGCGTCTTTTTCCATACCTTCGAGCTAGAGGAATGCCTGGCTGGATTGTCCTTTGTCGATGAGAAGGAGGCCAAGCAGTTTCTGAAGAAGATGAACGACAGAGAGAAGAACGCAAGCAAGGCGACCTTGAAGACGCCGTTTGGAGGCGCCCCTGCGACAAACCACCACAAGCATCATCACGGATTCCTTGGCAGCCTTTTCGGGGGTCATCGGCATTCATCAGCTCCCACGCCACCCGAGTCGCCCCGGGTATCCGCGCCAACAAGGGATCACCGGTCCGGCAGCGTGAATGGGTACCACGAGCCCGCCGCGCCCTCAGGATTCGAAAAGCTAGACGCCTTCGATCCCCAATGGAGAGAGCATTTTGGGGAAGACTTGAAGTCAAAGGGCCTGACGGACGACTTTATCCGCGAAAACCAAGATTTCATCGTCGACTTCTTAAAGCAGGAGCAGGCAGCCCAGGCCCAGCAGGAGCCAGTATCATCACCTCCCCCGCCCCCGCCTCCGCCGGTCAATGGGACTGGGACAGGGCTGAGAGCGCCACCACCACCTCCTCCATCCGCGCCAGCACACCGATCGGTTTCGGAAACGGTCACGGCCCCTCCAGCTCCTAAAAGAGGACCTGCCCCTCCGCCACCTCCGGCGCCGAGACGGTCCGGCAAGTTGGAGACTTCCGGGGCAGATTCAACGCCTCCCCGAGACTCACCGCCGCCGCCCGTCCGTCCCCGGTTTGCTGTGCCACCGCCTATTGCGGATGCTGGAAAGTTCGCGCGTATTGATGCTCCCCGTTCTGTCCCGCCGCCTCCTGCTCCGGGACCACCACCGCCACCTCGACCGCCTAAGACGCCGATCGAGAGTGCAGAGCCGGCACAGCGCTATGGGGTTCCTCCGCCCTTCAGCGGCCAACGGAACGTGCCTCCTCCGCCCCCCAGCCGGGGTGCCGTTCCTCCTCCGCCTCCATCCCGGGAGACAGCCCCAGTCCACACCCAAGCTCCCCCGCCTCCGCTGCCCCCCAAGGCGCCTTCCACAAGTGCACCCCCACTCCCACCACCGAGCTCACGCCCTCCTCCAACACTACCGGTCAGAGGCGCGACTCCTGCCCCACCGCCCCCCCCGCCGTTGCCTTCGTCGAACGCTCCTCCTGCGCCGCCTCTACCTACCTCAAGCGCACCGCCCGCACCACCCCCTGCTCCACCTCTGCCTTCATCAAACGCACCACCCGCGCCCCCTCCTCCTCCTCCTCCGCCCGTTTCTGGAGGCCCGCCGCCGCCGCCGCCTCCCCCTCCTCCTCCCGGGCCAGGCATCAGCGGAATCCCCCCCCCGCCGCCGCCTCCGCCGCCCGGAGCTGGCATCCCCCCGCCGCCACCACCTCCCCTTCCGCCGAACCGCGACTCCGGCTACTCTTCAAGCGCTCCAGCTCCCGCTATACCTCCAGCCGACCCCAGCCGTGCCGCCGTCCTCGACAGCATCCGTGGCGCCGGGGGTATCGCAGCGCTCAGGAAGGTCGACCGCAGCCAGATTCGCGACCGCAGCGCAGCCCTCGTCCCCGGTGCGGGGGATTCCGGCCCGCATGGCAGCGGATTGCCACCAGCGGGTGTGGCGCCCACGGGCGCCGGAGGTGGTATGGCTGACGCGCTGGCTGCTGCGTTGCAGAAACGGAAGGAGAAAGTCAGTCGTAGTGGTAAGTTTCTTCGTCCTACTTGCTGTGTTGATATGCTCGTTCTCGGTGCTGACGCTTTGCAGATGATGAGGATGACGATGATGATTGGTGATGTGGTGCGCTGGGCTCGTATCCAGTTGCCTCTGCGAATGGGCGCAACCTAGTTTGAAAGGAAGGAATGGGAAAGTTGAGAATGTTTACAGGAACCCAGGAGCAGAGGAAGAAGCAATCGAAGTATCGACCCTAGGGAGTATCGCGTAGGACTTGTCTCGGGGTTCTCCCCAAAATTCAAAGGAAGGGATATTCTTCAGGTACAATAGGTAGTTGGAAAGGTAATGGCAAGAGCCTTATCACACTCGATTGCTCTCTACCTTGATACTGCCCTGGAAGTTTCAAGGTTAACCGGGGCATGAGAGGAGCACCTTAAAGATGGGCATCTGGAATTTCCGGAAACAACCTTCGTCTTATACGTCTATGGACCTGTCGACAGTACACTGGCACGACTTTCACGATGGTTCAAGGTTAAGAGGAAGACCAAAACAGCCTGCATTACCTTAACAAACTAACTGATTCCTGAAAAAACAACAAGAGATAGACCCGGTGATGACGTCTCTCCCATCATGACCTGTTCTTCTCCTTTTGATGCACCCTTCCTCACAACCAAAGCGAGAGAAGCACACCAACTGTCGGGGAACCTCAATTACACAGGCGCCTGTAAATCAAGGTTTGAGAGAGAAGACAGTTTTTTGCTTTCCGCGCCCCAAACGATGACGACGTCGAGGCCAAAAAGGGTGTTTCGTCGCCTCGGTTGTGGGCATCAATGATACTGATGACTTAGATATCATCGATCGCAATCTCCTTCTTCCCGTCGGCGCCACCGACATCGCTGTCGCTATCGCGGTCCTCGTCGAACTCGAAGCCGCAGTCGCCATCCTCGCCAGGGCCAAAGGTGTCGGTTTCGTTAATCTTGGCCGTGTCGGGCAGCTCGCCGTATGCCTTCCTGAAACGGGAGTCAGTAATGTATGGATTACGTGTATGATAAGGAGGTTGTGATGGCGCGTACAAGGAACGAGCCTCATCGGCTGAGTACTTGAGGATAACGTCGCCCTTCTCGTCTTGGTACTCGCGCAGTGACACCAGGATGATGTCGCCGTTGTTGATCCAGATCTTTTTCCGCAGCTTGCCGCGAATCAAACCGAGGCGCTTGACGCCATCGAAGCACTGCAGGCACATCGGTCAGCGCATTTCCTCTCCTTCCTTTGTTTTCCATACGCGGTTTCGCGAGTGTGGTGGGGCAGAGCGTACCATAGCCTCGAGCCTGCCGTTCCCTAACATCTTCAGAACCTGGGCGTACTCCTGCCCTTCCTCCTTGAAGGTGAGCTCGCGCTTCTCATTGCTGTGTGTCGAAATGGGTCAGCGATCGCGGCGCGGGAGCGGTGTAAAGACAGAGGCTGTGAGCAACGCACTCGTTCTCGTTCTTTCCCCTGCGGCGGTTCTTGCCACCCTTTCCCTTGTTCTTCGGCATATTGATAGAACGCGCTCAGGCGGTTCCCGCTAATCAACTTCAAATCGACCTTGTTTTGTTGAAAGTCTTGTCGGTGAGGACCTGCCTACACGATTTTGTGGTCGTTGTCGTTGCCGAGCGGTGCGATGAGAAGTGAAGCAAGGCGGGGGGCAAGCTATATATGACTCTTCTGTGGGGCTGGGGCTGTTGGTTCCGTCCTTGAACGTCCACTGTGGCGCTTGTGGCGCTGCCGCCACTGGCGCGAAACCTTCTGCAAGTTGGTGGACTGCGCACCGACCAAAGCAGATCTCAGTTCCAAGTTGATTGCTTGAATGCTGCCGTTGCCTGCCCGTGAGAATGTCCCATGTGCATGAGATGATTTGACTGACTCGGAACCACAAAACGGCCCGGCCGCTGCTGCACTCCAACGATTGGAAGTACAGGCATAACGCCCACACTACAGCATTACAAAGAAACGGCCGAAAACAAATCATAACGACCGATCATGTTTCAGCGGACATTACAGCGTCTCAAACAATCACAACCATTTGATGGGTTTCCAGCCAATTTCGAGACCCTTCCGTTCATGCGTGGGCAGCCAACCTCAAGTGCCCCGTCTGCAGGTACGCCAAAGTGGCAGCTGCAGGATGAGTTCACGCTCAGTGAAAAGGTCATCAAATTTGCGAAGGACTCAGACATCGCATTCCCGAATGCGCCACGCCTGGTGCCGGGCCAGAAGTTTGACAAATTCCCCATACGGTTCTTCCTGTGCCCACGCCACGCCTTCTCCTGGCACCACACCAAGTTCCTCTCCGAGTTTGAGCACCCTCTTACCGACAAGATCCTACATCACTACACCCAAGAGAAGCGGACCCGGCCACTGTGGTGCTATGTGCAGGGCACCTCGACACACGACGGCAGCAAGGTCGTGGTGCGGAACACGAGCGAGCGGGTGGTTAAGGCTGCGCTGTTCCAGGCACTGAATAGCATCGGCTACGACTCGTTTGGCAAGAGTCTCGACGGGACGAAATCAGACCTACGTGGCACTATTCGTATCGCCGTGTCGCAGCCCAAGGCGATCCTGAAGGTTGACTTCGAGCGGCTGCGGGATTACCTTGCCAAACTCGTCGCCGACGCCATTCCTCGTCTTCAAGGTGGCTTCGCGCCGAAGCGGTCTAGGGGGCCCTAGAGTCTCGTCTGCTTTTAGCTCTGTGTTATGCTCAGAGGCTGCATTTCGAACTCCATTATTCGAATGCTACACGGTGCTAGCAACATCACGACAGGGTGGCATTATGTGGTGGCCGACATGAGAGCTGTGGCAAAGGCTTGCCAGATTCACGGGCATCAGGGCCGCGCTGGGGAGCTCGCAGCTTGCCCCTGCCGCTGCGTCCACAAAAGGTGACTGGCGAGTTTGAGTGAAGGGTGCCCGAATTTCACAAAAGCTTTTGAGTCGTTGAGTGTCGCATCAAGTCTTCTCTGTAAAACAAGATGAAGCATGTCAGCGGGGGCGAAGCATGTGACAACCAGGACTCGACGCAGTGTCAGTGGCGCCATCTGTTGGGTGACGAGACAGAAGGCAGTTGGGACATGAGAGGCGATGGACTAGGGGCACCCAGAAGGGATGCCACAAGGCTACCGACCACGAAAGCGCTCCGCTTGAACTACATTGAGATGTCTGGCCACGTTCTGGATCTCTGGGGATGCGGGGCAGCAGCCACTGTCGCCTGCAAGATGCAATATCAACGGTAGAGTCGCCCTAATCTATATCGAGACACCGCTACCGAATCCAAAGTTTCACCTTACGGCTGTCCTTTGTCCTCAACTGTTCGGATATACTTGGAATGCAACTCTTGGACGGCCGGGATGATGAGGCTTTCGATTTCCACTTCAGGTTCGCCCTCCGGCAAACTCTTGGGGTCAATCGGCTCGTCCTGTTCTGTGCCTGCCACGGAGGTTCCGCTTTCGCCGCCATGCTTACGAAACGGCACGCGGATCCAGTGGTCTGGGTTCCCGGGCGAGACGAACACCTGAGCAAAGTTAGTCTTGTCCATACCTGATGTGATGGGAATCGGGGGATTAGTAGAACGAGGGACATACAACTTCCCACTTTCGAGTGGATCTTGGGAGGACGCCAGTTAGCCCTAAATCTCTTGTTTTGTTTACTTCGGCGCAGACTCACAATAGGTTGCCAATCACGAGATGATGCTGATAACGATCAAGCGAGTATCTGGCCTTGTGCACGAGGATTGCTGGGTCCGTCTCGAGCTTGAAGGAGACAATCATGCCCTGCGGCGACCAGCCCTCAACCAGGTTCTTAAGGAATTTGGGTACTGGGTCTAGGTCGATAACCAGGCGCTTGCTCCTGGGCACTGATGGCGAGGAGTCAAAGTTGTCGAATGTTTCCTCTTCTTCGGTTGCTGCCTGGGAACCACCATTGTTGTTTCTCTTGAAAACATCCGCGGCACTTGTGCTCTGGATCTTGTGTTCCGACATGCGCTCCGGCTATGGGCCCCCTTAGTTAGAAGTGCGTCGAAGAAATGCATGCCGGACGATCTGGCGCTCTTACTGGGACGAAGAAGTCGCTCACGGCGGCAGCCAGATACAGCAGCCCCCGTGGGCCAAGTGGGCGCATCAGCTGGGCGACGCTGCGCAGCTCGTGGAGATAGTCGGAAATGCTGACGAATGGCAGTAGAAGTAGCATGTTGCGGTCCCGTGCATCACGGTACTTCCGCAGGACATGCAGCATCTTGGCCGTGTCCTCGTCACGGGCCACGACGCTGCCATTGGGCCCTTCCCGGAGGAAGTCCAGGAAGCAGTCGGTTGCATGGCTGTAGTGGCGCGAGAATGGGAGGAGGGAGAATTGACGGTGTCTGGAGGAGGTGTCAGTTTGTGTGCCTTCCAAACCGAAAAGGTCAGATGGAGGTTGAAACTGCGTACAGGAACAGAACTGCATATCCAGCTTCGAGGAAATACTCGGCGCTTGTCTTGGGACCAGTTCGAGTCAGCCATTTGTTTGGCATATCTGCTCAGAGGATACGCCTCCCCTGAGCCATGACCCGAACTGGGATGCACTCACAGCTCCGCGAGTGCCGGCAGAGAAGTTGTCGATAAAGCGCACTGTTTGCTTTTCTGCGTTGACCAGCTGTCATTACGTTACTGAGCTCAGCAGAGAACATAAAGAACATACCAAGCGGCACAGTCGTTCCCCCAGACGTGATCAGCACTAGTCGTCTTCCCGCAGAGGAGTGGTAGTCGATGAAGTCGCGGGCCAGGGCCACATGCTTGTCGAGGTCCCTCGGCGGGGGGTTGGCCGCAAAGTAGTGGTCCTCGGCGAGAGCAGCGAGGTTCTCTGGGGGGATCTCGGAGGGAATGTTGTCCAACATGGTCGGTTTACCTAAATAAATTTAATCTCAAGCACGAAATACCTGCGGCGATGTGATGGAATGACCGGATCGAATGGGCCGAAGATGGCCTCGGCCGGAAGTGGTACCATGTGGGGTGTTCATGTCTCCGTCCTTCTTCAAGCTGCAAGCTCCCCCGCAGCGGTACCTGAGCCTTGCGTCACAAGGTTTGACAGGCCCGCGTTTTGGGCCACAGAGTGGGGCTTCAACGGAGCTCGAGACGCTTGGTATGCAGGATAGGGGCAGTTGCTTTGTGTGTCTACCAAACATCAAACTTGCGACACATCTCGGGTTTTCAACAGAAGTCAATTCAAAGACGCGCCCGGTCCTCTCCCTTTCGAAACCACGCGCTTTGATTCGAACCCTGTTCAAAAAACTTGTCGCCCCTGGCCCGCTAAATAGTCTGTAAACGATGCTCGTCTCGCTCACCGTCGGCAAGGTCGACGCCGGCGTCACAGTGCTGCTGACCCCTGACAAGCGCCTGGCATGTGCAACCCGAAAAGATTGCAGCTCTATGAGAGATACACACGTTAACATCACTCACTTGGCTACCAGATTGAATTCCCCTCGATCCTGCTCCCACCCGACATCACCTCGGGGTCCATTGTCGATATCAATGTCGCACGCAACAAGAACTCCGAGGCGGCAGCAGAGCGCGCGTTCAGGGAGCTCCAAAATCGGATCCTGGCGTCCTTTGGCTCGGCCGAGCCGAGTCCTCCCGTGCTTCGGTGCCGCAACGCCACCCAGACGAGCGTCGTGCTCGAGTGGGACCCAATCCAGCTCGCCACGGCCGACCTGATCAGCCTGGCGCTGTATCGCAATGGCCAGAAGGCCGGCAACATTCCCAAGCCGCTATCGATGCATACTACCAAGATCAGCGGCCTCGCTGTCGACACCGAGTACACGTTCCACCTGGTGCTGCGCACCACAGCTGGCACCTTCGCGAGCCAGCGCGTCACGGTGCGCACTCACAAGATGACAGACCTCAGCGGTATTACCATCACGACGGGCATCCTGCCGTCCGCCGTGCGAGAGGGACTGGCAGCGGCAGTAGAGCGCATCGGCGCCAAGATAGTCGACGGCGTGCGGATCGACACAACACACTTCGTAACGACCGAAGGCCGTGGCCTGCAGTGGGAGAAGGCCAACGAGCTCAACATCCCCGTCGTCCGGCCCGAGTGGGTCGAGGCCTGCGAGCGCAACGGCCGCATTCTCGGCGTGACAAAGTTTTACCTGGACGCCGTGCGAGTTGGGCCACCATTCGACAATGACAGACCCTCAACGGCTGGCACCAGCGGTGGGAACACTACCGCCTCCGCGCCGGCACCACCACAGAGAGACGCGCCGCAACACCGACCCAGCACGAGTATCAGCAGCCAGCCGCCGCTGCCCAATCCTGAAGAAGACGCCGCGAGGCAGAAAGAGCAAGGGGGCATCGAGTCGTCGGACTCGAGTGAGGACGAAGAGGACCAGGAAGAACAAAAGGTGAAATCTGGTGGGCAGGACGAGCAGAAAATGCTCGCGGATGAAAGAGAGGAGAAGCAGCTGGCCTCGCGGCCTAAACCTACGGTTGAGGATGAAGGAGACGAGACCCAGCAGGAGGAGAAGGCTGCTGCAAGTGAAGATGAGAACGGCGGGAAGTCGCCCGGTGACGGGTCGTCGTTTCAGGATGTTGCCCTCTAGACCGGGACGGTGGGTGATGTAATGTGAAAGATATTAGTTTCAGACAGGTGTATCATTCAGGAGTCTCACTGGCGCATCCAAAGCCTTTGCGTGACCAGGTTCACTCAGGATTTGTTTTGTTCAGCCGCCGTAGCAAAGAGGGACGTCTTAGCCTTCTCAGTTATGCAGTCATCGAGTCTCAAATATCAACTGTTCCTGCCTCGGCAGGTTTAGCAATGATATTTGAGAAAGAGAAACTTGATACAAAAAGCTCACCACCAAGCCCCTTGCGGAGGTTGGTAGCTACGACAAACCCCTGGTGGCGGTTTTTCTTCGTAAAGCGGCGGTTCGGCCAGGGATCAAACCGGCAAGCTCCTTGGAGTAAGGCCGGCCTGAGGAGGAGGGGTTTTTGCCCACAGCCCATGCCCTTATCACTTGACCATAGTCAAGTGGAAGTAGCCCCTGGTGACTGGTGGAATGCAGACCTAATACATATGGCGCGGTTGTGGGGCTAGGGGACAGGCTGGCGGCAGGCGGCAGTGTTGGGATGGAAGCTGGGGCACGGCTGCAGTCGAATTGTCCATCTAACCACAGTCCATATACAGTCTCACTCGTCTAACCTAACGCATATATAATCACTTGACACCAGCTTCACAGCTCCTTCTTCTCGTCCTTCGCGGACTTCGAAGGAGAGCTCTGCTTCAACGAACCAGGCGGCGTCTTGAGCCCAAACAGCACCAGCGCGCTCACACCGACGATACCAAGAGCGCCCATGGCGTAGGCTGCCTCCCTGCCCGCCCACCAGTACACACTCGTGAAAAGCACGGGGCCCAGTCCCCTACCAAGCTGACCCCAGCTCCTGAGAATGCCAAGTTTCCCTCCCCTCTCGTCCTCGCCGGCCTCGAAACTGCTGAGGGCGTTGAGACCGGACACCACCGTGGCCGACGTGGTCGCCAGGCAGGTAGCAGCCAGGTAGAGGCCACCGACGGTGGAGATGCGGGCGAGCAGGGCAAAGGCGACGAGGCATGCCAGAACGCCGACGCGGACCGAGAGCAGCGGCGGCAGCCGGCGGGTCACGCCGCCTTGCAGGATTGAGGCCACCAGACCGATATAGCCCAGTAGCCTTCCGTTCTTGGCCGAGCTGTACTGGAACAGGTCGTAGGTCATGAAGGGCAGGGAGAACTCCATGCCGGAAAAGAAGAGCAGGAAGGCCATGTGCACCAGGTTGAGGAGAAAGTGTGAGTTTGTTCTCTCAACTGGGATGGGGCCTGGTTTGGACTGTTCTTTCTGCTCACCCGCAGATGCCGCCGCGCTGCCTGGCTTGACCAGAGACGGGAGAGTCTCTGGCAGGCTGAAGTACAGATACACGGTCTCGGTGACGATCAAGAAGAGGGAAACGGCAGCAGCGGTCGCAAAGGGGTTAGCAGCCACCGTGGCAATCGAGCTGAGCCATGCACCGAGCGCCGGTCCAAAGGTGAAGGCGATGGAGAAACAGGCGCCAATAAGAGCCATGGTCGAGCCTCGGCTGTCCGCATCCGAAATATCGGTCGCAATGGCGGTGGCGAGCTGTACGTTGCCCTCGGAGAGGCCCCCGACAATGCGAGAGGCGAGGAAGGTCCGGAAGTCAACGGCTACTACCCAAAGCACGACCGAGAGAATGTTTCCCGCCATGCTCGCGAGTAACGCGGTGCGCCGGCCATACTTATCTGAGAGGTGGCCTATGACTGGGGAGGCGATGGCCTGGAGAAGACTGGAAGAAGCCACGCTTAGCATCTGAACTACAGGCGACGTGGGGACATTGGTGAAGCTCACGAGAACAGACTCCCCAGGGCGCCGCCCAGCAGGACGATGTCATATCGCGAGTCGATAGGCCGCGCAAAGGAAGCCTTGTAGGCATTGAGATACCTGAGCACTCTCGAAAGCAGCGTATCGGTTGGGGGAGCGCCAGCATCGACAGGAACCTCGGAGTTGCGGTAGAACTCGAGCAGGTTTGGAAATAAAGGGAGGATGAAAGTGAAGGAAATCTGCGCGGCGTCAGACACTGCTACTCCTTGGAGCTGAGGCAACTGATGCGCCGAGCTGGTGATACGTACCAGGTCCAGCAGTAGGGAGATAAATATCACTCGCAACACTCGGTTACGGATTGCCTGCTCGACCAGTGGCGCCATGCTCCAGGCGCTTCAGCGCAGGGACAATGAAGTAGGGAACGTCGAGGTCGCACGTAACGGAGGTAAAGTACCAGGCACAGTACCTCAGTCAGTACCACCTATCTGTACAGAATTTCTGCGCTTCGTGTCCAAACGAAATGTCTCCGAGATCAGATCACGACCAGCACAATACGTGATATGGAGACTTATGATTTGATCGTAAAATAGAAGAAAAGCAAAAACGAGAGATCAGAAAGCAGATGGGGTTGTTGACCAGATCGGCCAGAGTTGCAGTGTTGAGCTGTCAACATGAAGATGGTGTCGCAAGCTGAACGGGGTGCATCCAGTTAGGTGACGACTGTGACGTCCGTTGGAGCCGTCGGGGCTTGGCAGGCATCCTAGCCTCCCTGGTTCCGGCGCGGTTTTGTCTCCGCCGGAGAACCTGGGCGATACGGCTTTCCGATCCTTCTCACACTTTCGATCACCATCAATTGAGATATGTGTGGACTCTGGTGCGCCAAAATCTCAGCGCGACAACCTCCACAATGAGCCAGATCATTGAACCTCGTACTCCCGCATCCTCCCGTAATGTCTCCAACAGAAACAATCGGCGCCGTTTCGCAGCCCGGCCAAATCAGACGGCAGCCTCCCAGGAGTTTGGAAGAGAACAGTTGGTCCAGCATCATCTCTTAGGATGATGGTCATTGTGATCGTCCCGCTCGGGCACTGTCGAGCACAAAAGTAATGAACTTGTATCACCGCCTTACCTACTCCGTAACCGGTTCAAGCAGCCGATTCGGCGGGCGTAGTCAGGGAGAGACGAAAAGAAACAACGGGTCGGGGCCCTGTGTCGCACGCCACGCTGCGGGTGAATGCAAGGGCCAGAGAGCACTGGCACCACCCACTTTTTTGCCGCGCTGAAGCCAATGCAGGGACAGTAATCCGTAGATGATTTCGCACCCAAGGGCATGGGATGCGGTGAGTAGGTTGACTTCCGACTGTCTCTTCCGACTGGTCGCCGCGCCCTTGCAGGGAGCAGCGGACGGTCGCCTGGAAAGCTTAATTCGATTTTGAGATTCGCGGGAGAAGATCATTGAGGCTGGATGTTACACCATGATGCATGTCTCTTCACACGTCCCGACCTGAAGGCGTGTTGACTCAGAAGTTACCGCTCAATTTCAACCCTGATTGCAAGACCGTGCGTCTCCTTCAGCAGCCCTTGCCGCACACTCTCATGGCATCCCTTCGCGGTCCGTGGGTCCTATGTCCTGCCGATAGAGTACCACAATACTGTATCCTAAGCTCGTCTCTGCCCGGCTGAAGCCAGGCGATGCCTATGGACCCGAGGGCTGTACTGCGGATCGGTCTCTCGTCCGACAGAGGCCAGGGTAACATGATGTGTGAAGCTATAAGGAGAGCCATCTCCCTCAGATCCCTCCCACGTCCGCCTTTCCATCTACAGTACCCAAGGTGCCATCCACTCGTTCCAGTCACTCGCTACAAATCCCACCAAAACCGCATCCACCATGAAGACCACCGCTTTTGTTCTCGGGGCCTTGGTTGCCCACGCAGCCGCCCACGGGGATGACCACGGGGGCAAGCGAGAACTAGGGCTAGGGCTAGGGGTTTCTGTCGGGCTCGGAATTGGGCTGGGCTTACCGCCCCGTCCGACGACACAGTGGACGACCAGCATCCAAACCATCATCAGCTGCCCTCCCGCCTACACCAACTGCCCATCCCACAGCACCGTCCTGACGACCGTCACCATCCCGGTCACCACTGTGTGCCCTGTCACCGATTTTTCCACCACATCGTCTCCTCCACCGCCGCCGCCGACCTCTACCTCCACCTCCGTGGCACCACCCACCTCCACCTCTACATCTGTGACGCCGCCCAGCTCAACCTACGTGGCCTCGCCTCCGCCTCCTCCATCCTCGTCAACCTGGACTACAGAGACCTCGAGCTCCTCGTCTCATCCTCATCCTCCTCCGCCACCGCCGTCGGCCGGCTCAATCTTGTCGACTCTCTCTCCGCCACCTCCGCCGCCCGTCGTCACCACCCTGCCGACACTGACCAGGTCCGTTGGAACCATTGCCCCTTCGACCAGGACGACGACGACGGACCAGGCGGTCGTCACGGCCGGCGCCGCCCACAATGCCCTTGAGCGCGCTGGCGGCGCCCTGGCTGCTCTTGCTGTTGCTGCTGCGCTTCTCTGAAGCGACTTCAGCCTCTTTTTCTTCTTCTCTCTGTGTGTGAAAGCTAGGGATTTGGGAGATAGTGGTTACGAATTTTGCTATTTTGGAACAAGAACGTTTCGTGTGTTGGATGGTGGAAGGGTAAGAAAGAAGGATGTTTTGACAAAGCGGAAGGGAGAGTGTCGAGGATGAGTTAACCAGTTCAGGAGATTCTCCTGAGAGGGTGCCATGCTTATGAAATGCCCGGTTGCACATTCCTACCGCTGCATGAAGATAGATCGTGTCCCTAGGTAGACTCTTCTTCGAACGTCAACTTCTCAAAACATTTCTTCTCGAAAGCCCGTGAGTCCCGCAGAATGTGAATCTTTTACGGGCCCAATACCAATCTTTTACAGATTTCTGCTCAGTGTTTTCCATGTTGAAAGCGTAACGTCCTTGGAGAAGTATGATTCCGCCAAACACGAATTTGCCAGTCAGCATCGAGGAGCGCCCCATTCAGGTAACATGACCCCGACTCCTCCAGGCTCGCAGCGAGGTCAGCGCCGGAAAGGAGTTGCGCCACACCATGTCTGTGCTTGTAGCGAATAATAGCCAGCTGACCTCTAGGTCTCAACCACCCGCACCTAACCTTTCCCAGTGGCCGCAAGACGGCTCGGAGACTCTCAGACTGCCTAGCTCTCGATGAACCAGCGCTTTCTCAGAGTGCCATACACCCCAAGCGCGTACACCTGAACGGGAAGGCATAACCCCCAGAGAGTACCATGCAATCCGAGCCGAGCCATACCAACCCTGTCGTCTTGCCTTGTGTCACCGAGCCGAGGAGACGGCATGATGACTAGGCGAATAGACAGAAGTGGTCTGCGCCGTGTAGTTGAGTACATAAGAACACACGACTGCAGAAGTCGGGTTGGGCCCTGGCGGATGCTGCGAGTTTCGCGTACCCAGGCCCTCTACGCAGTAACTCGAGAACCAAGTCATGGAGCGACCGACTAGACTGCGCGAGGGCGGGCGGAGGTCGACACACTGCGCAGCGGGCCATTGTTTGATCCCATCCGCCGGAGGCGAGCATTCCGGTCTGCCAACTCTGTACGGACCGCGCCAATTGCAAGAGTCCGCGCAAGGTACGGGACGGCAGGAGGATTAGCGGCGATTAGGTGGTTTGCGTCGGGCCGACCGTGCGTCTGCTGGGCTGCTGCGGTTCCAGCATACATCACCGAATTGGATAAGTGGCATTTGGATGATGCAACGTACTCTGGAACGGTGAGCTAAGTGCTGAGCGTGTGTGCAGGCGTGACCGGGGCCAGGGAGCGTGCCGCAATTCAGAAGATGGTCGTCCTGTCAGCGTCCCTGTCCAAACAAACCCACCCACAACCCTGCTAACCGTAACTGCACGCGGAATTGGAAGAATGCAAGTCATCGAGGACGGCGGGATGGGGACTGAGTAGTGTAGCTGCTGGCACCTCAGACCATAGCAGCCAAGCGCTTCACCACCTCCTCGACCCTCACCGCCCCGCCAAGCAGATCCCTCCCGGCCTCTCGGTCCCGGCCATTTTCGCCCAGCACCACCAGCTTGACAATCTCGCCGTCGTCACCCATGACTAGCCGGCCAGTGCGCCCGTCGGCCCACTCGAGAGTAATCTGCTTGGTCTCAGCATCGGCAGGTGCGATATCCACCAGCTGGACCGGCCGGGATCCTTGCCCAACCCCACCCTCATCATCCCCTTCATCGACATCCTTCTTCCTCCCCAACCCAGCCGCCTTCCTCAGATCCGCCACGACGCCCAGCCGGTGATGATACCGCACCACCTCCCTCCTCAGAGCGCGGGCGAACCTCGCCAGATCCTGCCGTGTGGTAGTATCCTTCGAGCCACCATCACCGCCTCCTCCTCCTCCTCCCGATCTCGATGACGACGATGCAGACGGCGGGGGCAGATACCTGGCCGCCAGCCCCGCGAGGGGTATGCAGGGCGGGAGGGTGTGCCGGTGCACGCGCAGGTGGCGGGCGCCCACGTACGGCCTGTTCATCAGGACGTAGTACGGGCGGAGGAACTTGGCACGGCTGGTCACCTCGATGCGCAAGCCTAGGATGGCGCCGCCGTCGACGGCGTGCGGGTCCGGGTCGCGCGCGCGGAAGGTGGTGAGGGTCGCGCAGGCGCGGTAGAGACAATGTTGGTTGTGGGCTTGCTGAAGGTCGGACTGAGTGAGGAGTTTTTGTTTGAGTGATGCGTCGATGGCGGTGTTGTCCTCTTGGGCCAGGAGTTGACGCGTTGAACGGGCTGCGATGAGAGTTGAAGTGTGGATGCTGAGTTGTTTCTTGAGTGCAGATACTGTGGCATTGTCAGCACGCGGTCTCATATGCAGGACGCAGGAAGACCGGGTCATAATACCCCTCGCTTGTAGAGCCTCAATCTCATCATCGAGACTCGATGCCATCATTACACACTGACGCGTCGACTTCCTTTGCTGAACGGTGGTGGTGGATGATCCGTGATAAGAAACCAAAACCTATAGGGTATATGCTTTCACCCAGACAAGTGACTTGATGGAGATGGGATACTTGAATCCTCTCACCGACAAGTCGCTACCATAGTTGATATCTTGTTTAGGTACTGTACATCCGTACATGCCATGTGCTTCTGCGGCTTGGCGCACGCCCCACGCTCTGGCGGCGCCCGGCTTGCAGGATTTGACGGGCCGCCACTTCCATTGTGGGTTGCCCGATCTGGCAAACCTGACCCAACAAGAGGTTCCAAGAAGCACTGGCAATCCACAATGAAGCCCAGAGCACCATAGTATACCTTGAGCTGAGGTGAGGAGAGATGGCATCAGATAAGGTATCAAAACCCCGTGTTCTTGCACTATAGCCTTCCCCGGCTAAGTTGACATTGACAGGCACCGGACCTGGCACAAAGCACCTCGGTCGTGAACGAGTCAGCGGCGCCCTGACCAATCGCCACTTGCGCAGAGGCCACCGTAGCACCTCGCACCTCGCACGCGCTGAAGTTATAACTCGCCCACTGTAAGGTTCCAGGGGTTGTCTCCACGTTGCCGGCTCCAACTAACGAGACGTGGCCCTGACGCTGACTGTTGGATTTTCCCGGGCCGCATTCTTGACGTCCGGCAGCCTGCCGAGAAAGGCCACCTTCACTCTCTTAGACGCCATTCAATAGAGCCTTCACCGAGTCTTCTTGTCTCTCGTTAATACCTCTTGTCCGAGTCCAGTCTCCTGTTCACTTAGCGACCTACCACTCGCAAGCCGCTCTCTCAAGTCGACGATTGCCTCCGGCCCTCTCGATCGACCCCTTGCCGTCTACCCAGCTGCCCGACATTGACGTGAAATCTCGTACAGACGCTTTTGATTCATAACGCATTATCACCTAATGGGTACCAAATCCCGTCGCGCAAAATCGCCGACCACTCCGAACGGTTCCCTCGGGCGCGCCTCTGGGACGAAAACGAACGGTCAACTTGCCAAGATGAACACCAACGTCGAGCTGCTGCGCCGCAACATATCGCACGAGACCTCTACCACGGAGGGTGCTACCGCAAATCTCATGGCCCGCGAGTCCTTTTCCCTCGACGACCCCGTCCCCAAGACGCCGACCGTCAACCACCATGGCTTCTTCGACCTGCCAAAGAAAGACCAGCGGAACTTTGGCCTGCTGGTCCTCCTCTATTTCCTCCAGGGCATCCCCCTCGGTCTGGCGACAGGCTCCGTCCCGTTCCTTTTGAAAAATCACATGTCATACGGCGAGATCGGCATCTTCAGCCTCGCATCGTACCCCTACTCTCTGAAGCTCTTCTGGAGCCCCATCGTGGATGCGGTCTGGAGCCCCAAGATCGGCCGAAGGAAGAGCTGGATCCTCCCGATCCAGCTGCTCTCCGGGATAGGCATGCTGTGGCTGGGGTCGAGGGTCGAGGGCATGATGGAGTCGATGGGGAAGCCCGGCGGTCCGACCGTCTGGGGCTTCACCGGCTGGTGGTTCTTCCTGGTGCTCATGTGCGCCACGCAGGACATCGCCGTGGACGGGTGGGCCTTGACGCTGCTTACCCCGGGCAACGTCTCGTACGCCTCGACGGCGCAAACTGTCGGTCTCACCGCCGGGCAGTTCCTATCCTACACCGTCTTCCTGGCTTTCCACTCCAGGGACTTCGCCAACCGCTGGTTCCGCACCGAGCCGCTCGACCACGGCCTGATAAGCCTCGGAGGCTACCTCACCTTCGCGGGCTGGGCCTACATCATCGTGACGATTGGCCTGGCCGTCATCAAACGCGAGGAAAAGACCAAGAACGAAGACGGCATCTGGGACGTGTACAAGATCATGTGGGGCGTGCTCAAGCTCAGAAACATCCAATCCATCATCCTGGTCCACCTCATCGCCAAGATTGGCTTCCAGGCCAACGACGCCGTCACAGGCCTCAAGCTCCTCGACAAGGGCTTCGGCACCGAGAACATGGCGCTCACCGTGCTCATCGACTTCCCCTTCGAGATCGGCCTGGGCTACTACGCAGGCAAATGGTCGCAAGAATACACCCCGATGCGCCTCTGGTGCTGGGGCTTCGCGGGCCGCCTGGCCGCCGCCGTGCTCGCCCAGCTGACCGTCTCAATCTTCCCCGCCGGCGGCGTGACGACCTGGTACCTGCTCGCCGTCATCGCGCAGCACGTCTTCTCGACCTTCACCAACACCATCATGTTCGTCGCCGTCGCCGCCTTCCACGCGCGCATCGCCGACCCCGTCATCGGCGGCACCTACATGACCCTCCTGGCAACCGTGTGCAACTTGGGCGGCACCTTCCCGCGCTTCTTCGTCCTGCGCATGGTCGACGCCTTCACGAGCGCGACCTGCTTCCCCTCCGAAAGCTCCAAAACCGCCATCACCATCACGACGCCCTTCAGCTGCGCCGTGCAGGCCGACAAGGAGCGCTGTCTGGCGGGCGGCGGCGTTTGCGAGATGCAGCGCGACGGCTACTACATCGTCAACATTCTCTGCGTGCTCATCGGCGTCGTCACCTTCGTCCTGTTTATCCGGCCCAAGGTGTTGCAGCTCCAGGCTCTGCCGCTCAGGGCTTGGCGTCTGTCCTCCGCCCCTTCATCAAGCAAATACTGAAAGTCGTTTGATTCTGAACGCTTGAAGACGCCAAACGTCTTATAGCAACCCCTCTGAGCATTGGGTATGCAGAGGAATGCAAATCTGTCTTGCGCTTGCCCGTCGTCCCAAGGGGTCCGTTTCTGAGGATGGTAGAACCGTGATTGTGATGCTCAATGTCCGAAAGTCATGCTCGCTGCCGGGCCTCACTGGTCTTGTTTCCCGTATGGCGATTGCCGCCAGGGAACAAGGAATGGGTTGTGGGATTCAGATACCTTCTTGTCACGCCAACATTCATGAATGAATGACAAATCACTCATGAAGGGACAAAATGGATGGATGGTCTGTATTCTGGCTACTCTGCAAGCTGCTCGCCCTAGCGACTCATCTTGCCACGGTCATCAGTGCCCAAGATCTTCTGAAGAACTCCTGAATCTCCTTCCAAACCAAGCTGCATGCAAAATTCACCCATATATTCCAGTCAATAGCCCATTTCCGTCCATAAAAGCCACAAGATGCTGCTCCGAAAAGGCCGAGAGGAGCGCGATGCGTGGCTTACCAACCGGACGTGGTCGCCTCAGGCTCAGCAGTACCGGCACCCCAGCCGTCTGCACCGCCCTTCTCGCCAGCACCCCAGCCGCCAGCGTCAGCATCTCCTGCACCCCAACCGCCGCCACCTGCGCCGGTGCCGGTGGCCTCTTCCTCAAAGTCCGAATCGGCCTCGAACTTGAGGTTGCTCGGGGTTGCGCCCTCGGGAACATACTGCTGAAGAAAATCCGGGATCTCCTGGTTGGTCTCTAGCAGAGTGCGGGTGAGAACGGACGCGATCGGCTCATCTCGATCGGAATAAAAGGACGAAGCCAGACCACGGTGGCCAATGCGGCCCGTCCGACCTGAGATTGTTAGCCATCGAGATCAGGAAACTGCTGGCAGTGATACAAATTTACCAATACGGTGAGTGTACTCCTCAATCCCACCGTACTCCATGGAAGGGAGATCGTAGTTGATGACATGCATGACATTGCGCACGTCGATGCCGCGAGACGAAATGCCAGTGGCGATGAGAATCGGCGACTTTCCACTACGGAAAGCACGCATGGAGGCCTCACGCTCCACCTGGTTGCGCTCAGAGTGGATGGACGTGCAAGGTAAGCCCAGGTTGTAGAGGTAGTCATCCACCTCCTCAGCCGCACGTCTCGAGTTGACGAAGATGATCGTGCGGGTGGCCGGCAAAGAGTTCAACAAGTCAATCAACGCCTGCTTCTTCAGCGAAGGATCGACGTAGATGATGTTCTGCTTGATGTTCTCGTGCGAACTGCCCGCGCGGCCAACACGCAGTCGAACGTGCGTCTCGGCGAGATGCGTCTTGGCCAAGTCCCGGGCTTGCTTTGGGAATGTGGCCGAAAAGAGCATGTACTTGATGTGGCCCTCCTCCTGTTCTGTTCATGAGTTAGATCATGGATCGATCCGAATTCAGCGGGAGAAACTCACCACCACCACACATGATCTTGTCGAGCTGCTCCTTCCAGTCTTGGTTCAGCAGCTCGTCCGCCTCATCAATCACCATGTAGCGCACACGGCGGAGAGTCAAAATGCTGGGGTCGTCCAGGAAGTCGACGAGACGGCCGGGGGTGCCGATCAAGACATCGCAGCCCTTTTGCAGCTGGGTCCTCTGCTCCTTCTTGGTGGAATTGCCGCCGTAGACGACACACGGGCGCAGCATCGTCCGGTAGCAGAACTTGCGGGCTTCATTGAAAATCTGGACCGCAAGCTCGCGATTGGGACTGACAATGACGACCAGCGGCTCAGCGCGCAATTCACGGTCGATGCCCTCTTGAAAGGTGGCAGGGTTCGGACGGGGAGCGGCCCATTTCTTGGCTTTACCCATCAGCTTGTTCAGGATGGGAATCAAGAACGCTGCAGTCTTGCCCGAGCCTGCAGAAACTGGTGAGAAAGAGGATCCAGTTCCAGAGTATACCATCTACTTACCGGTCTGAGCAATGCCAATCACATCATAACCGAGGTGAATGGCAGGCAGGCAGTAACGCTGGATAGGAGTCGGCACGCTGTAGCCCGCAAGCTCGACATTCCGCAGCATGGCAGGGTGCAGCCCGGCATCCTTAAAGGAAGCGATCGGGTCAACACGAACAGGGCCCTCCTGGTACAACTCAATCGAGGCGATCCTGATCCTCCAGTTAGACGACAATCAGAAACAGATGGGCGATTTGCTTACTTGCTGAAATCGATGCCCGCGCTCACCCGCTTGGCCGGGTCGCCGAAAAGCTCAATCTCGAGAGCCGGAAATTCGGGACCAATGTCGCCCTCTTCGCCATCCCACTCGTAGACCCGAGCGTTGCCCTCCCATTCATGGCCCTCGTTGGTGCAATACGCAGAGTAGTCGTAAGGCGTGGCCTCCACCCAACGACCGGTGTCTGCCTTCTTGTCGGTGTCATCGTTGCCGCCGTTGGCAGGCAGTGCATTCTGCATGTCCGCAGTGTCGAAGGCGCCCGCGGCCTGAGCCGAGACGGCCTCCTCGTGAGGGGTGGGACCCCATCCGTTATCCGCCATGGTGAAACCGATGCTGTTCTTTCTCTGCGAAGCGCAAAATTGATGGTTAGTCGGTGTTCACCGAAAATCGGTCAAAAGTAAACGAAGAAAAGCGATTGATGAGCGGTGTCCGAACGTGAAGCACCGAGAAATAAGTTCTGCAAATGCAGACAGAAAGTAGGGGAGGAAGTACCACCTCACGAGGAGTGAAGCTGGAAAAGAAATCCGCGAGAGTCGAGGAGACTTCGGCAACTCGGGAATGCATAAAACAAATGTTGGGGAGAAAGGAAAACAGAAGCAGGGGAAGAGGAAACGAGAAAGCGGAAAACAAATCGGTGTGCACTATTTGAGAGCGGGATAGTGTTCGAGGGAGACACAGTTGATCGCGAATCGTAAACGTTAGGAACTTGACGAACCTTGAACGACTGGTGAATCGCTTTCAGGAAGAAATGATCGACCAGCCGAAGGCAAACGGGCGGGAATGAAGTGGTGGACGAAAAGATGAAGGATGAGGGATGGAAACGGGTTGAAGACTTGCCGACTTTGTGGAGGAAGAGGAGGAGAAGGAAGAGGAGGAGAAGGAAGAGGAGTGGTGACGCGTAGTATATGAAGGAAAAGCAGGAGCCAAGGCCTCGAACTTGCTCGACGGAATGAAGTAATGACGACCGCGAGGAACCTTGAAGAAAAGAAGGGTGGGAAGAGGAATAGATTGAGTACTTACTGTGAGTCGCAAGCAGCTGCACGAAGCCGGGATACCACGTAGAGGTGGCGAGAGTTGTGTTGAAGGAGAGTAGAATGTGGGAGGAAGGAAGTGGCAGAGGGTGAATCCATAGCCTTGGGAGGGAAGGAACCCTCCAAATCAGCCCAGACAGCGAATTTTCCTTCCTCCATTCCAAAACCAGCGTGAATCAAAATTCACAGCATCTATCACGGCCTCTCGTAGTAGTATTCCCCGGACAGGCGCGCGGGTCTCTGACACGGCTCTCACGTGGTTCCTGAGGCCGAAGGTCACTGATGATGGTGATGGTGGTGGTGTTTGTCGAAGTGTGGGTCTGGTGAGGGACAGACTGGTGAAGACTGGCAAAGTGACGAGTTTGACGATATCGAAAACAAAGGCCGGATGGTTTGAGTTCCTGTATCATGAAAGTAGAGAACGAAGAGTGGCAGATGTTGCGGACATGCTGTCTATGTGAATTAGCTGCAATGTTGTGTTTGAGTGGGGCGAGAAAAAGGGGAGGAGTAGGGGTCGTCAACACAATGTCAACGAGCCCCATTCAAGGACCTACTGTGTGCAATTGCTTAAAGTGGCAGCAAGCAAAGAAGACAGTTCTGAGAACCCTCATACCACAGCGATCAAAGGTATAGTCACATCAGATATGGGGTGTCCATCTTAGCACCAGCTCACATCCTGATAGACAGCGAGGCTGACGGGTCAGCACCACTGTTTTTGGTGAAAGTAGCCGATGCTCTGAGGCTTTGTTCACGTCTATACTTGAAACAGGCCCTATGCCTAGCTTGTGGGTTCTCAAAGGAAAGGCAAAACATACAATGAAATATTGTGACCACTGTACCCGAATTTCATTAGCCAGCCATACGCCGACGCCGTGAATGTCAAAACAGTTTGCCCAGTTTCGGCTCACTCAAGTCCGACGCTCAATGCCCTATCCAATGTGGCAGCGGCCCTACCGACGGTACCGCCCTCCTTTTTCGCGCTTTCCATGCCGGCGGAGATGGCAGGTCTCCATTTCGCATCAAAAATGCGCTGTCGCGAGATGCGGTCGGGATACATCTCGCTATCCTCGTCTCTTGGTGTTCCAAAGAGATTCAGATATGCAAAAGGATTAGGCGTCTCCGGAAGACGGTAGATGTTGTCCCAATATGCCATCGGGTTATGGGGGAGTGGCGCCTCTGCCCGAAATCCTGTCTGCAGGAATTTTGCCAGGACCTGGATCTGCCTCGCCTGTGCTTCAGGACCCTTCTTGGACCCGAGCGTCGCCTTCGGCGCTAATGTCCAGCCCTTGCTGCTCGTGGCAGATCCAACACTTGGATTCCAGCCCAGCATGGAGCTGAAGCTGTTCAGCGTCTTCAGCCAACCCCCGGGACAGGACACGACTTCGTCGCCGGCAACCTCGAGGAGCCACTCCAGGATGTTGAGAGTGTCGTTGCGGATGTCGTTTGACAGGTGTGTCATGCCACCCCGGATGTACATGAGGATCTTTTCGACATTGGGCCCCACCTCTGCTGGCGGCAAGACCCTGAACAGCTTGAGGAGCTGGGTGCGCACCAATGCCGAACTATTTGATAGGAGGGGCAGTAGCTTTGTCAGAACTCCTGAAGTCCCGACGGGGTCATTTGGGGGGGTGGCCGAAAGCTGGTTGGTGATGTAGGCCAGCGCATCACGTCGTTGATTGTCGGACTTTGCATTGATGGCCAGCGACAGATTCTGCTTGAACTGCTCGACTGGATCTGAGCCGTCTGTGACAAGAGTCTGCTGGTTGACGACAATTGCTGTCCAATGTCAGCAATTGCCCATCCATCCAGATTGATCACGGGCAAGCGCACATTTGGACTTGAAACTTGTGTCGGTGAAATTGGCGGCCTTGGCCTTGGCCTTTCCGACCTTCAGCTTTGCTTTCTAAGAATGGGTCAGTGAGCAGCTTTGACATGTGCGGTGGGGCGGTGCACACCTGGAAGTCCTTCTTCTTTTCCTTCTTCTTTTTTGTACTAGAGCCCATTGTTGATTCATGAACAGCCAGGAATTGTCGACTACGTGACTGGCTTAGCTTGACCGAAGGAGGTCTCGGTGACAAGAATGGCTGACTGCGACTTGAAATTTTGGCGGGGTGACATGGCAATATAGGCCCCACCGTAGTGATATTAATACAATGTCGCTCTGACTATCAGGTCAGAACTGCTCATTGTTGCTCGCGAGTATTGGGACGGATCCAAAAGGACCTCCACTGCTTGAGTGTTCGGGCCAAGGGTATAAACAGCAGGATTGCAAAGGCAGAAACACAGATGACCGAAGAGACAAAAGAAGAGTGGAGGTAAAGGGAAAATGGCACAGAGCTCCAAGTCGAGCAATAGCTTGATTAGGTTAGACAGCCTTTTCAACTGGGCATTTAAACGGGCCAGTTCCCAATCTTCACTGGGTCCAAGTCCGTACCAGAACGCTGGGCAGCAACTTACACCCACACGACTTTCTATCTTCATCCTGTTCGTCTTCCAATTCCCTGCTGCCATAAGATACGCTGGAATCTAGGCCCTCAGCTCCCCATAGACGTCGCCATGTCAGACACAGCTTTGGTACGTTGCTTCTCCCGCATGCATACCACTTCAAGCGCCTCGGTCTGACTGTACAAGGGCGCTGGTCCTGATGCGCTCGACGAGACCTTGGGCCGCCTTTCTAGGAAACCAGGCGTCAGGGCAACGATGGTGCTGGACCGTGCCACGGGAAGCATCTTGAAGACGAGCGGCCCTGTTGGCTCAGTCCGGAAAACGAAGACGTCTGGATCCTCGGCGCCCGCTGTCGGGACTTTCACCCAGGAAGCCGACGGAAGCAGCGCCGACCACGACCAGGGCGCAGAGGAACTGGCGGCAATGATATGGAATTTTGTCAGTACCGCTGGCAGCTTTGTGCAAGAACTCGACAGCGAGGTAGGCCGTCACCATGCCCTATCGGAAATCGCTGCTGACTTGACCGTTGCAGGATGAAGTGAAATTGCTACGCTTGCGGACCAAGAAGCAAGAATTTGTCATTGTTCCCGACTCCAAGTACCTATTGATTGTGGTTCACGACACCTCAGCATGAGCATTCCGGTTCGCATGTCTTCCTGAGTTGAGATGGGCGCTCGGCGACTCCCTCATGATCCCCCTTGCGGCATTCTCCCTTTAACTCCCGCGATGATCACCCAACCTATAACATTACCAAGTTCATGGATCAATCGTCCATGTGGATTGGCATCTACTTACTGCTAGCCAGGGAACCGACAACTTGGCTGCAGAATGGGTCGCAGTTTACCAGGCCTACCACTACCACTTGGTTTTCCAACTAAGGTGGTAAAGGTGTGGATACTGGGGCTCTCCACTGTTGGTGTCGTGCGTCGGAAGAAGAAACCCTGAGCGGCTTCCATGTTGCGGTAGCGAGCAGGAGGACGACAGTTTCATCCGAAGGACCCACCGCCCTGTTCTTGGCGACCTTTTGGGGTCTTACAATCAACCTACAACTGCCAACAGCAACTCGCATTCCAGCACGCAGCCCAAAGGTAGTAGCTCGAGTTCGCATCAGGTGGTCGTTGAGACGGTGATTCGGTGGAATCAAGGTTTTTGCAGTTGCAAGTCCTTGGACAGCACGAGAGTCTTGTATGTCGCAAATGGGGAGCAGCTTGTGCCCCTCCGTTACAGCAGCATCAGCCAAGACAGCCCTAATCTGCACCATGATGCCGTCCCGAAGTCCTGCCATCTGCGTCTGAGGAAAACAAATCAGCCAGTCTCACGGTCCTCGTCTTGCGACTGGCCGCTGACCCTTGGGAATGTGGACGGGATTGTTTGGTGGGATAGCTCTCCACCCAACCAACAACCGCGCTGGCGCTGGTACCCGTCATGCAAGCATGGACTGGGCTTCTGGACAGCCCGAGTCTCATCTTACGAAGCCTTAAAAGCTGACGCTTATTATTGTTGCCGTTGGGCCCATTGGTCCTGGAGGCACGCAGCGATGGTTTCTGCGATATAACTGACACGCCCGGGGAAAAACAGCAGGTATCACTTCGTGCCTGGAAATTAAAATCCCCGACTCGTCTCACTGCCTGGTTCTCCCAAACGGCTCGACTACCTCATCAACATTTTTTTCAGGCCATGAAGAGTACTGACACTTACCTGTCTGTTTTCAGCATCGTACCTTGGGACGTCCCACCACCCAGGCCATCTAGCTCCCCTTCCAGAGTACAGACCATACGCAACATTGCCGTATAACCGCCCACCAAGCCTACACTTCGCAGAAGCTGCAGGCGGACCTCAGCAGAGCCGCAGCTCTAATAAGCTGTACGCATCAACATGGCCCCGTTCTCGATATTGAGGAGATCGCCCCATGGTCGCAACGGGAACGAGCAACAGAACCACGGGAATGACGTCAAGATATTGGGGTTGCGGGGAGACGATCGACGTGACACGAGCTCAGATGATATCGAATCTAATGGCACCGACAACGGCGAGAATAAGGGACGACGAGGGTTCAATAAGGATTTGTTGCACAAGCTGCGCAGTCGACTGACAGGGAAGCCACCCTCATCGACCCCTCAGCGGGGAACAACCCAGCAAGAGGCTACAACTGTAAGTCAAGTACCGTCTGTCCTTTCGCGATCACCTTACCTACCTCCATGCACAACAATCTGCTACCATTTCGAGAATCGATGCAATTGCATGCTTGGCGGTATCACGGCGTGCCACATTTCTTTTCTGGGGAAGGCGCAGGCCAAGACAAGCTCAGGCTGTTGAAGTCGGGCCATACGGCTCGAGAGTTCCCGCTCTCGGTGTCGTCACCCCCGGAGTGCCCGCGTGACCACGACGTCTTCCCCCCAGGCGATCCCTGAACCAATCGTACGACTTGTTGCGGGGGATTTACACAAAAACCACCAGACTCCCCGTCGAAGGTTTCGACTACTCCGAGCCATCGCCCATTGACTGCTAGCTACGAACAATGCAATGAATGCGGGCTGATTGTGTCACCTGGAACACACTTCAGATCTCAAGGGCATCAACGACATCCCCTTCCCAACGAGCTCCTGTCAACCCGAACAAGCCACTCCCATCACCCCCGCCGCCTGGCGGCGAGCAGACACGGAACCCGCCAGCAAGACGGGTCCTCAAGCTGGCCCGCATCATGGCCACTCTAACCGAGTCCGAGATCGAGAAGCTCTTCTCGGGCGCACCCCAGTACTTTGCTCGGTCCGAGGGGCATTACACGGGTGCACCGCACCCATCTGTGGCATTCCCCTGGGACGAGCAGCTCGAGATTCGAGATCTCACTGATCACACCCAGATCGAGGATAAGGCCTGGGGTTCCATTACCGCTTGGCCACACATCACGCGCGATGTCAACAGTGACCGGTCTGCCGCCCAGAGGGCTTCGGAAGCGAAGCGGCGAGCCCATTTCTACCCGCGGTGCCGTGAACGGCCCAACATGTTGAGCATGTTTGGCCTCGAGAAGGGAAGTGTGGGCTACCAGGCGGCCCTCGAATTGGCCGTAGCGGATGCGCTGCAAGAGCCGCAGTTCGGGTTTGAGGGTCTCGGTGCCAGGCCACCTGCGGTTGTCGAACAACGCCAAAAGATGCTCACATCCAAGGACGGTCTTCGGCACGTCGACGAGACGGTGATCATGGAGCAGCTAATTAAGAATGGGCAGAGGTACAGCGAGCAGCACCCGCGAGAGCGCCGGGCCACGAGTGAGCTGTACAACGAGCTGTTCCTGCAAATCCTTCATCCCCCAACAAAAGTGCTCGACCACCGAGACCCCTACAGCCTGGCCGTCCAGATTCTGGCCCTGGTCAAGGTTCTCGCTGCACCAAACATGTGGATCGATTTCTCCCATGTGGAATGGCGAATTCGGCTTGGCCAGCTGCTGTGGGCAAACCCCGCCGAGGACGAGGTCGAGGATGGGACGTCCACCAGGACGGGCGATTCGGCGAGCGACATCCACGAAGAGCGCTACTGGTTGCTTCTACAAATTCTGCTGGCCTGCGAGTTGCTCGTCAGATTAGACGCCATCACCGAAGGGGAAGAGCTTGGCATGGAGAGCATTAGGCCAGCCGAAATCCACAGGTTTGAGAAAGACGCAAACAAGTCCGTCAAATGGTCGCTGATCATGGCTCGGGTGTGGTTGGAGAACATTGAAGTCGTCAAGACAGAAGGAAGCGAGCGAACCAACGCCGAAGAGAAACCCTCAGGCTGGCTCGCGACACTGACCAAGCGCATGTCGCTAACTCGTGACCACGGTGCGCCTAGCCATCACCAGCGTGCTCCGGCATACGCGATAAGGGGGAAACACGTCCACCGTCAGGTTATTGGGCTGGCGCACTTCGCGAGGCGCCTGCGTTGGCCCGATTCAGATTCCTACGTATCCAAGATATCCGAGAACTGCCGTTCCGTTGTGGACGGCACCCCGCTAACTACGCCACTGGCCAGCCCCAGTAGTCGAGCGGATAGCCATCGGTCCTCCTATTTTGGCGCTGCAAAGCCGGATATCCAACGCAGATGCAACCCTTCTCGGCGGAGAAAGATCGCTGCGGCTCTGCGCCCATCCGGATGGCTGTCGAAGAGCTACGTATCTGGCCTGATGCTGCCCGGCGAAGGGCTGTGTCATTTCCTTATGGCAGCGCTCCTAGAGAACGATCCAGAGGCTCTGTCGAGACTTGGTCCCGTGGCCAATCTATGTGGAGGTTTCGTCTACTCTGGCAAGAGTTTCTGGAGCACTTCCTGCATTGTTGGGCGCGTGCTTGCTGCGGGCAAGGGTGCGGTGGACTGTATGGGATGGATCTCTAGCGATGTCATTCCACAAGCGCTTGGTGATGGCTGGGTGAACGTTGAAGTCGAGGAAACGCCGGGTAAGAGTAATCTAGTTCATCGATCACGGAATGCCGCTTTGAGCTGACTCGACTATCCAGAGGACGCGCTTCAAATCGACAAAAAAGCTCGTCTTTGGGGGAAAAAGTCAGTTGAGAAGGAGTCCAGCGTTCTCGGGGATACGGATCCTACATCTGTCCTCCCTGCCGACTTTATTATCCCGTTTGAGAACATCTACCGGGACAACGCGCCTCCCACTCTCGACATTTCGCTGAAGACTTTGAACCTTTTAGCATCGGCTGATTCAGTCCATACTACACCGACTGACGAGTACGGAGTCAACCCCATGTCGGATATCAGCAGAGCTAGCTCTTTTCCACGAATCCACACCTATGCTGCGGCCGTAACCTTCACGGTGACGAATATCGACTCCGGAGAGGAAAAGGAATACACATATGCTCTGGCGAAAGACATCAACTTCGTAACAGCCCACCCTTGCGTCCCTTCGCAGCATGTGAGGATCATGAAGTCACCTTCCAGCCCTACCATTCAACAAGTCGACACCTCTGGCAACGGCGTCTCCGGTAGGGCCGCCAGCATTACCGGTTAGCACCTCCAGACTCATATTTTGTTGATACGTCTTCGTAGTAAGATACCTGAAACTAACCAAGTGCAGGCCATCCTCTACACAAGTATTACACGTACACGGCGCTCCACCTGTCCGAGCTTCTCACAAAGCGGGACTTTTCCCTGGAGTCGTTGCTCGGCAGCTACGCATCCGCTTCCCACCGCCCCAGCCTCACGCCCCCCGCCCCGAACAATGCAGCTAAGTTGCTGGTAATCGATTGCATTACTGGTTTCAAGCCCCGTACGTCACCCCTCCGCCCCCATCGCCAATTGAACATGCACTGACACTTTGTTTGCAACAGAGCCCCAGGAGCACGAGATTCCACTGTCGCCCGTGCTGAGCCGAACGGACAGCAACGTCTCTGCGGCTTTTTCGCCTGCCTCGCCCGTGGCGGAGGGTAGTTCTAACAGTGCGAATAGCGGTGGCGGTGGCCACCTGGCAAGCGCCCTTGAGAGTGCGTCGAGCAAGATGCACTCGGAGTCAAGGCGGCGGCAGTTTGGGTCCGACATGGAGATTCTGGTCAGGGCGTTCTGTGCTGAGAAGGGCTGGAATGCCATCATCAGCAGGCGGAGGAGGGGGTGTTTGGCGTGTGCGATACGGGAGGCTGGGGCGTTGGGCTGGAAGGTGGTTATACGTGTAGATTAGGTGGACTGTTGTGTATGTCTATTGCGTGTGTGGGTGTGTGTGTGTGTGTTGGTGCGCCTGATAGGGATGGTAAAGTAAGGGGCGTCATACTTTGCTCAAATGGCTTGGAAATGATTCTCGACGGGGTGGGATCCAGGGGAAGGCGCCTGGAATTGTTTGATCTCCCGTTCCTTGTACAAATGAATCACGTAGGACATCAGCAAAGAAGCTCTATCGATTTTTTAGTGACTAGTAAGTTTGCTTACACGTGGTTAACGCGCGAAAATGCGAATATCTCAGTATTTGCTCAAATCATGGATATGATATGCCCTGGTGATAGGAGATGTGGGAAAATACGACCCCTTCTGCAGTCTTGGATGAGGGTCCTACCGTGATCTCATATCACTGACACGCAAAGGCTAGCTACAGGTCTTCCCAGACTGACCACTCTTTCCATCCTTTCTTCTCGCCCGGCAACCGGGCCTTCTGCCATTCGTCCCGGGTGACTTTTTGCCTGGTAGACCAGCACGTCAGTTATACACTCGACTCCTCAGTCGGCAACCGTATCGACGCTCGACTTCGAAACGAGAGCCTCGGCTGCCATGACCTTGCTTCTATGGCGAAAGGAATAAAGTAGGTAAGGGAAACATACCACTCCTCGACGGGGATCCAACCAATGAAGGCGCGATCGCCAAACCCACCAACCCAGTAGATCTGCTCGACGACAAGCCGCACAAAGTGGGCTTCGTGGATATGATTGCCGGGGAGCCAGTATCTGGCGTCTGGGTGCGTCTTGACGAAGCAGCGCGCCAGCCTGGAGCCGACATCGCCTTGGCGGTCGTCGCCGCCCTTGATAGGCTCGAGGTGCCCGATGAGCGAGAAGCGGGGGAGATTGGCGGCGGAGTACGGCAGGGGGGTCACGTCGTGGTGTCCCTCGTTTGTTTCGAGGCTCAGAAAGTATGAAAGCCAGCTCCTTCGTCTTCTTCTCCCGGTCTGCGTGCTCTCAATCCGCTTTGCCGGTGGGTGTGGCGGCGTCCATTGTACCGCCAAGCTCACGTTACTCCCCGCCACGACGTTTTTGAAGGTCGTCCCGATGGTGATGGCCAGGATGGTCGGGTTGCCCAATTCGTCGTCCTCGCAGTCGGAGATGTACTCCATCAGGCCGTAGGGCATGCCGTCGAGCCCGGCGGGGCGCCTCGCCTCAGCTGCGACGTCATTTCGGCTGGGCTTGTCTTGGGGAAAGACGGTCGAGATGGTGCCAAGTGGAGTGAGAGCGAGGATGCGGCGGCCGAGAACTGCGGATTCATAAGACGTCGGGATGCGGAGCTCGTGGTCGGAGGGGGAAACGGCTGCTGCAGCTGCAGCTACAGCGCAGCAAGACAGGAGGGTGCTTGCTATCGTAGCCGGCTTCATAGCTGACAAGTTGTAGAGGATGAAAGAACAAGGAAAAGAATCTAGGCAGCAGGAATGGAGCCCTGCCGGGTATGTAAGACAGATGTGCCCATCTGTTTTACTGATGTAGACATGGTAGACTATGAAGCCCCCGCAAGAGCGCACGGTGTTGCAGGGGTCGGGTCAGGCGATGGGACTGCGGGAACATGGAGCGATACCATCGGCTGCCAAGACATCTTATCTGATCATCTGTGACGTCCTCCCGGGCAAAGTTGATGTTTTCCACCGCACAGTTTAGTCCGCTGCAGAGACACACGAGTCCAACCGAAGTCCTTCTGACCTTAGATATTCAGCGGCCTCCGAGCAAGATCTTACCATGAGTTACCGTAACCGTGGTGACAACCCCTCAAAAATGCGCAACTTACCTGCTGTGGCTTACCCTGGGCTGTGGGAAACGAAGAGACAACATTGAATGTTGCCACTTATACAATGGTATTTGGGCGCGTTCTAGTACTCGGACATGACCATCAACCTATTGTCAACACTTGAACTCCAATGAGTAGCCCGGGAGGTAAGGTTGTGACGAGCTTGTCAGAGTTTCTTCCAGCCGCATCACGTGACTACTTGTGTGATTCTTGGCAGAGCTGAGTCAGTTCGGCGTGAAAGCCCCAAGACGGCCCCGCAAGCGCCCACAACTCTTAGGTAACCCAAGGATAATCCGCAGAAATCGCCTGTCCCGGCTAGCCACCAGGTTGCAGACTCTTCCCCCGATCTCCGTCTCCTCCAACAAGCCGTATTAGAGAGCGACTCGACAACAACATTCAAAATGGGCAAGGTTCACGGAAGGTAAGAGAACCTGAACTTTAAACAGACCATCTGCTGCTTTGGGGGCGAGAGACTGACATTGCCACCCGCAGTTTGGCTCGTGCCGGTACGTCTACTCCCCGTCAACGACTGCTGCAGTCACCGCCGATGCGAAAATCGAACGCTACGGACTGGGCTCTGATCGATATGTGCAGGAAAGGTCAAGTCTCAGACCCCCAAGGTTGAGAAGCAGGAGAAGAAGAAGACTCCGTACGTTCCCCAAACGAGACCCGGATAGCGCGGCTGCGACAGCGACGGTTTTCTGACAAGCGGATAGTAAGGGTCGCGCGAAGAAGAGGCTCACCTACACCCGCCGCTTCGTCAACATCACTCTGACGGGCGGGAAGCGCAAGGTTGGTTTGGTCCGCAAGCCACGGGATGGAGAAGCAAGCCATACTTATGCGCTACCTCATACAGATGAACCCCAATCCCGGCTCTTAAACTACCCACCGCGATCAATCATTTTCGGCAGACCGTGGCGGCATCCCGAGACGATAGATATTGCTGCGGGAAACCTCGTTCAGGGACGGTTGGGGCAGGGCCTGGTGATGACGATCATTTCGATCGGGAAACGGAGAAATTGGGCATTGCGAAATCACCAGGTCATAGTCATCATGACTCTGGTTCCAGGGCAGAATGGCATGTCATTTTCGCACTCGGGAACGGGAAACAGTTTTATGGCTCTGTTTTTGCGTTCCGTCCTATGTACATGCAAAGGACGTTTGATAGGGTATACCCCGGCATTCTCTGCACCCAGTGGTCCATCTCCATGAGACAAACGGTTCTGGCCTGCGTACGGAGCAGTGCATCTTCCTACACGTAACCTGTGCCCACCAGTACGCTTGATACGTGTCTCATGTCTTATGAAATGACAGTCAACTGGACCTGTAAGTCGCCTCAAGCGGGATCATCTACAACCTGACAACCGTGAAGATGCCCATTCCCTCCCTGTTGGGGCTTCAAGATTGCCAATCCAACTAGTAGCCACGCCTGCTACGATCCGCCCACGGCCCGCCCACTTTGAGTCTCTTATTGAGTCTCAATATTTCGCGAGCACACCACCATAGCCGTTTGCCCTCCCAACTGCTTGAGCGCACCGACGCGATTCTTTCGCACTCCTGGTCAAGAAGATAAGATGGCCAATACTCAAAAGCCTTTAGTTCGTTCAAGAGCAGGAGCAATGTGAGAGCAAGGTCCTTATCTTGAAGGGTCATGATGTGGTCATAACCTCGCTTTGTCCACTAGGAACGAACGGTGATCAACACAGGCAGAACATTAAAAAGGGGAGGAGATAAATCTCACCTCCCAGGACCACATGTGCACGCTGGACAGATGAGCCCCTCCGTGAACGAGCCAGAAGCACGTCCTGGCTGTCTCCCAGTCGAAAGGACCTGCCAGGAGACGTTGCGGAATCGTGATCGAGGGGTGTAGGTCCAGGTATTCCGCCTTTGCGAGGGACCCAGTCGCATGAATGTCGCATGACGCAGTCAAGCCACGGTCCTTGGACAATAGGTGAGCACAGCCCCGCTTGAAGGTCTCCCAATCCCTTTCGAAGATGACGACCACGTCTGTTGCGTCTGTTGCGCCGTTGGGAGCAGCCACTGAATGCTGAGCTATTGGGAGGTGGTGTGATGGTTCAAGGTGCTCGTGCAGCCGTCTGGGGCCGCCACGCCTTCGATACCATTTCTTCTGTGCCTCAAGAATGTTGGTCGTGTTGGCCCATTTGCCAGCAAGGACGGCACTCTGCAGTTCCCTGAACATCAGCTTTGTGTCCCACCACTGTATGATCACATGCCAATACATCACGGAATGGGGAATGGCAGACCTGAAAATCAGGGTCGCCTGGAATAAGGAACTCTGGGATGGTCCAGTGGCCACCCGGCATATCCAACATAGTGGATGTTGGGATACTGAGACCATACCGTATATCCCAGGTAGGAGCAAAGGCAGCCTCCAACAGCTCAGTCAAAAAGGTGGCGGATGAGAAGCGGTATCCGATCCGGAGGCTGCTCCGCAAGAAATTGAGATTCCGGGACATCAGTATGATGCGCTCGAGAATTTCTGTCGGTAGCTCCTCGATGGGAGCTGCCGGCTTCTTGGACTTGAACCGCATGCGGCGCAACTCATACCCCCTGTTGTCGCATTTCTCGTCATCATCCCGCTTTCGCTTCGCAACGTGTGTTAAACTTGGTGGCTTCCATGGGTTCTTTTGGCTTCCCTTGCCTTTGACCTTTATCGGGGTGAGCTTCATGGCTTGACCTTGAGCTGGTGCCGTGCACAGGGAGGGTTGTAAAGGTATCGAGTCTGGGAAGAATCAATGAACGATTCAGTCCACTTTAAGTTTCTGATTCGAGAAATTGATTGAACAGTGTGAAGTTAGCACTTGAACTCTTGATGCACACCAACATACGGCAGATACAATGATCTCCAAGTGTTCAGACAAGGGAAATGACATTTAATAGTGGGACTTACTCCATACCACCCACGGTACCTTACTGTGGCCTATCGGCCTGGGACGTTCGTGAACTCAGAGACGATTTTCTCGGGGGAGTGACGTTTGACGTTCTCTCAGTACGGATTACTCCAAGAAGGGCAGGTCTTGGCATTGGCAGCTCTGTGTTGATTTTGTTCACCCCCAGCTTGATAAGATCACACCACTATCGGCCAGTAAGAATTCAGGAAATGCCAGGTCGTGCACTAGCCGTGGGCGTGTCCACATCCAGCCCTGGAACATGATTCTGCAGTTTTCGACAGTCGGATTCGAACTTTGAAAGAAGAATTGGGAGCTCCCAGTTGCGGCCACGATCAAGCGTCCCGAGTCTCCAGCCCTTTCCGCCTGCAATGCCACCGGCGTTGAGACCCACAGCGCCGTCGCGCAGGCTCCTCAGGTTTCTTCGCGCCCAATCCGAAGGTGTTGCTTTCGTCAAGTGCGCCGCTCGGCTGTCCACTCGTCGCCGTGCCTGTACCTGCGTGAGGACGAGGCCATCCGAGAATACGCTACACACCCCCCTAACACGGCACGAACCCACATCTCAGGCCGCGTTTCTCGGCCTCAATGCGATTCTCCCAAAGGTCCTGACGAAGCAGCGCACCGCACCAGGCACCGCCAAGAAGAAGGGCCAGGAGCTCACTTCCACGGGGGGCGCGACGCGGTATTCCTCTTCGGAACAGACCCCCCACGACGATGGCAATAAGACGAAATGGCAAGAGTGGCTGTTTGGACCCGATGGAAAGAAGGAAGGCGAAGCGCTAAAGGGGGCCGACATTAGGGTGCGCATGGAGGAGGAGTCGGGTTCTATCTTCCAGCGCAGGTCTCTGACCGCAAAGGCGGCCCTGGATCCGAGACTGCGGTGCACTGAAGTGGACGGCAGTGGAAATGTCATAATGGTGGACGGCGAGCTGAAGAAGAGCGAGCTGATTGCCAGGGTACGGAGTTTCGAACGTCGAGCATCAGCTTTCCTCTGTCCGTCCTGCTAACGGTGTGCCCCGCGACAGTATGGTCTTCTTCCGCGCGATCTCCGCAAGATCGATTCGTCCAATCTCCCGCACATTCTCGTCCGTCCGTCTGCTATTCTACTGAATCTACTCCACCTGAAAGTTCTCATCAAGCACGACCGTGTCCTGCTGTTCGACGTCTACGGCTCCACCTCTTCCTACCCCCAATCTGCCTTCATGTATGACCTGCAGGGGAAACTACAGCAGAAGCAGGTGGCCGGAGTAAACAGCTTGCCGTACGAGTTCCGGGCCCTTGAGGCCGTCTTGATGTCAGTCACGTCCGAGCTGGAGGCCGATTTCGAGTCAGTGCGGGACCCGGTCATTCGCATCCTCAGCGATCTGGAAGACGATATCGATCGCGAGAAGCTCAGGATACTTCTGGTTCTGTCTAAGAGGGTCAGCACCTTCGAGCAAAAGGCCAGGCTGGTTCGCGACGCCCTCGATGAGCTTCTGGAGGCCGACGACGATCTGGCCGCCATGTACCTGACTGAGAAAACCCATGACTTATACAGGGGGGAGGATGACCATACCGAGATCGAGCTTTTACTGGAATCATACAACAAGATTTGCGACGAAGTGGTCCAGGAAGCGAGCAATCTCGTGTCGAGCATCAGAAACACCGAGGATATGTAGGTTTCTTCCTTTCTACCGGCATCAGATCAATTCAGCTGACCTTCCCTAGCATACGGGCAATCCTCGATGCCAATCGCAACTCGCTCATGCTGCTCGACCTCAAGTTCAGCATCGGCACGCTCGGGCTGGCCATGGGCACGTTCCTTGCCGGCCTCTACGGCATGAACCTCGAGAACTTCATCGAGGAGACCAACTGGGGTTTTGGCGCCGTCACGGCAGTCTCCTCCATTTTCTCGCTCATCGTCTGCTGGTACGGCATGGTGAAGCTCCGCAAGGTACAGCGGGTGAAGATGAACGGCGGCGGCCTGCGCAGCCAGAGCCACTGGTTTTCCGAGGACGGCACCGATGTCCTCCTGGATCCTAGCAACCGCGAGCGGCTGAGGAAAATCAACATGATGAAGAACGCCAAGCAAACTCGCTTCAAGAAGTGGCCCCTTTTTCGATCGCCGCTGTGAGCAGCTACGACATGGGAGTACATGGGACCAAGAACTGTCTTCTCACGGTTGCCTGAGGCGTAACAGTATATACGGATAGATTGGGGGTTTTGTGGCGTAGGGGTGCTCTTGGGGGTAGCGGTCAACTCACTGCTTGCTGTTCGCGATCTCGGTGCGTCCTTTCCTTGTACAGCAGTACCTGTAGATGACGCGGCTTTTCTGTTCTCTGCCATCTCTGCTCACATAGGCAGGAATTACGATATTTGGCGTAATACCAAATTTTAGACTGCGTTGACGAACCGTGCTGAGGAGGACAAGCAGGTTCAGGCCTGAACCACGGGCGCCTCGTTGATGGACTTCAATGTCGTGCCCGAGCGCATTCCGGCCACGGCAGGGCCATTCCTGGTGTAGCCAACTTCGAGCGATGTGTGGCCAGCAGATAGGAAGGCATCTTCATCCCTTTTCCGCGAATACGATCGGCTTTAGGACGAGTTCCCGTTACTTTCCTTGGCTCTTCTAGGTGCCGCGAAACCGACCAATTTCAACCGGCGATTTGTAATCCAATGATGAATGGGCGCACGTTTCGTCACTGCGCGTTGTTTGCACGGAGAGGGATTCATCCAACCACTCGATGGCAAACATCTCCACCGTCACCCCTCGATGGTCAATCAGCATCGAAAATTCTCGAGGCATTTCTTGAACAGCCGCTGTGGAAAATGTACCGAGGTCCTTCAAATAACCACGCCGTCGCTCTCAAGTCTCAGAACCGGGCAACGAGCCATCAAGGACACGGATGGTGTCTAGCTGGTCTCCCCTCGCCGATGTGCGACTGATGGTGGCGGTCAAGCTCGTCAGGCTCTCTCCGTACGGCCCAAGCCCCAGGCACATCACCTGTGTCACCGCAGCCCTCGACACGTTCAGGCCAATCAATGATTTCACAAATTGGTACCCTGTGAGTACGTAAAGGTCTCGGAACCCTCGGCTCATCCACAACACCAAACTGTTCAGCTTTGGCTCCTCATCCTGTACGGCTGTGAGTGGAGGACGCCAAGGTGAGGTGCATAACCGCTCATCAGAAGCCACCGCCTGGTTGTTATGGCAAGCAGATCGGGTCCAACCGAAGCGGATTACACAGCAGATGCACAGCAGGATGAGTAAGGAAGGCATCGCCATACTCTGGTCCCCTGGCAGACTCCAACTGGGGAAGAGAACGTAACGGGCGATATGGACTCACATCGCACCAAACGGCGGACACCAGTAACCTCGGGCGCCGCCCCATTCCCACACACAAGACCAGCTTCAAAGCCCCATTTCATGTACCATCGTGAAGTGAGTATGAAACACTGGCCCCATGGAGACGAGTGTCCCACTAGGCACTGGGAGCCACGTCGACGAACAGCCTGTTCGAGTTATAGCCTCAACAAACGCGTCACTCATACGGGAACCGCTGAGGTAAGGGTGCTTGCCCCCGTTTCCAGAAGGCCTTCCCCAATTCTTCTCGCCGGCCCCGTCATCAACTTGTGCATGAAATGCCGGAGATAATTTCCGGTACCCTCTTTCACGACACCTCCACGGGTCATCCGGGACCCCACTTTATAAAAGGCCACAACAGACAGACAGGCGGAGGAAGGGGCCCGGTACAAAACAGACAGACAGAGAGAGAGAAAGAGAGATTGAGACTCTGTGTGTGTGTGTGATTGAGGCGGAGAGGCCAGACGGACGAAAAACAAAGGAACATTCAACCCCCTGTGGATCAGTCACGGGAGGACGAGCCGACTCATGCTACGCCACTCAGAGGCATCAGTGTTGTTCCGTCATGATGAAGCTCACCCCGAACGTTTACACATAAAAAGAAAGAGGCACGTGAAACGGCGTAGCATGGTGTCAAGGCTTGCTATGCCATGCACAAGGGCGAGAAGTGGAGGGAGGCAAGTCAGCAACATGTTAATGAAGAGAGAGGACCCACTCACCAGTGCGTATTTATCAACGGAAACAAGAAACGTAACGTGGTGTAGGCCAACTATCCGTATCCAACCACAGTTCGTCCCACAACGGGAAAAACAGGAAAAAACTGATGAAAACTATGTGATCAAGGACCGGGGGCTTCGGCAAGTGTGAGAAAGCGCGACGGAAAACGCTGATGAGAGGATCCCGAGATGACTCACCCGGGGGAGAAGGGAGTCGAGGGAGGCGAGAAACAGCCGGGCCCAGGCCAAGCTGGGTTTGGTCGGTCGCTCGGCAACGGCCTCACCCTAACTTAACTGTTCCCCTGAGATTTTAGGGGCTTACTTTACTGGTCTGTAACTTGTCGACGCACATATTTCCAGGACAGGTATTCTTTGTTCGAGGGGCGGCGCTCCCTAGTTGAATGAGCGGGCACGTCAGAAAATGGAACTCAAAAGCGCGTATTGAAAATGACAGGAGGCCGAAAAGAAAGAAAAAAGACGTGCAAATTAGCAGGCAACAAAATCGCCACAACAATTAGATATCCTCGGTTGTGGGTTTTCCCCCTGATTTTAGGCTCGATGACCGCGTTCACGTTTGCCGAGTTGCGCGTGCCAGTCGTTCCGCTCATTGCATCATAATCCAGCGCCAAAAGTACCAAAAACGGACCGTTCGTAACGGCGTCATAATAGCCCTCCTAAGTGAGGTTGTTCATGGCTAATTGTAGCATGGTATCTTGAGCATGCTAGTTCGCTAGTTCGGTTGCGATACCTTCGTTGGATCCAAGCCACCGTCCGTATGCTCAGGTTCTTCTTCGCGAGGGGCCCGGAGGTCTCGAATCCGGGGAGAAAAACCAAGGTACTCCAGTAAAACTCCGTTGTGATGCAAGTAAGCCTCAGGCAGAGAGGTTGAAGAGACCAGATGTTGCGAATCCTCCGGTGATGTAAGACGTCGGCAACTGTCCAGTTCTCCCCGATGCCTGGGCTCGTCCCATTAATGCTCCTATTGAATGTCCGTTTCCCCTCCTCGACCTTCACGCATGCAAGACGTTGAGGTTGAATCAATAACGAAGGAAAATGAACGAATGTAAAAAAGCAAAAGATCCACTCCTCTCATCGTACACAAGACAGCAACCGACTTCGCCAACTAAATTCAAGCAGGATTCCGCCTTCGCCACCTCCCCAATGCCGTATCCCCAGTCCATGACAATGCAAAAATGGAGCGTAGCGCACTTTTCGCCCGTTTTCCCTTGGCCGCCACCGAAGCCATCTATGAGCGAGCCAGGTGGTCCCAAGGTTAATGGTTCTTTGGCTCAAAGGATTTGATCGAAATCGCCTTCACGGTACCTCGCCTCCGGAAATGGAACGATACAAGGAAACAGTAGTATCACAAGGGATGTCCGTGGTGTGTGTTGTTGATATGTGCAAGCTGCCGATGATAAGGCAACATTAGACATGATGAGTGTCGATGACTTGTGCATTTTAAAAAGATCACTTCAGGATCCCTTCCCACATGCCAGGCCCGCCATAACCTCCAACAGCGAGATGTAGGGAAGGGATACTCGGCGCTCGGGCTGCCTCAGTCGAGCAGCAGACTCGCTTGGAGCTGCCTCGAAGCACCGGGACCTGTTGAGTCAGTTCGCGAACCATGGTGTCCGGCCAGGAATTGCCGCTCCGAGACTGGCTCGTGAGCATCTCGCGAACGTCGTCCTGCACCGAGTTCGCCCGGCATCGCTTGGATCCGGTCTTGACATCCGCCGACGTCCGGCTACCGCCATAGCGCTGCAGTTCTTGAAGAGCCCGAGCGGCATCGGTCATCTCGCGTTCCCGGCGTGCCAAAGGCGTATCTAACGACGCATCGCAAAAGTCTTTTCCAGCTGTGAAAGTATAGGACTCGGGCGACAACGTCAGTTGTATGTAGGCATCTTCCTGGTCTTCAGGAACCGAAGCAATGGTCGGTCTCAAGCTCAACCTGTCGCTGCACAACTTCCCGTACCGGTAACGCGCCAGAGCATCCATTTTGGCTGACGGCGCGGTGACCGAGGAAGCAGAGGAGATCGATGAAGAGCGAGAAAGCCGGGAAGAATCCGACACCATTGATTCAGGCGAAGACGCGGTCGACACCGAATTCGCCAGGGATGAACGACGAGCCACATAGTTCATTGGCGAGGAGTTCCCCGACGGCGGCCACCGATCCGCAGACTGGGCCGACATGGATGCTGATGCCAGAGTCATCGCGAATCCCATTGACGAGCCCCTTCCCAGAAGGCAGGTCACAGCACTCGCTGCAGGAGTGCTGATACCCGAAGTCTGGGGGGTCAAGCGCGGCGTGGGCAGGAGACCGAATGCGGGTGCCAAGCGTCCCGGAGCGTACGCCATCGGCGGAACTGGCTCCATCACAGCAGGCATACATTGAGGCATCGAGGCTGAACCAAGCTTGCTGTCGAACCCAGAAGTACCCGCGCGCTCCGCCGGAGGCGTATAGAGAGACCTAGGAGGGAGTTCGTGGGCTGGCGACAGGGGTGGCGACCAGGAAACCAGCTCTTCCAGGTTATCCAGCTCCGGAGACATGTTGAGGATGATGCGCCGAAAGTCATGGCACTGTTGTTCGTAAATCTGTTGGGCAACGCCGCCAGGTGAGGGAGGCTGCGTCGGCGTGAACTTGGACACGCAGTCGGCCCACCGCTTGTAGAGCTCCTCAGTGACATGAAGTTTCCAGTTGACCGCCACGAGAAAAGCCATTTCGTTCTGGTTGATCTCGAGCGTGTCAAGACCCGATATCTTGCTCCAAGCACGAGCCGAATAGTTGCGATCCTGAAGATACTTGGAGGCCAAGATCAAGGCTGCGAGGAACATGCGGCGGCCGCATTGAATCGCCTGGCTGGAGCGACAGTCATCCGGCTGCTCCGTCGTGAAGTCGTACACGGGAACATGAGACTTGATCAGGACCAGGTAGTAGAGAGCCACCTGCAAGGTGGAATAGCTGGTCCGCGAGCGGCGCAGCGTCTCCTGAATAAAGGTGCGCAGCGGCAGCACTGCTTTGTTTCCGCTGTCATGACGAGGAAGCACCGAGGAGGTAGGCCAAATAGCTTCGACGATATGGGTGGACGTGTCTGAAAAGAGGTGCTTGAGTAAGTTTGTCCCCAGCGACGGGCAGATACGGTTTTCTTACCGACAAGGTTCTCGACGAAGCTGAGCTTCCGATCGGACTGTCGCACGAGCGAGGGCGGGCGACCGGTGCGCGAAATCGCCGAGTTGCAAGTGCGTCGCGGGTTCTGGCGCAGCTCCACAGGGATCTCGACTTGCGCCGGTGCTGAAAACTGAGATCTGGCCCAAGGCTCGTGCAACCTGACGGACGAGTCGCACGAGCTGCCAATGGAGCTGACCGAGGTTTGTGACGAGGCTGGGGCGTGGGAGAAGTAGTATGAATCGCACGAGTCGGAGTAAGAGGATGGGGCGGTCGAGACCGAGTCGTCTGAGCGTTGAGAGCAGGCGTCGGACCAGAATGAGGCGGCGTACGTGGAGGTGGATGATGCCGAAGCGGCTAGGCCAAGGTTGTAGGGCGCATTGGGGGTTAAGTGGGTGGACGAAGGCGGTTCGTAAACTCCGCGCATCATCTTGAATTATGGTAGGTGAAGGCACGTCAGGAGAATTCCAGTCGCCGTCGCGCCGTGTCTGCCGATTATACCGTGAAGGGATTGAACAGATCGTGAACCTTTCGAGATGCTAGCGCTGCAAAAAGCCACATGGATTGCTGCGTCGCTGTGTGTGCCGAGAAGGGGTGAAGGCTTCTAGAGCATAGCGCGAGAAGCCGACTTTGCACGAACGATCAAACCGGTAGACAGGGCGGAGACGGCGACTGGAGTAGATGCAATGCTCTCAAGAGGCATCGTGTTGTGTCTTTCGCTGGGACAAGCGGAAGAGTGGTGAGGTTATATGGCGGTTAGATCCCTACCATATGGGAGAGATCGAGGGAGGCGAGGCCGAGGTCGAGAGGCGGTGATGGCAAAGCTGGGGACGCGGCAGGCAGGTGGCAGAGGGTGCTCCGAGACGCGAGCAGGCTATTCTGCAAGGTACCAACTGTAGCAGTTGCGTGGCTGCGAGGTCATCAGACGCATTTATCGTGGGGCAAGCCGAGCTTAGTATCGACGTCGGAGGCAACTAAGGTATGTGACTCCTTGGTGTGAGTGGATGTTCGTATGCCTATTTGGGGCGATTAAGATAAGTGTCGCCGGCTTCGGGTGACCCTTGTCTTGGGATGACTCTTTCCCAAGTGTGGCGAGGTCCAAGTTCCGACACTTGCCGTGGGCAAAAACCAGGTGGCCCCAACTGGCAGCGTGGAGAGCGCTGGGTGGTGTGACGGCAGCCTGAAAATGGGTCCTTGTGAAAAGGGCTGTGGCGACTTTGTTGGGCTTGGGTCACCGGCGTGCGAAATGAGCGATGACCGTGTGAGCGACGTTGGCCTTTCTTTCTCGCCTTTCTTTGACGGGATGGCGGATTCCTTGTTCGGTTGGGTGGTTCGAGAAAAAGACGGTGGCCGAGACTTCGAGGTTGCGGAGCCAACTTCGCCGTCAGGAAGCTCGTCTTCTGCGTCTTGAATGTTTGCTGAGAGGGAGAGAGGTGTCTGTTGGTCCTATTTCCTTTTGTCGCAGCGAGCAAGTGAATGCCTCGCGAGAAAGGGAAACGTTCTAGACAAACAGACTGGCAATCATTGGAAAATACGCTCGAACTGAGGGACAAGAGATTTTGAGACGGGATCAGAAATGAAGTGGTACGACGTAATGATTAGAACTTTGGAGAGGAGAGGGGATGAGAATGCTACACAGATCTCACAAGCAGACTACGACAGAGCCGCTTCTCCTAGATCTTGAGGTTGAGCATCGTGTCTGCTCGATGGGGACAAGAGGGAGGGAGAACAACGTCTCGGCACGGCAATGGCCCAGTTTTGAATGGGGTGTGCCGGGGGATTTGGAGATGCCATCTGATGCCGGGGGCCCAAACTGCCACAGCGCTGCAAGCAAACCACAGCCCGGCCCTGCTGCGGAGATTTCCAGCCTCCACCTTCACCACCACCTGGCCCCAGCCATTGACAGTCAGCAAGCGGCATGTGGGAATTGCGGCTTGGCGAATCTCACGCAGCACAAGACCATCGGTCTCAAGTGCTGCTGTTTGTTGCTCAGATCAATGATTTACACAGCTGAAATGGTATTTTCCACGAGGTCCCTTCCCTCTGGTATTGACCACAAAACCGGTCGCTTTGGATGATCTCAGAATCCAGCCTCCATTCTTATAACCATACCTTGGACAACCTGCCGGTCGACACCAACTTCGACACCAAGAGGCTCGAGAGGGCAGCTCGGGCAGGCAGGTTCGCAGTTTCGACTTGCCGTCGGTACGGCAAGATTGGGAAATCAGCTCCGACCTGATTGGCTGTTTGTCTTACTACGGCGGGGTCGGAGGTGTGCAACCACCACACCAACATGCCAGCAGCAGCCTGCTACAGGCCATGGAATCCAACCCCTGCCATTTCAGCGCATCTTGGCCGCAGTGCATCGCTGAAACCGTCATATGTCCGTGTCCCGTTCTTGTCCGTTTTCCGGCTCAGTCTGCGAACGCGGCAAGCGTTCACGGAACGGTAAGATTCAACCCATATTCCACCATCTAGCGGCGCTAAGATAGGCAGCGTTTAGGTCTCATCGACTATTAGCATGGCGGAAAGCGCCATGAAGCTTTGCGATGGACCGGGTAACTGCACAGTTACAGGGGTGTTGCTGCAGGAAGGCATTGACTTGGGAGGGTGGTCTCGGAGACGCCTGGATGCCGACTCGTCACACTTCCGATTCCCGTTCTTGCAATTTGCGCCACTCTCACTCACGAGAATCAGTGGAAGGGGCGCTGCTCGAAGCCATCGTCTTTCATGGTTGCTCGTCTCCCTTCACTGAGAACCACGCCGAGACTTGGTACCTTCGGCGATCCTCAGGGGGGGTATGGCACCGTTGCTTCGGCATGAACGGCTGCGTATTGTGAAATCTGCCGTGTTTGGTGTTGAACATTGAGACAGCCAGTGCTTCTCAACTCGCCCAAGCCCCTTTAATCCAGCGGCGTCTCACAGCCGCGCTGTCAAGTTAAATTTATCGCTCTTTTCGTCAGGATGGAAAGGCTCGCGAAACGCCGCCCCACACAAAAGACTGGACGACAAAGCCTCGCTGAAGTTCAAGACGGCCTCGTTGATAACACGCAACGGAGTCTCTGTCCGTATTCAAGCAAGCGCCGGCCCGGCCGGAGCTCGCATCGATCATGATACACAAGTTGAGTTGATCCCGTTGGAGCCAGAGTGTGTGCAACTCCCCCCAACGCGCGCGGGCTGTGCTTGCGGGGCATGAATCCTCATCATCGCCTTGACACAGCCCTTCGCCTACTGGAGATATCCCAAGCCCGCTTAGTACCTTATAAGGTACTCGGCTCCGGCTAGCCCTTCATACACTTGCACAGAGCGGCCAGAATGTGTGAAACTATTGCTCTGCTCCTCATGGTCCACCATACGGCCGTCTCCACCTCTGAGGTGCTTGCATGTTTGACGATTCAGCTCCGTGCTTGCATACGACCTGAGGCAGCCTTTGGTTCTGAGAACACACAGAGAACGTTTGAGACAAAGAGAAGACTGAGAGATCATATCGAAAACGGGGCCGAAAACGGGAGGGAAACGGCAACAAACTTCCCCGCTTTCCAGCCGTCACGGACCTGGTCTTTGATGATGAGCTGGCAAACTGGCGTTCGCACTCCAGCCGGGTCGGTCACTGACGCCTTGCGCGATATGCAGAGCAACCCAAACCACCAGCGACGACGAGAAATGACTTTGTCGCCATCCGGCGAGGCAGACGAGGAGGAGGCCGTCTGGGCAAATTTGCACAAGTCTTTGTTCACCAGGCTTCACAACCTCATCTGGTACTTGTGCAGCCAATCGTGTCTTGTTCGGAGCGTCCCGCCAAGACGAGCCCATTCTGCGATGACTCAAACGGGAATCACCTCGTCGCGGAACAAGTTAACGTAGCAGACGACAGGATCGCGATATCGGACCACCATCGCGACGTATGACTCTGGAAGGCTGAGGGACAGGAGGCTGGCAATGCCAACCATATCAGGGTCAAGACAGCTGACAGACACAAGATCGAATCGCCAAGGATGACCATTTCTCAGGCTGGGTTAGCTGAGGTTAGGTACGGTGTAGAGCCATGGAAGGTGAGCAGAGCAATCAGCCTTGTCGAAATGTCCGCCGAGTTCACTTGAGATGGCAGACGCCGGCGTTCCAGCTAGCCACTGTTGTCGCTGTGCTTGCCCAACCCGTGGAAAGCTGCCTTAATCATCCATACGGTCTGGCACAAGTAATGTTCAGTTCCTCGGTGACTGACGACTGCAGCGACCGTGTTACCCAGCCGCGATCCATTATCGCCGAAGGAAGCGCGCTCGTCTTGGAGCTCTGGGGATCACGACGTCCGGCGTGGGTTTGCTGTGGTTTGTTTCCGTCTTGGGCCGGGTCGCAGGTTAGCCCTTCGAAACAGAAAAGCTTACAATCGCCAAGGAGCTCGTTCACGCACAAGATCCGTGTCTGATTATGTTGCATCGCATTGTCCATAAGGAGCATGGAAGGAGTTGCCGGGGTTCTTGAATGCAGGCAAGGCAGCACACACAGAATCCACTGCTCAGCTACGTCGTTTTGTGACAGTCATCCCTCATCAGTCAGCTTCAACGGGTCGGCTTCATGCCATCAGCTGTCATAGTCCAGGAGTCAGATGTCTGGCAGACAGAGAAGTATCTGTCGACGGCAAAGTCGTTCCGCCATGACCATGACTGAAGCGATGAAACACTCACAGCTTTGCATACGCGATAGGCCCAGGTCTATGACCTCGACCGGCGCCAACAATGCATCACGTTGTTTGCTGTGGCCCATGACAGCATTGGACGAACCGAGTGCTCGTGCCTTATCCCCTTCTCACTCCATGCCAAGCCCACGCCGGATACTATGCGCCGCCCGTTCCGGGTCAGCATCGTCAACGGGGGACCTGATTACCCGTCGTCGAAAGGTTTCTCCTTTCTATCAGCCGGACCAAACTTTAAGCCTGTCCGTGTCATCAGCATGATTCAGAGTGAGCCAAGCGAAGAAAGCACCGACCGGTTACTCACACTTGCCCGAATTTGACAGACCCGAAGCTTATCCTGAGCAGTCCACGGGACCTGCATTGAGGATTGAGCGGCACATGCATCGGGATGATGATCCTTGCCAGCAGCAGAGAGTAAGACGGATATTCGCCAGGAGTGCGAGGAGTCAGTCCATCAGTCATACCACACAAGCCCGCCTTCCCGCCACCGAAAGGAACGACGAGAAGACGCCGACCTCACCACTCACCGCCAATTCGACAGATATATCCAGGCCTGGTCTCTACGTCAGCGTGGCACATGGCCGGCACTGCGCATGGATGGCAAAGTAGAATATACCTGGTAAGAAGAATAAAGGGAGAAACCAAGGAAGAAAAATGGAAAAATACAATGTGGGAGGTACAGATGGAGAATAGAAGAGAAGAAGGCAAAAGAGATGACGACGAGGAGGAAGAGGAAGAGGAAGGAAGGAGACAAGAACGTGAAAGAGAAAGAAAATAGAAGTGTAAACACCAAGTTCCCCGCTAACAAACAAGGGTTGAATGGTGTACACAGTAGGTTCGAACACGGCTCCAACCGACTAGATGACCTCGCCTCCCGGGACACACTCAGCCTTGCCAACAAGCCAGCCGTTGTCGCTCCAGTCCGAGGCCAGAGTCACGAGACCATCTGGCCGAGATCAAGAGCGAGACGCGAGCGTCAGTTCAGCCGACTGTACCCCACTGGTGATAATGGATGGAAGCAGCAAAGTCAGCGTTGGGTCAGCCGGAATTCTTTCTGAAATGCTGTCCGAAGGGTCATTCATGACTACTTCGGTCAGAAGCCGTGTTCATCACGCTGCTCTTGACAAAGAAAGAAAAAGAATAAAAACGGCACAGCGCAGAGCGCTGCGCTGCTGACAACACGTTTGAGAGGCTACCTACTCAATGCCTGTGATTTGTCTGCAGGCCGTGTTACGAGCAAAGTACACAGAGGCGTGCTGGTACTCGTACACTAAGGTACCTTAATCAAGGGAGGTGTGCTCAAGGGAGAAGACACTAACCCGTCAAGAATGAAGGCGCGAGGCATCATGTATCGCAACGATATGACGACATTGTTCGTCCCAGTATGCGACCATCTAGTCTTACATGACCGAGATGAGAGGGCCACACCTCAAGTAATGACGAATTCTGCTTTTCGTTCTGAACTTTGCCCATTGTGTCCATGTCCGACTACCTCAGCAAAGAACGACTGCCAGAGACCCGACCACAAGACGAAGAAGCCAAAACCGAGCCCGACAAATTACCCATGAAAACAGCCACCCTTCCGCCCTAAGCAGCCATGTAAGTGGAGGCATCGACACCCTCCTTGGGGAACTCGCTGCATGTAGAGTTAGCCGATTGCTCGGTCGAGATAGCTTAAGGCGAGTACATACGGGAGCGCGACCTCGAAGCGCTTCTCAATCTGCTGCTGGACTTCCTTGTCCTGCTCGCTAGTGACGAAAGAGATGGCAAGACCCTTGGTGCCGAAACGGCCAGCACGGCCGACACGGTGGAGGTACGAGTCGGCGTCCGCGGGCATATCGTAGTTGATGGCGAGGTTGATGCGCTCAATGTCGATACCGCGGCCAAAGACGTCCGTAGCCACGCAGATGCGCTTGTTGAACTCTTTGAACTCCTTGTACCGGCGAATGCTACGCGGCGGTTAGCGTGTTCCCCAGACTGAACCCCGGTTTTAATCAGGAACATACCGCTCCTCTTGGCTGACACCAGAGTGAACAGCAATTGAGGGAAAATTGCACTCGCGCAGGAGCTTGTCGAGCTCGGTGGCCCGAACAGTGCTCTTGACAAAGATGATGACCTGGTTGAACTGGAGGTCGTCAAGCAGCTCGTTGAGCTTCCGGTTCTTCTCCCTCTCCTCGAGGGGAATGTAGTATTGCTGAAGACCGTGAAGCGTCAACTTGGTGTCTTCATCGACATAATGCTCCGTAGGGTTCTGCATGAACTTGCGGCAGATGGGCTTGATTTCGTCCGAGAGCGTGGCAGAAAACATCATGACCTGCTTCTGCTGAGGGGTAGCCCGGAAGATCTCTTGCACATCGCGACGCATATCTAAACCGAGTCAGCGGGGCCGCTATCGCATCGGAAGACCCAGTTGATTGACTTACCAATTTGGTCGAGCATCTTGTCACACTCGTCCAGGACAAACATGCGGACGTTTCCGAGGCGCAGATGCTTGTCGCGGACAAGAGCATTGAGACGGCCTGGGGTGCCGACAATGATGTGCGGGTGCGTGTCCTTGTTCTTAAGGATCTCGGCGTCCTTCTGGATGGGAGTGCCGCCGTAGAACACGCCGGTCTTGATATCGGGCATGTACTTGCTGAAACGATTGTACTCGTTGCGAATCTGGAAAGCAAGTTCGCGGGTGTGGCACATAACCAGCACCGAACACTCCCCGGCAACGGGCTCGACTTGCTGAAGAGTGGTGAGAACGAAGACAGCCGTCTTGCCGAGACCAGACTTGGCCTGGCAGATAATGTCGCCTCCGAGCATAGCCTGGGGGATGCACGTCTGCTGCACTGTAGTCGGGGACCGTATTAGAATCGGGTATGCAAACGTGAAGGGCACGGCGGACGGGGTGGTCAAAAAGGATAGGGCCGTCCATCGTCGCAGCAAAGGTTTCAGCTACACCTCCACGATTGTCATCAGCGTCCCCATCTCAGTCTCAATTCTTCTCTTTCTCCGCAGCCAACCGAGCAAGTGTGCGCAGTCCGATGCCCCACCGCGATGGGCGGGCACCACAGATCCTCGCCGACTGTCTCGAGCAGTCAAGATGGCATTGGAGGAGGTGGCAATGTCCCGAGACAGAATCTCGCGACGAGTTGAATGCATGAAGCTCGGAAGCAATCCACCAAGCGAACTGGTCGCTTCAAATGCCCAACTCAGTCAAACTCATGCATCGATGACGGCTGTCATGAGCAAGGTTCTTGCGCACGCCAGAGCTCAGAGACGTCCTGGGAGCACTGCTCGTCCATTAAGGACGACAGTCGTAACAATCCCGTGGCCGGTGGCGATTGCCGTTCGCCATTGTTCCCTTGTTGCGCGCGGCACCGACAACAAGACTTCGTTCCCTGACAGCTTTTGCTTTGCGTAGCTTTGCTTTGTTTTTTTTTTTTTTTTTTGCTTGCGAGATGGACGGACCCGTGGGAGGGGCAGGAGGGATTAACGATAAGCTGGGGATGAAACTGTCAGGACTAACCCTCCGAGGGATGCTCGAAGCCGCAGTCGGCAATGGCGCGAAGAAGCTCAGGCTTCAGGAGGAAATCGCGGAAGCCGGTCGAGTGGATGCCGACGTAGGAACCCTTCTTGTCGACATTTTGCGCGGCAGCGGCAGCATCGCCCTTCTTGCCGTTGGAGGCTGGGGCGGCGGTCTCGTTGTTGAGCTCGTCGTCCGAGTAGTCGATGAGATCCTCTTCACCAGACATGTTGGGCGGTTGTGCTGTCGATAAACGCTGACGCGACTGGTCGGGAAAAACAGAGGAGCCGGTTGAGTGAGGATGGGTGGTTGCGGCGCTTCTGGCAAAATCAATTACCAGAGGAGAAGTAACGCAGTATGGTAGTGTTGTTGCGCGCTGGCGATGAGATCTGGCTTTCCCAAGGATTGTTGGAATGTGTTGGTGATGGAAAGTGAAAGCCAAGGAAGAGCGGAAGAAGCGATTCGGCCTTCAAGGTGAGAAGCAGCACTGCTCAAAACCTGGCCGCAGCTATTTCTAACCTGTCGTGGCTTAGTCAAGCAACTAAAATCAGTCATTAATGTGGGGCACTCACCGCACTGACCATTTCTTGTGACTTCCGCAGTTAAACGCACGCTGCAAGAGCCACTGGACTTGCCAGTTGCCATTTCGAGACTTATCTGAATGTCAATATTCGCCCTTATGACAAGAAGTGCACACACCCGCATATGCAGAACGCCCAAACCTAATATTCTTGAATCTACCATGGCAAAAGGGAAATCTGCCGGGGGTGTCCAAAACAGAGCCATCTACTCGCGCATCTCATTCCTTCAGCAGGCTGCCGTCACCCTCGCGGCCATCCAGCAACAGTCTTCGGTTTCAGGGGACAATGTTGCTCCAGACAAGCCCCAGGTTCCTGATCTGTCGACACCCATCACACGCCTTGATGATGCCGGATCCGGAACATCACTCGAGGGCATGAGCAGGCGGCTGGCGACCGACCTGCGCGCTGTGTCTCTCAAAACCAGGATTCGCCTCAAGCCGGCAGTAAAGCAGACCCTCTGCAAGTTTTGCGACTCGGTCCTCATTGAAGGGGAATCCTGCACATCTACGATCGAGAACAAAAGCAAGGGCTCCAGAAAACCGTGGGCTGATGTTCTAGTTCGCAAATGCCACACCTGTGGCAGAGAGAGGAGGTACCCTGTGAGCGCACCGAGGTCGAGGCGGAAGATAGAGCGAGGGGTTGAAGGAGACCCCGGGCATCTGCAGCAACAGAAACAGAAGGGTTGGCGCAACTTCAAAGCTTGAACTCGAAGCGTCAAGGAGGGGAAGGCATCGGATTGCACGAAGGGTGTCAGGCGCTGAACTCTCGTTCACCTCGACGTTGAGAGAATATGGTATCACTATGGTTGGACTCGGATTGACTTCGACGACCCCTATCAGGAGTATCATTTGTCCTCGATACGGCAGCATGGATGGACAAATCAAAGGGTATCAATGACCAGTCACATTCCCCACCGCCCATCCCCGGTCATCAACCGTCTTCGGATTACCCAACGAGGCCAGAGCTGGAACCTGGACTCAGCCTGCCAAGGAGCGGGAAACCGTCGAAGTTGTCCCACGGTAACGTTGAACAGGTCTCGGTCGCGAGAAGCTTGTGGGCCTAGAGCTACGATTGTTTACACGGAGCTGCGCATCCGTTGTTCTTTTTATGCAGTTGGCGAAAACAGCCCCTTCACATGAGCGTCATGGCTTGTTGCCTTGCTGTTGCTGGATGGATTCCTCCCCAAGTACTTTGCTGGCGGCCATGAATCTATCCGGGATTAGCAACGTCCACTGTCAAGACGGACAGGATTGGGTACTCACAGCCCTGCGTGCCAACTGCCCAGCCCTCGCATGGCCTCGGCCTGGACGCTTGTCATACGTAAGAAGTTCTCGGTGTCGGCCAGATTGTGTGACAGTTGGGCCAACTGCGATTGGAGCTGCGCCTGGAACTCGGTCAGATATCAGCGTCTGCCGACTGTCCTTGGGCTTGTTTCGACAGGACAACGTTGGGTTCAGATGGAGGGCCAGATGGGCGACTATCTCCGCTTTCTTTAGGCAGCCCCTTGAATATGAGAGTAGGGACATTGAAAACGTACAAGCTGTCTCGCCTTCACCGCACTGCCCGACGAGGCCATGGACTGGCGTGATGTAGTGTTTGTGTTGAAGTTGCGCGTCGCCATGAAGAACGTATGTGTAGGTAGGACTGCGTGGTTGAGTAAGTGTTGCGAGCAATCAGTCGAATTTTCAACAGCCTCAAGAACAAACCGCTTCCTCACACAAGATAGAATTGCGGGTTCCCCAGATTGTTGTCGAGAGGCGAGAGATTCGGGTGTTGATGTTTGAGCGGGGTCCATGCTGCCACCAAACCGGGGTCCTTTTGCAGTGATTTGGTGGGGTGGCCGGCCGACCAACGCCGGTCCAGATTCCGCATGCAAGTCGCCTCGATATAAACGACGAGCCGGTTGACAGCTGGAACGTGCAGATGCTCCAAAAGTAACAAGCCAAAGCTCCTTTTGACCTCTACTTTTGGAGTTAATCTGCGTGCCTCCTCCTGCTTACGGACGGTTCATTCCTCTGGCTTGTATCAAGGAGGCCGAATCCACGGAGCTGAAAGCACTGGCTCACCACCATCGATTACCCTTCTTGAGCCCACGGGCAGCGCTATGCTGTCACATACGACCATAGACCGTAGAGAACTCGGGATCCCGTCTGCTCTCCCCTAGATAAGCTACGGATCGCCGGATTAGTAGTTGGGTCGGTGACGACCAGCGAATCCCTGGTGTTGTATGTCATTTTTTTCTTCTAAAACGCTCTTTTCATCAAGCATGATGGAACACGCACGTCTTGCGGTTTGCGAGTCACCTATCACGGATACGGGGGGCAAGAAACGGTCTGCCACTATTGCACTTCTGATTCAGATGCGTCAAACGCACTGTTGTTCAAGGGGTAGCCACGGATGGTGGCCAGCTGAAGGTCGATTGAACACAAAGGAAGACAATGTGCGCATCAGTCAATTAGGGGATACTGGCTTATGTTGGAGAGCCTAACTTACCTCATCCATCGCCAGTGGATTCCGGCCAGTATCTTCTCGGGCTTAAGCACCAAGATCGGAGCTGACACTCTCACATAGCGCATGGCCTGAGTTGTTTGACTTCCCAAGAGGAGAACAGCATTATCAAGATGATAGGAAATGTCCGAGGACATGAAAATTGCCATATCGCCCAACGGAGATACCTAGATGCTTGACTGACCAACTTACGGGTCACTATTGCAAGATCCCACCAGACAAGCCACCTCTCAGCATGGAAACACTCACGGAGAAGTGACTATGGTGGGGGAAGCGCCAAATTGATATCCAAACCGTCTTCTCGGCTAACTCAGAGGCCAGGCCGAGCCCTTACACCAGCTCAACTGCCTGTTCTTATGCAATTCTCCTTCCACTCGCTCCCCACGTCCACCACTCCGCGAACTGTACCAGCACCTTTGTGTGCCATCTCTCCCTTGACACTCCCTACTTGTCGCCCTGTCGCCGGCCAATCACCCCCCTTCCTCAAGCAAGACAGGAGTAGTAAAAAGAGAACCCATGCCGGGGAATATTGAGCAAGAGAGATGAGACCCCAACCTAAATGTCAGTCATCAGTTACACAGGAGCCCAAGCAACAGCACGTGACCACAATGGACGAGAACCAAAGAAGATCCCGGCGCTCTTAAAGTCTCCCCTGCAGTACTTCTGTAAGGTAGTCCAGCATGTGACGAATGGTATTACCACAAGACAATAGTTTTTATCGCGCTGGGTTTGGTCATGGCCAAAGAAGAAGAGAGAATCAAAGGGAAACACGAGATGACGGACAAAAGAAAGGAGAAATGCCCTATGTGCTGTATACAAACCCCGAGTCTTGCCTCTTCGTGCCCTTGAGACCGGAGCCACAACTAGAAATTATAGTGTACGCGCGCCATCGCCATCATCATTCCCGTTGTCGAATAAGCCAAGAATTCCTCCCTCCGGCAGAACCCCAGAGCCAGCTCCATCTAAAACGAAAACCCCAAAGATGCATCTTCTTGCCATGTTTGTGTTCGTCCACCGCCCCTATGTTTTGGACCGGTTGTGCGCATCGATATGCTAGCTCTTTTTTAGACAACAAGAAAAAAAGGAGAAAAAAAAACAAACCGTCACCCCCCTGGCTGGTTGCCAGTGAGTGAGTAACGTGGGGGATGGAACTGGCGGATGGCGCCGTGCCGTGAGCAACTGAAAAACCAACTCCACTCCTGAATCGCAAAACGTGCTTTCTTTTTGGTTTGTCCCATTAATCGTCCCAGCACCATATGCAGAGGCTTCCTCCTCGAAATCTTCGAGCAACCGTTCTTGACTGGCACAACAGACGCGCTCAGCGAACGCCAATTGGTGGGCGGGGGCCTAGACTGCTCTGACTGCTGTGCGCCGACGGCTCTGAGTCGATATTGGTAGAGTCACCACTCCCCGCGCTGGCGCTCGCACTGCCGGTCAGACTTCGCGAACTCTTCGTCTTGGGTGGGAGGAGGGAGCTCACTCCAGCGTGCTGCTCGACCTGCTGCGGCGCGACCACGTTGCCGTGGCCCGGCGGGTAGCGCGGCATCGGCTGCCGCATGCCCTCCGGAGGCGATGGTCGCCCGTTCATCTGCGGCGGACCCGCATAGCCGTTTGGCGGGGACGGGCGTCCGTTCGGCCCGCCGCGGATCGACGGGCTGTACGGGTTCCCCGGCGACTGACTCGCCCGTCGAGGGCCACTGCCATTCATACCCATTGGTGGCGGCCCTTGGTTGTATTGGAGTTCGTCAAGGCGCGCGGCCGTGAGAGAATTCGCCCTCGAACCAGCATGCATCGCCCCCCGGTCCACGGTACCGTACCGGTTCGAAGTGAAGCCCAGGAGAGGATCGTCCATGATATCTTCATGTAGGCTGGGAATGGTACTCATGATTTGACTCGATCGCGATTGGTTCCTCCCAAAGCTTGGCCGAAACCTGCTGCGCGGCGGACCGGTGTCCTGTTCAGGGTTTTTGCGGAACTGTGACGCACTGGTGCTCGGCGCTTTACGGTTCTTCCTCGAGGTAACGCTCATCATGTCGAAGTTATCGGGGTCAATCATGGACGCGCTCGATGATGGCATGGCGTCGAAGAAGTCGTCATCTTCGTCGTCGTCGTCAACAAAACCGCCACCACCAGCCCGCGAGGGTGGGGGAGGTGGTCTTCTTGGCCCAGAACCGGCACCAGCGGCGGCTCGTCTTAATTTCAACTCTTGCTCCCTTAATGCAAGTTCTCGCTGCCGCAGCTGCAGCTCCTTCTCTCTCAGCAGCATATCGTGGGGGGGCGGCTGTCCGTAGCCAGCCTCTCCTCCCTCGGGGATATCATCGTAAAGCACCAGGTGACTGAAGTCTTCCAAATCCCCGCCTTCCATGGAAGACCTTCTTGACGGCAGACGCCCATTTGGGGGCGGTCTTGGATAGCCGTTCGGTGGGCCTCCATTCATGCTTGGTGGAGGACGTCGCATTCCCGGTCCTGGTGGCCCCATGCCAGAGGGCCCTCTTGGCCTTGGCCGCGGAGGCATGCCGTTTCCGTTCGGAATCCCATTGGCGCCAGGCCGAGTAGGGCCTTGAGCCGACATACGAGGAACCGAGAATGGAGTGGCAGAGGGCGATCCTGGCTGAGCTGGCGCTGCCACAGAAGCGTCAATCTTCGGCCGGGTGCGGTTGACCATGTTACGGTCATGGAGGAGAGAATACAGCGTCTCTACTCGCGGCACGCTAAGCCCGGTGTCCTGGGATAACCTAAGCGGTGCGCCCAGGTAAGTCTCTACTTCCATGGGTCGCCTCGCCATGTAGTCCTGCCACATAATGTTCTCGGCGCTCGACCTTGCGAACTCATCGAGCGTGTTTTGCTTGAAGTCGGGTGGAAACTTGCAGCCCTGGGCTTCCGCCAAAGCGAGCAATTCATCCAAGATGCCTGAGACAAGCTTAGGTACGCCGACTTTCTCCAGAAGCGCAGCATAGTTCGGTGTTTCATAAATGACCGTCAGGGGGTGGAAGGCAATCGGGCTACAGCAAGTCAGCCAGGGCATGTCATCCGGGCGCCATGGAATCCAGACTCACCCTATTACCCTCTCGAACTGCTGCTGGCGAATGTTCGGCGAGACCTTGCAGTCGACTTGGCCGGTACTCAATGTCATAGCCAGAGCCTGCGCCATGTCCTCCTGTATCGTAGGCGGGATGTTGGGGTTCTTGTTGGCGGCCCCAACCCACACTTCCGTAGAGCCCTTGTGTTCGAATTCGCTCGCGCCGAGCTGGGCGAGCTCGGCACCACACACAAGAGAAAGCACCACATTGGTGGGGAACCGCTCTTCAATTGCAGACTCGAGCCCAAGAGCGTGCGTCGTGTTGACGAGGATGCATGTATGCTGGGGCGTAACGACGGAATCGATAACCGAGGCCAAGTCGTAGACATCCGGAAGAGCTTTTATACAAAGGATAACGTAGTCAAACGCGCCGTCTCGGCGAAACGCCGCCTCTTCTGGGGTACGCACGACTAGAGGAACCCCGAAATTAGAACAATGCGCGCAGTAGTTGGGGAGAGACCAAGAAGGCGGCAGAAGCGTGGGTTGAAGGGAGGACATACCATGTCGAGGCTTGAACCGCTCATTGCCAAAAATTGGAGACCTGAAGCACGCGCAACTGTTAGCGACAAGGGACCGGGTGAAAAGGTTGAGGGTTGGAAGCGCAGCGCCTACTTGAAAGATATTCCGTATTGCGACACATGCTCAAAGCCAGTCTTCCAGACGAGGGTGACGTCGCAGGCATTTGTCGCTTGCAGCCTCCATGACAGAAACGCGGAAACTGGGTTGCCGCCCACTGTAACAACATTCATCAGTTCATAGTCCGACATGTCTGGCTGTGCATGCGAGGACGCATATGCAGCAAGTCCTCCAGCCGTCTCTGTACAGAGGCAAAGGGGGAAAAACGAGTGTGGTGGTGTCGAGATGCGTCGGGAGAAGAGTTGGAACGGGCGGGTCGGACGTCAGACATGCGGTGCCCAGTCTTTTTGGGTTCCCGAGTCCCCAAGAATCCAGAATTCAGGCTGCACCAGGCTGCGGGACGGCAAAGAAACACAAAACGGGTCCAGAGGAGCGAAAAGAGGTACAGGTCCAGTTGGGCATGGCTTACCTGATAAGATCTTGAGTCGAGACGCCATGGTTGATTGACCAGGAAGAGGCCCGATCCGGGATAGTGGGCCGATCCCGTCAAGTTTCGAACTTCCAAGTCTGCAGCGTTCTCACTCAACCAAATGGGGCAATATCTGACGCTAGTGCTGAAGCCCCCGGTGTGATGGAGGCCTTTGTGGCTTCGCAGTTTCCCTTGTTGGGCCGTTTTCTTTTTACCCCCGTTTCTCGGTGTATCCTTTTCAACTCTCTGCGGGTATGGGCGTGGGGGATTGTCGAGGTGCGCAAGTCGGTTCGATGATTTTGCGCCGGAGACTCGTCCGGGGGGGGGGGGGAAGGGGAATTTGCAGATCGGAGTCTTGAAAGAGCGATCAACAACTATCCCGTTGGCCAACTCATTCAGCTCCCGCTTGGCGAGGGTCAACCAGCGGTCGCCGCTGATGCTGCAGATGTCGTGCGCGCCTCGCAGTGGCGCCGAGCAATCTAGCTCAGCGACTAGCACGACCAGTGCAGGGGGCCGACTGGACAGACAGCACCTCCGTAGTGCAAGTGTTCCGCGGCTGCCGGTTAGTACGGAGTAGCGCAATGCATCAAAACGAGCGCGAGGCCGTGACGAGGGGTCATGTAGCAGCCACACACGCCTGGGGGTTCCTGGGATTCGATAAGTGGGTTTCAGGGTGGCGGACGGATGGCGGTTGGGGCGCTGTTGGCTGTGACGAAGCCAGGTGGTTGATAGGCCACGGCGCTGCCAGAGAATGTCTTGTACAAGTACAACCTCTGCCGCGTGCTGCAGTCGTCAAGGTTTCACGACTCGTGTAGTAGCGCGACGAACCAGGTTGGCAATGACCGTGCTGCGTGCTGGTGCTGAGGGTTTGAGGGGTATGGAACGAGCGACGAGGGCGAATGACGAGACCAGCGAGCTTCAACTAGGTCGCTCGAGACGCTGCCAAGGGGCGTTGCCGTTGATGCCGAATAGGCCCCGGGATCGACTAACGGTAGGTACGCTCAGCTGGACAGGCGATCCCAGCTGCAAGGAGGGAACTAGCAAAGCTGATGATATTCGGGAAGATGCGAACACCTCGCAGGCTTGGGGAAAATGATGAAGGGCTTCGTCGGCGTAAGCGGAGATTTACAAAGCCAGGAAAACGATCGGTTTGTTGGTGCTTCGGTTGTTTTTGATGACTGCGGACCTCCTCCCCTGGCACGTCTCTGCCACGGCTGCTGACTTTGGTTCCAGGGTTGCGTATCTTGGTGGTCATTGACGAATGATGGCCAATGCTGCTCTGACGGTGCTTTGTGTGGCCGGTGGAACAGCAGAATGCAGCTCGGCCTGGGGTGGTAAAGAGTGGCCCGGAACGGTGCGACAGAAGGCAGGGCAGGGCCCGTCCCAGGAAGGAAGTCGAATTCAGAAGACAACCAACAACGCCGAGAAACAGGGCAAGGGACGAAATTAAGTGTGAGATTCAGGCAGCACCACACAAGCAAGCACAGCCCGAGAGCCGTTCACTGGATTATCTTGCCTTTTCTTTGCCCCTACCTGTTTACCTTCTAAGACGCTGTTCTGAACCCGTATTCGAAGGGGATGTTTAGATTTCGGAGGATCGGAATCCAGCTGGACCCGTATCGCAAACTTTTGCGCAGCAGATGGCTCATGTTGTGTCTGGGCAGGGAGGGCCCACTGTCGGCTTTTTGGATCGCTTGCCAGCCGTCCGATCCAACGGGCACACTTAGCCATCCGGACATAGGCAATTTCCAAACTGGCGCGCCGCAGGGAACAAGCAGTTTTCATAGTGACCCGTTACGCGGACTCGGTGTGGCTTGGACATTTCAAATCCACATTTGCTTGCCAACGGATGCATGTGACGTGGAGTCCAATCAAGTTTACAGTACCTAGGCCTCAAAGCAAGATCAACAGTTCAAAGCACCGTCAAGATAGGAGGGGAACATTTTGAACTAAGTTATCTATGAACAAGCATCCGTACATAATAAAATGGAGAGAACCTATAACTTTTTTACCTTCCGGCACTTTGTAGTGTATTGCAGGCAGGAGGCTGGTATGCATTTGTGATTTTTGCCTGCACCACAGCGGCATGTCAATAACCGGAGTCCCTTCCTCACCGATGGACGCCGTGAAGGACTGGAGCTTTGTCACCCTCATAGGTAAGAACATAAAGCACACGTGTTAGTCGTAATATCAGTTCATCCATATGGAAGTGGTTACGTCCCTGTCTGGAAGCAAATGATCGTCCTTCGATGGAGAACTCGTTGCTTGGCCGCGTCTTATCCGTAAGGGAGATAGAAGTCCTGACTGAAATCCGGCTGAGCAGAGATGGCAAGGTATGAGAATGGACACTGAACACTGATTCCTAAAGCCAGTGGGCTGTACCTCTTTCAACATTCTGTGGTAATCAACGAATGGGATTCCGTTACCAGTTTTCTTAGGCTATAAGTCTGGCGTTACCAACAAGGAACGCCTTGGAATAGCGTCGTAGCATATGCATGACATGGGCAGCGCCGTGCGTCTCATCCAGTTTGTTGGCAGTCCTTCCTTACCTACTGTCACATATCATTCCAACGTTTCAACTCGCTCTGTCTCCCGAAGACCGCTGTGGCATTTCATTACCATCCGTCACCAAGAGGCGACGAGCGCAGAATTGCCATTGGCGAACCGCAGCATGACACGACGAAAGTGTGGGACTTTGCATGCCTTGGGCCACGGTCGCAATCCGTTTTCACTGATAATGATAGAATCGGGTGGTGTGTGCTAGAATTCCTTTGTAACAACTTCTGAGGCACCCAAAGGTCCCAGGCAAACTATTTACTTATCAATCGCTCGCTGGTAAGTGTTATGCAGAAATCCGTTTAAACTCATCAGATTTATCCCCTGTCAAGCTGGACAATCATGCGATGTCAATGACAGAGTCGGCTTGGCCCGAGTCGCGCTGGCACGGCTTGCGGGGAGGTCTCCCGATCGCGTGCCTGGGATGACGTATAATGTGGAGCACACTCACACATCCCCACATGTGGGTGATGTGCCTGAATGCTCCGAGGTAAAAAGAGCGAAATCTGAACGAGATGGAGCAGCCAACACTCCAGTCTTAAGCCATGTTCTCAGAGAAGCAGATTGGCTGGGACCACCTGAACTCCACATTGTCCATCCTCAAAGCGCATTGGGAAACTCAAATTGGAGAGCCAAGCATGGCAATCTTGCTGGCCGCATCCTGTTGCATTGCAACGGTTGAACTTACTTGGTAGGTACCTTACTTGTACAAACCGCCTCTCGGAGCATTTGGAGCGGGACGATATGTGCTTCCCAGCACACCGGTTGCAGAATAGTTACCGGGAATCTCTTGTTGGTCTCAATCTCCAGCCGGTGGCCAGCCCCATGCTCATCCAATCTTGGAACTCATCAATCCGCCTCTTTTGACCTCCGACCTCCTGTCCAACAAAAACCCACTGGGCAAGATGGGGAAGCAAGACAGGGGTTCTGTCTTGAAAAGCCAACTTCTTCCAAGGAAATCCGGGACTAGCAATGGGCGCCCTGATCACCGTATGCCGGCAAAGTTCAAGCATCGGTACTGCAACCTCGACTCACCAATAACTGATGGTACTAATGTGTGTGTGTATCTAGGTTTGATTGAACACTTGCTGCCCCTGAGTGCCGCAGACGCAGGTACACGTATACAGGCGAATATTTTTGGCACTCAAGTCTCCGGGGCGGCTTTACAGTAGACCCCACGGGGGAACTAAACTCTCCAACCGGACCGGGGCTGCCGCCTTGTCGCAACGGAACATGCCATGTTCCACGCGGCTAGCTGCCTCACCAGAGCTTTGGTAGTCGAACACAAAGTTGCCCTAAGGCAGGCCTCAAGGACATCGGAGAGGACTTGGTCCCCTATCGTCGGAGCGGTCCGAGGCCAGGTATGTGGATAGACGTACTTGCACTCTACCAACCTTATGCCTATGGACGGGGACGAGACAAAGCTCGAAACATCCCTCAGTCGTATGTATGCAGGCCGATTTCCTGCCAGACGCGTCTTTCCCCGCCTACCGCCGCCCGCCTCCCGGCCTTGTCTCACCCAGAGAGCCGTTGGCGCCAGGCCTTGAATGGTGTTCCATTGTCCTGAGCAGATGCCATCAAAACGACCGGTTCGGGTATCTTTCCTAGCGGCTAATTCCAGGGGAGCAGCAGGCAGAAACGGCACGGGCAAATTGTCTGGTTGGGGCTTCCAAGTTCATTTTTCAACCAAGGTTCTGCTCCCTCAACAGAGCAGTAGTAGGTGACCAAGTTTGTTATTAGTTACCGGCAGAGGGATCACTGATGCCTTGGTCAATGTGATGGCCTGCCTGTCTGAGACACAGCTGACCGTCAGCTTCAGGGTAGCGTACCGTCCGACATCGTCTTCCAGATATGAGGTCCGAGTCGGTAATGTTATCATGTAGACGGATTTCGGATCCATCTCTCGCGTGTAGGGCAGTTGGCGGGTTGGTACGGAGTAGCTGCCATCGCTCCGTGACATCTGCTCCTACTGTCGATCCGCGCGGTTCCTCTGGACCCCTATTTGACACTTCTCGTGGCTGCGAATCTTGGGGGAGAATGTCCTTCGGAAAAGTAAAAATCCTGTGCAACAAAAGCCACGTGTGGTTACGCTGAAGATAAGAGCTTTGACTTTCACCTATTAGGAACAATGTGGTGATCTCGGCTTAGCGATTTGTTCGGCTGGGGATGTCTCAGTCCCCCTATTCCATTCTGACTCCCACGCTTACGGCGCTTGTTCCGAGCGCTTCAAGGGCTCGGCCACGATGTTGTGTATGTACAGTACCGTTCGGACCTACATGCGTAATTTGCCAGGCCTGAGCTAGTTTTCCTGGACACCATGTGGTAGTTAGTAGGTATTGAGAGACATGATTGTTGTCGGAAGAGGGCGCTCCTACAAAGGCCTTGCTCGTGTCTCTGGAGCAAGCATGAAAGACAGAGGAACTCCAATGTACTCAAGAAAAATGAGGACTAGAAAACTCAGATACTCAGTCTTATTGATCCTACTCTCCGCTAAACTGTGATTGCTTTTCTGGGAAGGCCATAGTTACGAGCGCCCACCACCTATCTTGAGTCACCAAATGTTAACACCCTTGACCTCTAAAAAGCGTTGGAGATGAACATTATCCATAGTATCAACTTCAAGCAAGGTGGGTGGTCAAACCCTTGCTGAGCGCGTAGAACGACATGTAGTTCAGCGAGCGGAAGGCCGCAAACAGCGGCGACTACGGGAACAAAGATCTGTATGTTTCCAGGCATGCGGGTAGTCGCTGACATGCGTCGTTGTAGCCAGGGGTCGGCGAGGGAATGAAGGGCGAGTTCTCGGCGAGAGTACGATGGGACAGATTAGGGCAAACACTTGTATAGCCGCACATCCTGAACCACGTCTGACGAAGCAAGCCTGTATCTGCGGACGAAGGAAATGGACGACGCTGGTCGCCGAGCTGCTGTGGCGATTGCCAAGCGCGAGACCGCAACGTTTGTTGAAGAAACTGGCTGATGGCGGCGATAGGAGGGGTCAGGAGGCATGGGCTGCTCAGGCTGCTGCTGATGCCACGGAGACAGGCAAGCAAGAACGATGCTCGTCAAAGACTCGACGTAGGTCCTGAACACGGAAATCGAGGGAGGCGGAGCCAAAGATGGCGGCGCCATTAGCGACAGGGTGTAGGAAGAGTTATTGCCTGGGGCTGTGTGAAGTATATCCGAGAGGTGGCCAAGAAGTCATGAAAATGAGAGATGCGAACGGGGCGAGCCAGCACCAGCACACAACCAGTCAGCCTTAGATGCCGCCGCCCGGGGAACGTTCGCCGAGCCTGTGGATGATAAGGCCTCGTAGGAGGTGGCTGTTGAGACCAACTTCACCCGGCACAGTATAAGTGTGGCCGGCAGCCGTGGGTCTCCGGCGAATCTCATCTCGACCTTCCCCCTGGGGGTTATCGCATTCATCCCTGCCGAGCGGAACTGGCACGGCGTTCACTAAAGCTCACGCCATCCCGGCGTCCCCGTCTTCAGTGAAAAACACAGGGCTGCTCGTGGACACCTCCAGAGACGTCCCCAGAATTCTCCGAGTACTCACAACACGACCTTCTTCCTTGATGATGCGACGTTGGAGCATTGCTGTACACGACAAGAGGGGGAAGCGACAAGGAACGGAGGAGGTTTCGGCCCAAATACGGCACGCATTCGGTGCGACCGGAGACGAGGCACCATGCTATCGACGAATATCTGAGCGCCATGACACGACAGAATGGCTCTCCGTGATCGCTAATGCATGCTGACATGCTCTCACGTTCCTTTGAAACAGCGGGTCGCTGCAAATCTTGTGGCCACTTCTGCGGGCATTGCTCGCTTGATTATCCGGAAGTGTTCCAGCATTCGCATGTTCGCAATTTCGATGCCCTTGAAAAAAGGGTACAAAGAATCAGCACCCTCACGCAACTCCCGGATGGCATCATCCGCGGGCTGACAACCATGAAGGCTCGCAGAGAACGACCTCCATTTTTCTCCGGCGTAGAGATGCGTGCTTTGTTTTGGGTTTCTCGGCTGTGTGGATGGTCATTGCATTCCAGTAGAAGAAGGAGAGTTTCGATGCTGGCTGTCATGTGCAGATCATCTTTAAGCTCTTGTCGCTTGGGGTAGGTCTCTGATATATCTTTAAGAACCCAGAACCTCACCTACATGGCCATGCCAAGCCAAGAGCGTACCGCCTGCCGCAGCGCCTGCGAGTGTCAGTTCGTATCCCATCCTCAGCAACGAGCACCGCCCACCCCCACCGTCGGCTTGCCGAGATATTGAGCCCATCAACGTACTAGATGAAGCTCGGCGTGGCAATGTGTGGAGTACATTCGACAGCACGAGGCACTAGGAGCAGACAGATTCATCGCGCCATGTCCAGCTCCGCAACCGCCGGCAGTGCATACTCTGCCCGGTGAACATGGATTCAAATCAGCCATCGTCCTCGACTTCCTCCATTGTCACTTTGTGAGGGCCGGCACTGTGTTCAGGCTGTAGTGGCGTCGCTTTGGGCGCCCGCAAATAGCCCTCCTTTTCCAACTGATCGGCTTCTTCAGGCTCCAACAGACCCCCCTTGCCTTTACCCTTCTCGAACTTGGCCCGTACCGCTGCCGGCATAAACGCGCTCACGGCTTCCCTTCTCAAATCTCTGATGACAGGCTTCGCCTCGTAGACTGTCTTGGCCTCGATGATGGGCGCACGGGGTTTTTCCGGCTCCTTTTGCTGTTCGGCTTCCGATGCTCGATCGGCGGCCCTCTTCGCTCGACGCTTCGCATACCATTCGTCTAGAATCTCCTTAGGAATCGGAGGCGGCGTGTCGCGCGGCATGGGTATGTTCTTGACGTCGTCGGGGACATCGCTGTCGCTGCTGGACGCGTCTTCGGCATCGCGCCTCCTTTTCCCCAACACGCCGTCGCCCCTCTGGCCTTGCCTCTGGGGCCCATGCCCAAATTGCGGTGCCTTGTCACCCAGCGCCTCCCTTGCCTTCTTGACCGCCTTCAGGTCCTTCTCAAGAGCCTCCAATGCCTGCTCTTGGTGCGAGGTGAGCTTGCCCCCACCCTCTTTGATCGCTCTCAGCTCGTCAATCTGCTGCTGTATCCTGGCAGGATTGCGCTTCGCAAGCTTTTCGTTCCGCCGTGCCTGCTGCTCGGCCTTTCCTTGAAGTACGAGTCAGCATGCGCTGTTGACCAGGGCAAACCACGGATCGCCTGTTGGGAGGAGTTACCTTTCTTGATCGCCTTGGCTTTTTCAGCTTTGCGCTGGGCTTGCACAGGATTGTAGTTGCGTTCTTTGGGCATCGTGGGCGACTGACTTATGGCGTGGTTTGTGGAACAATGCAAGGGCTGGAACAATCAGGGCTTGATGGTGTGTGTTATGTTGATTGGCGGTCTGTCAAACCGTCCGAGCTGATAAGGTCGTCATGGATTGAAGTTCCACAAAATGACGGGAAACCTGATCCTGACCATGAACGGGACATCATTATGGTGGAGCTTTCAGCTGGCTTCGGCCAAGTGCCGCCCAGGCACGTTTCAGGATGCCCCGCTAATAAGCGGGTTGCTCCTGCAACCTGGAGCTTGCATTGTTGACGTTCCTAGCTGCCCCGCGCCTGCCGATTGGACCTGCATGACGACTGGCGGCGCGCGACTGGGCGCCATGATTTAAACTCGATAACATTCAGGTAACGTTAGGTTGTTCGCGACTTTCTCGTCTGACGGGCCATCTTACACTTATCACGCCGCCGCTGGCACGGGATTCCCGATCTTCTCTCCCCTCCCATTAGCCTGCTGCAGATAAAGGTGGCCTGCGAATACCGTCAAACCCAACTCATTATCTCTCGCAGATCGCTCAGGCGCCATGGCGAGCTTCATGGCCAATCTCTTCCCGGGCGGGAAGCAGGACAAGCCTGACGCGCGCCCCTCCACACCGATTAGAAACAGCTTTATCACCCCTGCCAGCACTCCACAAGGCAGCCCCAGCAAGAGGACGGTTCCTCCGGGCGCCAATGAGCTCCCTGTTGCCTTACAGGGCATGAAAATCAACACGACCAGCGTCTTTGACACTCCGGTGAAGCTCAGCCGACCGCAGACTGTCGTCCCACCGCTGTCGCCTGGCAAGACCAATTTGCAGAACTTCGAAGAGGGCTCGTCCACGGTGGACGACAGCATTATCCGCAAAGGCGCTCCTCGTACCGGCAGCCCGTTGCGAAACCAGGGACAAGAGAACACGCCGCCAGTTTTCCCACGAGACCCCTTCACGGAGCCGACATACCAACCCAGCCATGCCGCCGTCTCGCGCCAAGAGCTGTATCAACAGCGAGACCGGCCGTCGCCGACCGTCCGGCGATTCAATACGACTAGGGGCCTTACGGCCGAGGAACGCGAGATCCTACAGAAACCGGCCGTCAAGCGTATGGTGAACGTCACTCAACTCTGTAAGTCCTCCTTCACGGCTTTATGCGTTGTCGAGTTAGCCGACACTGACCTCAAAGCAGATTTCCTCGATTACTATTTCGATCTCCTGACATACGTCGGCTCAAGGCAGAACCGCCTCAATGCGTTCAAAGAAGAATACCCGTCCCCTCCCGCTACCGACGAGGAGACATACAAGCAGATGTGGTCAAAGTACACGGGCCGGGAGCGAGCCAATCTCCGCAAGAGGCGGGTGCGGCTGCGGCACGCCGATTTCCAGATCCTGACACAGGTTGGCCAAGGCGGCTACGGTCAGGTTTTTCTGGCGCAAAAGAAGGACACCAAGGAGGTGTGCGCGCTCAAGGTGATGAGTAAGAAGTTGCTGTTCAAGCTGGACGAGGTCCGGCACGTCCTGACCGAACGGGACATTCTCACGACGGCCAAGAGCGAGTGGCTGGTTCGCCTGCTATACTCATTCCAGGACGACAAGAATATCTATCTTGCCATGGAATACGTACCGGGCGGCGACTTCCGCACCCTGCTCAATAACACCGGCGTGTTGTCAAACCGGCACGCGCGCTTCTACATCGCCGAGATGTTCTGCGCCGTCGACGCGCTGCACCAACTGGGATACATCCACCGCGACCTCAAGCCCGAAAACTTTCTGGTCGACTCGACGGGACACGTCAAGCTTACAGATTTTGGTCTGGCGGCCGGATTCTTGGCCCCCGCTAAGATTGAGTCGATGAGGATCCGCCTGGAGAAAGCGTCCGAGACGCCGGTTCCGTTTGGCAAACCGATGGAACAACGTACGATTGCCGAACGGCGAGAAGGCTACCGCACCATGCGGGAGAAGGACGTAAACTACGCCAAGTCGATTGTCGGCTCTCCAGATTACATGGCTCCGGAGGTCCTGAGGGGAGAGGAGTACGACTTTACGGTCGACTACTGGAGCTTGGGTTGCATGCTCTTTGAGGCCCTCACAGGTTTCCCTCCGTTTGCAGGGGCAACTCCCGACGAGACGTGGCGTAATCTGAACCATTGGAGGGAAGTCCTGAAACGGCCGGTGTGGGAGGACCCGAGCTACTTTCTGAGCAACCGGACCTGGAACTTTATCACAACGTAAGTTTGGCTCCGACCTTGGTGTGGCAGCTGACCACCGGAAGCTGACAAAGTGCGCCAGATGCATCAACTCGAGGTCCAGGCGGTTTTCCAACATCAAGGACATCTACAACCACCAGTACTTCGCCGAGGTGGATTGGGCCACGCTGCGCGAAACCAAGCCGCCCTTTGTCCCGGAGCTAGACTCGGAGACGGACGCGGGCTACTTTGACGACTTCAGCAACGAGGCCGACATGGCTAAGTACAAGGAGGTGCACGAGAAGCAGCAGGCGCTCGAGAGCATGGCGGAGCGCGACGACGAGATGAGCAAGAGCCTGTTTGTCGGTTTCACGTTCCGGCACCGCAAGCCGGCGACCGAGGAGGGCACCCCGCGCAAGCCGATTCCCTTCGACAATGGCAACGGCAATGACGCCTTTGGCACGATGCTGTAGGGCCAGCAACCGCGGCGGCCCGAGGCCGAAGACCCGCGATCACCTGGCAAGACGGGTGGATCGCGGTGGGCTGGGGAGCCGCATGCCGAGGCGTGGGCACGGGAATCTGGGTGGGCGCGATGAAGGTGATTTGTGTTGGCATAGCGGGAAGGCGACGGCGAGGTACTGGTTTGGGCATGGCACTTGCTTCTTGGGGGTTGTGTTCGGGTTCTTGTTTTCTCTCTCCTATGTTCCTTCTCTTACGTCTCCGTCTGGCCGACACCCTTTTTGGCACTGTCGCCGAGTGGTATGGAGTTTGATGGGAAGGGATAGATGGATGGGTAGCCGGTCGGGTAATGGTTAGCTGGGCGGTCATGCCTCCTCATCGGCGAACTGTTTCGTTTTGAGAACTGTAGAACAGTTGTACCAGCTATCGGGCATCGTTTTTCACCCGACATCGAACGGTTGTCGAGACTGGAGACGCGTCACCTGAGACAAGTGATACGATGTCGTTGATCACCTGCGGTGAAGGCACCCGAGACACACTTGCCATTAGAGGTTCGGTGGTCTGTCGGACAAGGCGACGCTCGGGCTCAACCACTGTTGCGCAACCACCAATTCTGGACAGCACCACAATGCTCGTTTGGGGAATCCGGTTCTCTAACGAACTTACCAATGTCGCATCGAGATCTAATCTCTTGGCGTAGCGGCTCTCGGCCTAACCCCCACAACAAACGGGCCATGTTTTGACGTCCAATTCTAGACCTTGCGTCTTCAGCTTCGCCTTCTGTCCAGCGCCGTAGACACCGTGAAACGCCCGGGACAAGCCATCCGGTCCTTGATGATGAGAATGGATTAGCTGGATCGATCCAGGGCTTACGAAGCTCTCACCCGCCAGGAGCACCCGAAATGCCCGCAGGCCCAGCCATAGTCCGTGGTTGGTGGTTCGGACATTCCCCAAGCGGCTCAAACCGCTGCCAAGGATGGTTAATGTACCCTCGAAAAGGCCGATGATCTCACGACTGATGACATGACCTCCTAGGTAGCTGCACAGCTCAATATCTTCCTACCCATGGATATCCGTGGTAATGAATCTCTGGTTGAAGCATGCAGGGTGACTTCAAGTTCTCCGAGCTGCTCCCCTCGACTCAGCCACTTTCAAGGCCCTCGGTCCCGAGCGGCCAGGCACAGCGGGGACGGCCATGAGTCCGGAAAATCAAACTCACTGGCTCACCGCGGCTCGTCTCCCCTCCCGTGCGCGGTGTTTCGGCGCAGGGACTACGCGTCGTTTGGGCTCGCCTGGCTTGGCGTCGACACATCTTCCTGTTGTGCCACCAACGCTGGGCGTTTTCGGCGGCGCCTTCAGTCTTCTTTTGCTGGGAAGCATGAATCAGGGTTTCTGATGTAATGTAAGGCCGCGCGGCAGCGACACAGTGGCGGCCGTGGCGTTCGCTCCCGGTGCTCGTTTTGATGTCCCGGTTGGCGCTTCGCTCGGGCCTAGCTAAGACATAGCTTCCATGTACCACCTATGTCATGGTCGCCTTCGCATGCAGGTCCCGTCGACGCTCGTACACTCCAGATATTTATAAGCTCAGCAGGAACGTCTTATCATCCTCAACAGTTACTGTTAATCCACGCCGCCACCCGCTTCATAAGTCTGAAAGGAGTATTTTACGTCCTTTGAGCCCTTTCAACCCCTCCTTCCATCTCTCTTCCCAAACAATCATATTTGTTGATCACCCTCCATCGCTATGAAAAACGCAGTTATACCCTCCCTTCTGAGTCTCGCGGGGCTTGTCCACGCCCAATGGTGGGCTGGCGCCCCTGAGTGCGCTGTGAGTGATCCGTTTACTACACAAGCTCGTCACTTTAACGGTATCCTGACTTTATCACACAGGACGACTGCTTCTCGTCTTGGTGGAATTCTGCTACCGAATGGCCGGCCCCGACCAACTACTGCTCCGCCACCCAGGGTGCTTCGGTCTCGAGCTGCCTTCAATCCGCCTGCTCGGCCACGCCCACAGCAATCGCCTCCTACTCCTCCCTCTCCTCTTCGCTCTGCTCGAAGTGGTCTTCGTGCAGCTCGGCTGGCTCCACGGGGGTGTACACGGTCTCAGCGCCGGGTACGCAAACTCCCTCCCTTTTTTCCACTCCATCGGAGAGAGATTCGCGGTAAAGCTAACACAGCACTCAGCATTTACGGGCGATTGGCGTGGCCTCGGCGGTCGTTGGCGTGGCGATGACAATCACGACGATAGCAACAACGACGACGACACGGACGGGGGCTGGGATTGGGACGGCGACGGCAACGATGACGGTAACGAGTGGAATCGTATGTCAAGCCCACGCGCTTTCCCTTATGCCCCTAGTTTCAAGTTACCCGCTCTCTCGTTCTTCCCCTGGACTGCTCTCCCGAATCGACCCCTTTTACTATCCAACCTCTTCCCCTCACTTTCAACCCCTTGATGACGTAGCCAAGAGAACAACACACAAAACTAACCAACCCAATCCCCAAATGAGCAGAGTTCACCCGCACCTGGACCGGAGGCGTCTACACGGTGACGGGGTGCGAGTGGAACGGCAACGTGTGGGCCGGCGGGCCCTTCGGCTACGGCCAGGGCGGCGTCGGCGGCTCGCCCTGGGGTCCCTGGGGCAAGGGGTGGACGTGGTCAACGGCAACGCAGACGGTCACGCGCGTCGTCACCATAACGAGCGACGGTGGCGCCACGGCGCTGTCGACGTCGGTTGGTCTCGCCACCGTGGCGCAGGCCGTGAGCGGGCACAGCACTACCCGGAGCATTATCGGGGAGGCCACTGGTGGTGGTGGTAGTGGTGGTGCGGCTGCTACAGGGGGTGTCCAGCAGGGTGATGCTGGAAGGAATGAGGCTTTGGGGCTCAAGGTTATGGGTGCGCTGCTGGGAGGTGTGCTGGCGCTGGCGGCGTGGCTGTGAGGGGAGGAATGAGGATGTTTAAGTGGATACTGACTGCGACTCAGGGGGAGGAAGAGATTGGACTCTAAACACTCATTACAGTTTGCGGTGCGGATTGTTGAGGGACTTGAGTATTATTCCTCTTACCTTTTCTCGCTCTTTACCGGATGTGTCCATGGAGTTTGGAGATGAACGGGTTAGTCCAGTGGGGAGGTAATGTAGAAGCACTACGGTCAGCATAATGATACCTCGGCGCACTCCATATGCCTGGCCACGTGGCTCACATGGTTTATTGCGATTGACGAATATGACATGTACCTTTTCTTGGGGCTGAGACCATCAGATGCTCGAGACGAGCCTGCATACAATGCTTCGGGCGGGTCAGGGAGCATACCTTGCCTAGAGGGGGAAGTTGAAGAACGTGCTGCGCCCTTATCCAGGTATCATCCTGACCCAGATAAGCAAAGTGAGTTGTCGGGCCTAATACTTCATCAAACGTCTCCGAGCCTTGTTCCTATACCGTAATGTGCTGTCCATGATACTTTGTGAATTACCGTTTTGGTCCGGAAGTCCAGCATGAGCACTTGATCCCCTGACCTCCATAAGGCGTCCACCCGACGGTAATATCGAACTGTGATAATGATGGCGGCCGTTTGAGATAATGCCTTAAGCTGCGGCCAACTGGGGACGACAGCGGAATGTGCTACTGACTCGAACCTTGACGGATATCTCGTCTTCAAAAGCAAGACTGAACGCTTCAATGAGGCATAAATCATTGGCTGCCCTCCTATCCTGCCGGTTTGCGGGTTTCAGATGTGACGAAAGCACAGGTCCGGGGGTTGGACTCAGCAGCTAAGAGTGTTTCTGCTAACGAGTCGGTAACTGGAAGCGTTTCGATGCTGTGGTAGACTTGGAGCTTAGGGCACCATGGAGAACTATCTCGGTGCCAGAGGTGCTCGATACGTAAAGAAGAGACCGTGCCCTCAAGGCAGGGAGTTACAGTGGCCTCCATGTTGTTTGGCCAGTATAAGACGGGTATGATGAGCAAGGAGTGGCAAACAGAGTATACCTCGACAGTGTTGTGAGGGCGCCATGGTCCGCAGAGACCAACAAGAGCAGCCCTTGAAGGTAATCCCAGGTAATCTGGACCTACATGTATTGTACAACAACACTCGGCTATGCAGGAGTGAGGTACCTCAAGCACTGCTCGTGTGCCCACATAGACACACAAGCTATCCCTTGCCGAGACACCCCGTCCGAGATCGCGCTGGTCTGTCTGGTTACCCAAGTTGCCTGATTGAGAAGCAGGATGACGGTGTCAGAACCCTATCTGCAGAATCGGAAGCAGCGTCAGAAGAAGCAGAGTTGTTTGTGCAGGAGTCGTTGTTAAGAAATACGAGCACGTGCCTCAGGGGTTGAGCTTGCTCGAAAACCGACGCCCTTGGGCCAGCTGGAGGTTGTGGATCGTTATCTCCCCAAGTATGCTCCAATGAACCCCAGAACGTCATGTTCGGCGTGTGCTTCAACGGTGATGTACTCAAACTCAGAGATTGCGAATCACTCGTCACTGGATATTCGCCAGGCCCTGAATGGACGGTGTAACAGCCACGCCACTTTGACGTGATAAGAAGAGACTACCTGGGTTGATGGGCGGAATATATATAGGACGGCGGTTTCCCGCATGCTTCAATTCTTCATCTTTCAGTGCGCTGCATTTTAACGCTTCACGAGCTCATGAGTGCCCGGGATTCAAACCCCTTCCACCGCCGACCTTCCCTCCACCGCCCTTCTCGACCTCAGCAACCAACTTGAAAGCCGACTGCAGGGAGGGAAGGTCCGGGTTAGGGTTGTAACGTGAAGTGGGACGATGAAATATAAATCAGTCATGGGTCGGAACAATCGATTGATATCAATGAGGTGAACAATCAGCAACCACCCCCACGCACCGCCTACCACATCCCGTCGTTCCAAGGCCGGTGGCCATCGGCCCCCACGAGGGTCAGCGAGTCTCATTGGGCGGCCCTGCATTGCTTGTCAAAACCCTGCAGACGATTGGTTCCAGCATCGCAGTGGTGGGCGGGCAGTTCCATATTCATGTCGTCGCTGTTGGCAGGAAGGCGACAAACAGAACACTGGGACAGAGTGTACTGTGTAGGTATCCGTATGTGTTGCTGTGGGAGCACCTGTCGGCACACCTTCCCGGTGCTGCTTCGACCGCGCGGCAGATTCTACACCTGCCGCTCCCCAGCGTTCAAAGCGTGCCGGTCTTCCTCGTCAGAGCCAGGTATTGATTGTCGAGCCTTCGACGTGGTGCATGTGATCAGCGGAGTCGCTGCCCGGTGGTACGGAACATGCCGTTTATCGTGGACTGCGTACGGAACTGAAGGTGTGGAGTTCAGTAAATGGAGCCAGAGCTGAGCGGAAAGCGCAGCGAAGTCGGATGAAATTGCCCAAAGTGTCACGACTTTGGTGCTGTCAATCACAATGCTTGATTTGTTCGACGGGCCGATTCCGGGCCCAGAACAGGATTGAAGGATTATCATGTGGAGGGGCGGCACCAGCAGCATTCGGAAGCGTTACAAGCGAGCCATCTGTTCCGGTTGCTGCCGAAAGTTACTGGTGGTCTTCCGCAACGGCCAGAATTGGATGGCAACAAAGGTGGAGAGGCTGCGGTATCGGCAAGTTTCACTCACCGCAGTCCCTCTTTGTTCCTGGTCGAAGTAGCCTTGTGTCGAGAAAGGATGTTCGTCGAGGTCAAGTCTCTTGAGGCGGGGCTGCTGACTTGAATTCGGTCCTGAGCGATGAGGAGGAAGCCAAGGTTTGATGTGAACTGTGACCTCTGACCTTGACGTAGTAGTTGGCGGCGATCATTGCTCTTAGCTCCTTTTCTACCGGCGGTTCACACCAAATAGATGTAAAAGCACAACCATTGAACCATTCCAGGTTGTTTGGGATGCGACACACCCTCGACAGATGCTCGCGTATCCGTACGGAGTACTTGCAACTGGAACCATGACCATTGAAACGTTCGGGGTCCAAGTGGGCCAGAAAACGTGGAGTTCTAACTGTAACAAGTAAGGCCTGCGACGATCACTTTCCCGTCTGTTGTTCAGATCTGCCACACGGCTACGCGAACGTTACGGATATATCAGCAGCCAGAGATTCGGACTCGCCCGTTTCTTCATTGGAGTATGGATGAGATCTCTCGTACCTGGTAGTTTGATATTTTGTGCTTTACCAGTGTGGGGGCGCCACAGCATGCTCAATTCTGCTGCATTTCTCATCTGAACGCTCGGAGCCATTTCAGGACACCTTGGTACCTCGATCGAGTCCGAAAGTAGAGGAAGGACAATTGAAGCATCCCGCCCAAAAGTCAGGGCCATTCCGCGATGCCTCCCGCTCCCCGCGTCGCCATAGACAGCCGCGCGGGATGTCAAGCCCGGTCTGCTAGAGACCCCAATCGCAAGGGGGCCAACAGCTGATGAAGAGGGTCAGGGCAAAGGACATCGCTCAGCAGCTGGCAACGGCGCCGGTACACTACCCGGTCCTCCTGCGCTGCTGTCATCTCAACGGCAGGAACCTGCGTAGGCGGCAATCCAAGGTTGGCGGCGGCTTAAAGCTCTGAATAAGGTGTCCGTGAAAGGCAAGGCCAATTCGAGTCTCTACATACGTCAACGATCAACGCAAACCTGCAGTGCTATGGTGTACCAATTCGCCCAGAAACAATCATTTGTCCGATGACACAGTCGCACCCGCCAGGGTACTTCTTCCGGACGAGCCAGTGTCCGCAGGTAAGAGGGCAACGACTAACACGAAAGCCCATGGGTGATGAATCCCTAGCTTCCATTGTTGACATGTGCGACACACTCCGCTTGGTTGTCCGTCAGTGGAGAGAGACAACATTCGTCAAGGGTCCCCACATTCCATCCCCTGGGCTGCATCAGGCTGTCCCGGTGGGGCAAGCGCCAGTGCGCACAACCGCGTGGCGTTCTCCACTGTCACGCCGGACGACAGTTCCTCGAGTTTCATGACTCGTGGCCAGAAGGTCGTCTGCGCTCTGGCAGACGCTGAGTGTGTAATGATCAGGTATTTGCGGCCATGGCCCGTCGTCATGAGGATTGCTGGCAATTGCAGCTACCTATGCTTGCACTGGACCCGTTCCGGATCTCACACGTCTGTCGGTCATTGGCGGGACTGTTCGGGCCACATCCGTGGCGCCGAGGCCCTCCCTGTTCGGTCTCGTTCCCGAGTGGGATGCATGCCGTGACGTGGGTGCGCGACAACCGAGCCTCGACGAAAACCGTCTCGTGTGGCGACCATCTCGGGGTTGCGACTTTGTGAGGTCCATTTTCCTGGGTGCAGCTGACTGGCAATCGTAATTCTCCTTTCTAACCACTCCCTTTCCGTCCGAAGCGGCACAACTTCCAATGGCTGTTTTCAGCCTCTTCGTAAGGTCCAGTCTTGGTGAAGCCAACCCGTCAGCACCGCAGCTGTTAGCCCAGGCTTTATGAGCGGAGCCCAAGCCCAACGGCGACCATGTATTGTACATAGGTGTGCTTACGGATATTACAGTAGCATCTGTCAGTGTTGAGGAAACGTAAAAGCCCAAATAAGCGTTTGCGCTCTGCATGTCTCCCCTGTAGCTTTGGCTTCCATTTTCCATTCTTCCATCACCCTGCTAGCCTCAGATTCGTTGCCGTCCCCGCGCAGCCGAATACCGCAACCGACCTTGGGTTCCTCTTGCGGCGCCTGAATATCCGTAGTTGTGCCGCTTTGGTGGGTTTTCCATTGCTGGAAGACCCGTCTTCGGCCAGGCATTGCGCCCGCACACAAGCCCACCCCCGGCAGGCTGCACCGCAGGGGCCGCCTGTGCTGCCCACCCGAGCCAGAGCGTGGGGAACGTCCAAAACTGCTGAGGGCAGCGGAGCCAAATGCTCCTTTGCGTCGCTGGCCCTTCCCTTCTTCCATCCTGACTCTCGACTTTTTGCAATCGATGTTTGTCTCTCCCATTGCACGGCAATGGCAGCGACCACGACGAATCCTTTTGCGGCATCGAGTCCGCTGACCCCGATGCATCCCACCATGACCGAGCACGATTTCCGGTTTCCGCGAAGGCCAGCCGACGCCGCGACCGGCGGTCGGAGACCCGACCGATTTGACCAGGCTTACACACTCACCGGCGACTCCAGGCCGGCAGGGCTCTCCACCACAGCGGCCGCCGCGAGGAGGGCGGCGGCAGGACCGGGCATGATGACGACTGGACCGAGCGGCATGCGTGCCGGATTGCATGACGTCCGTCTTGAGCTGCCCTTGACTCACGGAGGTGCCCACCCGGACGCCCTGCTGCGAACGGCGGCATTCCCGCCATTCCAGCAGGCCACAGCACGCGCGAACCAGAACTTGGACGAGATGCAGAGGCAGGACCCGCTAGCCACCCAAGTCTGGAGGTTCTACGCAAAGACGAAACAGTTGTTGCCCGCCCAGGAGCGCATGGAGAACCTGACATGGCGGATGATGCATTTGAAACTGCAACGAAGGAGGGCGGCCATCGTGAACGCCAGGTATGTCAAAATCGAAACGTTTCTTGATGTGGGTTGCAGACTACAAAAAAAGCTGACTTTCGTGGGCCAAACGAAGAAGCAGCCGTGTTTCCGGCACATCAGCGAATGCCCCTAGCGGGATTGCGCAATTGCGCAAGTCATCAGAGCATGCCCCGCTGCAATCAGACCCGATGAACTTGGACGATTTCATAAACAACGACAAAGTAGGAACCCCGGCCGGCCTCGCACTGACCCCGACGCCCGAGACAATGCGTCAGGCCGACGAGAGATCTGCTCACACCTCGGCGGCGGCCATTCCCATCAAGTCCCGCAAAGAGCCTCCTTCATCTCACCTTCTGATTCCCCAGTCGGTGCCCGTCGCGGCCCATCAGAGAGTCCAGGATGAGTTTGGTTATCTCCCTCGGCACCAGCGCAAGACCAGCATTGACGAGACCGGCCAACGTGTAAGTTTGCGTTTCCTTGCTGCCGCATACGGGCGGTCCTGGCGCTCGTATCATGGAATGATGGCCCTCTGATGTTGCTTGTATTCAGCAGACCCGGAAACGCCCCGCCAATTTCTCGCCGCACGTGCCCGCTGTGAATAGCGGCTTGACAGCAAACGGGCTTGACGCCGACTCGGCCCTCAACGAGTACTCGCTCGATCACTTACACCAAGCGTCTGTGCCCGTGGCCCAGCAGCCCAATGGCGCGGGCATGACCTTTCCTCTTGACACCTTCCGCTTGGAGAACGATCCCATCATCACTTCTGCTGGCCCTTTTCAGCAGAATTTCTCCTTCTCCCCGGCCAACTCGCCAATGGTCCCCAACGATCCATTCTCGGCCCTCTACAATGGCTCCTCGATGCCCTCCAGTTCTTTGGGCGGAGATTTGTATTCTCCGCCGGGATCTGCGTATCAATCGACAGTTTCCACCCCGCATCCCATGGCCGAAGGGGAAGGCTTCTATTTCGGCTCATCTATGGACATGCGCCAACCGCGGCAGCAGACATTCAGACCCCTTCACTCAGGCATGGGCAACGCGATCGGCCAGCAATTTCCATTTGCAGCCAATGGTAACTTGATGTTTCCTGCCGCATCCACCGGCTCAGAGAATCCTTCCACCTTTACCGCACAAAGCTCCTTTGGCGATATTGACCCGACCCGGGTCTTCCAGCAGGAGCTCCCTTCCCGCTCTTCTGCCGTGGGCCTGAGCCAGGACAGCATGTTTTCGTTTGGCGCCGACTCGGACGATGAGGAAGGGGGTGCCTTTGCCGACCGCAATATCCCGATCCCGCAGGACTTCTCGCCCCAACCGATGGAGGACAGCGGGTTTGACAGCTCATCGCTTGGGTGGGATCCGTCTCTCCCAGGGAATTTCAGTATGCAGGCCGCTAGGTATCCTGCTGGACCCCCCAGGAAGCAGGTAACAATAGGTGGCACGACCACCGATTATGTCGAGTCAAATGGTGAATGGGAGGGAGGCGGTTTGAACAGATCACAATCCCAATCTTTCCGGACAGCAAACGGGCGTCTTGGGAGAGTGCCGCGGACAGCGTCGACACCCGGATTGGCGAGCCGGGGGAATCCGTTTGACAGGCTTGCACAGTCCAATCCAAACTCACCGCCCGCTGACCTCACTTCGACGGGCTTCTCTTCTGTTACCGCCAGCCGGCCGTCTTCACCCCATCCGGCCTCGAGACACGGGTCGACAACGAATTTGCAAGCGGCAGGCAGCAGCCAGAGCGAAAGCAATACGAACAGCAACAACAGCACACCCACGACATGCACCAATTGCTTTACCCAGACAACGCCGCTTTGGCGTCGGAATCCTGAGGGTCAACCCCTTTGCAATGCCTGTGGCCTCTTCCTCAAGTTGCATGGTGTGGTTCGTCCGTTGAGCTTGAAGACGGATGTCATAAAGAAGCGGAACCGCGGGTCTGGGTCGGGGCTCCCTGTTGGCGGGTCAAGTACCCGGTCGAGGAAGAATGCCAACTCATCGGGAGCCATCACCAAGAAGGGCTCCACACTTTCTGTGTCCACCAGCGCCAATCCTCCCCCAGTGCAGGCGAGCACGCCCCCGGCAATCCAGAACAGAGGCGGCAGCGCCAACGGCAGCGAGAGTCCTGCGAGTGGCTCGGCATCGGCCGGCAACACGGCCGGAAACACACCGACGAGCTACCAGGGAGGCACGGGCTCCACCAGCGGAGTTGTCGGTGGGAAAGGCGTCGTCCCGATTGCCGCCGCACCGCCAAAGAGTACGCCAGGGCCAGGTGCCGCGTCTCTGCCGCGAACAGCAGCGCTTTCTTCCTCGTCGTCGAAGCGCCAGCGTCGTCACAGCAAGAGCGTCGTCATAGAGCAGTCTATGAGCAGCATGGACATTGATAGCCCTGAAAACTCGACGGGATCGAACGAGGCAGCCGCCAGGCCTCTGGGCTCGAGCACCGGCCTGTCCGCGATGCAGCCCAGCACCAGTAGCCTCAATCTTTCTAGCGCTTTTGGTAGCAGCATGCAGCGACCGCTGGCTGGCCCTGGCAGTCAACGCGCGGGACCGCAGGAGTGGGAGTGGCTGACCATGAGCCTTTGAGGCGGCTGTTTTTTCTCCTCCGCCGCCGCAGTCTATTGCCCACTTTGATGGCCATAATGCACACAGTCCGACTTCAAGAGACGTGAATCGCTTCTTAATAGGAGTGACACCTATTCTGCTCGGACTGGCTGGCTGCAGGCTGTGCGTTTAATACTGTCTTGGGGGAAAGCGATGGGCAGCCAGGGAAGATGTCCGAAATGATCAGAGATGGGACAATATCCGAACGATGCTAATGGGAAGACGTGGGAGATGATGATAGCGAAGAACGTTTGAAGGTTTCTCATACCTTTATTTTTGGAGGTCATGGGGGGACTATTTATGACGGGGTCAAGTGATCTATACACTATGGTTGCCATACAGGACGGGGGCGTTTTTCTTTCGAGAGAGTGGCTGCATCTAACTTCCAGCCATCCACATTCGTTCACGCTTCAAGGGGAGGGACTGGGGCGAAGCAGACGAGGAACCAGGTGGAAGGAGACCATTCAGCAAATATCTGGGCCGACCTCATTCTTACGTCTGTCGCTTCACCTACCTTTAAGTACTCGCACATACATACATTTTTGGGACTTCTCGGTTTTCTCGGCGGGAACGGGGACGGGTGGACAATTTTTAACTAGATAGGTGGGCAGGTGGTTGAGTAGACGATCGGGATACCCTTCCTTCTACGGTTCGAGAGATGTCAACGGTTGAGAGATGAGAGCGCGTGCACAGTGATATTGACACGCAGAGAGAGTCGGGGGGTTGTTTGGTGTTTTAGCAGCGTAGAGCCATGATGGAAACTAGCCTTCCAACGAAACCGCTTCTGATGTTGTGTGTTTCGGTGCTCTTGAAAGACACTTATGTCGTTGCCGTTGTGGCATGGTCGAAGTGGCAACCGCAAGGTAGTGTCTGTCAGCTTAGTCGCGGGCTTGTTGGACTCCTTAGGCGGGAGGGAAAATAGAGATGGCCGTTCTGAAGCGCATGCACTGTCCGCAAGCTGATTCACCAGAAACACGCAGCCCAGCCAACTGTTTGTGGATACTAATCTTATATTAATAGATTACGTGACCCGAAGAGCTTGCTCCCCTTGCTCAATATCGTCTACATCTAACGTCTCAACTATTCTTCATGATCCCCAACACCCCTCCAATCTTCCTAACAACTCCTACCCCATACCCAATCTCCACCACGCCCTTTGCAAACCGCCAGCTCCTCTCTTGATCCATGACGGGGTACCGCACCGGCTGCGGAATCGCTGTGCGGACCCCCAGCCACCGGCCCAAGCGGTCCTCGCACACGGCCTTGACGTTGCACAGGCCCCGGAGCCCTTCCTCGCCGGCAAAGCGCCCGTATCCGGAACCGGACACGCCGCCAAACGGCATCTGCACCGCGTACGTCACGCCGAAGTCGTTGACGGCCACCATGCCGGCCTTGATTCCCCGAACGATCTCGGCGATGCGCGGGTCCGACTCGGATCCAAACACGGAGCTGCCCAGCCCGAAATGAGGCGCGTTGGCCACGGAGAGGATGGACTCTGCCGAGCCCGACGGCGTGCGCATGAGCACCATGATGGGCGCGAAGCACTCTTCGTTGGCGATGGCCATGTCCGGGGTGACGTCGACGAGGAGAGTCGGGGAGAAGTAATGGCCCTTGGGGTGGTCTGGGTGGATGAAGCGTTTCCCGCCGACGAGCAGGCGGGCGCCGTGCTGGACGGCATCGGCGATGAGGCCTTCGAGGCGGGAGAAGGAGGCGTTCGAGATCATGGCGCCTACGTCGGCGGCGGGGCCGAGGCGCAGGGCGCGGACGCGTGGTTCGAGTATGGAGACGAGCTCGTCGTAGATAGCTGGTGCCGCGATGATGCGCTCGATGCCGATGCAGTTCTGGCCCGATGCTTGAAACGAGCCGCGCAAGAGTATCTCGATGACGCGCGGTAGGTCGCGCTTGCTGACTGAGTCCAGGACGATGGAGGCGTCTTTGCCGCCTAGCTCGGCCACGACGGGAATGAGAGCTTTGGCAGCTGAGGCAGCGACCTTGTGGCACACTGGGCGGGAGCCAATGAATGTTATGTGGCTGATCCCCGGGTGGCAGGTGATGTGGCCTGCTGTTTGCGGCCAGCAGACGACTATTTGGACGAGGGCTGGGTCGTGACCGTGGGCGACCAAGGCGCCGCGAGCAATGTTGGCGAAGTATGACGAACTCCAAGCCGTTTGCTCCGAGACTTTAACGAGAATGCCATTGCCGGAGAACAGGGCGCTGATGACGGGGCCGATCAGGTTATGGAAGGGGTAGTTCCAGCTGACGAGGGCGGCCACGACGCCGAGGGGCTCATAGAACACCGTGTTGCGCTTGTACGCTAGAAGCAAGTTGGTGGGCCTCCGCGAGGGACGCAGCGCCGTCTCGCCAAGCTTGATGGTCCATTGAAGCTTCTCGACCGTCACCATGATCTCGCCGAGCTGCGCGTCCACCATGGTTTTCCCGCTGTCGAGGCATGCCACGCGGCAGATCTCTTCCTGGTTGTCCAGCACATATTGCAGCAGGGAACGGAGAACGGCGCGTCGTTGGGGAAATGTGGTCTTAGCCCACTTGGTTTGGGCGGCTCGGGCTTGCTCGACGGCGCGGTCAATGGCGTTGGGGGTCGACGGATTCACGAGGCCAAGGAACTGTCCTGTCGCGGGGGCATAGCATTGGATTGCGGTCGAGCCTGACACCTGAAGCGGGCCAAAGTGTCAGCAGTGCTGCGGAAACCGGACGCAGCTGGTACCGGGTAAATAGTCGCACCTTGATAGCGGGCTGGTCAAGAACCTCAACCTTCTCGGGCCGCTTGGGTGGCGGAACCGTGTAGCGGATCGGCTTGTCGTTCTCGTGGAAAGCCAGGTATATGAGGACCAAGGCACCTAGGCTCGTCCAGAGAAGTGTCGACGCAAACTCTGGGACTTGGACGAAGCTGGATTCCTATCAGATTTTGTCATTCAAGGCTCATGGGGTTCTCGATTGGCCTTACCCCAAGTCCTGAATTGCGAAGCGCAGCTGCTCGAGCACGCTTCCCGCTGCCTCTGCCGCCATTGTCACCACCCTTGCCGTCCAAGATGCTCTCAACGCATTACAAAGCGGATCCAACTGGCGAGGACACGACAAGAAAAGGTGGACTTTGCGAAAGGGAAGAGGTTAGCCTGCCTGGCGCGTCGTCCAAGTTAGTGAACCCTCACGCCACTTTTTGCCGATGGAGGCCGTTCCTTTAAAATGTTCTTGACCGGGGTCTTGGCTTGGCAGGGTCGCAATTGCACGCGACCTTGGCAAAGAACCTCAGCTGGGAACTCAGGAGCTTCATCAGTGGACGCTTTGAGAAGCTAAAGCTCGAGAGAGCCACCAAGCACACCTCACCGACACATTGTCCCGGCATGGCCTCATGTTCTCAACAAGAGATATGTATGCAAAATGACTCTTGTATTGTACAGCAAACAACCCAGGTTGAAGCCGCTTCGGAAATACTCCTTACGTCCCGGCTTCGCAAATGCATCCATCCAAAACGCCGGCCGCCATGAAGAGATAAAAAACAGAGGAAACCGAGCGACAGAGATGGAACAGTGCTGGCAAGCAACAAACATCCCTTCTTTCTTCCCTTGTAGGAGACCGCACTTTTTCCCGCACCAAAACAGCCCAACAACAATAAACGACGACGAGACATGTCCCCCTTCACTGCCCCTTGCTCGCTCCACCAATGTGGGTGTGGGCATGACGCATGCTGGATATCTAACAAGATGGGAAATCAAAAGACGAGGAAAATAAGAAATGAAGGACAGGAAGGCCCCGGGCCAGCGATCTCACACACACACGCACACCACGCATCGGGTGTCACACCATATATAGTTCGAACCCCATTCGTTCCCACCTGCCGTCATTCTCTTTCAATCCGCAACATCACTGGTCAACGCTCTTCTTGGAGAAGGCAGAAAGCCCTCGCTTTCTGACCGTGGCCAGGTTGAATCGGCGCTGCCCGGTCGGCAATTCCCGAGCCGAATGCGTCGACTCGATCCTGCTGAGGCGGGCGGCCGACGTGAAGTCGTTGCTGGCCTCAAAGCTGGGGCGGACCCGGTCCATGGACCGCCGTATCCTGTCGTACGACGGCCGGCAGCGGTCGATGGATGGCCGGGTGCACGCTCGCTCGGCCTCCTCTCCAATCATGTCGTCTTGCTGCTGCTGCTGCAAGTCTCGCTGGAGTTCGGCCGAGGCCCGGCTCTGCATGATGTAGTTTGTCCCGTCGCTCCCGTTCTGGGTGCGCGTGTTGTGCGTCGCGATCGACGGCGGGTAGATCGGCCGCCTGTCCTCGTCCACGCTGGCGTACTGGGCATGCTTCGCCTTCCTGCTTCGGCCGGAATTCTTGCCCGAGGAATACGATGATGTCTTGGACGATGTGCCTTCAACCCCCTCGTTTGTTCCCGTCGCGGCAGCGGCGGTCGCGTCGGCGTCTGGGAAGTCTCCCCGCTTGGCCTGCTCTCGAATGATGTCCACATCGTAGGGGAACCGCTGCTTCTGTACCGTCTTGACCACGAGGCGCGGAAGCAGGCAGATGGTCGGAGTGACGATCATGCACATCCAGAAAGTCAACTCTTGATAGACCTGAGGCGCAGCCTGGTAGAAACCGGCTGCGTATGGGAACGCCGTGTACACCCCGGTCCAGAAGAAGATGAAGACGTCGCTGATTACAACGAGCAGAAGCATCAGCCAGTCCCATCGGTAGGTATTGATCAAGATGTAGGCGTTGATGGTGAACACGGCTGGGTGGGCAATGTAGCACCCCAGCCGCGTGCGCTCGGCGACATCCATGCTGCTTGCGGCAGCGGTAGCGGTGAATATCACAAAGATGTAAGGAATGAAGAAGCTCATGACGGACTGGTAGACACCGTCAACCATGTACGCCCTGTAATCTGTTGTGTCAGCAAGGTGTGAAGGTTCAGATCAGACGGATGTGCCAAGGCGAAGCAACTGACCAGAACTTTGTTTGAGTCCACTCCTTTCGTTCAATACCGCGCCGGTAGAGCTGGGGCACCTTCAACGACACCGTGTCGCTCACATCCTGGTCCAGGACGCCCATAAGAATAACCGGGACCGATGTGAAAAAGAGGTTGAACAGGAGGATGTACGTGTACTCGAAGATGTACGAGATGTCGAAGTTACAGAGCGTCTGGTACCAGAAAATGGCCCACGTCCACACCATGTTCTTGTAAAAGAAATTGCTGATTGTCTCGGCCAGACGCCGGTATGACCATCTACCGTGCACCAGCACCAGCCTCTGCAAAAAGCGAAACTGCCCGATGGCGTAGTCGGACGACATGACGGCCTGCCGCCCTTCCAGACCCGCGATACCGACGCCCACGTCCGCCTCCTGAATCATGGCCACGTCGTTGGCTCCGTCTCCTATAGAGAGGGTCATGACGTCCAGGCCGTTCTTCACCATGGCAACGACGGCGGCCTTTTGTGCCGGGCTGACACGGCAACAGAGCACAGACTTGCATTGCTTGCACAGAAGCAAGAACTTCTGCTTCAGGGCATCGCTGAGCGCCCACCGAAGAGTGAAGCCGTCTATGACGAGCGCGTGTGTGGCCACAGGAGGCTCGTGGTCCTTTTTCGCCTTGCTCAACTCCTCGTCGCTGCCCGTCATGTTGAACTTGGCGAGGCTGGCGTTGAGCTGCTCTTCGGCAATCGCTAGGTACTCTTCTTCGGCTGCCAAGCCAGCCTCGTCCTCGGTGACCTGCAGCCGGATGAGGTCCATGTCGTTGTTCAGCAAATTGCACGAGAATCCGATGTTGATTGCCGTCTCGACCTTGTCGCCCGTGAGCACCCAAAGCTTGATTCCGGCATCACCCAGCAGCGCGATCGTATCTGGCACGCCATCTTGGAGACGGTCTTCAATGGCAGTACCTCCCAACAAGGTGAGGTCTCGCTCGATTTTATCGGCGACCTCCTCAAGCCTCTCCTCGCGATTCTCCAAGGCAGTGGCGGCCAGGTCGTGCTCCTTCCTGAATTCACGGTACTCCTCATCGGTGAGTTCTCTTTGGGCAATGCAAAGCGTCCGAAGACCCTCGACCGCAAACAGTTCAAGGTGCTTCGCCGTTTCCTGCCGCAGTTCGGCCTGCTCGCCCTTCTTGAGACGAGCATATATAACACTATCGGCACCTTTGCAAAAGAGAATGATCCTTCCGTCTGGCATCTTGACAATGGCACTCATCCTTTTTCTGCTCGAGTTGAACTCGATGGTATTGAGGACGGGGTAGTGCCTGTCAGTGCCCATGACGTTCAGGTTGATTCCATCATTGGACGTGCCGAGCACAGTGAAGCCCATGTCACGCGCTGTGGCCACCAAAGCCGCCTCGTCTGGGGACTGGGCCTTGAAGACCATCTTTGGGGGGTCGCCTGGCTGCTTCTCGGCAATGACAGTGTGGCAGAGCGCAAGAGCCAGCATGAAATGTTCGTTTGCTTGTTGCTGCTCAGGGCCGTTTCGGCCGGCGAGGTCGTCGACAAAGTCGGGGGCGATGAAAGTCAAGTCCTCGTCGTGGAGGTATGGGTTGTTGTGAAGCTCGCGAAGCCCCCGAAGCGCTTTGACCTTGGCCTCGGCGATCTCAGCCCGGATGGTCTTTGCTTCCTGCTCAACGTCGACGCCCAGCCTCTTGTTCATGCCGGCTTGAGCTTCGGTGTAAGCTTCGCCGTACGGCTGACCGTTGATAGTAGCCTTCTTGAACTCCATGACATTCTGCGTGAGCGTGCCTGTCTTGTCCGAGAAGATGTACTCGATCTGCCCAACATCATCCGAGATGTTCCAAGACTTGGGGATACACGGCTGGTCGATCTTGTCATAGTACATGCCAACGTCGCTGTATATGAAGAATGCTTGCAGCGTCCTCACGATTTCGAGTGAAATGTAGAGCGAGATCGGAACCAAGTTCTGGAAAACAATGACGGCAGCCCAGAACGTGATGAAGCCAGTCAAGCCCGGCGTCCCGCCAAGGGACCCCCATTCAAACCAATAGAGGGACGCGTCTGTCTTGCCCCAGGCAACGCCGTTTGCAATGGCTGCGATCAGACACATCACGAGGAGGATGCCGAAGTTGCAAATGACGTTGAAGTTCAACTCCCTCGCTATGCGGGCCCGCTTACTTGGCGTAATGCCGGCATTCATCATGATCTTGGTATCGTGGCCCGTGAAGACGACGACCCCCAGCGCCCATTCCGTGTTCCGGAGGTTGCAGCCGCGGAGAAGCATGTTGTCGATGCTGATGGGCTCTGTCATCTCTCTCGGTTCGGCTTTGGAGTCCCAAGGGACCCTTTGACGCCACTTAATTGCGCCACTGTATTTGTAGAGATTTGGCTGAGGAGGCTCGCTTTCGATAATGAACTGAGCACGCTCACAGTCACGGGCATGCCTCAGCTTTCGACCGCAGCGTAGAGCTGACCTGACCTTCAGGTTGGTCTCGCCGTCCAAGTTCTTGGTCTCGACGTAACACGCGCCGTCCGGGTCCGAGGTGGCCAGGATGATGATATCGGCGGGGAGCTCGTCGTCATTGTAAATACGGACAAAGTCTCCCACGACCAGGTTCTTCCAGGCGTCCCTATGAAACCGCGCCTTGCCGGAGACGGGCGCCTCGTGGTTGATGAGGTCCCCGTTGAGATTTTGCAACAGAATGGCCTCGTTCTCCACGGTGGAGGCGATGCTGGGCATATCGGGCTCGTGCGGCAGGGATGACGGTACTGGCGTCATCTGAATTTCTTCTTGACCAGAGCCAAGAGATTGGCGGGAGTTCGACGATTCCGCGAACTCCCAGGGCGCGGTCCTGGTTTCGATGGACATGCGCGGATCGGCAGACGCGAAAGTGCTGTGTGCCGGGCGTGCCTCCTTTTTCCACAGGCTTTCGATCGCACGCCATATCAAGCCAAAAAAGCGGGAATTCGCCTTCTTGAATCGCCGCCACAGCGAAACATTATCCTCCTGCACATTGACGTTCTCCTTCCCCAGCAACCGATGGACGGGGGCATTGTTGAGTTCGTTATCAAGAATCGTCCTCCGGTAATCCTCGACGGCGTCCTTGATCGCCGTCACGCAGATGATAAAAATTAGGGGGACGGAGTTGAGCCCGGGATTAACACCGCCAAAAATAGGAAATATCTAGGAGCAGTCTCTGGTCAGGCAATCGAGTGCGCAATGCGAAAAGGCAGGTGCGGGACTTACAACTAAAATAACGAGGAAGAGGAAAAATATGTTGGCGATATTCTGGAACTGGAAGAAGAGGTTCTTGGGGATGAAGGAGAGAGGTGTGTATTTTGCAGTCCGAATCTTGTTTCGAGTGTATTGCTGTATTGGATGGCCCTCGTCGTCCTGCAGCTCGCGTGGTAAGGGAAGGCCGAAGTACAGTTTCCTCGGTCCCGGACCATCGCCGTGCTCTTCCACTTCGCTGGTGTTGTCCTTGCTGGTGGTGTCGTTTTGCGCGCCTCTAACCGGCTGAGAGTCCTCGGTTCCCCCAGATGCCCTCTTCTTCTCAGTCGACGGCGCCTTATTGCGTTTCCTGCCCATGATTGAGAGGCGCTTCATGGAGCTGCTCTTGACCGTCAACTTCCGGGTGGCCCAGCGAGATCTCCGCATGGATAGTTCTGCCCCAGCAGCATCGCCGGCTTCTCCCTCGGGAGGCGCCATTGTGGTGGGATCGCGGGCAGCGCCCGATCAACCCGAGATGCCCGCCAGGTCGGCCAGATTTGACCCGGCCGTTCCTCCAGCTCACCGGCAATCGAGCTTGTGCCGAGCGCAGCTTGCGTGTGCGTCGCGGTGTCCGATTCGACTATGACGGAATTCTGTCGTCCGGAGACGTGTCGTGATTCGAGAGCTCTTTCGCTGGAGCCAACTCAGGGGAATAGCGGCGAGCCTGGAGCGTACGGCGAAGGAAACAAGGCTAGATCGGGTGCCGTCGATGGGTGATTCGGCAAGTCAGGTGAAGCAACTTTGCAGGCCGTTTTAGAGAGATTTTGATGCGTGGCGGCGTTCGGACTGTGCTGGCGACGGACGGGCCGGAAGAGTCGGGGGTTTGTCAAACTGCGAGAAGGACAGAACCATGCTAGCGCCCGGGCAGGGGGGCGGCTTGGAACGTCAGCAACCCACAATGCGAATCTGCTAACGCCCTGGCAGCGGTGGCATGAACGGGAAGTAAAGGCGGAGACCTGTTGATGGTACAGATCTCGATCTCTTGTGAGAAGCTGCTCTTCGTGTACGGTGTACGGTGTACGGAGTACTGAGTACGGAGGATACCTAGACCAAAAAAAAAAGAAAAGGCCAGAGCAGCTAAACCGGGGGGCAGCTCGCTGGATCCGAGTCCCTGTGAATTGGTCAGCGCTCTCATTTTACATCGTCGCGCGCACGGAGTGGGGCTTGCGCATTGCCTTCGCTCGGCTTGGCCTTGGACACTCGCACTTTGGTCTTCTGTTGCAATTGGCCGCTCAGATATGTAACGTAAGTTTACCAACACCATCTGGTATCCCGGACGTTGGCGCAAGGCCATGAGATGGTATTTTTTGAGGCTCTTGAAATGGCTTCTCCTAGACATCAAGACAGCCCTATTCCGGAAGATTCATCTGGTAAAGACCTCTTCGAGTCCCTGTGCAACCGACCAGAGCAGCTTGTTGGTCGCGTATGCATACGAATGGTGGGGTGAATGGCGGAGACCAGAGAGCGCTGACCAAATTGGGATGTTGGCGGTCTTGTCGCGGGCCTGAGTAAGGAAATCCGGAACACCTACCCATCCTCGGGGTTTGGCTGAAGTCCGGTGGCCGATAAGGCATATGTGGGACGACAACCTTGATTCCCCTGATGTTGAAAATATCATAATCCCTTGAACATCAGACTTACAGAAAGTTGAAGTTCTGTTTAGGCATTGTTGTTTCGTCACTGCCTTCCACCCCTACAGCCAAGAAGCAGCTGAGGAAAGATGACGAGAAGTGCGGGTGGAATGCGATGCCAGTCGTCATCAATGGAACGTCTACTGAGCCACCAAAGTCTAGGGGTACAGTAAGCGGCGAGTTTGAGGCAACATTGCTGTGCTGCTCTCATTAATACATTTTACGCAGTACGGAGTACTCCGTAGCAAGATACGGATAACCAACGACAATGAAGATCCGGTTGGGCAGGAAACCGGGATTCCTTTCTGAGGATGCGATGGCCATTTCGTTGACCTTGCCCAATCAGGGCCCGAGCACCACGCATTGGCATCGATCACGATCCGAGACGCCCTTCGACGAGTCTCAGCCATTTCAGCAGGCAATCGTTTGGCTGACCTGTGTCGCAAGAAGTCCGCATATGGGTACAATACAAAACGTTTCCATTCTCCCAGGCCTTTCTGTCTCGGTCATGGCCAGTCAGCAATGAACGCGAGGGGGAAGCGGCGAAGCACACGGTCCATTTTGGAGCTCCGTGAGGTGCACCCGCTTCGTCCAGGCTAATTTCGCCCCGTCAACGGTTCCCGTCTTGGCTGACTTGGATGAACTGTGTTTCAGATCACCGCTGGTCCATAGTGTATTACACGTAAATTACAGCTGCGCTACCGGGTCCTACGCGGTCTCACAAGGCGACGCGTCGAGCTCAGCTTCAAGACGCCAAGATATCGAGCTGGAATCCATCCCACAATATCAGGATTTGAGGATGGCGAAAAACGGCAGCATCACCAGCTTCTTCAAGCCGGTATCACAATCAACGCAAAGCTCGCAGACGGGGCGTGCAAGAGCAGCGCCTTCGCCAACTCCACCCCCGCCCTCGCTCCCGCCTTTGCCATCATCATCACCTCTGCCGCCTGCCCTCTTCCTCTCATCATCCCCGCCAGCACCCACATCAACTGTCAGGGACCGTAACGCCGTGATCAAAGGCTCGGACGATGAGGATGGCGATGACTTCAGCTCGGACGATGAGTTCCCTGATTTGTTCTTGAAACCTGCAGACAGCACCCTCCCAGTTCAGCCTGCCAGGGAAAAGACCAATATCTACGCCACGCCCAAGGCGAAGCGCAGGGTGCTCGAATTCCACTCTTCGCCGCTGACCAACAATGCCAAGCACAAATATGACATGAAAGCTCTTCTCCTGGATGCCGCCGCAGACAACGCCATCGAGGCGAGTGAGCAGCGGACGGCCGCCTTGCTGGCCCAGGGGTCTCCGACGACGCGCGGTGGGGGAGTGGCCAGCGGTGCCCAAGCCAGCCTTGACGACACATTGCTAAGCATTCTGTCTGATGCTGAAGGCAGCCAGGATGAAGGGAACCGAGAGAAGTTGCTGCGCGCGGTAAAACGAACCGAGGCAACCGTCGGACGGAAGGAGTGGTACTTCTTTGACGGGCAGGACGGTCTCCCCAGCAATACTGGGATCGAAGTCCGGCTAGCCTTTCCCAAGGCCCAAGCTACTGGGGCTTGGGCCTTCCTTGCCGACGAGAGGCACAGAGCTGAGGCCTTCGAGGATGGATTGCCCTACCATGTGCAATGCAGGATGCAGGACTTGCCCGATGAGATATTCCAATGGATCGTGGATGAGGCGCCCCGTGAAAAGTCTAAGCATCTCCGAGACGAATATGTGCGGCTTCTTAGCGTCTGTCCTGATCAGATTGGACGACTCATGGACCAAGATCTGGTCGTAAAGCTGTTTCGAAATCTTGGAGCCTCCGAGCAAGCGGTTGCGACGGGATCCCACCCGAGTTCAGAAAGAGGCGCCCCGTATTCAGAGCAGGGTCGCACTCGTCTGGAAATTGTTCTCCGCATCCTAACCGAGACAGCGCATGCTCTAAAGATCGGACCGCTCACACGGACCATGGCCATCCTTCTCCGTCTCGGCATCGACAACGTTGTACGCGATGATCAAGCGATTGCTGCAGAGTTCCAAAATGCTCTTCTGCAAGTTGCCCTGGCGGTGCCATGGAGATCATGGAACAATTTTGTGAGGACTCCCCTGACACCTCCGGACGTTCAGACTTGCTAACCATAATTGGCTCCATATAGTGCGGCCACGCTGGAGATTCGGTTTACTCCCTCGCTCAAGATGCCACCCTCCGCTGGAAGGCAGTCTCCTCCATCCCACTGCTTCATCCAAAGTTGGTTGACTTGCGCCGGAGATTGGCGCTCATCTTCGTCTTCGACGACGTTCGCCGTGGGTTCTCGCCGCCACAAGACACCTTCAGCATTCGCTCCGTCATCGACCGTCTTGACCAGGCGGATGAGTTTATCGTCGACCGCAGCAATACGGACTATTTTGAACTGCTGGCCCTCGGAGAGATGCTGAGCGTCGCTGTTGGTGACGGATCACCGCCCGCTGATGATACCAGCTCGGAGGCCACCAAGCATTACAACGCTGAGGTCGACGAGCTGGCGCATCGGGTCAAGTTCATGTGGTCCAACATCCATGAGCAGGGCGCTGCCTACATGTCCAGACTAGAAGCTCGCGTTCAACTCAGAGATTTCGAGCGCAAGCTGCAGCATGTCGTGCGGACGAGGCCGCCTCCAAAGGAGGACATATTTGGACTCAATGCTGTTGAGGAAGAAGCGGAGAGGCCGAAGCAGCAGCAGTTTATGCAGAGGTTTCTGTCCAAACCGGAACCGCCTTATCCGAAGACGCCTTAGCAGAGGCACGAGTAACACGGCGGCAGCGGTTATGGTCCATGCTATTCGGAATTTCACCCGCTCGTCCCATAATCGCGCTCACCTCCTGTATCATACATACCCTAGAGATACCCACCCGTCTGCGCCTGGCTCGGCTCTGCTCTGCTCCGAGTTCATGACACAAAGTCATTCCCAACAGGACGTCATGCGTGATTCCCATTTATCTATCCCATGACGACTCATGGCATTGAATACAAGTGCCCCTAATGGTCAAGTGGCTCGTCTCAGTCGCGGAACTTGCGGTTGGGGTTCTTGCCGAACAAAGCCTCACGCATCGCTGGCAGGGCGCTCTCCTTGAGCAGTTCCAACCTAGCCTCGAACGTGTTGTCGATTTCAATCTTACCGTTCCCGCCAACAATCACAATACCGCCGGCGCTAGACGCAGGTTAATGCACATTAGCGCTCGGTCCACGGCAAGCTCTTCACAAACGCTCAAGTAATCCTTACCTCCCATCCGGCACGTTATTCTCCTCATCAATCATCGCCGTAACCTCTTTGTCAAGTTTCTCCTTGTACTCTGCAGCCGCCGCGTCGATCGCCCTACGCACAACCTCGTAATCGGCCTTGCGCGCGCGGATCTGCAGCTCCGGCTCGTTCATGGCGTAGAACCCCTCCAGGACCAGGCCCTTGAGTACGCCCTCGTAACGCCCCTTGTCCTGGCTTGCCTCGCCGAGCCGCCCCGAGGCGGCCGTGAAGATGTCGTCCAGCAGCTGCTGGCGGGCACTCAGCACGCGCAGCCGCGTCTTGTTGGCCACGGTCGACCGCGTGATCTGCTGCGACATGGTCGCCTGCTTGAACTTCTTTTGGTACGCCGTGTCGATGGCGTCCGTCTCTTGGCGCACCAGCTTGGACTTCTCGATGGCGAACTCCTCGTTCGCCTTGATCTCAATCTCGCGCGCCTTTTCGGTGGCTTCTTGCTTGATGAAGGCTGTCATCTTGCGCAGCTCTTGTCCGACCTGCATGAGGGGCGGGAGGTCGAATGTTAGCAAGTTCCGTTGGTAAAGTAGGAACGAGCTCTTGGCAAGTTTGAGTATGGAAAGTCGCGCACCTGGTCGTCGGACAAGGAGTGGATTTGCGACATCTTGAAGTGGTTATTTGGGCGGGCTTAGCAAGGCGTTGGTTGTGCAAGAAATGGAAGGTTCGGGGAGGAGACGGATAGAGGGGACGGTAGGGAAGCTTGTTGGCGATTCCGCAGCAAGCAAACGGGTTCGGAGGCAGAAGGAGATCGGATTTATGTGAAAAGTGTTCCCGGCGTCAAGGTCGGAGGACTATGGAAAGCAGGCGGTTCATGCGTGGTGTTTCGGCGATGTCAACCAACAGCCGTTGACGCAGCTCCCTCCGACATGGGTCCCTGCTGCAGCCAAGCTTGGCGCTGGCACAGGTGGCAGCCAAAAGCAGAAGCGAGGCACTAGCCACAACTACCCCACATTGAAAATGATAAGATACAAGACAGCTACACAATGCGTCCACGTGAGCCACTGGCAGCTGTCGGAGAGACGGCGTCACCAGCCACGGGCAGCTGAATTGGCGTCAGTGGCCCGCGGCTGTTCCAGCCCGGGTTCATTGAGGGCTGACGGCTATCGAGGTCTAACCATCTGCGTCGTTTCTGCACCGTTCCGTCTGGAGTGCAACCATTTTTGCGGCCTCGTCCAACCACTTATCAGGTTTACGGCAATTTGGAGAGAGGCTTTCCGAGCCCTTTGTCTCAACCTTGGTGTGTGCTGGCCGCTTTCAAGGCCGCTTCCCCACGACAGGGGCGCCAACGCCGCATGATCGCAGTCCGCGACCGCGTGGTCTATGACGACGAGCGCCCGCCCGCGCTCACGCAGCGTGCTCTCTTTACGCCCGAGCCCGGAGGCGACAACATTGTTGATCAACGTTTTCGAGTTATGCCAACAAACCAGTCTGCGGCTTAAACCCCTTATCCTAGCGACCACGTCCAGTCCTACCGGCCAGCGTTTAAAGCTCCCTCTCACGAAATCTGCATCATCCACCGCCTTCCCAACCGAGCCGTCACATCTTCAACTCGTTCTCCTCCTCATGCGATTACGATAGTGACGGCCTTTCGCCTCTTGCTGCCGCAATGGGGCTCATAGGCGGCATCTCTCCTAGCGGGAGCATAGCCGTAAGTCTAGCCGATGCTTCCTTACCTCCGCCCCAGTCAACTATCCTTTGACAGTCGCTAACATGGGGGAACGATGCAACAGCTCGGCATCATAGTCGGTCTTTTGTCAACCAGTGTTCAGAGCCTGGGTCTCACGCTCCAACGAAAGTCACATATCCTCGAAGACGAAAAGATGCCGTACGATGTCAGGCGCCCGCCCTACCGGAGGCGGCGGTGGCAGCTGGGCATGGCCATGTTCATCATATCCAACGTCGTGGGAAGCTCAGTGCAGATATCCATGCTCCCGTTGCCCGTTCTGTCGACCCTGCAGGCATCCGGCTTGGTATTCAACTCGATATGCGCCACTCTCATCCTAGGAGAGCCGTTCACGAGATGGTCATTATGGGGGACATTGCTCGTTTGCAGTGGCGCCGTCCTGATTGCTGTCTTTGGAGCGATCCCGTCGCCGGCCCACAAGCTGAGCGAGCTACTCGACCTATTGGGGAGGCGGCCGTTCGTGCTCTGGATGTCCTTGCAGGCTGTCTCTGTCATCGGACTCGCTGTTGCAACTGAGCTCGTCAGCCGCTTGACGACGCTAATGCAGGACCCCCGGTTTCGACTCGCCCGAGGATTCTCCTACGGATGCATAAGCGGCATCCTCTCGGCGCATTCTCTTTTGGTCGCGAAATCGGCTGTCGAGTTGATCGTCAGGACGATTGCTGATGGCGACAATCAGTTTGTCCACTGGCAGTCGTGGATGCTTGTCCTCGGCCTGCTCACCCTCGCTCTCACTCAGCTCTACTATCTCCATCGGGGGCTCAAGCTGGTCTCGACATCCGTTCTATACCCACTAATATTTTGCATCTATAACATTATTGCGATCCTGGACGGCCTGATCTACTTTCGCCAGACTGATTTGATCAACCCTCTACGCGCGTGTCTTATCGCTCTCGGAACTGTCATCCTCCTTTCTGGCGTTCTCGCATTGTCGTGGCGTCTCAGCGACGAGCAGCATACGCCGGGCGTCGGGCAGTCGACGTTGGCGCCTGGGTTGGGTCTTGTCGAGGATACAGAAGGAGAGGAAGAAGAGGAGGAGGTCTCGCTCCGCTCCGCTCTCCTTGATGAAGGGCAGGGCGTGCTTCCAACACAATCCACCTATCGAACATTCGCGCCGCCTCTATCTCCCGATGTCTCTATGGCAGCTGCCCGTCCTGCTCCGCGGCGGTATGCCCGGTCCACGAAGGCGGCTTCGTCTCGGTGGGTAGAACGCGCCGAAATCTGGGACGAGCTTGAGGACCGCAGCGCACAAGAGCCCGCTTCGCCCGCCTTTAGTCGACACCGATCCACTACTTTACCTGGCCGCAGCAAATCTTCCTCGGTTCTTTTTGGAATGCGAGAGACGAATGACTCTCGCCACCTCACTCCGAACGGCGACGTGGGCGAAGAGGCGGACCCGCTTGTTGACCCAGCCAGGCCCGGGCGGAGTTTCAGGAGGCGGCGGAAATCAACTGGGTTCCCAGGCTTTACGGCCAGAAAGAATACGGTTCGAAAAGCGTCAGGCGGGGTCCAAGATGTGGCCCGTAACATCTTCGGGCTGAGATGGTGGGGCAACAGGCCGAGGTCAACAGGAGGAACGGATTCTCCGCGCGCAAGTCCTGTGAGCTGGGCAACACCTGCATACAGAGACGACCTGGAAGCCGGGATAGCTGGTCCTTCCTCTGAGAGAAGGTCATCGATGGGGCTGGACCCGAGGTCAAGTCAGGATCTAGGGCCAAGGAGTGCTAGGGAGGATGATTCCCCAGTGTAATTGAAGTCTTGTATCTGTTTGTTCAAGTTGTTCGATTTGGATCAGCATTGGCGTGGCGTAGCACGGCGTTCATTGAGATTCAGTTGCTTGCCGTCATTCCAGCATTCCACAGGACGAACATATGATACCTTTTGCGTGAACCATTTATTTATGGATGGAGCAATCAGCCGTCATTCGAACGAGGGTCATGATAAGCTTTTTGACTCAAACCAAGTGATTAGCCTGGTGACAGTGAATATGACAAGTGGTCTCCCTGACTGGCTGGTCTCGACACCTTGTTACACGCCGTACGGGAAGTACAGGGTCCAAATCCAAGAAAGATCATGGTCATGAACTTGGAAGCTGTCCTTCATGAGATAGGGACCCAGCCACGCGCCCTATTCGGCAAGTCACCCTCCCCCAATGCAGATGTCCTCTCCCTACAGGTGCAAACGTAGCAAAGCTCCTCGCTACCAGGTCTCGAGCACAAACCCCTCGTTCCTCATAAACGGGCGAACCAGGCCCCTAAATTCTCCCATAACCGTTCTTCTCGTCGATATGGCGGAACCGCTCCCGCTCTTTGCGATCTTTGAGCAGGCAGGCCGTGGCCATGAGAAAGACGACGTCGAACCCGACGATGCCGAAAAGGGCGGTGAAGATGTTGTCGAGGAAGACGTTGGCGAATGCGGTGATCGGGGCCGCGCAGCCGCGCATTACGGCGGCAGCGGCCTTGCTGGAGCAGGTCGCGTCGGTGACGAAGGCCGGGCTCGAGCTGTTGAAGTAGCCGCAGCACGAGAACTATACCCGTCTGGTCAGTTGAGATTGTCCTTATCATATATCATGAGTTGGTAGTAGTAGTAGTAGTAGTAATAGTAGTAGTAGTTGTGACAGCGGACAGACCTCGGTTTGCATGAGACTCCTGACCACGTCCGTTTGAGCGGCAAAACGCGGCGCGAAGTCTCCTCTGATCTTGAGCGTCAAGATCCACAAGTACAAGCCCAGGATCATGGTGAAGATGGCGCAGACCACAACCAGGTAGCCGGCGAGCTTGATCCATTTGCGGGAGGACGTGGCGAGGCCGGGGAGCGTGACCAAGAAGGTAGCGAAGATGAAGACAGCGTTGACGATACCCGCTGACAATGGAAATTCCTTGTACAGGAGATTTCTTGCGGCCTGTCTCCCATTTGATGGTTCCTCGTCCCTGATGTTGCCGACAATGACGGAGAAGGCGAGGATGAAAACGCCCATGAGCAGGAAGAGGCCGTCGGAGACCATGTAGGTCAGTTGGATCTTGTTCGTCATGGCGTTCGTCGCTATAGATAATGATCCTTCGTGTCCGTCACGCCCGTTCCTATCTCCTCCACACTTATTTGCCCTTGCACACCTAGCGATTGACGACCAGCGTCGTATATTGTTCACCTTACAATGAATGAACGAGCGAGATCGACCGGCAATCCCGGCAGCGTGGAAAGAGAAAAAAAAGAAAGGAAATAAGTTTGATTAAATGAAGGTCGTCTCGAACGAAGAGAAGGAGAAACGAAGGTGCTGGCTGGTTCAAGACATCGAGAAAATAGATACGACAATGGGCGACAAGATCTCTCGGAGAATCGCAGTTCCCCACAAGAGGCGAAGTAGTCGATATAGAAGGAAAGGAATAACGGAACCAGCTAGCGAAAGAAAGAAACGAAGCTCGAGCCCCGAAGCCGATTGCTAATATTACCGTGGTAAACGGGATATTTCTTTCGTCTGGCAGCAAGCAAACGAGTCGGAAGTAATGAGACGAATGCAGACGAACACCGAGAGATCTGGGAATGGGACGAGGAGGGCCTGAGCAGGGGTCGCATCTACGACGCTGCAATTTCTGCTTGGATACCAGACCAAAACGATCGGTAAGAAAACGGACAATGCGACAGGAACATGCGATTCTGCTTCACTGGCGTAGTCAAGCGCTCGCCACATCCTGTGGCAGGTTGTCCTGTGCGGCAACCAGATCCACGGTCCCTGACGGGAACGGTTTCAGATGGCGTCGGGAGACCGGGGTTAGGCGGCAATGAGAGGCAGAGAGAAGGAGGCCCCGCACCGGCCAGAGGCGCCCAGGCCAAGTCCGCCCGTTGCACCGGGCGCCAGTGGCCTGCGGAGAACCGACCCATCAATCAAACCACGGCGGTTAGCCAGCTCTCGCGAACTTCAAGGGGATTTGGGGTCACGAAGAGGAGATCGAGCGGGTATAGTGAACGGGTGTAGAAGCTAAAAAGGCGAGGTCGCCTTCATGTCATGAGCTTTGTCTGCGACCCATCAGTCCGGTTCATCCCAACAGTTTCTTGAACATCTCTCAGAATTCAGAATGACTTCTCTGCACCCGACGCATCCACAGTGTCCCAAAAAAGGGCACACAAAACAAGAGAGCTTTGACGAAACTGCGCGCAAAGCCATGTCCCATTGTCACGACCAATTCCTCCCGGCATCTCTACGCTCCGTCGTCCAGTTAGCCATTGGGAGGTCTTTGAATGCCTTCAGTAGCTTATCGCTTTGCTGGCCTTGAAGACGCTATCGACTCTCCGACAACAGAAACCAGAAAATGTGACAGCCTTGTCAGGGAGCTGATCCAGATTAACCACCGTCCAATCATTCGCAAATCGGTTCAGCAAGTGGGTTAAGATCTCGTGTTCTGGTCGGTGCGTGAACTGGCCAATCGTAGTGCGGTGTGCTTCCATAAGGAGAAGTTGACCTGCCCTCTCTGTCGAGTCTCGATTCTTTCGCGACCCGCTTGAACCGCTCGATTCGAAAGCCATCTTCCAGGGAAGAATTGCCCAAAAATAGCCGTATCTGGAACAGAAACCCACCCCAGCACTGGACGATGATTCCTCAAACATGGTCGAGTTATATTCTGAGTTGTGCTCTATCACTGGGGCTGCAGCTGGCCAAGACCACTGCTCTGCGTTCCTCTGGTGGGCGAGACCTCTACGGTTTCTCGTCGGGTTCATCTCTGATGATGGCAGACAAGTTCTGGTGCTCCCATTCTCGCCCTCTCCTCGTCCGGTCGTCCGCTCCTCTGATGACAGACATGTTTACGGATGAGGCATCCCTCAGTCAACACGTGAGTACGCCCCCTTGACACGCAGGACATGGTGTTGGCGCTGGCAGATCCTGCCTGAGCGCAATCACACGCTAGCGGTCATCCCCGCTTTTGACCCTTGCATACCAGCCTTCCGTGAACTCCCCGGTCTTCAGGGGCCAGAGAGGACACCTTCGATTGAGTCTCTCTGTCGCCATTGTTTTCGAGTCCATCACGTCTTGTCGTCGTGCTGAGAGGTGTGCCGCCAAACCAAAGGAACGGCATTCAGCCATCTCCCGTTTCCGCCTTCAGCTGGTCAGCCCAGCGTACTCGGCTGTGGGGCATGATCTGATTACCTACCGATCCGAGGAACCGGACACAGATGTGAATTGCAATGCTACTTGAGAACCTACGAGGCCCACTGCCGTTGTAGTGGAAGCTGAGCTCTGATTGCCAGCTTGTTGAGCCAAACCTCCCAAAGGTGGCGGGGTGAAGGCGTATTCTACACGGATAGTTGTCCGTGCCCCATTTCTACACCTTCATTGTCCGATGGGTGAGATATTCAAGCCACTTTCCATTGGCCTTGATGGCTCCCGCACGCCAAACATCCCTGAATCATCGCCTGCACGGAACACAGAGAGCTCGCGGGACGGATGGCGAACGCGTGCCGATGAGCAACAGGCCGCCCCTGCAGACTCGAAAACAACGGGCTGGGACCCCACACAGACTTCGACGAACTGGAGGCTCCGATGTGCCTCGCAGCCATCAAGGAACTTCTGTCTGTCGGACGCAAGAGACCTGCCGGAAGCATTCCGCGCAATAAATAGGGGAGTTTCCTCGGCCTACGGTAGTATCTGCGTCTCCGCTCTATGTCAAAGACGACTCCCGTCGGAAGTGCAAGAGATCTTCTGCCTCGTGCTTGCCATCCAACGTTGTCCAGGAATGGAGTTCAGCTGGAACATCGAAGAAATCCAAGACTCGGAAACCAAACACACCGTTCCTCCGCTTTCCTCCCCACACCTCCTTCCCTAAGAACCCGACACAAGGGCCGTTTGCACCGGCCAGAGCTTATCCTTGTCGCCAATCTCCGGTGCCGCACTGGAGCTGTTGAGCACAGTATACAGGCCGAATTCCTGAACTGTGTCAGCCAGTAAGGGTGGAGTCCCAGCCGGCGACCAGGGTCCACGCTTCCGGGAAACGAGCGAACAGCTGGGCAACTCCCTCTACACCTTGCAATGTCAACTGCAGTGTTACCAAGCGTCTTGCTGCCAAGATGAGACTTTCTAGTCAGCATTGAAGCTAAAGACATTGTAGCAATGTTAGCGCTACTCAAATTCTGTTTTCACACTATGCTCAAAAGAAAGATTTACTTTTGTTTTCTGTCCTCCTCCCAGGCTAACGTCGCGAAGCAACCAGCATCGTGCAGACGCGCCAACATTAGCGCGCTACTTCCCCACTTTTAAACCCCACCTGCCATTAGCTCAGTTCCCATCGCACTGTACAACTTCTGGGACGCCACTCCCCGCCTTCGTTTCTTTAACTGCGTGGTCGCGGCCCGCAGCCTACGTGCTACCGCCTCGCTATCCTCTTTTCAACCATTCTGCAGTCACCAAACCCATTCGGTCCAGGTGCGGCCAAGAACTGGCATTTGACGTTTCTGCTCGTTCTTGGGAGGGAAGCGGCAGTTCAGAAACGTATCAGACGGTTGTCTTCTTCCCATTCTTTCAAATTGCGTTGCACGTTGTCCCCCTCGAGGAAAACTCGCATCGTACTGTCCGAGTCGGCGACTGGCACTTTCAACCCACTTTTCTGCTAGCAAAGCACAGGGCAACGATCGAGAGTGCATGCCACTCCCAGCAAATAAAAATTGAGAGTGAAATTCCTCGCTTGCCTCGGCGGGCACACCAAACTCAATCCAGGCAACGCCCAACCAGGTTCTGCGACAAAAGGCGACCTCCTCCGCTCAACGCCAGATCAAGTCTAGGCCATCGGCACAACGCTCAAAACAGCATCTCCACCATTTTTACCTTTTTGGTCTTTCGTGATACCCGAACGGAAAAATGGCCGACATCACGGATCAGCACGATCAAACCTCGCCCACCGAGCTCGACGAGCCGCATTCGGTCGGTAACGGCAACGCTGGTGTTGGAGAGTCCCGCGGAATCAAGCGCGCCCGCCCTAGTGCGGCCGACGACGATGACGACGACGACGAGAAGGGTGGCCGCGAGCGGCGCAAGATCGAGATCAAGTTCATCAGCGACAAATCGCGCCGCCACATCACCTTCTCCAAGCGCAAGGCCGGCATTATGAAGAAGGTTAGTGGCGAGCCTCGTCCGATCGCTTACATAGCTGCAAGAAATCTCTGGCCGCATCATCACCAATAAGTTTCGCATCAGTGCTTGCAGCATCTTGATCAGAGAATCTCGTTGCTGACCTAGACTTTCTTTGCCAGGCCTACGAACTCTCTGTTTTGACAGGCACTCAAGTCCTGCTTCTCGTCGTATCGGAAACTGGTCTGGTCTACACCTTTACCACGCCGAAGCTGCAACCTCTCGTCACAAAGGCCGAGGGCAAGAATTTGATTCAGGTGCGGCAATGCCCACATCCCCACCACCCCGGACTTCTTGTGCGTTGCATTGTCCGACGCTAAACTGACGTCGGATTTAGGCATGCCTGAACGCTCCCGAACCTCCCGCCGGCGACAACGGCGTGGACGACGCCAATGCCGTCGACTCGCCCGAAGAGCCCGCCAGCGCCCACCTTCCTCCCCAGCAGACTCGGCCCGGGATGCCTCAGGGTCACATGCCTCCTGGCTACATGCCAAGCGTGGGAATGGACCCCCAGCAAGCGCTCGCCTACGGTTACGTGCAACCGCAACGGGGAAGCCAGTACATGCCGCCGTCCGGCCTCCAGCAGCATGCTGGTCACCAATCTTAAAGCGTCACTCCCGCCGACTTCGTATCGTGACTTCAGCTCGTTGCGCCAAAATACCCCAATACTCTAATGCATTTGTGAATCGACATTTTTCAGTCGACGTTTCGGGACGGGTTCGGCATCTTACCGAGGTCCCGTCTGGTCCGGCGTTTTCTTGAGGATGTCTGCTGCTCATTCTATCTCTACATTATCTTCGACCGTCATTCACCGGCTTTTCGCTTACATCTAAGCGGCACCCACATTTCACCATTTTCTGGGAAGGTCGATAGTCGCATGCGGTTCTCGCAGCAAATTTGGTCGGTCGGCGAGGGTTTGCGTTCTCCTGTTTGGGGAGGGGGGATGAACTGGAACGACTGGTCCCTGAAGGTTAGGTTGGAGACCACAGTTACCCGGCTGTCAGCGCTCAATGGTCAGCACTCAGGCCAGGACGGATGCTCCGCCATGATGGCGTCGGCTTTACCCACACTGAGTTCAGGTGGTGTATGTACGTGTCCGGGCTATTCTGCTCGGCGGATGGACGTTGCGTTGGAGCTCTCGAGTTTGTTGTCGCAAGATGACGCCTACGAGCGACGATTGATTCATACGACAGGCCTAACGAGGTGATTATGCGAGAAGCCGGTCCATGAATGAATAATCTTGTTCCTTTGAGCGATTCCCCGTCCTGGCCATCGAAGTGTTCCGTTTGTTGTCGATTCCACTTTGGAGCTGCTTCGGGGTGGGACGCCAGCGCCTCGCTCACTGCTAGAATAACCTGTAACCAAGTTAGTTTGTATGATAACCGTCCTCTGGAGGCTGATATGGATTCGTATTTCTCCGTCTGGGGCTTTTAGTCCTAACCTGCGACAGGTCGGTTGGCCAGTGAAGTGACGCGCCGGATCTGGGCGAAATAATCAGTCGGCGCTTGGGGCAGCCATGGCTTGAGCGCCAGCTCGTCCATTGACGGCATCGGACGGACGGCGTGGGTGGATCGAATCAATCCCAACCATGCGGTGCCATGCCATTGCCATGTGTTTCCGCGCGCCACGATCGGCAGGGCAGACTTCATCAATTGCGCTATGCCATGTGCTCTGTGCTCGTCACTTACACCGATGGAGGTCTTTCCTGATTAGGCGTTGAACTTCCGATTTGGGAATCCGATATCCTCTTGTGAATCTCTTGACTTGTCCCTTCAATTCAAATTTCTCTGGCATTTCCACGATCGCCCGTTCCGGGGAAAGCGAGTTTGGGGTGGTTGCAATAGCTATCTTGGTTCCTTTACTGCTCTCTCTCACTCGACTCCTGAAAAGGACTCCCACGTGGAAGGGGAAGGGGATTCCGCCACCTCACATGAATCTCAACAGCGCGTCGCCATTCGGAGATAATACCAGGGTCCATACGTAAAGGGCAAAATGCCAGTGCACCACTGCCTTTGGAGATGCAGGGAGACTGCATTAGGGGATCAGGTTGTGCGTACTGGCTCCCGGGGGGCACAATGGATCGTGGATCTCAAGTCCCCAACCTCCTCGATCCCTTTCAAGTCTCAAGCTTGGGCTGCGAATTTTCTTTCCGGTTGCCGAGCCGTACGGTTACTGTACATATAACGCTGGATGGAAGCTGAGGACCCAACAACAGGGTAGCGTGCTTTTAGCCTACCGGCCCGTGCCGTTGGTTGGGTATAACTACGTTGCTTTATAATGGGGCGGCCGCTTCGATTCCGGGTTGTCGGGATATAGGGAGCTGAGCTCCTTGAAGACTGCGGTAAGGGGTGATGGAAAGAGGATGCCTTTGCGGTGTACCGTCAGGAGGAGCTCGGGCATGACGACGGCTCTCTCTCAGTTTTAAGTCTGGCTTGTGTGACATCTGAGGTATGCAGTCATGGGTGTTGACGGCTTGAACGTGGCAGCCATTCAGGAATACCTTATGTACCGTCTGAAGTTCTTACGGGAAAGGAAGACCACGGCGATTGGGGATCTTCTAGGTCTTCTCGTGCTAGGTTTATGCATAGCCCAGTGCGTATGTGTGTTTCTGGCGTCCCGAGACAACCGCGCATAGCTGACCACTCTGTCGCCGAGAACAGCATGCTGTGGGCCCGAGTATGCAGGAGCTGCTCAGTAGGTTGTGTCACGGACTTACGTGGATGCTCACTGCGATTCTGCGGGTTTGCCAGCTGAGTGGAGGGTTAGGGACTTTGGAGACACGCATATGCAGCTGGGAAGACCAGCCATCAGTGGTTGAGTATGGAAAAGTGCTGGGTTCGTTGCTTGTTGTTACTCGGCAGGTTATGGTCGAGGGACTGGAAGGGTTCTGTTTCGAGTAACTCGGGGCAGAAGGCCCCATGGTGCTGCTCCAGCCGATGTATCATCGACAGGCCCTTCTTTTACGAGGAGCAGTCGGGAGGAAGAATTTTACATACATTATTTTGGGCCGCACTAGCAGATTGACTGGAGCGGTACGTTCAAGCATGCCCAAAGGTAAACATGGGCTCTTCTCCTTCTCAAACTTGGACCTACAAACACAATTCCTTCGCATCTCACTCAAGCTTCTAACTCCATACGTCTCATAACTCTGCAGTGAAGGGCTTTTTGTTCTCGAAGGCGGAACTTGACAACAATAGCCTCAACTGAATGCTTCTCGTATGTGGAGCATCGGAAGCAGGCATCGTCAAGCACTTCGCAAACACCAGTCTTGGAACCCCCTTCTAGCAGCGTGATACCGCTCGACAATCAAACTTGTACATTTGAGCATTCATCTACTGTAAGCAACGATGGGAACTCGTCTGATGTTCACTGCAGATGCTTACTCAGAACGTCTGAGATCATTACCTACTTTCATGGCCCCCGAAGCCGAGAAGGTCGTCTTCCAATAACAGAGTAGTAGGGCCGAGACAGTGACAAAGACATTGACAGAAGGAGACGCAAAGACAAATATTGGCACTATCATCCATTCAAACGCTTCCATTATCCAGACGTCTGCCTCTCTTGATCCGCAAGACTTTCGAGGACCAGAGCAGCTTCAGAACAACAAGGTCACTTGACGCTGGAGATGACCGACTGGCTGAAGAGCACCTGAAAGGTACTTAAAATTATGTGCGTACATTTGTGGAGGACTATCGTACATGGTCTGCTGGCTTGGCAGTCCAAGCCCGAGGCCTCCGGCGCCGGTTCCGGTGACGCGGCGAAGATGGAGTCCGGGTCCGGATGTGGAAGCGCGGCCGCCGAGCCGGCTTGGCGACGGGCTTGGCATGCGCTGGTTTGAGCAAGTTTCCGGTTTGCTGCGTCTTCCACCACTTAAGAAGTACTGGTACTTTGCCACTGCTTCAACACTAACAGCAGCATCTGCACCGAATTCCGAGAGAAATGGCCACGACGTAAGCAATGAGAAGCAAAGTATGCCTGCATCAAAACATCGGTGTCAAACATAGCGCCTGCCCGCTCCATAATCCAAACCTGGAAGGCAATACAACAGAGCTTGAGCCGGTCTCTGTAACTTCCCACCCGTCATAGCATCTTCGGTCCATGGTTTTTTGGCGTGTGATCCCATTCAATGTTCTGTCAGTGCAGTGAACCTCCCAACCAGTAGGCTCCCAAGGAATGTGCCGCCGAGGACAGACAGGAAGTAACCAACATTCATGGACATGACCGCCAGCATACTGCAAGGGGCAGTCAGCAGCTGTCGCCTTTTTCCGAGTATGGGGAGCAAAGAAGTAAAAAAAAACTCACAGAAGATAACCAACCCCCGCAATAACAGTATCAATGATCGCCCGAACCGGGTCAACACTCAACCTCCACGGCCTCGCATGTGCTGTTGTCTTCCTCCTCACGACCAGCACGTTCTCCTCGACCCCGTTCTCGCTCAGCACCATGGTCGCGTTCTTGGCCAGCGAGTCGCGGCTGAGGTTTTGCGCCAGCGGCGCCTTGCCGTCGACGACGACATAGCGGCGGTCGAGCTCCCTGTCCAGCCAGCGGTGCTCCTGCCACGACTTGAAAGCCAGCAGGCCGCGGAAGAGGGCGGCGAGCACGACGAGGAAGATGCACGTCGCCGCGTACGTGCCCGTGCTGTTGGGCGTCCAAGCGGCCGAGTACAGCGACGTGGCCATGGACGTCTGGAAGACGGCCATCATGGTCGACGAGTGCGACGCGCTGCTGCCGTCGCCCATGTCCATGTCCATGCCGGAGCCTGCGTCTGTGCCATGGCCGTCGTGCCTTGGGTATAGTGGGTAAGAATCCATCTTGGTGCGCGGGCTGCGAGATACTCCTTTTGAAGTGGGCGTTGGGGTAATACTGGGAGACTTGTGAGCGGGAATCGCATCAGTTGTCGTAATGCGCGTTGCACAGAACACCTGTCGGTGTTTCCCAATTCACTCTGGTGACACGATTGCGTTTGCTCGGCAAAAGAGGCTTGAGGCTCAGATGCGTCTTTCAGGTCCCATTCAGCGGCGGTGTTTGGATTTATCTAGATCTCGGTTGTGTCATCTGTGCGATGCTGCAGTTTCGTCTGTTCCAGGGGAGCACGGCGCCAAGAAGTGTTGTTGTGAGATGAAACGATTCTAGACCGGAACATCATAGTACTGGGGACGCCACGATCAAAGTACGTTTCGGCAATGCGAGCGCCCGGTCGCTCACCCATGCCGTTCTGTTTAACGGGATTGTGACAAAAACTTGCTCAACTGCGGCGCGGGATGGGGGGTCAGCCCTGCGTCCCGCATCCCGGGGTGAGCCAGAATTGAGCTCGAACATCCTGAAAAACAATCCCATTGCCGCCTCGACTCGCTTCAAGACAAAGAAATATTGTTACCACCAAGCTCAGTAGCGAGTGAAGCGAAGCACTGGGCGAGTCTTAGTTGCTTTCTGCAACTTATCGAGCATTGTTGTCGAAGCTTGATGGTGGAAGGCAGGAACCATGGAATCAAAGTACGGATCATGTACATCCAGTACGGTGTACCTGTACCTTGATGGCCTGCGCTCATTAACGCTGGCATGACCCACTACCAGGAAGCTACCTTACCTACCGTGTGGGATAACGTTAGCTTAGAGATCCATTGTGCAAAGCCATCCGTGCTGTGAAGAGCGTTGAAGAGGTCCTCATTGAAGCATCATCCGGCGTTGGAAGTGCATGGCCAACTGCTGGCATTCCGGCGTCCCTCATTTCCTGCAGAACAGCCGCGAGTGTTTCTGCGAGTCTGCAGCCTCTGGCGTCATCTTTGCTGTGTGAGCCAAGATTGAAGATCGGTCTCATTATGGAGGTCCGCTGCCTCCTCCCCCTTTTCGAATCTTGCCAAAGGACACTCAGGCAACCTGCAGATCTGCGTCCCCCGAATCAAGCCTCGAGAGCTCTGTTGCAACACCGCGTCGTCGTGCAGGGGGTTGTTGATTTGCGACGGCGAGACCCGCATGTAACTGCATGGGCGTCAAAACCGCACCCACAATCCGCCTCCGCTGCCCCGGACCTGGCTGAGCCTATTTTGACGTCGAATCCGATTCATTGGGCAGCTCACGCTGCCATGGACGCTTTTGTCTCGACTGGTTACCCGCATTTATCTGTCCGTGTCCGTAGCACACGGCCAAAGGAGTCATTCCAAGCCTCTATCGTCATCGATGGCGCTTGTACAATACTTGTATTGTACACACAAGTACTGTGTATGCCTGACCAGACTCCAGTTTGTGGGGGGAAGAAGAACCATGTGTCCTGACGAGGCGTGAAAAGGGACCTGGGAAAGCCCACTACCTTACAGACAGTATCCTGGCCTGGGGCACAACCAGCATTTTGAGCTTCAGGGAGATTCGATCCCTTGTTTCAATTCAGAGAAAGGCAGCCCGGACAAGACATCAGGCGCTGCAGCTCGATGGTCACCCTTGGCAGGCGTCCCGGGTCCGTGAGTTGGTTAGACCAATGGTATTAGAGGAGTGACCTACCGGCCGATCACTTGCCGCAGGTGTATGCCAGCAAGGGCAACTCCCACGCCTATCCCCTGGTCTCACTCTGAGAAAGATGGAGAGCAAACGGACAAGTCCATCACTGCTCGTTGACCGTGGTCCATAATGAGGCAAACAGGTTCCAGCCAAACCGGCTTTCGAAAGAGGATCGAAATTGCACGTCCTTAGGGAGTATTCTTCACTTCTTTTTAGTGTTGTGAGCCAGGACTTGTTTAAGAGAGATGAAACTGGGACGCCCGAGAGAGAGAGAGGAGGAGGTTTATACTTCCGGGAACTGGTTTATTGATGATGCGTGTTCCTTTCTCAGGAAGGGCCGTCCAGAGTGCTCCTTCCACTTCTTCTGCTGCGCGATGAAGATGGTTCAATTCCCCGCACGGTGCTCCTTCCTGCATACCTTCCTGCATAATCCGTACCTACTAGTGTATATGCTCAAAGGTGGCAGGCACGCACGTATGCAAGCATACGCCCATCGTCGGGATCCAAGCCCACTTATCACGTTCCCCCCTGCGAAATGCCACGACGGGCTTGCTGGAGGGGACAGCAGCCCGCCCCTTACTTGATCCGGACGGGCTGAACTGCAAGTCGCTGGCCTTGGGACGACGCCATGGGGCCATGCCCACAAGCACGCCTCCCACGCCGCTTTCCTTCACCACGGAGCAAAAACGCTGTTCGGGGCGCTTCCTCTGCCCCTTGTCAGTCCAGTCATGACCGAAAATCATCGGAGGCGTTCGAGATCTCTGCGCAGCTTTCTGCAGCCAGATGGAGTAGTTGCCGCCCTCCTGGAGGCTGAGTTGGTTGCAGATGAGCGGGCGAGCACCCAACCCAGTGAACTTTGAAGAAGACAGAAGGGTAAGTTCAAATAACCCCAAATTTAGTAAGCTGTTGAATGCGTGACTGTTTCCTTATCGCTTCCCATCAAGCCCATATCTTGTTCGGTCTGCCGTGCCATGGAGAAACGTGCAGTGTCTGTTCCTCTTCTCCCCGTCTTTCCCGTGGTAGCGACAGACAAGCAAAGTCGGTCAAAAAGGGCAGGGGAATGTGACGACGGCGCGGCCGATGGTAGGGCCCTTCCGCCCACCCTCCATGTGGCTCGCTTCTCATCCTCACGGCCTGTGTAACAGTGTTATTGCTGTCGTTGCAGCCCCGGCTGAGGCATTTTAAGGTAACTGGACGTTAGTCATGGTGGAGAGTGTTACGGAGCAGGTTTGGCATCCCAATGTCAACGGACTCTCCTAATGGAACGGTGCCTGCTTGCCTGCCTGCTCTTGCAAGCTGTGCATTAAACCAATCTTGTATTGACTCTCAGCCCGGAGCCAGTTTACCTTAGTTCGCTGTGGATAGAGATGATACTGGCTTGCATCGAGAGAGCCATGTACATATCCTTCGACTTGGCAAACAGGTACACTTGCCTCAACCCATCGGGTTCGCCGAGGACAGAGTTTCGGCCCTGTAGCTTGTTAGCTAATCGCCCCCACCACGAGCACGTACTTCTCGACTTCTCTTCCAGCTCAATGGGACCCTGTCTCGTCGGTCCAAGCGGTCAATTCGACCGACGTGTCCGTGACGACGACCGCAGAGAGGCATATATGCAGAATGCAGAGCCCCGAGAGACAAAACCCGCACATGTGCAATGCAAGCTGCCGAAGCACACACCTTGCACCGGATAAGGTAGGCCATCCTTTACCCATTCGGCCAGTGGATTGACGGATCCGTCCCCATCAAAGCAAGCGGCGATGGGATGAAGGCCCTGCCGAATCTTCCAGTATGGAGTAGACTAGCAGCGAACAAATATGTGGTTGGTGGCATTGTCAAGTGCGGACTTGGGTCGGGTGCAGGGAAAGGGGCATCATATCCCCTTCCAGTGAACATGCCGCCGCGGCTCAATATTCGGGAGAATAAAACCGCTTGATACAAACACCATTCCTTAACGAAGACCCAATATATATGGTGCTATGCTGGCTTCTCCCTTCTCTTCAGCAGCACTAATAAGCATGCTGCCCTTGAAACACCAGGTCCAAGTACACTTTGAGACCCCATCACTATATCTAGTCCCCCAAGACGTAGAACAATATGTGGTCGAGCCCAGGAGAGAGCAAGGAGATGTAAAACCCAGAGAACCCTACCCCAAATCCAAACCAAAACTAACAAGGGTCAAGTGGTATCAAGCGAAACTGGACAACCAGAAAGACCAAACAGACCGGTTACAAAGAAAGTTAAACCAAGCCCTAGATGCCGTCCGCCTTTGTATGGCCCGCATCAATCTCCCTTCATCCTGATCGTGATGTGCCTCCGTAGACACTCAAATATGCTTATCAGATGTCTTTCTCTGTGGCTCGCAAGCTGCGTACCCCGCCAGAAGAAAGAGTCGACGCCGCGACCAAGTCTCCGTGTTCCCGTCTCCCAGACGCCGTGAAATGAAAATGATAAAGATGGCCAAATGCTTCAGGCCAAGGGATATGCGTGGCTCGGTGCCGGTGTTGGCCCCGCCGTGGTCTTATTTGGGCTTCTGCGTGATCGAAGTGGGTTCCGGCCGACAAGCGTCCCTATCTACGGCCCCTCCGTCTTCATTCTGGGACTGCCTTCCGCGTCGCCATCTCTAGGAGGAACACGATCTTTCGAGGACCTTTCGTTGCCACCTGCCATACCGTCAGGAGGTGATGCCCCCCCGCATCCCTTGACGAGTCTATGACGCTAGAGAGAGCCAAATCAGCACATAGAAAAAAAAAATACACAAAGCCATTCTTAGCGTACCTTGAGCGCGTCTTTCCTTGAAAATCTTTTGTCGCAGTCACCACAGCCGAAGGGCTTGACAGCCAGATGTATCCGTTGATGCCGCTTCAGGTCGTGGTTCCTGTTGAAGGCTTGCGGGCACGTATTGCATTTGAACGGGCGCTCGGACTGGGGCGATGGGCCGCCAGGATGAACATAAACGTGGTGCGGATGATGGGGCGGCAAGCCCGGATGATGACTGTAGCTAGAGAGTCCCGACATGCTGCCCACCATGGCCAAGGCGCCACCCGGATGGTGCATGTTGCTCAACACCGGCCCGGGAATCGCGCTATACGAGGCATAGGATGCGATCGATGTCGGTGGATACGCACGGCCGCCCGGGTACTGTAACGGCGGGGCCACTGCCGGAATTGAGGAGGGTCCCCGCGGAATCGAGGGGGACGACGTTGCCGGCGGGGGGTTAGTTGGTGATGGCTGGGTCACGGTCGGGGCATACGCAGTAGTGAATGGGGGTTGTGGCGGCGCCGAACTGTGGGAGTAGTAGTTGGTCGGTGTGGGCGGCGGACGGTAAGAGCTTCCCTCCTGGGCCGCGGCGGACCCTCCTGCCGGTGTGTTCTGCCCTGGTCCTGCCTGGCGCGGCGTATTCGCGGTTGAGTTGCGAAGCATGGGCTGGGTAAGCCCCGATTCCTGGTTTCCCGGACCGTTGAGCGGCGACCCCAGGTTCCCACCTCCGCCTGCCCCGGCTCCGCCAACTCCTACCGGACTCTGGAATCCTTGCTGATCCAGGTACGACTGCGGCGCTGCTATCGTTTCTCCGCTGGGGGCCGATGACGAAGCACGACCGGGGAAGTGCTGGTGGAAAGGAGACGAGCCGGACCCGTACGACTGCGCCGCTCGATGGTACGATGGCTGAGCAAGCGGGCCCGGCGCGGGCGCTCCCGAGTTGGAGTTCGAGTACGTGTAGGCTGAAGGTTGTGATAACCCAGGCGTCGGCCACGAGCCAGTCATGTGGCTCGCAAAGTAGAGCGGATGTCCGCCCGCCTGGGACGTGTGCGGGTAACCGCTGTGAGCGCCGCCGGACGGAGGAAAACCGTCAGACACTGCTCCTGATGGGGCAGTCAGAACACTGGTGATTGGAGCGCCTGCATTTCTGTCGGTGCTTGAGGATGAGGGGGGAGGAGGAATGGAGGAGGATGCAGTCAGAGACGGCAGCCGTGGGGTAACGCCTGTCAACGGTGAAGCCGGCCGGGGCCCAACATGACTGTCTCTGAGAATGGTGGACATGGCTGGAGAAGCATGGCTAGGGTATCGCGTACTTTGTGTGTCTGGGAATGGGAGCGGTCTCTGGGACGCCACGGTCGAAGCTCCCATAGTCCTTTTTCTGGCTGACGAGACACCCACTTGGGCGACGAGGTGAAGGACCGAGGGTAGAGGCGGCGAGCGTACTTGGCGTTGGCGGTTACGAGTCGTCACCGAGGTGCCTCACGAGACCTGCTGGTCACGGCTGCGATGGTGGCGGCGGTGGTTTCGAAAGTGGAAACGCCAACTTGGAGAGGGTTGAACTCGTCGGGCATGGACAGAGAGCCTTCAACCGCTTCTTGGATGTTCACGGCCTGGAGAAAGGCCCAGGTCGAGTGTCATCAGTAGAAGGTGGTTGCATTCGAGGCTTAAGAAGGCTGAAGCCACAACGACGGATGAGCCGCCATTCAACGTCAAAGGGGCGCGCAGCTTTAATGCTTTTTCATCTGTGCCTCCCAACGTCCAGGTGTTTGGGTTCGGTCGCGAACAAGGTGTGGAGTGTCGATCACTGGTCCGAAAGATGATGGTCCCGATTATTGGATGTTGAAGCTGTTCGGGACCGGGACCCTGTCGGTACAGGCTTTCCGGTAGGAGGGGTGTCGAAGGGGGCGTGTGGGAGCCAAAGGAAGAAGCCGATGTGGCTGTTGTTGGTGGTCCTCTCCTTTGTTTCTGGCAAGACAAGGCAGGGCGCCGGTACTTGGGATGTAGAAGTTTGGGGATGCGCCCTCGTGCCTCGTGCCCTTGTACAGGTATATGTCTTTGTGCTCAACAAGGGGGGGTGGGTTTGCCGGGACCGGGCGAGGAAGGCTTTGGCTGCTTTTTGATTCACTGATCAATCCCCAATGAGCCCCGCGACTTAGCGCGGGAGGGCTGAAAGACAAGGTGGGAGGGCTGCGAGATGAGCCAGCCGCCCGCCTTCTTTTTTGCTTTCGACCTGGAAATTGGGGTCTCAGGAGCCGCCTTCGGTGCGTGCTGGCTGCTCGACAACCGGCGGGCGCGCAGGGGAACAGCGGAAGCTGGAACCCAGGAATGCAATACGGCGCGAGCGAACGCCAAACTTGGGGCTGATCTTGGATTTAATCGGCAGGCAAGTGACTTAGGTTGACTCACGATATGGTTCCAGCAGCGTAAAAACGGGAACCATAATCTGTCTCAAAGCAGGAGCGTCAGGTCAGAGTGAGAGCACCGAACCCAGACTTCAAGTTCAAGCAGTGGGGGAAGGAGCAAAGCTTGGTGGTACTCGCGGCTGCCGTGCTTGTTGTATATGTCCCAGTTGACCTGCTGAGACTCAGAGCGGAATCCTCAAAGACGGCACCTTCTTTTCCGCGCTCTTTCCTCGATCAAACTCATATCCCAACTTCGCGGTCTGCACGAGCTACCAATGCGAGGCGAGAAGCCCCTGGTGAGAGTGGCTTGGGAGAATGTACCCAGAACCGGGACAGGGGGATATCGCAGATACCGGGGGGCCCTCTCACGCGGACGGGAACAGAGAACCGGGCATGGGGTGTATCTAGGACGGCACTAGGGCGAAAATGAGAGTCCAGGAAGCCCAGCAGAGCAGAGACGTCCAGATTCGGCATAGCCGGTGTTTCCTGTGATGGACCTCCGCTGCCAAGGGACGATGCAAGCGCACAAAGGTTGGGCTTGATGTCCGGCATGTTGAAGTTAACTTATCTTGGTCTCCAGAAGAAACAGTACTGTGCTGGTTTACCGTCTGCTACCTGGCATATGGTTTTCCTCGGCGATTAACATTGACGTTATCGACACGGGCCGAGAGACGGTGCCGCAGGGCGAGGGCTTGGAGAAGAAGCAGAAACTTGACTCGGCGTCCCGCACGCGTTTGCCCAAGGCTTGTTCGGGCTAAAGAATCCCAGCCGGCCGGGCTATCGATTGAACAAAAAAGACATGCGCGTGCTCGTGGACTGGCAGGTTTCCAGTTTCCTCGACATAACGTTTATCGTTAATCTCGAAACGTGGCATGGAGCGTGGGACGCGGCCCCGACGTGCATGTCGAGAGGGGAGTTCCGGTATTCAATCTGGGCATAGCGGCTGCCTCTCATGTTGTTTGGAGCACAATCGAAAAAAGCATGATGCGCAACAGGGATCAAGGTCCACACCGGTCCAAACTCAATTCAAGCGCCCCCCGCTGTGTCGATGCCGGCATCCTGGAGACGGGCGCTTCCTCCCACCACTGTCTTCCACGGCATCCGCCGCGGAGTCAGGAGAGTTGGTTAGCCACAAGACTTTGATAATCTATCGTATTTCACGTCTTAGGAACAAGCTCATTTTCATTAAGTTACCAGCTAGTTGGGACCTTCGTCCCAGCTGAGAAACGCTCAACAGCTCCACTCCTGGCTTTGTTGGCAACTCATCACTTTTCCCCAAGGTGCTGGTCATCGGGTCAGATTCTTGCCCCAAGGTGACGGTCGCGGAGACACCTGCATGGGGGAACTTGCTTGGACGGATACTATCGACACGGTAGCATTCTCTATAAGCGACTCGACCGTAGTTCGGCCCCGGGAAGGCTTCGAGAGGGTCCCGTGTCCGTGCATTGACGCCTGACACCCTTCCCGTCCTGTGGCATTCGCCAGACGTATGGCCAGACATCCACTCAGACGGGATCCATGCGCCTCCCGTCCCCTTACTGTTGGATTCAAATTTCTAATTCACAGAGCACATGCAACAATGGACAATAGGCAATGGGCGCCGATGTATCTTGAAGCAGCATCATCTCCCACATGACACCTGTTTGGGGCAACTTCATTCCCGCCTAGATTCTCTGCATACAGGAGAGATGCATGGGACAGCTTCAGCTGAGGTTTGCCAAGGGCTACTGGCAATGACTGCGGGAGTCTGAATGCTACCCCGGTCGACAGCTAGGCTCCACTTTCGCTAGTGCTCATCTGCTGCGCACTGTGCACGTTGACGCACCTGGTCGGTTTACTACCAAAGATTATCCAGGTTTTCTTTAATGCTTCACCCAAGCAGTTTATTTCTGGGGACATTTAAACGGGTTTGAATGCCTCGTGAACACTGCATACGGAGCTCCTTTAGCCATATCTCCTTTAGCAGATTTAATATCCAGTTCTTTTCACATAGTAGCGACAAGAGTAAGCCCCAAAAGTCAGTTGAATGACTTGCTTCATCCGGCAATTTTTGACGAGGGGCAGATCAATGAGCCAACCACGTCTGCTTGTTCTTCAGGATCGTACGGATACTGCACCGTGCACAGTGATTCTGAACCCTGCAGAGGTTCTGACCAAATCTGGATTCCGACCTGAGGTTTGCTTGTGTGGGCAGAGCCCGTTCCACCACGCCAGCGGCTGGGCTTCCAGTTGTCACACCACATGGGCGTCCTGGCAGGTTTGCCCTGTGTGACCAGCGTGCGCCGCTGCAGAGAGAAAGCATCCTTTTGATTGACTGGAGACTCGAGGGATAACTAACTGCACTAATTATATGTAGCTAGGTCTTGTCTGTTGATGTTGGACTTTGCTGATGGCCATGTCAGCACAATTCGTGCTTGAAGTGGGTCCTGGAAACCGGAGCTGCGTGGCGCCAAACAAGGTTATTAACGTCAACGGTAATTATTGACGCTAAGATCCGTTGCGAGATGTTGGATGGTGGCGCGTTCATGGGATGTCGGGGGACCGCGCTTGCTCTGTTCCGTGGACCAGGAGGAACAATCTCGCCGCTGACGATCAGGGGACTCGGAGCCAGAAATAGTGTCACACTATCCGTACTCCGTAAAGATTACCTCGATTTCATCGCGGCCGGAACGGAGGATTCCCGGACACTGGCAAAGACTAGGGCGATCTGGAAAGTGAAATGCTTACAGGCAGTTTGAATATGATAGATAGCACTCCATAGGCAGTTAACGTTTTTGGGTTCTCAAGTTTCAACTTCAGCCTGTCCAAACTCAGCGACTGCTCGTCAACTTTGAATGCGTTCCATTGCCCGTCCAGCCAGCGTCGTGGGACAACAAGCACGGCCTTTACTTGGGACACAGTATGATGTGGCAATCTACACAGTGTGCTAGACAAAGAACGGATCTTCTGATCTCCCTCAAATCGAGATGGAAGAGGGAAACAGATGCGGTTTCACAAACCTAGAAAGGTGACGACCAAGCTGAGAGAAACCGAAATATCGACCCCAGAAATGGTCCATCGCTCCAATATTCCCTGCAGGTGTTCGGGAATTGGGTGTCGTGTCCTCCTCAGCTGGGGCACGCATCCATGGAAGGACCGGGGCTGCCCAACAACAGAACTTGGGGAAAATGGCATCCTTTCCGTGGGCATAACGAGAAGCAGGGGGCACGGCTTAACAATCTGTTGTGTTGGGTGTGTATCCGCGGGATCCCATTACGAAATCACAACTTCCACGTCTTAACCTCTATATCGACTCGAGGTTTGCAAGATGGCGCCTCGACGAGCGGTCAAAACTGCACAGGAAAGAAAGGAAGCAGCAGCACAAACGTGAGGATAACTGAGGAGGTGCGGTTAAGGTATGGCGTCGCTACCAGACGGGCGGGATTGAAGCCATTCCCGGCGAGCCGGCAAAGCAGAAAAAAGCCACTGCCCACCTTGATGTTGGCACCTGCCAAAACCGGACAGCTCTCCACAGATTTGACACTTTAGGCTGCAGCCAAAACTCACCTTAAAAAATCCTGGGGACCTGCATTTCCGCAGGCCGATCTGCGATCGGCTGAGGACCGGACCGGGAGTGACGCGGCGAGGAGCCAAAACCGGCTGCATCTCCGAGCGGCCCGGCCGCCTCCCCGTTAGCTCTCCGAATCGCCTCGTCAGCCGCCGTAGCATTGTCGCCTAACGCGTCATCGCGTGACCCCAACCGACAGTCCGACGACGCCTCAACAAGCTGGACGAAGATCCAAGAGGATGACGACGACCGAGTTGCACGACGAAACGGGCGCAATACCAAGTATATCGCCTCCGGCCGTGTTTTTTTCGGTTGCTTGCTCAATGACACATGTACCAAATTGTGGGCCTTTATTCTCACGAAAAGCTGAACACCTTTTTCCAGCGGCCGAAGCCGGCGACTCTCACTCGTTCCGTTCCGAGACGAATACTACACCTCCCCGAAAAAGAAATATTGATCGTCGGCCGAAGGGTCAAAGAACAAAGACATCGCGTAGGGTCGTCCCAGGGCTCATCACGAACTTCGTACGATGCTGACCTCTGATGTAAACGATCACCATGACAGATGACAAGTCGCAAATACTCCACCGTGGTTGTTTATCATCTACGCACTGAGTGCTCCCCCATCCATCTGGCCGATTGAGCATCCGGAATGTCCAAACTGGCGCACATTACATTCTCAGAAACCAGGATGACCAATCTGACCTGATTCCAAATCCACTGTTGTGCGCGCTTAGGCCGCCAGTCATTACAGTCACCCAACGCAATGGCACCCACTCCACAAGACCAAGGACAAAAGCCAGAGCTCACGAGATACAACTCTAGATTTGCACCATTTTCCTTGTCCTTACACATCCCTATATACTAGACTCGTATGTTGTCCGGCGTGTTCTGCCCTCAAACAATGCAACATGCAAACCTCTCCGGGGGCCACATGGACCAAGGAAACACAACGAAGCCCAATAAAACGAGTCTCAATCGGAGAGAAGGAGAAGTGAAAGTCGTGCTAGTATCAACAGCACGGCATATTAAAAGACAAAGTACGGGAGCCATTCCGACCTGAACTCTAAACTCGGCTCGACACGACAAGGATAGTGAGAAAAGGAGGGGGGTATCATTCTTTCTGGTACAAGTTTTCAATCTTAGGCAGACTGGCGGTGAAAAAAAAAAAAAAAACAAAAGGTGAAATAAAAAGGCGAAGGGGAAATTTCGGTCGAACAAGAGAAGAGCATGAACAAGGACGGGCTCCGGACAGAGACATCTCGAGAGCTGCCTCGGCTTCCGCTTCCACTGCCGCCGGCCGTATGCAAGTATGCCCACGTCATATCCGCCCTCATCTGCTCCAACTTTGACCGCAAGGAAACTGAACAAAGGAGAAGCTAGGTTTAGTTATTCAATAAGTAGGTGTTCCTCCTCTTGTTTCCGCATATCAATCCTCAAAGAACCCAGCATCATCGAAGTCCTCTGCCTGGGCATCATCATCATATGCGTTCGGGCGCATCATGGGAGGCGTGACAGGCGCCGCGAGCGGCCGCCGGGGAGGCGTCTCCTGTCCTGCTGGGGCTTGCCCCTTATGAGCATCCGAGACCGAGGCCGAAGCAGACAGCGGAGGTTTGGGCCTGTTGGCGAGATCCTGCGCCGTGAACCGACGACCGGTGCTGGAAAATGCAGTGGGTTGCTTGGCCTGGGTTGTAGAAGTCTGGCGTGTGGTCGGGGGCGTCAGAAGCCCGCCGAGGAGGCTGTTGCTCGCAAAATTATTGGTCCGTGAAGGTCTCGAATTCCGTCCATTGGCCGGAGCAGGGGACGACAAGACGTTGTCGAGGCCGCGCGTCTTCCTCCAATTGCCCCATGCCGCCGCCAACGGGCCGACTGCTTGAGCGACACGAGGGGTTGCCGCGTCACGGATGGTTGCCGCAATATTGGGCAGGCTGATGGCCGAGCCGCCGTTCAAGGCCCTCTCACGTTCCTGCTCCTCCATCTGCAAGTTCGCCTTGAGACGGATGGCTGCGTCCTTGACAGCGTGCTTGTCATAATCTTCCCGTCCAAGAGCGCTGATAATGTCTTGGAGATCCGAATGTCTGACGGCCAGAAGCTCGCGCAGCCAGACAATCTCATCGTCACGTTTGGAAATCTTGGTTTTGGCGTTCGGGTCTGTCTTGGAGAGCTTGAGTTCCAACTCTTCAATCCTCTGCTCCCGCTCTTGCAGCTGCTCTTGCAGCACCATAATGGACTCGCGCAAAGCTTGTGGCGAGATCTTCTCAGGCAGGTCGAGCTGGCGGGTAGCAGTAGGTTTCGGCTGTGTGATCATGGCCTCAGAGCCGGCGACGGACTTCGCGGCCTGGGCCGCAGCTCTGGCAGCCTCTTTGGCAATTTCCAATTTCTCCTCGAGGTGGGCCACCTTGTCCTGCAAATACTCCGACTTGGAGGCCGAGATGCTCAGGCGCTCCAGGAGATTCTGCTCGGCCCTCTGTGCATCCTCAGTCGTGTTGCTGAGCTGCCGCTCGTAGCGCGCCTGCAGGTCTTCGATCTCGTTTTGATGCTTTCGCATGACCTCCTCGAGCTCTGCCTGCTTCGAGATTTGCGCTTCCTCCAGAAGCATGTCGTGGCGGGCTTTGGCCGTGTCCGCGTCCAATTTGACTTGGTCAAGTTGGGCCCTGAGCCTCGACATCTGGTCCTCTAGCTCCTCCCGGACAACGTTGACCTGGTGGTTCGCGTTCTCCACCTCGGCCTGCATCGCGTCCCGCGTGCGCTGGACCTCACGCGCGCCCGACTCCCTGGCTTCCTGGAACTCGGCTTGGTAGCGGAGCGCGCTCTGGTGTAGCTTGTGGTTCTCGGAGCGCATCTCAGTGAGGACGCCCTCGAGTCTCTTACACTCGGCGACGGCCCTCATACCCTGGCGCTCGCCCATCTCCAGCCGCTCGAGCTCGGTTTCGATGCGCTCACGAGTCCTTGCTTCGGCTTGCAATCTCGCCTCGAGGACCTCTTGGCGAGCAAGCAGGGTCAGCTCCTTCTTCATATGGCGAGCGTTCTCCTCTGTGATTTCCTTTGCAGCCCGCGCCATCTCTTCTTGCATAGAAATGAACTTGGAACGCCATGTGTCGCGTACACGTTCATTTTCTTGCAGCTGGACGCCCAAGGTGTCGATAAGCTTATGCAGAGCCTTGTTCTCATCAAGTGCCTGAGTGAGGTCCTTATCGCGCTGATGAACAATAGCGACGATGCGATCTGTCTCTGACCGCCAGTGCAGGGCCTCCTTGCGCGCCTCCCGAGTCTCAGCCTCGAGTGAGTTGATGCGATTTTGCGTCTCGCTCTGGGATTGATGGGCATTGACTTGACTGGCTTCGAGGAGGGTGAGGCGCATGGCACTCTTGCTCTGCAGGGTTTCGACCTCCTTGATCTTCTGGTCCTTTTCGTTAACGAGCTCTCTAAGCCGTGTCTCCTCTTCGGATGATATCCGAAGCAGGCGTTGGACCTCAGAAAGCCGATCTTCGGCAGCCCTCCTACCATTGATCTCTCCTTCGGCTTGACGCTCCGCATGCTGCACGCGATCCTCAAGGTCGGCAATGCGCTGGTTTAGAGCGCTCTTGTTCATCATCTCCACCTCGATTCTGGTAGCAGCAGATTGAAGTTCGCGGTCAATTTCTGCCATCCGGTTTTCGGCAGCACGTCTAGCCGATAACTCGGCTTCCGCTTTCGTCTCTTCAGCGCGGAGTCGCTGTTCGAGCTTGGCAACCCGGGTTCGAAGCTCGTTCAGCAGCTCGCCATTGTCCGCAGCTGGCTGCACAGGGGGGATGCGCCGCTCCACAACATCCTCGACGATGCTCTTGAAATCCTCGCTACGGATTGCAGGTTGGAGCGATTGGACGAATTGCTCCTTCATATCCTCTAGCGCCTTCAGCAAGAGAGAGTTGTCAGCCTGAACGGCAGCAGGAGGTGGAGTCGCCTCTTTTGGCTGGTTCCGCCGTTGTGCGGCAAAGGCATCCAGGACAGCGGCACGAATCTGTTCCATGCGGCGGTCACGGCGCGGACTCATCGAGCGCAGGGCGTGGGGCACCTCATCATCCTCGTCATCCGCGTCGCTTTCGCGGACGTCTCCAGATATGCTGCGCCTTTCTCGCCGGCTGGATGGTGTCCGCCTCGAAAGCCCTAACAGAACGTGGTTAATGCTGTCCAGCGTCCTCTCAAGAGGGCTGAGACGGGCCGCAAGCAAGCCGCCAACAAGTTGGTTGACACGTCCGTCGAAGAACGCAACCCGCGACTCGAGTTTCGTTTGCTCATCTTCGCTGAAGACACCGGCCCAGTCGCTAGTAGGTACGCTCTCACTGGCATTGAGGCGGCGGATGCCGCCCTCAAAAGATTGACCACTGCGAGAAGGGTCGATGAAGGGGTCTTCCGGATCCATCGAAGTGGCGCGACGGTAATCAGCTTGGTTAGGACTCGGAGCATCACTGCGCGAGTAGCTTGGGGCGCGCAGGCGTGAGGGCGACGAGTCTGCAACAGCAGCAAGGGGCGAGCGGTGAGTCGGGCTGGGTTCATGCCATTGCGGCTGATCGTTGTAGGTTCGGTTAACACCCATATCTGGGTTTTCCTCCAGACAGCGCATGACATCGTCAATATCAGCCATCGTTGGCTCGATAGGCAGATCTCCTTCGACTTGTTTACCATCAGAAACAGGAGACAAATCTTCGGGAGTAAGGGGCGAGACGGCTTGTTCCGGCTTCGGGACCTCGTCCTCTTCCGTTGGTGAAGGGGGAGAAGCAAAACGGGAGGCCGCGAGACCGGTCCGTTTAGGCGGCGCCGGCTGCGGTTGCGAAGGCTGTGTATACCGCGAAGCGGCAAGTCCCTTTGCAACAGTTGGCAGCTGCGGTGAGGTGAGAGTGGGCGCGGAGGCAGGGAGAGATGGCGACTCCTCTACCACCGGCTTCTCGATAGATTCTACAACTTCTTGTTGAGCAATCTGTGGTTCCACATTAACCACCTCCGAGTTGCCTTCGGCCACCGCGATTACGTCCATGGCAGCTCCCGACTCATCAGCCGGCCGATCAGCCGCCTGGTCGACAGCAACATCAGCGGGTAGTTCAGGGGAGCTCGCCCATACAGTTGCCCCAGGAACAAAGGCCTTGGCAGTGGCGGACAGCGACTTCTGGTGGGCAGACTTGAACGAGTCGCTGCCGAAGGGTCTGGCGTCGTTGAAGGAGGACATATCAAGAGTGCTCTTGAATTCGAACGGTGCCCAATTCAACGTGGGATGATCCGCCGACGGCTCAGCCGGGCTGACAGTGGCCTTCGTATCCGTTGTTTCTGACACCATGGTTGACGACATGGTTGTGTCAGCAGCTCCGAGGTTTGACTCATCAAACGACTTCTCCTCTACTGGCATGGTGTCGTCATGGCCAGGCTGTTCCATCCGCGAGTCAAGCACAGGTGTGTCCTCCTTCGTGGGTTCGGCGAACAGACGCGCGGTGCCATCATCATCTGCGGTTGCCCGCGCCATCTTGACACGCGATTCGTCAACAACAGGGCGCCCATCTGCACCGTCCTGCGACTCTTGGGACGCGGGTGCCTCAAGGCTTTTAGGCGGGATGATTGGGATCGCCTTTGACCTCTTGACGGGTTTAATGATTTCGGCTCCGCTGATGTCGATGTTGCCGAAGATGGAGCTGGCCCGATTGCTACCGCTCTCAGCGCCTGACATGATAGGACTCGTGACGGACGTAGGCATCGATTGAGGCGTGAAGGCAGGAGCATCCGGGCGAAACTTGGGACCGGACGCCGAGAAGCTGATCTCGCTCTGGCCGGGCGAGAAGACGGGAGCATTGACATTAATCTTGGACGAGCTGGGCGTTGGCAAATTGGACCGTCCCGAATCCACCGGATTGGACCCAATGTTGAAGACCTTGGGCTGGAAGGCATTGCTCGGGAAGGTAAACGCACCCGGATTGAAATTGCTCTTCGGGTTGAAGGTGCTCGTCGGGTTGAACTTGAACTCGGGAGCCGCTACGTTCAATTTTGAAAGAGATGATACACTGCCATGGCTGGGGCGAGCTTGATGACCACCGGCGGCAAACTTGCCGGAGTCATTGCCGGCCCAAGGGTTGCTGGCGTTGGAAAAGCCACGTTGGTGCAGCAGGTTGGAGAAGTCCAAGTCCTGAACAGGCGTGCCCAGATTGCTAGGGTTCGTTTCAATCTCTTCATCTTCGGCCGGCTGCGCATTGATCTGCTGCAGCGTTGGTCGGAAAGCTCCCTGGTTGGAGGCATCATCTTCCGTGAAATACCTCTGAGAGAGCGAGTGACCACGGCTGTGAGGCCGGGGATGATGGAGGACAAGACCATCCGTGTCACCTGCGAACCGGTGGGACTGCGGCGTAAACTGAGCAAATCCCTCGCCGGCATGACCCAGGACGGAGGTTGACGGCACAGTCTCGGGTCTGTCGTGGTCATTGTGCGGGCTATAATCTTGATCGTTGTCGAGCTGCGATCGCATTTGTTCTTCCAAGTGGTACTCGGCCTCATCAATCTCCTTTTGGAGGCTGTCGCTAGCGTTGTGACGTACGAAGTCGGGCCCAGGGCTCTTTGGTATGGCATCGGCTGCGGCTTCTTCCTCAACCTCACGGAGCTCTTGCAGGCGAGGCGAGGCCCTGAGGGGTGGCTGGAACTGATGAGGCAACGTGGGAAACTGCAGTGACTGGTGACGTTGGTGTCCGAGTGGCCCCGGCATCCCATCGGGCGTGAAAGGCGATGTTGGCGTCATAATCGCACTGAGGTTAGCAAGCGAAGGCGAGCCAACGCGGTGGCCTTGCTGCAGAAGCAATTGCTGAGACCAGGCATGCGGAGATGGGAGCGAAATAGATGCGCGAGGATTGAACTTGACGCCAAATGGTGCAGGCGATGCGCCGGCCGAAATACCAGGACTCTGGGTAGCAGATGTCGCAAACGGGTTCGGATAGGGCAATCCCGGTAACGCCTGGTTGCTCGATGCCGAAGAAGTTGGAACCGGCGGAGAGAATGGCAGGGGCGGGTATGGCACAATCGACGCCTGTCTGCTTGTCGTAGTCGCCGGGGAAATACAAACCTCTTCATCTCCGAACGAAACTCCCAACGCGCGGAGTTTCGCCTCGTTCAGCTCGTCAACGTACTTCTTCCACGCTGCGAACAGTGTTAGTAACTTGTCCCGATACAACGAGACCAGAGGTGTCGTACCGTTTAGGTCTGGGAGAAGAACTCTCCAAGTGCCCTGCTTCCTTTCCCTCGAGATATCGTCGGGGTCAGGCCAATCGCCCCTGCTTTGCGAATGTTCCCCTGGACTAAGCTCTGCGGCCGGCTCGTACAGGTCAAAGCCGTCGACATTGTAACCCAATTGCTGCCAGCTCCGAAGCATGCCCGAGACATCGGCCTCTGTCAGGGGGAGAGGGCTTTTGCCAGGCTGGCCACGCTCTTCATCCTTGGGAAGAAGCACCATGACAGTCTTGTTGCCCTTCCATGTGAACCTTTTCTTCAAACGCGGCGTCGTCGCGGACGGGGCCCGCTTGACAACAACTCTTGACGGGGTGAGGGGAAGATTGGATCCGTCATCGCGGTCAACTGGTGGTGTACGGCGCCTCTCGACGGGCTTGGCGACTGGCGTGAAGTCAGTCGCATTGTCGGGTGTCGCCCTTTCATCTGAAGATGCCATTCTGGCGGCCGCACTGGCGTTTGTGCGGCTCAAGCACGACTGTCGAAGTGTTTCACTGCTCGACTGCTTTCCTAAGCCGTCCCAAGAAGACTGTCTGCTTCGGCCGCTATTTCGCTCTCGCCTTGCCTTGGGCGTGCGTACGAGGTCGCCGCCCAGCCAAGCAGCCTCCTCGGCGGAGAATGAGTCGCTCAGTGAAGAGTTCTCACTGTCTCCGTCGCTGAACCAATGCCGCTTTTCCTGCTCTACAGTGCCACCAGCAGTATGCTGACGAATCCAGCCTTCGGTGATGCCGTGTGCAAGGCGCCTTGCTCGGTTTGCGAGCACCACTGCCGCTGCGCTTACCCCTGGCAGGCGTACTTCCGGTTGATGATCCTGGATTGGAGGCGCGGGTCGAAGAAAGGGTGTCTGAAGCTCTAGGCGATGAATCGGCGCGTCTTCAAAGTCGTCGTCACTGCTTAAGCTCTGGCTGCTCGAACTCTGATGACGAAGATGAGACGGGTAGGGCGAGCCCCAGGGGTTATCGCCGTACTGTGCGGCACCGTCAGCCCCGGGCTCTGCAGGGCTCTCTGGGGGAGTCCTCAACAGTCCCAAAACCCGTTCGGGCAGTCTAGGTGCAGGGAGAGGCGGAAGCTCCGGGGACGCGTCGCCGTCAGCGGTCGAGGCACTCGACAACGCAGGCGACGCCGTGGGCGACTTATGTGCCGGTGCACGAGGAGGGGTTTTCGGCGACAGCTTTGAGGGTGACGTCTTTACGAGATCTAGGGTAGCTGGAGGTTAGCATGGCCATTGGTTGGGCTTCTGAGAACCTGAGGGTGGCTCAGCAGCATGTGGGGACGAAGCTCACCCACAACGAGATCAGGGCAGACGAATCGGTTGTCGCCTGCACTGATTCTCTGTATCCTCGCGCTCTACAACGCGTCGCGAAGTCCACTCCGTCAACCCAGGAAACAACGTTGTCGAGGGTGGTAGCCAAGGATGCTTTGTCGTTCCTGGATGCGGACGCGACGCGCTTCAGCAGAGTTGCTGCAAAGTCGGTGCGTTGGTCGAATCGAAGAAAAGGGGCAGAAGCAACAAATTACAATGGTTCTATTGTACGTCTGAGTGAATTAAAGAAGAGACAAGAAGGTGTAAAACTGACGGTTTGCAGCTTCGAGGCACATGGAAGCGCATGCGGATGCTGCCAGAGGCTTGAGTGATGGCGGTTGTCGAGACTCGAAGCCTGCACCATCCGCAAAAGAGACGCGAGGATGGCCTTGAAGGGAACTGAGAAAGGCGGAGGAGCCGCGGACTGGTTGGCAATAATTTTCTGGCAGCGCTCCCCTGGTCGGTCCACATGCTTAGGCTGGTAATTTCGGTCTCATTTGCAGATGGCACGGTACCTGGCGCGGAGAAGATGAGATGGGGCGAAACTGCTGATGCCAGGCCCGTCACATGTCACTTCACAACAGTTGCACTGCTAAGTGTTAATGCCGTCGAAAAGCAAACCGACAGTCAGTAGCAGCTGTCCAAGTTTGTGCTGGAGGGAGAACTGCGGCGCGTCGCCTTGGATTTTCTGCATCTTGAAGTTTCGGTGTTGGGACAACGTGTACGGGAGCCACGACAGACTTGCATGGATGATGCTGTGTGTCCTTCCATTCCAGGCGTACGACCCGGAGACCGAAGCCGACAGGGTCCACCTGTCTGCAGTCCCTGAAAGGCCGTGGGGTCGAATGGCTGCTCTGCAGGGCCAGAACTCAAACGACAACAACCAAAGATGATCGCTGGAAGTCTGGTTGTCTGGGATATTTCAGCGTTGGGATATATTCAATTCCGTTCAAGCTTGTTGGTCGACTCTTTCTTGTTGGTGCGGCATCGGTACGGATACGGCATCTGAATTGTCAAATATCGGACTCGCCACCAATCAGACGATTTGATTATGCTTCCAAGTCGCCAACTCGATTGATGATGGACTTCAAGTTGGCTTCTAACTTGGGCTGCTTTGGATCAGCGATTCGGACTCTTTCACATTTAGTACGGGCGGTGAGTGAGGATAATGCTATTATGGTGATAAAGGATCCGAAGCAGCCCGAAACACCGGGAACGTAACCATTCAATTGGACTCCTCACCACGCTGGACCGCTGCCCCCTTACGCCTCGCAGAAAAAGTCAAACTCGTCGTTCGAGCTCACCAAGACGGGCGGCGAGAAAGTCCTGACGCTCGCCGATGATGCGGTACTCTTACACCGTTCTGCCGAGCCGCACGATCTTGTTTCAGCCTCGATCCAATCTATGGTTTATCATGGTGGAACGGAAACTCACCAGTTTGCTGGTCACAGTCGCCCACCCTAAATGAACCTGTCCCATTGTTGGCCATGTCGGCACACGCATTCTTCTGGTTGTCACAGGCTCTGTTGGCGGCTGTCTCGAAATCCACCTGCAAAATTCTCGAATAATTCCGAGTCAGTGACCATCTAGTCTTGATGGCTCGGTTCGTCCAGCGACAAGAGGACGGAAGGGGGGAGCGAGAACACACAAAGGTGTCGCCGTCAACCTCGAACGGTCTCTCAGGGTCACCCGAGTTGGTGATGGCCGACGCACTCACCCCGCCTAGGGCGCCGGTGAAGATCTGTAAGTTCACGCGGCCTTGTTGACGGGGAAGAAGCACGCCCATGGTGAACTCGGTCTGTCCGGAGACGAGGAAGTTGGCTGAAGCGACGGCGAAGGTCGACCAGGACGCGAGGAGATAGAACAAGGTGAGATGCATGATGTAGGTACTGCTTTCAACATAGGCACAGATCTCGCTAGAGCCACTTGAGTGAACCGGCACGAAAGGACGCAAGTATATTTGCAATGGGATGAAGGTGCCACAGCTCGATTTGGTCTTGGGCCTCGAGACCCGGAAGAGATTACATGGTCATCGCGAGGATGTAAAGTGGGAGGGGACGAGAGATGGAGCGGTGATATCCTCCGGCTTGATCTGCAAACTGCGCAGGATTCCAGCCAATAAGTCAAGGATCCAACGCACGCGCTCTCAAGTTAACGCTGAAACTATCATGAGACAGATGCGATCGATTCAGCGTCGGAAAAGGGGATCCCCAGCACGTGACTTGGTGGTGTTGCTGTCCGAGCGCCAGGAACCGTCCTGGGAACCGGGGATGAACTTAACGCTTTCGTAGAATTGGGATGACGTCCGGGGGGACCTCTGCCTGACGGATGCTACGGAAGACGCAGAGACTGAGCCAGAATGGCGTGGTGATGCCGTAGACAGTATGTCACGTAGGGATGAGCCGGCTGCACTAACGATGGATATATTAAAGGACCTACTCAACGGTAGCTGTTTACGCCAATTCAGGGAACAACGACATCAGATCCAGTGAGAAACTTTGACAAACATAGGAAAGGGGAAAGAAAGCAAGAAATCGTCGTCTTACGCAATCCTGCGATGCTCCATCTAGCCATCCTCATCGCCCGCAATGTCTACGGGAAAGCACCGCGACGCTGCCCTATCCTCCAATGTCTGTCATTCCTCTTGCCGTCATCAAAGGCCTAAGGAAGATTGGATCCTCGACACATGCGACCTCTCCTCTGTCCCGAGGCTTGACGACTCTGCAATGCCGTTTGCCTCAACGCCTTATCTCAACGCCGATGAGACGACGCGACGGCTGCAAGAGTGGCCCGAAAAAAACATCCAGAGCATTCCCAAAGAGTCGAGAAAACGGAGCAATGCTCAACACGCCAATGCAAATCGACATGGCTATCAGGTGAGATGCAGGAAGCCCTAAAAGTTTGCCGCCGTGTTGACCTGCGTAGGCGCGTGGTAGCTCTCGAGAGTACTTTGAAAGGGGGTGCGACCATTCATGGAATTGCCATTCTCGGGCTTCCCTTCGACCGCGCTGCCGTAATCCATCAGGCCGTCGTTCTCCTCCTGATGCTTCTTGCGGCCCCAAATCCGCCAGGCGACCAGCGCCAGACCGCCGAGGATGATGGCTCCGCCGACGCCGACGACCACGCCGATGACCGTGTTGCGCGTCGTCTCCGACATGCCCGATGACTGGCCGCCGTTGCCTGCGAGACCCGGTGTGGCCGTGGGCGTTGTAACGCTCGTGCTGGTAAAGGTGGATTGGGAGCCATCGGGTAACTGGGTCACCACGACGATGGTGGTGGTTGTCGGAGTAGCCGGCTCTTCGCTTTCAGTAGGTGAAGAAGCCGATGAGGGAGGCTCAGTCGTTGACGATGGGTCACCCGAAGAACTGGTCTCGGTCGGCGGGTTGGACGTCGACGAAGTCTCGGCTTGGGGGGTTGATGAGCTGCTTGTGGACGTGGTCACGGGGGGTGGTGCGGAAGTCGAAGTTCGGGTAGGCGGGGCGGTCGTGGTTGCCCCTGTGGGCGTCGTTGTTGTTACCGGTGGAGGGGCTGTGCTGGTGGTGGAGGTGGTGGCATCGGTGTCCGCGTCGTCATCAGTTTGTCTCTGCTGAATTGCTTTTCCATCGCGGCCCACGAGGTTAATGTTGATGAATGTGGCGTCAGCGACAGACAGAGCAGATAACCCCAAGACCAGGAGCTCAAGCGCTCTGGTGAGCTGCATTGCGACTGACTTCTCGGTCGCGCGACAGGAAAATAACGACGTTGACGGCCTCTTCTAGCAGGCGACGCGCGACAGACGCTCTTCAGAACCCTTGGTCTTCAATCGGGGCCGCACTGCTTCACTGTCCGTACGATGTAGTCGTGGTCTTGGAACTGCCCAGGCTGACCCAAAGGTTTCGGGGCAGGTGAGTGACCGACTCCCAGCGCAATGAAGGATTTGGCGTGTAACCCGTCTGTGCCGAAGATGCGACTTGGGTGCAATCGTGGTACTGGCCTGCTGAAAACTTTGCCGGAGGTTCGGCAATAACTAGATATCGAGCGAATGAAATAAAATAACAGTCAACGAAGGGCCGGACACGTTGGAAAGAAAACGAGTGGATGAAGTGGCTTGAGTTCGGGATAGTGTTGAGAGGGAATGGATCGGTCGACGAGCGAAAAGTTGCTCTTGTTTGCAGATTGCGTGGACACCTTGAGAAGTGCGGCTTGACATGGGTCTTAGGGGTGGAGGCAAGGGGAGGGGACGGGGCTTGCGGGAGCGAATTCGATGTCAACGGGCGCTCGTATCCCGGCTTTATTCTTGAGGCCACCCAAAATACTCGGTACAAACCGGTACTGCCGTGCTCAGTGGATGTTCGGCATCAGACGAAAGAGACCAGCAACTGTCCAGCGGCCGATAAACCGATTGCTTTGAACTCCCTGCCGGTCCTGTTGAGCAGTCAGGCCGCTCAACGCCAGCTTACAGGGTACAGTTCTACTTTACTCTGCTACTGTGGTCGATTCTACCTCACGGGACCTCTTGGATCGAGCAAAGGTTGGGAGGTGTTAGCCAAACCGGTTTTCAGTGTCCAGCGCCACATGCGATGCTTCCAGTCTACACATGCCAAGGTGGAACGTTGTGTGCATTCCACTTCCGATCTGATCTGCTCCTCTGTCTGCTATTCTCGCCCAGTTGGGCTTCCATGTATATTGTCTTGAGAATGGTCCAAATCGATCACGCAGATAATGCCCTGATGCTGGCGAAAATGCACTCTCGATACGCCGGGTCTGCGGGGAATTTGAGGCTTTGCGCATGATTTTGAAGCTCACCGAGGAAGCATCCAATGGCTTGTGATTGAGTGAGCTGGCAGCGCGGTGGCAAAGACTGCCCCAGAGAGGACAAGGATCTTCGTCCCCTCTCATTTTGAACGTAATCCGGCTCGAAACTACCATGACGATTGTCTCTCCGGGGCCCAAAGACCCAAGTAGTGGCCGTTCAGCCCTGTGATGACCAACTGCTACGGTGTCGTGTTGGTGTGTTGACACATCATCCCTTGTATCGCCGAGTCATCCCACACAAGAAACGAAACTATCTACGAAGCGAAGGGCCAGACAAAGGGACCTGATTCAGCTCTTCAGAAGCAGGTCGAGGCTGAGCTCCAAATAGTCTTGAAGTACCATCAGGTCAGTACTCCGTACTGCTTCCAGAATAACCATTGCTACCTCAACATCCACCCGATGCTCTGAACAAAACATGTTCGTCATACATCGAAGAAGCAAAGGTGCAGTGACCAAGAGCCCTCATCACGACTTTGTTTCCCCTAAGAAAGCCTTAGGAGGGGGTTCGTAGAGCAGCAGCCACATCAACATGGTCTGGGTTGTCGGCATCAAGGCACCCAGGATGGCGTCGAAGTCAGCGTCGGTGAGAGTCCTTAACACGCCCAGTCAAACCAGCCTAGCCTAGGGAAGGGAAAAGCAAGGTGGACAGCGGAAACATACTGAGTAACACAAAGTACATGGAATAAAGGAAGAGATAAGAGCAACGAGAAGACAAGGGAGAGTGCGTTGGGAAAAGGGAGCCTCTGCGAACTTGATATCCAGGGCCTCCATGATGGTTCTCCGGTCACAACATCTGCAACTTCTTCCGCTCTGGTACTTCCGTTATCCTCGTATCTGTCGGCCGGGGCTGCGCTGGTAGACTCCCCCCAGATGTCAAGAGAAGACTGGATCTGTCTTGAGTTAGATCGTGCATCCGGGTATTAGTGCTCTGCGCAATCGTAAGGGATGGGGAGCAGCTTCTGAAGTGGGCAAGACAGCATTGAAGGGGCATGTCGGGCCGCTATCACATCTGTCCCCTTGTACTAGATGCAGCAGAACAGCAATTCCGCCCATTCCAACCGATAGATGCTCCGGCCGTGGTCAGTAGAAAAGGGGCACCTCAATGGACGTCAACTCGAAGTGTTCAAAGTGACCCATATCGGTACCGAGCATTCCTAGGAGCATCCGGTTCCTCTAGCCAGCAAGCCAGTCGCATGGCCATCATGAGAGTCAACCATGTAGGCTCGTCACTGTGAGCTCTCCAGGCCGCGGTTGGTAGCCCTTTCAGGGGAAAAGGAGGCTGCTTGCCCGTCTGGAGGAGATTGGGCCTGTTTTAACATGTTGCACCAGAAGGATCATATCAACGAGCCCGGTGATATCCAGGGCATCGGTTCCTTTGGAAGGTGCCAGTCCGCCGTCGGTGCGTCCCTTGGGAGCTCTGCTCCTTTTCACCGGACGAAGTGACAGCCGCCCACATCTGAGCATCGTGCGCTGCACACAGGAGTGGTAGCATATTTCCTCTGGCAATCTTTATCCCACAATCGTACTTGCACTATAATAGTAACGATCTCAACCATTCCGCACCCGTCTCCTGATCGAGCGATAGTTCCGTGACGCGAAGGGGTATGCAGACGCGATATTCATGCTCAATAATCTGAGATTCAACGGCATTTTCCATGGCCAGGTTGGCTTTCCTCGCAGCCATCTCGGCTCGATGCATCGCACTTGTGTCGTCTCCAAGGAGGCACCGAGACAGCACAGAACGCATGGGTAACATCAGGCTGCCTGAGGATTGACCATTTCGTAGCTCCGAGATGGATCTTGCGCGGTCTTTTCCAGCTTCTGCTAGGTCGTAGTTCTCTCGATCCATGATATACTCCAACGTACATTGAAGCAATACCGTGCAATCAACGAAAGCAGGGCACGCAGTAACGTTATAGCTCAAATGGGGCACACCCATTAAGTCGAATTCCGACTAGGGCATCTGTAGTTGCAGTACTCGCGGAGTATTTGTGATGTCGCGAGGGCCAGGATTGCCATATTGAAGTCGGGGGCTGCAGTGAGGAACAAACGGTCAACAACGCTCTTCGAGAGCGACATAAAGAGGCCCTCGTTGGTCCCGGCCGCCATCAGTCACAACCTGGAGTAGTTACCGAGCGATTGCGAGTAATATCTGGTGCCAAGATTTCGGTTGCGTGACGGTGGAGGATCAAGACCCGGATAAATAGGTACCTACAAGTGCAGCTAGAGACGTCAAACAACCAACAAGGTTGCACACACCCACTCTCACTCATCAATGGTGGCATCGTCATCTCCGGACTTGAGGGCAGCCGACAGGTTGATCAAGTTTTGAAATGTCCAGACTCCAGAGCCCCACGCGTGCTAAGTGCTTGCAAGTGGAGAAATAAGGTGTAAGGGTTCTGGGGCGGTCTCAAGATAAGCTTGTGGCCGGCCGAGCCGGTCGCTGCCCTGTGAGGATGATGATCAGCGAAGAGCCGCAACGCCGAGAGATGAAGTGATCGAGCCCTCGTGAAGGCCTGATCAGCAAGGACAATGAGACGGGCAATACCCGCCTACGCCCAAAATCGACAATTCCAGGGGCCTTCCATTGCCCAGCGGCGAAGCCATGATGTCGGATGAATTTCTCGAGGGCAAGCAATCATGGTCCAAACCGGTTCAGCCGACACTCGCGGCAGGATTCTCTTCGAAATTGGCTCTGGGCCTCTAAAAGTGGAGGCCCGTCAAATGAGAGCAGCGGACTCAGCCCCTTGAGTCAGCCCGTGAGAGGCGGGCTGGGCGCTCCCTGTCGCCTTCCCGCAAGGCAGAAGCGCGGTGGAGAGTGCAAGATGACTTTGGTCTGGCATGGCGTTGTCCGGATTTGTTGGTTCCTGGAACGCGGGGAACTTGTGCAAGTGCCAAGGATTTGCTTGGCAGGGGTGCCTTCCTGTTCTGGACGGGAAATTCGGCTGCGCGGCTTGCCCCTGCCGCCAACTGCACGTGCAGCGAACTCCTAGGCAACATGATGGATCCTGCGGAGGGATCTTGTGAGAGAACTGCGCGATCCAAGATCTGGAGACAGGAGCAACCCCTTTCCCTGGGGCGTATTCTGATAATATGGTCCTGATTATCACGGCATTGCGAACATATGAGGAGAGACACTGCTGGTTTTTTGTCTCTTTGCTTGGATGAGGCCACGGCAACCACACCCATTTCACCTCTCATCACATTCGGGCGGGCGGTTGGCCTTCTCCGCGCGTTGGTGGTGGATGCATGATAATTTCCTACACCCCTGCTCTCGGGGACTGAACCGGACATGTCACCCACAGAAGCACCGTGGGATGGGGCGACTCAGGCAAGATCCTCCAGCCCATCTCATCATGGAGGTCCTCAGGCAGATAGACCCCTGCGGTTCTATTTGTGGGAATCCGTTGAAAAGCCGCAATGGCCCCGGCCCGGCCTCCTCCCATCTCCCGTCTCTTCCTCTTCTTGGTTCCTGTCCAAGTCAAGACCACACGGCGTGTTCTCCCCAGCCGTAGCAAACGTTTTGTTTGCGTCCTTTCGTTGTGTGCTTCACACCCATCAGTCACTCCTTACGGCCCCGACCATCCCCGACCAGTCACTCCTTTACGTATACGACACATCCTGTATTGCTAATACCAACGCTCCGTAATGCTCACCAAGTCTCTGGCCGTCGCGGCCCTGGCCGTTCTCCCGGCCCTGGCAACCCCGTCTGTTAATGTCTACTGGGGACAGTCGGGCACCGACAGACTCAGAGAATACTGCGAGAACTCCAGCTTTGAGTACGTTACGGTCGGCTTCATCAACAAGTCGCCCGAGCATGACTCCTCAAGCTTGGAGTACCCCGGCAGTAACTTCGCTTCCCACTGCATGAATGAATACTACCAGGACTCCAACGGCGTCAAGTCGAATCTCCTCAGCAAGTGTGGCAAGCTCGCCGCCGATGTCAGGTACTGCCAGAAGAAGGGCAAAAAGGTGCTGCTCTCCATCGGCGGTACATGGAACCCGCCCGCTGCCGACTACACTGTTTCGAGCCCCGCCAAAGGCGAGGAGTTTGCCAGCTTCCTGTGGAATGCCTTTGGTCCTTACCAGGCCTCATGGGGGAAGCGAGCCAGACCCTTCGACGACTATTACGGCGGTCCCGAGGATGAGGCCGACAAGCACTTTGTGGTGGACGGATTCGACTTCGACATTGAGCACAAGTTCGGTGAGCAAGCTCCCTCTTTTTCCTTGCCCAACTGCCTTGACGATGCTAACATTCTCTCCAGACGACCAAAGCGGTTATGTCGCCATGGTCAACAAACTTCGTGAACTGACCCAGTCGGACTCGGCAAAGAAGTATCTCATCACGGCGGCGCCCGAGTGTCCTTTGGATGATTTGTGGTTCAAGATGAAGACGATCATCCAGCAGAGCATTTTTGATGCCCTCTTTGTCCAGTTCTACAACAACCCTGGCTGCGCCGGATCTTTGAACAACTTCGACGCGTGGGCCGAGTATCTCAAGACCACGGCCAGCAAGGATGCCAAGATCTTCATCGGCCTGCCAGGCTCCCAGCAGGCCGCCGGCTCCGGCTACCTCGCGCCCGGCGAGGCAAAGAACTTGTTGAACAAGCACAAGGACAAGCCCGCTTTCGGAGGTGTCATGGTCTGGGATGCCTACTTCGGCAGCCAAAACAAGGTCGGCGGCAAGCCCTACTACGAGCTCATGCATGAGTATGCCTGTGGCACGTCCGCCCCGACTTCACCTTCACCAACACCAACCCCGACCACTTGCGTGCTGAAGCACTCTGTCGTGAGCGGCGACAGCTGCTACTACATTGCCGAATACTACGGCCTCGACGACGTCGACCAGTTGAAGAGCTACAACCCGGGGCTTACCTGCAATTTGCGTATTGATGACCAGCTCTGCGTGAGAATGGGCAACTCGCCTAAGACGACGTCGACCAGCACCTCGGCCAGCAGCACCTCGAGCAGCACCTCCACTTCGACCACTTCGTCCACTTCGACTGAGTCTTCCCCCTCGATTGTGTCTTCCACTGCGAGCAGCGCGTCCTCTTCGTCCACCTCGACTGAGTCTTCCACGTCGACCGAGTCATCATCAATTGCCTCCTCGACTGAGTCCGCCACGTCGACTGAGACTACCTCATCCACTTCTGAGGCTTCTTCGACAACATCGGAAAGCACCACCATCACCCAGGGCCCCAGCACCACCTCGACAAGCGAGACCGCTACCAGCACCTCGACTGAGGAGGATGACACGTGCACCGATGACGAGACCAGCACCTCTGCCACCGAGACTGTCACCGAGACTGCCTCGGGAAGCTCCACCATCACCGAGGCCCCTGGTACCACTTCCACTACGAGCAGCGATGCTGCTAGCAGCACTTCGACCGACGACGACGTGTGCACGGATGACGAAACCAGCAGTTCTGCCACAGAGACTGCCACTGAGAGCTCCACCATCACCCAGTCTCCGGAGACGACAACGACAAGCAGCAATGTTGCCAGCAGCACCTCGACCGAGGATGACGTGTGCACTGATGATGAGACCAGCACTTCCGCCACTGAGACTGCCACGGAGACTGTCTCCCAGACTGCCACGGAAACTGCCTCCCAGACTGGTACCGAGACGGCCTCCCAGACCGCCACGGAGACTGTCTCCCAGACTGCCACGGAAACTGCCTCCCAGACTGCGACTGAGACGATCTCCCAGACTGGTACCGAGACGGCCTCCCAGACCGCCACGGAGACTGTCTCCCAGACTGCCACGGAAACTGCCTCCCAGACTGCGACTGAGACGATCTCCCAGACTGGTACTGAGACGGCCTCCCAATCTGCCAGCGTGACTTCCACCGAGACTTCCTCCCAGTCGGGTGTCAGCTCCACGGCCTCGACTTCTGACAGCGGCTCCGTCCCGAGCACCACTGCTTCCCAGAGCTACACAACGTCGACCATTTTTACTACGACCACCTACACCGTCACTTCTTGTGCGCCGTCTGTAACAAGCTGCCCTGGCCGCGTTGTCACCGAGACCATCGCAGTCTCGACCACCGTCTGCCCCGTGACCGCCACCGAGACCGAGACTAGCGCGCCTGAGACCACCACCTCGCTGCCCGCTGGCTGGACTACGTCGACCGTCTACTCAACCAAGACGTACACCATCACCAGCTGCGCCGCCACTGTGACTGACTGCCCGGGCAAGATCGGCCAGGTGACGACCGAGATTATCGCCGTGAGCACGACCGTCTGCCCCATCACGGAGGTCACTTCCTCGCCGGCCACCGCCAAGCCGCCCAAGCCAAGCACCACCGGGCACTCCGGCAAGCCCGAGACTGACTCGACCACTGTCACCTCAATCACTACCACGCGCTTCACCACCCTGACGGTGCCCAAGCCCGAGTCCAGCACTTCGACTAAGGCTTCTTCGGCCCCGGTCCTCCCCTCGGCTGGCTTCTCTACCTCCTCGGTCGCTGTCCGCCCCTCGGGTGGTTTCTCGTCCACGTCGGGTGCTCTCCGCCCGTCGGGGACGCAGCCTGTCACGGCCGGTGCTGCCCGCGATATGGTGGCCCTGGGCGTGCCGGCTGTCCTGGCCGCCTTGGTGTTTGCCCTGTAAGGGTAGGGGCCGTTGGGATAGATGTTTGTTCGTTTGTTTGGCCTTGGATTATTCCTTTCTTCTTGGATAGCCTAGGCTTTGATGAATAGACTAGGGTATCATTTTGTGTATTTAGAGGATTCAAGGTAAAGTTGGGTTGGTTAATGGACTTGCTACGATAAATCCATTTCGGGCTTGGTATTGTTGAATGGCTAATGAAGTCGATGTTCTTGTTCGAGTCTCGTAGAACTTGCGAAATGATGGAGCAGGTTTCTGTTCTAGCCCTTGAACGTGTGCTCTTACTACCTCGAGCTGTTTGGGTCAAGACTGGCTCGGGCGAGGTGGGATTTGGTGAGAGACTGGAACTTACACCTTAACTCCGTGCCTCCCGAATAGTTACACGGTCGTTGATTTCTCAAGCCGTCCAATCGGTCCCGAGGTCGGCAGAAAAGTAGCCAATCATGGACCAGGAGATGCATTTCGTCTTGCCAGCCTGCTGGCCCAGCATGCTCCAGATCGCACAACACTCTCGATCTCCCTCTTTCCATTTCTGCTAAGGAGCCGAGTTCACTCATTGTCGGGGGCCCGGTTGCCGCCGTGATTGTCAGTTGTTATACCCTTATTCTAACTCAACGCCGCGGAACCCAAGGCTCGCACGGGTTTTCGAACCTTCCCCGCCTTGTAAACTCACCACCACCTTGTCCTCCCTTCTCCGGGCAGCGCCCTGACCCTTTCCAATGCCCCCTTCCCCAAACCAATCGCTCCACGATGGCCACCATCGAGCCATGGCTCACGAACCTCCTCAACGCCCCCAAAACTCCTGATTCTCCATCGATACAGCCTGCACCCTTCACTGCGGCCTCAAGCCAGTCCATCTCGCTCCCCCCACTCGTGCCCGAACTCAGCGGAAGCCACAGACCCGACAGGTCTGCTCCGACTCAGATCGCTTCTCTGTGCGCTGCCGACGACAATCACCTCGTCAAGCCACCATTCGGTCGAGTCGATGATGCGCTTGGCTTACACACTGTCTCCATCCGACCCCTCCAGCTCCTGCTCAGGGAACCTCAGCCGACACCACCGGCGGTCCCCTTGCGCAAGATCGTGGACGATGTACCGGCGAGTCCCGAGGATTCGTCGACCAAGAAACGCCACAGACCACTCACTGCCAAGGAGGATTTTGTGCAACTGCCAAAGCTACCCAAGAAACAAAAGTCGGCCCAACAGGTCGTTCCGCCCATCATCGCCGGCCTCCACGAACCGCCCCCCGATCCCGCGGTTTTCCCTCCCATCACATCGACATCCTTCGACGGCAACAAGAGTTTTGGTTTGGGGGCATGGAAGGATATCGGTAGCAGTCAAAGTGAAGACCGCCCGGGCGTGTCTTCTACCGTTGAACCCGAGCCGAGCAATCCTCCGAAGCCGAAGAGACGTCCCATGAAGCCGCGAAGGAAATGGACTGAGGAGGAAACCAACAACCTGCTGCTCGGGGTTAGTCGCCACGGAGTCGGGAGGTGGACAACTATCCTTGAAGACCCCGACTTCCAGTTCAACGACCGGACAGCTGGGGATCTGAAGGACCGATTCAGGACGTGCTGCCCAGATGAACTGCGGTTAACCACATCCAATGAAAAATTTAGGGCTGGTCTTGGGGAGTCAGGTGCATCGGCAGCTTCGGAAGGGAATACAAGGCATAAGATTGGACTACATCTGGAGGATATTCTGCTACCCACCGGGGACGAGTCAGTCGACAACGATGGGGCTTCGCCATCCGCGGCTGCAGACTTTGATGCGGTGCCTAAGAAGAGGAAGCCTCGAGCCCATCGCAAGAAGTTGGAGGATCTCGCTGAGCTGGGCATCCATGGTCCGTTCGAGAAGTCGCACCGACGGAAGCGTCGGCCTTTCACCAAGCAGGACGACGAGGCGATTCTCGATGGCCTCAACCAGTACGGTCCCTCCTGGACCAGGATCCAGCGGGATCCCAAGTACAATCTCTCGAGCCGCCAACCTACAGACTTGCGCGACAGGGTTCGCAACAAGTACCCCGAGATTTACGCCAACATCGAAAAGGCCAACCTGCTCGAGAAAGCTGCGCGGGGCAAGGCGGACCTCCTTGAGCCGTCCGTCCACCTGGCCGCGGACACCGCCATCCTCGCGCCACTGGAGCCTCCGCCGAACCGGTCAGGCTCCAGGGAAGACTTGCTGCGACGCACAGCGACGCCTTCGGCCTACGAGTCTACCGAGTCGCTGCCTGGCCTCGCCGACCTCTTCGACGTGACGGAGCCGCATGGCACATCCTTCCTTGGGAGCGCGCCCGAGATGGACTTAAGCCACCTCCTGCTTGATGACTCGCATGGGAGTGAGCGGCGTTTTGGAAATGGCAGGTAGGACAACGAGATAGGTGTTTTTCGTGATGACTCTCTGCGTCAAGTCTTGGAGCTGAGCTGGAGGTCTCGGTACCTGTTTTCGTTGATGATTCAAGAGAGTAATATGGCCTTTACATGTCTAAAACTTGGGCTTTGGGGTTGTCATCTAGGTTTCCGAGGATTCTATATTCTCGGCGTGGATGCCGCTGTGTTTGGCGTTAGCAGCACTCGACGTTGCATCCACGCTTGTCCGTCGAAGTCAGGGGCTGGCATATGGTGTATGGGTCCACTTGGGGTTTACAGGTTAGATGAGGGAGCAATCCCCGCCTCGGGACGAGAATCACTTCTCACATGGCGGATAGTGGTGTTTTGGTGATATCCTGCGAATAGCATAGCAACTTCCTGTCCTTTCAGCACTTGCGCGCCCAACGACTTATACCGTCATGAACAGGTCTAAGAATGAAAACGCAAGTCCACTTGATAAACTAGGAATGCCCGGAGCAGTAAACCAGACACTCATCGTCGTGGGGCCCTCTTGATCCAGGTGAAAGGACGCCTGGAAGCAAAGGCGAAGCAAGCTGGAAACCCTAACCCTTCACTCTTCTTTTCTCCACTTTCGATTTTTACCCATTACACCGCCCCGTGGCCCCACCCGGAATTGCTAGGGCTTCAGGGCACAAATCCAATTTTCAGATTTACCCGCGCTTCTACTTTTCGCGGCATTCCTTTCATTTCCCATCGACCAGCACATCGACAACAGCCAGCCAAGATGGGTAGAGGACCGTAAGTAATCGACTCCTGGCATTGTCGACTTTCGTTTGGCTGTTTTCACTCGATTGGCAGCTCAAGCTGCCGCTTCGGCCGCATCTTCAATCGTTGTTTCCTGGACCGGGCGGTTCGCGAAATGTCAAAAACTTCACGATGCTGACCCGTGGACAACAGGAAGAAGCACCAGAAGCGCCTTAGCGCACCGTCGCACTGGCTTCTCGACAAGCTGTCGGGTGTCTACGCCCCTCGGCCGTCGGCTGGTCCGCACAAGCTCCGCGACTGCATGCCGCTGATCGTCTTCGTCCGCAACCGCCTCAAGTATGCGCTCAACTACCGCGAGACCAAGGCCATCATGATGCAGCGCCTCGTCAAGGTCGACGGCAAGGTCCGCACTGACATCACCTACCCCGCTGGCTTCATGGACGTCATCACGATCGAGAAGACGGGCGAGAACTTCCGCCTCATCTACGACACCAAGGGCCGCTTCACCGTCCACCGCATCCAGGACGAGGAGGCCAAGTACAAGCTGGGCAAGGTCAAGCGCGTTCAGCTCGGCCGTGGTGGTGTGCCATTCTTGGTTACGCATGATGCGAGAACGTGAGTTCTTCCGACATCTGTCAGCCGTTGGACCAAGCTTTGGTGGATCGTGCTGGGTCTCGCTCTGCGGGAAACCACGATCCGAGCGGGGATCTCTACGGTTGGTATGTCCAAGTTCTCACTGGTTTGCTAACGATGGCTCGGCAGTATCCGCTACCCTGATCCGCTGATCAAGGTCAACGATACCGTCAAGATCGACCTGGAGACGGGCAAGATTACCGACTTCATCAAGTTCGACACTGGCGCCATTGCCATGGTTACTGGTGGTCGTAACATGGGCCGTGTCGGTGTCATCACCCACCGTGAGCGCCATGATGGCGGCTTCGGCATCGTCCACCTCAAGGATGCCATTGACAACACTTTCACCACACGTGAAACCAACGTCTTTGTCATCGGCAGCGAGAAGCCCTGGGTTTCCCTTCCCAAGGGCAAGGGTGTCAAGCTCACCATCGCTGAGGAGCGTGACCGGAGGCGGGCGCATGCTCTGGCTGGTCACTAAACGGGGTTCACAACGGATTTGGGCAGGGCATTGGTTGCTGATCTTACAAAAGCATGCTGGATGGAGTACCGGATGTCACTTTAGTTCAGATTTGGCAAGATGTCCTCTTGCTAACTGGTATACCCGGGTCAGGATTCGACCCGATAACTGGACTGCCCTTCCGGATGACATGACTTGGTTTCTGCTGCCTCCGTGTCTGGTCTGTTTTCAGATGTACTTTTGGACGTTTTACCTTCGGCAATTTTCTCAGGCGTTGCATCATGCCCAGACACACCTCGAAGCGGTAAGGGTATCTCCAGCGCCACAAGATGATTGTCTGGCAATTACGCGTGAATCGTCAAGTCTCAAGGACGGGCCCTGGTTTTTGGTTCAAAAAAAGAGACACAACCACAACGTGTTTGGGCTTGACTCACTACCACAAACACCACAAAACAAGAACCTGTCTGGGGGCCTCCCTCACAATCAGCAAATAGCTTAGACCCCGCAGCTCTCAATTGGCGGGGCAGCGTATGTAGGAGACTGGGAAAGTTGAGACATAGGGCTCGAATTTCTTGCCGGAGCCTCGCAGGATGCTCACGTCTGCCAGCGTTGTGGCAAAGCCTGACTGATGATGGAGGGACCGGATTTGGCTGGCGGTGAGGAGAAGGGTTCCGTTCCAGGTTGGGATTGGGGATTCATTGCAACCTTGTCTCTACTGTGCCAGGCAGTTTTCATATCGCTTTTACCTTTGGCGGATTATCTGTGAGTACTGATATCGTCATTCTGCAAGCTTCCTTATATCTACCTACAAGTATCTTGAAATCTTGAACCGAGTGTGTGGAATGGGACTAGGTTTGGACGGGATACCTGAGTGGTTGGAGGCGGTACACGGCCTCGTCAACCTGAACTCCTTGCGCCTACACAAATTGTTATGCATGATGCTTTGGGACAATGGATGGGCAATGCAACATGTCATCTTGGGCCGATCTGGCTGTGAATGCATCCGCATGCTGCAACTCGTCTTGCTCTAACAGGAATGTAACCTACCTTGGTTTCCCGTGACACTATAATTGTGCTTCTGGGTCGCTGTCGGTTATTGAGATGGAATAGAGGAATATTGTGATACGATTTAGTAATGGCACCACCCAGTCTTGCTGTACGCGGCGGAAAAGGGAAAGTGGTCGTATGGCTGGAGTTTGGCTGGCTCCGTTCGTTCCGCTGCAGCACTGCCTTCTCCTGTCTGGTCCCGCACATTGGTCAGGCGTTGTCGGAATGGTTGTTATGGCTGAGTTGTCAAGTTAGGTTTCCCAGGTTAGTCTGTCCGGCATAGCGGTATGGCCTCCGTCAATGGCAGTGCGGGGTGGATATGTTGTGTCTCATGAATATGCACCGATGTATGTACATCCGTACAATACCGATGTACGGGACGGGCTTCGAGTATGGCATTCTCTGACCCTCCCTGCCGATGCACAATACAATGAAATCTTGATGCCCAAAGGCAAGCGCTGGAGTGAACAGTTTCTCAAGTTAAGGCTGAGATTGGATTCATGTCGACATGTCTCTTAGGTCTGTCGGTAATGCGAAAATACGTGCCAGTGCCGCGATCCGCAAGAGGAAAACCTGGGAAAAGCAAGAGCAAAGCAAGAGCACTCACATGCTGCCAGAGTCTTGGACCTGCATAAGAGAATCCCGAGAGACTGGGTTCGTTTGGCCACGTCCGTCACTGTTGCAGAACGCCCTGGGGAGTGTCCATACCTCGCTTTGACATTTTTGGGAACTGTGATCGCCAGATGTTCATCAGCCAGAGAATTGGCCGTCTGCTGTTTCCAAACATCCGCGTCCCGCTCTCCAGATCTAGCCTGCTCGAGTTCTGAGCTCAACGCGGGGGTTTGAAGTCCAATATCATGAAGTCAGCTGACAAGAACGGTTTACTATCAACGATCCGCGGGAGCCCTTTATGCATGCTGTTTCTGGTGTCCCTTGCAGTGGGCGTTGGTCGGGAAATGATATCGGACTTTGCATTGGGATGGATCTTCGCCATGCAGCTCAATGACGTGGGGTGCGCCAGCGTATGATTCCGCCCTCCGGAATCTAAAGTATGCGACGCCACGGTGCAAGCCGTCGATGCCTCGTGATCGTCCTGTTTGGGCTGAGATGCATGGGCAGCGCGGGTGGAGAGCGGGGGCTTACTAGAATGATTATCCGTTGCGGCAGGCATTCACGTGCTGTCCTTGAAAACTCAAGACATCAATGTCAATGTTTAGACTGATCACAATGGCGTAGAATTCTGGGCGCGAAGCTCAGCTCAGATCCTGAAGATTTTTGGCTGACGTTGAACAGAGCTCCCGTCCAAACTCCCGTCGCGGCTGGAGGTCGAACAGTGGACGAATAGGGCTTCCATGATTGGAGCACGAGGCGGGGACAGGGAAGCTTGGCCTTGAACTGTGGCCCGAGCCTCGACATTCGCCCACTTTACAGGCTAAAAAAAAAAATTGGAACAACGCCCCTTCCAGTCTCAGCCACAAATTCAGCCCTTTGCTTTTCATCAAGACCAATGAAGCGCCACTTGAAGTGACTTCGAGTGACTCTGCCTCCTTGAGAGCGGTGTGGAAGGACAGGCTCTTGATGCTCCTCCGTTGATGAGTGCTGTGTAGCACAGGCCTGAGATGACAATTTGGAGGAAGAAACTCCCGTCGTCTGGAGTTGTCCCACTCATGCATGAGGTGACCATTCATGACTTTCCAGGTTCCCCGCAGATTATCCAGGTTCAGAACGGTCTGCAGGTATCCGGAATGGAGTTTTCACCTGTAAGTTCAGATATGTATCAAAGTACATGTGCATTACCTCTTGGCGCTGCTGAGGGCTTGCAAATCATATCCCAAGCGTGATGGCGCCGGCTCACCCAAGCCCCTGGAATCAGCCACAATTCTCCTTCTTCGACGCCTCAGGTTTGAAGACATGATGAACGGGCCCAAGGCCTCCAGAGAGACCTAATACTGTACTTAGCTGTAGAAACTAAAGGAGACCTGAGGTAGATCTCGACCGGTTTGAGTGAGCACGTGCAAGTCCAAAGGGTTGTGTGTGACGCTGCACGATTTGCCCCGAGGTCGCGTGGCCTCTAGTCCACTCACAGCAAATGAGAGAGCGAGAGGTGACGTGCCATTGTCTCCGAGACCCTTACACCGCATAACCAATCCATTTTAGGGAGTGAGGCGGAAAAATCCCCGCTGAACATTCGGTAGCGAAAGAAATGTATTGATGGGAGTTCATTGGAATTGATCGCTTGCAACAGAACTCGGGTAAATCGCAACATCAAGATTGCTGAGACGATACCTCTCTCCTGTCTGCCTCTGGTCTGCTTGCTTGAGTCTCGATCAAGATCTCACCCCACCAGCTCCGCACACTAAGTTGAGTCTCATGCCTCCACCCTCCGCGTCAAAACACCCGAGTGTAATCCGTAAGGTAGTGCGCTAATTACTTTCACTTGCCTCACACCCATACGACTCGGTCTCCAGTTAGTTTCCCAGTGGCTATGCTAATAAGCCTCCGATGTACCTCAAAAGACACAGCATGTTCTGGGCAAGCCTGCGTCTTTCCGCCTCTGGCTCGTTCCTTGCCCGTGATCTCCATCCCGCCTGTCAGCCTCCCTTCAGACCTGGAACCTCAACGCCTCATCAACCATCTACTTCGCTAAACTTGCTTCTCTCTTTCGAGCCCTTGATTGGGTCGATCGCTTCTCCACCTCATCTGCATCCTGGTCCAGATGAGGCAAGTCAGGATCGTTTATTAAAGAGAGACGGTACCAACTGACCGGAAAACCTACACTTCCTCTCACGAGGACACTGGTGGTTTGAAAGGTACAGCTAGTCTCGGCACTCTGATGGCCTTGCCATACCCGTAGCCTTTGTTACCTATCCTTCGTTCTCGACTCATCCTCAGACCATTTTCTTGCTCTGACGCACCTCCCCGAGAGCGCCGGCTTCGGAAAAGTCTCCCGTCTCACCCTCTTGTTGGGTTGCGCCAGGCTGTTGCAGGCAAGAAGAGTGGGTATTACCGGCTCAATCAGAAATCAAAGCGGAGGCTTGCCCGATCCAGTCCCGGGAAGACTGAAACTAGGCGACCGCTGGTGGCTCCTCTGGAATTTCTACTGACTGGAAACCTCCAAGTCTTACCCAGCCGAGTCGCGCCGTGAAACGGGATCGAGTCGCAGGCGCTGTCGTTGTGGGCGAGTTGCCAACCAAGAACAAGCAAAAGTTTCGAGTCCGCATATTACTGCGGCTCTTCGCCTGCATGGCGGCAACCCGATTTACCAGGGCGGCGAGGCCCCTTGGCCGATCCCTGGCCGCATTCAGCAACCCCTGCCCCGCCGGCCGGCAACGCTTCACTACCACACTTCTTCGGCGCGCTGCGGCCGGCAACGGCCAGGGTCCTCGCACCGCCTCGGCATGGGCGCTTCCGGGCGTTTATGCCATTGCCGCCGTAGCCGGTTTGCTTGGCTGGGCAGCTTCCGAACTCAGGCATCGGGGACTCCCCGGCACCGTGAGGCTGGATGGCGCATTTCCGGTGTTCCAATATGCAAGCATGCGCGAGATGGAGCAGGTATGTCGCCCAGGCCTCTATGCGGCATTCAAGTGCTGCATGTGTGGCAAATTGACTCCGGGGTAGAACAGAGACTAATCAGACTCGCTGCGTGGGACCCTGGCAGGCCCTGGAGGAGATCCGACAAGAGCTTGGAGGCGAGGACATTATCTCGACTGATCCCGAGGACCTGCATGCCCATGGTTATTCCGAGTGGTCGACAACCAACCCGGAAGGGCTGCCAGTCGCAGTGGCATACCCGCGATCAACCGATCAGGTGTCGACTATCGCGCGCATCTGCCACAAGTACTGCGTGCCCATCATCCCCTACTCCGGAGGCTCTAGCCTTGAGGGCAATTTCTCTGCCCCGTTCGGCGGAATCAGCGTCGACTTCGCCTTCATGGACAAGATTGTCCAGTTCAATAAGGACGACATGGACGTCGTGGTCCAACCAAGCATCGGCTGGCAGGATTTGAATGAGCAGCTGTCCAAAATGGGCAGCGGGTTATTCTTCCCTATCGACCCAGGTGCGTATCGCGTGTGACGTGTTCAGCAATCCTTGTATGGACAACGGTGGGTTGACACCCAGCCTAGGGCCGAGTGCCAAGATTGGCGGTATGATTGGCACCAACTGCTCCGGCACGAATGCTGTCAAGTACGGAACCATGAAGGATTGGGTTATCAATCTCACTGTGGTCCTGGCTGATGGCACCGTCATCAAGACAAGGCGGCGACCACGCAAGTCTTCAGCGGGCTACAACCTCAACGGCTTGTTCGTTGGCTCCGAGGGCACCCTCGGCTTAGTGACCGAAGCAACGCTGAAGCTCGCCGTCGTTCCTGAGGAGTTCTCTGTGGCTGTCGTGACTTTCCCCTCGATTCGAGACGCCGCGTCGGCTGCCGCCGAGGTGATGCAGACCGGCATCCCAGTGGCCGCCATGGAGATCATGGATGAAGTCCAGATGAAGGTCGTCAACATGGGAGGGGCAACAGCACCCCGGGTTTGGAAGGAGATGCCGACTCTCTTCTTCAAATTTTCCGGGACCAAGGCCAGTGTGAAGGAGAACATCGGGTTGGTGCAGAAGATTACCAAGGCCAACAAGGGAAGCAACTTTGAGTTTGCAAAGGATGCGAGGGAGCAGAAGCTTCTATGGTCTGCCCGGAAAGAGTCCCTGTGGTCCATGCTGGCGTTGCGGAAAGAGGGAGAAGAAGTTTGTAAGTGGAAGTCTAAGGAGATCCATTTCAGCACGAACTCACGCCGTTTTTAGGGAGTACCGATGTTGCGGTACCGTTCAGCCGGCTTGCCGACATTATCGAGGTCAGCAAGAAGGAGATGGACGACTTGGGCCTGTTTGCCAGCATCCTCGGCCATATTGGAGACGGCAACTTTCACGAGAGCATCATCTACAACCGAAGGGACCCGGCTGAGAGGGACAAGGTTGAGGCATGTGTGAAGAATATGGTCAAGAGGGCTCTGGAGATGGAAGGCACCTGCACGGGGGAGCATTCCATCGGTTGGGGCAAAAAGGAATCGCTTGTCTGGGAGGTGGGACACGACACGCTGGGTGTCATGGTTCGTCTGCCAGAGACTCGCTCACTCACATATTATGTCACATGGCTAACACAGTTACAGAAAGCCATCAAAGCCGCGCTCGATCCCCACTGGATAATGTCAGTTTCACCCGCTTGAGCCTATTTGCTAGGGCATCTCGCTGACATGACAATTCTAGGAACCCTGGCAAAATTTTTGATAGGCAGAGCTGACACAAGGGACGGCCTCTTGCATCTGACCCAGCAAACCACCCTCAATGAGAGCGCTCACACCGCATCGGGACCATTTTTCAAGGCAGGACCAGCACGCATAATGCTCGTTTGGCCGAGCAATACAGGTTCGGACAAAAGACTGAGGCATTAACAGGTCGGGAAGCCAAAAGTTGTGCATCGCTGGGTATTTTGGCAGTGTCTCTTAACTTTCTGCATTCCCCTGAGCGGACTATGTTTTACGTTTGTTTCTGGAAAGGGTTTGCCAGACTTACGTGGCGGGAAATGGACGTCGTATTCACAAGTCCTTTGCGACTTTCCTCACACGATGAGTGACCACGAGACAGTGACATTGTTTGCGGTAAGCGTTCTGGAAGACAACTCACAATTTACCTTACCTTGATTTGACCAACTCTGATTTCTTTTCCTTTCCCAGGCACCTTTGATGAACACACTCTCTTTTCAACCCGCTCAACTGCATCAAGCTTCCCCCCCAAGCAGGGCATATATCTTCCTAACCACGCCGCCTTCCAGTCTCAAGCAAGCCATTGCAACTACAGGACAATCTCTTCCCAAACACCTAACTTTCATAACTTAGTTGAAATGTCACTTCATCCTCCTCCCTTCCGAGCTGCCCTGGCCGATCAGACGAGTTCCCTTTCCCCCCATACACCAGCAAGAGGGAACCTGCAGCCTTCCTTCCGCCACAGGACAAATACAATCCGAACAATTCCTCTGAAGTAATCGTCTTGGGTTTGTTGAATACAAACACCCGAACCTATAACTGCCCTTGCTGAGGTACTGGTAATCTTGGTCAGTCTCAAACAGTGCAACGACTGATGCATTCAAGTTCCAGGTTCCTGGCTATCTTACTTATTAAATGCAGGCACCCGAGGCAAACTGCCATGCTTCTTTGTACCTTCCCTACGTTCCTTTTCCATTCTCTGCAAGCAGCTGCTAACCGATTCATTCATTCCAGGCCAGTCTCTCCCAGTCGCTACCTCTTGAGTACCCGAGTTTCAATCTTGCAAAGAAGACGATCGCCCACTGCTGCGTGCCATCACCGGTTCCAATCTGGTCTCAGGTCCACCAGCAGCCGGCTCATCATTCTTGGAGGCACTAGATGATTGGCGCGGCCTACGAAATACTCTCCTCAGGACGACCGAGAATCACGAGAGGGATCTTCAATTCTTCACCTCAATCTACCACACCTGTTTCACTCTGGCCACCGATATTTTCAACATTTCATTTTGCTGGTTGTTGCCAGATACACGAATACCAGCGTTGGTGGGATGCCGCTCTCTGCTCTTTTCTTGACCTCAAACTCTCAAGACTGTGCTCTCCGGACTACGTTACCGACCAAGTATCAGTCGTCCCGGAACAAGAGGTAACTTGAACCTTACATGCATTTGCGCCCTTCCATCTTTTCATTGTCCGTATCCTGCGGGTCTCATAACCGGCACATCAACTTCTTTTGGCCTGCAATTGGCCTTCCTCACACCTTGATTCATCTTAAATCGTCTTGCGCCGGATAGTTCTAGAGCCGAATTCACAGCTACCCCTACCCGAGTACTCACTGCTTCCGACCTCCCGAGCAGAGTTGGAGAACAATGGCGAACCCTGTGGCTGGGAACTACCAGCAACTTCTGCTGAGTGGTGCAGATAACGGCCGCCTCAAGGTGCAAGAACAGAGAGCAGTGGCCTCATCTGCTCCCCCAAGTCAAGGTCACCCTCGGAAAGACAACGAGCGCACATCCTTTGGTCGCGGACCCCGATTCCCCAGCAGGAGAGACCCTCACAGAGCGAGTGGCGCAGGCTTCGCCTTCACGGCACCGCGCCTACCTCCGACATCACAGCCGGCAGCGATCATCCCTCCTGGATGGAGTACTCGCAAGAGCGCTACGATAGTACTCAAGCCCATACCTGTAGACGCAACTCCTTGGGACATCACACAATGCCTTGAAAGATTCGGCAGGATTGTCTGGGTCGAGCTTGACGATGCCACAAGGGGCGGTCTCCGGTCTGGGAAGATCCGCTTCGAGTCACCGCCGACGGATACGAGCTTCTTTCAACAAGGGCTATGTAGACTCTACCTACGTGGGTCTGTGTCGTGGCCCTTCGTCGAGTTCCCAAAGCAGTCGTTATCGTTTGACGAGGCATTAGTGACAACGCCCCTCGGCAACGTATGCCCTGCTATGCTGGTCTTTGACCCTGAAATACTCACATTTGGTCTCATGACGCAACCCACGACGTTCATGCGCAAGAAAGAAGTTCTCAAACTGGGTCGTGATTTCGAGTTGAAATTCATGGCCGATTTCAGAAGGAGGAAGCTGATGATCCATTTCCCTCTTCTCGTCCACCGCGAGCGTCAGTTGTACCGTTTCGACATCAAGTTCGGCATAATCAGAAGCATTCACCTGACGACCATTCGCGAAGGGCGCTCAGCCCTCATCATTTGCCTTGATGACGCTCCGTTGGTTCGCAAGAAACAAATGGAGGTGGACGGAGATGCCTGGACCAACCGACTTGTCTGGGGAGAAGATGAGCTCTGGAATTGGGCCGTTGAAATCAAGCCCGGCTCTCAGAGCCCCAAGGATGAGCCAGTGTCTCGACGACGAGCCCACCCTGATCGACCTTGGCCGTTGGATGACTTACTGGATCGATCTGGGCGAATCCGGGCAGGAGCAGTGGTGTTCCATTCAAGGACACCTTCGCGATTGGAACATCACGACGAGGGTTGATGCCAACCTCACACAGATTGCTGGCAAGAACCCAGAACTTTGGGACATGCTCGCTGATCCCAGTTTCGGGCTGCGGACTACTGGAGCAAGCTGTTCATGGAACGACGACTTAGCTTTCCTCCTGCCAACACAATACATATCCCTACCGTACGACGTCCGATATCAGCTAGAAGTCTGCATCTCACATGGGATTCTCTCCGAGTACAACATTGGCCGCGAGTTCCTCGACAAGCTGCTTGAGGTCTCGAAGCCTAGCGGCCTCAATGCTAATAGAGCGCGGCTCGTCCTCGAGTACGCTGCGGATCAAGGCAAGCCGATCTATGACCCCATGAAACTGTTCAAGGATCGCGGCGCGTTGACGTATTATCCGACAACAATGCATATACCTGACTACTGCGCCTTGGTCCGTCAAGTCACTATCACTCCCACCAGGATTTACTTCAACACGCCGACCGTTGAGACGACCAACCGTGTCATTCGCCGTTACAAGCACATCGGCGACCACTTCATTCGAGTTCAGTTTATCGATGAGCTACGAGACGGGAGGATCAGAGCCTGCGAAGTTGACAGAGACGACGAGCTCTATACCCGAGTCTACAGAGTCATGATGCAGGGGATCCGTATGGGAACGTGGCATTGGAAGTTCCTTGCCTTTGGCAACTCGCAGATCCGTGAGAACAGCGCATTCTTTTTTTGCGAGACCGAGTCTGTCACTTGCGACTCGATACGACAGTGGATGGCCAAGTTGAGTCACATCTCCTCTGTCGCCAAGTACGCTGCTCGGCTGGGGCAGTGCTTCTCCACCACCCGCCTCTTACACTGCATATCTTCGCCCCGGATTGTCAAGATCGCTGACGTGGAGAAGAACGGCTTCTGCTTCACCGACGGTGTCGGCAAGATCTCCACCTCTCTAGCTGGTCTCATCGCAGAGGACTGGAAGGTTTTCCCACCGCCTTCAGCCTTCCAGTTCCGAATGGGTGGCTGCAAGGGCGTACTGGTGACTTGGCCCCACGCCAAAGGTACTGAAATCCACGTCCGACCGTCTCAGGAGAAGTTCTCTGCCGAGTACAACGGCTTGGAGATCATCAGGTGTTCGCGATTCTCGTGCGCTACCTTGAATCGACAGACTATCCTTATCCTATCTTGTTTGGGTGTCCCCGCTGAAATCTTCACCGACATGATGCGGGTGCAGATTTCCAATTACGATGCCGCCCTTACTGACAAGGACAAGGCCGTCGAGCTTCTCAGCAGCTATTCGATGAGAACATGACCACGATTGCCATCGCCACTATGGTCCTCAATGGCTTTATGCACACGCGTGAGCCCTTAGTTCGGACCCTGCTTTAGCTTTGGAGGTCTTGGTCGATCAAAGCCCTCAAGGAAAAAGCGAGGCTTCTTGTGAATCAGGGCGCTTTTGTCCTCGGCTGTGTTGCCGAGACTGGTACTTTGCGAGGTCATTCCAAGGCGACCGAAGGACATATGAAGATCTCGCGGGACCAGCTGCCTCAAATATTCCTGCAGGTCCCTGATCCGAAGGATCGAAGTGTCTACAGGGTTATCACCGGCCTCTGCGTTGTTGGACGGAATCCTTCGCTTCATCCCGGGGACATCCGCGTGGTCGAGGCTGTGGACGTTCCCAGGCTGCGGCACCTTCGGGACGTCGTGGTCTTTCCCTTAAAGGGCGACAGGGACATACCAAGCATGTGCTCAGGCGGCGACCTGGACGGTGATGACTTCGTCATTTGGGACCCAAAGCTTCTCCCGGCCGAATGGAATCATCAACCAATGAACTATAGCGCCCCAAAGCCGTTGACCGAATCAAGAGCATCGACGGCCAAGAGCTTAGCATCCTTCTTCGTTCTGTTTATGAAGAACGACAGGTTGCCCCTGATAGCACATGCCCATCTTGCCACAGCGGACTACGAGGTTGAGGGCGCGAAGCACAGAAGATGTGAGCTACTACTTCACCCAGAACTGGACAGAAACTCACGATTAACCCTGGCCAGGTCTTCAACTCGCCGAACTGCACTCAACCGCGGTGGATTACGTCAAAACAGGTGTCGCTGCTCAGTGGAACAAGAAGTTGGATCCGCGCAAGTATCCCATTTCATGGAGAAGCCCAAAAGCAATTCCTACCGCTCCACCGGCATACTTGGAAAGCTCTACGACATGGCCGACAAGACGGTGTTTGACAACCGCGAAAACTACACGTTGCCATTTGACGACTGCATCCTCAAGCGATACCAGCCGGATCAGACGATGCTAAAGGAGGCAAGAAAGCTGAAGACGCAATACGACATCGCCATACGCAGGGTCATGGGCAGCTCGAAATCCGGACCGAGTTTGAAGTGTGGACGACGTTTGTCATGTCCAAGTCCCGAGTCGGAACCGACTACAAGGTCCAGGAAAAGGTTGGGCGCGAGGCAGCCGGCTTGAGGAAGCAGTTCCGTGACCTGTGTCTGAAGGTTGCGGAGGAGCAGAACTTTGAAAGGCTGAAGTTCCTCGCTGCCATGTACAGAGTCACCTGGGAGGAGACTCGGATCGCACTTTACGAGGCCCGTCAGCGGCACATACTTCCTGACGAGAAGGTGGGCAAGAGCCGTGTGACAGGGCGTTCGATGCCTTTGATCAGCTTTCCCTGGCTGTTTCCCGATGACCTTGGCCGCATTGCCCTTGGGGCCGAGAAGCTGTCTAGCGTTTCGGAGTTTGCAATTGGAACTGATCCACAGTCGGAGAAGCCCAGAGCTCAAGTAGGCAAAGGACCGGCGCGGTTGGAGACGGAACTCGATTTGGTGAGGATGGATTACACCAGAACCGGCGACGGCCAGTCCATTCATCGTGGCGAGATTCTGCACCTATTCCGCCACGACGATGAGGTTGAAGGGAAAGAAGGCTTCTATTACAACGACGATTTTACCGCGAGCTTTGATTCTCCTGGGGATTCCGACGCCCCGCTTGAGACCGAGAGATCCACCTCCAAGAACGACGCCACGGGCAACTTTCCGCTTCTGTTGGACCTGGGCACAGGATTGGATGAGGCCATCTCATCTGACTCAGATGCCATGCCACCTACCAGAGAGCCTGCCTTGAGAAACCAGGCGGTTCCGTCGGGCCTGACAACTCTTGACCTCCTTTCGTCGGATACAGATGGAACCAATGCCTCTCCTTGTCTAACTCCGACAAAGGTTTCTCTTGCCCAACAGCACGGCTCCACCTCAGAAGCCGCTCAACTCAATGGCGCTGCGAAGCAATCAGCCGCCGCTCAGCAAGAGATTGTTGGCCTGCCGGATGGAGCCGAATCTGTGGCATCGAACACCAACGCGAGTTGGGAGCGAGTCACGACGCCAGGATTAGAAGCATTCTCGGCAGAGCTTGCGCCGGTGGAGTACATCACCTTGCCGGCTCGGAGTGTGGGTTCTTGGGGATTGAAACTCGGTGCGAGGCTCGGTGCGGCTGAGCTGTGGGACCACATGACTGGCGTCGGGTCGAGTGCCTCCGCTGGGGAGAGTCAGAGGCAGAATCTGGGTCAGAGTCAATACCAGAGCCAGGATCAGTCCCAGGCCGGTCCGGCGGCACCGCCCAGCGATCTGTTTGCTCCCGAGAGCGAAGATTCGGCTGAATCGGAGGGCGAGATTGAGTATCGGGAGGAGGTCATCGCGGTGGAGGGTGAGACGGCGATGGAGCGGGCTGCGCGGTTTAGTTAAGCGCTCAGATGGGAGCGACGTGGGATGTTGAGTTGATGTAAAAGGACAGATGAGACTGAGCTGTTGGTTGCTGTATTCAAAGGGAGCAAAAAATGGCGTAGGTTTGGGTAAAGCGGATGGTTTGCCGGGAAAGGGAAACGGCGTTTGAGGGTGACGGGGGAGGATTTCTGCGTTTTATCCCGTTTCGATATAGGAAAGAGGTTTTCGTGGGGAATGACGTATGCTTGGGGAGTAGACGTCCCAAGCAGCTGGCGTAGCAGCACTGCCAGTTCGCCAGATAGTATGGGAGTCGATATGAGTTCGTCCCTCTGAGTCAATGCCTCCGACACGCCTCCTTGTCGACGTGTCACCTCCTGATGCACAGATCGGTCCTAATAACCCATTTTTCACCCGCCGTCACTTCCCTACCCTCGTGCTGCCCAATGACAAAAGCACAGTCGTCAGTCACATGACGCTGCAAAGATCGAGAACGTCACGGCGGACGTCATGTCCTGGCCAAAGCGGGCGCCCCAAGGCCCTCTAATAAGGACGTGCTGAGTGAAGGACGGGACTCACCAGCATGCAGTCATGGCCATGCTTGTGCAGCAGCAACATGCCCGTCTCGAGGCTCACGGCGACCTCGTCCTTGGGGGAGCGCCGGTCGAAGGGGTAGAAGACTGTTTCGCCGCCGATGCTGGGCCGAACATGTCAGCTGTGGTGGTATGGACGTGAAGCATTTCCATGCTCCTCAATGACGAGGATAAGATGCTCATGAGAAGGCCACATACCAGCCGTCGGCCGACGAAGTAAGGTAGAGAAGCAGTGTCCAGGTGGTTCTGGCCGGGAGTTGGGCGCCGGTCTCTGTCTTGACGGTCACGTTGTTGGAGTCGTCGTCTGGTTGGCGAGGGTTAGGAAAGGGATCAGACGCTGAGAGAGATAGGGGCCATGGATAGGCATGGTTTGCTACCCCTGGATTAGCTTACAGTGCGCGTCAAAGAACTCTGTCCAGCAACGTCAGCATTTTATGCCTATGAAGAGTGGCTCGGGCGTGGTTCGGGAGCAGAGGACGCTGCTTTGAGACCAAGACGACTCCCGTAACTCCCGAGACAATCTGGAAAGTGCGGATTCGACGTACGGCCAGCGCGGTAGCGGTAGATGCGGATGTTTGCGTTCAGCCCGACCACCTCGCCGCCCCTGCGTATCTTCCCGTCAGCACCCACAAGGCCAGCCAAGCGGAGCAGCTTCAAGGGAAGGCAAGTGAAACACCACACACACCACAGGTGAGCAACATCTTTGCCCGTAACAGCCTCTTTGAGCCCCGTCTCGGTCCACAGCCGGTGGGCGAACGAGGCGTCGTCGATCTGAAACCGGTCATTGACCCTCATGGCCTCGCCGCGCTTGGGCTTGCCCGGGGTCGTGGCGAGTGGCAGGTCTCGGAGGAAGGAGACGTAATCCCTGCATAGCGAGCGCGGGAAGAAGGATCGCAAGACGACTACCTTGTCCGGAACCACGGGTTCGAGTGCGAGCTCCACGACGGGCAGAGAGGGCTTGAATGGCGGCCACGAGGGCGGTGTTGCTTTGTTGGTTGAAGGAGTGGCTGATGAGGGAGGGGGGGCGGGCGCCTTGGAGCGCTTATCTTTGGCCATGACTGAGACTTGGATGTGAGAAATGGTGTGTCTAGGTACGATGGTGGGCACACGAAGGAATAGAAGTGGCACACCTGAGTCTGGACTTCTGGTACATAGCTTTGTTAGCCCCTATAATGCTTTCTCCGACAGTATTAAACAATACCAGATACCGTACAGGTGGGGTGATTCTCTCCTCTCACTTGCAAATGGAGCGATCGCAAAGCGCCTTCTGCATCGCCGGAGAATTATCCCGAATCTTTTGAAGTTGGCCAGCCCCGCTGGGGAAGTACCGTACCATCTGAGGTGGAGAAATAGACCCACCTCATCATGTCCCGCCAAGCCACTACTTTAGCTCAACCCCATAGAGTCGCGCCAAGCAATCAACCCTAAATGGCTTGGTAAAGCTTTCGTGAGCCTCATCCTTCTCGAACAATCAACCTCACCTTGCAATCAAGGTGTGAAACACTCACATCCACTAAGGAGTCTCTGGTCGCGGATGGGCCAGCCCTGCATATTGGGAGTGCTTGGTCCTCCGAAGGTCATGGGAAAGTGACAACAACACACACAACACAACAACACAAACTCAACACAAGACCCTCATACCGTTGCTGTATCGCCCACCGTCGACCATGGTCGTCCTTTCATGGTTGTTCGGCTATCCCACGCCAGCGAACGGCGGACTCAACAAACCTCCATCAACAACGGCCGCAACATCAGCGCCAGTCACACCTCCAGCGGCGCTACCTCCACGAGCGCCATCACCCGCCCCTCAACCACAAGAACGCCCAACCTCAACACGTCCCGACCTCACCAGCCATTTTCTCTCACAACGCTCCATGCGCCAACTAGGCCTCTTCCTCGGCGGCGCCGGCTTCTTCTACTGGTCGCTGAGACTGTCACGGCGGGCCATCACGCGCCACCAGCTCGCCGCCCAGCTCAAGTTCTACCAGCCCAGCCACCAGTTTGCCGCCTGGAGCCGCTCCTCCTCCTCGTCGTCGTCGGCGGCACAGCAAGCGCTGCCCAAGCGCGACCCGCTGGTCGCCATCGAGGCGCTCAATCTAGCCACGCTCAACACCCTCACCTTTGCCATGGCGGCCGTCGGCGGGGTGGCCTGGGCGTTTGACATCTCGTCGGTGGAGGAGCTGAGGCGCATCACGAGGCGGTCGATTGTGGAGGCTGGCGGGGAGGTGGATGAGGAGGCGGAGAGAGAGGTGGTTGAGTGGGTTGCCAAGACGTTTGGGATTGAAAAGAAGAAAGGGGGAGAGGAAGGGGAAGGGGAGAAAAAGGGCCCATGATGACTGTGTAGGAGCAAGGAATTTGAGTGCGGGTGTGAGACATGGATGCTCCTGCGTGCTCCTGGAAGATGGATAGCTGGGATTTTTTTATGACGACGTAGCACTTGTCTAGAGGCGGACTAGGAATGCGTTCGGAATGTGTGGGATGTTGGTGGTTCAGTGTAGTACATGAACCGGTCATGTGTGAATTTGTAAACAACAATTTGACATCTCCCATCTCCAGGGCAACTACTGACCAAGGACGTTGGCTACAAACATACATACGGCTACTAACGGTATACTAGACAAGAAAGACTGTAGATTACGGAAGAGACTATAGATCAGCTCTAAGCACGGTTGTGACGCGGTGGCCCTAAGGAGCTTTGGTGGCGCTCGAACATGAGCCGTGCGAGGGTGTCACTTCAGCTCAGTGAAAATTTGTCATTTTTTGAAGACTCAAAATGACTCTGGTTCTGTCTGTTCACGTTCACGTTCCGTTCAGATTCTTTTATCTCTCGAACAGATTCCAAGTAGAAATGGACATCGCTCAGCGATCCGAGGCCTTCCTCGGTCTACTTATAATGAAGCGTCGCTGCCTCCGAGGTTCGCTCCTTTGCTGGCGCTGGCACACCTGTTGTTTCTGACTTCGACCATACCGAGCGAGTAGTGGTATTTCAGCGGCGCCGAAGCTCCCACCTATTCTACACCTCCTATGTGTTATCCATCGTACGAACAGCCCGTCTCAGCCATGCGATTTCTTCGCTCCACGGTCGCGGACTTGCTCTGGGGCACAGCCGTCGCAGACATGTTCTCGCGCATGTCTCTCAAAGATACGTCCGCTCCCCATGGCGCCTGCGCAATGCCGTCGCCAGAGGACATCGAAGCCGCCCTTTACGCGCGGGGCTACGCCATCGTCTTTGAGTGGACCGAACCGCCCAATGCGTGTGAGGCCCCCTTCCCCCACCCTTCCGATCTCTAGAGAAGTCCGCGGCGGCCAAGCTAACTCATGCTCTAACGTCCAGACTGCCCGCCTCACAGCCACGCGGATTGCTTTCTGTACGTCATCCTCGAGGGCGAGATCACGGTCTGCTACCACGCCGACTACGGGACGGGCTACAGCCCAAACGTGGTGCTCACGTACCGACAACTAGACTGCGTCATGATCGAGAGCGATCAGCTCCATGAAGTCTGGATTGGGGACCAAGGGTGCAAGTTTGTCGTTGGGAAAGCGGCCTGGAAGACAGCGGCGCCGGCCTCCCTGCTTCGGCCGCCCCATCTTCCTCCATCCTCGCCAGTGGTGCCGCTTCCGCACCGTGACCCGCCGGCTGAATCCCTTGTCGTGGGACGCGACCGTGGCGATCAACAACGTGGTTGGGACTCTCGCACGGGACGTGGAGGATAATTGTTGGGTCCGTTCCACCCCGGTATGCACCACCACCCACGAAATCAAGAAAGACTTTCCCAATTACATGATGCAGGAATCGAGAGACCGTTTCCCGACAGCTATATCCCGAGTCAACAACGTGCGTCGGGATCTAGATGTCCTGGCATGGGTCAGGGCTGTGTTGGAGTTGGGGGTTATTGTCAATATGTCACTACCGGTGAATTCAAGTATGGATATATTGGACAGCTTCAGTCAGCAGCAATCAATGCGACCTGCGTCTCCGTATACAGCACAGTTGCCAAGGGACCAATCCCGACATCCTCGTTTATGAGATAAGTTGTCTTAGTTCTGAGTAACCAGTTGGTTCATTCTATCAAGTAGATGGGTTCAGGGGCATCGTGATGCAAGATTTTGATGTTTTCAAGTTGTCCAAGGATTAAGCTCTGTAAGAGCTGGAAGAATTGCCGGCAACTGGGGCTTAATCAAGAGTTTTTGGGTCAATTTAACTCTGGGCCTTGTTCAAGAATATCGTACAAAATCAGCAAGTAGGCTCCCAAGTCGGCATTCTCGGGATCGTCTCCGTCGCTCCCAGCCTTCTCCTTTCGGTCCACAGACGTTTCTTAATCACGCAGCTATGGACGTCTACAAGGAGTGTCCGTATGGGCTATATGAAGTCAAGTATAAGTGAGCCTCAATGTTCTGTTCAAGCGGATCAGGCGTGTAAGTCTGGACCCTCCCGCTTTCGGCAGGCCAAACTGCCACCTGATCTCGGCCGTCTCATGGCATTTTTGCCGCCTTGGTTGTGGTTTTGCAATTTATGCAGCCGCGTCTCGTGGCGCCAATCACGCAACGCCTCTTCGGGATATATCAAGTCTGATATCTCAGGAGTCGAACAAGGAGATGACAAAGGACCTTGGTTGCGATAGATGGCGCGAGATTTGGCTGCAGTTCCCCGACCTCCTTTTAAGGGATATGGGATGATGTCAGAATGTACACCACCCGCCCCGTCTGTACTCCCTAGACGATGAGTAACCGACTTGGTTTGCCCAGCGTCTAACCCTGACATGTATTATGGAAGCTCATGGGTGTCTAGGGTTGTTGGACGGTAAATGTTGATCTGTGGGGTTGTTTTGCTCCGGTTGGATTCTTGTGGAACTCGAGAAGTTGGTTGAACTGGAAATCGAAAGCAGAGAGGTCATGAAACATCAAAGCGCGTCCGGATGCGCGCGGCCGAATGGTACATCCAGTTATTTCCTTCTGGTACCCCATTGTTTAAATCCACCTCGATCGACAGTGAGTACCTGTCAGAACTGGACCCGAAACGTGCTGTTTTCGTCGTGTGTCACGTCCGGAGCCTGATGTCGTCTCCACATGTCGAGTGCCGGCCCTGGTGGGGTTCTCGGTTTCAAAGGCCCCGCAGATACACTGCCGAGACTGCTTCGTGGGCGGTTTCTGGTTCAGTATTGGAGCGTGCCCGGCCTGATATTTGCAGGTTGTTTTTACCTTGAGTTGCAGAGATGACGTCCTCTTGTTCCGACCGATCCCACGCACGAATACATGCATGCCGACCGGGAGTCCCTACAAGTTGCTGAAAAATCCCGTTTGCGGGATTGCTTGGCCGAGAGGTGTCCGGATTGCTGCGATGTGGCCGTTGCTGCCATGACAACCTGACTCCGAGATATAATAGCACGCAACAACTTCCCGATTGCACTGGTTGTCAATGAGTGTGAAAAGGAGCTCCTTGCACGCCCCGTTGCAGCCGTTCAAGCTTGCGCCTTCGGAAATACTCATATTGATCTTTAATGGTGGCATGGTGCGGAATGGTTTGGGGTACGGAGTAGTGTACTGGGCAGTCCGGGGCAACTGGCTATCGGAGCTTTAAATGAGACACGGCCCAAGGCAGCTGTGCCGCCCGGAAAGAATCAGCATCTGAGACAGCTTACGGCGTGTATTTTGTCATGCAGTGATGAGCAGGCGTACAGATACTTCGACTTGTTGTAGCTTCCACGTCTCCCCGACGAAGGCGCGGCACCTATGCAGCACGAAAAGCTGAACGCCATTTTTGTTGGCCTTGGTTCCCAAGTTTCCCAGCAGGGTTCCAAGCTATCAGCCGTCACAGGCGGAACCACTCTTGTCCCAATGCGAGGGTCGACAGTAAGGTAGTTACACCTTGGAGAGTGCTCATAAAACCACCGACTCCGTACGATGTAAATCAACTGAGCTAAACCCCGCAGTTGGAAGGAAAAGGGTTGATGACCGGATTGTTTGACAACGCCTAGGCAAGATGATTCCAAAATGCGATTGTTGAATGACGCTGAGAACCTCCACTCGTTAACTTGAAGCTGCCAGCGCCTTTCCGGACCTGTCTTAGCGGACATCAGCCCCCTGCAAGCCCCACCAAGAAGCTCCCCTGCTTGCTTGGAGTGCCCCTGCCGGTTGGGCCCGGTGGAATGCACTTTATGTAACATTCCAAGACTGGGAATTCCAAGTTCGTTGTTTCCGGGCGGTACTCCTCCTGATGACTGCCCTGCGGATTGGCCTCTCAGCTCTTCTCCCAAATCTCCAGGAGTTGTCAGTTCGCAGGAATCTCATGGCTTGGCCTGGCTCGGTGAAACGGCGAGAAACAGCATTCAGGCCCAAGCAGACAGGTCTTTCTCTTGGAGTTTTCTCAATGGGACCTTGTGGATTTGACCGCGGTCCCGGCCCCTGTCCATCGTCATTACCGCTCCGCTGCTTTGCTATCGCCAATTTCTCCTCTTGACTTTATTGCTCTCTTCGGCGGCAAACCCCCTCATGAAGCACCGTGCTGCCCGTCGCTAGCCACGCGTGGGATTCCCCGGCTTGCGGCATGGACCCAGCAATAACCGTATAGCAAAACACCCTACCGAACCGCGCCAAACATGGGCAACGCCCAGTCGGCTGACACGTCCGGGAGAACATCCCAGAGGCTGTCAAAGCCGAACACGGGCAATCATGCGACAGCCGGCCTGTTAAGCCCGGGCTTCTCCTCAAATAGCTCGCGGCGCCTCTCCAACGCCCCATTGCCTAATCCTCCACCCTTGTTGACAGTTGCTTCGGGCCCCACGACCTCGTCTGCCGTTGGAGTGTCTGGTGGCCGCGGCCGACGAGTCGACAGCGTCACCTCGCTCCACTCGGTCCCGGGCTCGCAAAGAGAGTCGAAAAGAAGGAGCTTGTTTCGCTCGAGGTCATCCAGACGTGGTGAACCTGATCACCAGAGCCAGGGCAGCGGCCAAGCTTCGCGCATGATGGACACGATGGCCGAGGACAGTGGTGTGATGTATGAGTCCGCAGTTGCGTGTCATGGGCTATCAGGTTCTGAAAGGTAGGCCGTGGATCTTCACCGAGGACCCTAGCTCGTCTGTTGCTGACTGTGCTGGGTGTACAGTCGACTCTTTGAGTCCAGATCTCGTCGCACCTCGTGGAACTACAACCTCACCTCGTACGAGGCAAAGCGCTTGCTGAATCTAAACGAGTCACCGCAGCTCGAGCACGCAGCGACCATGTCCGAGAATAGAACCACTGCCATCACAGAGACCACGTGGAGGACAAACCCGGCGCAGCCGCCCAGTGCTCCCATCACCCGTGCGAGCTCTGATGTCTCGCTGTACATGCCTGTTCGGCGACGGTCCATCATACAAACCCCCGGCGTCGCTACCCGGTCGAGTTCGACTCGCGAGCTTCCGCCATTGCCTCAGCCGAGTTTCCGTCTGAGCCATCCGCCGACACCGAGTTTGTCCCGGCAACAGTCAGTCGAATCGTACAGGAGCGGTGTCATGTCAATGCCAGCCCGTGTGCTGGACCTAGAATCCGCGGAACGAGTGATGACGCCCTGCGAAGACAAATACCTTTCGACTGGTGCTTTCAAGCTCGGATCGCTGCGCATCACCAACGGCTCACCCTGTCTACTGACTCCTGAGTTCGAGAGGACTCGTGGGAACGAGTGCGTAAACCCAGACCTTGCTACTGCGCGACACGACTACTTCTCAAACGCACAGGTCCCCGAGACCTGTATCACGACTGTTCCTATTACTCGAAGCCCTGTACAGGCGCCCGAACCACTTCGAGGCGTCTGCCCACGCCTCCCACCATCATCAAGTGAAATTCAGCCCACAAGTCCAATGCTACAAACGACCTCCAAGGCTACCGCAGTGGAAGATCAGCTGTTTGATGATGAGGCACACCCGGAGTACTCTCTGATGGAGGTCTTGGACATTCGCTTAGACCCGAACGCGAAGCCACTTGCGAAAATCGGACGTGACAGGGGAGCCAGCGTCACCAGGACGGATAGCGGTTTTGCATCCACAGCGAGCCCATCCACTGAGGCTTCTCACAAGCCACTGGCCAAAGCTGATTCCGGATATAGCTCGAATGTGTCCCTACGCTCATTCCACGCCAAGTCCCATGTTGTCGACAATCAGCTCGCGGCCTCCTCGGAGGGTCAGCTAACCCACTCACCGAGCTCCAGGGATGCGCCAGTTGCCTCTGAAGGGGAGAGAGTCTCGAGTCAGATTGCAGTATGGACTCCGTCAGCGTCTGAGAAGGACTCCCCACCACCACCGGTGCCACCAAAAGATTCTGCTCGACAGTCTTTGGACTCCCAATCGAACCTGAACGGGAATGCGCGGAATATTATGCCCCCTTTGCTAGACGATGGCAAAACAAACACGGCCAGGCGAACAATGCACCAGTTCAAGCCCCTTGTCACCCTTCCGTCTGGACACAGACGGACAGCGCAGCCCGAGTCGGAGGTGCACAGCCCAGTGAGCGTTCGATCATCGAGATCTGATCATTCAGGATCCGCATCAAGCACCAGCTGGGTTCCACAAAAGCCTGGCAGGCTGCAGCGGCTCTTAAGCGGAGTTCGCCGCCCAGCCCCTGAGCCTCTCATGGTCCCAACGGCGCATGCTGTTGAACGGGATAGTGTTCCCCCTGTCTCCCCAGAGGCCGAGCACAAACTTGCTGTGCATGCTGCTGGCCGGTTTCCCTCAACGGCAAGGAGATTGGCATTGAAATCGCGGTCTAGTTTGGATACGCTGAAGACGATATTCAGCGTGGGAAGTATTGAGGCCAGCCTCGAGGCGGTGAACTCCATGCAGACGGCGCCCACCGTTCCAGACGCTGAGGGCAAAGAACGTAGTTTGAAACAGACTCTACACTCTGTTCCAGCATCCATAGCGAACGCTGCTGCACATGTCATCCCGAAGAAGACGATAATCCGGAAACCGATGCCACTCCGCCAGGAATTCAGCAACAGCCATGAACATGGTAGAAGGACAATGATTCTCACACTTGTCGGGGAGAGAGGATTAACACCGCGGCGGTGTGCGTCAGAACATCACTTGACTCACTCAACGGCCGATCTTCCCTCTCCGGTCCTCCCCAGTCCGGTCGCCAAGGCACTTTCTGCTGACAGCGACAAGAGGAGCTCTGAAACTGCCAGCACACTCCGAAGGCCACTGTCACTTCGTGTTCCACCGCCGCTGCGGCCACAGTCCTCGACTACTCTCAGTCGCAGAGCCAGCCGCCAGAGTATCCAGAGCTACCCAGCTATGCAATCACTTGGAAGCGGAACCAGCATGGACAGTATTTGCAGCTACTCCTCAGGGCAACCGGGCGCAGGAGGCGCCACCGTGGGCTCAAGGTCGAACAGCGGAAGTTTCATGGACCCGCGGCGACTTCAGTCATTCCGGCAATATCAGAGCCCTCACTCTTCACCGTACAATTTCCCCGACTGGGAAGTGCAAACCGACAACGGCATGATCCGCCAGCATTCGCACGCATTTCCAGTCCGCGACGGTCGGCGCAACTCGATCTCCTCGGTCCAGAGCGAAGGGGTTTACCATTCAGCCAGTACCCAGACATGGCCACAGCGGTCCCTGCGGCACCGGGCGAGTTATGACGGCTACAGCTACCACCAGCGATTTCCCCAGTACGAGTATCCCCCGTCCATGTCCAGCGGTTACACCGCTCCAGTCAAGCCTGCACATGATCCGCGCAGCAGGGAGCAGCTCAGCGCCGCGGCTGCCTGGAACTGGAGCCAGACCGATGCGGCCGCAGGGCAGTGGTACCAGGGCGGCCAACACCCGGCGTACGTCCACCGCGGCCACTACCGGCACCGCAGCATGAGCGGGCAGGGTTCGAACCCGCCGTACCGCGTGCTGCACAGCTACAACTCGCCTGCGTACCGGAACGCGCCCATCTGGGGTTGAACCCGTCCGCAGGCTCTTTCACCGGTGTTCTCTCTGGCATCTATTCTTTGCATCATAAGATCCACATCAACGTGTCCAATCGCTTCAGCCTCATCTGACGGTTCACATCGCGATTCCCTTCTTTTTTTCTTCTTCTTTTCTTTTAGGGCAGCAATCTCGCCATGCAGATTATCTTGGTCAAGTCCACGGCCTCGAATCCTGCGATTTGGACTACCTCGAAGCAATCATTTCTCTTTTTCATTTATTTATTTCACCTCAGCGCGGCCGGCAGTTTAACATCGTGTGGACTAAAGAACCTGTCCGCTTTGGGGGCCAACACGGGTTCCTCTTTTCATTATCAGATCACGTTGCGCGGAACAGGTCAGGAGGCGAACTTCTAACAATTCATCTTACTATACCCGGGGGTTGGGTTGGGAGACCGTGTGCTTGAGGGTCATTGGGTTGGGTTTTGGGTTGTGTCTCATAGAATGGAAAACATCAAAATGAAATGGATTGGATATTTTGTGAGCAGACGAGAGTTAAATCATGGGTGGTTGTACGTTGTGTTCCGGAAAGACCAGCCGCCATTACCGGTTTGCGTACGGTACGTTGGATGAATGCCGCGGTGACATCTAGCGACGCAAGAGGGGGACGACTGATCTTGCGCCAGAGGTAATGTATGTAGTTCTATCTGATATTACGTCGTGATTTCATAATGCCCGTTGTCACGTTTCTTCTGACATCCTGGGCTGTTGCTGACATTATCGATGATGGGCGGGGGCTACGGTAGGGGCGTGCCTCAGATACATGCAGATTTCCGGTGGTTTATACCGTGGGCTAAGTTCAAGGGACGGTCGCAAGACCGTCGGCCCTTCCTGTGGTTGAACATCGAATGGGGTTTCCTCTCTCTCTCTCTCTCTCTCTCTCTCTTTCTGTTTTGTGCGTTTGCCTAAACCCAAAGAAAAAAAAAATCATAGCCTAGGCTACGATATTCCGCAAGCCGTGTGGATGTTCGAGAGAACATGGCGCTGGAAACATGAGAACACTGCGGATAGTGAGTGGCTTGGGATTCCCGACACGGAATGGGAAGCGGAGCGGACGAGGCCGGCGGTGTGGCTGTGACCCGGGAATTGGGTCGCGGGAAAGAGATCGGTTTGCGGCCCGCAGGGGGCACTGGGTGTGTCTCGATGACAAATGGCCGAAAACAGGGCTGGGGTACGGACGACTCGAGTAGAGACTGGCCGTTGCACGAACCCAAGGCTGGGGACTTGATTTCTTCTTCTGGAGGCAGCGCACACGAGGATGTTGAGAGTGACCAGAACAGACACGAGGTCGGATTGATGAGGGTCGTGGTTCAACGCAGTGAATCCCCTTTGCTCTTGGGTATTGTACAACTCTCAACAGCCTTGTGTGTGTTATGGTGAGAGTTTAGGACTCGGGACTGGATTTGGACTAACGTTACCAGCACAGCCACTTCATGGCCGTGTTTCTTCATCAATAGCCGATGGGAGAGAGAAGTCGGCCGGTGCTACCGAACCAATGCCGCCAAACCAAGCCAGCGATGTGCTGTAGGGCTGATGGCGTCTGCAGCAGGCCCTCCACGTTCGTTTGAGACAAGCGGCCGAGAGTGGAGAGTTGGAGATGGAAGGTTGCAGTGCACAGCCCGTCTGTACGGTCTGGGCCCTGTTTTTCCATCGCAATAACTTCCTGAGCAGACGAGACGAGAATCCTACTTCCTCACATCGGCTGCGAGCTTATCTCAATGTTTTCTTAAATATAAATAAAAAACCTATGTGGCGAGAATTCATCGTAGTATTCCGGCAGATTGATTGAGTCTCAGGTACATTTGTGAAATTCTGAATTCATAATCTCTCTTGCACTTCAAGAGTCCATCGGCGTATGAGGAGCCATCCATTGAACCACAGCCTTGGGGCCGTTAAGCCAGCGCATGTGGGAATCGAGCAGTTGGCGAATCAAATGGCAGGAATCCCGCGAGCTGCGGGGACTGAGCCCCACGCCAGCAGCTGAGCCCACTTTCAATATTGCTGACACCTCTGTCGGCCGTGTATTTTACATAACACCCTCGGGACCACTTGACTCCCACTTCTCTTGTCCCCTCCATGTTCGACCTCAAAACGCTTCCTTAACGTAGATCCTCCGGTTGGTGTAGCTGTAACTCCTTCTACTTTAAAGGAACACACGTTCGGTTTTTTCCGGGCGGGACAAAAAGGATCCGATGTCCTGACGGGCATTTTCCCCGAGTTCCCAACCGCAAGGCGCGGCCCCGATATCGAGCTTGACTTGCCAATCGGCACCCATCAGCCGAGATGGTGTGTCTCAAAGTACGCTTTTTACCCATCTACTTCTTGCGCTTCAATCCGGACCAATCTCCAAGACACAAGGCAGAGCTGACCGTGTTCGTTACCCACTAGTTCCCCAAGGAGAAGAAGAAGGCGAAGCCGAGTTTTATTCGCCGCATGACTACCTTTGCACGCGGCTCGCCTCACTACGGGAGACATGCCATGCGCGAGGTCATCAATGCAGCACTCGCCTGCAACGTTTTGACCCTTGTCGGCGTCGGTACAACAGCGTGTTTCCACGAGTGCTTAAAGAAACATGTCAGACACGTCTACGATTCGGCCCGAAAGAGCGACAGGCTGCTGTCGCGCGAGAGACTCGATGAGTTCCTGAGGGCGACGCAGGGTGTCGACCACATCAAGTTGCCGGACCCCCAACAATACGAAGCCTACACCTTTGACCAATTCTTCCAGCTTTGGAGCAACAATGAGTCGGCCTGGCGTGCTGCTGGAGAAAGGCATCAGAAGCCCGTTGATGCGACCTATCCCATCAGCAACTATTTCATCGCATCTTCCCATAATACATATTTGGAAGGCAATCAGCTGTCCTCCAAGAGCTCGGCCGAGGCCTACCGGGCTGTAAGTACCAAGCAAGAGCGTCTCAGCCAGCTGCGGGTAGTCACTGACAAAATCGCAGGTGCTGAGAAACGGATGCCGGTGCATCGAGATTGACGTTTGGAACGGTCCGCTCCCTCGTTCAACGTCCAAGTCGCCCACTCCAGGACACAGAAGACACTTCTCATCCGGATCACTCCCACGGCTTGCCTCAGAAAAGCTCATGAGCATCAGAGTAAGTCGCCAGCAGAGCCGTAGCCCGAGCGCCATCCAGACAGCCTTTCCGTCCCCCCTGCCATCACCGGATCCCCGGGAAAGCGCTACCACGCTCGACCCAAAGGACCTCGCCGAATGCCGTGCGAAATCACGGTCCTCGTCCCTATCGAACCATACGGTCGAGCCAGTAGTACACCACCACGGCACCATGACCACGACGGTGGGCTTCCGAGAGGTGTGCCGGGCAATCCGAGAAAGCGCGTTTGAGAGGAACCCTCTTCCAGTCATAGTCAGCCTCGAGGTTGGCGCCGACCAAGAGCAGCAAGAGATCATGGTGAAGATTATGAAAGAGGAGTGGCGCGATGTGCTGCTTGAGAAAGCGTTGGACACTTGTGATAATCGGCAGCCTCGGTTAGAGGAGCTGTACAACAAGATTCTGATCAAGGTCAAACGTGTAAAGGAGAGTCAGACCGACGAGGAAGTCGAGAGAGGGCGGAGCATTGGGATTGCCGCCATCCGGGGGAAACCGCGTATCTGCAGGGAACTCTCCAAGCTCGCCATCTACACACACAGCGAGCACTACGGAGGGGAGGATTCCCTCGACTCCGACTCGCCAAGCCACATCTTCAGCTTGAGCGAGGACGGTTTTTTGTCACTGACCGAAGACACCGATAAGCTCGACAAGCTCCTCGCCCACAACAGGGACTACCTCATGCGCATCTACCCTAATCCCTATAGAATTGACAGCAGCAACCCCGACCCGACCTTCCACTGGCGCAGGGGCGTGCAAATGGTAGCTATGAACTGGCAAAAGACGGACGAGGGCATGATGCTCAACGACGCCATGTTTGCCGGAACCAATGGCTGGGTGCTCAAGCCTCCCTCGCTGCTGAGCAACAAGACGACAACCGAGATGTCCGACATGGCCAGCGACCCGAAACCGACCCTCGATTTGCGGATCACAGTGCTCGCGGGCCAGTTTCTGCCCTTACCTGGTGACCGGAAAAGCAGCGGCTGCTTGGGTATCACGGGCGATAGGAAGTTCCATCCCAAGATCAAGGTGGAATTGCATGTCGAGAAGGCGCACCGGTCGCTCGATTATGCAAGAGAGACGGAGCCCGCTTGGACGGAACACCCCGATTGGGGGCTGCACCCAAAGAGCCTGGAATTTCTTGATGTCAAGAATGTGGTGGAGGAGCTCAGTTTTGTGAGGTTCAAAGTCGAAGACGACTCGAGTAACTTTGGAGGGGAACTCGTAGCCTGGGCCTGCATCCGCCTCGACCGCCTCCAGCGCGGGTTTCGGTGCGTTGATCTTCTCCATCCGATCACTCGCCGGCCTTGCGAGGGGAAACTGTTTGTCAAAGTCGAGAAGGTTTGGAGGGATTGAGAGCGATGCTTTGTTCTTCGGCTTAAGGGCGTTTGCCATCTGCCAGCGGATATTTGGCGCTCTTTTATTGGACATATTGTGGGCTTTGGCTTCCTTTCTTGGTGTACTTGCGGAGCTGCGCATGGTGTTCGGGATGACTTGGCACTTGGGTTTCGATATACGGAAGGCCGGTTCACACCGTTACAATACGGACAAACGGGTTTGGGATAAGGCTTACAGGCTGGGCTGTTTTTAGTTCTCTTTCTTTTGCTCTTCGGTCATACAGCAGGCGAAGAGCAGGAGCTTTGGATGAGTAGCGCAGGATACCCAATCTAGCGGACTTTTTTCTACCCTCTGCGAGTCCTCTAGGTCCAGTTGCGTCCTGCGCTTTCAGATTTCATTCAACCAAGGCCAACAATCCTTTGCGATGGACTTCTGCTTCTCAAATGCTCATGATCTCCGCCTTCAGCTTCCAAGCCCGAGTCGCTGTTTGCTTGCTGGTCATTCCGCAGTTGCAGACTCCCACACGACATGCTATTGGAGGGGCCTACCTCTTTCCTGGTGGTTGCGTTTGACCCCGACAAGACTGACGGCTCGATCGACCATGTCGCAGGACTGTAATCACAATCAACTGCGGTCTTTTTGTGTGTCGCTTGGCTATCATCGGGCGACTACATGACCGGCAAACGGGATGAGCGGAATGGCGGCGGCCCTTGTACAGAAGCAAACGTCGTGCCACTCTGGAACAATGTTTAGTCGTGAGTCGGAACTCTGGCCGCCCCAGTGAGCTGTGATGTCTGTCTGGAATGCGATTTGTCTCTTGACGTGTCACCAGTCCGGGCCTGGATGCGTTTTGTGGGTGTCACTCAACGGTTCGGGCGGGAGTGCTTCCGAATGGTCGTGAGACGACCCCTTTTGGCGGGACTCGGCTGTCTGGGCCGGCCCTGGATTTACACAGTAGGGAGGATCGAGTCGTCCCTCGTTGATGGATTGAGGCCAGTTGTTTTGGTTGAACGGTGGGTTAGCTGCATTTCTGAATGGTGAACTGGAATTGTACAATGAAGAAACCAAAGCCGGGCCCCCAACTGGCTGTTGTTCTTTTTCAGACTCGTCATTTTGGAGCCGCCTTTTCGTTTGCTTTGTCCCGCTGTGTCAAACAGTGTACTCAGGCGACAGTCGAACTCGGAAGTTCTTCTGGTACCGTTCATCCGGACCATGGTCGTTTGACCATTGAAGGTCAGTCAAGATCCGCTCAAAGCGCTTATCGCTCCTACCCGGCCCATCGTCAGGAGGTAGTATGATCGCGAGGTAGATGCCCTTCCGTCTTCTGTGTTGTGCCCTCTCCGCATCCGATGGACACAACAGTCCGGAGACTGTCGTCTGAGATGGTCTGTTTGTGGCTGCCTTATGCTGAGAGCAGTTTAAGTAGAGGGCTTCCTGACCATGCCTCTACTCAAGTTCCCTCAACTCTTCGCCCCATGGCTGTTGTAACTTACAAAACCAACAGCTTTATCCTCCTGAACGCAAGCCTCATAACATCCCTTCATCGAATAGCACTTAGCTCTAACCACTGTCAAGCATTACACTCGTCCAATCCATCCCTTCGCGTGAGCGGCGCGTGGCCAACATCACTCGACTCTCGATTCAAACACAAACTGGCAGTTTTCCTGCAGGCCGTAATTTGAAAGCCAAAGACAAACATGGCAGTGCCTGAGCCAACCAAGACGCCCCAAGTAAGTCTTCCGTAGCGTCAAGCAAGCAACCGCCATCCCTTTTCCCTTCCGTGATTGCAGGAACCAAGATGCTAACGAGCAGACAGCTCATGCCAGGGGTTCGCTGCCCAACCTGTGCCAGCAATGGCGTCGAGGTCTGGGTGCTCGAGGGCCGGCGTTGTGCCTATTGCGGGACGCCTTGCCTCTAGGGGCGTCGCGTTAGGGCGGGAGGGATGGTTTCTGTCTGAAGAGCAGAATCGGAGACTGAATTGTAGATTGGGTGCTTGACTATATGTGGTATGAGCTGGACGGCCAGAATTACTGTGGCTTGTCCTTCCCTGTCCGGACTCTCTTTCTGTCCGTGATTTCTGCTATAATGCTGTTTCTTCTATAATGCTGGATCCCTAGAGTGCTAGAGCGGGAATGAGTGAACCTGGCTGCAAACTCGGGGTCTGACGTGTCGATTTCACCATGCTGCCGTGAAACCTGGATGAAGTTGGGCCGCTCTGCCTGGCGCATCCTCAGGGAAAAATGTTGTTTGACCACGTGAGGTGACCATGAGCCGGGACTGGGCGCTGCTCGACTGACCGGAGATCATGCCGAACCTGAGACGGACACCACTGAACCCATGGCTCAGTGATGCACAGAACTCGGCAGCATCCGAAGGGCCTATCGATAAAAGCCCCACCAAAAAGATTAGATAAGCAGTGGAAACGACCACACTCAAAAAGCTGGAACCAAGAAAATTCTTCTGCAGAATCAACAAACTGCTCTCATGTTTGCTCGGCTATGTCGCCATGGCTTCTCAACTGCTGTACGGTTGTGAAAGGTAGCCATTCAGACAGTAATGTGCCGTCATATCTCAGCCACAGCGCTTGCAATGCCGTGGTGCGATGCACAAGGTAGGTTGGCACCGACTGGCAAACTGTCAAACTCAAAGAGTCTCTCTCTCGTTCCGCTGAGCCTGCTTGGTTTTGGCACCACACACCATCCTGCCAAAGGTATGTCTACGTTCTTTTTCATGCCCCTCCACCACTTCCGCTGTCGTCATGATGAGCGTAATTTGCGATTGATACCGTGTGGATGGTCCCCTTTCGCCGGGGCGACTATATCCGGCGGACAAATGATAGTCATTCTTACATATTCTGAACACGACGACACTATTACCTCCATTGTACCCTTTTCAACATCTCGCCTTGTCTTGGACTGTTGGCTAATAAGGGTTACAGAGACAGGAAAAGTCCAACAGAGACAATAGGCTGTCCCGTAGTGGTACGCACCTCTCTTGCAAAATAGAATCCTCCGTAGGACGAGCGTGCTCATTACTCGGGAGAAAACAACAATTGGAGCCGAGTCTTCGTTCAGCCAGCTTTTTGATGCGTGCCGGCTGGGCTAAATGATGTCGGTAGCTCTACAATCAAGCATGATATTTCCTGAGCACACCTCTGTCTTGCCGTGTTTCGTGACTGAGTGATGTGCTGTTTGTCTTCTCGTCCATTCCGTCTAGCTCCATGCCTCTGACATTGCTTGTAACGAAGCCTTCAGGGTGCGTTCCCCATCTCCATAGATTAGCGGTCGTTCTTAACCCAGAAGATGAGGGCAGTAATCTCTGTGAAGGCTTGAGACACGGCTTGTCACGGTACAGGTCAGTGCTATCGGCGCTTGAGGGTGAACGAAAGATGGCCATTCCAATCTGATGGGCTGTGTCGGATGCTGCACTGCACGCACCGCACACACACCGGGCTGTCGTTGTCAGTGGTCAGCCCTCTTGTCCGGCTGGAATCATTCAGGGAGACAGTACTTTTCGTAGGCAAGGGGCCAGTGACGAGAATGGGCACCGAGCTGTCAAGTGAGACGGCTTGTTCCCCCAAGAACAGTAGAGCGCAAGGATGTAATACGGTGGTATCTGGTAGAATAAGAAAGGTCGGTGAAAAACCCCTGGCCGTCTAATAGAAGATCAGATCGATGTGACGGCTAGGATCATCATCTGTGTATCTCTCCTTCAGTGCCTCCCTGCACAGCAGTTTTACAAGAGGCATCATTGTCTCCCTCATGTCAACAATGCCTCGCTTTTTCTGGTCGATGTGAGAAGCGTCCACGATGATCCTCTTCAGACTCTCGAGAGAGAGGGCGTCTGGGACGTAGTTAACAAGGAAACAGACCAAGCAGGTTTGGAGAAAGCGGCACCATACCATTCTCAATCAGGTCGATAAGACGCTGGGGTGTGCCAACTGCGATCCCAGTACGGCTCTTTTGAAGGAATGAAACTTGCTCTTCGAGCTTGAAATGTTTTGCGAACTGAGATCCCCCATTAGCTGCTGCAATGATCATGTATTGGGAAAGGAGACGTCATACCAGCTTCGCCACAGTATTGCCTTTCTTCTGGAACTTCCTTACTGCCCTACGGACTTGTATTAGCCCACCAGAAACAGATGGCATACCACAACTTGGTTCCTGGAGACTGCCGGTACTCACCTTACAAGGTCGGCCGCGCGAAGACCGGCACCCGCTACGATGATGGTATGCGGCGACCCGCACTTCTTCGGGGCCTCGTCAAGTTTCTCCGACTCCCCTGAGTACGCCTCCAGAAAGTCCGGCAAGTTCTCCAGGGACCGCGGCTTATCCCACGATGTGCAGTCTCGGATCGAGTTTGCTTTCATACAAGATTGTCAGCCCGAATGTTCAAAAATTGGCCCAGTCCGTCGTGCACGGTTCACCTGATATGTACAGATCCGACAACTCGACCGGACTGAGATCTGCCCCGAAGCGGCGTGTCTTCTGAGCGATGTGGTCTGCGAGCAGCTGGCCATCCATCCGCTCGAACGCTCGGTTGAGGCCTGCTTCCACGTCCAGGTCGTCTTCATCTTCGCGCACTTTCTTGTGCTTCTTTTGCTTCTTACGAGGCTTGTCGTCATCTTGCAACTTTCTCTTTTTGGTGTGCTCTTCGGTTGCCATGTTGCTGGGTCTCGTCTCGCGAAGGACAGGCAGCTCTTGGTTGATGAGATGAGCTTGGTGTGAGATTTGAGAATGTATGTAGGTGTTCGGTCTTTGAGTGAAATGTCGCTCGTCTAGCTTCGCAAGTGTATGGATGTCGCAGTTTCAGAGGTGCCAGTTATAGTGTTTCCTTTTGATAGTTGCTGCACAACATGATAAGGTAAGGTACTTCCAAAAGACTGGTTCAATGAGGTGGTTTGGCTTTGCTCCGTAGAAAATTCTATAAATGCACAGTAAATAGGTAATGGTCTAGATGGAAATGAACACCGTGACGATGGTGCTGGAAGTGGGGTTAGAAGCGCTAATTTTGCAAAGTCACAGCTGCCTGCTCGCTGCTCCGTGTGCTAAGGCGCACAGTGCGAATGATTCAGTGCTCTGCTGGGCTCAGCAGCTGGAAGTGTCTGCTTCAATCGCCCCGGCCGTCACCTTCGGCTGACCTCCGTTGAGTGGCACGATGTTCAACTTCCACGCCCAAACGAACCTGGAGCAGGTGTTAATTACTCAGTTCTATGTACTGGCCAATGCTCCGGTATAGTCATCATCAATTCATGGCACCGTTACCAGAGGTATCAACGACTGGCGAGCGCTATTTGCCTCTTGGAATTTGTGTCATAATGGATTTCCCACAGTTGGCCTTGCGGCTGGCGTGGGGACAACCCGGGCACAATGAACTCGAACAGAGACACGGCCGATATCTTCTTACATCTCTCTTCGTCCTTTGTTCTTGACACTTAGTGCTAGCAGAACACAGCATTACCGGTCATTTTGAGCGGGGTCTTAATTCCCAAGCCAGCTGTGTGTTTCCTCTGGATCTGAGCAAACAAACTTCCTTCCCCCACCATGGCACCGCAGACGGAGATACCTGTGGTATGTGGGGCTCTGCCCTTTGGCCTCAATGCGGATGCTGATAACTCATCACAAGGCCGCAAATATCTTGGGAGTAAGTGATGCCACCCGTTGTTCCTTTCCACATCCTACTAACTGACCATGGTTGTGATAGACGATCGGTACCGGTGAGACTTTGCCCCTTGATCTTACTCAGGTTCCCTCAAACATGCTAACTATCCATAGTGTAATTGTTGCTCACCATGATTCGTATGGCACTTCCTCCGAGTCCTAATTGGTTCTTCCCAGGTTGTGGTGTGTCCAAGTCAGTAACGAAGGACCCCTGCTTTCAGTCTTCCGCGAGAATAACGTGCTAAACCCACCTACCAGCTGATACCCCAAATATGGACGAACTGGCGAACCAAGAAGACGGAGGGCTTACCAGCCTTGATGATGTTTCTCTGGGCTCTATGTGAGTTCCAACGTCGATATCATGTACTCTTCATTCCGGACCTGCTAGTGACTGATATCATGATACCACAGGCGGCGTCCCATTCGGGGTATATGCGGTAGTTCAGAACTTCAACATACCTCTTCAAGTCCAGCCGCAAATTTTCATGGCCTTATGCCTCGTTGCTTGGGCCCAGATATTGATATACCACAGGTAAAGGCAACCGCCGTGATCCCCGCTGAGAAGAAAAATAGCTGACTCTCGCCTGGAACATGACAGCAAGTGGCCGGCATGGAAAGCTTCCGTTTTGGCCCTCGTCGTGGCTGCTGTCTTTGCAGGAGTTGAGGCCGCCTTGATCCTCACACTGAGGGTAAGTCCTGCGTAGTCTGGGTCGTCCTTCACGTTTGTTCCAACTGACGTTGGAAGCCCATAGACAACGACGGAAATGAGGTCCCGGTCATTGTTGTTGGAATAATCGCCGCCATCCTCCTCGCTGCTGGGCTCCTTCCGCCATACGGCGAACTCTGGAAGCGGAGGGGAAGGGTAATAGGAATAAATTGGGTGAGTCTTACTTTAAAACTTTCTCTTGCAGACATGGCTACTCATCGGTTCACCGCGGGCAGGTTTTCCTTGCGATGGATTGGTCCGGTGCCTTCTTTTCCCTCATGGCGCTAGGTGAGAAAACATGTGCTTATACTTGGCCGGTGACTGATAATCCTGGCGGCGTATAGTTGCACAGAATACTTTCGATGTCCTTGGCGGAGCTCTCTATATCATATGGTGAGTTGACCTGCATTCTACCCAACCAGCAGAGCGAATCTCACTGTCTACTGTAGCTGCGTCCTCGAAATCGGTATTTTCTCTTCCCATCTTGTCTGGCTGGCACGTACGTGGAAGATTCGGAAAGCCGCAGCTGCTGAAGGGAAGAGGTTTGATGATGTCCCAGCCGAGTATCAGGCGCGAGGAATTCCATTCAAGTTTGCCGAGAGAAGGGGTCGGAAGATTGGTGGGAGTTCAAGGAGTGCGAAAGGCGACAATGAGACCGGGGAGGGACAGGGCTTGGAACCGTGTACAGCAGCACCTGTAAGAGAGTCACGGCGTTTATCGGCGGCTGCCGAGCCCTAGTTTGCCTTCGCTGGTTGGGAAGAGACGGCCTTGGATCAGCCCTAACATGGATAAGTTGAGACAGAGGGAGCGATTCTCGGTTGGATAGGCATGGTGGATGGTATATGTCAAGAGGGACATGCTATCACGTCGCTAATGAGCTCTGAGCTCAGGCTCACAATGGGCCCTGGAGACGCAGGTTGGGGTGTGAGGTCTGCTGTTGGCTGTGCCATTCGCCTTTAGCATTTAGCAGGCATTTCATCGAAACAATATGCCGGGCTTTACTAACCCGCCCTCCCGTTTCGTCCCATGCCGGCAGTCGCCGGCCAGTGCCCGCCTGTGGGACTTCAGAAACCGAAACCGTTGGGTTCGACCTCCCCGCGAGGGAAGTAGAAACCCCTGGGTCTCTCGTAGCCGACCACCTCTATTCGACAGGCGCGGAAATATGGCTGATCGGTAAGCTTCTTGCAGTTTCTTGGCCACTCGACCGTGCTCCTGATTTTGAGCTGGGCCTCTCTTGTTTACGTCCAAATGAAGATTCATGCTCAAGACGTCACCAATGACCCCCACGCTTCGAGCTTGTGTAACTGCTTGGGATATCGTGGCATCTTCTCCTTGTTGACAACAGGGTACTAAACTGCGGGCATCGTTGATGCCCGACACATCCATGATGGATGTTTGTACCGTAGCCGAATGCTATCAAGGGGGGTTAAGTGTGAGACCGGCATCCATGGATGACAGCTTCGCCTGAACTCGGCAGCTGTTCGAACCGGATTGCACTCGTGTTGGGCTTACACAGGAACTGGATCGGACCCGGAAACAAATCCCAACTTTGTACATGCTCACGCGTTGTTGTCGGGTGTTGGTCCTACCTCACATCCCGTCTGGTCGGCGATCATGCAAACGGGGTGATGTCACAGGCGGCTCTTGATGACCCCAACGGCAAAGGGGCCGAGGGCAACGGACCCAAAGCTTTCAACAAGTGCGGTACCTTCAAAGATACCCCGGCGGCCTGGTACTGTGAGATCAAGAGGTAGGCAGACTGGTGGTTCCTACCGAAGGTTGTAAGTAAAGTATTCTTGAGAGAATGAGGTGGAAAGGACGATTTTGAGGTTCGGCGCGCACAGCCAAGAGAAGCGGCGCGCTGTCAGGAATTTGCTGGTGCTGCCGCGGCCACCTTTCCAGCTGCACTCGGGACTGATCTGTTCCTGCATTTCCCAACAACTGTGGTGTGTCTATCGGAGTTGGCTTGCATCAAAAGGGGATGATGTTGTTGGTTGGAAAGCCACGGCTGCCGCGTGCTTGGTCCTGATTCGGTCGTCCATCAGCCTCGCTTGTGTATCGCAGAGTCGCAATCCATCGTAGGAATCCTGAACTCACTTGCGTCTGCAAGTGTCATCGCGCAGCGGGACTCCCTGCCCAGGAAGGTGCGTTCTTGGGGGAGGAAAGAAGCACAAAAGCACGGGCAGACTTCCCAGACTTCCAAGATACCGAGGGGCCATGTCTTCCTCCCAGCTGCCTCGGTGACGTCGAGCTGCCATTCATGTCATCGCTCGGCATCAGCACTCTGAGGATTGGGATTACAAACAGCCTTTGGCTATCGAGAACGACTCCTGGGAGAGCAATATCATCTTCAACACGCGAAGGTCTACCAAAGTAAACCTGCGCCACTCGATTCGCTACATCGTCGCGCCGGCCGGACCAATCCAACAGTTGACCAAGCTGTCTCTTCATACTCTTCCCCGCGTCCACCCAGCGCCGCGACTCCGGATTCGCTCGAGTTTACACCGTCTGCGCTTAGTTTGCGTTGGTCTTGGGTCGCGCATCCTCTCCTGTTCTCCTGTGTATTTTCATCGCATACTCGATCTCAAAAGACGTCCCTTCCCACGTCAGGTTCGTCTTGACTATCTCACAATCCATTAATAAGCCAGTTCATCTCATGTTTGCAGGTCTGGGAGCTGCTTGTTCGACAACGCTCGGTCCTCGCGCACAGTGCAGCCGGCAATTGGCGATCCCTTAGTCAACCGATCGCTTGACGATTCTCACGGCCCGCTAAAGACTGCCGCCCCCGGCTGGCCGGCGAATCCCGTTCCTCCGCGCTTGTGAATCCCTGTTCTCCCCCCCGGCCTCGCAGCTCCCAATTTTTGTCGGGTCGGCCAAAGCTCCGCGCCATTGATTGCAGTCTTGGGCCGAGGGTCCCAGAATTTCTGGGCAAGGGAAAAACTGCCATCTCGCCCTCTTGTTCCAGTTTCCCCTTTCCCCCCACCTGCCCCGAAGGTCTTCGTCAACGCTGGTGGATTTCTCTGCATGTAGAGATCTGTGGTCCGGTGACCTCCGTATCCGCCATCTCGGCGTCCCGTGAGGATCTGGCGTTGCGAAACGACTCGCGGTGAGGGACGGGAAGAGGAATACCTCGGGGTCGAAGTCACCTCGACGAGTGCATCGGGCACCGATCGGCTCGGGGTGGATCGGTCTTGAGGGACAATGCCGTCTAAGTACAGTTACCAACCTTGGTGAGCAGAGCCCCTTTGATTGCTACCATCCTCCAAATTCTATATCATCTCCTGAATCCAGCTACGGAGCGCGATACTACCCCCAAGTCTCTCCCTTGTCTGCCTTCTTAGTATATCTTGTTATCCTTACCTACTTCGTTCTCGCCTGTCAGCAGGCTAACACTCTAGGTCTGCAGCCGGGAATTCAATGTGGTGGTTCTAGGTGCAGGTGTGTCTGCCCCAACTCTCCGAACAGCGAAACTCTTCTCCTGCCAAGACCTCGCATCACATGCAGCTAACATCGAATCCTGCTTACTTAAGGCGGCGTCGGGAAGAGTTGTCTGACTGGTGCGTCCTCCCCTCTGCCCCCACCTTTTTCGACACCCCCCTTAGCCCCTTCTGGTCCTGACGACAACATGTAAACAGCCCAGTTTGTTCACAATGAATGGATTGAGAGCTACGACCCCACCATTGAAGACTCGTACAGGACGCAAAAGTCTGTCGATGTAAGTTCGTGTTTGATCGGCTGACCATTATGAGATCTCTTGTCTGATATGCCTGATCTAGGGCCGTCAAGTAGTGTTAGAGATGTAAGCCTCATCTAAGCCTGATGCTCATGCATCCCATTGACATTGGCGCAGTCTTGATACAGCTGGCACGGAGCAGTTCGGTAAGTGTTTTCGAATACTCCAAGTCCTAGTTCTCATCCCTAATTGGAACGCTAGTTGCCATGCGAGATCTCTACATGAAAACGGGTCAGGGCTTCCTCTTGGTATTCAGCATCGCCTCGAAAACCTCGTTCGAGGAACTCGAGACGCTGCGGGACGACATCATTCGCATCAAGGATGACGAAGACATCCCAATAGTCATTGTTGGGAATAAGGCCGACCTGGAGGATCAACGGGCAGTGGATCGTGCCAAGGCCTTCGCCCTCTCCCAACGATGGAATGCGCCTTACTATGAAGCCAGCGCGAGGACGCGGAGTAAGTAGCACTACACCAAACATCCAACCTGATCATCATTATGCCTGCTAACTCACTCCTCTGCTGCCAAGCCAACGTCGACGAGGTTTTCATTGACCTCTGCCGGCAAATGTTAAGGCGGGACGACTATCATGACGACGGCCGCGACGACCCCTATCCACATCGAGCGGATGATCTGACCGCCAAGAGACGCCGCAGGAAGAAACGAAAGGAGAAGTGCACCATCCTATGATGAGTCTCCCTTCCGGCTTGTCGCGTTTCTAGAGGTTCCGCTTGTCGCCCGCGATGAACCAGACACGAGCTATGAACAACGGATGACCTATGGATGCCCGTCATGATGGATACGAGCTCGGACGGCCAGGAGTCTGACTGTATAAATCCTGTCGCTTTACACGTTAAAATGACATTGGCGTTGGTGCGGACTTTCTCTCCAGCACTTGGCTTGGACCGCTGCCATGCTGAGCCCGTAGTTTGCGACAGCAGGTAGTGACCATTTCGTGCCTTTGTGATTGGGTCTCGGTCCGGGAGGATGATGGTGGGCGGGGGACTATGGCGAGACTTGAATTTTTTTTTTCTGGCTCAGAAGATAGAGTTGATGTACGGAGTACGGAGTAAGTTTTTCCAGAGCCGCATGTGAAGCTGTCGGAGAAGCACGCGCTTGTCACTGGAATGTGGTTCGACTCCACAAAAAGACGGCTCCATGTCTCGCTTTCGCATGGTGGCTGCTTTTGGCCTCGCTAGTATTTCCAATTGAGCGGGGCACCTCTTTTCCATCTTGTTTGGGCCGGGTTCCGAATGACGGCTTCCGTCTCGTTCTTGAGAAGCGTCCAATTCTGCTTGGAGATCAGTCTTATACCGCGTCTTCAACGAACTGTGTGTGTTGCATTAAGACATGGACTGCGACTGCGACATGAGAAGCGACGCAAATGTCGAGAAAGCTATGTGCACGGACACTCCTCCGTCTCGCTCAGAATTGGCCGGGAATTTGCAGGTTCTAACGTTATCTGTTGCCGGGTTGGTTTCGGGCAGCTCTCCCCACAAGGTGCATGAGACCGTTGCGCTCTGGTGGCTCTTGACGGCGACATACTCCAACTCGCCAACCGCCGGTACATCACCGGACTTGTAGTCCGTCGAGGTAGCCTCTTACATCTTTTCTACAGTGTTGGAAGTCTTGTGTCACCGGTAGATGGTTGATCCCTCTTTCGTCATGGCTGGTCAACGTACCGTAACGTCTACGGGGCTGGGTCTGGTGTTGCGAACTTGAGATCCGTTCCCGGTGCCTGGGTGTCCACTCGGCTAACCAGAAACCCACCAACTACGTTTATCCTTGCTCATCTCCCTTCTTCTCGAAGTCGACATGGGGTGCCATGTTGGTGCTGCTGCTTTGGAGGCTGAATCCTTCAACGTGTCTGACTTCTTGTTCCTGCTCATGCTCTTGATATCCTGACGAGGGTGGCTTTGCGCACGGTTTGTGCTCGTCGGAACTTCTCGACGCACATTCCCCGAGTCGCGTGGTCTTGACGACGTCACCCTCCAGTTTCGCTCGCTCACTTCTTCCTTTCATTGCTACTTTCCTCGCAGCTTTTCGCAGTTTTCTTCTGTCTGGTCTCTCTGGCACCGCTCGTCATTCAAAACCATTGCCTTGGTCGGTACGCCTGTGCGACACAGCACAAAGCCCGATTCTCAACCACCGCTCACCGACTGCTTCATTATCACAATCCGTGATCGCAACTGCCCGGTCCCGCGAATTCTTGGTCGCTGCTTGATATTCTCCTGATCTTCAACCTCTAGACGCTGGGACTATCGGCTTCGCTGGGGAGCTCTGCAAATGAGACTTCCTATTCCGCCAACCTGAAACAGGAACCGTCTCCTTACCCCCGTTTTCTTCTTCCGGTACGTGCTCAATTTCAACTTGTCCCCCCTTTCCCCTGTCTAGAGTAGCGGCCGTTGCCGCTCCGCGATTGCAGACTGCGACCCATGCTGCCGCCCGCCTACTCCCTTCCCCTCGCTCCGGTCCTTCAGTGGCTGCTTGGTCAAACAATGCCATAACCATCAAAGCAGAGAGAGAATGTTCCTCATGTTCTGTATAATGACGTTACGTGCACTCAACGATAAAAGCAGGTCTTGGAGGGGCATAGCCAAGAAGGACCTGGAACGTACGACGACAGGGGTGATTGTCGAGCCATCGAAACGCAGCACTACCTAACGTTAAGTGATGGGATGTCTGGGATGCTGGGCCCCCTGTTGTCACCCGGCCGGCTGTTCAAGGGTCTTTAGCTTGGCTGCAATCGCGGGTGAAGCCATCCACTCTGTCAGTGGTCGGCGGCATCTTGATCTGGCAAAGGGCTCGGAACAATGTTACACAGCCACCACCGCGGCCCTTCTCTCATTCTCTTGTTGACACTGTTTCTACTTGCGAGGCGTGCTGACTGACTATCTCTCACAGGCCGAGACAGACTGCGTCGACCTTGTGCCTTCGCGCGATCAAAGGCCTATTGGCTTGGAACAAGGCCATCCTTTTTGTCATTGTTCCGACCCAGCTGGCGCTGCGTTACACGCTGGGCTGTTTTCTATTTTTTCTGTTCATTGGCATAGATTGCGTCCGTTCGTTTGCCACGGGTACATACACCAGCCGCTTCCACCACCTTGGTTCGAAGCTGGGCTCCGTCGTTTGCCCTACTGCGTCGACAGTGCTTCTTCAACTTCTTCAACACTGGCTCCGTCAATATCACACCGCCGACTCTCTCGAACCAACCAACTCATTTTACAGCATTGATTCTTGTGCCACAGCCTGGTGGCCAACGATTCGCCCTTTCAGAATCCGCATATGTTACGTCACTCCGGTGGTGGGCAGGATCGAGGAGGACATCGAAGACGCCGGCCAGAGACTGCGGCCAGCAGGTGGCTCCGCATGTGTTGTGGTGGCCCAAAGGGTTTCAGCTAAATGAATCCTCAAGATGGGAGAGATATGAATCGACTAGCGCCGGGATCCGTTAAGAGGGCGAGAGAGCGCGCCGCCGCCGGCCCACAGAGACACGCCGGCTTATCTCAGGAACCGCAAATGGCCAATCCTTCCGCGCCTCGTCAGCCGGCCGCCGGGTCCACTGCTGGACTCCCACGAAGCGTGCGGCCACAGGCGTCGTTCCTGCTTCACACAGAAGACGGGCATATCGGCGTGGCGATCTCGAGACCTACCCCGGCGCCGCAGTGGCCGCTTCCGGGACCTATCACCACGCCTGCGCCGATCGTCAGCGAGCAGTTCCAGCCGCCACACGGAACTTCGCCGCCCCAGCGACCACCGAGACCTAGTCGGGTCCCTTCCATTCTGGATGCATCCAAGGTGCAGGACCACACGCCCGTTTTCCAGTATAGGCCTAGGGAGTCAGCTGGCCAGGATTCACTGGTAGTGCCCGAGACCCCCTCGGGTGCGTCGCGACCATCCACATTGTCGTCCGTTGCCTCGATTCCCGACTTCCCTCTTCCGACACAAGGTCCATCCGGGCCACCAAGAAGAAGCGTTGGGCTTGGACCACCACCATCCGCGAGACGAGGGGCTTCAACCTTCTACTCCAATGCCTCCTTTGTTTCCCCAATTCCCGAGGAAAGCCCGCGTTCTCGGTCTCATACCTCGTTCGCGTCAAGTGCTGCGATGCCGGATAACTGGGCTTCACCGTCGTCGCCAGGACCAAGCCCGGACTACCCGGATCCTATTTACGGTGAAGCGATCATGGAGGAGTCGGCAATTGGGGATGACGATGCGGAAGAGAGCCGCTTAGTACGCAGTGCAAGTATTGGGAAGAGAGCGAAACCTACGTTGGTGAGCCGACCGTCCTTCCGAGGGCCCGATACAACGCAACGCGAGCAGCGACCGGGACCGCAGCCTGTTCAGGGGACTTCCCAGGAAGGGGTATCTTACGTTCAGCATTCGAGCTCCTCCGGCACGCTTCCGGCTACAGCGAGGCTACCCATCGGCTTGGCCGTGACACCCGATACTATGCTCAACGCCTATTCCTCGGCGAGTGCGGACGATCCGTTGACTTCATCGCAGCATAGCACAGCGAACTCAACCGATGCGACTCCCACCTACAGTCGGTTTTCGGCGATACGGCGGCCGCCGCGGTTGGATATTGAGGCCGTGAGGAAGGCTGAGGCCAGGGGGAGCTTGACGAGCCTGCCAGATCTCATTAGGCGAGCGACGAGGCTGGCAGCTAGTCTGGAGAAAGGGCGGAGGCCGGCCAGCCGTTTCGACGACCTCGAGGACTCTGGCAGCTCTGGGCTGGATGCCGAGAAACATCGGTCCGGTCTGTCGGATATGTTGGCCGCATTTCCTCCACCAGCACACCTGACACCAAACCCGAGTCGCCGCAGCATTCGGGACAGCATCCGAGAACAGCTGCAGTCATGGCCTCTCCCTATCAATATTAATCGCACTCTCAACACCTCACAAGAAGCTGTCCCAAACAGCGACTCGCAGACTACCGATTCGAAGCCCCGACGCAGATGCTGTGGCCTCCCTATGTGGGCCTTCATCCTGGTCATGGTAATTGCCCTGATCCTGATCGTCGCCGCGGTGGTGATTCCGGTGGAGCTTCTCGTTGTTCGCAAGCAAAACAGGAACCAAGCACAGGAGGACCTTCAACAATGCCAGCGACAACTCACTTGTGCCAACGGTGGCACGAATGTGGTTATTCAGGGGGTGTGCTCCTGCCGATGTGTAAGCGGATTCACCGGCCCTGACTGCACCGTAGTTGGCGAAACGGCTTGCACCACAATTGCCCTGGCCAACAGCGACAGGAATGTCACCGTGGGGGACGCCATCCCGCGCCTGATTCAGCAAGCCCAGACCAACTTCTCCATTCCTCTCTCCGCCAGCGAGGTCATTTCGAAATTCGACAGCGGAAACTTGAGCTGCTCCGCAGAGAACGCGCTGGTAACCTTTGACGGTCGTGCGATACGGCAGGCCCAAGCGGCCGTCCCAGAGGCCGTCAACGCCGCAATCGTCGACGGCATCTTCTACACCACCATCACTATCGTAATCGCGCCGTTCACTACGTTCACAGTCGGCGCCTCCTCCTCCTCGACGTCGACAAGGACAACCTTCAGCACCTCTAGCTTCGCCACAACGATATCCGCCGGCGGACAATCTCCCTCGCTGACCACGTCTCTGACAGCGACGAGCATGGTCACGATGACCACGACCATGTCCTCTGGCACAGGGACGCCGACGACGCCGACGCCGACGTTTGGCGTGACGGAGGACGTGCTCGACTTTGCGCGGGTCGCGGTGCTGTACATCCTTCAGGAGGACAGCCTGGCGGATGCCGAGACGGCGCAGATGGCGCTGCAGAAGCTTTTCAGCTCGGCAACAAGCGGCTCGTCTTCTTCTGGCGGTGTCAGCGGTGTCAGCGTCGAAGCGGCGCGCAACGTGACGGTCGGGGACGGGAGGTCGGTCGACCTGGTCGATTTCGTGGTCGACATGGGCGGTTCCCTTGGGAAGGTTGGGAGGGTTTCATAGGAAAGTTTTGCGGTGACGGCATGGAAAGGAAAAGTGGCGGGCAGGCTGTGGGCGCTGGGAGCAGACGAGAGTCAACCTGACAAACGCAGAAGTACTCACAGCTGTTGCTTTGGCTTTTGATGTGGAGGATGACTGGAGATTTTGGTGAAACGGACCATGAGTCTAGGGCAAGAATTACGACTGCGGCCGTGCAACGACCAATCTCTTGGAAAGCCGATGCTTGGGAAATAGGGGCGCTTCCACAGAGGATGCCACTGCTTTTCGCGATACATACTTTATTATTATTTGTTGTACCATTATCCGTATATGCTGAAGCGCAAGGCGCCCGGCGTTTCTCTAAGATATTATGCATTGACGACTGTACTATGAGGGGAAAGGCAGAGGCAATGGGGAGAGAGACGGGCTCGGTGTTTAGACGGTGTGACCTGGTGTAGATAATATTTCTACTACAGAATCGAGATGTAATTGCATGGTGGATGGACGATATGCTTTTTGGAAGGCACATCGGAACCGTCGCGCAGCGCTGGCCAGATGGTGTAGAGCAGGGCGGCAACCTCTCTTCGCCTGCCGTCTCGGCTCCTCTTCATGTTGGTCTGACAGCTGCTCATGAGTCCTTGGATTTTCGAGATCCACAGATACTCTTCGGTAAGACCTACTTCTGCTTGCCTCGGACTCGCATCCTGATTGTACTGCAGTCCGAGACAAGGGAAGGCTGGCCGCGGCCTTTTGACCCACGAATCCGTCACTCCGGATGGAGGAGAGTTGTACGTACAGCGGCGGGTCCGGTGATAACGAGCTCAAATGAGAGATATCCGCCGCTCGTTCAGATGTAGGCAAACACAGATATACGGCATCTTTTATGGCGTGTGTATTGAACCAGCAGTTTCCGATGCCTCGCAGGCACAGTATCATGATAGTTGATTCGGCGGCTTGGAAAAGTGAAACATGGCGTGGGATGCGGGTTTTGAAGCATTCCTGGCCATTTGATGGGGTTCTGCGACAGAGTGGGGCATCATAATTGGCCTGAGGCAGCAATTACGTATACCGCACGTTGTCACTGCTAGCGCTTGTCTGCTGACGCCGCCGCCCCGTCAGGTCTCGTTCGGCATGCTCGGACCGCAACATCAAAGACAGACCACCTCCACCCATTCCATACATCACTCTTACTTTCCAACTACTTACTAGACCAGCCACTACACGATAAATTTTCTCTTTCTTCTTCTCTATGAACACATAAATTGAACGACACCTCCACTGATTGACACTTTCCTTACAAAAACTGCCGAAAGAGCGCAGCACAAATGCTGTTGAAACTATTCACGGCTGCGGCGGGCCTTCTGGCCATCCCAGCTACGCAAGCATTCCTCGTCTCTCCTGAAATCAGCGACGCCGATATCCAAGTTGCGAACACCATCGAAAGTCTCGGCGACTTGGGCGCCGAGACCCAAGTCGTCGATGTCGAGTGCCCCGGCTGCCCCATCTTGGTGAGGGGAAGACGTGGCAAGAGCTTCCAGCGCAAGATCGATCGCCCAAGCCACCTGGAGCTGACCTTTTCCGTCGACCACCAACCCGATCATGACCGCCTTTTGGTCAACGGCTTCGAGTTGTATCCAACCTCTCGTCCATCATTCGAACCGCTTTTGGCACCGCAAATCGTCGAGGGCAGGAGGCGCCACCGTGGGCACGACCGGCACGACCGCGATCACAACGATCGCAAGCATCGTGTGCGCCCTTCCAGGCACACGCCGCAGCCACAGCGGCTGGGATTTACCGCGCGCGTGAGTGCTCCGAAAAAGGACGCCAACCGTCAATTTGAGCTCGTCGAAGTTGAGCTCCAGATTATCGAAGTTGGCATCGCCTTCATCGATGGGATCCCCAACGTCAAGGTCACGCTGATAAAGGATGCGGAGGGTCGGCTGCTCATGTCCCAAATTGAGAAGAGCGAGCCCAAGCAGGTTCTGGAGCATCCCAATGGTGGTGCGGAGCAATGCGAGACCATGATGTGCGAGTGGGTGGCTACGGTACGGGAGAAGCTTAAGGGTCTCAAAGGCTTCGGCCACTGCCACGGCGGCCACACGAAGGGCGGCACGGCCTCCCCTGCTCTTGGCGAAGCTCCTCACGGTCATCCGCATCACCACCATCTTCCCGGTGACAAACCGAGGCCCACGCCGTTCCGGGAGCACCGCTGGGGCAAGCTGTTTAAGCACATTGGCTCGCACATCCTCCTTCCCGTGCTTATTGGCATCGTTGCCGGTGTGAGCGTTAGCTTGTAAGGCATGCCCTTTTTTCGCTTCTTGATCTCATTTACTGACTTAATCTAGGATCGGCATGGCGGTCGGCACTGTGATTGTCTCGCTCTGGCGCGTCGTCTTCCGCCGCCGCAACGGCCATCGTCGTCACCACTCTCACCACAACGCTGCTCACAAGGAAGCCGCTCTCGATGAGGAGAAGTCGGGTCTGATGGAACACGAGGACCTGCCCCCGTCGTATGACGAAGAGACCACCAAGACATCGCAGGCCTAAGCATGATTGATTGAGTAAGGGTATGAGGAGAAAGGAGTGCTTGGCTTGGATAAGAGCAATGCAGCAGGCGTTCAGGATTATGAGCGGTTTGGAGATTTTCTGTCTTGAGTTCTCATAGCACTGGGATACCGAGTGTGATCCTGTCACTCCTTTGATTACTTGGGTTGGGCTTTCTGCTTTTTCTTCTTCTTTCAGTACTCAGCAAATACCCTCACATTCCTTAGCATTGGATACCAGGAATTTGACCTACTTTCCTTCCCCGTCAGCCGGACTTAGGTTGGAGCTTGGATTTGCAAGGCTGCGGTCATCCTCGTGATGTCACTTAGCCATATTGTCCTCAATGTCCTGACTGCTCGGAGCTGAGGTAGCGTTCAAGACGACTGAAAGTGGCACTACTGGAGTCCCCCGGAGGATAACGCGTATCTCGAGATGCTGCCCGAGACAGAACACGAAGAACAAATATAGGAATTTCGTTAGTGAGAGCAGACAGTCTCTCTGAGACAGGACAACTGCTATTTCCAGCTTGGTTCTATCTCTCCCGCAGCGAGTCAACGGCGGGGCTTGGGACGAAGGCAGCGGCTAAACGACCGATGACGCTTCTTCAACGTCCATCACTCCACCGTCAACATGGCTGTTGTTACATCAAGCCACCTGGTATCCGTCCGTATGCATCCACAAATCAATGTACAAGCGGATGTGTAAGCCGCTTCGTGGATCTGCATTGCATACACCGTACAGCCGCGAGCTGATGCAGGACAGGGCTCGGCATGGCATCCGAAGTACATAACAACGGCCGGGCGGGTGGACTTTGTGGGGCCGGAGCACCTTGTTGCGACCTGCTTAAAGTCCCCCTTCTCAGCTCGTTACGCTGACCCGGGAGTGCGCCGACGACAGCTTCCGTAGAGTGGGTCCGCGCCGAAGGATGGCCGCCGAACGGGCCGCATCCTGCATGCCCCACTAGAGACCTACCGCCAAGCCCTTCCCGCCTTTCAGCAACGGCAGAAAAAGTCGAGAATCGGATTTCAAGAGACGGGTTGTTGCTTGGCAGTCACTTTTTTCAGAGCCCAATTCTTTCTTCCACAATCGATTTACAGTCGCGGTCTGGGTTGAATTACGCCGACAGCCACTAGCCATGGCCAAATCATCGAAAAAGAGAGAGCGCACCGAAGAAGATGTCGCCGACAACCACGACGCCAAGCCTGTGCTCAAGAAGAGCAAGCTCGACACAGCGAGCAAGGCTGAGGTTACCAAGAAGAGTTCTGAGCTGAAGGAGGTCAAGTCTGAACCTCCCACGACCGAGGAAACCTTCATGTCCAAGAAGGGCAAGAAGGACAGGAAGGACAAGAAGGGCAAGAAAGAGAAGAAGCGCAAGGTCAAAGATTTAGAGACCGTCGCCCAGACCGACGAGCCCGCTCCAGCTGCGCCCTCGAACCTGGAGACACAGACGGAGCAACCAGCCAACGGCGACGCCATCGCAAACAAGAAGAACAAGAAGAAGAAGAACAAGGATAGGAAATCCAAGAGCACCGAGCACGTCCCGATCAAAGAAGATGAAGACGACAAGAAGGCCTTAGCAGACCACCACAACGACTACAGCGACAACAGCAACAAACCAACCCGCTTCATCTGCTTCGTCGGCAACCTCCCCTACACGGCAACCGTCGACTCCGTCCGCGCACACTTTGCGACTTTGCAGCCGACATCGGTGCGGCTGCTCACGCAGCGCGATGACCCGTCCAAGTCGCGCGGCATCGCCTTTGTCGAGTTTGGGCGGTACGACCACATGAAGACGTGCCTCTCCAAATTCCACCACACCGAGTTCGACGACGGCAAGTCGCCCGCGCGGAGGATCAACGTCGAGTTGACGTACGTATATATTTATCTTTATGAACTCGGGCAGCGCAGAAGACTGACTCGGCTTTCTCCTGTGACTGTAAACAGAGCAGGAGGAGGCGGCAAAACGGCCGCGCGGCAGGACAAGATCAAGCAAAAGAACGCCAAGCTCAACGAGGAGCGGGCGAACCGGATGCAGAAGGAGGAGGAGGAGGCTAAGCTGAAGAAGGCGGGCAAGACGGGTGAGGGTAAGACACAGGAGCAGCGGGATGAAGACGCGATACACCCGAGCAGGAGAACGAGGGTACCGTATGGCAGGAATTAGCCAGGTGCGCGTGAGGGAGGGAGAGAAGTGATGGTCATCAGTGCTGTTTACGCAAAAGATACCCTCTTTCTTTCATAACGAAATAGACGTTTTCCTATATCATGTACTGTCACTGGGACAGCAGGAATCTATGGGCAAAAAAAAAAAAGGAATTGTCTTTTCGCATTCAACCATGTAACGTCATGTCCGCTATCAACAACTGGTTCCTGGCTCCAAGAAATTCGCTCGCAGTCTCCAACTGTGAAGAAAGCAGAAAACGAAAGAAAGCTGACAGACAAATTGCCACTGCGCCGTCAGAATATAGGAGACGACCATGCAGGGTAAAAACATTGGCACCCCAGAGTCAGCTCAGCATCGCTAGGGAGATCATGAGAATACGGCGGAATGCGAGCCATGAGGGTATGAAGATCCATGCGTATGCATGCCCCGCCAACCTAGCTCGATGAACGGCGATGCCTCTGGCGCGACACCTAAGCCGGAGAACCCTGGCCCGTGTCGTCTACTATGAGAGAAGGGCATAGTATCGAGCGCAATCCAAAAAAGGGAAGCTTCGGGTGGGGCGTTGTAGTGCGAGAAGCGGACGTGTCTCTGTTGGGTATAGATAGGGTGCTGTGCATTACGTGATCGTTTCGTCGATCGTAGGGTATGGAGAAGGTGCGTTGGGCTGAAGGGCGTTACAGAATCGAGCATTGGCTCTTCTTCTTCTTCTGCTGGGTCTCCGCTGGCTTGGGTTGAATCACAGCTCTGAGAATGCAGTGTCAGATTTCGGACCAAAGCCCCTGTCGGCGGCAGAACCCGCCAAGCGTCCACTCACCTGATGGCGCTGTCAAAGACAGCTTTGAGATTCATCTGTGTCAGGGCCGAGCATTCGACGTATTTGTAGGCTTTGATCTTCCTAGCGCACTCCAACCCCTGCTCGTAGGTGATAGGGCCCATGCCGTTTGGCCCCTTCGGCTCGTTGGGGTCCCGCTTGTCGAGCTTTGTGCCGACCAGGACAATGGGGACGTCGGGCGCATGATGCGAGATTTCTGGGTACCACTGTGGATGTGTGGTCAGCAGCTGTACTCATATTGCCTACCCGCTGTTCGAGTCCTGAAGGCTTAACTAACCTTGGCGGTAACGTTGTCATACGACGCGGGACTGACGAGGGAGAAGCAGATGAGGAAGACGTCGGTCTGAGGGTATGAGAGCGGCCGCAGTCTATCGTAGTCCTCCTGTCCAGCGGTGTCCCACAGTCCCAAGCTGATCGGTTTGCCGTCGACCTGTACGCTCGCCGAGTAGTTGTCGAACCTGGTGTGAATTTGTTAGACGCCGTTGCATGCGGTAAAGCAGTCGATGTACGAACACTGTGGGGATGTACTCGCCGGGGAAGGCGTTCGTCGTGTACGAGATGAGCAGGCATGTCTGAAACGAAGCTGTCAGTATGGGATTCCTTAAGAGGGAATGAGATAGATATGATTCGTACCTTGCCTACAGCGCCATCTCCGGTGACAACGCACTACGGATGCGAGATACCGTTAGCTCGGAGCGTGGCCTTACCGGACGGGTCGCTCGCCAACGTGGGGACACGCGCTGGTGATCTGGGCGGTGTTGCGGCGGTCGACAAACCTTGATTGATTGGGTCGCCATGGTTTATAGAAGCTGTGTTGTTGAAGCAAGAAACAGGACCTGTGTGGCAGCTCTCGATCTGGAAACCAGCGGCCGGACGGCGATGGTTGTGCTCGGTGTTTCTCGAATAGCGGTGGGTGGGTGGGAGGAGAAAGCGCTGGAGAATTGCGCCTGCGAGGTTGGCCCGCGCTCCAATGCCTTGGCTGACGGCGAGAATAGGTTTGTTCGATCTTCAGGACAGGGAGACGAGACGCAAAGCTGGGCGCAAAGGTCAGAAGCAGACCATGGACGCGAAACAGAAGGTCTAAGTGCCTGGTGCTTAGACGTGCACAAGTTGAAACTGAAGCAAATGCAGAGGCAGACCCGGGCACCAGGCGAACGGACTGTTCGACTCTAGATTGGGACCTTTGAGTCGAGATAGGAAAAGCAGCACTGTGAAAACACCTGTTGGCGGCTGGCCCGGCCCACCCACAACGGCGGCTCAAGCCAAGTGCGTGTGGGGCGGGGTGGTCGCAAGTGGACCGCTTCCTGCTTCTCACACGGCCGGCACACCCATCATCGTCTTGGCGGCACTCTGTCTCTGCTTTTGGCGGGAGCTGGGAGACAAGGGGGTTTGGCCTCTGACACTCTCGGCGTTAACTGCCTCAGGGTGGTTGACCTGATTGGAAGAAAATGAAAAGAACGGCACGGCGAATCAGCTCAACCACACATGGCTGCCAAACACGACTCCGTGATCTGCGTCGGGGAGCAGCACCATCGCACCCCCTGTCCAGTTTCGCCAAGACTGTAGATTGAGAGAGAACACTTCCAGGCATGTTATTGAAGGCGGAATGGGCCACTCGGCGCAGAAGAGGGATGAAAGGGATAATGGACGGGTCGACTGGATTTCTGGACTGCCATGCCCTCGGGGGGTGCACCTGCTTCAGAGAAGCCAGAATCGGCTGGTCGCGGCCTCATGGCGGATGTTCTTGCCAAATAACAAGGTGTGAGCTTTACATATGCCCGAGAACTTGTATGATAGATTCGTCCCTTCTCCGCGAGACACTGATAAAGGAATTGCAGCTGTGCGCAAAGGCTCGCTCGAGGACGACTCTACTCTACATCCGTATGCATAGGTAGTTTCGTCCGTCGCATGGGTCTGGGATGTAATCGACGATGCGCGCAGCTGGGAATGACAGTTGAGGTCGGGATGTGTAGTACTGAGCCAGATAACTCAGACCTCGGCGCCGCCACATTTGAGGTACGTCTGTAACCGAGATGCTCTGTCTATGGATATGTGATCTGTGACAAGATCCGGTACACTTCGGGTGCGATGTGGCGGCTCAGCGCCTGGCACTAGGTACTCTTGATTTTTCTGTTCGTAGCTTCGTACAGACCTACGTGGTCTTTCACCTTGAACCTGTGGCAGTCCCTGAGGCGCCCAAGCAATGGGTCCAGGCCTCCGTTCGGCGATGAGTGGAGGGTAGGCGTTCATCCCAACAACTCTTCACTCCTGCGCCGGTTCGCACAACAGTCGCTGACCTGGTGTTCAGCGGATAGGACAGGGAACGGCCTGATACCTCCTTGAGCTTTCTAGAACATTGCCCTTGCTTGGGTAAGCGCAGTTCGTTGCACTGTTGACGTGCTGGTGAAACACGAAACGGGGTCGAGGCCTGCTCCGGTGTAGCAGTTACTGTATATACGGGTGTGAGGGATTTTCAGTGCTATACATGCTGCTCACACTCTCTTGTTGGGGTACTACGCGGCTACGTAGAGACTACCGTGTAGATAGAACTTGTATTACTAGATAGAGTTTCTTGAGCTCTCTCTAATAGTACCAATCTATTTGGTTTAGCCAGGTTGCGGGCAAGATGCAAGAGAGCTTAATGATAGTAATATGAAAAAACATAGGGTGAAGGAAGATAAAGTGTACGGATGTACTCCGTAATACCACTGAGTAGATCCGTAAATTCCGCACTGAAAAACAAACAGGGTTGGATTATATTTACAAACCCCACTTTTTATTCAAATCGGGAAGTCAACTCACGTTGTGAGCTCGGCACCTTTAGGCGCGTCATGGTTTACTGGTCTATTGACCATGGCCATCTCAACGGAGGTAATTCGGACACGGTATTGGCACAACCTGGGATCGATTCGAATGTCACACCACTCGCCAGAAGCTTTGTCGGGCTGCCTGTTGCCAAGAAGATGGCTCGCGAAAGCCAGCGCCCGGCCGCGACGCCGACAAGACGGGCCTCGAGTGAAGGGCCAGTGACCTCGATTTACCGACAACCCGTGCTCAGAACGCCCGGAAGTCACGCACGGGGCCTTCAGCGCCCGCAGGCGACATCAGCATCAGGCAGGAAGATCGCGCCTCCGACTGCGACGCCACATGCTCGCGCCGCATTCCGGACCATCGACTCGCGCCGGGCAGCCATCTTCACGCCGCATCGCGCCAGGCGGAAGAGCTTGCGCGAGGTGCGCGACTCGCCCCGGGACTTCTTGCTTTCTCTAGGACGAATGTTGGCACGCAACACAGAGGTGATTACAACATCATCCTCCTCATCGCCTGGGGAGGAAGACAAGACGCTCGGCTCGGATGGCGCAGGCAACGAGACGACGCTCGGGGCGATTAGTGTCGACGACGATGAAGATGAGGAGGAGCTTCCGAAGCGTCCGCGGCTCTCGCTCCCTATTGACGAGGAGGACGACGATAGCGACGATCTCCAGCCTCATCATTCGGTGGTGATTGACGACGACAACTACACGATGCAGTCTATCGAGATGCCGCGGAGGGCCATTAGCGAGCAGCCTGGTGGCCGGTTTTCCATGAACAGCGTGCGCATGAGCGATTACTTCAACACGAACGATATGCTGCATAGCGAGGATATTGAGGTAGACTCAGGCTTCTTTCCCCCGACAGCGGTGTTGGACGAGAACAACATCACGATAGGGGTCGAGGAGCTACCATCCCCTGAACGGTGATGCTAATTCGCTACAACTGCAATGGACGAAAGGCTGACCTAGGCGTAGGCTTGATTCGGACGGTGATCGGCGCGACCTTGGCCGCGAGAGCTATTTTGGTATCGAGGTGCCTGTCGGGGACATCAACGAGAGCACGTTCATGATAGCGCCCCAGGTCGAGGAATCGCCCAATCGACCGCCCGTCACGAATGGCACGCCAACGGTCGACGACTATCTGCCACTTGTTGACCATAGGAGTGACGACTTTGATGACGAGGACTTAATCGGAGGAGTGCCAGCGTTAGCTGATGAACCAGTTGAAGGGCCCAGCGACGGCCGGCTTGAGGAGACAGACGTTCAGTTCGCGAGCATCAAGAGGGCTCAGGTGCGTGGAGCAACCAAGAAAATCATCAGGATCTCAAAACACGGCATCGAGTATCCGTCTCTTCCACCGGCCGTGGTGCAAAGGCTGGCTCAAAACTTTGCAAAGGCCAGCGGCGCGAAGGGGAAGATCACGCCAGATGCCATGCAGGCTATTATGCAGGCCTCGGACTGGTTCTTCGAGCAGCTGGGTGAGGACCTACAGGCCTACGCCAAGCACGCCGGCCGCAAAACCATCGATGAGAGCGATGTTCTCACCCTGATGAAGAGGTATGCTACAATCTATCGGTGGGTATCTCAGATATTGATACATATGACTGACAACTTACAGGCAGCGTCAGATCAACCCTAATACAACAGTCTTCGCTCTGGCGCAACGCCACCTTCCCAGGGAGTTGCTGCAAGAGCTCCGCATGCCACCCCCTGCTGTACCGAAGAAGCGCCGCAGGACAAAGGGCGGGGCGGAGGATGAAGATGTGACCTGAGGTTCGGGAAGGAACCGGTTGAGCATCATTACCAATGTTTATTCATGCGAACACGACGTGCTACGTCGGATGGCGGCTTTCTGACCACCAGATAGAACATTATCGACGTGGCAACGGCGAGGCCGTACCTGTGCGCGTCAGTCGGCTGCTGTCCGTGGAAGGAAGTCGCGGACGCAGAGGCCCGCTTGGGTCGCGCTCTGCGAGATCTGGGATGAACTTACCAAGTGAAGATATACTGTGCATGGTTGTTGCGCAGATTTACCTCTGCCGGCCGCCCGATGGGGATACCTCGGCTCTCGAAGTCCAAGACCTGGTGGAAATCAGGGTCTAAGCAAACCGTTAGCACCCCCATTAGGTATCGAAGATAACCCGGTCGAAGGGACACAAAGTGAACCCACTCATAGTCTGCTCAATCCAGACCGGTTGACTCCCCGTCAAGGCTGCCATCTGCTTCACATCCGGAAAGTAGAACTCGCCCTTATCCGGCCTGTTGTCGGGCGTAAACATGTTCTTCTTCCACGGCTGCCTCAGCATCCCCTCCACCCTCACTTCCCCCGTCGGCAACCCATCGAGCCGCTTGCGCTGATCGGCGTATTGTTTGGAGATCCACCCCCGGTTGACCAGCACCTTGGCGCCCTCGTCCCCCTCCCGCTCGAGCGGCGTCACCACAATGTAGCCCTGCTCACCGTCGCGCATACGCGGGCCAACGAGCATCTCCTGGTCGTGCCGGAACCGGCCCATCGTGTAGATGCGCCGGTAATCAAAGTCGACGATCGCGTCCGCGTCCACGCGTGGGGGAAGCGGGAGGGGAGGGCGGACCAGCCGGTCCTCGCACTTGGCGATCAAGTCTGTCTTCCATTGCAGGCGCTTGACTTGCCAGGTGCCGAGGAAAAAGGCGGTTACGGGGATGATGGCTGGTTTGTTGTTAGTCGTGGGTTGAATTGGGTCGAGAAGTGATAGGACCTGGGGAAGGTTGGGGAGCGTCACCGAGGATGATCAGGCCTGGGCCGTGCCTGCGGCCTGTCCGGACGAGTTCGGGCGGGTTGTCGAGGATTGAGGTGAAGCCTGGGTCGTCGGCGGGTTGCCTTGGGCGTCCCGGGCTGTTGGAGACGGGGCGTCGGGGAACGGAACGGATTATTGATGAGTTAACCAGTGGCCATTGTGTAGTTGGTCTGCCAATTGGCCTCTGTTTCGTCAGTAATAGCCGCAAGACGCACGCGCGTACCCTCTCAGCTGCCATGTTTTGCCAGACTCGACGGTCGAGGTCGAGGCGGTGAAACTTGGAAAGTGCGATACTCGAGAGTTCTTGGTGCTGTGGTGGAGAGACACACCCATTCGGGGCTTGGGCCTTAATATCTTGCGGCACGCAAGCGCTGCACCCCGCATCTTACAGCGGCTCCGTCAGCACTCAGCAGGGGCTCAGTGTCATTTCGGAGTAACCGGCTCTGGGCTGTTCTGCCATCATGTCGGTCTTTCATCATCATTGAAAGGATAACATTATTGCATGCTTTGGATCCGTTAGACATCCGAACCCGCCGGGCCCTCATATTCACTTTATCGAGTCTCGGCCACCACTCAGTGGCATCACACAGCAACACCCTCCTACCCTCCCTTATTCCTTACCGTTGGCCGGAACCACCGATTTTCACACACGCGCCCCCCTGACTATGGCTTTCTTCCAAGGATCCGTTCAAGAGGGCATTGCCGCCGCTCTTCAGCAGGCAAAGTCTGTGGTGTGCTTTGTCACAGGTCAGAGTGTCTCACTGCAGCCCCAACATGGCACGAGCTAACCAGCGAAACAGACGGCAAGGCGGAAAGCATGCAGTGGGAAAATGAGTTCTTCGCCGAGGAAGATGTCAGTCATTTTGACCTGTCTTTCATCAATGGATCTTTTCTGACTTCGAGGACGGCGATTAGATCCGTTCGTTACTCCAGGCACAGGCCGTGTCCCTGCGGCTTGAAGCCGGGTCAGATGGGGAGAGCAACCTTGCGCAGCTCTATCCCATCCCTAGAAAGCCCACCGTCGTGGTTATCAGGTCAGTTTTCTGCCAAAAACTGACATTTGACAGGAGCTGACAGAAGACAGGAATGCGGAGCTAAAAGAATACATCGCTGCCGGCGTCTCCAAGGACGAGTTTGCGAGGAGGATGAAGAAAGCACTGGCGCCAACACAGTCTGCACCTGACCAACCTCTGCCTGTCCAAGCCACGGTTTCTCCACGCGAAGCTGTGGCCGTGTCAGCGGCCCCGGCGAGCCAGCCAAACCGTGACCATGAATCCCGGGTACAAGCCCTCTTGGCCGAAAGAAGCGCCAAGCTTGCTGAAAGAAAGAAGAAAGAGGAAGAAGAGGCGAAGCGGCAGGGTGTAGAGAAGGCCAAAGCCAAAGCCGAAGCCGAGGCAAGCGGGTCAAAGCAGCCTGATGAACGGAGCAAGTACGAGGCAGCCCTCAAGAAGAAGCAACGAGAAGCGCGCGAGGAGCGGGAGCGGATCCGCAAGGCCATAGCGGACGACAAGGCGGCCCGGGCGGCTCGGAAGGCAGCGGCAGAGGCGGAACGGAAGGAGGCAGCGGTTTCTGAGATCACCGATTCGGCCCCCTTTGCTCCGGCAAGCCAGCTTCTCCCGCGTACGGGCAAGCTCAGCGAGCACTGTGCCATCCAGGTCCGGTTGTTCGATGGCTCGACGATCCGCAGCCGCTTCTCGAGCCACGAGACGCTGAAGGATGTGAGGAAGTGGGTCGACGAGACGCGTGGGAACACCAAAGAGGCCTACACGTTCAAGGTTCTGCTGACGCCGCTGCCGAGCAAGACCATCGACATCACGGAGGAGGACAAGCCCCTTCAGGCGCTGGGGCTTGCCCCTTCGTCGACCCTTATTCTACTGCGCGTGCCCAAATACAGCGCCGCCTACTCGTCTGGTACAACGCCCGTGGCTGATGAAGCTCAAGGCAATGCCTCTCAAAGATTCATCGGTTACATCCTGGCCCTCGTCACTGGCTTCTTCAGCACAACCATCGCCTTTTTCTCCGCTCTTCTCAGCACAGCTGGGCCACCAGCAGCTGCGCCCGAGTCCTCACCATCCCAGGCATCGCAGAGCCAGGCGGCCTCTAATGCAGCCCGACGTCGTCGTGGCGGACGGATAGCCGGGCTGGACCATACAGGCGGCCAGCCGAATGACCAACAGTTCTACAACGGCAATTCTGTGAGTCATGATCGTTTTACAACCTACAGATCACAAGCTAATGATGCATAGATCAATTATGAGCCCAGGCCAGATGACGGAGAGTAGGCGTGATTCTTAATACGGCGTTGAGCGGGATTGTCCAGTCGCAGCATCAATCCGTGGTTCTTTGAAGGGCGGAATATGTCTTGCGCTGCTCTATTGTACAGTGATATAATGGGTTGATGGCCGAATACAGCGTCCCTCTGTTTTCACGCCCGGATATGCCGTGAAATTACATTCCATCTCCTATCGTCCATGCGCCATGCTTTAGTACTGCTTGGCAGCAGCCTGGCACGCTTTCTGCAAGAAGTCATCAGCACACTCAATCCCCAGTTGTCTAAAGCCATGCCTGGCGATGGAGCGGGTAACTTACGAGCTGCTCCAGATACCACCCGCAAATCGACATGTTGCCGCCGTGCTCGTCCATGCATTTTGTGAACTGCTCCGTAACGCCGGCGCAGTTGTTGCCAAAGGTGCTGTTGGTCTGAGCCGCCTGGGCCTGCGTCGCGGGCTCGGGCGCGCTGCTCGAGGAGCCGCCCCAGAGGCTGCTGATGCCGTTGCCGACGACGTGGCCGATCGAGGAGCCGATGGCAACGCCACTGTCAAGCACGCAAACATCCATTCCATGTTAGCCTCCTTTTCCTTGCTTCTGGTATATCTTTCTTCATCCCTCAAAAACGGAGGCATTATGTCTGTCCGAGAATGGAACGGGTTGAACGTACGCGGCGGTGCTGGCCATCTGGCCGAGGAGGCCGGGGCCCTGGGATACGGGCGCCGTCGGGGCGTGGGGAGCCATCTGGGAGGAGGTGGGAGCCGACGAAGGCGCGGCGTAGGTAGCTGCCGGCCGGGTCTGCTGCTGCTGGGTCGGGGCGGGCGCCGAGCGGGCGGGCACGGTGGGCCGGGACGGAGCCGGGCGGGCGGACGACCTAGACTGGCGAGGCATGGCGTTTGTTTGTGTTTGTGGATTCGAATCGGTTCAACGAGAGTGATGTTGTTGTCTGGAGGGAGTGGAAGCGCTCAGAGTTGGAGACGTTTTGCCGGAAAGTGTTGGGAGACCGAATGTGATTTTGCCATTGGCCACAGCTTTGCTGGTTTCCGGCACCTGCAGGCCTAGAAGCCAATCGAAGCGCGCCGTTCAGGCGCATGGAGTTTCCGGCAGCCGAGACTCCGAGCACCGACTTCAATACTCCGGGTCAGGATACGCTTACTTCCCTCCAAGACTCGACGATCACCCAGACAAGTTAGATAGGTAGATGAAGGAGCCTGAGTTATTTCACACATAAAAATAAGGAGGGCTGGGAGGCAGCGAGTGACATGCATCCGGCTTGATTCTGGGCAAGACCAGCGTGTTTGAGAGCTGTCATTTTGCCCTTCAGTCTCGTTCTATGTCTTCACCCTCGACGTCGAGTTCCCGTTGTTCCCTCCTTAAGGGAGAGAGTGCCTAAGCAGTCCACGACCCTTCAGAGGACCACTCCTGGATGTGAATCTGGTGAGGCTCGTTCCAAAATACGGCGGTTAACCGGCTGGCCTCTACGCCAAACCCCCACGAAAAGAGCTTCACAATTGGTGCCACAGGCTATTGCCGTGGTGTCTCTCATTCATCATCCTTAAACGACGAATGGAGGCATCGTGAAGGGATGCCCTGCCCTGACCATGAACCCTGTAAGCAGCTCTCAGATAGTTTTTCAATTCCTCTTCTGGCCCCCGTTGCGCTTCGACCGCTTACAGAGCTTCTCGCCAGCCTCGACGCCACTACTCTCCGCAGCAGGCTCGTCTGCTGGTCGCTTCTTTTCAGCGGCCTGACGTGCCGCCTTCTGCCGCTCGCTGGCAATGAGCTCGGTTAACTTTGCTTTGATGTCCTTGTTATCGCCCTGCAGCCGTGTGAGAACCCTGTTCAAACGACCTGCAGTACACACGACTTACAAGATCAGACCTGAGGAACCGGGCTGCGGCCTCGGTATTGACCGTGTTCTCGCGTTCTGCTGGCGGGGTTTCGAGTTTCTGGATCTTTTCTGTATACCGCCTTACGCGGGTCAACTCGGTGAAGATGGCATGGTTCGTAGTATCGACCCCGTTCAGGCGTAATGATGCTGGACCAGATGTGAGTGGAAAGCTGAGAAAAAGGTAGAAAACTCTCACAGAAAAGGAGCGCCTCTATCGCGTAGGCAACCAAGACGTAGAGATTTGCCTTGTCTAGAAGGGGAAGCTTGGACGAAATGTCACCAATGTCGCCCAGCAGCGGCTCGAGCGACTGCCCTGCCTTATGGAGCGCCTCTTCAAGCCGATCCAGTTGCGGCGTGATGTCGCTGACATCCATTGCAGAATCGATGGACAGATTGCTGAGTTCTGAAATCTCAATAAGATTACTGACGTAGTATCCAGTTGTTGGGCCGTTGATATTCAGATTCCACGGGCAGATGTTTTTTTCAGTTCAGACTGTTTCTTCGACTCGGATGTGAATGAGCCTTCCAAAAGCGGGCTTGCTACTTGCAAGTTGCACCCTGAAATCCAGGCGTTGTGGGTCTGGCGTGTGCAATCCTGGGTCGGACTGACCAATCAACCGGCGGCGTTTTTTTTTTTTTCGTTTCTCGAGAGAGAAAGAATCCAGCCCACATTCAGCGCCCCTTGCCTCGACCGCGAAGCCGTTGAGACGGCTTCATATCTCCACACAAGCCGAACGCCTGATGTTTTGCGAAAGCTACCGGGCGACCCCAACCGCCGAACCCATCTCGATTGCTTCCCCGATGCCGCATCGCATGCCCTAAATATCGAGAGCCACCTGCGACGGGTCTCTCACCGAGTCTGCGACGCCGACCAAGTCCTACCATGCCCTCACACCGTCTTCCGTGAACACCGCCAACCTGTATCTATTTCCGAGCCGTCGCCCGCCATTGCGGGCGTTCGCGCAAATACCCTACAGCCGCATACCATGCTCACTCAATAACAACGTCGCGGGCCGGGGGGCCAACCGCCATGGTGCGTCAGGCCGAGATTTCACGACGGCGAGTTACATTCAAAGTCAAGAAGACGGCGGGCTATTGCGGGGTGGTCGATTCGCATTGCCTGCGCATCTTTCCGCGGCTTCCGGACCTTACGCTGTCTTGCCCACCGGCAATGAACGTACACCATCGGCCGGGACAATTCGGAAAGATGAGCCGTCTCCCTCTCAAACCCGCGCCATCGTGGAGGTAGAGCAGGAAGCGCGGGGAGATCTGGGTAGGATTCAGTCCAGGGTCGCGTTGTGGGACTCGGGAAGGGACCGAGTTCATGGCGCCGATTTTGATGCACTTGCCTTGCCGCCGTTCACGACCTCCGACCAGGTCCATGTCATGGGGTTGGACCTGACAGGACGATACATCGCGCACACCTTGGCTGGGTGCCGGACTATCCCCCCTGTTTGCTACATAATTCATAACCACTTCATGGCCAAGCGATGGCGCGACCTAAATAAGCAGCTGACGCTGTTCCGAGGTCACCATATGATCGTCCGTCGCCGAGTCAAAGCCGACTACACATTGGAGCAAGACGAACAACTGGAGCGAGGGCCTATCCACAACCTTATTGTCACGCTGCCGGCTTCTCAGGTGATCAAGGCCATAGGCAGTATCAGGCACCGGCTTGATCATCGATCAACCATCTGCCTAGTGAACGACGGGCTGGGGGTCGCCGAGGCTCTGATCGGAGCCTATTTTCCGGACGAGTCGAAGCGCCCAATATTCCTGCTTGGGCATCTTACCACGAGCTTGGATCATGTCGACGACTTATTCTCCGTCTCGGAAGTCCGGCCGGGGAGACTTTACCTGACGCTGATCCCCTCGCAAGGGCTTGGGGGACATCACGACATCCGCATCAGGCGTCACCCGCCCTTGGAGCGGACGGTCAGAGGGTCGCATTTTATCCGACTCCTCACGGCGACACCAGGACTCAACGCGACGGGCCATCCGATAGCCGACTTTATGCGTTACAAGCTGCCCACAGTGGCCTTCAGGACGATAGTGGATCCGCTGGCTGCACTGTTTGAGTGTCGATACGACGGCCTGCGAGACAACGCGCACGCGCGGCAGCTGATGGATCGTCTGCTCGCGGAGTTGTCGGGCGTGCTGTCGCGTCTGCCAGAATGCAGGGACTCGCCTAAGTTCCGGCAGGTTGCCCTGTTTACCGAGCTGAGGGACGAGGTGTTCCGCAAGCTGGTGCTGCAGCGGACTGCCGACAGCAAGATGCGCTCGCAGGTTGCTCGGGGGTGGGACACGGACGTCGACTTCTTGTCGGGCTATTTCGTGAGACGTGGGCGGCAGATGCACTGTCCCGTCGAGGCGCTCGACTCGGTCATGTGGGCGGTCAAGGCGAAACGGTTGGTCGAGTTGAAGAAGCTCGCAGGTGAAATACCCTCGCAAAAGAAGACAGAGCCGGCTACCCAGTGAGCCTTGCAAGCTACTGATACAACGGCTTGAACGTGAGAAAGCGAGAGCATTGTACATCACACATTGTAAATATGGTACGGGGATAGACGGGATAGCTGGCATGTACGATTGTGCAACAACTCGACCTTTGTATGATAGATCAGATATATACCTAGACTCTAGAGATTATGAGGGGCATGGTTGTCTAATGTTGTTGGAGACTCGCGCTTCAAGTCATGCAGGCAGTTGCAATGAATCAACTAGCTCCCTTGGTGCGTATCAGCCGCCATCACCCCACCAAAACCTTGGGACCCCGCGATCGACACAGCAGAGCTCTCCCATATCCAACCCCAATCATTTCAAACCGTTGGCGAAATGGAAGACGCCGAGCTCGAGCAGGTCTGGCTCGTTCCAGTTCCTCTCAAGTTCAATCTCTTAACTGACTCAAGCTGCAGATCAGAAAGGCTCGCCTGGAGCAGCTCAAGGCCCAGAGCGGGGCCGCAGGAGGGACCGGTGGGAGCGGCAGCCAGGAACAAGCACAAAGACAGTAAGCTTCCCTTTCTCTTGGTCTTAAACCTGCTATTTCGCATGGCTGACCAAGTTACTGCGACAGGCAACAAGAGGGTACCTTTTCACCGACACTACTCTTCTCTGCGTACCGACAATGCTGACAAGTTCACGATCCTGTAGCGGAAGCCCGCAAGTCGATCCTCAACCAGATCCTCGAGCCTGAAGCCGCCGACCGGTTGGGGCGCATTCGGCTGGTCAAGGAGCAGCGGGCGAGCGATATCGAGAACCGGCTGATCATGCTGGCGCAAACAGGGCAGCTGCGGCAGAAGGTCACCGAGGACCAGCTCAAGGAGCTGCTGAACGCCATGGCGGACAACAAGGAGGAGGAGAAGATTGTCGTGAACCGGAGGAAAGGATGGGAGGATGACGACGACTTGCTGGACTTGTAGGAGAGGAAGAATGATGCTCTGATTTGGGGTTCAGCATTGGTTATAGCTCCTGATCATGACTCGGAGCTCGATGCAGTGTCTCTTTGGTACCTTACAGCGTTCTTATTTGTACACGCGGTTAAAGTATTTTTGTCCAGTTCTCCGCCATGGTACCTTATCGCCCCTGTTCTACGCAGCACCCGCCCTGGCAGCCGCTTCCTCCTTGCGTCTCCGCCTCTCCTCCCTCTCCCTCCTCCGTATCTCCCTCAAATCCGGCGGCGACTCCACCCCCAACTCCCTTCTCAGCTCGTCCACATCCCTCTCGAGCTGCTCCTCCCAGTACACATTAATCACCTCCTTGGCCTTCAACCCGTTCCGCAGCGCCCAGGGGAGGTATATTCCCGCGAACCTCCTCCTCTCGCTCGGCTTGAGCGTCGCCGCAGCGAACACGCTCATGCCCGTCATGGGTAGCAGCGTGTTGGCGAACTCAAACGCCTTGAGCGCCACCTCCCCCTCGCGCACGACGGGCAAGCCCGTCAGCGCGTGGTAGAAGTCGTGGCACTCGCGGTAGCGCTGCATGACATAGGCGCACTCCTCGTCGTCGATGTAGCGCACGGACGCTCGCGTGTCGGGTGAGACTCCCTCGCGGTCGAGCCAGGCGACGTAGGTGCGCCCGACCGTGTTGACCGGCAGGGAGCGGAGGTGCGGGAGGTTGAGCGAGGTCGAGGTAATGCGTGGCCGGTCGCGCAGGATGCGCCGGCCCGTGGGCGAGGCGAGCATGGCGTCGCGAAGGCGGTAGATGAAGTAGGGTGTTGCGGTCGCTTCGGCGAAGGCGGCGATGAGGTCTGGAGAGATGGGGCTCGGGGGCGTTAGTAGAGAGAAATCACAGCAAAGGGAGAGAGAGGTGAGAATGCTTGCCTCCTCGTCGCGGGTCCCGAAGGGACATGAGACCCGAGCCAATGGCCAGAGCGGCCTTTTCGATACGGGTGAGAGGAACATGGCCTGGGTAGTTGGGCGGAGGGCGGGTGAGACTGGAGAGGGAGAAGGGCCTCGATTGGACGGTGTTTCCAAGAGCTGCGGCAGCAGGCCGAAGCCTGTTATTGCGGGCTACAAGAGCCGCTGTACGTCTAAGAGCCACCTCCATGACGAATTGGGCGCCGAACACCAGTATCGCATCCTGATATCTGGCCGAAGGAGAACGTGGTCGGGACTCGGCATTGGCCGGAAGTGGTTCGACATGTTGAAGATCGGAGACTCGGCTGGTTGAAGACCGATGTGGAATACCAGACCCTAACCCTGCGTCACATTCAATACCACGGTGGGAATCATGCCGCCATGGAAGAACCAGCATCTTGATTTTTGGCTGACAATTTGATCAGACAATGAGACGTTCGCAATGTAATAGGGAGAGCACAACTCGGTATTACCAGACATATGGCAATGTTGAACCTATATGAAGTATCAAGAGCAGACAGAACATCTAACCTGCATACAATATAACGTATCAGTGCTTGTTAACAACATACTCTTTCCGTCTCCTGGCTTACAACTTTTTTGCTTTGAACTCGCCCCGGTTACAATAAGTGTACTTTTATGACCCTGCGCTCCTGACTGCAATGGAGGTCTACGACGAACTCCTTCGCTGGGCAGAGGACCGTGGGATCGAGCTCCATGGGGTCGCACCTCGATCAATTCCCGGAAGGGGGATGGGCATGGTCGCCACGAAACCGCTCAAGGTGAGATCTGACATACCAAGAATTCTTTCATCGATCTCGCTCTCATCATTAATCAACCATTTCGTAGGCCAACGAACGCATTCTCCTTGTCCCTACATCCGCTCTCCGCAGCCTCGACACAGTCCGGACCCAGGTCAAAACGAAACTCGCCAAAGACACCAAAGCCCACGCCATCCTCGCCGCCGACCTGACCATGGACAAGCCGACGTCCAAATACAGCCCCTGGAACGCCGTGGTCCCCTCCCGGGAGTCCATCTCCAGCAGCCTACCCCTAGCCTGGGATGCCCGTCTGCACCGTTACCTCCCCAAGCCGGCCCTGGCCCTCCTCCGCGCTCAAGAATCCAAATTCGCCCGCGACTGGGCCGCCATCCAGCAGTCGTCCCTCTTCTCCCCGTCCATCACCCGCCAGGACTTTCTCTATACCTGGCTGCTGGTCAACACACGCACCTTCTACCACGAGAACCACCGCACCGCCAAGCTGCCCAAGGACGACCGCATGGTGCTGCAGCCCGTGGCTGACCTCTTCAACCACGCCGACGCCGGCTGCGAGGTCGCCTTCACGCCCGCCAGCTTCACCATCACGGCCGACCGTGCCTACGCCGAGGGCGATGAGGTGTTTATCTGCTACGGCAACCACCACAACGATTTCCTGCTGGTCGAGTACGGCTTCGTGCTCGCCCACAACCGGTGGGACGAGGTGTGTCTCGACGACGCCATCTTGCCCGAGCTGAGCGACGGGCAGAGGGACTTGCTGGAGGAGAAGGGTTTTTTGGGCAAGTACGTGTTGGATGCGAGGACGGTGTGCTACAGGACGCAGGTGGCGCTGAGGCTGCTGTGTATATCGACTGAGGAGTGGGAGGCGTTGGTCGATGAAGGTGAGGATGGCGGCGAGGAGTTGCAAGACAAAGTTGATAGGTCATTGGGGAGGATATTGAGGAAGTATCGCGGCGTTGTAGAGGGCACGATCAAGGAGCTCAAGGCCGTTGAAGCAGGGGAAGCTGGCCAACGATACATGCTGAGTATGAGGTGGCAGCAGATCAGGGGGTTGATAGACCGGACAATTGCACGCCTTGAGTCTTGAGTGTTTCCGTGATCTTCGTCCGCTGTCTCGTTCTAGATGGGCAGTGTGAGACACCCAGCTATGACTCATATAGCAAGCCTCTATCCGTGACAACGCCAAACCTAACATAGTGGAAGGTAGGCTGTTTCCCTGGTATATTACGCATTCTCACAACTCCAAGCCACAAATCCTAAACACCGACTGCCAAGACGTGGAGAGTACTAGAGGCTGTCAAGCATCGCCCATCAAAGGTCACCAAAAGGTCTGTAGCAGAAATCAGCCCTTTACGCCTGCGCTTCCCAACCGTATCTCTGCACCCACACACCAACACGCCCACTCCGCAACACTAAATACCCAACTAGCACCAAAAACACTACAAGTGCACGAGGCCCATAATGCTTGATTCCGAAGTAACTGAATATGAGCAGAGAACAGCATGAAGCATGACTGGAAGTTGAATGGAATAGTGAAACCCTGTCCCGTGTAGATCCCAAACGCCAAAAGTGTAAGTCGCAAACCCGTGTTTCCTCCAAGCCACCCGAAGGAGAGATAGGTTGGCAAGCCCAAACAATTGTATTGTTAGACGGTCAAGATCCTCCTCGCCTCTGGCCCGGTAAAGCTTTCGCGAGGCAAACCAAGCGAGAGGAGGGAAAAACTCGGAATGGGGAAAATCAAATAGGCTGAAGTAGCGATACCTACTACTGATACCGAGCGACCCGGGGCTTGTCCTACTCGCCGCGAGCTCGTTTGGCACCGTGAGGGTTCTGCCACTCGTTGGACTGGTTGCCGCCGCCAAAGAAGGCCGGGTTGAAGCCGGGCTGCATGCCTTGGAAGCCTGTCATGATCTGGTTAGCTTTGATGTGAACCATCAAGTCGGGTCGATGCAAGACAAAACGTACCTGGCATACCGGCACCCATGGCGCCGCCCATACCGCCACCCATCATGCCCATGCTGGCCATGGGGCCAGCCATGCCACCCATGGGCATACCGCCGCCCATGGGCATGCCTCCCATCATGTTCATGCCGCCACCGCCCCGTCCGCCGCGCATGCCGCCTCGCATGCCGCCGCCCATCATGCCGCCGCGGTTGAAGCCCCCGCCAAAGCCGGCGCCGCCGCCGATAGGGCCGTTGAAGCCCATGGCGTTGGCATTGAACGCGTTCATATTGCCGCCCGTAAAACCGCGGTTGAAGCCGCCTTGGTTCATGCCGCCGCCGCCGCCACGGGCCCCGTTGAAGCCCCCTCGGCCGCCGCGGAAACCGCCAAAGTTGCTGTTGCCGCTGAAATTGCCGCCGCGGTCATTGTACACGGGTCCGGGAGGTGCCCGACCCTGCGCGTCCTTAGCGGCCCGGTTCGGGGCGTCCTTGGGTAACGTGCGGAAGGGATTGTGTGTCGGGGACGAGTAGATGACCGTGTGCCGCTTCTGGCCGGGCTGGTTGTACTCGTTGTTCAGGGCGTCGATGCGATGTTTGGTTGCGGTGGCAGCTTGCTGGGAGGTGAATTCGATGTAGGCTTGGCTATCGCTGAGTTAGCAGGCCGGACGATATGACACCTAGCTTGAAAACATCTCTTACCCTTTGCTCTTCCCGTTAATCTTGTGCTCGCTGAAGGTGATGTCCTTGAGCTCGCTCTCGCAGCCAGCTTGACGCACCCAGCCGCGAATGTCGTCGTCCGTGTTCCACCAGTTGAGCTCTGACACCATCAGCGCCGTCGTGGCACCGGGGTCCACAGGGCGGTCGTCAGATCCCTCCTTGCGCTTCACGCCCTGTTGCGGGCGCTGGGAAGCGGTGTTCTGGGAGCTAGTATGGCCAGCGCCACGGTCATCCATGTTATTGTCTTCGCGGCGCTCCTCGTGGTAGTCCTCATGACTCTGGCCATCGCCGTTTAGCGTGTGCGAGTCGTCCTCCTCATAGCCCTGATGATCGCCATGACCGCTGTGGTCGTTGTCGCCATGGTCATGGGCTGAATCGCCGTAGACGTCGATCTCAAACTCCTCCTCGGCCATGGTGGTACTGGGTATGCGTCGATCTGTGTATCGTCGACCAACGTTTCTCGGTCGTGATCAAGTGCTTTGAAGCCTGTTTTGTGGTGGTAATTCAAGCGTGAATTGAGCGCCTGGCTATGAATTAGAATACAGGAACCATCGGGTGTGCGTTTGATCCGATGAAATATGCAAGTTCGACCGGAAGCTACCGAGCTTCATCGAGTCTTGCAAGCTCTGTCGTATGCAGATGCGATGGGATGATCAAAAAAGCGGTACCGACGAAAAAAAGAAACGGACGAAGCATCAGGCAGGAAAACAACAGGTGATAGAGAGTTCGCCATACGTACATTCCACTCTCCGACACGATGATTGACCGACGATGGACGGCTGGTCCTTGTAGGTAAGAAAGATTCCAAGATGCAGCTCTGTGCCAGCAGTCTCGGAGACAGGAGTCGGATGTTCTCGTCTTGTTTCTCAGAAGACTTTTCCCTTTCTCTCCGCAAGGTCCTGTCCTTTCAGACGGGTACAAGTAAGTGAGCAATCGACAAAGGGCCGACTCCGCTTCGTGCCAAACGCGAACTCTGGGCTCTTCGTGATCCGCGACGCGGCTCTTCACTGTGCTTATTCCTCCTTTCCTCCCAACTCCAGGTAGTTGACAGTTTTTTTGCCGTTAGTGGATTTTAGTCCGCAATGGCGTCGGGAGGTCGAGATGGAAACTGTTGAGGCACCGGGCCCAACGATGACTCGGAGTGATGATGCGAGGGTGTTTGCGGGTCGCTCTTCGAGGCGCGGTGGAACGCAATCTGCCAATGTCCAGAAATGGGCAAGTCCCAAGAATGATGAGAGAAGAACGCGGCGGAATGGTGATGTGATCCGGCAGCTGGGCGTGAATCAGTTCGATGCTTCGGTGAAGAATGGTTGCACCAAGGGGAAATTATTGAAGTTCCTGGGTTGTGTCGCCTTTGAAGGACTGCGGCAAGGCTGAAGCAGCGGAGCCAACTCCAGGCGTTAGACCATGGCGCAGCTTATCATATCTATCGACATGCTGCGGGTTAGGGTCTCACCTTTCCGATGATCCAGCTGTTGATCACAACTACTTCAACAGCAACCTCAGGAAAACAGAGTCAAATACGGATAAGTACGATCAGCTCTGGATTGGTATGTTCTTTGTCTCTAAAAACCTGGGGGGAAATGTACCAAATGAACGTCTAAAAATCCAACTCTCCAAGCCCTAATGACTCCGTCCCGAACATGAACATAAACATATACATATACATCACATTGACATTGGGACACAAGAACAATCTTGGTGACTTGGTCAGAGCATAGAACTCAACACGAAAATTCCCGCATACTCACATTACCGACGCCCAGCATATTCCTAGGAGTCCCGATATGGAACCAGGTCTTCGTTGACCGGAATGCCCATCGCCGGGCAGCCCTCGTCCATGTCGCCTTCATTGAACGAATGCAGCGATGCCGTCCCTGCTTCCTGGGCTGGACCGCTCCACGCCGAAGCTAGGGTTGTGTCAGCTTAACTCTTTTTTGAGAAAGTAACGGCAAGAAGCATGGTACATACCAACCAACATGGGTGCATTCGGATGCCATGCGACATCGCGGACCATGGCCTCCCAACCATGGGCGTTGCGATGGTGCAGACGGTGCCGCCGGTCCGTTCTCGGCCGGATCGGGGTCCCTCTTGTGGCAGCTCTCACATCGATCTTCGCCGCCAGCGTGGCGTCAAGGTTCCAGACATAGACGAACCCGTCGTAGCTGCCGGAGTAGACGTAGCGGGAGTCGGTGCTGTTGGGCGGCGAGAAGTGGCACCTGATCAACGTCCGCTGGACCTTGTGCCCGCGGAACGTCACCAGCGAGTTGTCGTGCGGGTGCTGGAACCACTGGTAGTCCTCGTACTCCTGCCACCGGTAGTCGTATTCGTAGTCGCGATTCCTCGTGGGAGCCGTGGCATCGAGCTCCTGGAACCGCGACGTGGACATAGCCATCCTCAAGTCCCACAGCTTCATGCTCTGGTCCTTGCCGTTACTGAGAATGTACCTTCCGTCCCCCTTGCTGTCGATGTAGGTCAAGCCCTCGGTGTGGCCAACAAAAGCCCCTGCTTCCCGGCCATCAGCCATGCTGCGTGTATCCCACACCTTGATGGTGCAGTCGTCCGAGCCCGAGTACAGAATGTGTGGTGACATCTTGTCGGCGAAACAGACGGCATTCACGTCGTCGGTGTGTCCCACTACATGGTGCAGCGCCTTGCGCCGTTCAATGTCGTACACGACAATCGAGTTGGCGCCCGTTCCCGCGACGATGTGCCGCCCGTCGCCCGAGAAGCGGACTGAGAAGATGGCAAAGCCGCCAAAGACATAGTCTCCAGAAAATGGACGGGCACCCTCTGAAAGGTTGAGCGAGTAGGGGTCGCCCGTATCGTTGGGGTCAGTGGCTGCGATGCCCACGTGGGGTTGGAGGGAGGAGAAGACAAGCCATTTGTTGTCTGGGCTGAGGGCGGCATCGGTCATGGTCCATTGGCCGAAGGGGTAGCTGGCCGTCTTGTAGTGCTTCCAGTTGTATGGGCTTGACGTGTCGTACAAACGAACCTTGAAGTCCTGCCAGGCTTGTCAGCGGACATTGTCACTAGCTTCGCCGTCATCCTTCGCTCCGCTTGCCTTGACACACGCATAAAAGAAGTTGCCATCGTCCGAAAACTGGCCGCAACAGACCGGATCGTCATAGTGGATAACCATCTCTGGCTTGGTTGAGGGTATCATCGACTGCAGCCGCTTAGCTTCCTCGCCACCTGTAAATGAGGGAGATGGCGTGTCTTCCTACCTGAGCCATCAGGCCTTGGTTGACTTTATGACCTGTTGGGCCATTGAGGCCCAGTTCCCGGTCCAGAAGACGGCGAGCGAGAGCCTTACGGTTGGGCGTCCGCGTGTCAAAGGTGCCAAATACACCCGACTCCATCAACTTTCTGCCTTCATCACTCGGGATCTTGGGGAACCGCTTGTTGCCACCTGGGCTCTGGATGTTCCAAGAAAAGCGGTGACCGTCGCCGCTCTCATCCTCCTCTATCGTCGGGTTGAGGTACTGTCCCCGAAGCAGGGCCAAGAACTCTCGCTGCGTGAGAAACGGTCGTCCCGGGCCGCCTGCAATTGTTTAGTATATATGTTCACGGACAGGGCTGCTCGGGGTGCATACCGCCACCAATTCTGACAACCCGTCGTTGTGGCTCTGCGGCACCTTGACCCTCATCGCCTTGCGCGTCATCTCCTTGTCTGGCAGCGTCTAAGATCTCCTCGATGAGAACCTCAAACTCAAGACCGTCGCCTTAACCGGTTTGAAATATTTTGTCAATAAGATGCAGACGATAGTGTGGTTGTTGACTTGCTATTTGACTCACCTCTGGGTTCGTCATCTTCGTCATCATCTTCGTCATCATCTTCGTCATCATCTGCATCATCCTGCTCTTCCTCGTCCTCATCGTCTTGCTCCTCCTCGTCCTCGTCCTCTCCTTCTTCGGCGGCCTCCTCCTCCTCATCATCGTCCTCGTCCTCGTCCTCATCTACCCAGGCATGCCAATCATGCCGCTCGTGCGTAGATGGGCCTTCATCGTCTTCCCGATGCGACCGGGCCCAGTGGGGTTCCAAGTTGATATCATGCGACTCATGAGCAGAAGGAGCCTCATCGTCTTCCCAAAGCGGTCGGTGTTGGAACCGGCTGCCGCTCATGGTGAATGTTTGTCGAAAGCCGACGTTGTGTGCGGCGCACCGGGAGTGAAATAATGGCACAAAATGATCGTGGTTTGTGATATATCGGGCTAATACGCTTGCAATGACGTCCGCTTCAAAGCACAGCCCAAAGCACTAGGTAGGTAAGTAGATCACTCGGCAAAGTTGCAGGGGGATCGACGGGGAACCAGCACGTCCAAAGTCAAACAACCAAACTAAGTTTGATATGGGCAACCACGAGCATTGCTCACAACCCTGCGATGGTTCTATTCATCATTCTGCGGAGGCTACGGCTCTGAGCTAATCGGAAGCTCGGTGGACGAAGCGGTGGCGACGGGGTGCTCTCACACGGCGGAGTTTAGCAACGGATTTAGGTCGGCGCTGACAAAGCTGTTGTCACGTATAATACTAGCATAACCCTAAGCCACGTAGACCCAAATCTTCAAGCGAGCTAGTAAAGTCTAAAATGCAGTGCAGGGAGGGCAACTGCTGGTTTCTACGCTAGAATCGGTTGAAGGAGCAGTTATCTGAGGTTGTCAAGTGTGCAACTGTCTCTTTGCCAGCTGAATCAACCGAGCGGAGTTAGCAGTTAAGGGGCACAACACTGGATAATGCAATCATGAACTTTGATATGGGCTGTGCAGAACCTCGTCAGATGATCGCTGTATGTGACATCTGCTTGTTGCAAGCGAGCACAAACTCAAACTCCTGCAATTTTTGGGTCGCATACAAAGTCGTTCGTAACACAGATGTGCACTTCGCGCCTGCTATTCCGTATTACTCATAAGCACTCTTCCAAAGTGAAGAGCAGAGTACAGACGCTTCAGGGCAGGTACCTTTCCTGACTTTCATACCTGCATATTCTTGGCCTTTTCAGACCCAATGAGAGTCCTGCCTTGTCCTGGGGTTTTGGAGACCTGGTTCCAGGGGTCAAAATGTGGGGGAGCTTCGGCATTCCACGGCAAAAGCACCAACCAGTCCCGCGGCCCAAGCCCCCATTGAAGAAAGCCCATTTTCTCACAAGAGGAGGACTCTCTTTTCGATAAACATCCGTTCGACGACTGCAGCCCGCTGATCTAGACTGGTATTGTCCCAATTGACACCAAGGACGGTGGAAAAGCACCATGTCTGCTGTCAATCGTGGGTTACGCCAGGCCACCAGATCACTGCGCCTCCACCGCTGCTGCCCGCCCTCGGCTTTGCGGCCGTTGTGCGCTCTCAAGAAAGCCGCTGGCCACGTCTCGGGCGCTGCCACACCCCCGCGCAGCAGCTTCTCCACCATGGCCTCGCTCCAGTCTGCCAGCGCCGCGACGCCCTCGCCGTCGGCGGGCAAGGGCTACGACCAGGAGATTCTCGACATTGCGAGCTACGTGCACAACCAGAAGATTGATTCGGAACTGGCCGTGAGTGGGGAACTCCCAGCACAATCCGTCCCCCGCAGCTAGCAGGCTGACCATGCTGCCTCCACACAGTTTGACACAGCGAGATGGGTGTTTCTCGACACGCTGGGCTGCGGCCTCGAGGCTCTGCGGTTCAAGGAGTGCACCAAGCTCCTCGGGCCCATCGTCCCCGGCACCACGGTTCCTTCGGGCACCAAGGTTCCCGGCACCGAGTTTCAACTCGACCCCGTCAACGGCGCCTTCAACATTGGCGCCATGATCCGGTGGCTCGACTACAATGACTGCTGGCTCGCTGCTGAGTGGGGTCACCCCAGCGACAATCTGGGCGCCATCCTTGCCGTGGCCGATTGGGTGTCGCGGACAAACAAGGCGGGCCAGCACAAGGTTGCCGGCGGCAAGATTTTCACGGTCCGCGATGTGCTCGAGGCCATGATTAAGGCCCACGAGATCCAGGGTTGCCTAGCCCTGCTGAATTCGTACAACAAGGTCGGTCTTGACCACGTCGTTCTCGTCAAGGTTGCCAGCACCGCCGTGGTCAGCAAGATGCTCGGCCTCAGCGAGAAGCAGACGGCCGATGCCATCACCCACGCTTGGGTGGACGGCCAGAGCTTGCGCACCTACCGCCACACGCCCAACACCATGTCTCGCAAGTCGTGGGCTGCTGGTGATGCCTGCCAGCGCGCTGTCAACCTGGCCCTCAAGGTTCTCAAAGGCGAGACCGGTATCCCCTCTGTTCTCTCGGCTCCTACTTGGGGCTTCTACGATGTCCTGTTCAAGGGCAAGAAGTTTGAGTTCCAGCGGGGCTATGGCAGCTATGTCATGGAGAACGTGCTCTTCAAGGTGTCTTATCCTGGTAGGTGTTCACAGGTTTCCTTGTTACTCTAGATGTCTCCCGCTGACTTGCCGTGTGCAGCTGAGTTCCACTCGCAGACCGCCGTCGAGGCGTCGGAGAAGATCTATGCTCAACTGAAGGCCATGGGCAAGTCTGCCGCCGACATCAAGGCCGTCACTTGCCGAACGCATGAGGCCTGCATCCGCATCATTGACAAGCAGTTCAAGCCCATGGACAACTTCGCAGACCGCGACCACTGCATCCAGTACATGTGCTCCGTCATGCTCGTCTATGGTCGCCTCACCGCCGGGGACTATCCCGACGGCTCCGAGGCCGCCACCTCGCCACTGGTCGAGTCGCTCCGCAAGAAGATCAAGTGCGTCGAGGACCCGCAGTTCACGGCCGACTACCATGACCCGGCACTCCGTACCATCAGCAACGGTTTGACGGTCGAGCTGAACGACGGCACGGTGCTGCCCGAGGTGGTCGTTGAGGCCCCGCTTGGCCACCGCTTGCGCCGTGAGGAGGCCAAGCCGCATATTCTGGCTAAGTACAAGCGCCACTTGGAGCCCCATTTCAGCGCCGAGAAGGTGCAGGGGCTTGTTGACCTCGGTCTGGACGCCAAGAAGCTTGAGGCCATGGGCGTGGACGAGTACGTTGATCTGTACGTCTGCAAGGACAGCAAGTTCTTTAAGGAGCAATAAATAGGTGTTGGTTTCGGGCAATGCATAGATGATATATGAACAGGACGCGGTGTACTCATTATACGGCACTAAGGCTTTGCGAATGCCCGCTGTGGCTGGTACATTACTACGGGCTCTGCCTGGTATGTCATCCCTGCTTGAGGCCATAACCAGACATCGAATCCGAGAATCAGCTCTCGGAACCCGCACGTTAAAGAGGATATGCACCTAGCCTCTTTGGGTGGTCTAGAACGCCATCGCCAGTCATACTGGCAATCTTTCCCGTACCTCCTACCTCAGCCCAGCTCCTGACCCCACGCGGGGCATCACAATGCTGTTCTTGATGTTGTGCGAGTGAGACACTCAGATTGAGAACTCGTCAACCCAGCTGATGGCGCGTAGAGTGACGTGCCAGTTTGCCTACGCAGAATCTCGACCTAATCTCGACTTCCCTCTGCATTTCCAGGTACCTTGAATTGGATGTGCATTGTCAAACTCTCCATGGATCCGAGGCTGCACGAGTCCCGTCACCACGCAGTCAGCGGTGATCTGTTGATTGTTCGCCCTTATCTCTACTTTGCCTGCTATCTATGGTCTAGGCCGTGTCGATCTGCGTCCTAGGATGATGCAGCACTGAATCGACATCGCGCTTCCGTGGCAGACCGCGTAATTCTGACCTGTCACGTTTGCGCATTACTGAAGTTGCATCCCATGGACAGCCCCGATCGATCGCCAAGCCAACGGTCTTTCCCCCGAGACACGATCCTTGCTGCGAACCTGGAAGCTTACACAGTTACTGTCACCTCTCAAGCCTCACCCGCAGATGGTGATAACAACAGATTGGAGCCCGCCGCGTCCAAGGGATGCACGCCTGGACGCATGCAGCTAGTAAGGCGGGGAAGTTGAGACATGGGCTTGCAGCCGTTGACGCCGGCATACACCGGCATCCACGGAGTCAAGGACCCCGACACACCTCCAGAGAATGCCGTGGAAGGTTCAAGGTGAAGCTCAGGGTGACTTTTCTCAAGTGGTCATTGACGGTGAAGCAAGGAGAGAAAGATGAAGGCGCAGCGAGTGGAATCAGGGGGGTTACAGACTGTTCAAGCTTCCTGTCCATCCGAAATTCAGATAGCTGACGTCTTTTCTCATCGTTCCTTCAGCCGGTCTGGTCTGGTCTGCACTGCCGAGCATGGAACAACAAACCCATGGGAGCCGCATGAAACCTACATTAGCCTGGCATGGGATGACAAAGCTATGGTTGTTGTCGGCTATCTCTGTCGGAGCCAGGTTGTCCCTGTTTTCCTCCGTCCGAAGGTTCATGACATGGAATGGGAGGGGCAAAATGGTGCAGTTCATGAGCCTCCGAGTCGGCACACATCGCGTAAGCGTACGTCGATGAGGTCAACCAAGTTGGGTCCTCGACCTACGCCAGGGCGTGTAAGTGGCTCTGATACATTATTTTATCGGACGCATCCCTTGGGATGGATGTCTGGGTGTTTTGATCTCTTCGCTCTGTTTTCATCTCGTGTTTATTTTTATTCCATCGCGAACTCCAATAATTTAAACCAGCTAGAGCTAGTTGAGGATTACCCCGTGGTACCCTGTCTATGCATCTTCTCATCATGGACCGTGACGTGTGCTACTGCGCCAGTTTTTATGTACGTGGACCAGAGCAAATCAGTTCTTTGATCTTCTGCTGACGGCCGTTCTTGATGCCATGAGTCCGCCGTCAAATGCACGAATACTGTGGGCAAATTCGGTGAGCGATGTATTCTATGCAAGGTGAGTGGACATGTCTCTTTTCAAGTCGTGCTGCACGAGATCTCTAATCCGAGGCCAGGTCATGGATCCACGCGGAAAGTCACTCAAGGAAGGGCTGCTCCCTGACCACATCCTCTACCTGAATCCTCACTCCCGGGATGACGAAGATCGAGAGGAGCAACCGGGAAGCAGCCCCAGTGCCGCTCGACGACCGTCCTGGCTTTTTGGTGGACTGTCTTTGCCTTTGTCGAGAAGGTCAACGCAGGAAGGTTCCATGTGGAAGGCCGCAAAGGTCAATCCTAGGCCGTAATGGTCAAGAAATGTGAGCTGCTGCAGGATATATCAAACTTGAGAGAAACGGGTTGGTGGAGATCCTGAACTCCAAGTCATAACTAACTGAACTGCGCGCTTGACTAATCCTTGTGATAACTGAAACACACCCTGCTCCTATGTAATAACCCTCATGACCGCATGTGCTCATTGACCAGATTCACACCCCGACATGCCGCTCCTCAAGCCCGCAACCACCTTAGCCTGAAACGCCAAAACTCCCGTCCTATCCAAAACGTAAGTCCACAGTCTACCACATTGACATGAAAGCGAGATACCATCCAAACCATGTCCCGCACAACCCATCATAACCCATGCCATCGTGAGTCCGGCTTTCTCTCAACCCAGCCGTCGCTGGTAGTATCCGCGCTCTTGGCCTTGAGACGAGCGCATAATCTCCTCTTTGATGCGTCTCCGCCGCTCCGCTCTGCTCATTGGTTGTTGAGGGGATTCCGAGCCCTTCCCATTCTTGCTGGCTTTACTCTTGCTCTTGCTTCCGCCTTTCGTCTCAGTGGTCAGTTGCTGCCGGACACTAGAGCCGTCCGTGTCGTGATCGCCTTTGTCCTCGTGACTGGGCCGTTGGTCATTGGAAAGTGGTTCTTCGTTTGGATTATCGTCTGCCGTCGTGGGCTTGACTTGGATAACCGGTTCTTCTCTCTGCACTTTCTCACCCCCACCGCCGTGGTGCAAGACTATGATGGTGCCGTCTTCCAGTTCCGTCGTCGCTTGCTTGAACCGGTCTGGAAGATACATTCTGGGTGACGGCCGCGGTGTCGGCTTGATGGCCTCGCGCAGGTCCCGTAGGGTGCGTTGTTGGATGACATAGCCACTCAGGAACAGTGCAGCCGTGCAGAGGAGGACTATGATGAGGATGCCATGTCAGTATTCCTTCTGCTCTGTGGCGCACTGTCACACGGCCATGCTTGAATCGCAGCGGAAAGCAAACGGCAGATTGCATACCAATGCTGGACGAGACGGCAACCGACACCTGGCCCGAGGTCAGGAGCATTCTTCTTGAACTAGGGTCGCTTTCAGACGGAGTCGATCAATCAATAACTTTGGTCCACGACTTCAATTGAGGTACCGAATTCTGGGATGTACAAAATTGTCCTCCGGACAGGACAAGTACTTAACATGGGAAAATTGAAAGAAGCCCATGACACGCACCCACACCGACGTTCGGTATCCCGACACCATCACCTGACGCATCGGACTTCGCCCCTTGCAGTCCAAACAAAGGAATTATTGGCAGGGCAACTGTCGCTTATCCACCCGCCAGAAACTTGAATACCCAAAGCTAAGTACGGATTAAGTGGGGCGACTTTTCAACTTCGACAAGTCGAAGTCGACATTCCAATCCGCAAAACTCCACCTGACTAAATCAGGTCAGCATACCGCGACTTAACAGTCATGAACAAACCGGCGTTTCACCGCGCCGATGAGCGGCGCTTCCTCGATGAGCGCGGCACTTCGGGCCCGCTCGCCCCGAACGGGTTGAACCCGGCGACCATCATGGAGAAGGCGGTGCGCGAGCGCATCGTCGACAGCTACTTCTACAAGGAGCAGTGCTTCGGCATCAACGAGGCCGACATTGTCGACCGTGTCGTCGAGCACGTCGACTTCATCGGCGGCGTCACGGGCACCGTGCAGAAGCCGACGCCTTTCCTCTGCCTCGCCTTCAAGCTCCTGCAGCTCGCGCCCGGCGACGACGTCCTCGATGAGTACCTGCACCACGGCGGCGACAAGTTCAAGTACCTGCGCGCGCTGGCCGTCTTCTACATCCGCCTCACCCGCCCGGACAAGGACGTATACACCAAGCTGGAGCCGTTCCTGGAAGACCGCCGGAAGCTGCGCAGGAAGGGGAAGAACGGCACCAGTCTGACGTACATGGATGAGTTTGTCGACGATCTGCTCACCAAAGACCGCGTCTGCTCGACGAGTCTGTGGAAGATGAGGAGACGGGACATCTTGGAGGATCTGGACATTCTGGAACCGCGGGTCAGCCCGCTGGGCACGCTTGAGGACCTGCTCGAAGAGGAGGACGAGGATGCGATGCAAAACGGAGACGATGCAAACGGGCACGGCCATGACGACGATAGCGGCTCCGTCCGTTCAGTGCCCAGATCCAGGTCGAGGTCGAGGTCGAGGTCTGGATCCGCAAGAGAGCGGTCGAACCACGACCGGATGGATATCGGCGAGCCGGGGGATCAGCGGTCCCATGGCGAAAGGAGCCCTTGAAGGTCAGGCTGCGGTCAGCAAACCTACATCAGAACACGGCAGTCAGGCTTGTCCTGTGGCTCCTGGTTCGCCACTCCGAAAATGGAGGAATATGGACCGGCCGGGTCAAAGTGACCATTTGGCTGAGTTAACTGCTGCAGCAGTCCTTCGGCTTTTGTGTGCAGGGCTTGCGTCCGCGTCTTCAGAAACAGGATCTTCATTAGGCGCTATACCCTCGAGTAGACAAGGTTAGTTGTCTGTACCTCAGGAAGCCGCCCGTCCAACGATGGTCATCTGAAAACCACAACAAGCAGTGACTGGGCCATCCAAAGTGGTCCAGACAGTCAAATCCCGTAGATACCAATACGGCATTTATGGCTGAGATTGACACTCCATCCCGCACAGACATCTTCCAGGGTGGCCTTGATACAGAAACTGGCTCAAAGAGCATCTCGGGCCAAGCAAAGCAATAATATACGCATATTCCCGCACAAGATCGCGCAACATCAAGTGGTATCAATCGATTGGTATTGAGGAGGTAGAGATCAAAGTTCCAGGAGATCAAAAGGTAATGTTGTGTTTGGGAGAGGGGTCTACTAATAGGCGTGTTGCTTGCTTGCGTTGGGTCAGGTAGCTACTGTAGCTATAGGGGAAGATATGGGAGTTGGGCTTGACGGAGTTGAGAATTGTTGAACCCTAGATCAAGGGAGCAAGAAATATATCGTGATGTTTGTCTTCGCTGTTATCCATGGTATCTATGCTGTATATTTGAGATAGTGCTTTGCTTGGCTAAATATCTGACGGCGTTTACTTGATATCAATCGTATGAGCTAGTCAATCCCAGGGTCACTCCTTTCTCAGAGCCGCTCTGCTCTCCCTGCGCCAAATTGTTGCGACCTGTGTAATGATGACACTGACTCTGCTGCCGTGCCAACAATGCTGTCTAGAGAACGATGACCACTATCGAAACAGTAGCCGCTAACTGCCACTTGGCAGCTGCCCAATTTGAAAAAAAACAGTTAGACTTACCTGAACGCGCTGCTTGAGCTCCACTCCGATTTTTTGTCGCTCATAACGCCGTCACCAGAACATGTCCCGCCGCCAGCAAGGCTGCCTCCGCATTATGGTCCTCTCAACCGCTCCCTGAAAATACCGATGATCAGCCGTTACCAACTCGCATACAACTCCTCGGCACAAACCGACCCTGGCTAGGACCAACACCACTGTGAAAGTGGCGAAGAAGTGGCCCTACCACACACAGAAGGCATAAGACAAGATGAGCGAAAGAGGCAGTGAATCAATAAGGCAGTCCCGCAACCCGTCATAGCCTCGCCATCCGGCGTACAAAGACACCACAATCAGACGCGGCAGCACCTTCAGCGCCACGGATACCTGGTCCGCCCAGAAACTGAAGGCGCAAAACGACACGAGTGCAAGGCTGAGGAGCACTAGGGGGGTATACTCGCGCAGCGTCTCTCCGAATCCGTGGTTGACAAAGCCATCCCACAGCGCTAGCCGCCCCTCGATGTTGTCGGTGGGTCCTTGGCGGGAGTGGACGTAGATCCGGTCGCGCCGGTGATCGAGACGGTTTCGCCAGTACTTCTTGAGCGTGCCGATGCCGCGGCAGCCGGTCGCGGGATCGGCGGCGAAGCGCCAGGGCTCTTTCTCGCAGAAGCGGATCCAGCGTCGGATGACGCCGCGGACGACCTCGGGGTCCACGGCAAAGACCTGGCGGTGACGAGTTCTGCACGAGCAGAAAACAAGCTGGCAGTGGTCGTGGAGCTCCTCGTGCACGAGCTTTTCGACGAGCTTGTAGTACGAGCGGACCGGAAAGACGTCGATCTGTGGCTGGAATTGGAGGACGCGGCAGGTCAGCTGCTGTTTTTTCGGGCGGGCATCTGCCGCCGTGGTGTGGCCGACTTTGACGATTGGTATTCCGTTGTGGTTGCCGACCAGGACGTAGACGTAGCCGTCCTTGTCTTTGGTCTTCTGGAGATTGGGACCTGCTTTTAATAGCCTCTCGATCTTGCCGTTGATTGACGGGGAGTACTGTTTCTCTGTAGGAGAGGTCGAGTCGCGTGCTGAATCGGTGGTTGAAATTAAATCTAGTGGATGAGTGCTGCGGTAAGAAGTGTAGTGCCAGAGATTGTGCCATAGGGATAAGATGATGGCTGAGATTCTCTGCGACATGGCATCCTGATCGAGCTTAAGGCTTTGAAGCGTGATGTGCATTTCGAAGCACACTTTAGGTCGGTGATGACGAGGGTAAATAAGAGATATCAAGATGTCAATGTCAAAATCTCAGAGTCAGTTTGTTCATACCCATTGCGTCCTTATATAGTAGTTCGCTTCATGAACGAGCAAGGCCCTTTTCTGACCCTCTCAGGCCGCCGAGGCTGAATCTCTGTTCAGCTTCTCCATGCAGAGGTGCCCCCATCCGAACCAACAGAGCTTGGCAAGCGCCCCAGAGGACGTTGCGGCTTCACCCAACGGCCGCGTTGCTCAGGCGCACAGCCTTACTTGGGGCTGAAGGTGTCAGGTAGGCTAGGCAACTGCATTCTGCGCATGATCCAGAGTAAACAGTCATGTCGAGAACTGAGAGCGCGATATGCCTGACCGGTTGTGCCAACAAATCGAGAGGATGCTGTGGCCGCAGACAAGTGAGGACGGCAAGGTCATCTTGCGGTTTCTCTGTAAAAACACGACTACGCAATTCTAACCAAGAGATGGTGAGTTGGACCGAGGGTCCTTGAAACCGCCCCTCATGGGTATGTGGATGATGAGTGGGTGGAACAGTTGAGTGATGCAAAATGGTGCGTGTAGCGCGGAAAGGAGGGATTCCGAGCCACAGCCTTGTCAGCCACCCACTGCCATGCAGCCGACGTCTCAAAAGGTCGAGACTTGGCAGATGCTGTTAGAGAGAACCACCAATGACGCCACAGAATGGCTGATAAGGGGAACTTGGACCTCACTTCTTCTCTCCCTGAAAATAAAGGAGAGGAAACTTCACGATATGGGCACTCGATTCGCATTTCTTCGCTGCTTGTTTGACATCAAGACACTTCTCTAGCCCATATCATATCCCAGCCATGTCCGGGATGATCAGCAGATGTATGTACAAGTACAAGTACTCCGTATGTATGCGCTCTCTCGCTGCTAGCGGGACGAAGATTTACTCCACCTGCCATTTGCCGCGCGCAACCCGGATATCGCCGATCTCGAGTTCACTTCAAACCCAAAAGATCCACTCGCAGTTGGGCCCTCGCTGTTCGGCATCAATCCGACACCGTGGACGATCCAGCGTCAAAATTTTCTTATTACATTATCTGGGTCCTCCGGCCTTGACAATCTGTTGCCCACTCGGCACATGTGAAGAGCGCATGGCACCCGTCAACTACGGAGCTTTGCGGCGGCATCGCCCAATTCTACAGATTCGTTTGTCCGAGCGCTCCCTCACAGGCAATACAAAAATCAAGGTCTCTCTCGACATCGCATCCCAGTTTGAGGGTTCGAGCAGAGCGCTTCATGTACGATATGGTATGGTGCATGGAGGATGAGCCCGATTTTGGTGACGCTGCAACCCCAAAGCAATTTGCGCGCTGACGCCCGAACGGGAACGGCGGCGGCAACAAAGCTGCATATCGCTCACCGCGGATCCAGAGTGAAGCTATCCCCACACCTTTCTTGCCCTGTTGGGAACAGTCGTGTCCGAGAAAACTTCTAGAAGGCGGGAAGATGCCAAGCATCCGCGGCTTGCTGTGCATGAGGCGCCTTGTGGATAATATAAAGTAACATTCTGTAGCAGAGCAAACGGGACGAGCCGTCACAGAGACTTTCGACGGACCCACGGACTCGACACGTTGACCAAGGATCTCAAAGACAGGACAGTATACGGCGATCTGTAATCGGCTCGCTCCGCCTGCCCTTGTGATGGATCATTGCTTGTGGTTCTGACACTTGTTTCATCGTCATAGGACAAAAGCAGAGACAACGTAAGGTCGGGTCCGAAACCAGGGTCTGGCTCCAAGTACAGTCCCCGAGGCGGCTTTCGGCGGTTTCAAAGACCCGACGAGTAGCTGATGGTGCTGGGAGAAGAGAGTGCACTCACTGATCTCCCTAGCGGTTTGATTATTGAGGGAGATGGGACCCTCTCAATTGAGTGCATCAGGCAAGCTCTGTTCTTAGTTGGCTTGCGAAACATATTGGACGCCGGGGCGAAGCGAAATCAAATACAAGCGGTGTGCACATGGCACAAGCCTTCTTTCAATTGATGTTGGATGAATCTTAACATCTTCTACTAAGCAATACACGTCGTAAGATAACAGCGCTTTCAGGTTGTCCAACCCCCCCCCCCCCCCCCCCCCCCCCCGCCCAAAAACCCCTTCTTTTTCCGTCTCTCACAAACGGGTTTCGGCAAGCCCAAAAATCACGGAATCGACAACCTAGAAGCGACTTCTCTCCATACTCGAGCTCGCACCAATTTCGGCTCGCCGATCTCATAGGCAAATGGCCTGAACTCGCAATCGGGGGCGAAGAAAGCTGCATGACCATGGTCCCAGACTGGAACCGCACCCGATCGGGCAAGTCAACGAGTCAAATGAGAAGCAGCTGTCGTCCACAGCAGTTGATGGTTTGCAGAAAGAGGCGGTGTCTCGTTGACGAGCGCGATGGTTGGACAACAATGAGTGTCAGGCCAGAGCTGACCTTACCCAGGCCGTCGGCATCTAGCACGCCAAAACGCCGATGTACCTCAAAGTACCCTCACCGTACCGTTTCAGCCCCCAACCCCGCTCCTTACATCTTCCACGCGAAGGGGAGGCTAACATTAGCAACACTGAAATACGCGATCTTCGTCTTTCAGTTCGACAACGAAGAGCCGATGGGCTCACTAAGGGCACTGGGCCGATTCGACGGCTTCAGAGCCCATCTAGTGTTCGTCGGCCTGGATGCAGCCGTCAGAGGTCAACAGTCGAGGCGGAACCGACATCAAAACGAAGTGGCCTGAGAAGTCATGATCTTGTTTAGAGCTTGGCAGTGCTTGGAGGACAAGTGGGGTCCTCTTCTCATCGCCGTGGTCCGTTTCCTTCCTCAATAAGACGTTTTTGGTTCCTGCGGCGTCCTGAAGGTCGCGCAATATCAGGGTTGCAGCTCCGAGCTGGATCGACCAAGCGGTCTGCCTCCAGTGGGTCCTCTCGAGGTTCTCGAGTTGCCAGAAGCTGCATCATATCAAGTCATTCATAATCATATGGACGTCAACTTCTCCCAACGGGCCCGCAAAAAAGGTGATTGAGAGGAGGGCCCTTTTCAAGAAAAGTTCAGGGTTGTAGTGTACAGGCCGGGACCCGACTCCACTGGCTTTGTACTTTCTGTCAGCAAACCCCGTCGCGAGATGAGCGCGCTCTCGGACATAACGAACAAGCCGACCATTGATACTGCCCAACCCCGAGCCTTTGATTCATGACGGTGCTGTAGCACTGCCGAGGACGGGCGGGCAGCAGACCCTGCTGCATATCCCTCGCTATCATGTTTCCTCCACTCCTTCCACATTCCCCCATGTCCCTTGTCGTCATGTCGACTGAGGCTATGGGCCGTTTATTCCTCCAGCCCTCCTCCGGTATTATTAATCGCCCATTCCCTCATCTGCTGCTGCTTATTATGCACTCACCCTTTTGCTCATGTAAAACGGAGCCCCTCAAGTAACCCCTTGGTCTCGTTCTTGCTTTCTCTTGGCATCTCGCCGACTTATACATGGTGCTGGCCCCTCGGCATTGGTGACACTCAGTTTACATCTTGTTTACTGGACCGGCCGGTTCATAAAGCCCTGAGCATACATCACAGCTATTTCAGTCGCTGCGATGGACAGTTTACCCACACCACCTAATGAGGAGCTCGTCAAGCCCCAAGGCCTGAAGCGGCCTCATGCTGCCTCGAAGTCTATCAAGACGGTGCACCGGACCGTGAAGCGAACGACCACACATGCCCATCCTCCATCACCGACGCGGGACAGCCACTCGCAACATAGTAGCGATGGGCGGCATAAGCGAGTATGGAAGGCTTGCGAGAGGTGCCGCATGAAGAAGACAAAGGTACCCACAGCCGAGGCCTTCCCACTTCTCTGTCAGCGAGCGTTTCGACTGACACAGGCCGCAGTGCGATGGAGAATTTCCCTGCAAGAGGTGTAAGGACGACGGGTTAATTTGCACCGCCGGGACTCGAAAGAAGACCGAGTACAAACAACTACCGCCAGGGTACGCTGAGGTACTGGAAAACACGCAGTTTGTCCTCGTCGCCACGGTACAAAAACTCTACTCGATGGTGCGGAACGGAGAACGGTGGGATCTTGGGGAGCCAGAATTGAACGACCGCGGCCAGCCGATCGTTCACAATGTCGCCGCCAAGCTCGGCTGCTTGCGACCAAACTGCGATCTGGATCTCCCCGTCCATTCGATATTTCCCGAGGACGAGGCAGGGATGGCCGACTTGGCTAGGCAGTTGCAGGAGCACGCGGCGGCAACATCATCACCGACGGGGTTCCCCTCGCAGGGCAAGAGCAGCAGCAGGCAAGGGAACGATGCAAACAGCATCTACAACCAGACGGAGTGCGCCAGTTCCGCAGCCGCGTCAGACGGCGAGCACTCGGATATCGACCTCGACACCGACTACCGCAGGGCCGCATTTTGCGCCGCCAGCACCGTCAGCCTGTCGCCCGCCAGCCTCAGCTACCCCGACTTTGATGTCTCGCCGCCCTCGGCAGTCTCGTCAGACGGGTTCCCCCCCACTACCCAGCAGTCCCCCGCCTTGCCGACGCATCCCAACAGCTTCCAATGGGCCAGCCGACCAATGTCAATGGATTTCAACCAGCCGCAGCTCTGGATGGCGAGCCAGGGTTTCATGGACGCAGACGTGATGAACTCGGGCATCCTGGGCTCTGACTACGGAATCAAGCCCCAAGCCTTCTCGTCTTCACGTCGGGATCCGAACGTTATGATGGGAGTGGGGGATCCAATGATTTTTTCTTCTGGCTATGACGAAGATCCTTTACGGCCGCTTTTTCCAAATGCAAATATTTAGAGGGGCTGGGCACCTGAACTCTCGAGCTTGGGAGTTAAAGGGGCGTCTGGGCGGCTTGGGATGAAGCGGTTGGCTTTTCGGGGGGACATGGCGTTACGGTACATGTGCTGGGCGACATAGAGAAGGGATTTACTCAGTTACGGTTTTTTGCGACATTCATCTTGGCCCCTGGATGGGCTGTGTACAATTTACCTGGGATTGTTTGGGGTTTATGGGCGGCCGAAATGGCGTGTGGACACATGTAGCGTTCCTCAGAAAGCGCAGCTCCGAAATCTGTGAAGCGACACAGTCCGGGTCTGGACTCGACCCCGGACCGTTGGTTTCTACTGTTGATGTCAAACTTTGATGCGAAAATCCCCATCTCTCAGAAAGCGTTACACCTGTTCCTTGCAGCCAACGTACGCGTCAACATCCATCTCCGCCTCAAAGCCAATCTCAACACGATGCGTAACAGAGGCTCAGCACCAGATGCATGATCCTCCCCCAAAGAACACAATGGTCTATTTTACCCAGACTCTTTTGCGCGCCCTGGGACGTCTTACACAGCCCCCACTAGAAACGGAAGGAGTTATCAGTCAGGGCCTCTCGATCCAAATCTCCGCTGTAAGCTGTAACCAGCCGAAAAGTGCCCGAACCCACGGGCCTGGGTTTGCCCATCGCAGGGCTATGGTTGGCTGATTTCCGCATCGCGTGAAGGGCTTTGTGAAATGCGGCACAGAGACAGACATTGAACGGGATGCCCCTGGTCGAGTCAAAAGGTGCGAGGGCAAAGAAACTAGAGAAATGGAAGGGTTTGTAAGCGGCACTTCTTTGATCGATAATCAGGACACCAGTGAATAAGCGAGCTAAAACCCCCCAGGTTAACAAGTTGACCTATTGATCAAACAAGAGCATGCTTGGCCCAGGATTTGACTCGGACTACAGAGCACAGTCAGGACTTTGTGTCCTGATTCACATTGCCAAAAGTGTCCGTGTTGGATCGGTTGTGTGAGTGCGACCTTTCAGGTTGGCCTTCCTCTTTTGGGAAATAAGCTCAACCAACAGTCGTCGTCATGCCTGCGAGCAAAGCCACAGCCTGCAATTTGCGGAAGCACCTGAATACGCGGGACTACGTTAGCGATGCGCAAGAAAACGCGGGGTTCGCGTCCCCGACGGCTTGGAGTCGGTCTTGGCTGTTTGTTGTCGGCTTGGGGGCCGGCGTGATTGTTCATCAAACTGGATGTGAGAGCCAACAAAGCGGAATGGCCTTCGGCGTGACCATCATTTTCGGTCGGTCTTTGCTATGTCGCGGTTCTTGTGGCTGTTAATCTAGTTACAATACGACGGTACGGATTCCGTTTGCGAGAAGATGAGAGTGAATGTTCCCCTTCCCCGGGTACGGACAGGACCCGAATTTCAAAGAATCGGAATCTCAAACACTCCGAGGTCCGCGCCGTTTGGAGAAAGGCCCCGGTGCATCGGGGCGCACTAAAGGGACCTGTCCGCCCCACTTCTAGTCCGTACCAGCATCAGAAGCATGAATGCAATGTTGGGACTCAGCAGCGGCACAAACAAGCCCAAAGCATTTGTTACAGAACTGATTCCGCAGAACAGATCTGAAGGAATATGATGCTACGCCTGGAACGTTGTTCCCATGCTCATTGAATTTCATGTCGAACGATCTCCTGTCCCTCGCTTGGCAGGACCAGGTCGCACAACATCAAAGCGGGGGGACGATGCGAAGAGTCATGAGAGACCAATAATGATTTCGCATTGGACGGCCAAGTGGTCCAAGCCAAAGCCGAGCCGCTTGGTTTGGCTTGGACCACTTGGCCTGCTATACCAACCAGTTTATGCCAACGTGACAAGACAAACCGAGAATGCTCTCTGCCTTTTCATTCAACAACCATGCACGAAGGCACGGTCATTGTGTTTCTGCAGTCAGACGGCGGGGACCAGATCGGAAAGACAAGGAGTGAGACAAGTCAGAGTGGCCCGACGGAATCCGGGCTAAATCCGGCAGGTTAACTCCGTTACACAGTACCGTGATGAATCATCGGCCATGGGTTTTTGTCCCGCAAGCTGGGAGCCCCGACCAGTCAAGAACGTCATGAATGTCTCCTGGGGGATATCGCCGAAATCCTGATGACTAGTTCACTATGAGATAACGCCGAATCGGGTTGATATTTTGCATTTGCCAGTGGCCGCGCGGTCGACATTGGTAACCAAAACAGGAATGGGATATTCGGTCAGCCAGCAAGGTTCTGGAAGCCAGTTCGTGACCCGTTTCGATTTCCTTTTTTTCTTTTGCGAAACTCCACAAGAGATCACGTTTTGCGAAGAAAAGGAGCCGGACCTGGGTGGACCTCCGCTTTCGTGGGAACTGCGGAGCCGGCTCCGGGCGACTTGAGCGGTCCGCGGCCCGCGGGCCAAGAAAACGTGTTTGCCCATGCCACGGCGCCGAGCATCGCCAAGCCGGTTGGCATTTCTCGGCCGTAGTTTCGTCAAAACGTCCACTTCCAGGTTGGTGCTTTCATGTCCCTGACCTCCCGTTTTACCGAATGCGAGAATTGATTCTTGGCACGCCGAAAACGCTCACTTCGCTTTCGTGCAACTGCAGCGTCGCATCCACCGTATTGGAGATTCTGGGTGGGCCTCACTCAGCCACAGCCGTGATGAGATGAGCTGAACACGCATGGATTTTTGGCTTCCCCTCATCAATGGAGACTGCCACGGTTCCATGATGACGACGGCGGCGGTATTCAATCTAAGCTGCGAAGATGAATACGGATACTCGTGATTACTTTACTCTTAGATCGGTATAAGATCCTGGTCTGGGCTCACGGGGCGGTTCCCACCTGAAACGGACGGTGTTTGACCTGAGAGGTACCTCGAGTGACTTTTGTCTGGACTGCCTGGGGACATGCGATCTTTCGGAATGTTCCATGCGCCGATCGAAAAGCTTCTCCCCCACTTCGGACTCTGCGACGGGAATACGACGGAACTGGTCGAGCGCCGTCCGTTTGTGGAAGACAGAGTGGACAACGACCTCATCGAAAAACCTGTACTGTGGTATCCGCCGGATGGATATGTTTTGTCTGTAATTCGTTTGACGATGCGCTCAGCCCTAAAGGACGCTCTTTTGATACCTTGAGCAACACTGGCACACATGGCACTACTACTTAACGGCACTCACACCCACAGAAAACCACAATAAAGACGGGTGATGCTATATGTCCCTTATCTAGGTCAAGTGGTTTCTTTTGCCTAGTGAGGACCCAACCCAAAACAGTTTTTCGGGCCTGTCAGGCTTGCACATGACAGACTCATGCCATGCCCATGGGATCCTAAACTAGGTCTCCGGCGAAAGTCTCCAAGTCTACCACTAGCGGGAGAGAAGTGACGCATGTTCTGCCTTGTTGGTGCATCATTATCACAGGGCCTGATGAGCATATCCGGCTTCTGTCGTCACTTACGAGTAGAACATTATACCAAGGAGGATGCGTACCAGTATCTGCAACGCTGTTGGGAGTCTTCCTTACAGAACATATGCTTATGATATTAATGTACCATCCTTCCACGAACTTGGGGTTCTTGCCAAGGCGCTCAAAGCTGAGGACACTGATACAATGAGAGTTATGCTCTGTAGTGCACCACAGGTCCATTTCACCTCGCATGTCATGGGTACTACTTCCAGGACTCAAACCAGATCGATACATAAACTCAACCATGAAACCAACACATATCCGCCTGGGAATCATGATAGCAAAAGGAAGAAATGCCGACAAGATACTTAAAACCTCCCTGCCAATCTCAACCCTTCACCAATCGGGATATCAACCACTTATCTCACAAGCCCTGACACCCGGAGACCAAGAAAATGACACCAAACCTATCCCAAAGCCGGACCAGGACCGATCCTTTCAAAAAAGACCCCAACCTAATTTGCACAGCCCAACCACCCGATTATCACACCACAAGCTCCCAACGATGAGCGCCACAATTGTCTATTGATGAATATCCACCCTTTCAACCCTCCTCACATCATCCGGCATGCGCACAATGCACAGCGCGACGCAAAACTCGCCCCAGCCGCCCCGCGTCGCGTCGCGCACGGCGTCCTGCAGGTCGCGGCCGTACTGCTCGCGGAACGCGCGCTTGACGAGCGCCATGTGCTGGGCATCCCAGTGGTAGCGCACGAGGCGCGAGATGAGGAGCTCGCGGCGCAGCTCGTCGCGGCGCGAGGCCGTCAGCGCGTGGTGCAACAGCATGGCGTCGCGGACCGGCTTGTTGATGATGCCGTTGAGGATGTGCGCCAGGACTTCGCCCTATATGGTTTTAGACTCAAAAAACAGTAAAATCCTGATGTTGGGGGGGGGGGGGGGGGGGGGGGGGGGGGGTTGGCGGAGTAGGTGGGTTTGATAGATTGGGGAAAGAGAGCGAGAGGAGGGTGAAAAAAAGACTTACAACGAGGTTGCCGCTCTTCTTCAACGCGTCCTTGGCAAAGTTGGCCCCCTTGTACTTGTTCTTATACTCCCTCAGCACCTCCCTCAGGTGCGAGTCGCTCCGCTGCGTGACGATGGAAATCATGAGGCTCTCACCTCCCTTTTCGCTGCGGACGGCATGGTGCAGCTGCCGCACGTCGTCATCCACCAGGTCGTAATCGATCCGCAGCGGCCGGCCGTACGCGTCAAACTCCTCCATCCTCTGCTCCTCCAGCACCATCAGGACCGCCTTCTTGAACTTGTCCTCCTTCAGCTCCATCTTCATGCACTTAACCAGGCTGTTGGCGTACTTTTTGTCGCTGAACCCCTCCTTGATGCGCCGGATCTCGTCATTGGTGCGCCCCATGAGCGACTCGATCAGCAGCTCCCGCCGCGTCTTGTCGCCGTGGTACCAGAAGTTGGCCCAGTACGCCTCCGACTCCCAGCGGCCCAGCGCCGTGGCATAGCAAACCTTCATCAGGTTCGGGTCCTCGTCCTTGAGTCGGGCCCGGATGTGCTTGGCGATGTTGACGCCCTTGCGCTCGGTGCCCGTCTTCACCAGGCGCTTGTACTCGATCCGGAGGTCCATTACCTGGTCGTGGGTGAGACCGGGGAGGATCTCGATCAGCGGCTCGGTTTCTGGCGCGCGCTTCTCGCCTTTCAGGGCTTTGGCCAGGCGCGCGGCATCGTCTTCGGGGTCGTTGAAGCGGGCGCGACGAGCGCGGCGTCTCTCGCCTGCGCGCTCGTCGTCAGATCCGACGGGCGAGAGGGCCTCGAGAATCTGAGGGGCGGCGGTGGGGAGAAGCATTGGGGACGGCATCGGGGACATGGATTGGTAGGTTCCGTGATAGGCTTCCAGGAGCGGGGATGCCGGGGCAGAGGCGACGGACAACGAGGCCGAGTGATGCGGGGTCTGGACCGTCAGGGTTGACATGCGCCCGGTAGGCGGCTGTGGTGACCGGTCGCGCTTCATGGCCGACTTGATGGCTGAAGGAGGCCCCGGGCTCGCTGAGCGCCCGGGACGTCCTCCGGGCCCAACATCCAGATGCGTTGCGCTGTACCGCGGGTCTTCAGGCCTGGCATATTCCCACGGCTTCGGCTGGGAATACTCATAGGTGACGGCGGGCGGAGACTCTGGGCGGTCATGCTTGGAGGCGCCCGGCAGTTTGCCGTACGCCAGGTCATTCTCCAATTTCTCCTTCTTGCGACGGCGCTCTCGCTCTTTGTCGGAGTCGCGGTCCTTGCTGCTTAGAGAGTCCCGCGACTGGCGTGGTGAGCTTGGCTCGACGGTTTTGACGTTGGCGTACTTGCTGGGGAGGTAGAGGTCGGGCCGCTGACGGGTCGTCTCGCGATCCGAGTCGCTGCCTTGGTCGCGGCGCCGGTCCTTCTCATATCCGTACTCGACTCCACGACGGGCCTCAGCGTAGGGATCCTCCCGATCCCCAGGGGGCTTGCCGCGTGGCGGACCGCGGTAGTAGCCGTCGTCGGCGGCCGCAACCTGCGGCCACTCAGACAGCCGCTCGTACTCATAGGCGGTGGATGACGGAGTTGGGAAGGCGTCGGTGGAGCTTGGATAGGGCACGGCGTCGACAATGTCTGATGAGGCGCGTGTGCGGCTGCGGTCGCGATCCCCATCGGCGCCGCGGCGTCCGGGAGAACGGGACCGGGCACGCCGTCCGCCGTCGTCAACTTGCAGCGACATGTTGATTTTAAACCAGATGCTGGGTTCGCGCCCTGTAGCGGGAACGGAACGGGTCCTGGATCAAGTGCAATGTTTGCTTGCAGCGACCCGTGACTGCGGGGTTGCCTCAATCTTCAAGCCGGATGCCGACACACGATCCGAAAGCTCGGCAGGAGTGAACTTGTGGGCCCTTGTGCATAAAAGCGCAGGAAGACGCAGCGACGCGACGGATGAACAGTGCCCGGCGATCCTCTGAAATTTCTTGACGAAGGGCCTCCGGATTGTTTATAAACCTGGTGGGTGAGCGAGTGGACATGGGCAAAAACGAAGGCTGAGGTTAGGTAGGGCAAGGCCAGGGAGGGGCTGGCTGGTACTGGTGTGCATGAGGCGGCGGCCCCATGAAACGCCAGTGGGAGGTGGACCCCATCTGACATTACCGTTGCTGCCTGTCATTGTCAGCTCAGCTCAGTTTGCATGGCGGGCCGGCGCTTGCCGACGGCTGTCTTCCGCTCTCTTAAAAGGGAGGGAGGGGGAGCGGTGCATGACGGGAAGCTGCTGATCGGCTAGTCGAGAAGCAGGCTCAAATTGTACTTTCTGCTGTGTGTTCAGTGAACAAAAGCAATTCTTTCCGGCGACGTTGACGGTGACAGCCGAGCGGACCGGAAGCCCACAAACTTGGCATCCCGAGGCTCTTCTTGGCGTTTGCTTACGGAGAGCACCCGATGACCCACATGTTCACCGGTCCCGTGTCCGAGACGGCGGGTCCCGATGGAGCCCACAGCCTGCTCGCAGACGACACAGCCTCATATTTCGCTGGGGCAAACCCGTGCACCGTCTCTATCCGTCGGGCTGAGAGCTAGGTATCTCAGCGAACATGGGAAAATGAATTTGGCTCGGGAAGGTTGGACAAAGCAGCGCCATCGTAACAAATGACAAGATCTCGGGGACGTCAGAGCCAACCAAGCCCTTGTACGACGTGATGTGTCCGCCTGTTTCGGAGACGGAGACCAGTGTCACTATGTTCACTGATAGCCGCAGCGCACTCCTTCCCCCAGGTTGATGGAAACCTGGCAATCTCAGAATGACCGTCTGTAATGCCGCCCTATTAACGTCGCTGAAATACCACACGTCGAGTGGGAAAAGGTGGGACTCATAGAGAAAACGAAAAAGCAATGGTAAGACGTTGGTCTAGGTGCCTGCGCGTCTCGTCGCCCTATACATGACGCTTCTCGTCCCCTATCCCGATCTGATCCTCAGGCATTGCTCGAATCGAGACAGGCGCTTGATTTGCGGTTTCCTCGTTTCGAATAACCCCTTGTCTGCGGAGCTCGGATCGAATCATCATCAGTCTTCCGGTCACTCCTTTCCGAGGAAGAAGATAGTTGTGTCACGGGGGAAAAACCCACCTCCGAAAAAGGCTGCCCCATGTCTCCATGACGACCACCGCCACCATAAAGGCTACCGCGACCAAAACAACAAGCATATCATTGCGTTCGCGCGAAGATCGGGCGTGGTGGGACGGCATGCCAGAGTGAGGCGAGCCGCCGGCACCTCCCACGTCCAGCAGTTCTAAACCATCATCCTCGTCACGAGCTGGGTGTGGGACACGTCTCAGGTCGATCAGTGGTGGTTGCCGGCCCGGCCGCGGGGACCCCGGATTGGGTTTCTTGTGCTTCGACAACGGGGGCTCTGAGTCGCCGCCATAAGCAGGGGGGAGCAAGTCCGGTCGACCGATAGGATCGTGCCTGTCTCTCCCAGTTGCTTCGTTCTCGTCGAGGTACGTCGTCCAGGACCTGCGAGCGGCTACAGCGTTCGGGGCGTTGTTCTGACGGGCTGTCGACACACCCGGCGCTGGGGCACAGATTGCTACTTGCGCCGCGCTGAGCGCGAAATAAAGGCTGGCGGCCTTCATCGTGGCGGGCGATGGTCAACTGTTTCGATTGCTGCTGGGTTGGCGAGGTTGCTGGTGGCAATGCGGAATGTAAGCAAATATGTCGAGAGAGAGAGACCGCGGTTAACTTTGAGGAAAATGGGGTGACACTGTGAGGACTTGCCGCGCAAGTTTCGACGTTTGGGTGTATAGAAACTACAGAGGTACGAGGCCATGCACTTCTCAAGGTTGAGAAGGGCCGCTGGTTGGTGAATGTCACCACTCACCACCGAGTGACACAAGAATGTGTGGAACGAAGTGAGAAGGAGTTGACGGGCCGTTTATAATGCGGGTGAACCGTTTTCGGGGGGAGTACTGTGGAAGGGGCTTGCAGATGAGATGAGAGGGAGTCGGCAGGTGGGCTCGGCGGCTGGACCATTGAAGTCTAGAACACCACTGCGGCACAGCACCACTTCCAACCACGCCGACAGCTTTTCTCGGGATTCCGGACGTACGGTCACGTTCTTAAAGGTAAGGTACCTGTAGCCAGCTTCAGGATCGAACGATCCTGCCCATGCGCCCCATGACCGGCCTCGAATTTCAGAAACCGAAAGCCCAACTGCGACTCGTAGCATTTCAACTGCGATGTTACGGCGACATCTTCGTATTCTGAATCCCGTGAAAGCCTAGGTCAAGTTGTAGTGAATTCGATACGAGCTGAAACAAGGCCGCGGGGGGGGGGGGGGGGGGGGGGTTTTGCTGGGGCCTGCCGGATGTGGAGAGGTTTGCTTAGTGTGTACCTGTACGGATCCGTACAATCCATAGGTAGAATGAGACAATTGGCTTAAAGCCTGCACGTGGGCGATGTCGAGAATCCGAGACGTTTTCGTTCTTTGTGATGACTTCGACCTGAGGTACCCGGTACCTCATTCCTAGCCTTATGTCTCTGGGTGGTTGGACAACGAAATGTGCAAGCAGGCCTGTCATATCTGACTAGAGCAGAACGTTACCGTACTCGGCCGACTTGAGGGTGGATTGATAAGTCCACAGCAGCTTGTTGTTCTGGGCTTGTGGCTGAAGCTAGCTGTCCCCGGGGCGAATCCAGCGACCTGGAAAAAGCAACCCGGGACATGGCGCCGGGCCCACCGGTGAGTGCTAAGAACTGGCCCATGCGTTTCCCCAAGACGCAAAAATTCCACTTTTACTGGGCCGCATCGGCGACAACAAAGCTTAAACTTATCCTTGCCGCGTCCATCAGGGGTAGTTGACTGCAGGTTGAAGTCCAACACGGCCGAACCGTGTACATGGAGCACCATCCGCTTTGATCCATGGCCCCTCCTTCGGGTCTCCATCAGTCGGCCATACCCTCCGATTTCGAGACGCCGTTCCCGCCCCTCGTCCGCTCCTCCACCGTCCCGGCCGGCCTCGAATCGCACCGCGCCGACCCGTCCCACTTGGCGCCCGAAGACGCATACGGCTCCTTCTCGCCGCCGCGCCGTCTCGGGCCTTTCGACAGCCGACCGCATGCCTCGGCCACGGATACACAACCCCAGCGCCTGAGGCGCAAGGATCCCAGTCGCAGCCGGAGCCGGAGGCGGAAGCGCTTCCAGAAGCTGCTGTGGGTGAAGCAGTCTTGTAGGAACTACCAAATCCTGAGCATAGAACACAACCCGGAAACTCATCATGATATGGTCTAGATCCCGACAACTACACCGACCAAGCCACCTTTCTCGAGAACCTGCAGCGCAACCCCCGAGTCCGGCCCTACGATTTCTGGCCCTTGGTCGCCGACTCGACTGTCATCGTGCAGCACGTCTGCTCCGTCATCATTTTCATCGTATGTTTTGTGGGCATTTTCCAGGAGCGCGTCAGCCCTGTGTCGGTTGTGGGATGGGGCAGCTTTGCCACCTTCCTCGGCTGGCTGCTCTGGGACTGGTGGGTGACGCAGGAGACACAAGGCCAACCGGGGGGCGATGATGCCAGGGGGCGGATGATGCGAGGCGGGCGTGCCTACAGGGATTACCGGGCACCGCGCCGCCAGGACTCGTCCGGCCTCGATCAGCCAATGCTGAACGCCAGTACCGTTAGCATCTCGAGCATATCGAACTTCCCATCCGCAGCAAGCTCCACCTCGAACCTCCACCAAGAACCGCAACGATCAGCCCACCCGCCCGGAAGCGCCACCGACGGCAGCGGTCTTCTTGTTCCGACCCACATCCATTCCCGGTCCGCGAGCTCCATCAACTCCATCACATCACACGCAAGCGCCGCCGGCGCCAACAGCCCATCCAGCACAGCCGTCACAGCATCCCGTTTAGGCGGCGCCACGGACAGACCCGGCAACACCACCGCTAGCACCCAGTCCTCCTCCCCACCCACCGCCCGCAACAGCCGCGCCTACGTCCGCCTCAGCACCATCAAGTCGGCCATCCTCATCTACTTCACCCTCCTCGGCCTATCCCCGATCCTCAAGTCCCTCACCCGCTCCACCTCGTCCGACAGCATTTGGGCCATGTCCTTCTGGCTGCTCGCCATCAACATCTTCTTCTTTGACTACTCGGGCAGCAGCTGGGCCGGCACAGGCACCGGCACCGGCACCCCCGGCGCAGGCAGCGCGACGACGACGACGATGACGCGTGGTGGCGGTGGCAACAAGCGCATGCCCGTCTCGGCGCTGTCGACCAACGCGGCGCTGATGGCGTCGACGGTGCTCGCCAGCCGGCTGCCGTCGACCGGCCAGGTCTTCAGCCTGACGCTGTTCAGCATCGAGGTGTTTGGCCTGTTCCCCGTCTTCCGGCAGTATGCCCGGCACAGGAGCTGGCGGTACCACGTCGTGCTGACGGTCCTGCTCGTGCTGGGCGCGGGCGCCGGGGTGGGGATGATCATGGGCGACGAGAGGGGTTGGCCGTGGAAGAAAGGGCTGTTGGGTATGGTGGTTGGGTGCTTGATTGCGGCCCTGGCTATGGGGGGGTGTAGTTGGTGGCTGATTGGGTTGCAGAAGTACAAGAATGAGATTTATGGGCCATGGGACCCGGCGAGGCCCATCATTATCAGCCGGCGGCATTGGGATGATGAGTAGGGTCGGTAGGTTTTGGGGTTCAAACTATGATGATATCCATGATTGCACAGGCATTTTTCTGCTTAAATGGAGGGCATGCTATTCAGAGAGGTCGCTCAGTCAGTGATCGCTTGGTGCTGCTGGTAGCTTGATGAAAGGAATTTCTCTGTTGCCTCAATCCGTCTCGGAGACGTGACCGGTAATTGTCTTTCCCTTTCTGAACCTCCAAGCTACGCAACCAGTTGGTTGACTTCGGAACGGTAGGTTCGTTCCCCATTTGCAGGACAACATCTCTATCTCCTCACAAGCAGTATGAAGAGACCAGCTCGCGTCCACCTTGTCAAGTGTATGACACCTCGCCGGCTCACTGTCTGCATCTACTTAGGGAACTCAGCACGCTTGGCTAGGCGATGTGCTCCACGAGTAGTCGAGCGGAGCACTTGCCCGCGGGTTGCCTGCCATCACGGCGGTTCTCATCGCAAGTCCTGTAAACGTTGTCATTGGCCTCATGGCCTAATGCCCCATATCCCGCGTTTAACCACCGAGTAGCCCACTAAATTCAACTTATCTAGCTGATAATGAGAATGAAGGCCTCGTTCAATAACAACATCCAAACCGCATAAATGAGGCTAGTGGTTGAAAGCAGTTAGCAAGTCCTCTTCTGTGCTCCAAGCCGATAGTGAGTACCTAGGAACAATCTAAGGGCGGATGCCCTTGCTGCTGAATTCATGTGAAGACACGATCTGATGACCTGCTGGTAATTTTTGATGCACATTGTTGTCCTGAATCTCGGCGAAGAACGCATCTATGTCTCCTCTTGTTTTATTTCCCTCCCTTACCCCATGTATAGGAATACCGATGAGATGTCCTCAAGCCATTGTGGTCATTTCTTCACGATGGAGTCGAGATGTCACATTCCCAATCGTGAAGGCTCCAAAAGTTTCAACGATATAGACACGCAAATACAATATGATCCCTGTCAAATCAAGTTCAGCGTCAGTGGTTTAGTGGTAAAATCCATCGTTGCCATCGATGGGCCCCGCGTTCGATTCGCGGCTGACGCATTTACTTTTCACAATTAAACTGACAACTCGTCAATTTTTGCTCTCGACATAACAGGGGATTCGTTTATGAGATGAAGTCCAAGAAGGTCCATATTGTCAATGGAAGAACATCATCCATATTTAAACCCTCGCTTCAACTCCCGCCAATGGCGTAATGAAACCAGAAACCATGTGAAAACATAGAAATACACTGTCAACCTGGGAAACCTACAGCGTCAAACCGGGGATAATAGAGGGATTCACCACATCAAAAGACCAGCACTCGAAGTCTCCATAACCCGGCTGAACGTCGACGAAAGGAGAATGAAGGAAGCCGTCTCCCAGGAATCATGTCATGCCCCCTCCGTGCCCATCCCGGCGTCCATCTTTTCCAAATCACAAGCAGATCTTTCCAGCCCAGTCCGCCTCTACCCCCAAATCCACAGATGCCACCACGAGATTATCTCCACCACAAACCCTCATCGTAGTAGTCATCATCATCATGGTTATAACAAACCCCCCTCCATCCCACCCCCCATCAAGCCTTCTCCGCATGCCCATCATTCAACAACATCTCCAGCACAATCTGTCCGCCGGGTACCTCGGGATGGCTCATGCAGATCTTGACCGTCCCCTTGGAATCCTGGTGCACGCCAACAGGCGGCTGCACGCCAGCCAACCCCGCGCCGCCGCCGCCGTGCGGCCCGCTCCCCGTCGGCCCGCGGAACCCATAATCAAGGCACCTGACGTCGCGCCCGGCAATGATCTGCCTCAGCCGGCCGTTCTCGGCGTTGCGCACCTCGACATAGTCGTCATTGAACAGCAGCAGGTACTGGCCAAACATGGTGGCCGCCCTGGCCTTCTTCTGCTTGCCCGAGTACTCCATGATGAGGGTGCGGCTGATCTCGCCGTGCTTGTCTACGTAGACGGCGCAGTCCTCGTACGTGAGCAGGAACTCCTGGTCGTTGAGCTTGAACATGCCCAGTGGGTTGGGCTCCTTTATGCGCGACGCAATGTTGGCGATGGCCGGCTGCCCGAGGTCGCGGGGGATCGACTGCGTCACCTTCTTGTCGAGCGTCAGCAGCTCGAACCCCTTGCTCGTCGCCACCGCTATATAGCTCTGGAACAAGTTGAGCGAGAAGCAGTCGGTGGGAATGTAGAACTCGTCAAAGTCGCGGAATGACTCGGTCGTGCCGGCCCCGCCGCGCCGGCCCCCAAACAGCCGAGACTTTTTCTCGGTCGCCTTTTGGAACACGGGCTCGAGAACCTTAAACGTGTTGTGCATGCCCTCCTTGCGCTTGTAGAACAAGAGCATCCTCTCCTTCATGCGCGCCGTGGCGAAGAAGGCAACGTCCTTCGCGAGACGCTGCGGTGCCCGACGCGGATTGTCGTGCGACGGGGCGGGGAAGTTTGACACCGGCGCAACCACGTCAAGCGGGTACGAGATCAGGGACCTGTCTGCGATGAGGAGGCAGACCGAGAAATCCTCCAGGACAGCGATCTGGGTGACCCTGCTTATCTGGACAGACCTTGTCCACCCCCGAGGATTGGACGCTTCCGAGATGTAGACGCCATAGTCGGTTCCGATGGCGATGAGCGACTTGCCAGATGACGTGAAGGCGCAGGCGCAATTGACAGTCGCTCGGCAAACCGGTGGCGGGCCTCTCCCTGGACCGTACACTTGCTCCATCTCCCGGATGGCCCTGTCTAGGGGAGTGCCCCTGATGGCCACACTGGGCTGCCTCCCCATCGGAGACGCCGAATCATACGCGAATGCGCTATCCGAAATGACGCGTAGGCGGAACGGCTCGGCATTCTGTGCATGGAGAGCCCTGGCGTGCCTGGTCTTGGCTTCGATGATGGCTTGACACCAAGCGGCACGCTCCTGGGCAGACGATGCGTAGAGCGTGTAAATGTCATTACCGAGGTGCTTGATCCTGAATGGGTATATGATTTTCCCGTCGTCGGAGCCCCCTGTTGTAAGCCGTGAAACGGTGGTGAGTGACCCCATCGAAGAATTAGTTCCTGTGTGCTCAAGCCCGGGGCGGTCGCCTGAATTAGAGGCCACTTTGCTGAGCTGAGTTCCCGAGGCGGATGCAGCAGGCGTCCGTGACAAGGGAGCTGTCAAACCCTTCTGCTTAGAGACTGGGTCGTCATTCAGGCTCTCGAGGAAGAGGAGCGGCATCGGAATCGGCTGGGTGCATACCAGGTTAGTGTCAGGACAGACTCTACATTGTGCTCAAACATACCTCTTTGGACACATCAAACTTCTTATCGCTTCTCCCATCCCTCGAGGGGACAGCCTTGGCCAAGATAAAGTAATGGTCGAAAAGCAGGGCGTGCGTGTCCAGCCAGCGGACACCTTTCGAACCCTGTCTTTGGAGCTCGCCCTGCTTAAGCAGCTCCCGCCCCAAGTGGTCAAGATTCAAGACGGACTGGAAGCCAGGCCGCAGGACCAACATAGACTGCAGCTCCAGCAACTCAATCTTTTTGGTCATCTCTGCCACCTTCTCATCGCACTCATGGGTGACCTTCTTGATCTCCTCCAAAGCTCTGTCGAGGTTGGACTTCTCCTCACTTTCCCCTGGCATATTCTTCTTCACCGTCTCGAGGAGGAGGCCGTATCTCTGAAGCCTGGTGATGGGCGCCTTGACGAACGTCGTCCACTCCAGCCGCTTCGAGCGTTTGTGATCCCGGACGACATCGAGGAACTGTCGAAAGAGCAGGTTTCTGGCTGACTCTTTCCTGATCAGGTACGAGGCGTACGGGTATGACGAGCAGTACTCGATGTAGATTGGCCTGGCCTTCCGAATCCATTCCCTGAACAGATCGCTAAATCCGACGATCCAAGGGCCCTGTTCCTGTTGGCGGTATTTGAGCTGAGCGAGTAGATGCTCCTTGTTGATCTGCTGGACAGCATCCACCTTGCCAAACACCGCATCTAGGAATTTGTCCATTCGGTTTGCCGCGATGATGGGCGGCTGCCATGCTCTGAGCCAGTCGCGGTAGAGCAGCCGAAGCACATCCAATTGGCCCATGTACTCCTCCTCGCCCGTGACGATCTCATGTAGCACGTTCTGCCTCTCGACCTCCTTCTTGGGCTTGTTCTTGATGTCCTCCATGGTCACGCCGTGGAAGGTAGCCCAATCCAAAACCACAACGTCCTCTTCGGACATCATGTTGTCCAGGTTCACCTTTTTGAGCGTTCTGCCGCAGTGGTGCGAGTAGCATCTTACTGGTATGCCGTTGCCGTGCAAACGGGGAACGATGCGCTCGTCCTCGTGCAGCTTCGGCGCATAACATCCGGAGCCGGTGAGTTGCCACAAAACACCCGACAGCTGCCCTGAGCCAAACTTGACCCATTCTTCCTCGGGTATCAGGATGCCGGCCGCAAACATGGAATCCACCACCCTCGCGCTCAGCAGTTCCGCATCGGCGACGTTCATTGTCGGCACCTTGGCGCAGAAGAGCTTGAGAACACCCTCCTCGATCGTCTTCCTCTTGAGGTCGGGTTCTCCTTCCGCCATCTCACGAATCCAGGCAGTGATACCGCTGAGAGCCCAGGGCTCTGCGCAACGCTTGATGTCCGCAGCCGAGAGTTTCGAAGGCACAAACTTCTTCCTCCTGCCTGTGGGCAACGTGATCATATCGTAGGCGGCCAATGACGATGGGGTCGCCGCCTCATAGCCCTCGTACGGCACGGCCCCTTGCTGGTAAGCCGGTGCACCCGGCTGGGAGACGTATTTCATCGCTCGCCTGCGCTCCTCAGCATCAGTCCGAGATCTAGCAGGTGCCTGTACCGGGGGCGTGTTGCTGTGGTTCACCAGTGAGATTGACCTCTCAACGTGCTGCTGACCAGCATTCAGACCTTGCTGAATCACAGGGGTATCAGGTGGATAGGGCAGTCTTGAATCCGCACTCAGAGAATGACTGTGCTGATAGTTGGATCTGATCGATGGCTGGGCGGAAAGAAGCGAACCGCTGTCTGGAGGCTGAGGTGGAAGGGCGGGCAGAGGACGGTTTGAAAGACCCGGGTGCCAGAACATTTGATCGTATGGGTAGTCCTCTTTGGAAGGCGAATCACTACCGCTATGCCGAGAATGGAGGGACACCTGCTCGTCGCCCTCATCGAAACTCAAGCGGTGTGTTTGAGGGGGAAGAAGGCCACCGGTACCTCCATAATCGACTGAAACTTCGGAAAACGGCGGATACTCGGCTCCCTGGCTCTGTGGAGTGGGTAGCGGCCGAGACGCGTCCTGAGTTGGCGCTGTTGCTGGCGGAGAGCTAACTTCGGTACCGTAGTGCAGGTTCCCAGCATAACCCCCGCCGTACATGCCGAGATCCATCCCGCCGTAGTCACTGTCCGGGCTTAGTTGCTCTTCAGGGGGTGGTGGAAGCTGGGGGGCAGACTGCGGTTGTGACTGCGGCGCGGCGAACGGCTCCATGTAAGCCGGAAATGTTATACCACCGAATCTGCGATCCTCCATATCGTCCTGCATGGCTAGCAGGCCCGCTGCACCTTCCGGATCACTTTCCTCGGAATCCCACCCAGTATAGGCTGTGTTCGTCGAAGCCGCAGTGTTGTTCATGGCCGACGAGGCGTTTGATGGGTACCGATTAACGCCGGGTTCGGAAGTGGTTCTTGATGAAGTGGAATTGTACCGCTGGGCTTTCTCCAAAATATCGTCTGATACAATGCCATTGGTAGGCTGGGGGCGCTGCGTATGCGAAGAACCCCCTAGATCCGATACAATCTCTTGCATCAGGCTGTCTTGCGTGACCTGGAAATCCGCCTCACCGCCTCCATTCATTCTCCAATCCGGCTCTTCCGGTAAATCATCCATTGGACGACTGGGAAGCGGAGCATTTGTTGGGTGTCTCTGGATTTGCGGGGAGGCCGGGGCACGGTCCGGAGGCGAAGGCATGGGCGACGTTTGAGATCCCGATCGAGCGGCTCGGTTGGTGAAGGAACTGGGGTCAGGGGAGTAGTTGGGGCCAACCGGAATATGAGAGTGCACGGGATATGGTGCATGCGAGGTTGACGCAGTGTATGGAGGACTCGACGCGGCAGGGATGCCATTAGAAGCATAAGTCAACTCTGGATACTGCTGAGTACCATAGGCTGCCGAGTATGATGGCTCGTATTGCGCGGAAACGGCAGAGGGTGCCACCAATGGCGCATACTGCGGGCTATGTAACGCAGGCTCATATCTCTGCGGGGCCGAAGGAGTCGTCGCCGAGGATGGTTGCGAACCACCGTAAGTTGACGGAGGCGGCGGTACGTAGGCGGTGGAAACATGAGGCACAGATGGCGCGTTGTAACTCCCGTAGCCGTAGCCGCTGTATCCAGCAACAGTAGAGTGCCTCTGAGGAAGCGCGGTGCTGGTGTTCGCATATGCCGCCGGATTGTACGCCTGCGGAGCATAGTTCGTTGGGGCCGTCGCATATGTCGGGCTTGTGGAAGGCGTAAATCTTGCTCCTGAGGCGGGATGATATGGGAGGGATGTCGACTGCGAGCGAGCAAAAGTCTGGGGATTGTAGGTCGAGTGCGATGGTGGGGGCGGCGGGACATGGACTTGGTACTGTCGATGAAAGCTCGCGGCGGCGGCGTTTGGCGGAATGTAGCTCGCTCGGTTTGGGACCGGCTGGGTGTCTGCGACGGGGCTGCTTATGAAAAGCTCTTCGTCGGCCCTGCCTGTGCTGCCCGTGTAGAGCGGTTGGGGCCGGGCAGCGGGCTGGTCGAAGAAAATGGCATCGTCACCGCTGTCGAAACTCGGGCGCCTCGCCGGATACTCAACGGGCTCTTGCGACGGAGCGGCGACGGGATATTGCGCTGGCGGCACATGGCCGTATCGGCGTGAATCATCACTGCGAAATGACATGGCGCTGAGGTTGGGGAGCAGGCAGGCGTGCTCTGCAGGAGGGAGAGCTTCCGAGGGGCGACCACAGGACCGGGCGGGGTGTTGTTCGTATCCCGGTCGGGTGAGAAACCCTCTGCGATGTCGCGAGCAGCGAGGAGCGAGATGGCCCAAAAAAAATAATCTATCCGTAGCTCGGGCGCAATCGTTCGCAGATGATGACCACGGCGTGCGCTCGGAAATGAGACCGTCAAGACGTGGGGTTGGCTTCGCGGTCGAGGTCAAGTGGGCACAACTGCCAGTGTTTCAGGGTCCCGGTGGACCACGAAGCGAACCAAGTCGATAGACCGGCATCAACGATTGCTCGAGCACTGCGAAAGAGCCGTCTGAAAACTCTCTCGGTGCGTCTTCTTTTCCTTTGTGATATAATCGTTTTGATAGAAAAGCCGCAGAGGCGCGACGCTGAGTTCGGGCTAGGTGCCCTCGTTGCTGGCGTCCAACAGCCCTGTCTGCCTGGGCCTTGCAATTCCTGAGGCTGATTGATTGTCTTTGAGTGCAAATTGAGCCCAACTTCCATGAGTGGCGGGGAAGCCACACATTGGCTGGGCGGGCAGTGCACAGAGCAACCTTAACCCTAGAGCTTCTACAAGTGGCACTTTTTCAAGCATACGGATGTACAGTAAACTAGATGAGGCCAATTTACGGATTACATGCGGGTTTGTTTCTTCTTCTCTCTGTCATACACTCTCTATCTTATTCATCGCTTTTCTTCACTACGGATCTCTATGCCTTTCAACCTTTCTTTTGTTCCTTGCCCACGGTAAGCCCACCTTGTGCTGCGGTGCCAACAAGCCAGTTTGGGGGTGTATGATTCTGTGAAATGAAGCTTTCACCCGAATACATACCCCGACCCTGAGCCAACCAAAAGGTTGTTGAGAATAGGTCAACCAGGAGTCAGCATTTTGCAAAAATGATTGAAGAGCTAAAGAAGTCAAACAAACACGAAAGCCGACATCCTGCCTTTCAACAGTACTGCTCGCAATTCAATCACCGCGCTTCGCTACAGAGAAACATCAGGTTTGGGCTGAAACCCGTACCAACTTCGTCCAATGCCGGGATCGCAGCCGACGAAAGAGAAAGAGAAGATGACCGAACATCCAGAACCTAAAGGTATATATATCCTCATGATTGCATTCAAAATGTGCCAAGCAAAGATTGGCAGCCGGTACAATGCTCGAATGCTTTGTTCTCCCCTGTTCCACACCTTCCATATTTCCTGAGTGCCCATCATGGAACTGTCAGCCCTGGATGAATTGACAATGACGGCAGCAATCATGCGGGGTCGTCCAGCTCCCGCGCGGCACACTTCCGCTGCTAGGAGTTCGTCGTCATAGCTACCCCACCTTCTATCAGCGAGCGATCCTCGGACTCCGAGTCCTGGATCCGTAGCCTTCCCCGCGGAGCTTTATCAGCAACTCGGCTTGGATTTTCCACTCGGGTCTTCCAAATACCTCCGTCACCTTCTCTCGTTGATCTCTTGAAACTTCAGTCAATTCAGCAATACCCGTGCCAAAACAACATCAAATCAACTACACACCACCGTCACAATGGTCAAGGCTGGTAAGTCAACAAAGCTCCTTGAATAATGACTCCACCATCGACAACTTGCCCCACGGTTCGAGAGCGGCGTCTGGAGTAAGGTCGAGGAGGGCCAGTCATCAGATTCTACCGCAACCTTGATGGGCACTTTAATGCCAGGATGGTTGGTCCAACGAGCCAACTAGATCACTAGGCATCTGAACCCTGCGCCAAGGGGTGTGCACCGTGAGGATCGAAGCTGTCTGATCGAGCCATTTGCTAAATTGCGTGCTTGCAGTCGCTGTCGTCCGGGGTGACTCCAAGGTCACCGGCACCGTCGTTTTCGAGCAGGAGTCCGAGGCGGCCCCTACCACCGTCACCTGGGACATCACCGGCCATGATCCCAATGCCAAGCGCGGCATGCACATCCACACCTTTGGCGACAACACCAACGGCTGCACCTCGGCTGGGCCCCACTGTATGTGTCTTAAGCCTTAGCAACCTATCCGCCCTCCTCTGCGGAGATTGGAAAACGCTGACCGTTTTTGTTGCATAGTCAACCCTCACGGCAAGACACACGGTGCCCCGACGGACGAGAACCGCCACGTTGGCGACCTTGGTAATATCGAGACGGATGCGCAGGGCAATTCCAAGGGCTCGGTGACCGACAAATTGATCAAGCTCATTGGCCCCGAGAGCGTCATTGGCGTAAGTACCACCAGAAGGAGATGTGTATCCGGACGCAGAGCGCTAATGTTTTGACCAGCGGACTGTCGTTGTCCACGCCGGCACCGACGATCTCGGCAAGGGAGGCGCTGAGGAGTCGCTCAAGACGGGCAACGCCGGGCCCCGCCCCGCCTGCGGTAGGACACGATCGATGTTGTCTTGTTTTCTGGTCCCGTTGCTGACCAGATATTCTAGGTGTCATTGGTATCTCGCAGTAAACGCATAGTTCAAAGACGTGTTGGGTTGGGAATACCGGAAGCGATCTTGAATCAAGTCGGCCACTAGGCAGACAAGATCCACGGACCTTGGGACCGATGATTGACTGTGCTCTACCGTATGTCACCCAATACAAAGAAGAATATGGGAACACAGTCGAATCGTGACCCTTTGGGAGCGCTTTTATGTTGAAGTTGTGGTCGATGCTTCATCACGAGTTGCAGTGATGGTAATGGCGTAATGCGGGGTATTATATACTAAGTACGTCAACTCTCACAAACGGGAGTTGCCCCTCTTCACCTCCAGAATGTTTCTATTCGGGCCAAGTTGAACTGTTTGAACTGTTCTGTTGTTGAAGTACTATACGGATACAGCGTCAGCCAATGTTCACGGCTCCTAGGTCCTTGACTTGCTGCAGCCTCGATGATTGTATGCTTAGTAGAAGCTTCTACAGCCAGCGCTGTTCCGTTAGGAATCTGTATCTGTCTTCCGCACCAGGCCCACAGTACCGGGACTGGCTTGTATGGAACCCCTGAAATTACTTTCTGTCCTGGGGAAGCTGCTCCCCACACCCGTGCAACAACCAATCCAAATTCACGTTGAAAGCTGTCAAAAAGCTCGAAGCTCAACCTGAGGATAACGTTTCAGGCTTCTGCTACTTTTAGGAGCACCCTCATAACATTGCCAATTGCTTCTGTTTCGTCGTCTTTTCTGGACTTCTCGCGGTACGTATAACGTTCTTGTTGTCTTTGAACAATCACCTCTCCCATGAAGCTCTTGATCTTGATCCTGGTGGTTACGGCGAATCTCAAAGGCCACGAGATCACCTCTAGAGCTTAGACACCATATGCATGTCCCACCCATCCGATGAGCAGCGTGTTTGGTTCTCGCTGTAAACCTGGAGCTCATAGGACTCTCCTGTCAGGGCTTCTTGGTCTGGTCACCGTCATTCCAGACTCTTGAACGCCCCTTCATTGGCAACCCTATGGGAGTCAACAGACACCGTCGAAAAGGGGCTGAAGCTACACAGGCTAACAGAGCGTAATAGAAGCAGCTCCTGGACTCCCACAACTGTTCCTTCTTCCCTTTCCACCTAGACTTCTAACCCCCCTTACCTCGTCACCATGGCCTTCCTTGCCAACGTCAAGTCGGTGCTCAGCGGAGACACCCTCGTCCTCGTGAGCCCCAACAATCCGGCGGCGGAACGGACTCTCTCGCTTGCCTATGTTTCGGCACCCCGCCTGAGCAAGGATGGCGACGAGCCCTTTGCTTTTCAGTCGCGCGAGTTTCTGAGAAGCTTGACCGTCGGCAAGCCGGTCAAGTTCAGCGTTTCTTGTGAGTGTCTTCCAGGAGCCCCAACTGATTCCCGGTGCAGGTCTTACCCAACCAAATTCCCGTCCCTCCTTGATTTACTTACTCTCCATTCAGACACCATCCCAGGCTCCGGTAGGGAATACGGCACGGCACTTCTCCAGGATGGGACTGCGTTTCCGGAAGCCGCAGTCAAGGCTGGTTGGCTCAAGGTCAGGGAAGACGCTGGCCGGAAAGACGACTCGGAGGACGTTCTCGAGAAGATCGACAGCTTGCGGAACCTGGAGAGCCAAGCCCGGGCCGAGCACAAGGGCTTGCATGCTGGAACCGGCGGCGTCATCGAGGTTCAGAACGATCTTGGTGGCCCCGAGTTTATGAACCAATGGAAGGGCAAGACGGTAGACGGAATCATTGAACGCATCATCAGCGGCGACCGCCTGCTCGTCCGCCTGCTCCTCACTGAGAAGAAGCACTGGCAAGTCATGACGCTCGTGGCTGGCATTCGAGCACCGTCAACGGAGCGCTCCGGACCGAATGGACAGACTCAGCCCGCCGAGGAATTCGGTAACGAGGCTCGGGCCTTTGTCGAACAGCGACTGCTCCAGCGGCCAGTCAAGGTCAAGATCGTTGGCGCCAGTCCGCAGGGCCAGCTTGTTGCTTCCATTATTCATCCCCGCGGAAACATCGCCGAGTTCCTGTTGAAGGAAGGCCTTGCTCGCTGCAATGACTTCCACTCCACCATGCTGGGGAGTGACATGGCCGCACTCCGGGCTGCTGAGAAGGAGGCCCAAGAAGCCCGCCGTCGCCTGCATAGGGCCTTTGTCGCCAAAGCTACCGACAGCAAGGAGCAAGATGCGACCGTCACCAAGATCATTGGGGCCGATACCATCATTGTCCGCAACAAGGCCGGCGCCGAGAAGAGAATCAGCCTCAGCAGCGTCCGCGGACCCCGTGCTGGGGAGGCTTCCGAGGCACCTTTCAGGGACGAAGCAAAGGAGTTTCTGAGAAAGAAGCTTATTGGAAAGCATGTCCGCATTTCGGTCGACGGCACCAAGCCTGCCAGCGACGACTTCGAGGCCCGTGAGGTTGCTACGGTCACCCAGAACGGCAAGAACATTGGCTTGCAACTCGTTCAGGAAGGTTACTGCTCGGTGATTAGGCATCGCAAGGACGATACGGACAGGGCGCCCAACTATGACGAGCTGCTGGCAGCTCAGGAGACCTCCAAAGAGGAGAAGAAGGGCATGTGGTCTGGCAAGCCGCCCAAGACAAAGCAATACGTCGACATGTCGGAGAGCGTCCAGAAGGCGAAGATCCAGTTGTCCACTCTCTCCAGGCAGCGGAAAGTCCCCGGCGTCGTCGATTTCTGCAAATCTGGGTCCCGCTTCACCATCCTCATCCCCCGTGAGGGAGTCAAACTCACGCTGGTCCTGGCTGGGGTCCGTGCTCCTCGTGCCGGTCGGACTCCTCAGGAGAAGGGAGAGCCTTTTGGTCAGGACGCACTGGACCTGGCGAACAGACGTTGCAACCAGAGGGACTGCGAGATTGATGTTCACGACCTCGACAAGGTTGGTGGCTTTATTGGCGACCTCTACGTGAACCGCGAGAGCTTTGCCAAGATACTTGTTGAGGAGGGGCTGGCCTCTGTTCACAAGTACTCGGCCGAGAAGTCGGGCAACGCTACCGAGCTTTTGGCTGCGGAAAAGCGAGCGAAGGAGGCCAGGAAGGGAATGTGGCACGACTGGGACCCGTCTCAGGACGTCGAGGAGGAGGCGGAGGCGGCCGGTGCTGAGCCGGCGGCCGACGCTTCCGTCACCATCGAGAAGAGGCCGGAGGATTACCGCGACATCATCGTCACCAACATTGACTCGAACGGCAAAATCAAAGTTCAGGAAATCGGCAAGGGCACGGACGCGCTCGAGGCCCTGATGGATCAGTTCAGGCAGTTCCACCTGAACCCGACAAACAGCGGGGGCCTGAAGGACGCCCCGAAGGCCGGAGACTACGTGGCTGCCCAGTTCAGCGAGGACGGCGAGTGGTACAGAGCGCGCATCCGCTCCAACGACCGCGCCGCCAAGGTGGCCGAGGTCGTCTACATCGACTACGGTAACTCGGAGAAGCAGCCGTGGTCCAAGCTGCGGCCGCTCAACCAGCCGCAATTCAGCGTCCAGAAACTCAAGGCGCAGGCCGTCGACACGCAGCTCTCGTTCGTGCAGCTGCCCGCGGCCCCGGATTATCTCAGCGACGCCATCAACTACCTGTACGAGCAGACCGAGGGCAAGCGGCTGGTGGGGTGCTTCGACTACGTCGACGGCAAGGAGGGGATCTCGTACGTGACTCTGTACGACCCCAAGGCCGAGGGCGCCGGCAAGGTGACCGAGTCGGTCAACCGCAAGATTGTCCTCGACGGCCACGCTCTGGTGGCGCGGAAGCTCAAGGCGTGGGAGCGGAGCAAGGTGTTTGAGCCTGTGCTCAAGAGCCTGCGCGAGGCCGAGGCCGAGGCCAAGGACGCGCGTCGTGGTATCTGGGAGTATGGCGATATCACGGAGGACTGAGGATGCCGTGTGGGGAGAATATTCGAATCAGAGTTTTAAAACGAGTCTTTCAGGAGGAGGCTTCGACAGGAAGAGAAACGGGGAGGACCGACTGGTTTTGGTTTGTTGCAAAGACACCTAAAAGCGCCCGTTCACTTGAATCTGTCTCGAATCACTATAGCATATCTGCGAAACAAGAGCATTGTCCGGCGATGTACGGATAGCTGGGCAGAATTCTCTCCTCCCGAGAACCAGCAGATGTTATCTTACTCCGTGAACAATTACAATTAATACGGTTGGCCATGCGTAACGGACTTGAGATGAGTGAGGTCAGTGGCCAAGGTTTCTCTGATACCTCCAGCTGCTCACTTACTACTACTTGCTCATCAATCCTCATAGCGAACTTGTCTCGAACGCCCCACGCTGCTCCTGTATTCAGTACTTACTATACATCCTTGGCTCATAAGTATTCATCAATGCCGATCGCTGCCCTTGGGTTCAAGACAGTCATGCACCAGCTCACCGTCAGCATTTCGATAGTTGTATACCATGCACAAGCTCACCGCAGCATTTCGATAGTTGTATACCATGTACAAGCTCACCGCAGCGTTTCGATAGTTGTATACTCAAGAAATGAGCCTGGAAAACTTGCCGTGAAGTTAAGCAATTGGGGAGCAGCCTGAGACAGCCAGAAGACAGCCTCGCGGAAACCCATTGGTGGAATATGCCATAACCTAGTGGCAGCATCTCCGGAGCAAACCGTGTTTTCTCCAAAGTGTCACCATCGCCGAGGAGCAATTCACACCACCACAAGGGATTCCGAGGACTCACTTGGCAGCATATAAACGGGATAGGTTACATGTCATGAGACCCAATTGTTCCCGCCGGTCTGGGCCTGAGGTCTTTTTCTCATCATGGCGATTCTGATCCGGTACGTAATGCGAGACAATGGATCGCCCTTTCCGAGGAGAAGTGGTGGTGGAGCGCCCTCTGTTCTCGGCTATTTGAGGAAAGTGGATCGAGTCCCGACCATTGTCCAATCGTGCGATGGGATGTGGCACGCTTGCTTTGTGTCGTCGCGGCTGAGTAAGGGGCCTGCTTGTCAACAACCGCCGCGATCGGGGGAATGTCGGGGCGCGACAGGGCTGCAGTGGGCGGGGGAGTTTGGCGGTGGAGGCGCTGTGGGTGCGCTGGAAGCGCTCCTGTAAGAATGGACTTGCGTGTTGCCAGCAACAACAGATACTTCGAGGTTGAAAGTATTTTCTGTGGTTTGGAGGAGGTTTGATGCCGCTCTAATGAAGGGCAGACGAGAGACAGTTCCCATCTTGATGATGTGAATCTGGCTGCCGGTAACGGCGTCAAGGTTTGGGATACGTTTTGGAGCGCGAGGTGTTTGGCGGCGGCTTGAGACGGAAGCGGGAGGCGAGGGGAACATCGGATGGGGGGCGCTTGGTAAGGTTATGACGATGCTGCCCCACGCTCCAGTATTACCCGCGACATGTCCCCCAACACAAAACTCATAACGACCTATCCATTCTTTCCTGCAACCAACAAACCTGCAACTGCGAGATTTCAGACGCTTCGATTACTAGGCTTGATACCGTAACTCGAGCTATAGATCTTTGTACTCTTCCAGATCGCATTTGCCCGTCATGTCCAACTCTCTCGAGCAGCTCAAGGCCACTGGCACGGTAAGCAGATCACCCCGTCAAACCCCTCTCAAGAGCGAGAAGTCATTCGCCCTTCGGAAAGAAACACCACGGGGATGTCCGGTTTCCCTCTTGGTTATCCGGCTGTTGCGAAGGTTTGGCTGACTCTAATGATCAATGGCAGGTCGTTGTCAGCGACTCTGGTGAGTACCCCAGAGCAATGTCTTCCACGGCTATGGCTAACTCGATGCGCTAGGTGACTTTGCCTGTTAGTTCACCAGTCCCCGTCACCCACCTGCGCTCTTTAGCACGATCACGATTGCTCACATATCCTCAGCAATCGGCAAGTACAAGCCTCAGGATGCGACCACGAACCCGTCCTTGATCCTGGCTGCTACCAAGAAGCCCGAGTACGCCGAGCTCCTGGATGCCGCTGTCGAAAGGGCCAAGAAGAAGGGTGGCTCGGTTGACGAGCAGGTCGACTCGGCCCTCGACTACCTTCTCGTCGAGTTCGGCAAGAGGATCCTCGACATCATCCCGGGCAAGGTTTCGACCGAGGTCGACGCTGCTTTCTCTTTCAGCACAAAGAAGTCCGTCGACAAGGCGCTTCACATCATCAAGGTATGGATATGACTTGTTGAAGTAGAACTAGAGAGCGGTTGCTGACTCCATCATTAGCTCTACGAAGAGGCTGGTGTTTCCAAGGACCGCGGTATGTCAAATCTGTCGCCTTTCTGCTCCTTTACAACTGCTTCAGGGGTAGTACTGTGTCTCCCGACGAACCGTGGGTCTAACTTCAAACAGTTCTTATCAAGATCGCCTCGACATGGGAGGGTATCAAGGCTGCCGAGATCCTGCAGCGGGACCACGGCATCAACTGTAACTTGACGCTCATGTTCTCGCTCGTCCAGGCCATCGCCGCCGCTGAAGCCGGTGCCTTCCTCATCTCGCCCTTCGTCGGCCGTATCCTCGACTGGTACAAGGCCCACACCAAGAAGGAGTACTCCAAGGAGGAAGATCCGGGCGTTGCCAGCGTCAAGAGCATCTACAACTACTACAAAAAGTTTGGCTACAAGACCATCGTCATGGGTGCCTCTTTCCGCAACACTGGCGAGATCACCGAGCTCGCTGGCTGCGACTACCTGACCATCTCCGTAAGCAGTTCCTGGAGAACCTTGGGTAGTCCATCTTGCTAACACCTTACCGACAGCCCAACCTCCTTGAAGAGCTCATCAACTCGGATGCGCCCGTTCCCAAGAAGCTCGACGCCGCTGGCGCCAGCTCGCTTGACATCCAGAAGAAAACGTACATCAACGAAGAGGCCGACTTCCGCTTCGACTTCAACGAGGACCAGATGGCCGTCGAGAAGCTCCGGGAAGGCATCAGCAAGTTCGCCGCTGACGCCGTCACCCTCAAGGACATCATCAAGGCGAAGCTGCAGTAAATTGACAACAAACGGAGGAAGACGGGGTGTGCTAATGGACGCGATGCTGATTATAGAATGAAGTGGATTTTTTGCGACACGCATGTGCAATGATGGGGTTATCATCGGCAAGCGAGAATGAACGGTCTGCTTGGGTTGGGCATATGGAGCATGCAAAGCAGTGCTGATACAGACGCGAAAAGAAATTCAATATATATCAACCAAGCTGGTGATGGCTCCATATCTGCTGTGAATTTCTGTAGAAACCGGTCTTCGTTTCCCTACGTGTCACAGTTTTCAGAGCTGGCTTGCGCCATCCATTCTAGGTACTTGAGAAGCACTCCAACCCGGCACACCTCCAACGCCTCCTCAGACAGAACATCTGACCAAGTAGCTATCAACTCCAAGCTCAACCTCCCACAGTCAAATGCTAGCATCAATGGCCCCAATAATGGGTACCGTCCCTGAAGGTACAAGTACCTCATGCAGTGTTACAGGCACAACGACAAGCCTCAGCAACCCCCTCCTCCCCTCCTGCCCAACTTCAACCTCAACCTCTTACTCAGCCCACCATCCTCCGTTTTTCTTGGCCATAGCCCCCTTTTTCCCCTCGTCAATTTTTTCCTGCCACCAACTCCTTCGTTAGACAACCCGTGTGTATTTGTATACCTACCCCAGTATCAAATCAACTGCGACAATCAACCTGCTCGATACGGTGTCCCACCCCGGCGGGCCCGGCTTCGATGATCAGCGCTGTTAGCTTCTTGCCGTGGCCGCACCCCGAGTCGAGGCCAAAGGCGTAGCGCAGGCCCTTTTCATTGTGTTTGTGTTGCTTGTGCTGCTTGTGTTTCTTTTTTGTCTTCTTCTTCTTGTTGTTGTTATTGTTGGTGATATCGTTGCTGTTGATGGTATAGTCGACGCCGCCGCTGGAGTAAGCCGACCAGGAGGCGTACGGGGAGATGTCGACTTCGGGGTTGACTTGGAGGCCTGCTTTGGCGTCGTGGCCGTATATGGCTAGGGTGTGAGGGACTGAGGGGGGGAGGCGGTTCTGATAGCGGTTCCTTGAAGGAGAAAGGGGGGTTAAAGCGGGTTTGGTAAGGGAGGGGAAGTTAAGGGGTGGGTGGCTTACCAGGCGTGGCTCCAGGGCTCGCCATCGCGGCCTTCTATGGGCACTGCGACTGCGTCTGGGGCGAGGGTGGACTTGTTAGATTGAGGGGTTTCGTCATCACGTTCCTCGGCGTCGTCTTCCTCCCCGTTGCCGTCGTTGTCGTCCTCATCTGACGCGGACTCTGTGTGATGTTTTCCTTTGCCTTTGCCCGGATAAATCAGACTCCGCATGTTCATTACTGCCCATGGGTCTTGTCTCTCTAGCTGCAAACCGGGGACCAGACCGCCGTGGACAACGACGAGGGTGTTGGCGTTCCATGGAGGCGAGGTGGCATCTGGGAGGGCGCCGATGCGGAGGATGATGGGGAGAGATTTGAGCCAGGCGAGCTGGGCGCGCGTGAGGGAACGGGCAATCCTGTGGGCGTGCTCCTTTTTTCGCTTCTCGGTCCCGGCCTCGTCGTTTTCGCGGTCCTTCTCGCCAGCGGCGTGGTCTGTTTCCCCGTCCGCCTCACGCCCTACCCCGGTCTCATCGTCAACTAAGTGTCGGTGGATCTCCCTGGCAGCCGCCAACACCTTGTCGTCCTGATTGCCCCTGACCGCGCTGGCTCCGAGATCCATGGCCAGCTTGACGACGCCCTTGCTGTCCGGTCCCTTTGTGATCATGTCGCCGGCGAAGATGAGGTGATCGCCATATCTGTGATCGAACCCAATCTTGTCGAGGAGAGCTCTGAGAGCGGCGAGGTGGCCGTGCACGTCGCCGACGACCACGAGACGCTTTCCTCTAGTTTTTTTCTCTCCTCCGCCCGGCCCGTCAGTCGGTGACGGGGGTGTATATACCGGGATGTGCTCTTGCGGAAGGTTGGCGATGAGCTGCGGCGGGTCATCCTTGAAGGGCGGGTGTTTGTTGGTTTTGTGTTCCATCGGGTGGTCTTGGAGTTGATATTCTGTTTCCTTCTCCATGGAATCGAGCGGCGCCTGTAGCTCTGGGGAATCTTCTCCCCCGGGACCGTCGGATCCGTGGTGGGGCGCTGCAGCTGCTGCACACGACGTCATGTCTGCTTCGCCTGGTACTTGTACATCACCACTGCCAGGAGTGCTCGGGTTGATGATTCGTTGGAGGCCCGGCAAGTGAGATGTAAAGAGGCATAGCGTTAGAAGCGTGAGCGCCCCCATGAGGAAGAAGGTCAGGGAGCGACTCGGCCGGCGGCGGCCGCCAGGGAGCATTTGGGCGATCACTCCCTGAGCCATTGGAGTGTCGCGTGGATTAGACCCTGGAAAGTTTCAACGGCGGCTAAGGCAAGGTGATTTTGAGGCCTGTCCCCAGTCGGCTGGGATTGAGCAGGGCAGCAAAGCCCGAGCTACCACATGATGAAGCGAGTTGTTGCGACTGTTGGTGTTTCTTTTGTCCGTGGTAAGCAAAGTCTTGGGGCAAAAGCTACCTTAAGTTGGGCTTCTTTGAAAGGAAACTCCTGCGAATCAATGACGGCGCTGACAAGCCAGCGCCATATCTTTTTGCCCCTCTTAATGATGTCGGGCCCCCTAAGATTCCACGAGGGGAAGGCTTTTGCCAGGCCATCCATGTTGTAATGAAGCGACTCCAACGACAGATCCAGTGGACCCTATGATCTTGTCTCAGGAGCGCGCGCGTGAGGGTGGCACATGCCGGCGTGGGGGATGTAGGTTGCACATTGGTTTTCTCGAAGAGGGCCGAAAACGCCTGCCCGACAAGGCCTTATGTCCGAGCTGGAGGGGATCAGGTTCATTATGCCGCCCACTCCCTCCTGTCATTTCCCCTTGGACAATGTCCTGATTTTGTGAAGTTCTGACCACCGGTGTCGCAAAGGCTGAGGAACGGGCACCTAGGTCTCAGTATTCATGGGTCAACTCCACTTTTCAGCCATTTAGACTTCTATTATAGTACATATACCCAAGTGCTTCCATGGGGAGACCTTGGTGCCCGAGGCGCAGAAGGTAGTAGGTGGAAGCTGCTTGAGACTTGAAGAGCATTCCCCAATGTCGGGAACGGCTGCTATGCGCCAAGGTCGATCAGGCTGAGAACTGCGCAGGATAGTACAGCGCGGCCCGTCGCGGCACGTTCTCTGCTCTGTTTGCGATGTGTCCCTCCCGCTCGTCAGCAATGCACCGCTCTCGTCATGACTTCGCCGACGTGTCCTCCGTCGACCTAGCCGCGGCCGCCCTGTATTTCTCGTTCTCGGCTTCCCTCCAGTCCTGGGGCGCCTTCTCGTTGCCGTCTGTTTCACCGCGCGTGCCCGCAAAGGCCGACTTGCCCGCGTACAGCTGGTATCCCTCGCCTGTCTTCTCGGTCTGCTCGAGCTGGCGGAAGGCGACGGGCTGGTTGCCCCTAAACCGCTTGCGCATGTCGATCATGCCGCGGCGACACTCGCCAAAGCCCTTCTTGAGCTGCTGGCACTTGAGCGGGAGGGTGTGGACGAGTGGCTCGCGCAGACACTCAGCGGCCGAGTGCCGCTGCACCATCACGCACTCGGATTCCTGGAGGCATTGCGCCAGCGCGGCTCCTTTTTGGAACAAGGTTAGCTTCTGCAAGTTGGACGGAAGGGTTGGCGGAAAGCCGCGCACGTATGTCTTTACATGAGCTGGGCATTTTTGCTCGTGTGGACTGCTGCGGCTGCACTCGGCAATGGACACAGCGGATTTCGGTCCTCGAGAACAATCCCAGGCCTGCAATTCACGAAGACCAAGGCCAGGTGGCTCGAGCTTCGCGGAGGGCAGCCAATTGGCACAGTTAGTGGCCCGGGGTTATAATTACACCGTACGTTATTTCGGTACGTCAGATACAAGCTTGAAAGACCCCCAGCTTGATGTATCACCGAACAAAGACCCGATGTCCATATTGATAGGATAGGTAGGCTTTTTATGCCGCGAAGAAAACTCCCAGAGCCAAGTGTCGTACTACGATACGAGTGTATATGAAGCTGTCCGGAATGCTTTGAGAACTAAAGGTCATTACTCCCACGATTGGAAACAGGGGCCATGCACCGCCAGCAGCCAGCCCAGCGGGACTTGCATGTGACGCTGATGTCACAAGGCCTGGTTGTTTCAACATGCTGAGGCAATGTCCCCCCCCCCCCCCCCACATTGCCGATGCTTTGACATGGGTCCGAGTCCTGCCACCAACTGCACGGAGGATGCTCCGAGATGCTCTGTACCATGCCAGGAGCGTTGCCTATGACAATATCTGCAATATCGCCTATTCATGAGCACCCAGTTCACGTTCTGGCTAAACTAAGTACCAATGACGAGATAGAAGCGCGGGAGTCGCCAAAATGCCTATCCCGTTTCTTGGGCGCCTGAACATGTGAGATTCTGCAGAGCATGTACCTGCATGTGGTTACGACCCTGATGCTGATATTCTGTCTACCCTTTCGAACAGCATCGAGTATGCCGCCCTCGTCGGATCGTTCTTTCTTGTAGGCCTCGAAGCCTTCATCCGCGTCTTCACCCTTGCCCTGCGTGAGCACACCCAGCATCACACGGCACAATGGGCTCGTCCGGCTAACACCTCATAGCGTCGTCACTCCTCGACATATTCTACGGCATATCCCGACGATTGTTTAATCGACTCACTACCCCGGCCCAGAAGAGGGCAGAGCGGAGAAGGAAGTGTGCGTGTTGCCTCCCAGTTGCGATGGACATTACATGAGAAGCCACAATGCTGAATCAGCCGTGCCTCAGCCATATCAACGTCGATCCGAAATGCATCCGATTTCGTCGACCTTTGCGCTACATTTGGATATACAGCCGAAGAACATGTTGTCCAAACCAAGGATGGCTACTTACTCGGCCTGCATCGGCTGGCGTGGAGGAAAGGGGAAGAAGACACAAAGGTCAACCGCGGTATCAACAGCGTCAAGAAGCGCGTGGTATACCTGCATCATGGACTGCTGATGAACAGCGAGGTCTGGGTTTGCCTGACGGATGAGCAGCGGGCTCTCCCCTTTGTCTTGGTCGAAAAGGGGTTCGATGTCTGGGTAGGCTCACCCATTCAGGGGGTCGGGTTGTGGAAAATGGCGAATAAAATACTGACAACGGGCAGTTTGGGAATAACCGCGGTAACAAGTACTCGAAAAAGTCCATTTACTCGTCGCCCAGCTCGCCCAAGTTCTGGAACTTCTCCATCGACGAGTTCGCCTTCCATGATATTCCCGACAGCATCAGCTACATCCTGGAGACGACCGGCCAACCGTCGCTGTCGTACATTGGCTTTTCGCAGGGCACTGCACAAGCTTTTGCCAGCCTGGCTGTCCACCCCAAGCTCAATGACCAAGTCAACGTCTTCATCGCCCTCGCCCCGGCCATGTCGCCGGCGGGACTTTCCAACGGTGTGGTGGACGCGCTCGTCAAGGCCTCCCCGCAAGTGCTCTTCCTCCTCTTCGGTCGCCGCTCCATTCTCAGCTCGGCCACCATGTGGGAGTCCCTCCTTTACCCGCCGCTCTTCACCAAGGTCATCGATATCGGCCTCTCCTTCCTCTTCAACTGGCGCACCCAAAACATCAGCACCTCGCAGAAACTCGCCGCCTACCCTCACTTATACTCCTTCACGAGCACCAAGTCGGTCGTTCACTGGTTCCAAATCATTCGCACCAAGTCCTTTCAGATGTACGACGACGACGTCCACCCGCCGTTGCTCGTCTCGGCCACCAGCAAATACACCAAGGTGGCCCGGTACCCGACCCGCAACATCAAGACGCCCATCGTGCTCGTCTACGGCGGCAGCGACTCGCTCGTCGACATCAAGGCCATGCTGCGCGAGCTGCCCCGCCAGACGGTCGCCAACGAGATCCCCCACTACGAGCACCTCGACTTCCTCTGGGCCAGGGACGTGGCCGAGCGCGTGTTCCCCCACGTCTTTGATGCGCTCAAGAGCTTCACGGGCGCCGAGCACACACGCGAGCAGTACGCCCGGTATCAGCTGGCGCGGCAGAGCTCGAGTCTGCAGGCCATGTCGCTGGGCAGCGGCGGCGGCGGCGCGCGGAGGAGGGGGCAGCATGCGGCGAAGGGGAGTGATGTCATGGATAGCGATGTGAGCACGGCCGTGGGTGGCGGGAGTAATCAGGAGGAGGAGGAGAGCGAGGCAGGGGCTGGTGGAGAGGAGAAGGCGGAGGTGGTGGCAAGCCCGGCAACGCCAACGAGGTGGGGGCCGAGGCTAAGTTTGAGTTTGGATACTGCGCGGCAGAGTCCCCATGCTCTGAGGGAGACGCACATCCCTTCGCCGACTGGCGGGCCGCGGGGGATTGCTCACGCTCGGTGCAGCTCGCTAAGTGGGTTGGAAAAGGCGGAGAGCTTGGCCGGACAGAGCCCGGTGTCACCTGTGTCGCCTACTTGGACTAGGCTCGGTAGTCCGCGGGTACCGAGGCTCCGGGACGCAGCGGTGCAGGCCGGCGACGTGGCTGTTGAGCAGAGCGTTGGAGCGCCCGGTTCTGCTGGTGCTAGCCCAGCGAGGGTGGCAGGGACTCCGTCTCCTCGGACGGGAACGGGCGGTGGTCAGTTGCGTCGGGAGTCGACGAAGGGTGGGAAGGGGACTACTACTTGATTGCAGTTGTGCCTTGCGCGGTGCCTCAGGAGAAGGGGTATTTACTGACGTTGGGTGGCACAGGTAACGCCGTCGGCGGAGTGACGGCCGGGGGTGTTGAGCCCGCCGGCTCGAAGGGGGCTGAGCCTGCGACTGGAAGCCCGACTGAGGGGCGGAGGCAACTACTTCCACCGAAAAAAGTGATGGCGGCTGGTCTTTCTGTAATCTCTCAATCTCTCGAGGATCGGGGGCATAACATTCGGCGTTTTGTTGGCTGCATGGATGGGTTGTATGATCCAAGTCACGGTGATGGTGGCAGAGAAGGAAGAGGAGCAGATGCCGTGGAATGTACAGAATGTAATCAGGATGACACTTTTTAATATCAATATATCAACCCATTTGTTTTCATGCCATTTCCACCATGCCCACTGGGATGGGCACAGCACAGCGCCTCATTCTCCGGATTACCTAGTCAGTATCGTTTTCAACAGCCTCGCTAACGACTTTGGAAACGCTGGGGCGGCTTCCTGCCGCTGCGAGGTGTAAGGTGTAGAGCTGAGAAGTCTAGCTGAAGTTGCCGCACGAGGTACCAGTATCTATGGCCAACGGCACTGGCAGGAGGGTTTGAAGGTAAGCACAGCATAGATGTACCAAGTCAGCTGCCCGCCCCTCCGGTCAATAGCTCACATGTAAGAGATGACACGATTGCACTTTAACTTCTCTGTCATCTACGGATAGACCCAGGAGAAACGGTGTTCGATTCTCCGCCGTATAGAGCACTGTAACTCTAGGTAGGCGCGCCCTAGTCACTGGATGCGGGCTCTCGATGTTGTTAACTCTACTCTCAAGGGCTGAGCTTCGCAGTCAAACTACCAGGCCACGCTTCCTCCATCTTTCCAAGACCCAATCACGAACCGAACGATCTACTTTCCCCGTGCGGGAGGGGCCTGTCCATCAACAGCGACTACCTTCCCGGAGGGCTTGGAATCATGTTCCGGCCTCCGCTTCGCGACGAACTGCTCGACCTGGTGTTGGACGTCTAAATCAGATTAGATTAGAAGGCCAGTGGCTTGTTCACAGTACTAGCGTCATGATTTACTTACAGGCAGCGTACCATCCCTCGGAGGCTTCCTCCTCCGCAAGGGCAGCGTCCTCGCCCGATTTCGACACGGCTGCCGGTCTTGGCCTCGCCGCTCATGCTCAGCTTCTTCGCCGTGGCTAGAACGGCGGCTTCTACGCTCAAGTCGGCAGGGTACTCCTCATTGTCGAGAGCTTGTTTGATGGACAGCAGGTCAGTAGGATGCCAAAGATGCAACCAGTAGGTACCTTTTGAAAAGCAGTGCAGCTGGTTACATACCAGCTTTGACAGTTCCCTCCAGTGTATCACGCCCAACCCCATATTCAAGGGCTTCCTTGATCGCGCGGAATACGTGCATGTGATGAGACCCGTACTTCCCCACGATGGCGACCGCTGCCATATTGCCTGCGACGACATGTTAGATGCTTATTGCAAACCCATGACAGAATTGTTAAAATCAATGATTAGGGCAATACATTTTGGAGTGTCACTATTGTTTTATTTGGAGGGGGGTGAGGAACAGGTCGTCGTGGAATTGTAGGAACACAAAGCATTGTGCCAGTTGTTGTTTACTCGGGTCATTAGAGTTGAGATGAAAGCAGCTGCTTCCATGCCACCTGTCCATCAGCTCGAGTCTATTCTCGAATTTCCGCTGCGCCGAGGCCCTTTCCCGGGCTCATGATGGTCCTGTACCTTTCTTGCCTCCGGTGAGGCATTGGCCAGGTTAGATCAAGATCCAGCGTTTCACAGGTCAAGCAAGCAGACTGTTCCCGAGCAATAAAAAAGGGAACAGGCTGCGGAAACCGAGGTCACAAGAGGGTTTTTGAACATACTGAACCGTATTTGATGCTGGGAGTATCACCTCTGATGGCTGTTAAGCTGCTACTGTGAATTGGATAATCTTACTACAGCCTAGGATTTTTTAGGCAGAGGTGTGCATTCCTAATGAGCATGTTTCACGGCAGGTGAAGGCTCGGAGCGGCCCGCGGCTGCATGCAGGTTTAGGCTCATGCTTGTATCGGGGGCCAAACCTCGATACTTACTTAAGGCACTCTAAGTGAACTTTGCCGATGTTGAGGATCTCCCCCGACTCCGAGCTGAGAAAGTCACACACACCCATATCGGACTGAAGCTTGAGGCAGATCAAGGAGTAGCAGGTGTAATGGGTTAATATGACTGTGCAAGATGTGAGAGCCATTCATCATTTTCAAAATACAGGCCTAGCTTCATTCGCTCTCATTCATTGAATTTATTTCGAGTCTTGTCCACGATTGCAATGGCATCCATACCAATATCAACAGCGGCCCAAGCGGCCGCAAAGAACGCCACCACTCTCACAGTATCCCGCGCCGCCTTCCAACCCCGCCAAACATTCGATGTCTCCCCAGACATCCCGCGTTCCTTCTTCCTCGGCCACCATCACGCCGGCTTGGCCCGCATGCGCCAGACCCTCTCCACCGTCGGCCTCATCATCGAGTGCCGCGATTTCCGCGTGCCCATCACCTCATGGAACCCGCTCCTGGAACAATCCCTCGCCGCCTCCCACCCCTCCGAGCGCGCCCGCATCATAGTCTACACCCACCACGACCTCGGGCCCCCCGGCCCGGCCTCCAAAGCCGCAGCCCACCACCTCCGCGAATTTCACCTCCAGTCTTCCAACCGCGGCACCAAGGCCGTCCTCTTCACCGGCACCGGCAGCCCCGCCTACGGCGCCCACACGAAGGATCTCCTCTCGGCCATCAAGGCCGTCGCCCGCGAGCGCGACAGCCTCACGGGCCTGCGCGCCTTGGTCGTGGGAATGCCCAACGCAGGGAAGTCCACCCTCCTCAACCAACTGCGCCGGCGCGGCATGCCCGACCGCGGCGCGGCTAAAGTAGCGCGCACGGGCGCCAACCCGGGCGTGACGCGGCGGCTGAGCTCGCCGATCCGCGTTGTGCCGGCCGAAGGGTCCGACACCAACTCTGGTGACCGCGGCGATTCGGGGTCAGGACTGGAGGGGATGGGCGAGGGCATCTTCGTCGTGGATACGCCCGGCGTCTTCATGCCGTACGTGTCGGACCCGGAAAAGATGCTCAAGCTGGCGCTGGTGGGCTGCGTCAAGGACGGGCTGGTGCCGCGCGAGACGCTGGCGGATTACCTGCTGTTTCGGCTCAACCTGTCCTTCTCCGATGATGGTGATAATCGTCCGCGTCGCGAGTACGTGGAGCGGCTGAAGCTGGACGGGCCGACCAACGACGTGAATGAGTTTCTCGAGGCGGTGGCCAGGCGCGTGGGCAAGCTGGCCAAGGGCGGCGGCGCCAACTACGAGGCAGCTGCCGAGTGGGTGGTGCAGGAGTGGAGGAGCGGCGGGTTTGGGAGGCTGCTGCTGGACGAGGTGACGCCCGAGACGCTGGCGCGGGCGATGGAGCAGGCCCAGGTGTCTGAGCTGAGTATGAACCAGGCACGAAAGAAGGAGAAGGAGGCGAGGAAAGCCAGGAATGAGGCCAAGCGGCTTGGGAGTTCTGGCGACGGCGGGAATGGTGCGGTTTGAACGGCGACGGTATGGCGAGAAGTCTATGGAATCGTAAGGGCCGCTAGGACTACAGTGGCATCTGTGTTGGCACGGAATTGCTGCGGGAGACAGAAGGGCAGTGTACTTTGTGGGTTGGTGTTCAACGGCTGTGGCGGACCAGCCGACCCATCCGATACCTACCGACATCGTACTATATTCATTATTGTACAGGTACAGTCTCGGAACAAGGACAACATACAGGGGATTCGATCCCTACATCCCGCCGAACCCAAGCGCCGCCCTCAAAAGGGGTAATACTTGATCCTCAAATCCGCGGGAACCGCCGTCCTTATATTAACCCCATCATTCCTGTCCGCTATTCACGCAAATCCCTAGTAGAACCATATTGACGTGCTGTCCGCTGAGAAGTAGCAATGAAGCAAGATGTGCATAGCCGAGCGGCATTGAATGCATGCCCTCTTCGCAACCAGAACGCCTCTCCCTAGTCAAGAATGCCCTCGGAACGCCATCAATGCAAAGAAACCGAACCTCAAAACATCCCATGTCCCATAAATACACAACACCCGACAGGAGAATTACCGGACCGTTACTAGTTGGCGTACTGTTGTTGCCACTTGACCAGTCGCCGAGTCAAAGTGTCCATCATCTCCATGCAGCCGAGTTCTTTGAAGTCTTTCTCTAGCCGAGCGTCTCCGTCGCCTGCCGGTGCCGGCACTGGGGCATCACTGATGGCCCCGCTTGGGGGTTTTTTCGCAGCGGCCGCTGAGCCGTCACCGGTGCTATTCACTGCCCCGGCCGCAGGCCCTGTGACCGACTCGCCGGCGAGTTCCACTTGCGTTCGCGAGATGAAATCCAGCAGTGCAGCTGCCCTTCTTTTCATATCGTTCATGGTGATCTTGCTGCTCATTCCGCCTTTTGATTTGGGGTTTGCTTTGACGCTGCTGTCTCCGCCAAATTTCCCACCTCCCGAGGTTATATGATCCTCCTTTTGAATGTCACGCGACTGAGACCGGGGGGGAGATTCGTCCTCGTTGGTATCCCGATCGCGGGTAGACTGATTGCGGCCTCTCCTTTTATGTGACCTTTTTTTGTCGGCTTTGCCTTGGGCCGTAATCGTGGGCGGCGTATCTGGCGCCGAGTTGGAAGTAGGCGGCGGTTCTGCCGCGGCTGGAGGTCGGACGACCTCTGCAGCCGTCGCAGTCACCGCAGTCGAGGTCCCGGCAGCGTGCGCCGTCTTGTTTGCAGCCGCCCGGGCCGCCAAGGGCGCTTCTTCTGAAGGATCTGGATCTGTTCCGCTGTGAGCGAAGAACCACTTGAACGAAAAACGGTGATACCATACCCTCAGCTCGCCGACGGTCGGCTCTCCCTTTCCGCTTGTTCGCAGTCTCAGCCCGTTGCCGTTCTCGCTCCTCCCTCTCCGATGCTTTCTCGGAGCGTTGATTCCGTGCAGTCGCCGCACTACGCGATTTCGATTTCGACGCCCCGCTACGGCCGGCAAGTTCGGCCTCGTCTGAGTCCTCATCGTTCTTGTCTGAGGAGGGCGACGCTGATCGAGAACTCGTTTTCTGGCGCTTCATGGTCTCCACTTTTCTGCGAAATGTGAGCTGGACAGTTCACATCTGGAGTCGGGTACCTAGGAGGCCTACTCTTGACTGTCGCTTCTTCCACGCTTCAGTCTCCTACTCCCACTCTCCACCTGCTCAGGAAGGGCATCTTGCTTGCTGGCTTCAATTGCCCGTAGTAAAGCCTCCGTTTCGTCGTACCCGGCTTCTCTGCTGTTCAACGTCGATCGTCTCTTCGAGGTCTGACTTGCGGACGCTGTTCTCCCGTTTCGAGTCTCTTTCTCTTTGGTGGGAGAGCGGGCAGTGTCCTTCTGGAGAGATGCCGCTCTTGACGCCGTTCGCGCGTGTCGCCTAAGCGGGAGATAATGCGAATATACGCTTCTGCGAGCCATGTCGTTAGCTTGCTGAATCAAGTCGACCTCCGATCCCAGGTTTCATCAAAAGGAGGGGCCGCATGAGACATGATCGCCAGTACACCGCCCATGCTGAACCATGCAGGCGACCGTTCAGCCCCAAACAGGGGCGCAAGTCATGTCGCTGGCCAACGAGAAAGGGAGAATTACCCGTTGCTTGCCGTCCATAGTTTGTGCAAGTCCTGGCGACACTGCTCGCAAAAGTATTCCTCTGGACTCGATTCTTCAGTCATGATTCCCACACAGCCACCATGCTGCCAGACCTTGCAGATGTCGCACTGCACAAACAATCCGGCCGTATCGTCGGTGGGATCAGCTGAAAAGAACGGGTCAAGGCCAAAGGCATGCTTAAAGCCGTGCTTCGAGTCTTCGTCAAGCGGCGGCGGACCCTGGTACTCGTCGTTGCCGCAGACGCAGCGTACAGCTTCGTCCTCTTCCTGAGCATCGCCGTCACCGCTCGCCATGTTGACTGCCTCGACTTTGCTTCCAGCTCTTTCTCGTTCCTCAGCTTGTCCCCTAGTCCGACGGCGCGTGCCGAACGGGTCCTCGGCGGTGATTGTATCTTCTGGGGGCTCCGACGAAAGCGAACCGGTAGAGTTCGATTTTTGCGGCGAAGCGCCTTTGTTGAAGTACCTGGAGCTGCGCTCAGGACGGCCCGAGACGCTCGAGGCAGATGAGGAGATCTGCGACTGGGAGGGGTTGGCTCGCGCCCTCGACGACCTCCGGGGATCTGTGCCTGCCATTGTTTGTATCCAATGCCGCAGTGACTAGGACAGAACGTGGCTCAGAATAGCAGAAGCAAGCGCGGGACGCAGCGTACCTGCGCTTTCAGGCAGTGACCGGAGTGGATCCCGGACAACCAGCGCTCAGAATGGTGCTGATTGAGAGTAAGGTAAGGTATGCGGGCTGCGGGCACTCGATAAGATAGCCCTCAAAGTAGCCCGATCTTGCTGTGGAAGTGCCGTGAGTGCGTTCTCGCGGCGGAATTGGCGTGTTGGTTTCCTCGTCCAGCAGAATGCCGGCAGCCGGAGTGAGCGCGGTTGAGCAGAGTACGCGCGCCGAATCAGACTTCGAGCTGGTAAGCCAGCAGTGTGTGTATTTCTTGTGTTATCGTTAAATAAGAAAGCCCAATTGTAAAGCAAAGCGCTGACGGCGTCAGGGCGGAAGAGGGACGGGGCAGGCTGGTTTGGTCGGGTGACGGCGGCATGGGACGACTCGACTCAATGTGGCAGCTTCGGCCAATGGGTAAAGGTTTGTGCGGAATTCGTGCTGGGTCAATCTCGATGAAAGACCACGATATACTCGACAAGATACATGGACGAGGGGGACGGATCCGAGTTGTGACCGGAAGGGAGGATTGGAGAGCAAACGAGGGCGTCGAGGATGAGGCAGGACGTCGAAACTGTAGCGTTTCGCGAGGTTAAGAGCTTGGTGCTCGGATGAAATCCACAACCTGTCTGAGCGAATGGGAGCTTGCTTTCATGACGAGAAGTATAGCTAGAGGCAACTATTGTCGATTGAACAACTAGTTGCGGAAAGGGTTGGTGGGATGACGGAGGAGCGGATGGGGACGGAGGGTTGTCAAGTAGGAGCGCTTTGGACCGGGCGCTTTTCTCCAACAAGCGAGCGCGCAAACCACGATTTTTGGCAGACGCTCTCTCGCTCCCGCCTGTCGCTTGGTGCGGGGAGCCGACACGACCATTTCCAGAAGTTCGTGGGTCCGGCTCCGGACGCTGTTCTTTCACGTAGCTCGCACTGTACGACTAGTGGTATCACCCTTCTTTTGGATATCCATCTGGACGGCGTACGGAATCGCGATCATGGAAGCGGCAAGGAGAGGGACTTTGGCAAACGAGGATTGAAATGATGTCCGCGTGGAAAGCCGTCTACGCTTGTGCCTGGCGCTGAAGATGTGATCACATCTGGATTGAGCGTTGTACGGAGTATGGCTGCAGATTTGCGAGGGGAAACTCGAACAATGGTTCGCCTGGTAAGTTACCGTTCTCGGCCCCACCTTGTAAGGGGCATTCGGAGCAACTTCGGTTCAATCAGTCACTTAGGTAAGGTAACGAACGACCTGAGGGGTCGGGCTCGGGGTTTCCACCGCATCAACAGCGGTCGGCTTAGGTAAGGTGATTCCATCTCGGCCAGTGCAGTCGATTGCCAGCACCTGAACAACGTGCCTCCACTGCTGCCACAACCCATCATAGGCCCTAGAGTCACCGGCTCCCTTGCACCAGAATTGCTTTTCTTTGCCGCAAAACATCCCACCGGCTCCTCAAACCTATTTGCAACGGTTCGACGCAAAGCTGGATTAGACCTTAGACTGAGCGGAAAAGGTGGGCTGTTCTCCGCTGGCCGACCCAAACTCGGTCCGGCCCCCCTGGATCCCATCCCCGGCTCTCCGTGGCCAGTTGGGCCGCTTCGGCCACTTCACTGACTGTACCGTGAGCTTGGATGGGTGCTTGGGAATTCTGTGGTCTCCTTCAGGCTTCCAGTGCTCTTTGGATCTCATTGTCGTCGTTTGAGTAAAGAGTGGGAAAAGAAGGCTGACGTGGATTCGTACAGGAGAGGGCCAAGAACAATTCCCGTTTGGATTCCGGGTTTCGCTCCCACGCACGATACAGCGGCGGCTTGTGACAACGTCGAGAACTCGGACAAGAAGACGGTGGAAGTTCTCACACTTGCACCTGATAGGGTGCAGTTGCGGCAACCGGCGAAGAGGTGATCTGAGAGGCGGACCCGCATTGTGCAGTTCTCGAGCTGCCTGCTGCTGTTCTGAGATTTTTTGGGTACTATGAGGCTTCGATGGGTACGTCTGCCTGATCGCACCTTCTCCTGCACCCATTCTCTCGGCAAGAGTAATCCGCCTGCAAAGTTGAACACACTGCGACTGCCACCTGCATTCCCACAACACAAAATCACTTCTGCCACTCGCAGCAGCGGCCGGACAGCCCTGCCAGCTTTGCAGCACCTTCCTGCCAAAATGCTGTGCTTGGGGTCTATTCCTGCCCTGTTTGCGGGGAACAAAGCAGTGGCCATCATCACGATCCTCCTCGCGTTGGCATCTGCCATTCTGGCCTTCACTTGGAAGCTAACCCGTCGCCACTCAGCACCTCGATTAGCACACGACCAGGGTCTCAAAATGGCTAATGACACTCCGTCGTCACTATTCCCAAACCGACCCATTCGGCCTTTGCCTAGGCGGCGGCTAAAAGAGCGGCTGTCTCCCGAGGTTGCGGACTCGATCCAGTATCCTCCCCTCCCGCAGACCTCGACGTCGTTGTTTTCGTACCCCTACCCTTTGGCCGACGAGCAGCATGATGCCGGCTCGGCGTCTGGGCGTGATTCGGGGTCATACCTCGAGCCGCGGCAGCCGCGCATGAATGGGGCTGGAAACCAGTATAAAGGAGACGATGTTACGCCCAGAGGGGCCGCTGAGGCTGCTCCACAACATGCGAGCCTTGTCGCCCGACCAAAAACAGAGCATGGACGATACGTCGACTTCCTTCCGCTCCCCTCGGCGGCGTCCTCGGCTGACGGATACGATCCTTTCGAGAACACTAACAACAAGAAACGGAAGATCCCGACTGCCGGGGACTCTGCGCTGGCTCACGCTATTAGCGATTCCGCCGGCGCAACCGGTTCCCTTGCAAACGGGAACAAGTCGGCAGAGGGCCAAGGCGACGAACTGACTCCAACTCCAACACCTTACTACGGTTCTGGAAACAATCAGGCGTCAAGTGTCCACAATGTTCCCGGGCCGGGCAGGGGAAGATTCGGGCGGCCTAGGAGCGGGAAAAACCCACTGCGGCCCTTGTACGACCCAACTACCAGCTGGGCTTCGAGGGCCAACCGGTTACGCTCGGGTACAGTGCTTCATGTAACAAGTACGTGGACATGAATCAGGATTCTGGGGTTTACATGGCTGACATGGTTTGAAGGTGAGAGCACCGGCATCATCTCGAATGCCATCGCCAATGCGGAAAAGCTTCCGCCTCACCAAGGTCAGGAGAATACCAGTCTCCTGCACCAGTCTTCGACCAAGCGCAGTCCGGCCTCGACCCAGTTCACCTTCACCTGTGACTCCCAGGTCCCTGGCTCTCTAGCTTGGCCTGGCTCAGACCGGAGGACGGGCATATCGCAAAACCAGACGGCGGCAGCGAGTCAGGGCAAGGAAAATTGGGATCACGCCTCGCAACCGACGCAGACAGGGCATCCTGCTCCTGCGGTTCCTCCGGCCATGGACGCCGGAACGAAAGAAGCTCCATCGAAAGGTGGACTTGGGCCCCAAAACCAGCATCGTGCGCCCCAGCAGAAGACATCCCGTCGAAGCGCTGCCAAAGAGTACGCGGCTGCTGCTAAGGCGCGTCGTCGGGAAACTCAGCTGTACAACAAGCGCCACCCGCCTAAACCTGAAGATGTTTGGATTTGCCATTTTTGCGAATATGAGTGGATCTTTGGACACCCGCCCCAAGCTCTGGTTCGGGCGTACGAGATTAAGGAGCGAAAGCAGCGGCAGCTGGAGGAACAGCGGAGAGCTCAGTGGGAGAGAATGAAGAAGGGAAAGCACAAGGGCAAGAAGAATAGCAAACTTCCGGCCAAGAACAGCAACACAGCACACGACGGACACCATCATGTTGACGACCGTGGAGTCTCGGGCGACCGCTACGACGACGGGGCGCAAGGGGACGAGTACTACGATGACGAGTATTATGAGGACGAGGAGTACGACGCCGAAGAAGATGTACCCCCTGAGCGAGGTCCCGGAGGCGACGGCCGACACGGTCACGTTCCGGCCCATCTAGACGTTCACTCGGGCATCCACGATGGAGGAGGGACGTAGCTGGGGTCAACCAGCTTCGCTGGTAAGGAGTTTCGGATGCTTGAGCAGCCATTGCATTTCCAGCCGGCACGTATAAAAGCATCAGCACCTTGTATCGCTTGGCACGTCCAAGGGGAGTGGATGAGCGAATATCAGATTTAGGGGGACGACTTTGGATGGAAAGGCCTTTCGTCTTGTGTCTGAGACATTCCGTGGCAGTACTGTCGGCTGGGTACCGGACAGTGGGCGGATGTTGAGCGGATGTTCCTCCGAGGGCGGTTGGTGTGCGCTACATCCTCTCTGGCGTTCCCGCTCCACACATACCGTCAGATTCTCCCATCAGCGCCCATCCTCGAACCTCGTTTTGTTTATCTCCTCTCAACCGCTCCACCTTCACCCGAATCCAGCGCTACAACCTCGGACGTTTCCCAGGGCTCACCCGACTCAGAAAAAAGCGAAATACTGCATTAAGAGCTGAGGCAAACGGAGTGTCCAGGTCTCCTCGCCGTTCCCCGGCTACTTTTGGCCGCTGAGGACAGTGCATGTTGAGATAGGCTGCCTTACGTATAGCGAATGTCATGAACACGCACTCAAGCGTTCCTCGACTTGGTACTTGTACCCGACTTCTTGAACCTTGGGAGCAAACACACACTATCTCGGAACACTAACTCTGTTCGAGAGCAGCCAATGTAGTTGGGCCTCTTAGAAGCAGCTATGCTACGTCCAGTGGTATAGTAAGTACAGTACATGCCACAGCACCGAGTTAAGACGGTTGAGCAAAGATGTCAGCTTCCGATGTGCTCGTCTCAAGGTCGGTACTGTACCCTGACTGTGTACTAGTATGTTAATACGAGGTACTAACGTGCCTAATCCGTGTAATCCCACGTATGGCCCTATTGACTGGCGTTCAACCCAGATACACGGTTGGCAGACACCCTTGACCTAACATGACTTACCCAAGGCAGCTTAGCGTCGCGGAAATCAGGGCCCAGTTTCGAACCTCATGCACGAATCAAGACAGCCGGGGTCCTCTGTCTCGCTGTGCCGCGTCGTGTCAACCTCCCATTCATTTGCCCAACACAGTTTTCTTTACCCATCTCGAAGCGATTCCTATCCTACTATTTTCCGTTTCACTTGGCTACTTGAGGAACTTTCGATTATTCTGGCCCATTCCTTATGAACCGCCCAACGAGGTAGCCACAACACGCCCGGGCCGGCCGAATATTCTGCAAGGATGTTTGGCTCCCGAAGACATCGCCCACCGAATCCAGTATGTCGTCATTGTTATCCGTACCTTCCAGTCGTCCCATTCAATGCCTTGTCTGGGGTCCATCCCATCATTTGTTTGTTACTGGACATGCATTATGGAACTGCTAGTGTGAATTGATTTGATCAATTCAATCACCTGGGCAATAGGTATTGCGCAAATCCACCACGACAGGATGCTGACAGGCCATGCGACGCTCTCAACAGCCACTTACCGCGGCGACCGCGGATCCGAATGCTGCTACCGCTGCGGCTGCCGTCTTCAAGCGCCATGAACCGAATTCTTCCTTGTCGGCTGCCGCCGCCGCCGCCGCCCTGCGCGCGAGACCGACGACACCAACCCGCGTAGCCGATGTCCAGACGAAGCGGACATTGCGCCGGAGCGCATCTGTCGCGTCGGCAAGCACTGCCTCGGACTATGTCCACGACAGGCCACGCCTGCACAGGCGCGGCAGTAGCAGCTCGATGACCGAGCGAACGTTCCGTACACCCAGCCCTCACCGGCCCAGCAGCAGCGGCTTTGGCCAGCGCCGAGCTCAGCCTGTCCGGGACGATATGCCTCCGGTCCCAGCACTGCCAAGAAAAAACATGGACGCGGCGTCTAGGCAAGGGGTTGCTCAGCAGGAGAATCGCCATCGGAAGGCAAGCAGTCTGGGAGTGGGCAGCACCCCTGTACGCGTTGCATCCCAGAAACTGGCGTCCGGGGAGGCGCCGTCCTGGTTTGGCGCGGCGAAGTTGGGAGACCTTGGGAACGTTCGTAGAACTGATCCAGCCATGGCGAGTCCCCCGTCAAGCCCGCTGCAGGTATTCACAGGGGATGAGGAGCTACCTGAAGCAGCTAGGCCGGGCAGTCAAGCCTCATCCATCAATTTCTCCTACCCGATACGGACAAGGCGAGGCTCCTCAACCGCCGTCTCGACGGCTGATGAGTACGACGCGACTCAGATGCCCGCCCACACAGGCCAGGTGCATCCACATGTTCAAGACCAGGAGGAGCCAGCAAGAGCAGCACAGTTCAGGAATCAGCCAAGAGTGCAGTCGATTTCACCATCCGCAGGCAAACCGCCTGCTTCTACCCTTTCAGACCAATCCTTGGTTTATGATCCCAACTCGAGGAGGATGGTGCCACGAGCAAATCTGCTAGTTGCCCAGCAGGCGGTCATTGACGCCACGCAAGCAGCAATGCGCCGCAAGAAGAAGAAAAGGCTCCCCCAGAGGGCCGGATCGCATCTGGCGGCGGGTACAATGGGTCGCGCCAGGATCGCAATCCCCAGTTCCGCACCGGCAGCGAAGATCGCACCACATGGCGGAGCAGCACAGGCTCAGCTATCGCGACAAGCTCAGACAACGCCGCACAAGGAGCCGGCGCCGGCCAAAGAGGCGCTAGTGCGTGCTGAAGAGCCTGCAGTCGAAGAGGCCACTACTTCACCGACAGTAGACGCAAACAGATCTGAGCAGCAACACCCTCAGCAAGCCACAGAGCTTCCCCGAAACATCGCTCCGGCGGTATCGAACGCGGCGCAGTTCGTGGTAAGAAGACAGCCGTCTGTGGTTCGGGAAGAGCCAGAACCAGAGGACTCTGGAAACGAGAGGCCGACACAAAAACTCCCCTCTGCCTTGGACGCAGTTCCCGGCCGGCGGACAATGCAAGTCGGGGCTGGGCTCGAGGCCCATTCACCCCCATCGACAACCATGCCGCCAAACGGTCTCTTGGAGAACCTTGCTGTGATTGGAGTCGACCAGAAACCCAAGACCGGCTCAGTCCATGTCTCGGAGGACGGGAAGCCACAGCCCGGTGCTACAGAACATGGGTGGGACGCGCGTGTTTTGCGGGACCGAACTCATTCGAACAGTCCTGCCCGGCAAGCGCATTTCGGCCCTGTTCAGGATAATTTGACTGTCAAGCACTCCCCGCCGCCTCGGTCAATATCCCCGCGAAAGTCAGCCATGAAACACACGAGCTCGCCCCGTGCTGCGTCGCCCTCCGACGACACGTCCGAAGCTTCGGGGAATGCCAGCCAGGAGCCCCTTATAGCGCGCAGAAAGTCTGTACGCGTTAGTTTCGATGAATGCGCCCTCGGAGCGGCGGCCGACTCGGTCTCTGCAAGCGGAAACAACGCGCGCCCGGCCTCCAGTCCTTTGCACGGCAACCGCCAGAACTGGCTCGCCAACGTCAGCCGTAACCAGGACTTGTCATCATTTGACGATGATGCCGTGATGAAGCCGCGGCCGGCTCTGCCTAGTTTCGGCAGCGTGAGGGATAGGAAGCCTCGGGATATCAGTCCCGACCTTTCCGAGAGGCCATTGGTTCGGCCCAAGGGCGAGACGCGATACCCGCCGGCATTGCTCCCCAATCCTCCGTTGGGCTCGAGCAACGACCATGCTCTTGGCGCTGTTTTGTCGAAAGAACAGGCGAGACCCACGGAAGGAAACGTGCATGCGGAAGGGACGCCGAGGAATAGGGAGCCATTGCCTCCAGTAGTGACCAGTGTTGAAGGCACCGGTTACTTCACTGATACCTCAGACAACAGCTCCGTTTTCAGTTCCGAGTTCGAGCAGCCCGAGGCTTTGAGTCCCAAACCAGCACCAGAACCGCGTTCAAGGCCAATCGTGGAACCACAAAGCGAGGTGCACAAAACGCCTGTCAATGGTTTGGCGGGCCATTCCATCCGCGATATCGTCCCTGTTAAGGTCACCATGGAACCCAAGCCGTCTATGGAGCCACAGGTCCCCGCCATCTCCGTTTCCCAGCAGACACCTCCAACCGCGGAGGACAAGTCACCCACGCATTCCTATATGGATGTGCCCGGCCGGTTTCCAGAGGACGAATCAGATCAGTCTGCCGCGTCGGCTGCGGATACAATTCCACAGGTCAGAATCCTTAATACATCAGCTGAAGTCTCGCAACAGGGCAACCCGCCGTCTGCGGCTGAAACCAGCCAGCCTACTGTCGTGGGTGACTTTAGCGATTCTGAGAGCGAGGTCTACAGCGATGCCTACGAAGACCTCTCGGAAATTGAAGGAGACGGCTTTCAGTCGCTTAACGCTGTGGTCGAGAGCCCGCTACAGAAAAGCCCCCGACTGTCTTCCCAAGCTGGGCCGGCCGCCTGCAGGGACGCTGCGCGCCACAAGTCTCCTGGGGAACTTCCTAAGTTTCAGACTCAGTTGTCATCCGCCACGACCGCCGTCGAGACGCAGCCTGCAGGAAGCCCTGAGGACGATTGGGAGAGAGCAAAGGCCTGGTGGCGGAGCTTGACGTCGGAGAAGCGAGCGGAGCTGGAGAGGGAGGCAATAGAAGAGGCGGTCGTAAAGGCAGACAGGAACGAACCACCGCCTGAAGCGGAAGTCAACAAGAAAAAGACGGTCGAACGAAGTGTTTCTGAAACCAGAGTGCTGGCCGCCCACATGGCGCAGCGCACATCGGCAAAACAAGAGCAGGAGAGAGCAGCAAATCCGCACCGCAGCTGCATGGTCAAGCCCGGCGAACAGTGGACTAGGAAGAACAAAAGGGATATCCCGCCAATGCGGAAGACGATGCGCGGCGAGCCACAGCACCACGTCAGGGTCAAATCCCCCGAGGGGTCGCTTTTACGCAAGTCAATGCGGCCGAGCGGCCCCTCAGGTCCTAGCAGCGATGCTCCCGTACGTCCTGGAGATCAAGCAACATCCAAGCGTCCAGTGCCGTCCCCTCTGGTTGCCGCTGTTCCGGCAAGGCCAAAACACGGTCGGTCAGCCACACAAGTGGAGGCCATCTCTCATTGGGATGACTCTCTCCGTCCTTCCATGGCGAGGCGGGGTTCTTCGGGAAGTGAAAGCAGCTTCAAGCGTTCCCGAACTGCCAGAGACCAAGGCGTCGGGTTCCGCAGCTCAATGAGGCCAACTTCTCCCCCATCCGTCCATGGCGATGCACGCTATTCCAGAAGGTTCTCACTAAGGGCGCTCTCCCCAACCGGCCCCGAGCCCAGGCAGACTGCTGATCATTCTTTGGCCGGCATTTCTGAGAACACCCACATGCGCACAACCTTGCGCGATCAATTCGCAGCAAGGAAGAGTTCCGGCGGCATACGCATTCCAAGCTTCAATCTCTCGTACGGCGGGGGAAAGAAGCACGGCTCAAAGACGTCTGAAAACAAAGGTCCTGGCTCTCGCTTCTCCAGCCGGTTCGCCGACTCGAGTGATGAAGAAGGCCCTGGGCCTTTGTCTAGCTTCCGCAGCCGCTTTGAAGACTCGAGCGACGATGAGCCCGTGATGCCGGTTCCTGCCCCACTTTCGATCCCAGCATCGACGTCTACCTCGTATGCGGCCACCGGCGGCGTAGGAGGACACCATTTGAGAAAGGAAAGCTCCATCGCGAGCACCGCCCTGCCTGAGGAACTAGAAGATTCCGAAGAGACCCAGGAGCACGGAGAAGCGGCGGCGGCAGAAACCAGAAGCGGGCTGCCTGCCTTCGTGGCGACGGTAGATACCAGTCTCCGAAGCACACGGTCCGGTATGGGCCAGTTCCCGGACTCGCAGACCGCGCCGCTGTCGGTCTCCGGGGCTGCTGACAGCAGCAACAAGACTGACAACAACAAGAAGATACGCGCCCCGAGACGGAACAGCATCATGTCGATGCTGCGCCACCGGAAAAAGGATAGTTCTGCCGGAAAGATTGGCCGCCCGGAGATCCGCGAGAGTGCCGCGCGCCAAGATACCCGGCTCGAGCGGAGCGTCGGCCAACTCGAGCAGATCAGGAGTCAGGGCAGCGGTGAAGAAGGGGACGTTGCGGACGAGGCGGTGCCGTCGCCGTCACCGTCACCGTCGCCGAAAAGCCCGCGCCTGCAAAAGCGGGGGGGTAACAAGAGGGGCAGCAGCTCGGGGGTTGCAGCGATGTCGAAGACGACGACGGCGGCGGCGACGCCCGAATCCGGAATGGGCATGCCCGCTCCCACTCCCACGGTTGGTGCTGCCCCACCACGAGGCCATGATAATGACGTCCTCGTGGGCGGCAATAACAGAGAAGAAGACGACAAGTTCAAGGAGGACGCCTCTAATCCGGCGGCGGCGCAGCTCAGGCGGTCGAGCACGTCAGGGAATCTGGGCACTAGGACGCTCAGTGGCGCGTTCTTGCAGCTGCATTCCCACCACCTCCACCACCACCACCGTAGGGCGCCGTCCATTTCCGGCTTGGAGGCGGCGCCGGCGAGCGTGGAGGGGTCGGTGGCGGGTAGTATGGAGGTTTCCTCGTCGACGACGAGGAAGAAACGGTTTGGGACGCTGAGGAGAATGTTCGGAATTAGTGATTAGAGGAAATAATGGGATGATGGAGTGGTTGGCGGTCTTTTGTGGGTGAGCTAGGGATAATAAGTGGTATTGGGGTACCATGAGGAAAACTTACACGAGGAAGGATGGGGTCCGAAGATGGGATTTGGGGCATTCGGAATGGAGCAACCGAAAATTCAGAGCAAGCAAGCGGTCGTTTAGCGCGCATATACCCGGAGCTGGAGCATAAAGTTTGGATTTGGGATTGTCGTTTGAAATTGGTTTTGGGATGGATGTATGCTAGCTACAAAGAGCCATGTTAAATGAATCGTACAACACTGGTGGTGAAACCGGCGCATATGAGACGGGATTAACTAGGGCTATCGGCTACTTGTGGTATTTCACTCATTAATGGGAACGAGCAGACTTGAACTTGTGTAGTGGTTCGACTCTTTGTTTGTATACCAACGCCAACCGGTTGCGTTCTTGGAAAGACCGAGTCTGGATATTAGGCAAATGTAGCTCAATGTTTCATTTCCGGAATACGTCTATAAACTCAACCTACATTTTACCGCACTCTTCTTGAGTATATGTCGGTCAGTCAATCAGTCAGTCAGCCTTCATCCATTTCTTCATTCGATATGCAGTTGGCCGCGACATAATCCTTCTGCCACGACTCCATATGCAAGCTTCACGCTTATCAATGGCACACATCGTGACTAACAAGCACCGTGATGTTTTGCTACAGTGATGTTTTCCGCGGATCCTGCCCATCCTCCCATCGAGCCACAACCCCCGATCTCCGCGATCTGGGAGCTGCAGGTGTGTTACACTCGCGTCGTCCGTGACCAGGGCCTTGGGACGTGGGGGCCCACACCTCCCTCCAGGTTTCAGAAACAGAATCCATGGCGGTACAACAAAATAGAAGAACAAAACACATTGATGAATCACACGGCAAGGCAAAGACGAGGAAGTATACATCTCTCACTGTCAGCTTAGTGTAAGATGGGCTCTGCACCAAAGGTATTTGTAGATATCCTCCTCCTAAAAGATGAGACGCAGATACAAATACCATGATCTACCCGAAATGGCCACCGAGGTCCAAACAACCTGTGCAAACGATTCGGGGTCCAGAGCTTTTGGGACATGCAAACAAAGAGGCCTCCAAACAATGGGGGGTATGGAGCCAGTTGTTCGCTCCGAAGACGCCAAAGGCTATGCAGATAGTGGGTTCCGACATCATCGTGACATTGCCCTTTCAGAGTGTCCCAATGCCCTACCCTAAATGCCCGTTTTCTTGTTATTCAGCCACATGTCTTCACCATTCACCGGCTTCCCACGCTTCAGGAGCAAAGTCAGTTCACTCCTTGATCGCCCAAACGGTATAGGCGGTGCCGGATTTGGGGCCGTTGGTTTGAACTTTTGACTGAGGACCGAGGATGACTGCTGCGAGCCAAGGAGTACCCCATCGGGGACGTCCTTGGCTCCTGGGACGACCGGTGCCAAGGTAAGGGTCTCCGAGTCGAACTGGCCCCGAGCGGTGGTGGTGACGGCTGCAACGCTGCTTGTGGCTCGCGACGGAAGGAGTGCCACACCAAGCTCCCGGATCCGTCGCGGGCCTTCAGGATGGGTGGAGCGGGAACGGACCGTAGGGGCCGCTCTCTGTCGAGATCTGCCGTCGTCTACAAATCCTGCAACTGGGGGAGGACCGGCTTGCGAGGGAAATCCTCGAGGTAGTTGGAGATAGTCTGGTGAGCCTCCAGCCGCCTGTCGAGATCGACCAGAATCCCTCACGTCCCATGTAGATCTTCGTTGCGGACCGATAAAGTGCATCTGCTGCGCCGCTGCTGGCTCGTCTTCGAGACCGTTGGCCTGGGTGGGTAAGTTCTGAGCAGGCGGCTGCTTGCTCGTTGCCGTTTTTGCTGGACGTTTCCCGGCAGCCTTTTCACTGAGCAGGAAATCGCTAGTCTGGGACGATAGAGGGCTGGGTCCAAGAAGCTGTGAGGCCGTCGGTGTTGATCGTTTGGATCCGGAGCGTTGTGAGGCAGTAACAAAGCCTGCCACACGAGGGCCGGATTCCGACCCCGTAGACGAATGCGAACTTTTTCTGCGTATTGCCGTGGGCCTCCTCCTTGATGCTGCTGTATTAGCCACAATCTTCCGCCCAGTGACCGTTGAAGGTCTCGCCAACCTAGGAGGCGGTATTGCTGGGGGTTGCACGTCCGCCTCGGACACGGCTGGCGTCGGGTTTGGAGGTGTTGGTGCAGTTGCTGGGGGCGAAGGGGCGCCTAATACAGGTAAAGCGGTCGCAGGAGAGCAACCCTGAATTTGCTTCACTGATGGGGGTAACGGTAGAGGAGGCATTTCCGGTGCCGCTGCCGATATGCCGGCGCGGGAGACTTCGCCCTCATTGATAACCTCATCACTCGAGGCAGGCGGCGACGCGAATCGTGCAGTGGGTCGGGGGCCCGATGAAGAAGGCCCTCTCGACTTCTTCAAGATAGGGTGCGGTGGCGGCGGCCTTGCAGAGGAAGGAGTCGGTTCCTTTTTGCCACCGGACGAGCCAGGTTCTAGTCCTGAGCCATCGTGTAGGGACCGAGGGTTTGAAGGTTCCTGGTCCCGGACACGTGGTTTCTCTGAGCGAGATGTCTCGGAGTGAATCAGCACTTTGATGTACCCTCCAACATCCAAGACATAGCTTACCTTTGAGCGCGTGAAGTGATCCGCAGGTGACGGCAGCGGCACAAACGTGGGACCGTTCGAGAACTCCTCAAACAACTTGGCGAGGGTCGGTCCACTGAGATATCGAAGCCTGTCACTCCCCCAGACGTGCCACCAAAAGTTCTCTAGGCGAAAAGCGCTAGGGTCAAAGAGCCTTCGAAAGGTGGTAGTATAGGCTGAGAAATCCATGTTAGTCCGTGTGTTGTCCGAGTCCTTGTGCAGTGGGCTGTTCCAAATACCGTTCCAGTACTGCTTTATTTTCTCCGGAGGAACCACAGGATAGCTCGCTATTTCAGCGTAGATTTCCTGGGTGTTCTCGAACAATCCTCTAGGCATCACCGTCTCCATTTTCGCGATAACCAGCACTGGGCTGGACAACCAAGGCGGGCTGGCGGAGAGTCGGTGCTTCGCAGTTCCCATGCGACCATGGCCTGTCCAGGACGAGCGAGCAGTACAGTCCGAGCCGTTATCAGAGCCAACGGCAAAGCAGACATGTGCCCTGAGCCCGAGAACAGTTGCTCAAGAGCGGCTGGAAAGCTGAAACGGCGAACACCAAACCGGCCGTGATCTGGACATCGACCGTTGTTAGAATCTAACTTGTCAGTAAGAAACAATGGTCCGCCCGAAGCTCCGCCAATGGAGGTGGGATTGCCGCTCGGTGTGTGAGGTAGGGCATGGCACTTCCAGCACGAAGAAAAAGTGTGGGGTTTGAGGACTAAGAGCGAGGAGGGAGCAGCTGGTGGACGCGACCACGTCACCGAACTAGCCGCCTGGGCGAAGGACACCGGTAAGGCGGTAGTCCTACAGTTTCTGTGTCGGAAGCTCTGCTGGCATCGGTTCAAGGAATGATCCGGAGAGGCTTGGGCAGAACAGGGAGGGTGCAACCCACGAAGCTCCGGCTCGCCAACAACAGGAGATTCGCGTTTTCGCACAGAGCTGCGTGAGTGGGACACGACGATGCATCATAGCTTTTAGGAGCCGTGATTTCCTGCGTTGGCTGGCGAAGGGTAGGGAGGAAAGAGAAGGTGCTCTCTGTCAGGCACTTACACGGAGGAGACGGCTTGACCGCTCGCTGTGTGGAGTATCAACGCTCACCGCCGTCCTCGTGAATGGAAGTTGGTCGCCGGCCGCATTCAGGTCTGAGGGTCAGGTTGGACAAGGCGAACGCCGAGGTAGGCCCATGCCCGGAGAATCCCGTAGTGCTTGATCGTTGCCGTCTTGACGAGCGAGTGTCCCCGGCGCCGAGGAAACCGAAGCACTTCCAGGTTGAAGTTTACTTGACTTTTTCCGTTCATCATGTCCCCTGAGAGGGGGCCAGAGGAGATGATAGATGCCGAGGGAATGACATGGATGGACCTGGAGAAGGAACAGCAGCGGCTGCTGCCCTGGGTGAACTGCTCGTCAGGAAGGTAAGATACACAAAAGACAGCGGGTAGGTACCTTCCAGCCTCGTCTCAACTGCCCTGGTGACCGACACTGGCAAAGGTACAGGGGCCAGGGTGTTGCGGAGTTCGTCCAAAATTAGCGCTCCTCTGGGGATCCTTGGTGGTTTCTGTGGGGTGTTTCGGGTCCAGTGCCAGGGGGGCTGTCAGGCGGCGATCCAGTGACTGTCGTGGTCTCCTCAGCTTACCTTGTGTGATCCTTTGAATCGAAATTGGCGTCACCGATGAATAGCATCTCCCGGACTGCAGCGGCTTGTTGAAATCGAGTTGTCTACGGATCCGTAGAAACGCCATTAACTACATCGGCTGTAGCGTGATAATCGCCTTCCAGGGTGTGCCCGACACTAAAGTATTTGAGTCCAACGAAATGGAACCAGCCGCTGATCGCTGTTGCTTTTTCCCGAACTTCGAAACCGACGACATCCCATGCTTCCAAATTGTAAAATTCCTCACCACGGGACCTGTTGCACCTCCGCATTGGCGACACACTGGCGACAGTCACCTGACGGCAATCAAGGCACGTGTATTCAAAGGGGTGACACCTGAGTCGAGCACAGACCGTTGGCATCCCTTGCCTGGTTCCCGTTTCCTTCGCTTTCGCCTTCCCGTGCGACTCAGCTCTCGGTGATTCTCGCACGAACCGCCCCGTCACGAGTTCAGCTGCCTTCGCAACCATGCATGAGCGTGCATGTCTGCCACATCACAACCACATCAATAACGCGTTGTAACACTGTGTTCCGGAATGTCGTTCACCATTCCCGCGCAAATCGACGGATCCGGTCGGCGCCGCAGACATGCCCCCGCACCCCACGTCCCTGCTTTTGCGGGGGCGGGGCTGACAACTGACCGTGTTGCTCCGTTGTCCAACTGCTGGGCTATTCCGGGCTTGTAGGTGAACCACAGAAGCGCCGCTGGCCAGTTGTCATTGATGCTGCGTGGATGTTTTGCCCTCCCAGATCGTCGAGCTTCCCCCGGCGCAACCGGCGCGGGGCGGACCTTCACAACGTTGAAGACAACAGGTCATGGACCACACAAGTCACCTTGAAAGATACCTGATTGGCCCACGGCACAAGAGCCACGTTGAGGTATAGATTCAGAGTCCAACTTGAACCAGGACCAGATGGACCATGCGCGCCGAGTCTAAGGTATCTTACCCTCGATACCTCACCGATATGGCTCTGCATCAGACAAGACGATTCAGGTACCTTACTGAAGGAGTGACAAGGGCGGAACGCTACACGTAGGTATGTCGGCCTCAGAATGTGGAATGAAGCTGGATGCTTATACTGCATCCCCTTCGCTGAGCATGGCAGTCTCAGATGCCGAAACACCCGGTCTGCCTCTGGAACCACATAGAGATGGGATCACCGTGCCTGGTGTCCCGCTGTTGTGAGGTGGCGGCCGGCCGGACCAGCACTTTTTGTGGCTGGTGGTTTTGCGCTGCTGGTTAGCTGGCTCGCCGCTCTCAAAACACTAGCTCTAGCACTCCCCGAAGGGCTGAGCATACCTTGTGGATGGTATAGCCTTCAGCTCGGCCGCCAGCGGTGGAGGTGACACCAAGATTCCGCACAGCTGGAGGTGTTTTGCTCGTCCCACCGAAGAACATATCTGTTCCTTTGGAAGTCACATATGCATGATATGATCGGCAAGCCTCTAGCCACACCCACATAAGTAAAGGTATGTACACATCCTGGTGCGCCAGAATGTGTACAGACTCTGTGGCGCCCTGGAAGACGGGATGAATAGGATACTCTATACGCACACAAACCAGTGTGTACAATACATGCCGGGTCACAGCGCGCCACCTGCTCGTTAGGTAATGATCTCAGATATCACGGTGGCATCAGGGCAACAAGCGGCGGAACGGAAGAGCCCGTGTTGTCACCGCACACGCCCGAGTCGGCAGCAGCGGAAGCACCTCCACAAAAGAAAGGCAAGCGGCTGAACAGAGGACACAGGGCCAAGCTGCGGGGACCAATTCCCGGCGATGTTCTGCTTATATCTCATTCCAGGGTCTGTATTCGATGACTTGTGACATCCGACAGGCAGCTGAAGTCTGCATGTCGGTGTGATGGTCGCCGCAACCCACACACTATCGGCACTTGCAAGTGGAGGGTGCCCAATACCCGGCGTTCTGAGACCCAATACTGTGGGAAAAGAGACGTGGGGGTGCTCCGACGTGAGATGTGATAGACGGCTACGATGGCGGCGCACCAACAGTAGGAGTGGCCATCCTCCGAGGCCTCGGAAGACGTACCCATCAGCCAAATGCTACACACCTTTTCTAGATTTGCTAAAAGCCTTGGCCAGGGATGAAAGCTTAGCCCCGACGCCACTGTCAGAAAGGCAAGCGGAAAGACACCGGACAAAACAAAGGTTCAGAGACACATTCACTCAACACATTGCGCGAGGGAAAGTCAACGTCGTATATACCGCTGCGCTTTCCTGTAACAACGTCTGTGCTAGAATCTTCCAGGGACGTCGGTCTCTGTCTTTAAATAGACAGAACTGGCACTCTTCGACTGCCGTAGTAAGCCCAACGCTGCTTATATGATGGTGTAGCCACCGTCAACACGCAGATCCGCGCCGGTCACGTATCCGGACGCATCCGAGAGCAAGAATGTCACGGGACCCATGAGGTCCTCGGGCGAGCCCATACGTCCCTGTGGGATGCGCGAGGTCCACTCTCTCTTGAGATCCGGCTTGTCGTCGAGGATCTTTTTGGTCCTGTTTTGAAGCTGTTAGCCCACCCCGTCCATGATTGCGCGCCCTGGCAAATGTAGCAACAGGGCGCCCGGCTCGGTGACTTACAGAGCGGTAAGCATGTAACCTGGCGAGATACAGTTCACCCGGATGCCGGCGTTAGCCCACTCGACGCTCAGCGAGGCGCAGAGGTGTCGGACGGCGGCTTTGGAGGCGTTGTACGGGCTGGAATCACACTGTGTTAATTATGGTGGTCCAGGGTAGAGGGCATTGAGGCATGACTGCAACGTACGCTTGTGGCTGAGGGACGTTCACAATGGTACCGCTCATGCTCCCGATGAAGACCATGCTACCCTTGGCATTTCTCTCCATCTAAGTGCGAGGTGTCAGCAGAGATCAAGCACGACTTCTTGTTAGTGGCAGCGGAAAAGCAATAACAGCCGATGCCTCTGTATCAGCCGCCCTTCAACTGCCCGTTTTCATTTTCCCATTCCCCATTTCCCCGACCTCTCCCCCCAAAGAAGGGACCTCGTAAACCGGAGCGGGAAGAAACACAGAGAGAAACATACCAAGTGCCGGGCCACGGCCGTGGCAAACAGATAGGTCCCATCGACATTGACCGCCCACAGCTTGCGCATGCGGTCGACCGGGTACTCGACAGCCTCAAAGTTCTCGGTGAAGCCGGCCGAGGTTACGAGGTTGTCGATCTTGCCGTGCGCTGCGACAATCTCGGCGACGCAGGCGTCGACGCTCGCAGGATTTGAGACATCGGCGTAGTGGGCTGTCACTTTGGGCAGTCTTTTCAGAAGCCAAATCCCGTCGGTGAGTTGTTGGTCGGACCAGCTAACGGTGGATTGTACAGGGAGTGGCAAGGAGGGAAATAGAAGAGGACGGACCTTTTCGCGTCGGGATGGTCCCTTCGGTATGTGTCGACTATGTTCTGCGCTTGGCGGGCTGCTTCTTCCTCTTGATTTGGTGTGAGTGATCGTATCAAGGTGACCAGTAGGCAGTACTTCACTTTGAAGGTCAAAGACATACTGTTGAGGTCGACGATGGCCAAATCCGCCCCGCTAATGACCATTCCCTCTATGACAACATGTTACCTTCTTAGCCTCTTTGGTTGAAACGACCATGATGACTTACGGCCCATCACCAACCCCAGCCCTCTCGCCCCTCCTGTGACCACGCCAACTTTGCCCTGCAAGGAGAAAGTCGCCAGCGTAGGGAAGACGTGGGTCCCGGCCCGCCCCGCGCCGGCTACAGGCTCGGAGGGAGGAGGTTCTATGGTTGTTTGCGCATTGTTTGCTCTGCTGTCGTTGTCTTGCCGCCGCACAGCCGGAAGCGTGTGGAACCGGGCGGTTGCCAGGACGGACGGAGGACGGGCTCGGAGATGGGTGGGTATCGAAGCGGGGCCGGGCCCGATCCGGGCGACGGGGGCCCGCCCAACAGCACGGAGGACCCGCGGGACAGACATTCCGTCTATGACTCTGTATTTATTTCGCGTCGTAAGCGTCACTGTAAAATTAAACTACTCAGAGATGGTTCTGTCTATTTTTTCCCTCCCCAATTGGACGGGTGACCTCGACTTGTTTATCTGCTCGACAACTCGCCATTGAGCCCCGCTGATGGTGTCACGAGGACGCTGCCTTGGAAGCTAGTGGATATCATAGCAGAGACAGACAGGGTTGTCGACAAGGTGGGGAGGATGAAAATGCAGGAAAGGAGCACCGAGATCGGAAAAAAAAAAAAGGTAAAAATAAAACATGAGTAACGTAAGTGAGAGATAATATCAACTTTGAGCATAGGAGGGTGCGAAAGCGATGCCAGATCATGATAATCCCGGGACGGTGTGCAGCGAGGTGCAGGGCCTGGACTTGTTCGGTTTCTGAAGACCACAAAAGAAAGCAGAGACTTCCTTTCATCCTCCAGCAGCCCCTCCGAAGTTCAGGCCAAGCAAACGGGGTCTCTACGGATCATATCGCCAGCCTCAAGAATGGACCTTTCATGGCCCACCAACCTATGACGGCAGGCATCAACGGCATGCACCTGTGTAGGCAGGCCCGTTGCAGATCACAGCACCGCATTGCTGGTTAGTCACATCTGCCTGTCTCAAAATTATGAATGAAGGATTTATTACTAGACACAGATGGTATGCAACATGCGCGCTCGCTATGTTTTACATCCTGAAAACGCCAAACTTGGTCTGTCCTGGGGCAACCACATTTCGGCCGCCCATGGCCGCGTTCAAGCCCAGACCCAGATACTGCCGTGTGTGCGCCGGTGGGATAACGCCATCGTCCTGAACATCATGTTAGCGAAAGAGGTGGGGTTCAATGCTTCGCAAGAGTGTGAGGGGAAGAGGCAACTCACCCACAACCGCGCCGACGAGAAAACACAGTCGCTCTCCTTCTCAATCCTCTCCTTCAAGCCCGTGTCGACCTTTTGCCCGACCGTCTCCATGACGCTCGCCAGCTGCTCGCCGCCCATGACACCGATTCTCGCGTTCGGCCACATCCACAGGAACCGCGGCGAATACGCCCGCCCGCACATGCCGTAGTTCCCCGCGCCATAGCTGCCGCCCACGACGACGGTAAACTTGGGCACGTCGGCGCACGCCACGGCCGTGACCAGCTTTGCGCCGTTCTTGGCAATGCCCTCGCGCTCGGCGTCCTTGCCCACCATGAAGCCGCTAATGTTCTGCAGAAACACGAGCGGGATGCCACGCTGGGCGCACAGCTCGATGAAGTGCGCCCCCTTGAGCGCCGAGCTGCTGATGAGGATGCCGTTGTTGGCGACGATGCCTACGCGGTGGCCGTAGATGCTCGCGAACCCCGTCACGAGCGTGGTGCCGTAGTCGCGCTTAAACTCGGCAAAGGCAGAGCCGTCGACGACGCGGGCAATCACCTCGTGGATGGGTAGTGGTTTACGAAGGTTAGTGGAGGCGATACCGAGGAGCTCGGAGGGGTCGTAGAGAGGCTCCGAAAAGCTGGCCGTCGCCGAGGTGGACTGGTTTGGCCAATTCAGGTTGCTGATAGAGCGGCGCGCCAGCACAATAGCATGCGCGTCGTCAACGGCGAGGTAGTCGGTCACGCCGGAGACCGAAGAATGCATTCTGCCGCCGCCGAGCTCCTCCGGGCTGACAACCTCGCCAGTTGCTGCCTTGACGAGCGGCGGGCCGGCAAGAAAGATGTGGCCCTGATCTTGCACGATGATGCTCTCGTCGCTCATGGCGGGGACGTATGCGCCGCCGGCTGTGCAGGGGCCCATGACGACTGCGATTTGGGGTATCCCAGCGGCCGACATGCGCGCCTGGTTGAAGAAGATGCGGCCAAAGTGTTCGCGATCGGGAAAGACATCTGCCTGGTGTGGCAGATTCGCGCCACCAGAGTCGACCAGGTAGATACAACTGTGCCACTTCGGCTTAGCTACAGCTCTGCAATCCCCATTGAAAGAACGACTCACGGCAGTTTATTCTCCTGGGCGACAGCCTGCGCCCGGAGGTGCTTCTTGACGGTGATGGGGTAGTACGTCCCGCCCTTGACTGTGCTGTCGTTTGCGACGATCATGCAGGTGACGCCCTCGACAACACCAACACCGGCGATGACGCCGCCCGCAGGCACCTCGGCCTCGGGGTACAGCTCGTGGCCGGCCAGCGGCGACAGCTCAAGGAACGTGGTTCCGGGGTCAATGAGGGCCGTAACGCGATCCCGGGGCAACATCTTCTTGCGGGCCAGGTGCTTTTCCCTCGCCTTTGCCGGGCCGCCCTGCTGCACTTTCCGCGTCAGCTCGTCCAGTCGGGCCATGGCCTCGCCCATGAGGCGCTCGTTTTCCTTGAATTCATCTGAGCTTGTGTCGACATTGCTCTTGATGACAGATATAGCGCCCGCTTGGTGCGGCGTGTTGAAGGTGGCAACCGTTCGTCTCGCCGTCGCGGAGCTAGGGAGGACGGGACGGCTGGCCCGCAGCGGCCGTGAGTGCGTGCACTGGCGGCCCAGTTGCCGGGACAGGAGCAGCATCTCTCGTGATGGTGTTGACAATGACATTCTGGACGATCAGTTGGCACTGCGACCGCAGTTCAACACACGAAGGAGACAGAGAGAACTGAGGTGAAGAAGCTGTACAATTGCACGATCTGGGGAAGCGGCCTAGTATTGTACATACTGTGACGTCTAAACCCCGAAAGCTGGGGAAGGCAGGGGTTTGCTACCTGGGACGGCCCGAAGCAAACCGGCGGAAGCCGAACCCCCTGTCACCTGGGCGCCAGCGATGTCATCGCGCTGAGATGCCCCTTGCACATGCCATTTATGCGACCAGGGGAAGCGTCGGCTTAAGTGACGGAGGGACATGGGACAAATAACACTGGCCATCGGCGGCCAAAACCAGACGAACTTTATCTTTTCTGCCTGTACTTGAATCTCCCAAGTCAATCAGCAACATGTCAGCCTCGACGATCTCACGAGCGTTGAGACACGCAACGAGACCAAACGGCGCAACAAGCCCGTTCCGGCAATTCGGCATTGGCCCTACACCGAGAGCATCGACACCAGCGCTCGCCTTCTTGCGCCAACAAGAACGCCATGCCTCGTCCAAGCACCCCAAAGGCTTCGAGCCGCCATCTCCTGGCGATCTCGCGCAGCTGCGCGAGACTGTGCGAGAGTTTACTCGCCGCGAGCTGACCGAGGAGGTCGCCGCGGCAACCGACAAAAACAACAACTTCCCCCCGGACATGTGGCACAAGCTGGGCGAGGCGGGCTTCCTGGGCATCACGGCCGACGAGGACGTGGGCGGGATGGCCATGGGCTACCAGGCGCACTGCGTCGTCATGGAGGAGCTGTCGCGCGCGAGCGGGTCCATCGCCCTGAGCTACGCCGCCCACTCGCAGCTGTGCGTCAACCAGCTGCAGCTCAACGGCTCGCCCGAGCAGAAACACAAGTACCTACCGGACCTCATCGCCGGCAACAAGGTCGGCGCGCTGGCTATGTCCGAGTCCGGGTCGGGCAGCGACGTCGTCAGCATGCGCACGCGCGCAAAAAAGGTTGACGGCGGCTACGTGCTCAACGGCTCCAAGATGTGGATCACTAACGGGCCGGACGCCGACCTGGTCGTCGTATACGCCAAGACGGTCCCCGACGGCGGGTCCAAGGGCATCACAGCGTTCCTGGTCGAGACCAAGTCCCCCGGTTTCGCGTGCCTGCGCAAGCTCGACAAGATGGGCATGCGCGGCAGCAACACGGGCGAGCTGGTGTTTGAGGACGTGTTCGTACCCGACGAGAACGTGCTCGGCGCCGTCAACGGCGGCGTGCGCGTGCTGATGGAAGGGCTCGACCTCGAGCGGCTGGTGCTCTCGGCGGGACCGCTCGGCCTGATGCAGGCCGCGCTCGACGTCGCGCTGCCCTACGCCCACACGCGCAAACAGTTCGGCACGCCCATCGCTCAGTTCCAGTTCATGCAGGGCAAGTTGGCCGACATGTACACCAAGCTGCAGGCCTCGCGGGCGTATACCTACGCGACGGCCCGGGCGGTGGACGAGGAGGGACTCATCAGGACGCAGGACTGCGCCGGGGCGATTCTCTACGCCGCCGAGCGGGCGACGGAGTGCGCACTGGATGCCATCCAGATCCTGGGCGGGATGGGCTATGTCGAGGAGATGCCGGCTTCGCGTATCATGCGGGATGCCAAGCTGTATGAGATTGGCGCCGGGACGTCCGAGGTCCGGCGCATGGTCATTGGGCGGGCTTTCAACAAGGAGTATGCTCATCTGTCTAGCTAGCCCCGTCAAGATAAAACCTGCATTCGATCGATCACCCTTCACACGTGAACTCTTTCGCTCCGGGGATGGCGTTGTCCCACTTTTTGGCGGCTCGAGATGCAAGATGCATGAGAAAGAAGCAGGCGATCCTTCCGATCTGACCGGCGGCCGGATTATCTAGCCAGGAAAGAGGATAAACGTGTCTGGTGCTGTGGAGTTCGCAGTTGATGTTCCCGTGCTTGCAGCGTGGGAGAGCAATGGCCACTGGCCGAGACCCCTTCTGTGAAAGGTCACGTCGATGTTGTGCCGCTGTATAGCCAATATCCTGCCACCGTCGTACTCTCGCAGTTAACTTGTTGATAGTTTGCGCGCCCCATTTCTTTCTGGCACTGCAGCTACCAGTGTGGGAAATTGTCGAGACCGACGTGAGATACACCTACCTTACCTTTCTCTCCCTGACCCCCACGCTCACCCGCGATTGCATATATGGCAGTGCAACCTCGGTGTAGAAAATCATGCGCCTCGCCTCCCGTCCCGATCAAGGTTACCTCCCGCTCGCGATATTGCATTTTTTTCCCCATCATTTCCGCCACAAGCGGCCGTCCCGCCATGGCAAACCTGAACTTTCCCCCTTCCTCCAAGTTTGCTTT